GATACTAGACCCTCGCTACTGGAAGGAAAGGAAGGAAGGAGGACCCCACCCGATACTAGACCCTCGCTACTGGAAGGAAAGGAAGGAAGGAGGACCAACAGCTTCGGCCCGCTTCTTCACTGCTCTGCCCCGGTCCATCAGACTTGCACCACTGGGGCTCGCTGTGGAAGAGCCACTGACGCTTCTCGACTCGGGCCGCAGCAACACCGCTTCCACCTTGTTCGAAGGCTGTAATGGTTGCGTCAACCCACAGGTACATCCACAGGCGGCACAAGGGGGTACGGATGAGGCTGCAGCGCCATGACCAATGTCTGATTCCGGGTGTGTGTCCCGAGTCGCGTCGGGAGAAGGAGGAGTAAACTCCGGAGGGAGGGACATGGACCTCAGGCGGGTCAACTCTGCTGCAAGCTCGCTCATCCTTGATTCGATAACACGAATTCTGTCTCGCAGCTGTGCTTGCGCGCCCTGTGAGGCCGGACCAATTGGCAGACTCCCCAATAAAGATGGCGAGGCTTGGTCAGTGGGGTGATTGGCTGAGTTGGCCAGAGTGAAAGAGTGTGAGCCGATTGAGGAGGCAACCGCCGCTCTGTCCGTTGCGCTCAATGTCTCTTGCCAGCCTTGATTGAATCGAGATGACGGCGAACTTGAGTGAGGAGTACCTGCGCCTTCCCTTCGAAATGGCTCCGCATCACTTCTTCCTGCTGGAGGCCAAGCCTGGGTAGGGGAGGGCTCCGTGTATTGCTCTACCTCGGGAGGTAGGGGACTGGTCCACGGTGAATGAAGACCAGAGATGCCTTCGCTTGTCATGGGAGTGAGAGGAGTCTGACCAAGCAGGGGCGCAGCTGTCGAGTTGTCTGCCTGAGAAGAGCTTCGTGCGGCGGTGATGGGTGTGGGAGTCAAATCCCGGTCATAGAGCAATCCTCCGGATCGAGCGGTAAAGGAAGCAGTTAGACCGCCAAATCCATCGGGGCGAAGTGGACGGACAGGTCGAACACCAGCAGAGACAGCAGCGTGAGCTGGAGGGCCCTTCACGCCGTTCTTCATGGACCGGACAGCGCCATCCTCGTCAATAGGCGGTTCTTCCTCGTCTTCTCCTGTGAGCGACTCCATTGGCAAATTTCCGCCTGCGAGGACAGGGGAAAGGCTGACAAAGATACTGGACATCGGCCGAAGAGCACCGAGAGCAGGAACGCTATCACCTCGCACCATATCCCCAGACGCTTCGTCAGCAGGGAGGAGGAAGATAGACTCCGTTGAAGAAGGCAACGGCGATGGCAGATCGTCCACGGCGTTCGCAGCGCTCGCATCACGCGTGGTCATGCCTCGCGGCAGAGAGGGCATCGCAGGAGAAACTTCCTGCTGCCGATCAGGGTCATGCGTTGAAGTCTCAGATGCCTGCTTGCGACCAAATAGCTTCAACAAACCGCTCTTCTTGTTCTTGAGTGCTCGTGCGGCATGGCCGCCGGAGGCGTGCAAGTAGCCCGCTGGCATGCTTTCGCCGGTAGTGTGGTGCTGCTGATCTAGCGTAACAGGATCAGGAGATAACGAGAGCTGAGGAGCCTTGCTAGGGTACGCACGTTCCGCAGCGGTAGACCTGAGAGGCGCGGTCTGCGGGTCGAACACAGGCCCACAGTCCAAGTCCTTGCCAACTCGCTGAGCCTGGGCCTGCTCCAGGGATATCAGTTTGTATGCCACTCCCTCATGTGAGCCCGGGATGGGAAGAGTGGTACCACGAGAAGAAACGACTGGTGCACCGAACGAAACAGCAGTTTCGAGGGTAGAGGTGTCAGTGCTGTCACCGGTATGACTCTCGAGATGGACTCCGCTGGAGTCCTCAGAACTTGGAGTAGATAACTCCGTACCACTGATCGGATTTGGTGGGCCGCCGCCTGGACCCACTTTGCTGTCAATGATGTTCAGGTCTGACTTTGTAGAGGAAGGTGTAGAAGGCCGATGTACACTCTCGCCTTGCATCGCCGCACTCCTGGATGTGATGTCATCTTGAGCGGGGTTTCCCATGCTCTTAGCGACTGATCTTGCACTGAAGTGGTTGCTTGCGGGCGATCTGAGAGGGAGCTGTGCTGTACCTAGTGAAGGTGACCCTACCCCGCTCGATTTCTTGTAGCCAACGCCAATACCTCGCGGCACGGGAGAGGTGGTTCCCTCGCGAAAAGCGAAGAGTGGTGACGAGTTGTCGCCAACCTTGCCTGTCGCGACACTGCTCCCACTAGTCATTGTCGACGAATTTGAGAGCAGTGAGAATTTACGCTGGTGCCGAGGAGAGGCAGTCGATCCTGCCGATCCCACCGCAGCATCTTCGACCTCAAAAGGCAAAGGGTCTTGTGACGTAGGTGTAGTGGCACACGTTGTGGACGGGCAGGCATTTGCAGGGAAAGACGGAGCCCCCATCAATGCAGCATCTGAGTGTCCAGACCCAGTGTAGCCACTTTCGACACCAGGTGCTTCTTCGAGAAGGGGCTCAGTCGTGGTTGAGACGTCAGTTGGCATCGACTGCTCAACATCAGATGCCTGCCGCGGTAGAGCATCTGCCTGTTGTCTCCAAGTTGTGTTAGTCTGCGTTTGTGCCTGCCCTTCTGTATCGACATCTATGTCGTTAGCTGAAGTGGAACGAACTTGAGCATAATCTACAGACTTCCTTCGGCTGGTAGTTCTGTTTGGCGTTGCTGGTGTCACTGGAGGAGTCGGAATGACCTCCGAGGATTCCGAAAGAGGCTCACTGACAGGGGCCAGCTTGGTGAAAGGGTTGACGAGGCCTCTGTTCGCTTCTGCTGCTCTCCAGGCAGTAGTGTTCATCGACTCGATCGATGGTCGCCGAGAAGACAAAGCAGGAGATTGGGAACGTGCGGGCGGGACCTGTGTGCCTTTGAGAAGATTGGCTCTAGCCTTCTCTTCCTCTTCGATGGCTTTCGCATATCCTTCGCTGCTGATGCCCCTCTCAAGGCTGAGTTCGTCCCGTTCTCCCTTCTTCTTAAGCGACTTCACGAGCTTGATGTTGTTGATGCGCACCTGTTTCGCGCCAAATCCGTCACCATCACTCCCGGTGCCACTGCCTTCTCGTCTGCCCGAGCCAGTCGCACTCCCTCCTAAGCCGAGTCCTTTCAAGACTTTGCCGGCGGAGGATGTCTTCTTTGGCTGATTGGCGCTGCTGGGTGTAGCATTGCTGTTGGCGGAGGCAGTCGAAGTTGTACTGGAGACTTGCACTACGTCTGGCATGCCGAGCGGCACTTCTGAAGTGCTGCTTCCACTGTCAATTCGAAGCTGATGTGGAGACTTGAGACCCACGGATCCCGATGACGCCTTGGAACCTTGACGAGGCCTTGCCAGAAATTCTGGCGTGGTCCAACCCGTGAAGAGCGGTGAGACGCCACCGTCACTCTCGGTAGACCAAGGCTTGCTTCCGAACTTCGTCTTGGCTTGTGGTCCCAAGGGCAGACCTGAACCTGAAGCAGAGGCGGCCCTTCTTCGCGTATCACCGTCAAAGGCACTGAGTGAGTTGACCTCCCCGCTTGGACGACGAAGCCTTACGCTCAGACCCGGGCCAGATTTTACCCGCGTGTCGCCGCGGCTTTGTTCGAGTGAGCCGCGAGTCAGTTTGGACCACGGCGACGAAGGTGCCGGAGAGCTATCGAGAAAGGCTCCAGGCGAATGGGGTGGGTGGAGAGCTGTAGAGACCACGGAGTGACTTTGAGCAAGAAGGTCGTCTCCTTCTTCGAGCTCCCATGGAGCTGGCTCGTTTTTCCTGAGTCTGGGTCCGAGAGTGCTGAGTCTTCTTGTCACAGCCGCTTGTTCGGGATCACCGGACGAGCTTGACGCGGCGGATGAGGCGGCAAGGTTTAGCAGAGCCTCTTCATCTGCGACAGCCCCATCGAAGGAGAGGACGGGGGGACGTTGTCTTCTCTGGAAAGCTGAAGTGCCCACCGACGATGGTGCGGATGGCTCGCTAAAGTGACTGCCGTTCTGAAGAGTTGAGGGAGACAGACTCGCTTTGTCGTGAGCCATTGGGACCCTGGGCGAAGATGATGAGCGGGTCAAGGTAGCACTGGACGACTCGTCCACCACTCTCCTGTCATACACTGACGCGATGTTAGAGCGAAGTGGGTTGATGATGTCGAATTCCTCGTTTTCGATCGAGACAGACTTGGGAATGTCGAAGCGTTCTTCCGCATGCTCAGAGAGGTTGAGAGAATTGTAGGCCGAATTCAGCAGGGAGGAGCAGGCTGAGCCCGCATGCTCGGCGGCCAGTCGGTCTGGGGTCGGCTCCTCCCGAATGGTAGTCTCTCTCAGCTGCTGAAGTGCGAAGCTGGAGTTGAGAAGACTAGAGGGTGGGGGCAGTGTTCTTGGCGGGGCATGCCTCCCTGCCTTACCAAAATCCGAGCCGCTACGCCGGCCGTCTTTGCTGCCGTTGTTTGCGCTGACAGTCCTGGCCTCCCAGGCACTACAGCCTTCCGATGTTTCCCGGCCTGGTTCAAGAGTCAGATGCTCGGCATCTTCTCTTGAACCACCTCCTCCTAGGCCGGCGCCAGCCTCGTCCCCTTCGGCATCGAAGTGCGTGGCAGCGGAGTAGCGGCTGCTGCGATCCGCTGCGAGGCGCTGAAACTCGGCTTCGTCACACGCGGTACCGCTCGTCTCTGTGGCGTATGACGAGGACGCAGTCCCCGCTTGCACTTCCGGACTGCCACCTAGGGCATCTTGGAATTCGTCCCCTTCCTCGAGGTCCTCGTTGTGATCTCGCTGCACAGGTGGAGAGTACTGTGACGCATCGGCAAAGGCGAGTTTGAAGCCGGGTGAGGAGGGTGAGAATTGGCCCAGCGAGCGTTTCTTGGAAGGGGTAAAGGGTCTCTTCGACAAGTGAAGTGCTCTCGCCCTCGGAGACGAGCCTGAGGACGTAGGCGAGGAAATGTGACTGTTGGTATGGAGTGTCTGTTCCTCCGCATCGGAGGGAGAAGACATGATACGAGGACGACCAGGAGGAGACGGAGGAGAGAGGCGACGTTGAGCACAGGATGATAGAGTTGGAGGGCAAGAGGTTTCCTGGAGCAGCGATGACGGCGGCCTCAGCAGCGTGAGGGGAGTCTGGTCTGGACAAGGAAGGGCGGGATATCACCACAGGGGACCATGCATGGCCTGTGGGGAAGTGCGGGAACAGTAGTGCTGCTGCTGCTGGACCCTGCGCCCGGCCTGGGTGTGCGGAAGCCGACAAGAGGAGTACGATAAAGGAGATCTCCAAAGGGAAGAAGAAGGGCGGCCAGACGAGGCAAAGGAGATGGCGCTTGAACCATGGGCGAGGGGGCCTTCTAATCCTGGGCTTCCGTGTGTGTTGCCTCGCGGTGGGCGGCATCTGGTCGCGAGGCGCGTCGTGGCTGAGGGCAAATGCCCGGTGCCTGCTTCTTGGCTGCTGCTGCTTCTGCCGCTCCTTGCTCCTTGGTCGCCGCCTCCGCCTTCCGTCCCGGCGGCAAGAGCAGCATCAAGCTCCTGACAGGCGCGCTGCCGCCCCAGCTCACCGACGACGGTGAACAACGAGAGCCTTCCACGTCTTTCACGACACGCTGCCAAAAGCAAGTCTATGTGACACATCTCATTTCTTCTCGCCATAGACGGAGCATCGTTGAAGTCTAATCGACGCCCTCATACCCTGCGTGACCCAAAGGACCGCTCGGGCTACTTGCAGAGAAAGCACCTGGCGCGATCCCTTTGAAAATCATAGGATCCATTTCTGCCCCTTGACTACTCTCAGCAGCGCTACCGCCCCAGTAGACGATCTCCATGCCCACTGTTCGAACGACGCTCCCCATTCCTACGCCCCTCACGCCACCACTTTGCTTCTTGACCAATGCCGATCCGCCACCAGAAGAGACGGAAGAGGCAGAGAGATCAGCCTTGATGCCGATACTGACGAGACAGTTCTTCAGGCGTCCTTGCCAAAGTAGCGACAAGAGCATAGAAGACGATAGAGAGAATTTCAGCAATGCAGACGGTGATGACGAAGCAGAAGAAGAAGACGGCATCGAGCCGTCTCTACCTGACATCGAAGTGGCTCGAGCATCCGGCAAAGGATCGGCTTCAGAACTTATGACAGCGCCCGCCTGTGGATTTCCCCGAGTCACCTCGTTTTGAGGATTCGTGCGAGACTGACGATGCACAGGGTCTTCTCCACCAGCCCCTTGTAGCTTCGAGCCACTAGTCTGTTGTACGTCCGTTCCCGCTGTACTGTCTGACGGGCGCAGGCCCCTCATAAAAGTCTCCCGAGGTTGGCTCTTATCGTCTGTGAGCCCGGCTTGACGTGATGAGATGGGTGGCGGCTCGAAACTCTCCCTCAAACTGGGTGCGGGAGAGTGAGGCTTTCTGGGCAGCGGTTGCGAGACACTTGGGGGTGCAGACCAGTAGATTGGTCTCTCTCCTGGGTCATCTTTCGACAGGACAGACTGCGAAGCTGCTGAAGATAATGTTGGTGATGCATGTGCGGAGCGTAGCCAGTACTCGCCGCCCACCGTGAGATCAGACTCGTAGGAGTAGACATTGAAGTCGTATCTGTCATTGGAAGATAGACGCGGGTGGGGTCATTATCAGAGTCTGTCGTGGAGTTGAGCCTAGCCCGCACCCGCCTGTTTCCTCACTTACCTCGAGCAGGCTACGATGTCTCGACCCAGTCTGCTAGCATACGCTGTGCTGAAGTGTCCCATCATAGGATTGAGCGTGGCAGTGATAGTGGTCGGCGGCTGAGACGGTGACACCCAGGCCCTCGCATCCCCTGTCTCGGCCACTGCTGCATCCATACCCGCATATACACCCTCCTCGCCGTCATCATTGCCTTCCGGAAGGGTCGTGAATCTCACTCCCGTGCTGAGCCCTGCTGACTTCTCAGCGGCGCTAAAGAAGAGCTCCGCTCCCGCAGAGAACCTGCCTCGTAGACCTCCTCCGACTTCGGTAGATGCAGGCGAAGGTCGAAGGTTCGACGATGTTTCTGGCGTCCCCGCGTTGGCAGAGTGCAACTTCGGGTCTGAGAGAGACGAGTCGAGGCACATCTCCGAAAGCGATTCCAGAGTGCGGGTCTGAGCAGCGCTCGAACTCAGGCCGGACGTGCCCGGCTCAAAGTGATGCATGGTACGGAAGCCCCACAAGGCGTCATCGAGGCTGTAGCAGATCTCATTGAACCACTTTCCTGCATCGTGCTGCAGCGTGAATTGGAGATTTGTGGCTCCTGGGCTTGTGGGCCCTTGTGACATTGGAGGTGGTAATTGCTGAGAAGAGGAGGGAGAGGTAGCAGACACCTGCTGGTCTTGCGAGACCATGGGAGCCAAGTTGGAGACGAACGGTGATTGTGGTGGAAAAGAGCAGGCAGTGATGATAAGGTTCCATGCTGGAGAGATCCGAGTGGTGTAGAGGGCATCCAGCCGGGCCGTGGGTGCATGGAGGCAGCCATACAGGAGGTAGTCTAGCGTCACGGTGAGGGACAGTGTCAGCCAGCGGACCAGAGTCGCAGCCTCTTATCCTTACCTACCTCTCGAAGACTTTGGCCCATTGCCGCTTATTTCGCCCGCATCTCGCCGCTTTGGGATGTGAACGATCCTGAATCTCTCTAGGACTTCGCGCAATCCCGTCCCACCAAAGGCGAGCGGCTTTTCGGTTCTGGCGACGACGTAGCCGGCGCAGCCCCCCAAGCTCGGCAGCGCTCTCAAGCGGTGCGTGGAGAAGAAGGCACAGGTAGGGCTGGAGCTGAGGGAAAGAGCCAAGCCATTGGGAATGGGAAAGTCAAGAAGGATGGACGAGGAGTGGGAGGTGAGGTTGAGGTAGGAGTTGGAGGGATGCCAGTCGGTGGTATGGAAGTAGTGGCGGAGAAGATAGGAGGGGAAGTCCTGCATTGCGAGGCTGCTACCGCCTGTGCCGCAGAGGTCTGGCCTCGACAGTAACTCTTGCCAATGGACGAGAGCACGAGGTACGGACACGGTCAAACGGTAGCCCTTCCGTGACGGCCTGCGTCGTCTCTTTCCGTCTCTGCGCTCCGACGTTGCCGGCTGGGCGGAGTGCCAATGCGACGATGGGGAGGAGGCACGACCTGTGGCAGAAGCATTGGCGCAGCAGCAGACACAGTAGCCTCGCTCGGAGACGACAGGCGGTTGACACTCACACTCTCACCACTCACTCCCTTCCTTCGCAGAAGCAGGTCAGATTAAGTTACTCAGGGTGACACTTCGCAAGCACGCCGCCGGGCCAAGTCCTTCACATTCTCGCCGCCTGCACAAGCGTCGTCTGATGAGCTTTTCTCTCCTCGAGGAAGCCATCGAAGTACTTCTCCAGTGCCTTCCATCCCTGCTCCTCCAAGGGCACCACACAACCCACGTACCCATCTGGACGGCAGACGACGACTGCTCCCTCGTCTTCGTCGATGCCCCACTTCCTGTGTAGACCACCGATGCTCTCGTCTCCGTCCTCCTCGCTCACCTTTGCGCCTCCCGCTTCCACATCGTCGGCATACAGCCAGCACTTCAGAGGTCCAAAGGACTGCACGTCCTTGGGCTCGAAGTTGAAGCGATTCGCAGCAACGATGAGAAGCAAGTGGAAAAAGGGATTTTGCTCCTCTGTGAAGCCCTTGAGGCCAGAGTTGAGCGCCTCCGGCTTCGAGTGATACACGCCATGCTTGAGACCACCCAGCTTGGAAGGCTCGGCCCTGAAACGCTGGTAAAAGGAAGAGGCAGACGACAGATAGTCGCTGAAAGCTTGCAGCTTCGACGCTGTAGAGGGGAGCTTTCCTCCACATACGTACAGACGGAATCCACCAGGAGCGGTAAATTGCACCTCGTGAATGATCCTCACCGGGGTGGATGAAATCCATCGCGTCGCCCAACTGGGCAGCAGCCTACGCCCGCACTCAAGCTTATTGCTGATCGGCTTTGCGATTCCCAATGGGGAAGGGTCGCGGTAATTCAGAACGTTGTCGTTGTAGAGCACACCGGCACCAGTAGTGAAGCCGGCGTTCCTTCTCTGCACATTGAAGAAGTGAATCTTGAGCTTCTCCTCAGAAGCACCGATGAGCTCAGGTGTAGACTTCGGGATCTCGCCAGAGAAGAGGGCGGCGTACTCTGCATCAAAATCGATGAGTTGCTTGCCAGTCCTGTGTCTCTCCTCGTGGTAAGTACTAAGCAGCTTCTCGCGGCTGCCCAGTCCCTTCTCTACCAGATTAATCCTCCAAGACAGTGCCTGTGCATCGATGATGGCCGTGTTCATGCCCTGCCCGGCCTTTGGCGAGTGCGTGTGGCAAGCGTCACCAGCGATGAAGACACGGTGAGAGTCGAATTTGACGCCGTCCTCCTGAGTTCCACCTGGCAGGGAGTACCTGGAGACCAGCCGCTGACCAATGGGGTAGCAAGTGAACCATTCGACGGTCTTGAACTCGAACTTGTATGGATGCGCGATTTCATTGATGGCTCGCATGACCATATCCGCGGTCACCTTGTCCTTCATGTCCCGGGCGGACTCTGTACTCTTGGCGCCACCAAGCTTGTTGACTTGTGTATAACACCGAATGATCGCTTCTCCCTTTTCGTTGTTCTCCCGCGGGAAGATGTAAAGAGCGCCGTGGGACTTGGAGTGGATGGCAGCAATTTTTCTCACGTCAGGGAAGTCCGTCTCGACCACACAGTCCAAGGCTGCCCAAAGCGTGTCGACCCAGTCTCCATCGAAGGTGATGCCATGTTTGGCCTCCATCGTTGTCCGTACCCTGGAGCGTCCACCATCGCAGCCCACGAGATATTTTGTGCGAATAGTCTTGATCTGGCCCGTGGGCTTGATGACGCTGATCGGGGCTCCCCCCTCGTTGGTGGACTCCTGCACCGGCTGCATCTTCTCCAGCGATACTTGCACAGGGTAAGTGCTGTCATTCACAAATTTGAAGTCCTTGTATGCCCAAGGACGATGCACACGCTGTCCGTGTGCTTCCATATCCCTTAGGTAGCCGCCCTCGATGATACCCTGCTGCAGACCAAGGGTGCAGTTGTCCTGAATCTCCATGTCATAGGGGAAGGATTGCACCCGCCTTGTACGCTCAATCCCCCTCTGACCGTCCGAGCGTGGATCCCAGAAGGACCGCTCATACGAAGCCGCGGAACGGTGGACGAACTCGGAGCCTAGGGGCTCCATGTTACGCAGCACCTCAATCGTACGGGGCTGGATACCGTCAGCTCTTCCTGCCGTTGTAGGCTCTGAGCGCTCATCGACCACGAGGACCTTGTGACCACCGAAGCGAGCAAGCGAAGACTGTGAAGGGGCAATTGAGTGGCAAGATCATGGTCTTCAGCATCGCAGATCGCATTTAATGGCGGACCGGAGCCTTGCAGTACCGCTGGTCTGGTCACCTCCCTGTACTCACAGCTGTCATCAATCCAGCTGGGCCTGCACCGATGACGACTACGTCCCACTTATCTTCAGTGATCTCTGTAAGAGCATCGGGGTAGTCTGCTGTGCCATGTGCGGACTTGTCTCCCTTTGAGATCTCAATGGTGTCTGACGTCGAGGCCTGCTGTTGCTGGTGAGACGACATGATGACTAGGCGAGGGGAGTTGCAGAGAGAAATGGCACAGGGTCTTCACAGATGTGTGTGTCCTTGCTGTGAGTACCGAAAGAGTGAGAAGAGGAACAGACAAGAGGTGTGGGAAGAGGAACAAAAGTCTGGCCTCGACTCGTTGCAGAATATGTACTCGGGCCGCGACCTGGGCCATGCCAAGGTTGCCAAAGGAAATCAAGGCCGAAGGGGGCGGGGCCCGGTGGCTCTCGCGGAACACACGGCTTGCCGTGACAACCGGTGGGGCAGACGTTCAATCTCCGATCCAAACGCGGGGGCGTGGACGCAGCCAAAGGCCGAAAGGCGCCGACAGCCACGCCGGATCTTCTCTGCCCCGATGACAGAGCAGCCCACGACAGGGACACAGCTCTCGCATTATATGCGACAAATGGCAGTCAAAGGGGGACATAGATGAGGAAGCCGGAGAGCTGATCGCGTGCAAAGTGCTAAAGGCAAGGTGCCTTCTCATGTGCAGTCGAGAGAGGGCGGGACCAGATGCCTGCGCTCGCAGTCGGCCTTTCTTACTCTGGATGGAGCTTTATTCTCGAAATAGATTGTGCTCGCCTTCGGCATCGATTCGCAACGACATGTCCACGACTGACTTTGCCAACCCCCAGATACGCTTTCGGTTGCGCGCAAAGCCAGTGGTAGTGCGGATGGAGTTCTTCAGATACACAAAGCAGGAGAAGTGGGAGTTCTTCCGGGCCTCCTAAAGTCACGAAAGGGAGTCGAAGTCGTTCAGTGTCACTCTTGCATGGCGCTGGAAATGCCAGTATCGAAGTCTCACCTTCGTCTGCACGAGACTGCGCTCCCAGGCGTCCCTCTCACGCTTTGTGTACGGCAGCATCCAGGGATAACTCTCGTTCATCTTGCGTTGTGCAGCTTCGTCCAAGGACTGGGCGCACTGCCACGCCATAGCCCGACAGGTGGCCGCCAGGGCAATCACTTCAGTGAGGTCGAGGAAGGAAGATATCGCGAGCAGGATTTCCGTTGGAAGTCTGCCGAAAGAGAGGGAGCTGACCGCTGGCAGCGACGTGTGATTGACGCAGGTAAAGCCATGCTCGACTTCGAATCTATACCACACATGAGCATTCAGCGACTGTAAGCTACCGACACTTTTCATTCGCTCCACTCACAGATAAGGAGGCTGCCAGACCCATGCAGACAGACGCTCCCACACTTCTTCACGTCGTGCGGAATCTATTCCCTTGCCGTCGATGCTGTCATTGATGGCTGCCGCCACGTGTGGCTCGAAATCACCATAATGAGCAGTCGCTTCGTGCAGGAAGATAAAAGCATCGCAAAAGCCGTGCTTAACAAATTCTTCCACAATGTCGAAGTGTCTCCAACGGTCGGGCGAGGGATCTTGCACTTGTCGGGCCCGAAGTCCATAGTAAAAACCGGCGGTGTCACGCCGTTGACGCTCTTTAGCCTTTGCGAGACCGGCTAAAAACTCCGTTCGCCAGTATCTCAGCGGTGTCATGGCAGGTGTTGGTCCTACACTTTGTGTTCTCCACTGAACTACGCCTTGCAGCAACTCCCAGCATGGAACGTGTACCATGAGAGCCCCATCCGAGAATTGAACTTCCCAGGCGTGCCCTTGTGCGCTTGGCCACCCACGCTCATTGGCGTCGTCTAAGCTGTCTAAGCTGGAAGTATCCGCCTCGCCGCCGGGGACCCGGAGTGCCTGATGCTTCTTGCTCGCAAAGGCGTGTTCAAGCGGCCCACCTGCTCTGTGTTCCAATCTACAGATGAGAGACACTGCTTCCGACTTCAAGAGATCAGGCCAGTCTGCTGGGTCCGTATGCTTGCTGTAATCGTCGTCGTAGGAGCTCGTACCGTTGAAGTGCCCCACGACTGCGAGGTTGTTGTGAAAGGCTCTGTAGGCCTGTACATCAATCGGACACCAAGTAGGGGGTCCCCCTTCGATGCTGGGCTCTGCAAGGGCGACTGTCTCCGGTTCATGCTCTTGGAAGCGCCACTTCTTGTGAGAGTGGAAGAAGTCCTGTTTGAAGGCGGTGATCACAGCAGGCGTAAGCCCACATATCTGAGCGCAAACACAGGGGCAAGGTTGGGGTCAGGAAGAAGAGTCAATGAGCGCCTAAGACTGGGGCAGCCCGACTGACGGCACAGATCTCGTCGTTTCCACCCATTTGCACTGTATTAAGGGCACGTGTTAGACGACGAGAAAGACAAGAATGGAGGCTCGTTCGTAGTGGTTGGGGCAAAGAGGCACCTTTGCGCGTAGGTCAAGTCAAGGGAGGTGAGGTCTCAAATGACGTGCGCAGTTGTGAGACAGCTCTTCTCGTACGAGAAAGCAGACGGACAAAAGAAGAGGTGCACGCGAAGGAAGGCGTTCTCTATTCTTTTCATTGCACACTCTAGTTCGCTGCAGAGCCCCGACCAATGGCTCTTAGACCCTCACCACCAGCGATAGCAGGAAGCTTCTTTCCTGCCTTTACAGGTGCCTCGAGGAAACCGACAGCTACCAGCCACGAAAGGTACAACCCCACGAGATCCTGATCCACACCTGCAATCACGGTCTGATTCTCTTGGCCCTCTCCGAAGGAAGTCAATAGCGACTGTGTGTGACGATCGTCGAGCTCGGCAGCCTTTGTGGAGGTGGGCAGATCGTCCAAGACGAAGTGGAGCAGGGGGAAAAGAGCATTGTCCTGCGTCTCGAGGACGTGATCTTCCAGCTTGGAACGCCAGACCACGTACTCGGTCTTCCGCACGTCCCACCCGTAGACTGCCAATGCGCCGAGTAGATCGTTGTACCTGATTGGTGGGTGCGCGGTAACATGGTAGACTCGTGCAGCTGTTCCCTTAACGTTACCATCCTCATTCCTCGCTTGTATAGATGCCAAAGCACAGATGCGAGCGACATGATCCACTGGTACCATGTTGATCGTGTTGTGGATATCTGGGATGAGTCCCAATTGCTCTGATCCCTTGACAAGTCGCCACAGGAAGTCGTCTGTGTTCGTGGTAGCGCTTCGTGAGTCACCGACAACGTATCCAGGTCGCACGATGCTCGCACGAAGGCCCCTCGATGCTGCAGTCATGATGAGCTTCTCTGCGACCCACTTCGACTGGCCATATCCAGTCTTGAGACCGTGTGAAGACCCTACCAGGTCGTCCGTCTCGGGTACTCCCTCAAATTTGCCCTGCTGCCTCATCGAGTCCGAAAGCCTGACGTAGTGATCAGCCTCGACTGCAGCAGTGGAGGATACGAACGACATAGTCTTGGGCTTGCCAGTCCCACAGAGTTGCAAGCAGTACAAGGTGGAGAGGACGTTGGCAGCCTTGAGCTTGTCATAAGGGTAGATCCAATGGACGAGAGCCCCATTGTGAAGAACGGCGTCAGCTTCTCGTGCGACCTCGATGTAGTCGTTTTCGCTCATTCCCAATCGGGCGGATGCCGTGAGATCACCCAACACTACCTTCAGCCTCCCTTCGGTGATCCATGCCTCATTCCAAGCATTGCGAGCCTGTCCGCTCTCTCGGAGACGCGACAGCGCTGCATCCGAGCTGGCAGCTCGGACGTGGACATACACTTTGGTAATGTATTGGGATCGAGAAGCTAGCAAGTCGCGAAGGATGAAAGCCCCCAAGAAGCCTGTAGCTCCGGTGAGGAAGACTTTTTGAGTAGACTGTGATGTGGGACTGGTGAATGTCTCGGCAAGTTCTCGAACCAAAGTGTGGAGATCTTGTGCGTAGTTGTCCTGACCAGCAAGTGCTTGCTCGATTTCGCCTTGACCGTTTGGACGAACAGCCTTGCCAACTTCATCTTCACCAGCACCCAATAACAGTGCGCCCTGTTGAATCTTTTCCACCTCTCCTGCCAGACCCTCAATGGTTGGCTGGTCAAAGACCACCCCTAGAGGGATATTGACGACAAAGGCCTTTCGCATCTCGAAGACCAATCTCGTAGCGAGAATGGAGTGCCCTCCGACATCGAAGAATGATTCGTCTAGCGGCAGAGGTCGTGCTGCGTTGGGAAGAAGCTTCTCCCACAAAGAAACGATACGCTCCTCTGTTTTAGTCGGCACGCGAGTGGAAGAGCTCTCAGCGCCAGCCTTCTTGCTGGCTCCGCTCAGAGCATCTTGTGCCAGAGCAGTGTCAGGGAATGGCAAAGCTGGCTTGTCGATTTTCCCGTTTGGGTTGAGCGGCATCCTGCCGAGAGGTACGAAGAGGGTAGGCACCGAGTAGGCCGGCAGCTTCTTCTTGAGATGCTCTCGTATGTCCTTGATGAGGCGGCGATGCCTCTTCATACCCTTGACAAGGCTTTTGGCCGTTGTTGCAGCAGCAGCATCTTCCTCGCCAGCACTACTGACTTCTTCAAAGTCTTTGGCTCCAGGACCAGGCACAAAGTATGAAACCAAGACCTTCTCCTCGTCCTTGTCTCTTCGAACGAGAGTCACGTTCTCGCGAACGTGAGGGTGGCGACTGAGATGTGTGTCGATCTCGCCCAGCTCAATCCTGAATCCCCTGATCTTGACCTGATCATCGGCTCGCCCCGTACATTCGACGGTCCCATCGGGAAGATATCTTCCTAGATCACCTGTACGATACATTCTATCCCTCACACCTTTCCAGAATGATCCAACATCGGTTCCAGCCAATGTATCCTTGAAGTGCACATCAGGAGCAAGGAAGTTTGGCATGAATTTCGCCGCATTGTCTTCGACCGAGGCTAGGTAGCCCTCTGCCAATCCACCGCTGCGAACATAGATCTCTCCTTGTTCACCGACGCCGCAAGTAGCAGTCCTTTGGTTGCGATTAACAACGAGTAACTGAACATCCTTCATGCCCTGCCCAGCGGGCATGATGTCCTTTTGAGTGGCAAGGAAGGTAGGTGCTTCCGACACGGGAGGAATGGCAAAGTATGACACAGCCCTCTGCGTCTCTGTCGTACCGTACATGTTGATGATGCGTACATTCGAAGCAAGGGCTTGCAGTCGAGTGCAGTCTCGTTTGGTCAACACATCGCCGACGTAGAAGGCATTACGTAGTGTGGGGATGGAGGCACTGGCTTGGGCAGAGAGCAGCTGGCCCATTGCCGGAGTGAGGTGAGTCACAGTTGCATTGGTCGCCGCCATCCATTCGGCGAGTCGACCTGGAGTGCCTATGTCATCGGATGTGGGCACGTGCAATTCGGCTCCAAAGAAGAGCGGAGTAAACATGTCTCGCTGAATGGGATCGTGGGCGATACCGCTCAGCATTGTGAAGCGGTCATTGGCACCAATGCCAAAGCGCTCCCCCATCCACGGAAAAAAGTGTGTAAGGGAAAAGTGTCGACCGAATACGCCTTTTGGGATGCCAGTTGAGCCCGAAGTGAATGACAGGGTAGCTGGACTGTCTGGGCCAAGCAGGATGTTTGTAGACTTGGACCCAAGCTGCTGGCAGTCGTCGAGCACGTCTCTCTTGTCACTGCCTTCTCCACCAGTGAGACTCCCGTCTCCTGCGAGGCACAGCGCAGGTACTTCGACCCTCACCTCCAGCTCATCTGCTATACACTTGCGGACAGTTGGATGAAGAGAGCCTGCCTTCGCCAGTACCACAATAGCTCTGGGCTTTGCGACCTGCAAGTAGATGTTCTGACGCCCGGGGGGGTAAGCTGGATCGATGACCGAGAAGACGGCTCCAGCCTTGAGAGTAGCGAGTACGCTGACCACGAGATCGGCGCCTCGGTAGGCATATGTGGTGACTACTTCTCCCCTCTGCACGCCTGCCCTGAGGAGATGGTGGGCGAGGATGTTACTAGCGCTGTCCAGCTGGGCATAAGTGATGTTGCGGATCTTGCTCGCAGGTGGTGGCATGTCTACCAGCGCCGCGTTGTTGTCAGACGCTAGGCTTTCTGCGATGGCCCTCTTCTCTGGGTGGGCCCTTGCGTTGCGCTCAAAGATGGAGGTGATGCTGCCCATGTAACCACAGAAGTCGAGATCGGCTTTTGGGTCCGGAAGGAAAGCGTTCTCGGCCGAGGTGCGCAAGCCGACTGTACCCACAGCGACAGAAGGGTTGAGGGATACTTCGTTGACGATCTGAGATAATTGAGCCAAAAGGAGATTGACCCGAGCGGAAGAGAAGAGGAGGGAGTTGTAGGAGATGTGCACTGAAAGCGCTGGAGTGAGGGGCTCGCGAGCGGCACTCCTCGCAGACGTGGGCGCACTGTTCTGCGAGATCGTCTCTGTGCTGGAGGACATGTCCAGTCCGGTGTCCTCAGCGGTGGGCTGTACCCCAGGCCTGGTAACAAAGACGGTGAGGTCCGTGGTGAGGCTGGTGCTCTGCAGAAAGTTCTTGGTGGAGCCACTCGTCTCATCGAAGAAGCGCACTCGGAAGATGGGCGCAGCAGGGGCTGAAGATCCCGCGCCTTGTCCGCCTTCTCTATCAAGCTTCTCCCTCTCTAGCCGCCTGACAATGTCATCGTAGGGGGCATTGTCTGCGGCTGCCTCCATTTCGACGGCCTGCACACGTCGTACCAGTTGCCAGAAAGGGTCACCAGCTTCAATAGGGATCCTCAGAATGAGTGGCTCTCCGCTAAAGGGCGAAGAAGAGCCGATGACGATGTCAGTGTCGCCGGTGAAGCGGTGAAGGAGGACGGTAAATGCTGCGAGGAGGAGATGGAAAGAGGTGGGCGGCAATGGGGCGCCGGAGTCGTCTTCGTCGACATCATCGCTATCGTCGGCTTGTCCATTGGGATGCAGTTCGAGGTCATGATGAAGTGCCAGTCGGAGTAGAGCGCTGCTGGTGCGAGGAGAGAGCGCAGAGGAGGTGAGGGCCTGTACCAACTGCGTCGAGGATGGGCGTGGGTAGTCGGTTGGCAAGGCTATGCTGGGTAGACTCTGCAGTCGCGTTGACCATCGTGCGAGGCGCTCTTGGAGCTCACTGGGGCTGAGGTCAGACATCGGTACCGCCATGGTCGAGGCAGGCAGTGGAGGATCTCTTGGCAGGAAGAAGTGACTTAGGGTGCAAGCAAGCAGCCTCGCTCCCGGGACTGTGACTCTGACTCTGACTGAATCTTTCGCGCTCCGCCCTTCCGCTGCCGCTTGGAGCCTCTCGGAGCCGAGACAAGAGACGCCAGGCAAAGCTTGGGCCAACGCTGTTCCGAGTCGAGTCCTTCGCGTCTGGCGCTACGACAACAATCCCCTCGCCGGTCCTTACTTGCCGCCCTTGCTCCTGCTGCTGCGGGTCACAGGCTTCCATTTATCATCATGGACAGCAGCGGCAGGTCTTTGCGGCTGCTCACCCACCATCTCTCCTCTACGGCTTCCCAAAGTGCTGTGCACACGGTGCCCTCATCCCACCCCGGGTACGAAGACACTGTCCCTTCTGCGTCCACATCGTCCTCGCCCTTCCTCGCTCAAAGCGCTGCCGCCCAATTCTACCTTCATGGCGACGATGACAACAACAATGGCCATGACAATGAAACCGGCGCGAGCCTCATCGTTCTTCGAACTCTGGAACAGGGTTACGTCCTCGAAGTCAGCTGCCTACCATGCTCGGAAGGGCCAGTCCACCCGTTCTCATCGCCATTCCCCCAGCGTTTCCTGTTTCCGGCACCCCTCTTGAATTCCATGGCGATATCTCCCGAGATGGCCTCAAACAAAGTCTACGTAACGGTCATGACCGCGACAGGCTGGCTGTACCGACTCTGCTTCCCGCTTCACGGCAACAGCATTGGTGATCCGACGCACGATGAAGACTGGACGACGGAGCATCGGATTGCGAGCATAGCCAGCCCCAGCAGCTCTTCTGCAGCTGTAGAACTCGGCGGTCGTACTCCAACTTCCCTTCACGCCATTGAAGCAGGAATGCTTCTCGTCGCTTGCAAAGACGGCACATTGGTCAAGCTGGAACAAAGTCGAGCAACGGATGGGTCAGGCGAATACCAAGGTCCCTTCCGGGAGAGTCTCCTTCGCTCTGCCTCGTTCCTCAAGGGCTTTACTCAGTTCTTCTCGAGGTCTTCTCCGTCCTCACCAGCTCCTGTGTCAGTCTCGAACACAAGCTCAGACACCTCGGCGCCCTCTCATGTCATTGCAATGGCCACACATCTGCGCGAAGATGCATCAGCGCTCGGCTTTTGTCTGTCCCGCGACCGCAAATTGAGAGCATGGGACCTCGTCACAGACACCTGCCTGCGTACCATTGAGTTGCCGACAGCAGCTGGAGAATACACTAGTCATGAGGAGATACCCGCCTTCAATTCCGAGGGGCCTCTGAGACCTCTCATCCGGACCTTTGCAGCTGGCAAGGAGGACGTATATGATTACGCGCTCTATCTCCTCGTCTATATTCCTGCGCCATTACCTTCAGGTTCTTTCTTCGCCCTATATGGAGTGGAGGTATTACAAGAAGATGTCAAAGCGTTGGTCCGCAAGGGAGAGCCATCCGTTGCCGCTTCATCATCCGGACTAGGAGCTCTCCGCCTCGTGTGGCAGAAGAGATGCCATCCAGAGACCAGGAACTTGCGAGTCGAATTGAGAGATGCTTGCGTGACAGGTACCACTGCGGACTCTCTTGCTATGTGGTCACTATGGGACGTCGCCGGGAGGACGGTCCTCCACAACGTCACCCTGAATCTAGATGACGACGCTGATGACAATGAGGTCGAAGCTTGGTCTGCTATTCCGTATGACACATCTTCGACGTACGCAGCCCTCTACGGTCCGCGCTTCGATAGCCTACTCTCCAGTGATACTGGAACTCCGGAGAGCATAGCAAAACTTTTCCTCTCTCTCATCTACGAGGCCGGTCGATATTCATCCGCCTCCCTTTCATGGGCTTTGGATACGTATAGCGCGACTCTCCGGACCGAAACAATAATCTCACCAACAGCGGAAGACATTGCTACCATTGTAGCAAGTGGCATCGAGCTACGCAGCGATACTAAGACGGGGGCGCTCTTATATCCGCAGTATCTTGATCAGATTCGTCGAGAATGGAGGCGCTTTGCTGGTCTGTTGGAGGAGGTAGATACCCAGGGAAGATGGCCAGTGTCGCTAGTCCCAACGCATCCCACATCTATTCCTGGAATCCTCATGCGAGACCGCTTGCTCTTCGCAGCCGAGCAGTCGCTAGTAGATGCCGCGCAAACGTTCGATAGGTACCCTGTTGATCGGACGTACCTTGCTGCTTCCCTCGGCGCCTTCTATGCGTCAGCGTCAGGCTCACGCAGAGAAGGCCAAGCACGTAGAGACGACTTGGGGTCTGCTTCGATGGAGGCGATCGAGTGTGCCACGGCACTTCTTGAAGCTATCGCACCCAATGCTGTCGCATCACTGCTCACGCAAATCGATGCACTGGCCTCTGCGCCGCTCGAGAGCGATCTTCTGGAAGCCACACTTGACATGTGGGATGGCGCAGTTGGAACGGGGGACAGTCTCGCTGTGAGCAGCGTTCGGATGAGACTGCAGGCTGTTTATGCTTCCAGAGTTGCTGTCGTCTTGCCTCCTCAGGCGATCTCGGACGATGTCGCATGGGAGATGTCTGCATTGGAACCAGCACTCTGGGCCTTGACCGATCTGCTCACAGATGCGGCTGGATCCACCGCTCCATACGAACCCGCGCAGCCTGTTCAACCGAGCACCGCAATAGGCCGCGCCCTGACCGCGGATGGAACATATCAATCCTTGCAAGCGCGGTTGAACTTGGCCCGCTCGTTGACTGTCCTCGTGCTCTTCCTTCACGCCACGCAAGAAGACTTTACACGCTCATTCGAACGCCTTCCTCTTCTGCTGGGCCGTCTGATCAGCATTGGTCACGGCCTTTCCGTTCTGGTCCAGCTGTCTGACTGTCCAGGCGCAGTTGAAGCTAGTGCAGATGGGTCTGGCCACGACGATGAGGGTACCGCCGTTGTTGAGCGAATGAAGCAGCTGCGGGTAGGAAGGGCCCATGGTCAGGTGCCAGAGGACTCAGCAAACCTTCTCCACAAGATCATCTCGCTCGACTTGCTTCCTTCCCACCATCGGCGCCGCGACGCGCATAGTGAGGTTCCAGGGCAGCCGCAATCTATCGCTGCCTCCATTGCTTCCGCAGTGGCTTCCCTTGGGATCACTGACATTGGCGAGCGGTCTATCGGCCCTTCCGCATCGATGCCGTCAACGATTGGTCTGTTGGCTCACCGGCTTGTTGAGACCGGCCATCCATCGGCTGCGTTGCAACTCGTCGAGGCTTTCCCGACCACTGCTGCCGCGCAATATGTGGTGGGCAGGGCTCTTCTTGCCACAGGCGTCCTTCACGTTCAGGCTGCCGAGGCTTTCCTCGACGTTCTTCCGGCTCTGCTGTCCTTGTCGCCGCCAGTCACGGAATCTTCCACTCAAGAGGCTTCGCGACTTCTCCTGAGTACTCTGCCATCTTCTGTCTCGGGTGGTGGTGGCTCAAAAGATCACTTGCTGTCGGGCTACTATCGTCACATTGCTGATCTCTTTGAGGCAATCGGTGCAGACGCGCAAATTGCTCTGTTCACTCGCCTCGCTGTGGAGAACCTGCGCAAAGTCGACCCTACTTCTGACACTCTGTCTGACCTCTACTTCCGACAATTCCGGTCCGAGCTTGCGCTGCAACGATTCTCCTCTTGCTATGCCATAGTCATGGAGATGGCAAGCGTAGAAATTGTACTTCGCAGAGACTGCCTACGGACACTTGTGTCGGCCATGTGTGAGGCAGATCAAGTCTCTCTCCTTCTTTCATACAACTTTGCAGGTCTTCAGACCGAAGTTGAACGCAACCTCAGTTTCAAGGCGCGCAACTGTGATCCAAGAGCTCTTACGGGGCCTAATTACTATCACATCCTCTACTCTTACCACATGCAGCGAGGCGACTTCACTAGTGCTGGTGCAGTCATGTATCAACAAGCTCACCGTTTGGCAGATGCACATCACTCGGTTGCTGGTGTTCGGGCTGTGGAAAGCTATCTCAAACTCGCTGTTGCCCAAGCTCGGAGTTACCTGGCTGCAATCAATGCCCTCTCACTGCTCGCCTCAAAGGACGCCTGGTTCGCCAATGCTGTCATCAACAAGGCCAGCAACGGCGAAGCTGGACACCACGGCTCTGCCCCACTATCAAATTTTGTTCCGGTCCAACATTGGCAACCGGACTCAAAGGAGCTGGGAATTGTGCGAGCGGACGACGTGAGGAGAGAATACCACCTCGTCCTCGCGCGGCTGGAGCTTGTTCAGCTCTACCCTGAGCTGGCTAGCCCCACCATGGCATTGTCAGCCGCCGACGCAGTAGCTCTCTTTGTGCGTAACGATCAGTACGACAAGGCATTCTCCACAGCTCGAGCTCTCGGTGTGGACGAAAGCGGCATCTTTTCCTCGCTTGCTCTGAAGTGCGCCCTGACTGCACACATCGAAACAGAATGTATGAGTCTCCAAAAGGCATTGCAGGCAACGTCAAACATCGGAGGTGCTAAAAGTGGCGGAGATGCTGCGACACAGAAGCTGCTTGCCGATATCAATGAGGTCGACGATGCCACCTTTGTAGATACATTCAAGGACGTCTTGACCGAAAGTGACATTGCTACCATCGCTAGCTGGTCCTTTTTGCAGTCTTCGCCCCGGACGTCTTCCTGGACCGGCCCGACTTCGACCCTTGCGTGGCGATATCTCAAGATGCATCTGGACACCTCTGGACCTGATCCGAAGTATCGTCTGGTCGTCTTGCATCGTCTGCTCCTCCTCACTACTTCGGAAGGGCAACGACTCGATGTGCCCCGATGGCTGATCACCTGGTTCGAAGAGAACCGATCAGATCTTCTCATTGCTGCTTACATGAGGGGAGGATTGGGTAGTGATGCCCTCCGAGCTGCATTGCAATGGCTCAAGCAGTCCACGAAGCATCTCGATGGCGTAACAGACGTATCGACAGTGGGGAGTGTAGCCGCTCAACAACAATTCGTGCCCTACCTACTGTTGGATGGCGTACTTCAAATGGCAGGACAGCCTGGCGGGACCAAAGACGATGATGCTGGCGCTCTCGTGGCGGAGCTGAAAAAGGAAATGACGCAACGCAGGATGGGCGTGTTGGACGAGAAATGGAGGGGAGCGAGGAAGTGGGCGGAAGAGAAGGAGAGGCGCCAAAACGCAGCAACTGCGACGACAGGGGCGGCAGGGACGATGATGGTAGAGTGGGATTGAGGCTGCCAAGACACGTGTTGGTGGGTAGCCTGCCCTCGGGGCCGATGTCGTGGGATGCAGCAATCCACATCTTATTTCGACCCTGCATCGCCTGCCCTGATTGCTGTAGCGACTTCGGCACTGCACTCCCGGTGTGCCTGGCGGCTGGGGCGTCTACCCAAGCTGAGGGGTACCTTGCTTCCTTCCGCCCCTTCGTCCAGGCTCACTTCGCTCCCTCTTCTGCGTTCTGCTCCCTCTCACAATTAACACGCCATGTCATCAGGTATCGTCACTGGGATGGACAGTGGGGCCGCCCCATCTCGACAGGCAGAGAGATGCAGCCCAGACGAATTGATGCACTTCGTGAGTCTCTCGCGTGGCTTCGCTCGCGAGGAGCCTTCGGATGGGAGCACTGTGTCCGAGTCTGGCCGCTGACGCTTCTTAGCGACGGGTTTGATTGGACGGCAATAGACACTCCTGACGTCACCCTCGGTCGTGTTTCCGACGATCATGCTGGTAGAGGCCATACGCACTATTCGGGGAGAGATGAGGATGCTCCTTCGCATCGTGAGGCGCAGGCGACCTAACATAGCAGAAATGTTATTTTTTTCCCTCAAGGTGAGAGTCGCTGCGAATGAGGGGTCGCCTGGCCTACGAAGCTGCTGACGCCCGCGGAGTACCATAGTATCTGGCCATCTTTGCAGTCATCGGTCACCTGCTCATCCAGTACTCCAAAGGATGGCTCAGTGCCCGAGGCTGCACTGTCATGCACTGGCTCTCGTCCCTCTCTATTTTTCTATGCTCGTCCCTGGTGACTCTCACCCTCGCTTTCCGCTGCTACATCATTTTCGAGCGCAAACGCCGCATCGGCTGGAGTTTACTCTGTCTCGTCGCCATACAGCTGGCGGCGTCGATGACTTTGGCCGCAGCGCTGGAGAAGGTGAGTCGCGGAGAGGATCTCCAATGATGGGTGAATATGGAATGTGTCAGATCTTTAAGCGACGCCTTCCTTGCCCTACAGTACAATGCGCTCAATGAGCCCGGTGGATATTGCGTCTGGCGCGACACCGCCAGGACGGTTCCGCCCATATTCCAGTTCAATTTCTATTATGTGAGTCGATGCCGCAGTGCTCTGTCGTGAGCGCGATCACAATGAAGAGAAACGCTTACTGCCGGCTCATTTGTACGCACCAAAGGTTGCTTCTGTTGTCTGCGACCTGGTGATGGTTGTCATCTCCTGCTGGAAGCTTTTGGGTGGAAGTGTCAGACCATGGACGATGTTCAAGACAAGCCGGGTGCGTCGAAAGAAATGTGCTGCAACGGTCTCGGTGTAGGTGGCATTGACATCTGAGCTTCTGCAAAATCCTCTGATCAGCTTCTCTTTCGGCACAACGTACACTATGTGAGTATTTGTCCTAAAGAAAGCAAGGAGCGGCTCGAACGTTGTTGACCACTCCTTCTCACATACCTGGCCTTCAGGTCGCAACGGTCTGCGTGATCAATGTGCTACAGCTCCTGCTATCCTGGACGACGACCATTCCCGACACGATCCTTGTGGCCATTGCCATTCAAGTCTGTGTAGGTCTGCAACAGCTACAGTGCGAACAGGATGCTGCGCACGGTCATCAGTCTTTCCGACCTACAGCAAACGAGGGTGGACCACGCGCTATGAATGGACCCTCGTCCAATCTGTTCAAGCGGGGGACAGCTCGCAGTGCTCAGGGCAAAAGTTTCGCAGGTCCCCACAGAGGCAGAGAAAGCCAGCCTTCTACCGGTGGCATGACTCAGCAGAGACAGATTCAGGAGCCAGGCGGACTCGCAAGTAGGTCGGCCGCAAGGTGGAACGCCGGTAGTACATTCGCGGCCAACAATATGCATGCCGGCACAGATCAAGAGGCGATGTGCCTCTCTGAGCGCTCCTTAGCTACCGACGTTTGCTCGGTGTTTCCCTCTGAAGACTGTGAACTTGAAAGTCGCAACGATGCAGGCAGCAGGCGGTTCAGTGAACACCAGCTGCATCCCGCAGAGACCACCCAGCGCGGCGAGGCAGAGAGCGAGGAAATGAACAGTGCTTATAGTCTCGCCAGATTGCGTAGGCAGACCCGGGATGGTCTACAGATGGAGTATGTGAGCAGCACCAGGGGATCGAACCACTCTTGCTGGTCTCCCGACGGTGCCTTTGTTAGGGAGGTCAACGCAAGCGATGTCGTAAGAATGGGCTGATGTGGGCGACCAAGGATTGCCTCTGGCCTGGAGGTTCAGCTGGAGATGATGCGCTTTGCTTTGTATGAGAGTCTGCTGTATTTTTGCAGTCGTTCATGCTTGAACACAGTCATTTCCAGTCTGTGGCTGCGATGTCTCTCTCTCTCTTGGCCTGGTAGACGATGGACCCGGTAGGGAGACAGGGCGTGTGTGCGTTGCCGGCGGCCTGAATCCAACACCAGAGCAACACACGCACGCGCAGCGCAGCACAGGCCGCCCCGCCCCGCCTTGCTTCTCGCCTGCAGGCCGTGCAGCGGTGATCAGGGGCTCATCACCTCGCACCCACACACAGGCGTGAGTGATGACCTTCTCCCCTCGCTACCAATCACCACAAGGAAGATCCTACATTGCACCCATAGCACTACCGCCGCTGCTCCTCCTCCGTCTCCTCTCCACTACCATACAGTGGCGCGGTGGAGGCCTGCGACGTCCCACTCAATGTCGGCGTCTCCCTCACCGCGGCTCAGTCCGCCAGTCGAGTGAGTAGCAACCAAGTGATGATACGCAGCGAGGGGGTGCTGTCTTTGTGCTATGACGCCTTCCTTCCCCTGTGCCATACCTGACCACTGCTGTTCTGTCTTTGCTCTCGATCTCACTTTTGCGCAGTGACCCATGGGTGAGCAAGCCGTCGTCGTCCTCGATGGCCAGGTCTTCCTCCTCTTCCTCGCGGCCCCACGGCGTCTCGCGCTCGGCTAGCACGAGACCCTGTCTTGCCTCGACGTCCTCGACCGACGACGCTGCAAGTGCGTGGGCTCGCGACGATCCTCTTTCGGGTGGTTCAAGTCCAAGACAGGAGAGGAAATACACCCAGACAGCAGGAAGCTCCTCTCAATCTAGTCACAGCACGCAGCAAGAGACAGCCTCACGCCCCACATCCAACGGCCACCTTGCCACCAGCGACGATGATTCAGGCCACGTCACGGCGGCGGGGAACAACAGTCAGGCTGACAGTGAGCCCGCCATCAGGAAAGCAGCAGCAGCAGCAGCGACCCCACAGCCACCGCCACGGGGATCTTCCTCATCACATCACACAGACCCCCCGCCATCCCAATCACAGACAAAGTCAATCGACTACAACTCGCTACATGCCCTGTGCGCCAATGGTGACCTTGACACCCTCAAGGCGTCGTTTGCGCAAGCGATGCAGGTCCTACGGGTCTCTTCCTTCGCTCTGGCCAACACGCCCAACCCTGCTTCCGGCCTCACACCCGTCCATTATGCTGCCAAAGAAGGAAGAGTGGACATTCTCAAGTGGCTCATAGCAGATATGGGCGCTCTGGCAAGCATGGAGGACCGAGAAGGTGAAGTGAGTAAGAGGTACTCCAGGAGAGAGGTGGGCTGTCACCGTTCTTCCACTGACACGGCATACCCCACCATCTTTGAACTGACAAGACTGCGCTTCACAAAGCCGCCTTGTGCGGCAAGCTTCCTGCTCTATCCTATTTGCTGTCAGCCTCGCAAGTTGACGTGGATGTAGTCGACGCTGATGGATGGACACCGATGCACAACGCCTGCTCGAAAGGATACCTCGACATCGTCAAGTACCTTGTGGATACGGCCAAGGCTTCGGTAGATCTGCAAGGCGGAAGGGGAGGATGGACACCGCTCATGAATGCCGCATCCAATGGCCACTTGCCAATCGTACGCTACCTCACCGCCAGATGCCAAGTCGATCCTTATACTCGCAACGCCAGTGGTGAGACCGCATTCGACGTGGCTGCAGCCAAATTCGAAGTCTACATCTGTCAAGTGCTCGAGGCCTACGAGGTTCAAAGACTGCCCCTTCTCAACGAGCCCAGCACTCCTCGTCCGACTTACAACCCTCTTCTTCTACATGTCACTGTGCCGGTGATCGTTCATCAGAACGAGCGGTTGGATACTCGTGTGTCCACTCTTGCTGTGCGCGGCGGAAGGCCTCGATGGAGCGGAACGAATGCTGGCCGTCCAGGCAAAGCAGATCGAAGGGCTCCCGGCACGATGCCAGCCGGGCCTCTGTCTTCATCAAAGACTCGCGAGATCCCTATGCGCAGAGAAGATGTACAGCTGCCCACCCGGCGAGAACCTTATAAGCTTCGCCTCCCTCACCGCCGTACACTAGCTCGCCCGGCCGCTGTTGTTGCGAACAGAGCTGTTGCTGAGGCTACACCTGACGACGGAGAAGACCTAGCTTCCACGCCAACACGGGAATCTGTCCTCCAGCAGAGCCGAAGCGGTAGTGCCGAGCCTTCTCACTTTTGGCTCAGCGAATGGCAGATCGACCGTACACACCCGCAAGTCGATCCCATCGACGGCTGGCAATATGCACAATCCTTCGATGCGCCAGAAGAGGCCTGGTCTGCGCAGGTTCCTCCACAGCTCGCCCGTCTACTTGAAGGAAAGGGTTTGGGAGCTGCCTTCACAAGGGCTCTTGCGGGTCAAGGTTCAAGCACAGGCGTTGGTGCTGATGACGAAGCCTTTCCTACCGACTGGGTGCGCCGTAGAAGATGGATCCGCGTCATGAGGCGGCGTCTAGACATCGAATTCGGCGACGGGCTGGAAGCAGCAGAGATCGAGACTGCTCCGGCCGGGGAAGATCGCGTCGCCTCTGCTCAACTGTCAGCAGCTCGGCAAGCTCGGTCGGAACTCGACGAGCTTCCCTCGACAGCCAGCTATCTTGACAGAGCTCGGGCATTGGCAGGCCGCGAAGATGGCGAGCAGCTTACTCCGGCAGATATGCTGGCCGATCCTGCCACCATCCCAAATCATATTGTGCGTCTCGAAATGGCGATCGGAGAGCTCAGATCAAGCGCCTTCGGAGACGATGACAAGGAACGACAGGTGCAAGCAGAGACACTACTGAAGGAGTATACATTGCGATTGGGACAATTGAGACAGGCCGCAAGCAGCGAAGACGATGCAGAGAGTGAAGACGACGACGAAGAGGGCTTCATTTACCCAAACTCCTTCAAGGATACCCAATCTGTCATCACTCGCATCGACGGTCCTGCTCCGAGCGCGACAGAAACCGTCACCGGCCTGCGACCGCCATCGGTGCGTCACCAGAGCAGTTCTTCCACATCGGTGTCTGGCGACCGCACTGCGGGTGCAACATCTGCTGCTCAGCGACGAGTAGCAGACTTAGCTCGGGCAAGCGAGTTCCGCGTGCCGACGAACGAGACGCCTCAGTCGCACCAGCCATTCTCTTCAAGACCACACACAGTCTTGCAGCCGACGTCTCTTGCTCCGACCTGGGAGCCGGACGTGAACGCTCCCGTCTGCCGTCTGTGCTCGAAGCGTTTCACCTTCTTCACACGCAAGCATCACTGCAGACGCTGCGGACGAATCTTTTGCGCCGAATGTTCTGCTTATCGAGCCCAGCTTTCAGCAGACGAGCTGGTGATCGATCCTGCTCAGCCTGAGCTTTTCCTCGGGGAGAGCATGGGCGGGCTGTCTAGAATTTGCGGAACCTGTGACGCCGAGCGCCAGCTTCCCGAAGCTCTCAGGTCGAGCACAGTACGAGGCATGGCAGCGATGGGCAGTCTCAATCTCGGTGGAGGCTCCACCGCTTCCTCTTCGGCAACCTCTCGTGCTTCGCAGCTCAACGAGTGTCCCGTCTGCAACACATCGCTTGCGCTGTTGGGTGATCAGTCTGCGCAGGAGATGCATGTGCAGACCTGCCTCGAGACCGGCGGAGCGGGAGGCGCTGCTTCTGTGCAAGCAGGTCGTTACCTCGTGTATCGACTGCCGGCCGAGTCACCTATCTTGGGTCGCGAATGTGTCATTTGTCTGGAGGAGTTGGACCTTGGCCAGATGATTGCAAGGTTGCCCTGCCTTTGCTTCTTCCACCGCAACTGCATCGACAGTTGGCTAGGCAGGGGCAGGAGCTGTCCCACTCATGCCAGGTAAAGGAGCCACAGGTCCTGAGAGTCACGTCTGGCCGACGTATTGAGTCGAGAGATGTGTTGATCATCAATGTCCACCATTCGGATTAAGCAAGCTCGCTCCCCAGCCTCTGCTGGCTGAAGCTGCAGCTGAATCAATTTAGATACCATCATTATAATGCTGTCTGCGTTCACCATTGACTGACAATACCTCTGCTCCAGTACTCTCCGTATTTGGCCTGCAGCATTGCGTCCTGCTGCAGTAGCGCCTCCCTGAATCTCTTTACCGCGTCGGCGTTCCTGTAGAAGATGAAGAAGAAGTGGAAATCGAGGAACATGGTATGCAGAATCCAGTCGAACCTGCGCACCTCTTCTTCTGGTACCTCAGGATTCGCAGGGTCGAAGGTGGAGCGGTACGGCTGAAGAAGGAGGGTATGCACTAGGGCTGGTGGGATGCGTGCAGTGTGTGCGAGTCTGGCGAGGAGGACCATGCGGTCCTCCTTGTGGATGCATTCTTCGAGTGGCTCGGATGAGAGGAACTGTGGGCGAGGTCAATGGCCAAAAGAAGATCCATGAGCAAGGACGTCCCCTCGTGTAGCAGCTTCCCGCGCACTTGGACTCACGTGTATGCCGTCGGCATCATCCTTGTCAACGATGATGCTATCGGGAGAGATGTCCCGCAGAGAGAATACTCTCCTTGACCTAAATTCCGCGAGTCCCATGACGGCTCTCGCCTGCTCCATGCGCACCTTGGTTGGCCCAATCGCCGGACCAGGAGGGATCAGTCCCCGACTCATCAGGTCGTCTAGCCACCCCAGCGTCTCTTGGTAGCCCGAAGCGACGACATCGTTGAAGCGGTGGAAGCAGCCGGACATATTGGAATTCTGGAGGCGCGAAGAGGCCTCATCGAGCCAGACGAGGGGATTGGCGTGTAGGCGACCGATGAACCGTGCCACGGATCTGATACGGGCGTGCCACTGCTCGTGTACGAGCTGAGGCGCATCGGTACCTGGACGAAAGTAAGAGAGTGGGACTGCATTTGGCATTTCCGAAGGCTGTAGTGGTGAACGAACACCGTAGAGCATATAGCGACTGCAGTAGGAAGGTACATACGCAGGTCAGAGAATACATTATGCATCAATTCGCCAGACGCATTGAGCTTCCCTTGCGAGACTCACCTTTCGTTGTCAAGTCTCCGCCGCTCTACAAGCCGTTGTAGCTCCTCTTCTTTCATCTACGGACGGAGACGAGACAAGATTAAGTGGTGAACAGCGAGCTCAATGCGATCCGTGCCTTGCTCTAGTGGCAACACTCACCGATGATAGTATCGCTGCTAGGTCGTCCATGTTCCATGCCTGAGCTGAACTACCCTTCCTTGTGCTCTCTTCCTTACTTGCTTCCGGCCCATTCACTTGAGTGGGTTCCGTCTTGGCGACGGAGACCTCTTCGACACTGCCTCCGACAGGTTTCGACAGGTCCTCGCCGGTCTTGGCCTCTTCTTGCCCCTTCCGACGGTTCCAACCAGACCAACGGAAGGAATTGGTGAGGGTGATGCAGTGATGTGCGTTGGCGTCGAGCAGAACAGATCCATCGTGAGGCGCGTGCAGCGCAACTAACAGACGACTGAGATTCGGAGGTCGGAAGCGGTCGGAATCAGTATGGTGTTTCAGACAACTCAGTGATTCTGGCATGTGCAACTCACAAGGTCCTTTCCACGCTCTCTTTGCCCGTTTTCCTCTTGAGTACCAACGGGACGGGATATCGCTTGTCCTGCTGGGCATCTTTGCCCTCCTTCTTGGTCCAAAGCATGCTGTTCTTGCCAGGCGCATTGTGCGAGAGGGCCAAGGTCAAAAGAGCCATTGTGTGATCGTCTTTGGGGTCCGCTGGCGTCGGAGAGGAATATAGGGGGCCGAGGTATTCGTAATGGCTGTAGACCTCGTCATAAGCTAGGAGCGAGACGGTTGCGAATCCTCCTTCGACTGCGAGAAGCCGGGAGCCAGAGCGGAGTCAGCATCTCCAGACCAGAGTTTGTGCCAGATCGGACTCAAAGGGACAATTCGATTAGACACTCACGTTGGATCTTGTGCCACATACGAGGAAGGGACAGTAGGACCAGATGAAAGCTAGCCTGCAGCGACTGCGTAGCGTAGTGGTGCACTCCTTCGATCGGAGGCACTCGCTTGCTTTCTGAGCGCTCCGGCTTGACGACGAGCATCTGAAAGCCCCTGAAGCCCCCTTTGTCTCGCTTGGATAGACCCGTTGGACGTGAGGAGCCAGAAGCTGATGGCGACGAGACCCATGGCCCTGTGTGAAGCTGGTCGAATTCGAAGAGCTCTGTCATGCGGACCGGCAAGTCAGACTCTTTCATGTACCGGCCGTATGCGCCAAATGCTTCTGATGGGCCCACTCACCTCCAAAGTACGAAACAGGTGCTAAGGTCCCGAGCTGGAACTTCTGGTCGTCATCACTGTCCAGCGTGCGGCTGAGGAGCCAATCGCGAAGGGTGGTCCATCCGCTCACTCTGTCCTTCAACAGACCAAGATAGTCGAGATGATACTGCAGAGTATCCTGCAGCCAGTGCACAGAGGTCGAAGATCCTGATGAGTTGTGGGTGTCGGTGGAGAGAGAGCCAGAGTCGGTAGAGACCTCCAGGTGCTGTCTTTTCAACGGTCGCTGCGACGTGGGACCAGGCGACGAAGATGATGATGCCGGAGAGGGAATGAGTGCAGAGAGTGCGGGCAGCTTGGCTGATCGAGACGGGTCATAGTACATCATCCGGTGAAGCCAATACTGTGATGCTCAAAAAACAGGGAAGACTGTGAACCTCACCTTGTCGCGGTGAGCAGCGAGCACCATATGGGTGACGCGGTAGAGATAGATTGGTAGCCGTCGGCCCGCACGGACGCGGACTGGCAAGCGGGGAGAGGTGTCTGTAGCAGGTGCTTGGTCTCTGCCTCTCTCTCTCTCTCTGACCGTAAAGGCTACTTGTCTTTGCCCTTAGGCGAGCTGTTCTGCGACAGCAGCTTCCCTCGATCATGGAGTACTTTCCGCTCTGGTGCTCCCACTCCGTATCTCGCCCGAGTCGCATCGCTTTCCGAGCTCCGCCAGAAATTCTGTCTCGCAGGTGACCCCTGGCGGCGCTAAGGCAAAGGCGAGTTTCCGCCCTTGAAGGAGTGATGGAATGCCCAGATGACGCTCATCTCCAAGCAGCCGAGGTTCCTTCCCATGCCCGCCCAGACTGCCCGGACACCGACAGCCGTCGTGAAAGGGTCGCTTTGGACCAGCCGAGCAGCGAGACCTCGCACCCTGGGGGCCGCCGGCTTGGCCGAGGCAGCAGCTGGCCTCATGCAAGATGGCGGCGCAGCGCATGCGATCAACCCCGCACTGCGTTTCGTACGGTTTTAGCATCTTGCGCGCCCCTTTGGCGAGGACACCTCTCACTCGGACCTTGAATGATACGGTGGTGGGAAGGAGCACGCTGTGGTAGCTTTTGCATCCTTGATAGTGGCAGTCTCGCTTCCTGTCCTCTGCACGTATATATCTGTCTTCCCTGCGCTAGGGCCTGCTTATAACCCTTGCACCTCTTGCGCAGATAGCGGCGTAGGATCCTGTTGCAAGCGCAGGACCACCCCCTCAATCTGAGGCTTACACAATGGACACTTCTTGGACCAAAGGCGGCCAACAGTCTACGTTCGACCCCCAGCTATGCTACTTGGGTTTCCTGGAACAGGAGTACGACTTCATGCTCCCAGCTAGTGGCTGTAGCCCATCTGGCGCCTCGAATCAGACCTGTACCTGGGACGTCACGACGGTAAACACTCTGTGGCACTGGAAGACCGACGACTTTCCTCCACACAATCCAGGCTCTTATCAATGCGACAACGTGCGTCATGCATTAGCTCCCGATCTCAATGACCCTTCGATGGGCAGCTACGTCTGTGGATGCGGAGAAAAGCCGGGCGTTGTGACCGAAGACAATAGAGCCCGCTTCACAGTTCCCTGGAAGGCCTCTTTCGGCAAGCAATGTAACCTCGCACGGTTGATTGAGTTCAAGGGCAATAGCTCGGGATCGATGGTCACTGGCTCTTGTCTGACCGTCGCTGGCTCGCACGGCAATACCGGAGAAGTCTGGGCTGATCAGCCTGCCACGCAACTGCCTCCCTCACCCACCGCTTTCTCCGTTGTCGATGGCATGGGTATCGCGTTCCCTTGCGATAACAAGCCACATGAGTCCTCGCCGACTACAATGGTCTGCAATTGCGAGGGAAGTCTACCAGAAGCCCCATTTGGCACGCCGCTCGAAAATCGAAACGCATGTGGTCTGGCCGAGGAGAAGAAGGACGTCGGGGCCATCGCGGGCGGCGTCGTCGGAGGTCTGCTGGGCGCCCTTCTCATCGTACTACTAGTCGCATTTTCTGTACGACGACACAAGAGGCTCCAGACACACCCGTATGCCGAAGAAGACGGGGGCGCTGGTATCGAACTGCAGCCAGTGGGCCAAGGGCTCTTCTTGACGGGATCGAACGAAGGACTACGCAACATCTACGAGCACCCTCCTGTGTACCCACCGGTCGATGTAAGCCCTGCCCTCAGCGAGCGCACCGCATCGACGCCTTCTACCAATTCCGTAGCGCCCAGTGCGGTAAGCTCGGCAGATTCGGCGCAGACGGCATCAACCGAAGCCTCGGAGGTATCGTCCTTGCCGGGTGGCACATCAGAACAGCCGTCCGAAGCTGCAATTACAAAGGCGGGAGCATCCTCACCATAGAGACTTCTAAGCATGTTAGCAATACACGTGATAGAACTGCAATCAGATCCAGCTCTTTCAATGCCATCCTGATCGCGAGTAATGGTGCATGATATGCGCGCGGTGTCCCGCCTTGCCACTGATGTCCGATGTGTATCTGCACTGCCACACTGTCATATCACTTGACATCGTCTGAGCGCCCACCTGACCTGTCCACGTACGAGAGTGGACTTATCTCCCGCCGGCTCAAGCGGGACGTCGCTGTACGATGGCGTGTATGACGCGAGGATTTAGCCGAAGCCTTGCCATGCCACTGCTGTACTGCCGGCGCCTGGGTGCAGGCTTGGCAATCAGGTGCATTGCGCGGCGGCAAAACCCGGGAACCGGCAGGGGCGGAATCTACGCCGGCGATGCGGGGAAAGCAGCGGGTATTTATGCTTCCCCACATTCGGCATTCTCGACTGGTTTCCCCTTATCTCACCTCCTCCTCACTCAAAGCAAAGTGGAAGATGACCGCATACACAGGAGGCGCGCCAGTCACAGAGTATGCCTCCATCGATAACGACCAGACCTATGCAGTTGGCTTCAGCAAGATTGAACCTTTCTTTCCACCTGAAGCTCTAAATGACCACCTCGTACTCCTCGCAGCCTTCCGTGATCTCAAGTCACGATGGAGGAGCACCCGCCATCACGGGGGTGGAGGCTCGGCAGTAGCCCCGCCGCCATACGTCAATGGCTCTAGCAGACCTGCGGATCCGATTGCAGCAGCCCCTGGGTATGAGGAAGCGGCTCAAAAGACGAGCTCTGCCGATGAAGACAGCGCCTGGACGGCATTCTTGACAAGAGCCCTGGTGCGATTCGAGCTGTACATCTCCAACGTGCTTCCACCTCCGTCCATTAGGATGGGCGTGCTCAGCCTTGCTCGAGCACCGTATTCAGCGGACGAGAATGACCCGATCGCCCAAGCCGAGCCTATGCCTACACATCTCCTTCCTCCCCTGGACGTCGCAATGATCTGGCATACCTATTTGCTAAATCCAGCTCGCTTCCGAGAAGACACAGTACGACTCACTTCACGGCAAGCTCTTGCTCACTGGGCTTTTCCCCTCAGTCAGCTCGCCGCTTGTCTCAGACCGACCTATAAAGAAAATGGAAACGGCCAGACAGGCAGACTGGACAGCTCAGCAGCCGCACAGAGCTGGAACGACAGAACCGGGTCTGCATTTGACCCACTTCCCGTCCCAGGTGCAAACAGCGACATGCTAGGAATCTCCGATGAAGGCACACACGTGCAATGTCCCCGGGCGGGCTGTGCTAGGGCAACCTACGTCTCTTACGCAACGCTCGGCCAGTCCCCTGTAGGAGATGGCCCCGCTTGGTCTGCAAAGTGCGAGACATGCGGTCAAGTCATTACACCTGGGACCTTGTGTGGTCGAAGATTCCTGACGGACCTGGACACCTGGGCGAGCGGGGCAAACGATCGGACAGGCTGGCGTCTGCGTGGCGGTATCCTCTCTCCGCGAGACAACGGCTCCTTCTACTTCAAGGACCCATACGGCCCACCTCTGCACCGACTCATTGCATACCAACGCACCCTCACCGCTGGTGAGATTGGTCGCTTTGGGGCGCCTTGCGTTGAAGAAGGCGAGGATCGTTACGGAAAGCTTGTGCTCGGGACGCAGCTGGCAGAAGAAGTCTTTGCTGATGCAGGATGCGATGTGAATACCATGGCAATGACGTTCGAGGACAAGGTCGTCGCCTCTGCACATCAGTACGAGAAGGAAAAAGATGACATCATGATCAAAGGGGGCAACAAAGAAGACCTTGCTGCTCGTACAGCTCTGCTCTTCTCGTACTACCTGCCCTCTGGATCTAATCCTGTCAGTCCTGCATCTCTTGACCTGGTGGCAGCCACCCACAGACAGGAGCGGATGATTGTATCTCTGGACAACCTTTCATGGGTGCCCCCTTCCAACCTTGCAACGACCCTGGATACGACGCTCCTCTCCGCCGCAACGAGACGCTACCACATGTACATGCACCTGTGCTTTGCCCATTCTCGACTGGTCTTTGCGCCAACGCTGGACATCGATTTTGCATGGCACACACATCTTTTGATGCCCCGCTACTACGAGGACTGCTATCAGCACCTCGGCAAGTTCGTCGACCATGCAGACAAGGTGGAAAAGGCCGAGTTGGGCAGGGCTTTTGAGCGCACCGCAGAGGAGTGGAAGAAGAGGTACAGTCGACCTTACTCGCAGTGTGGCTGCACATCAAAGGGTACGGGCATTGCGGGCAAGCGCAAAGAGCTCATGGGAGGTCTCAAGGCCCGACTCAAGGGCAAGGGAAAGAGTGCCGCGGTCGCCCCAGTAGAGGTAGTGAACGATCGTGCCGATCATCCCAGCGACCACAATGCCATTGCCGTCCTCAATCCCGCCACCAAGCAGGAGATCACCGATGCACCCGGCGATGATGAAGGAGGACACCGAAGCGCTTTTGGGTGAGTAGCGAATGTAGTGAAGGAGGACATCTTTTCTGTGGTCCTCCACACGTCTCCTCGAGCTCACATCTCCTCATCACTTGCCCACTCTCTCACACCCACACAGACGCTACAATTCCTCGGAGCTCACCTCGCCTTTCCTCACATCCACCCTCTCAAATCCAAGTATCCCGGGGCACGACTTTCCCAAGCGACATCAAGTAACAGGCGCTCTCGGACTCATGCCAGGCGATAAGTTGCGCAAGAGCGATGATGGGACCAGGCTGATCCGGTCGGATCGGACTAACAACGGCTCTACTGACGTTTAGGGGATGGCTGCAGGGATGGGGGCACCCATGGCGATGTACATGGGAGCCGCGGGTGGTGCCTGAGGTGGCAGTGCCGGTTGCCAGCCGAAGCAAATCAGATCAAATCAGACCAGACCAGAACAAAGCAAACCGAAGCTGACGCACAATTCTTGACGCCTGCTCATTGTAAATTGACTTCGCTTCGATTCGAATATTGTACATAGTTTCGCTCGGACAGAAGAATACCAGAAGGGCTCAGGGGCAGGAGAAGAGACAGAGTAAGGACGAAGACTTTGAATACAGGAGGAAGGAATTGCAAAGGGATCAGGGGTCAGGACAATCGAAAAGAAGAGGGAATGTTCTATCATGTCGCGCGTAATCAGTATAATGCGTGTGTAGGGAACGTCCTTGTGCACAGCATGCGTGCGTGCGGCCAATGAGTGTCGAGTGTGAAATAACGAGTATCGAGTATCGAGTGTGAAGTATCGAGTGTCGATAAACATCCTGTCCTTCCTTCAGCGCAGTCCATGCCAGAGCGAGTCCTCCTCTGGGTCCAGCAACTCGATGCGGGATTGCCGGTTGTCGCTCCTCGATCCAGCAGCGCCAGCAGCAGCAGTAGCAGCAGCACCACCACCAGCACCGGAGGCAGCACCGGTAGCAGGAGAAGAAGAAGAAGAAGCATAGACGCCCTCGCCACCAGTTCCAAAGCGAGTTGGCGGCAGCCAGAAGCGCTCTTCGTCTTTTGCCTTTTTCCTCCCTCCTGCACCTCCTCGTCCAGATGTTGCACCACCCAGCTCCTCTTCCACATGTCCCTCAGAGGAAGAAGTGGTGAGTGCGCGTGCCAGATCCGCACCAAGGATGCCAAACGCTGCTGCTGGGTCGTAGTAAGATGCGGCAGTGGCCGAGAGGGGCCGCTGGGCGGGGGCAGCAGAGACGTTTGATCCCGGAGCGGATCCAGAGCCGGGCGTGCCAGCGTATCCCCGATCTTGGGTAATCGTCAGGCCGTTGCCCGTCGAGTAGCGACGGCTCTCCTCTGCCTCTCCGCGTGCAGCAGGAAGTGCAGAAGGCGGGGTGTTTTGTCCTCCCCCACTCCGGCCTAGGCTTGAGGGCGGGCGAGAACTCGAGGCCATGGCCGCCATCGCCGTCGAGTCTAGCAGGTCATCATTGCTGTACTGTAGCTCCCTCTCGGCCTTGTCTGCTGGAGGCTGAAGGCGAGAACCTCGACCCCTGGGTGCGGCCCTGATCACTTGGAAGCCACTGGAGGGACCAGGAGACATCATCCCCTCGTCCTCGGAGATTCCGCCCAAGCCACCTCTGCCTGCCTCTGCATCACCGCCACCGCCGAGCTTCTCCTTCCAGTTGCTCAAAGCCGCTTGCATCTTAGCAAGACCGTTCCACGGACCATGCTGCGTGCTGAGGGTAGAGGTGCCCCAGGTTCCGCCCAAATTGCTCTCGTCCTCTTCCGACGTGAGGTGATCCTCCTCTGAGGGTTCCTTTCGTCTAGACAAGAATTTGGAACGACGACGCGATGGCGCGCCTGCACCTTTGCCCTTGGTAGAGCCAGAAGCGGCAAGTCGAGCCTCGCGGCGCGATTGAGCTCGGGCAAACGAGGCAGCAGCGGCTGTACTGCTCAGCTCTGAAGCCTGCTTGCCACTCGCAGACCTCTTCTCCTTGTGCTCTTGCCCGCCAGGTCCCCTGCCCACCGGGGCGTACTCTGCTCCAGTCTCGCCAATTCTCCGGCCTGAGACACGCTCGAAGCCAACGATCGGGGTTGGCAGCCCCTCCCCAGGAGAGCGGGCTGAAAGCGGCGCGCTGTTGTTCATCTGCTTCTCGTCGTCGTTGCGCTCGTACTGGAGGTACTGATTGTAGGCGCCAGCGCTAGTGAAGAAGTCTCCGCCTGGGGATGTAGCTGAAGTAGGCCGGCCTGCGATGGTCAAGGGTGCAGCTCCTCCTGGTGACAGGCGCGAATTGGCATTGGCAGCATTGGCAAAGTCTAGGTAGCTTGCAAAGGACGCTTGCCTAGAGCGGGTGAGGGGGATATTTGCGTCTCTTCCTGAGGCGTAGCCTTCCGGTCCAACGAGCATCATGGACGAGCGGCCAGACAGCGAGTCGCCCTTCTTCATGCTGGGCATGTCTGACAAGCTATTGTGACCTATGCTGAAGCCTCCGCTGGAAGTACCTCGCCTGCTTCGTTTCGGGTTCGACATCTGGAGAATCTTATCCCTCCTTCTTGAGATCATCCTGATCGCTCCGCCGATTCCGCCACTTCGAGCATTCAGCTTCTCATCGTAGGGTACCCTCCAGAGCATCCTGATGATAGCTTCAAGCATCTTGACGAGAAAGATCAATGTGAGAACGCCGAAGAAGATGCCTTGTAGTAGCAGAACGACATAGGTGATCCATGCCGAGGCTCGCGTTGACAGATCGACGATCGGGGTGAGGAGGACCACCAGGACCACGGAGCCAACCCGTAGAGCGGTGGTGAAGAAGCAGATCGGACCCATCATCCCGCCTTCTCCCCAAGGAAGCCAGAGCATCGATGCGAGGCCCATGGATACTTCAAGAACGAGGAGGATGATGGCTTGCGCCGAGCCAGACCGCTGCGACGCTCCAACAACGATGCCGGCAATCAGTGAGTACGACAGCGTCACGGCATAGAAGAGCTGACTTCCGGGGGAGTAGGTGTTGTAGACCGGACCCAGGGCCAGAAGAGTCTCAATGTCGTCGTAGAGTTTTCGAGCTGGGCTCGATGCGATCCGCCAGACCAGGTATGCAGGGAGGATGACTGAGATGATGGCGAATGCTACCGAAGCCAGAATGACGGACTTGGTGGAGAAATTGTTCTCACTTGCATTGGCGAACTGATTCACCGAGAGAATGGTGATCGGCAAGTGGAACATGACCACTGCTCGCACAATGTTGCCGTGCAGAGCAGCCCAGTGTAGGTGTGGGCTTGGATTGAAGCCTCGAGGCCAGGACCCGAGGAATCCATAATAGGAGTTCCTCGCATCCTTGACGTTGCCGTCGGCATCCATGAACAGCTCGCCGTCTTTCTGCGAGTGAAGGCCAGCCGCGCCAGGGTCTGCTAATTGGTAGTCCAGTCGATTTTCTCTCCTGCGTTGAAGCTTGGTCGCTGCCAATGCGATTGTGTCAATGAACCAGCCTACAATGGCCACTGCTACAAAGATGGCGACAACGATGAGCCAGATGGCGACACACGTCGAGAAGAGTCCGGAGTCGTCAAGTCCGATCATGGAAGCGAATGCAGAGAGGCCAGTATAAGGACCATTGCCCCCCAGGCTGAGCAGTGCTTGCGGTACCGAGGCGTCCATGTACAGGATGCTGGAAGGAGTGCTCATCTGCGTCCCGATATCTCCGGTGGGCAGGGTGGCATTTGAAAATGTTGGACCGAATTGGTATGAGCTTTCGTTTGGGATGAGAGTCATATTGCCGAGGAGAGAAGCCCAAGCTGCTTGGCGGAAGAAGGGGTAGCTGAAATCGGGCCACCTGACGGCAAGCATTCCGAGCATCGCCACGAATTGCAAGTGAAAGAGGATCTCCCAGCAGCCGGGAGTAGCAAAGCGTAGCAGAGCCGGTGAAAGGACCATCCCCTGGCCGCTCAGCGCCGAGATGATGACAGGGTTCAGATGATCCCTCAGGAAGGAAGGCGAGCTTCCTTCTCGCGCACGATTCTTGAATGCCCTAGACCTTGTCGTAGCAGCTGTGATGGCACGAGCCATCGAGACTGACACAAAGTAGCCGACAAAGAGAGCTATCGGCAGCCAGAACATCAGGGTCCAATACCACGCATCTTCGTCCAGATAAGGGGACACGGGGACGTCGACGCAGGCGATGACTCGGGCCGGCTGAGAGTAGTCTATGAGGAGGATCTGAGTCCAGAGTGTCCCCATCTGGTAGGTGGCATTGAGAGGTACATTGACTTCAAACGCGACCTCTCCAGGTCCGTATGTACAGGAACTGTGACCGACATACTCCTGAGTGGTGTCTGGGGCAGTAGGGTAGATGTTATCGCAGAGGTAGGTGAGATTGCTGAAGACGCCGAAGTTGAGGTAATTTGTGGTGGCTTGAATTGCACTGAAGTAGCTCGCATTTGCTCCATATGCCTGACTGGCGATCTCGCCCACGCCGAGTATCCGTAGCACGGCCTTGTGGGGAGCTTCGCCCAGCACGCTACTCTCCGGAGAGTCTTCGTACTGTGCATAGACTGCCGACAAGTTGAGCCTATTCTGAGGCTCTGCCATGTCGAGGCCATTGAGGTTTGAGCATTGTGAGAACTCATTCTGTACTCGAGGCCTTCCTCTGTGGTTCACATGGGCTGGAGCAGGCCCCTGAAGTACAAAGGGGACCTGGGTATTTGAGAGCTCAATGGTAGGATTCGAAGCAGCGGCGACACTGGTTGCGGTGGCCGTGGCACTGGCTACCTTGGTCAAAGTGTTCAGTACACCGGACTGGGCGAGCGCAGGGGTGCTCGAGAGCGAGAGCAGGATGGCCACGCCCAAGACGAGTAGGCGGGGATAGGAGACATGGCGTGTGTGGGAGCGCGCCATGATGGAACGGCGCCCCGATGGCGGTCCCGTCTACGAGGTAGCTCGCCGAAAGCTCTGCAGCTGTGGCTGTGGTTGCGAGGATCGAGGCCAATGCTGTGGTCGAAGGAATAAAAGCGAAAGGGGCCAAGGAGCTTTTCCTAGGAAGGTCTGCAGAAGCAATCCTCGGCTGTCAGCGCTTGGACCTCCTCGAGATCGTGGGAGAGAGGCCAAGCGGGGTGCAAAGGGCGGCGGCGGCTTCTGACCGGTAGCGACGAGGGGCACAGGAGGTGGTTGTGTAGAGGGATGTATGCACCAATCTCGATGGCTCTGCTCTGGGGCAGGCTGGTCGCGAGAGGATGATGCGAGGTGCTGCTCACTGCTGAGGAAGAAGGTGTGACAGTGGTCCCCTTTTTCTTTTTCCTTTGGCGCCTTTTGATTCCCAGTCCGCTCCCAAGATCTTTGATCGGAGAAGCTGAGCAGGAAAGGCCAGATCAAGCAGGGCGGTGTTGGGGGGGTGAAAGAGGAGGGAACACGGTGAGGAGGAGGAGGAGGAAGAAGACGATGAGCAAAGGCCCTGGAAGGGAAGAAGGCGGGTGCGGTATTGGCCCTGGAGTGGCCTGGCCTCTTGTGTGGGCGTTGGTGGTGGGTGTGCTGCCCTTCGACCCTGCAGGGCTGCTGCTGCTGCTGCTGCTGCTGCTTGGCGGTGATGTGCGGTGTGGGTGAACCCTTGGCTGGTGCTGCTGCTGCTGCGTCACTCCTTCAGGGCCGGCAATCAATCAGGGCGCGCACACACACACGCAGCCACAGCCACGGACCTCAGCCGACTGCTTCCTCGCTCAGCTCCCACGCCGCCATGCACAAGCCAGCCAACCCCGACGCCGCACAGGACCCTCGCTCACTCATACGCCATGCACGCACACACACCTGAGACGCCGAGGCAGGAGACTCACGCTCCACCAACCCAACCCCAGGCCCGCCTTTCGAACAAGGACAGATGATGAGCTTCCATGAACGATTACAAGCAGACACAAGGTCTTACATGACAGCCGAGTGACCAGAGGCCAAGCTACCATTCAGCGATGTGCTGCATGTACAGCTTCCCATCACCTCGTCGAATCTTGCGCCCCTGTTCCCAAAATTCTCACCCCCTCCTTCCGCCAATCGGAACGGAAGCGGGAGGACGCCCTTCCCCCGGTGGCTGCACGCCTCGTGCCGTGCGTGGCCGCCCATGACTGCCGGTTGCGCTTGCCGGCGGGGCGCAGTGGGCAGTGTTTCCCGTCGAAGGCAGGCGCAGATGCAGCAAGCACGGAAGCAGGCAGGGGGGCACACGCACATACACACACACGCCGGCAGACAGGCCTTTGCTTGTCAATTCAGGAGCTGCTGCTGCTGATTCCTATTTCCATACATCCGCACATTCTTGTTTGTATCCTGTCAGACCCATTCGCATCGCATCGCATCCTTCTCCTCTTCTTCTTCCCTCCCCATTCACCACGATCACTCGCAGGATCTCTCCTTGATCGGCTCCCTCTCATTCCTTTGTGGGCTCTTCTCTCCCTCCCTCCTCTCTCTCACTCTCTAGCTCTTACTCTCGTCCTCCGCTCGTTCTCGCCCTTCATCTTCTCCCACCATGCAGTCGCACTTCCTCTTCTTCATTCTTGCGCTTGTCGCCCTCACCACCAGCCACTCGGCACATGCAAAGGCCCCTCACGCCCGCAACGTAGCAAGACCTAGGGCGCGTGCTGCTGCCGACCTTGACGCAGGTGAGCTACCCTGCTAGGCGACAGTGCTGCAATCAGCAGGACAGCTTCACTGACACTCTTGCACCCGGACCTGCCTCTTTCGTCCTTCATCCATGCAGCACAATCCTCGGAAGCCTCCCTCGCTCTCTCCATCTACAACAACGTCGGCACCACTGCCTTTGCAGCAGCCACTGCCGGCGCATGCGCCGTTGGCTACCAGACCTACACTGCCGCATCAGGTACCGTCCGGTGCTGTGTAGGATCCGTCGTGGATGGCATTTGCTTCTCAGACACAGAGGACATCGTATACGATGCTGACCCAGAAGCAGTGCTGGATGGATCTGTAGATCCCCCAACGGTGGACTCGACTGCGACTGCTGCTGCTGGAACCGTCGTGGTTGGTACTGCCACTAGCACCTCGACGACTTCTACCATCAACTACCTCACTGCAACCAGCTACAAGGCAACTGCTACCGGTGGAACCTCTGCGGCGGCTGCAGCAGACGCAGATGAAGCTACTACCTCGACGAGCTATAGCCAGCTGAGCCAGTCCCTCACACCAACGGGCAGTGGGACTGCATCAACCAGCAAATCGGGAGCTGGAGGACTGGCAGTCGATGTGGGAATGATTGGGCTGCTGGGATCGCTCGTGGCCATTCTGGCTGGAGGAGGCGTGGCGATGCTGTAGATCAGTCAGGGACTACTTTTACCCCCTTTTCGCAAAGGACAAAGCTGCGTAGCGCTACTCCAGGGGAGTCGCTGTGCTTCATCGCCTACCCGTCGATCGCCGATGCCTTTACTTTTATCCATAGATATCTCACTCTTGGACACTTCATACCGCTGTACCGAGCCTGGTCTTGATCTAGCCGGTCCTCTCCCTCTCCTTCCCCTCCTCTTCTCTGTACTGCCCCTCCTTCATCCTTCGACCTGTGTATGTCACCCATTTCCCCCGTCTGCTTTGATCGTGGCAATCTGTCCATACATACGTTTGCGCTATCAGGCTCTCTGCTGGTACTTTGAGCAATGGAATAGGCATCACTTGAATCCCGATCACGCTCGTCAACGCGTTTCTCGCTGTCTCCTCTCCCCTCTCCTCCGGTCTGCAATTGGTGACCTGCTTGCTTGCATACAATGTCAGGAGTCAGGATGCAGCCCATGTGCTCAGATCCAGAACCATCGCATTGCCTTGCCTTTTCGCGTCATGTCGTGTCACGACCTGTATCCATACGGAGGGCCCGAGTGAAGCGATTGGCTGGTGGGCTGGTCCATGCAGGTCGCGCATGGCCTGCGCCTCCTCTGCTTCCGACGCGTGTGGGTGTTATTCCGTAAAGGCAGGTAGGCAGGCGGGGCGGCTGATACACGCTACGCTACGCCTTCCACTATTACTACCACCACGAACCATTCAGCTTCGATACTCATCCTCGACCTCGAAACATTGAACCACCTCAGGGCACGCTATTCCACTCATTTTCAGCTTCTTCAGAGGAACGAAGTCTTCCTCTCCATAGCACTTCGCAATGTCCTCTCCACGCAGAGCACGTCCTTCCACATCCAGCGCCGCACCCGGCCCATCAGCAGCAGGGCCCTCAACGCCAGCCAAGAGCGGCAGAGCTTCCACCTCTACCTCTACCAACACGCCTGGCACTAGCACTGGCACTGCTCCTCCTCCTGGTGGTGGTCTTACCACAACACCCCGCGCCTCGTATCTCCCTGCGATCAGCTCTCCGCTCAAGCTCGCACCGCTCAGTAGCTCTCCTCTGCGCTTCCAGGTGGAACGCTCCCCTCGCGTCTCGACTTCTGCTGGCAGTGCAGCGGGTAGAAGAAGCTTGCTGGGGTTGGAAACGGGTGTTGCACAAGCAAACGCGGCGGAAGAAGGCCAAGAGGGAGAGGAGGAGGACGCGGCTGGTACATTGGCAGCGGGGGCGGGAATAGCAGAAGAGGATGAGGAGCGTGTAGAGCAGGCATTGCTCGCGGATGCGAATGCGGATGCAGAGCAAGAAAGACTGAGCAAGAGACCAAGAGTAAGCGCTGCTGGATCTACTCCTACTGGAGGTAGACAAAGTCGAGCTTCACAAGGCGGTGCTAGCGCTGCTGGCTCGCCGAGAAAGAGCATCGTGACGACGGGGAGGAAATCCAGAGGCAGTCTGCCCGCTCCGCCTGCTACCGAGGCAGTAGCACAGGTCACAAACCTTGCTTCCAACGAGGTCGACAATCTCGGCGAGGACGACTCTCTCGACGCGGGCGCCGCCCCTTCCTCTTCCACAGTCGTCGCGGCAGCGCTAGCGCAGGACTTGTCCACTGCAGGACCCATAGATGAGAGCAGGCTAGCAAGACTACAGCGTGGACTGGAGCGCTTCCTCGGACTACTCGATGGCAAGTCCTCACTGGAGCACTTCCTCCAGGCTTTTCCCACTTTGAGTGCAGAGGAGATTGAGCCTGTTAGGGTGAAATTTGTGGAGGACGTCAAGGAGCTGATCAAGGTGAGTGACCGTCTCACGGAGCGCGGAGAAGGCACTACGGTTGGGGTAAATTCACGCGTCTCTGACCACGTCATGTCCTCTCCCTCCCGGCACGCTCTCTCCACAGTCCGGTCACCACTCCCTCACCGAGTCCTACGACCTCCACGAGCGTCTCCCCCTCCTCGAGCAGCTCTGTCTCGAAGCAGATCGACGTGCAGACCGTGGTCTCCCCCTGGACCACGAAGAGATGAAGGACGTCTTCCGCCCCGACCTAGACATCTCCACTGCTCTCAACGCTAAAGCTCTCCAAGGACGAAGGGAACGCGTCGCCTCTCTCGAGGAACAATTGGCGGAACTGGAGGCGGCAAACGCACTTGTGCATGCTAAATTGGTGGGAAATGTGGACGAGGCAGAGAAGAGACAGGCAGAGGCAAAGGCGCTGTTGGATGCGCTCGAGGGGGCGGTCAGGGATTTACAGCCTGATGCGGCATTGGAGAAGAGGATGAGGAGCACGTTGGATGGGCTGGCGAGTGAGCTGGGACCTAGGGTGTAGAGCTGAGAGGAAGGAACACTTTTTTTTACGACTGCAACGAGCACGACTATATTTATTTCTCTTCTGCCTGCTAGACGCTCAGTCTCTTTCAGTACCTCTCCCATCCTGATACGAATACCATCTTTCCGCATATCTTCATCGCGACGCCCGACTTCGTGATCAATGCGCTCCACTCGTCGTCCCCTCCGTTTCCCACCTGACTGACACATTCTCACTTGCTCACAGTACAAGGCAAGGCAAGGCAAGGCTATGCAAGTCAATGCACAGCACAGCACAGCAAGAAAAGGGGGCCATGATCAAGAGGTCGATGCAATTGAACTTGAATATGAGAATATGAATATGAGCTTGAATGGTAGAGTAGAATAGGTGGGGAGGGTTGGTGCGATTTGAGTACAAGTACGAAGTACGAGTACGAGTACGAGTACAAGTTTGGATACGGATCCGAGTACCAGATTCGAGTACGAGGACGAGTATGTATAGCTTTGTGTGGAGGCTCCGTGTAGTAGAATGGAGACGGAATGAAACGGGAGAACAGTGCATGAGAAGAAGGGAAGGGAGCGCGACAAGGCTCTTGAAAGGGAGAGAGGTAGCGTAGCGCACAACAGTAGGGCACAATAGAAGGAAAAAGGACGGAGCTGGTGAGAGCAAAGGTCGTAGACTGCGCTAGCGAGCTCACAGCCGTCTTAATCCACCCGCATCGGTGATCCTGGCACGGCATGTCCTGCCTCTGGTCCTCCGAGGTTGAGTCCACTGAGGTTGAAACCTCCATTGGGTGGCTGCGGTCCTTTGTTCCTCCTACCCAAGAGAGTAGCGTTGCCCATGTTGAGCTCGAAGTTCTTCCTCCTACCACCCGAACCACCTGCTGTAGAGCCACGGTCGCGCGTGCCCGCACGACCGTCGTACAAGGCTGCTTCGGCAAGCTTGCGATCTGCTCCACCACGGCCCTGGTACTGTTGATCGGCTCCTGGCTGCTGGGTAGAGCGCGAGGAGCGGGCATTGGCAGCCTGCTGTTGCGTGCGCTGTTGCTGTTCCTGGCGATACCTCATTGCGTCGCCCGCCCTATTCGTCGAAGGTGCTGCACCAGCCGCGGGTTGAGACGCTTCGTGCGAGTAGTCCTCTTCATCTTCCTCGTCCTCCTCATTGAGACCGTGGAGGTTGGCGTTGCCCTTCCTCCTTCCCTCCTCCTCTTGACGATGCACAGCATACGTGACGTCGAATGCCTCTTTGAGCTGATTGATACCAGGAGACATCAACGAACGTGGGTTGGCCGACTTCTTCATCGACTGCAGCAGCGGTGAGTCCAGAGGCATCTCCGAAGTGTGTGCAAGAGCAATGTCTGCCGAGTCGAGGTTCGGCACGGGATCCTTGACGTTGCACCATGGGTGCGCCAGGAACTCGTCAATGGTGTAACGACGGTTGGAGTCGACGCACAGCAAGTGAGTGATGAGGTCCTTTGCGGAGCCGGAGATGTCGTCCCACCAGGGGCTCAAGAAGGTGTAGTATCCCTTTGCCACCTTTTCTGTCAGGACAGAAATCGACTCGTCGTAGAAGGGTGGGAAACCACAGAGGAGAGTGTAGAGGACACAGCCCAACGCCCACATGTCGACGGACTTGGAGTAGCGCTCGTCCTTGACAATCTCCGGCGCTGTGTAGCCGACTGTACCACAGGGCGTCATTGTCGACTCCTCCCAGACGACTTTGCTGAGACCAAAGTCGGCAATTTTGACGACACCGATACCACCACCTCCGATGCCGGGCATGAACTCTCCCTCATCCTCCTTCTCCTCGTCGTACGGACGAGCCTTGTCGACCTTGGATGGAATGATCTTGATGGACTCGAACAGAAGGTTCTCGGGCTTGATATCTCGGTGAATTACTCCACGCTCCTCGTGTAGATAGCGAATACCGTTCGCGACTTGTAGGATGACGTGACGAGCAAGAGCCTCGGAGAAGTAAGTCAGCTTGACGATTTGATGGAAGAGCTCACCACCCTCTAGCAGCTCCAGAATGAGGTAGTAATGATCCCGTGATTCCGAGAATTCCAAGAGTTCCACAATACCGGGATGCTTGAAGTTGCGCATGATTTGTACTTCTTTGAGAATGTTCGCTCTCTGTGAGGGTGAGGGTGATTACGAAAAGAAGAAGCGAGGCAAGCGACGAAGGGGATGTGGCAACGTGGGCGAGGCAAAGTGAGGTAGGGCGAGAAATGGCGATGAAAAGGCAGCGGAGACAAGCGTGAGGGAAGAGGATGAGGAAGGGAAGGAGGGAGGACATTGCGTCAGAAACCGGTGTCGAACTATATCGGTGGGGACATTGCATAGGAAGCTTTTGCTCTTGCTTCCCCCTGCGTCCCCAGTGGCCAAAATCGAGACGATGATACGAACCTCTGTAACCCTGTTCTTCTTCCTCCATTGAGGGTCCAGGCGGGCGTCCTGGTATCATCGTGTCGAGGTTGGCCAAAGGGGTGAGCGAGGGCAAGAGAGAAAGTCGAAGGATGGTAGATCGGGAAGGCGACAACGGGTGGTAGGTGGGAGAATATGGCAGAGTGACACGGCTGTCAGCCTGCGTCCTTGCAGAGGGCGATTTCGAGGTGGGGGGGCAGGAGGTTGACACTAAAGGCAACGGGAAGCCCGGGGAGAGAGGGGGGAGAGAGGCATCTACTGGTAGATTGAACACGCCCCTGACGTGTGGTCAGGGACGCACCGCCTGGCGACGGGCGAACTGGAGAAGTTCGATGTCCAGGGCTGCCTGCCGCCTTTGGGCTACTGCTTGTAGGCTGCCTTGCCCACCCTCGTCTCGCCCCACCTCCTGCACGATACGCCCACCTCCGTAGCACGGGAACATCTACTCACCTGTGAAGTGTTGAGCTCGTACTTGCGCACGACTTTGATAGCGACTTTCTGACCAGTCTTCTTATCCCTTGCCTTGTAGACATTTGAGAATGCGCCACTGTCCAGACACGGGAAGAGGGCAAAAGATCAGTCAGTACGTTTCTTCATCGCCATGCATCGTTTGAATCGAATCGAGAGGTGATTCTTCCGACGACACTCACTCTCCCATCTTGCAAATGAGGGTGAAGCGGTCCTCGAGGCCAGCATACACAGGCAGCTTCTCTGATGCCAGCCGCTCTTCCTCTACGATTCTCTCTGCCTCCTTCTGGTATTGTTGAGCATCAGTTTGACGCGCGCCGCCGGCCGCTGCTGCTGCTGCTGAAGCCGCCTGGTTGCCACTCCTGTGTCCGCCAGCGGCGGTCTGTCCAGAGGCCATGGCCTGCGAAATTGCTGCGACTGAAGCCGACTTGTCATTGACAGCGTGGTGGTACACATCATTGGCGGTGGTGGTGGCGGACCCGATGGGAGCATGGGGCTGTCTGCCCGTTGTTTCCGCAGGGTGGCTCATGTTGTTGTTTCTGTGCTGAGTGGAGGAAGAGTGGCCGTGGTGCTGAGAATGATGTTGTGAGCTTGAGGCTGCTGCTGCTGCTCCCTGGGACGATGTCGACCCGCGGGAGGTATGCCCTTGCTGCTGCTGTCCTTGTCCAGCCTCGTATTGGTTATCCTTTGCAGCGCGGCCCTGACGAATGAAGGCCTTGAAATTTTCGATCACTGGCATGAGGGCAACACACGGGGACGGCTCTGGCTACGAAGTGTCCAGGAGCTCTTTTTGAATGCGTTCACTTGAAGGAAGGCGGCTGCCGTACGGAAAGCAGGTAACAGCTAGCTATGTTGATCCAATAGGAACAGGTGCGGACTTTTCCGATTGGTCTTGGTCGTGCAATACGATTGGCAGCGAGACTACTTGCAAAGGGGGCCTGGTGCGAAGCGGAGATGCCGAGACACTACCAGCTGTGCTCAAGGATTATGGGCTCTGCTAAGAGCTGCTTGGAAAGTCGTCAAAGATTGAGCCAGAAAGAAAGAGAGATACAGATTATTCTCAAATCCCTGATTGAGAACAGAAGCCTTAATGGTAGGTGTATAGCGGTTAACAACGAGAGCCACTGCTAAACGAAGTGTTGCCGTGCTGTCCGGTAATGCGTGAGAAATGTACAGTGATTCAGTGGAGGGATGGAGAAAGTGAGGATGACGATGATAACGCGATGCGGGCAGGGCGAAGGAGGGGGTAGATGAGCCCAGGGAGGACGGGGAAAGGGGGGGAGGGGGAGCAGTCAATCCTCGGCTCTGTCGGATGGTGCTGCGATGGAATTAAGGTGTCCGGGCTCTTTGCCGGTGCAGCCGCTCGATGACGATGTGTGCACGATGCACGGGAGGAGGCAGGCTTCCACCCACCCAGCCAGGCTCATGACACAGGCGGGCCGGGGCGATCGGACGTGGCGCCTCCTACGTCGGCGACTACGTCATCCCGCAAAAATCCAAGCTAAGGCCCGACGCGATCAGATCAACGCACGCAGGCACCGGCGGGGGAGCACAGGGGCAGGTGCAGATGGCAGCCCAGACGAAGGTAGAGAGCACGCAAGGAGATACAGACAGACAGACAGACAGACAGACACACCCAAGACCCCACACTGGACACAGATGAGGCATCACCCAGGACCCCATAGCTTGAAGCAGTGCTCCCTCCTTAACCCCGGCGGGCAGAGTGTCACTCCGTCGGGAACAACACCTGACACTGACGCTTACCCCTGAGCTCAGGCCCGTCCAGACACAGGTACCACACCATCGGCTCACACAAGTCGGAGGTCTCGAAATGAGGGGGAGAGAGAGAGACTCTGTATTGCGAAGCAGATTGGACCCTGCTGGCCCTCTCAATCCCGCGTCTTGAGACCAACCCAAAGTCGACTTCGGCAAAGGCCAGGTGACGCTATGCTCTGAGCTTGTCGTTGAACAGGGCATTAAAATAGATACAAGGATCTGCTTGCTCCGCTGCTGCCCGTATCGTCGGCCTCACTCACAGCCTTTGAGCACAGCAACACTTTGCACAGCTCTCTCCCACGACTCTGGCGACCCGAAGTCTGTCGTCATGTGGAGCCAGATTCCTGCAGCAGGCCACCTGGTAGTCTGACGCACGTACCCCACCAAGGCGCATCCTGATCTGATCCTCCTAGAAGAGGAAGGGATACACCGCCATAACGGCGAGATGTGGACAAGGTCTTGGCGGACCCCTTCTGACAAGTGCTCCGCGTACGAAGTCAATTGAGTGCCTGCGTCGCGTGCGCCGTCCTCTGCTAGCGTTGGGTGCGTCAAGCTGCGCCAATCCAGTGGCCCCTGAATAGCAGCTATCACGTCGAGCTACGAACAAGATTGAATTGTTGGCTTCCAATGAGCTGCCCATGATCTTCTTCTGTACTAAGTGGTCAGCGCAGGAGGTGCGGCTAGAATGCAAGCGGTATTGGTGCACTGCGCGGAAGAGGAGGCGGGGTGCATCAGATCTTCCCTCAGTCGCATTCCGTCGGGGGGGGCTATTGAGCGAAATACAGAGTCCAACACCTCGGACACCATCACTGCACCCTCATCACAGACTTAGAGCCATCGACAGATCCCTCATCAGTATCCCCCACAGCATGGCACTCCCCGCAGCCTAAATCGTCTTAGCTCGACTCCCTGCCCCCGGTGACTGGCTTGACACTTTGCCTTGATTCAGCTGCATCTCCATCGGCCAATCATCATCTCATCTCGCGTGAGGGGGGCTGCCCATCATGTCAGGCCCCGCTGAGAAGACCCACCCAGTCGAGGACGAACATGGCAATAGCAATGGCAATGTCCAGAACGTGACCGATCGGTTCTTTCAGATCGATTTGTCCGGCGCAGGAATCAACGGGCCAGAGACTTCGCCGGTGTCAGACAGCAAGCCAGCGGAACAAGGTCCGGACACCACCGCTGCCGCGACGTCAGGGCATGCATCGGACGCTGTCAACGCTTCAGAACCCTCGAACAGCTCCGAGAATGAAGGCGAAGACGTCATAGACGAGCCTCCAGCTGCTCCTTCGCCTGCGTCCATCGCATTGCCAGAGCTGTCTCCTGACGAGCAGGTGTCAGATCAGCAAGCCCCACAACCATCCGATTCCGGCGCCGAGGGGACCACCAGGCAAGACTGGCAGTCTGGAGAGGGCAACATCTCAGGTTCTCAAACCACAGCAGAGGAAGCAGCCGGTCCAGCGGACCCTTTTGCAGACGTTGACGAGGAGGAGCAAGACGACGAGGGCGACCCTTTCTTTGAGCCCGTGGCTGCTTCACCTTTCGGTGACACCGACGTCAGCTCACGCATCGATGACCTTCAGATGGACGAGCCTTCTGCCGACTCTACAGTGCCTCAATCTTCCCTCTTTGCCGACCTTGGAGCAGAAGCTACCGAAGACCCCGCAGATGCTGCGCCCCTTGATTCTTCGCAGCCGTCTTCCCTAGTCTCTGGACCTGCAGCAGGACACGCCGATCCCCTGACATACCCAGACTCTGCAGACTTCTCATCCTCATTCCCACAAGCCACTCCTCTACATGCCGCTACGGACCTGCCACCGCCGCCTGTACAAGGCAGCGGCCCAGAGCAGGTGACCAACGGCATCCTTACGTCCCAGCAGCAAGCGCAACAAAGAGCCACTGCTCTATCGCCGCCTCCAACTCCCCCGTCAGCAACCTCTACGGCTACTGACCAGATACGCTCAGTGTTTCAGAAGTTTGGGCTCAGGCCACAACAGCCAGCCGAGGCTCGCAACGCCGACCCACCGGTCGCCGAACAGCCTCGTTCTACATTCCGGCGATGGGGTGGAGGGCCTCAGGCTGGGACCTCATCTCCACAGGTACCTAACAGTCAAGATAACAACAGACTCGCAGAGCAGATCCGCAATGCTGCAGCAACATCGGCGGCAGCCACAGCAGCGGCTGGAAGGCAGAGATCCCCCCAATACGCCTTTCCAGCGCACGCCGATGCTGACACCCTCTCAAAGGAGATCGAAGAGTTCTGGTCCTACGTGGAAACACCGCAGATTTTGGAGAACAGGCAAAGTTGGGAGCAATGGTTCCTGGCAGAACAGCAGACTTCGAAGCAGAATGGGGATGGTCAGGAAGGACGATCAGGGGGTGGCAGCCCGAGCCCAGCGGAGGGCTCGACTGCATGGACTTCTCTCCCGTCCTCTCTGCGTCAGAAGTACATCAGGAAGCTGCTAGAGGAGCTGATTAGCCCTGATCCAGACCTGCGCCTTACCGCCTCCAGAGCGTTTCTATACCTCCTTCAAGGCTCCTTTGCCGATACCGATGGCGCTGAGCACCAAGAGCACTGGATCCAACTGAACGCCAAGATCGGAAGAGAGGAAGGTGCTATTGCAAAGGTCTACGAGGCTCTCAAGAGGACCCTGTGGAAACACGACTTCCTCACTTCGCTGCCTGATCATGTGCAAGGTAGTCAAGTCAGCAGCAACGGCGAAGCCAACCCCAATGCGAACGAGCATGTACCGCTCCTGACCCCGCAATCAAAGGCGGAGTACCTGGACGAAGTCAATTTGGCACTCACCCTTTGCTTTGCTCAGCTATACATCCTGATCGAGACGGGGAGGAGACCTGACGAGGAAGGCAATGATGCCGAACGGCTGCCAGACGATCTGATGGTGCTTGATCCACCTCTTCCGATCTACTTGTGGCTCGTCGTGGCTGGATTGAGAGAGAAAAGTGCAAAGGGCTTCCCAGTCAAGAAGCTACTGCTGTGCTTGTGGAAGTCGTTGCTGACTTGTCTCGGCGGACAAAAAGATGTCGAGAGATGCAAGGCTCTAGCCCGGCGAGTGGAAGGGCTTCCGCCGTCATCTACTACCAACACCAACGCTCAATGGCCCGCAGCTCCTCCCTCTGACTCCGGTATGCGGCGATCGCGCTCTTCCTCAGGGACCACTGGCTCAGCAGCAGTGCCAGGCCAGCCTCCTTCTGAGGGTCCCGCTTCAATCAACCACGACGCTGCTTCGGCTTCAGGTCGACTCAGCCTGGGCAAGCCGCGCAAACGACGTCCAACGAAGGCTACGCCTAAAGACTTCGAAGTGTTCAGAGATGAGCTTGCGGTCAAGTATCCGACCTACGTTCCACCTCGACGCACGCCCGTCGATTTGCCCATTGAGAAGCTGGCTTCTGCCCTGGAGCCCGTGGCACCACGCAGGCTCACCTTCGCCAGTGGCGAGAACAACAATGCTGCGGAGGGAAGGGTGGAGGGCGAAGCAGCAGCAGCAGCAGGTCCTGGTCCCGCTACTCCCGCCCCTTCACCTCCTCCCTCTCCTCGACCAAACAAGCAGAAGTATCAAACGGATCAGTCACGGCCTTTCGTCTTTCCATTCTCAGCATCCGTGCAAGGAGATCGTATGGTACCTTACTCGATCGAAGAAGCAGATCGTCTCTACGGCGAGAACATGTACGTCAGCAACGAGATGTGGCAAATGTGGCGGACGAGGGAGGAATTGTCAAGAGAGGAAAAGGGACTCTCAGCTGAGCAGCAGAAGCCTAGTCGCACTCGCCATCGCAAGATCGGCAGTGGATCTGGCAGTGATATCAGCAAGAAAGAAGGGTCGTCGCTCAAGCCTAACACGAGACTGGGTGGCTCAGCCAAGACTTCCCTTCTGTCGTCGACGGGTACTTCGCAATATGCTTCATCTTCGGACGGTGTTTCCACACGATCAGGCAGTCATGACGGGAGAAACTGGGCCGGTCTCCATGCTCTGTCCCTGTCGCGTCTTGATGGACCGCAAGGGGCCGGTGGCAGTGACACGCCCAGTCGCCTTACGTCTGGCACGCCGCCTGCGTTCACGCCAGGCGGTGGAAGCCCCCGTTTCACTGCCACTGCCATGTCAGAGGCAGGCTCTTCGGAAGGTGCCGGAGTCAACGCGTCCGCTCCAGTCGACCCGGACAATTCCTTCCTGACCAGAGGCGAACCAACGTACGAGCGCCTTGTCGAGGTAGAGGCTGAGATCCAGGCTACGCTCGCCAGGGCTGAAGCAGACCATCTCTTGGCCGTGTTGGACAATGAGCGATACCTCAGGACAGTCTCCCTCCTGCAGCAGCAGGTTGCGGATGTACGACGGCTGCAGCGAGTGGACCTACTCTACAAAGCTGTCTTGAGCAATTTGCAAAGCGCCGTCGTGGTGTTACTGAAGCTGCTCCTTGCTACAGTCACAGCCCCAAGTGGACCGAATTCTGAAGGCAATATCGATATGCCTCCTCCGCCACCAACGGTCGAGGATGTCGACATCCTCCGTCATCGTGAGATCACGACCAAGGCTGTCAGCGCCATCTTGCTCCTGAGTCTGAAATGGTTCAAAGCGAGTCATGCCATGAAGTTCCACCACCTCAGCCAGTTCTTGGTAGATTCGAACGCGATGCTGCTCATCCTGAAGATGTTTGGCCTGCAAGAGGTAGCAAATAGTATCAGAGCCGTGAACGAAGCTGCCGACTACAACTTCTTTGCCTTTTGCGAGACAGAAGGTCTCAAAGATGCAGGTGATGTTGATATTGGCAGTGGGCTCGGCTTGCCAGCTGTGAAGCCAACGGTTGGCAGTGTCAATGGGCTCGGCAATGCCCCAGCCGATGTCTCCATGAGTATGGGGCAAGACATCTCGATGACTCAGCCAATGGTCGACGATGCAGGCCTGATCCACGAGTACTGTTTCCGCAACTTCTTCTCCATCATCAACTTTACGCGCATCCTGCAAAAGGTCACCAAGAGAAAGGTGCACCGTATTCTCTTGCTGGTCCAGTACAAATCTTCTGCTATCCTCAAGCGATCACTCAAAGTTCCTCATCCAACTCTGCAGCTCTATGTACTGAAAGTGATCAAGAGTCAAGTCCCCTTCTGCGGACGCAAGTGGCGTCAAAGCAACATGAAGGTCATCACTGGCATCTACCTGAACTGTAGGCCCGAGCTGAGAGACGAGTGGCTGAGTAGTGACAAAGATGGTGAGATCTACGAGAGTCTCATTCAAGAGCAAGCCTTGAGAAGTCTGGTCAAGTACTACATCTCAAGCCGCTTTGGGATCGATGCCGACCAGAACCAGCAGCAGCAGCAGCAACAACAACAGCAACAGCAACAGCAGCAGCAAGGAGCTGGCAAGCAGCAAGGACCTCGCAAGAATGCTCAGAATGGCTGGGATAACACCCCTGCTGAGCAAGCTCTCAGCGAAGGGCCCTTTGGTGGGGAGCAAGAGGGCAACGCGAATGGGGATGGACTCGATGCCAATGGTGCTCCCCAGCAGCCACAGCGGTGGGGCTTCTTCGAGGCCAATCTCTTCCTGCAACCGCTCAAGCGAGGTGGAAGGAACGCAGGTGGAGCAGCAGGCCCTGGAGCAGCTGCTTATATTCCGGACGATATCGTTGAAGGATACCTGGGCGACTATGATGAGATTCTCAACGACGTCTTTGGCACTGTCACCAGCGACGAGCACTTTTACCGCAGTGGAAGTGGCATGAGCATCGACGATGGACGCAGAGGTCAGGACGTGAAGTTGGGCTCTTCAGTCTCACCTTCCATTATCAGTCCGTCCTCCCATTCCGCTCCTCCTTCTCCTACGACGAGTAGCGGAGGTGCTGCTGGGACAGGGGGAGGTCTGACTTCACAAGGCGCTCGTCAGGCATGGGATGCCCTCGGTGAGATTCTTGGGCAGAGCAACGATGGATCCTCGAGTATCTCAGACTCGGAGAGCGTGGCTTCCATAGGCGAGCTGGACTTTTCTCACTCGAACAATGCCTCTGGGGCTGCAGGTGGTAGTGGAACAGCAGGTGCAGGCAGCTTGGGCTTGCCCACCTCGGGCGACAATGCAGATGGCGTCTCTTCTCTTGGACCTCCCGAAGAAGAGGGCAAGTCGAATTGGGAACATCTCAGCCCTCGCGAGATGCGCTTCCTCTCCTCTACTGCCGCCGCCGAGAAGCAGCATCGTGATCGCTCGAGATCTCCCTCGCCTTCACCTCTGCCGTCCAGAGTGGGCGGTGGGAACAGCATTGTAGGCAGTCTAGGCTCGCCAACCAATGCCCTCGGCGCTGGACGAATCACACGACCTTCTGCCTCTCCGGGCAACAGCCCACGCACAAGCTTCAGTAGCAATCATGGCTTTGGCTCTCCCTCCTCTACCTCTTCCATTGGTGGTGGAGCCGGCAGTCCAATCGGCAGCGGCAGCAGTGCAGGTGGTCTGGGCAGTCTACACCGCGAGATTCGACCCATGCCTCTCCCGCGTCGCTCGAGCTCCTCAGCACACACGAATTCGCACCTCTCTTCCTCCTTGTCCTCTCCCTCATCCTCCTCTAGCGGTCCACCAGCATTGCTACAGAGAGCCTACTCGGATTCGCAGCCTCTGCGTCCTGTGCTGGACTTTGAGGCGATGGATTTGGAGGCGGCTAGGAGGAAAGCGCGACTCGCGAGGGGTGGAGGGGCGGATGATGAAGAGGATGAAGATGATGACGTTGAGGAGGAGGACGATGAGGATGAAGAGGAGGTTGGACCGTTGGGACCTAGAAGTCCCAATAAGGTGGGAGGCATCGATGAAGTGGAACATGTCTTTGGTCAGTGAAGAGAAAGAGAACATCGTAGATCGTTGGGTAATGGCAATCTCATTCGTGTGAGCACACGCGAACCACAAAGTACTTGACTGAGCAGCAGTGACATCTTCATCAAGGGTACACCATTCCCTCGCCGATGCAGCCTTCTCCTCTCCTCCCTAGTCAAGCGCCACCTCTCCATCCAATTCAGGGTAATGTCTGAACACGCCATCTCCAAATGCCTTTCTCCTTCCGCTGTGCAGGTAGGCCTTTACCGGCTCGAGCTCAGCAATGTCCTCCTTGAAGCGGAATATGTGTGGGTACTTGCGCGAGCGCTGCAGCGAGGCCATCAGGCGAGGGAAGGCGAAGCTGAGGCCGGAGAGGACCTGTGCGTGGTCAAAGCCAGGGGCCGAGAGAGATGGTATGCAAGAGGTCGTTGATCAGCTTGACTCCCAGTCTCCGCCCGCTCGCTCGCTCGCTCGCTCGCTCCTTGACTCACTTGCCAAAGTGTCAAATCAGCCACCCCCGCTCCCTTCTTCCCATCTTTCCTCTCCTCTACATCATCTAGCAACCTGCCTCCACCCCTCTTAAGTGCCTTCTCAAAGCACTCTAAGAACTTGGGCACCCTCGTGTTCCTAAAGTCCTCGGCCCTGCGGAGAGCTTCTTTGCGCTGATCCTCGTAGTAGAGGGCCGAGGCAATGGGGTGGTGCGTATCGTGTGCCTCATTCGAGAGGTCCAGCGCTGTGAGCGTGAGCTGCGCTTCGGTCGCGCTGCGTAGCGCTGACTTCTTCGAGGAGGAGAAGGCAGGGAGGGTACAGGCGAGGTAGGCGAGTATTGCGGGAGTCTGACTTAGGTAACTCGAATCCCCGCCTTTCGTCTGGCGAACTTCCAAGATGGGCACGGCAAAGTGCGCTGGAGGAGCATCGGCGAGGAGCGAAGAGAGGGAGGAGACGTCGTTGTTTTCTTCGTAGGGTACTTGGGCATACTCAAAGGCTAGGCGGATGTACTCCCCTCGGCCCGGAATCTCGGGCCAGCTGGAGGAGAAGAGAAGAGGAGGTAGTCAGTTCAGATGGGATGGTCAGTTGTGGAAGTCCCGCTGCGGTGACTTACTAGTGGAGCTTGTAGCTGGTCATTGTGAGTCGCAATCAGGGGTGATGCTGAGTAGCGTAGCTTGTAGAGTAGCTTGTAAAGCAGTCGACCTCGGCGGCTTCCCTCCGTGTGCTCCGTAAGATGTTTGCGCAAGGCCCGTGCTCAAAGCACACCTCCACATTTCACGAAGCTTTCCTCTACAGCCACTCCCACTAGCACTCACACCTCCTCGTAGCAAGTACCATCTCATATCAATACCCACTGCAGACAGAGATTATCATGGCATCACCACTCTCCCTCACATCGACCATCTTACTCAACGATGGCAGGTCCATTCCGCGCTTCGGGCTCGGCGTGTACATGAACAGAGGACAGGTACGCAAGGGGGGCAAGAGCCAAGAGGAAGATCACCCGCCAACGTACTGACAACCCTCTCTTTCCCCCTTCTTTTGCTTCTTCTGTCAGACCTGCGTCAAAGGAATCAAGTCTGCCCTCGAAGCTGGGTACCGCCACATCGACACCGCCCAATTGTACGGCAACGAAGCCGAGACTGGCGAAGCCGTCCGCTCCTTTTGCTCAGGTCCAGGCCAGGAAACCGCCACGCCGCACCAGGACGATAAAGACGGCAAGGGTGTCTCGCGCGAGCAGATCTACATCACTTCCAAGGTCTGGGATAGCAATCACGGTTACGATGCTGCGATGAAGAGTGTGGACAAAAGTCTGAAAACGGCTGGACTGGAGTATTTCGATCTCTTCTTGCTGCATTCTCCCAATCCCGGAAAAGCAAAGAGATTGGAGGCGTATCGCGCTCTTCTACAAGCTAGGAAAGATGGCAAGATCAAATCGGTTGGTGTGAGCAACTATGGTGTTAAGCACATCGATGAGCTCCTAGAGGCCTTTCCGGACGAAAAGGACCGGCCGGTGCTCAACCAGATTGAAGTCAGCCCGTTCTTCCAGAGAGAGGAGATTGTCAAGAGGTGTAGGGAGAAGAAGATCGAGGTCCAGGCTTACTCGCCACTGGGGAAGGGGGAGCACCTCAACTCACCTGAGCTAAAGACGATTGCAGATGTGAGTAGCGCAAGCAGGGGGATTGCCCTCTTCTGACTCCCTCTCACACGCTCCCTTCTCTTCTTCCCCTCCCCGCGCCAGCGCTACGGCAAGAGCACCGCTCAACTCCTCATCCGCTGGTCTCTGCAACGAGGCTTTATCTGCATCCCCAAATCCGCCAATCCAAAGCGCATAGAGGAAAATGCAGACGTCTTCGACTTTGAAATTTCAGAGGCAGACCTTAAACAGCTCGATGGAATGGAGACTGGGTATGGAATTACTTGGGATCGTGAGTATGGCTAAAAGAGGAAGTGGCAGTTCTGCTATTGACAGGAACGACGGGATATAGACGTGGGCGTGGGAGGGGTATTGATGGCGAGATATCGGACGTGGAACTGATCTGGCACTTTCCCCTTCTCTCTTCTAATATAACAGCGACTAAGGCTCCATAAACGACGGCGATGAACAGTATTGCCAACGGTGATGAATTAATGAAAACATTGACGAGTCTTTCGCGTGCAAGCCATCTTCGGCTTTGGTGTTCAATCGATTGTTCAGCTTCGAAGCAGAACGTCTCCTATGCTCCTAGCCAATTGATTCTGACGACAGGCCGTCGAAGACTCTTTCAGTCTAAAGCCAGACGAGAATCACAAGAGTACAGCCAAGGACCATTGTGACGATCGGGTCGAGGGCGACGAAAGTTGAGCGAGGAGGCTTGAGTGAAGAAGATCCATCCGAGGCACTATCGTCCTTCTCATCGTCATTGGCAGCTGCCGAGGCTGAAGCTGCAGCAGAGGCAGAGTCGGTACTTGAAGCTGAGGTTGTGGTCGAGGCGGTCTCGGTGGTAGTCGCAGTAGCAGCAGTCGAGCTTGCTCCATCTACAGCGCTCGAAGCAGTGCTCGTCGCTCCATCCACCTCACTACTCGCCGTCTTGGTCGCCCCATCTACAGCGCTACTCGCAGTACTCTTCGCTCCCTCCTCCTCACTACTAGCAGTACTTTCCGCCCCATCCCTCTCACTACTAGCCGCACTCGTCGCTACGCTCTTCTCACTAGAAGCAATCTGAGTAGCAATACTGACTTGTGTACTAGCCTGACCAGTGGCAGCACTGACTGCGGCGGATGCGCCAGAGGTGGCAATGGAGAGCTCGGATTGCCAGGGCCAGTCGCGAGAGGTGAGAGTGGGGGCGGTGGAAGGGAGGGAGCGGGCGTTGGCGTGGAGGAGAGCGTGGGCGTTGGTGCCTGCGTTGATGAGTAGATTGTCGTCGCGGTCGTGAAGAGAGGTGTGGTCAAGAGGATCGGCGTTGACAGAGGCCAGGGCACCAGGGAGAGAGACGAGAGCCATGAGAGGCACAAGCAGGAGAACAAGCATGCCGCCTTGTTTGAGCATGATGGTCGGTCTCATGATCGCGTGACGCAGCAGTGGAGGTCTTGTATCTCTTTGTCCTTCCGTTCAGCTAGAGTGGGTGAGGTACCGGCGAGCTGAAGAGACGACCGGTCCAAGCTTAGTCAGTATTCCAAATTGCAAGAGGTCTTTCCCTCCTCACAAGAACGAGCTTAGAAAGCCACGTACCTGCCTACTGATGTGGCTGTCTGAGGGAGTGCGATTACGACTAGGAAAGGAGAAGTGGAAGTCTCTTCGTAGACGATAGAGTAATGTTCGATCGGATTGAGGCAATGGTGATGCTGGTGTGTCAGAGTAGAGTAAGGTGAGTTGAGGAAGGAGAGCGGATGAGAATAAAGAGTGAGGTGAGGTGGGGTGAGGTCAGGTCAGGTCAGGGTCAGGGTGCGGTGAGCGGCAGGCGGCAGAGCACGACGTGCATCAGGCGTCTACGGTCTGTCTGTCATACTAACGGACGAGCGGGCGGACGTGTCAGCTGCAGGGTGTGCGTCGACCTCTCAATGGATGGGCACACAGGCAGACAGAATTGGACAAACGAACCACTCAAGGTCAGCACCGTCATCAACGATAATAGTAAAGATCTCTGTATTGGCGACTTCGGTATTGGGTTTAACGGCGATATGAACAAGTAGGTATGGATGTAGTGCAGACTTGAGAAAAGGGCCGGGCCAAACACTTAGCTCCGCTTAGTGACGAGGGAAAGGAGGAGGAGGAGGGGGCAGCGAATCAAGGTGCAGTCCCAATCCAGCAGGTACATGGATCTTGGCCGAGATGTCGGCATACTGATCCTTGGGATGAGGGGGGAATGGTCGGTCTCCCTTCTCTCCTTTGTGGGGTGGAGGAGGAGGAGGGGGAGGGTGCGAGTCTGTCCCATTCTTGCCGTGGTGGGGAGGAGGAGGTCGGAAGGCTCCGATGGAGACTCCATTGGGAGCGCGGTGCACACAGATGTCGGCCTTCTTGCTGTCGGTCTCGCCATCCTCGGCGGTGATGGTCTCGGTGGCCTCTTCGCGGGAGAAGATGGCATAGACTTCGATGCCCTCGGGTCCACCGGGGGCCTTGCCTAGCTTGTTCTTGTCAGCCTCGCCTTCACGGAGCAGGGCTACGTCTGAGCTGAAGAGGGAAGGGTGGAGGTAGATGTGAGGGGGTGCAGGTCCCTTGGGACCCTTGTGATGCTTAGGGTGCTTGGGGTGCTTCGAGTCATCCTTCTTGCCAAAGAGAGAGAAGATAGACTTGTCCTCCTGTCGGTGGTGGTGATGGTGGTGGTCCTTTCCGTGGGAGTGGAAGGGAGGGGGACCACCAGGGCGCAGGTTGAGAGTCACATTGACCGACTCTCCAGGTGCGAGGGGGTAGCAAGCAATGGGCTTGGGGTGGGGTGGTCCATGGCCCTTGTGCTCGTCCTCGCCGCCGAACCAGGGGTGGGCTCCTCGTCCCTCTCCCTCGCCTCCAAAGTGGGGACGGTGGTGAGGACGGGCAATGTCCTTGATGGTGTTGAGTCCGATGCTGGCTACGGCGAAGCAGCTGATCAGGAGGAAGAGGACCTGGAAACCGCGGCGCAGACGCAGGCGACGCTCCTGGTTGGCCTTGCCGACGACGAGTCCGTCGGGGAGACCGGGGGCGTCAGTGGTGGGAAGGGGGGACTTCTCCATGATTATTGTATGTGTGTGTGTGTGTTGAGGTAGGGAGAGATGGAGTAGGAGGAGATGTGATGATAGAAAGTGCGGGGAGGAGGAGGTTTGATTCTACCCTCGGTGATAAGTATGGCTGTCGCACCTGTCAAAGGCGATGCCGAGTGCTGTGATCAGAGGTGCGTAATGCTTGCCTTGTCTTGGAACCTGAGCGGGACACTCGTGCTAAGCGAGGGAAGCCTTGATGCGTGTCTGAAGAACATCGACTGCAAACAAGGCGGGAACCTCATCGTCCTCGTCCTCGTCACCTCACCCGTCCAGCCACCCGCAAGCCGGCGCCGGCACCGCAAACGGGGGGGCAGATATCGCCAGCCTTGGACGGCAGGGCCAGGCGAGGCGTATTCGCCGCTCGCCCGCATGAGTCTTGGCGGGTCCTCCCCTCACTCGGCACGCGGACCAGACCAAAGCGGCAGCATCCTACACAGCTCCGCCGCCGATGGGGCCGAGGCCAGCCGTGGCTTGGCTTCGAGCTTGGAGCAACCGGAACGGAAAAAAAGGACCTCGGTGCCGAGGGTGATTCTAATTAGAGCCTCTCGGACATTTGTGATTTTCACAGCGGAAGCAGACACTTTGCTGGACAATCGAGCGACGACGAGCGAATGTCGGAGACAACTATGCACCTCCTGCCAAGGATTTTCTCAGAAGGTGGAGGGAGGTAAGCTGATTGCGCATCAAGGGTCACTTGCCGAGGTCCGGGGTCAGCTGATTGTACTCTCGGGCGCCAGTGTGGTAGAGGTAAGCTGATGGCGCTACGGGTACACTGGTTGCAGCTGTTTCATAGCCGATTCCCACGACAGTGTGATGAACGTAGAGGTAACTTGGCGAGAATGATATATAAACAGCGCTCGATGTCTACGAAAATGCTCCTCTCTGCAAGCACTTGATTCCACTTGCAAAGACCTTAGCTGTCAAGCCTTAGTCCAAGACTCCTTACCCTTTCGCAAGCGCACCTATCAACCTTCTCTTTCCAAGGTCAGCACAGTATGGTCGGTCACGGCAATTACACTACCGAAAAGGTCACTTACCCGTCCCACGGTGAGACGGTTGCTGGTGTCCTCTTTCGTCCGACCAATGTCGCCAATCCACCCGGAATCGTCCTCATTGGTCCTTACTCCTACATCAAGGAACAGGCTCCCTTGCAATACGCTACACGACTAGCCGACGAGGGTTATGCATCTCTAATCTTCGACCCACGCACTGTTGGCGAAAGTACCGGTATGCCACGCCGACTTGAGAATCCCAAGATGAAAAATGAAGACGCCATTGCGGGCCTCGACTACCTCGAACGCCGGGGCGACATTGACACCTCTAAGCTCTTCCTCGTCGGGATCTGTCAGGGAGGCTCTCAATCCTTGGATATTGCCTCGCGTGACAGTCGAGTTGCGGGCGTGGCATCCGTCACTGGGTACTATCGTGATCATGAGACGGACATCTACATGATCTGTGCCGGCTGTGTCGCCTGGACGCCAGGAGCGGATATTGCCTCTATGAAGATGCCCACTCCCGATCAGGGCGAGGGGCTCTTGAAAGCGCGTCTGCAGAGAGCGCAAGAAGCTCGAGATGTGTACGACAAAACAGGAGAGGTACTCTACCAACCTCTGGTCGACCCAAAGGCCGCAGATCCCGAGACTGGTTCCCTTGCTGGTCTTCCAGGACCAGTAGTCTGGTCTTGGTATGGACCTTGGACCCTCAAGAACTTCGAGAATCGTTATGCGGTCATGAGTGACCTGGATCACTTCAGCTACACCACCGTTCCCGGTGTGGCTAAATTGACTAAGCCTGCCTTGATCATCCACGGTGATAACAGCATGAATGCCGCTGCTGCCAAGCGCCATTACGAGTCGATCCCTGCGCAGGAGAAGAAGCTCGTATGGCGAGATGATATTTCGCACTTTCAACATTATGATCAACCCGATGTGGTTGATGCCAATGTGGGAGAGATCTCAAGTTGGTTTGAGAAGGTCAGGAAAGCAGGCTCGGCATAACAGGTGATCGAGGGAGTTGTCAGTCACCCTTAGTCGCCAGGGTGTGAAGTGGCGCGTTGCTACATTGATCTTCTTGGTAGGAGCCCCATCCATCTATCCTGTCACATTTCACCTGATTGAGAATTTGTCCATGCCATTGGGAGAGCAAACAATTCAATTGTGGGCCTGCTCTTTACTTGCTTTTTGTCCTTCATCGCATCGATGTGTTAGAATGTGCGTGAGGATCAGAGGGCAGCACAACGCATGGGGACAGATCCCTCTGTATGAAAGTTCAACGTGATATACAATACAACAATGGCAACAAGAAAATCTAGTTATCTACATGGGCAGCCTCGCCATCTCCGACTCAGTCCATCCCGCCTTCCTCATATTTGCCGCCTTTAGACTCTCCTCTTCCGCCTCCAGATGAGGGAAAAGAGCCTGCCCAAGCGTAGTAAGGATGATCCCCATCTTCTCCGGGTCGTACACCGTCTTGGGCCAGGCTTTGCCGTCCTGTCCAGCACCTTCAGCTAGAGCCTTCTTGCCTTGAGAGGAGGAGATGGCACGGGTGCTTTGTTGAACGTAGGCTTCGAGGAGTTCGAGGGCAGCATGCATCACGGCGTGCTCCTTGACGTGTGCATCGCCCAGGGCAAAGGAGGGCATCTTCTTTGCGAGGGCAGGGAAGACGTAGGTCTCCTGAAGAGAGCAAAAGGAGATGAGATGTTCATGTCAGTATTCCTTATCACAGAAGAAGACTGCTTCTCCTCTGCAGATGGCCTTTGCCTACTCACCTCAATGTTGTGATGCATCTCCAAATGGTGGCAAAGATCTGCCGCCCTAGACAGGTAAACCTCGAGGTCACGCTTGCCCAACGAGGCACTCTGAGGAAGGAAGCGCTGCAGGAAGGCATATGAGGACCGGAAGTTGGTGTGGAAGCCGATCATGCGCTCATAGAGGCGGTTGTAGGGGTCACTGCCGGCTCGCATATTGATTGTGAAGTGGCGGGAGAGGTGTGGGTGGTGTAAAGTAGGTAGGGGTTGCTGGTAGCGATGCTGCAGTGGCGTCGCAGATATGAAGTTTCTTGCTTTGGAAGCTTGCTTGTAGCTGAGAGGCTGAGCTGACGAGGAGTAACTCTTCAAGAGTTGCGAGAGCTGATGAATTGGAAGGCTAGCTCGGCGGCCAAGTGGCAGGACGAGTGCGGACGAAATGGTGATAGGTAATCTGCTGCAATGTGCAGATGGATGCTTGCGAGAGGTTGTAGATTGTAGGAGATGAAGAAAAAAGAAAGAATAGGCAAGGATGGTAGGCTGAAATGTTCCTGGTATATGTACCAACACGGGTCGAGGGCTTTGAAATCCAGACCCAACCTTGACTTGAGGCGCTCCTAACATTTCAAGCGGGCACGGCCGTAGGAGCCAGAACTCGGAGCGGCCAATCTCCGGAAGCGCGACAGTCGGGACGGAAGCGGGAATGGGGAAGCGCCCGTTTCTTCCCAGACCCAGGGCCGCTTCAGGTACCAGATTGGCCTCTGGTAGCTTCTACGAGGCAGAGGGACAGATCGGAGATCAGAGACATCTCCAGAGCATACCAGAAGCAACCCCCATCGGGCGAATTGCACAAGATCAACAATAATAAAGGGTGATAACATTAGAGGATCTGCCGCTTGGAGGGCCACACGCAAAGCTGCAGGTCGATGCAATGGTGCTGTTGGACAGGAGCAGGCATGCCGGTGCAAGGCAGAGTGAAGCGGGCGGACGTGGGGATCCAAGCGACTTAGAGGCAGACTGACCAGTTTCAGAGAATGCTGAATCGGTTCCTCGTACTCGATGGCCATCATCATCTCACGATACTCACCCTAATGCTGACGCTCACAGAGGGCAGCCGCCCCAGCTCGGACGCTGACGCCGTCACTCTTGCCATGTCAGAAGAAGAGGATCGGCTCATTCAGGACGCACTCTATAGCAACGAGCCGGAGAAGGCCCAAGAGTCTTGCACGAATGAGCAGATCGCCTCTACCTCTCCTTCAGGCACTTCTATGGTGAGTGCACTATGACAGCCCTACAGCTGGCCTCGGGATACGCGCTGATGACTATATCTGTTGTACTCTGGCCCTCACATGAGAAGCTCACAAGTAGAGGCAATGACGAGAGCTCGTCTCCCACGAAAGACCCCTTCTACGGTCTTCTGGCGCCATCGTCCTCATCCCCCGCGCCGACCTTTTCTCTGCGTCGCCACAGACCAAGCCCTCCTTTTCGACCTCTACTCTTCCCATACAAGAAGTCTAAGCCATCAGAAGTCACTGGCGCTACAAAGACGCAAAGTCAAGACAGAGATGCCTTGCAGTCATCACCTACTAAGGTCACATCTAGCAGCAGACGTGGGTATGACCTTCGGGATGTTAACCTCTCCCCCTCCTGCCTCGGACGCCTTGATCTCAACGGCGCAGACTCGAGTCCCACATCTGGTAGCGGCCTGAGGAAGCCTCTTGGTCCTTCCTCCTCCCTGAAGGTCAACCAGAGCACAGACTCTGCCGACCAGCCTAGCCAACTTCCGATGCTGACACCTTCAGGGATCGTCAAAAACGAAAATGCTTCTGACAACAGCAATCGGCCCAAGACACGGATGAGCTTGGACACTCGACTCATCGGAAGAAGGGTGGCAGGAGGCTCATGGTCTTCCATGAAGCGTGAAGCTGAAGGAACCGATGCATCTAAGCCTCCCACGACCCCAAAGAAGCGCAAAGAGTCCGTCGACGGCTCATCATCACCACCTCGATCCAGTCGCCGCCCTCGAGTGGACGGTCTCCTGTCCCCGATCAAAGAGTCGCCGACTGGTGGGACCTCGGAGCCATGGGGTGACAAGGACGCTAGGCCGAAACAGTCTTCATCATCGACCTCGCCCAGCCGTCCTCAGACGCCAGAAGATACATCCATTGTGATCTCACCCTCAGTTACTCCAACAAGACTCAAGGCTCTCACCGCTAAGAAGAGGATCCGCCACAGACTAGTACCTTTCTCGCCGGCAATTTCAGAGGTGATGCACCGCCAAGATGAGGATCAAACCCAGTCAGAGCTACCCAAGCATGTCACTGGTCCTCTACCTGAGATCGTCATCACTCCTCCCCTTATCGCTTGTCCAGCAAGTCCGATTCAGCAAGACTTGAAATTTGCAGACCATGCCTCTGAGCCCGGTGCCTTCCTGGCAACTTTGCACGCTTCTGGTCGTCCGAAGGTCCACTGCGTCTCCTTCGGCGACGAGATGCACTATGGCGAGACCGATGCGACCTACACTTCTACGAGTTCCGAGCTTGTCCTGTCTCGCCTTGTTCACCAGCGTGAGAAAGACGACCAAAGAACGCGTGTCTTGATGCTGGGCATGTTTCGCGAACATCTCAAGCAGATCTCGAACGCACGCCAATTATCGCCAGCTGACCTTACGCAGGCAAGAGATACCCAAGCAGTCAAGTCTTTTCTTGACCGCTTGACACGTGCCCTGTCGAGGAAGGAGCAAGAGTTTTGGGTGCCAGATAGTCTCAAGGTAGTTTCTATGGATGGGGTTCCACAAGAGGTGTCGGACAAATGGGTTCTGCATCTCTATCGACAAGAGGTCCTTGAATTGGCCGATGCTCTAGTAGTCGACATTGTCAATTGCGTCGAGTAAGTGTAGCATGACCTGGACGGGTGCTCCGGATGCAAGCGACTGATCAATCCGGCTCCCCTTCCACAGAACTCCTGGGATGCACCTGGCCGGCATTGAGATGTACGCGGTCCTGATGCATCAAACGATTCGCGCTGCCAAAGTGGAAGGGATCGATGTGTCTACGACGACTGCTCCTCTTTCTCAGTCAGGGGCAGCTCAGCAGGCACTTCTGGACCTTCATGACCCAGAGTATCCTTCACGCATCGTGTCAGAGAGGCTTCAGCACTACATGAAAGTACTTTTGCAGTCCGGCATCGACGTTGCGGCACGCGAGTCACGACTAGCTGCACCGCCCACTCCCAAGAATTCGTACGCATGGGATGACTATCTGGAATCGGTCGAAGAAGAGCGGGAGCAGAAGCAAACGCTGCGACAGACTAGTTCAGATGAGATTATCCAGGCTGAAAGAAAGGAAGCGGCGCTGGGACGAGCTGAGCATGCCTTCATACCGCTGACGTTGATCAAGTTTACCGGAGAGGTAAGTTGAGGCGCGCAAAGAGCAGGCGGTAGCACTGCAGGCTCGGATACTGACAGTATCTTCCCATCCCATGACATCAGCTCTATGGACACGATCTGCTCAGCATGCATCTGATGCAGCGATGGCTCCACCGTCTTCTAGTCGACACCATCTACCCAGGTCTGCCGTCTCTTTGGGAGCTCGAAGCAGGCTGCGTGCTGCTCGTGGTGATCCTACCTCGCCTCCATCGCTTGCAGGCAGAAGATGAGAAGGCAATGCGAGACCACGAAAATGGTCGCACTGTGGACACGAGAGCTACCAACTCTGAGAGAAGCCTCGTTGAGGGCGAAGACGCTCCCAGTACTCGCAAGAAACAGAGGACAGTCCTGGTGACGCAGGCAGGAGCAGACTTGATGAACGGCACAGTGGTAGAGCCAAATGCTTCGCAAGGCTCTCAGCCCCCACCGGCTGCTACCACTCCCCAGCGACTCGACGCCCCAGCAGACCACTGGATCCACCTCACACCATCCAAAGCACGACGCTACTCGACGAGTCTGCCTCCTTTCCCTCCCTTTTCGGCTAAGAGCGGAACAGATTCTGCAGCGAACTTGAGCCAGCAGAGACCCGGGAATGGGGCCTGCGGAGTGGATCTTCTTTCTCCAGATCTTAGCGCACGAGAGCTGATTGAGGGCTGTCTCTCTCGGTTGAGACAGCTCAGGGTCGTTGCGGATATTCATCCTGAGTCGAAGGAGTGGATCGAGGTGAGTCGCCAGCCACTCGGGATCGCTAGCCCAGCTCAGCTTGCCCCTCACTGACCACATCTTCTCTCAATACTCTGCGCCTGCGAATCTCGGTAGGCAGTCCTCGCATTCAGCGCGGTAGAGCAAGCCAAGCACACGAGAAGACTTCACCTCACTGGCCCGCCACCAGAGGAGAGCGAATCTCCTTGTGCCAGACGTCGCCGAGTCGTATCGCACCCCTCCTCGCCCACGCTCTCGCCTTGGGCTTTGGGACCTTTGTGAAAGCGAAGAAGGCGCTACAGCATACCGAACAAGGCCTCAAAGGGGCAAGTTATGAGTGTGTAGTGTCATGCGTCGTAAGCGTTGATTCTTTCATTAGACAGCTTAGGCCAGAATCACCCGTTACAGAGCTAGGTCCGCTCTGGATATCTACTCCTCCTTTTCCTCTTCGTATTTGACTGTACATGTAATCAACCCTCTCTCGATCTTCGAAATAGACGTAATCTCATCGTTCGTACAACTAGAGAGGGATTTCAATCCATGACTGACACAGGGTAGAAGAGGTAGGGTACTTGTGTAAGTCTCGTCCTGGAGCTGTATCATCAGTGCTCGCACCCCCGCATACTCACCATGGAGAAAGAGCAACCCCAATCCACTCCCCACGAGTAAAGCGCCCAGCAATCGATTAGCGCTCCTATTCCTCTCCTTTGCCTTTTTAAGTTGTTCATTCCCCCTCTTGACCTCGACTCTCTGCTCCCCCGCTTCCCCAACGAGGGCTCCAATGGTCTCATTCTGCGTCGAGAGGTGTTGAATGAGCGTCGTTTGGAGAGAGGAAATGGTACTGAGGGTAGAAGTGACACTTTCTAGTGCTGAGAGGTCGGCTTGGAGGGATTTTGTTAAGGAGGAGGATTCGGATTGGAAGAGTTGCAGTTGAGAAGGGGTGAGCTCTTCTTCTTCTGCTTGTGGGGCGGGGGCTTGCAGATGCTGCTGCTGCTGCTGGAGGTGGGTACTTGAGGATGATGATGAAGAGGCTGGAGGTAGTCGTCCGGAAGAAGTGGGAGCCAAAGCACGAAAGCTGGCGGTACTCCCCATGATTGCCTTGCTTGTCCTTTTCCCTTCTTCCTCTCTCCTCCCATTTCTCGCTACCACCTGGACCCTCTTCCCCTCTCTGGCAAGTCGCGCCCGACCTCTTGCCTCCTGCATTGCCCCCACCTTTTCTCCTACGCGCTTCAGCGAGGAACCTAGAGAGGTAGTAATTGCCTCGCGGTGCTGTGACAGCTGAGAAGAGTACTCGATGGAGTCGAGGGAGGTGATGGGGAGAGGTCGAGAGAGGAGACGGGTGAGGAGAGAGGAGGAGCTGAGCGTGCTGCTTTCTGGTGTTGGTTGAGCCTCTTGACGGACTGTGATGAGGTACCAGAGGAAGAAGTTGGGAGGCGACAAAGTCAGAAGCCGCTGCGATGCTGCTTAAGGTGGCCGTCGTTCCTCACCTTCTTCTGCCTTGATCAGCTCCTTTACCCTCGCCACGCTCTTCTCGAGTACGAGCTTGAGGTGCAGATCCACCTCGTCCTTTTCCTCTTCGCTCAAGCTTCTCACTCTACCATACCGCTCCAATCCATTGCCACTCCCACTAGCAGAACCTTCTTCAGCTCCAACTGCAGCCGCCCCTGCTCCTGCTGCTTCTCCCGCTGGTGCTTCCCCCTCAAGCTCCCTAACAGGAAAGACCGGCCCAGTATGCAAGTAAGCCCTTCGCACCTGCCCCAGAAACCCGTCAAGCTCATCAATGTTCCTCCGTAGCTTGGCTGCCTCTGCATCCCAGGCCTTTTCTGCCTGCCTTCTTGCTTTCCATGCTTGTAGCTGGGCTTGCTTGAGCGAGGCTGGGGGACGCGCGTGGGGGTTGCGATGCGGTGTAGGAGAAGAGGAGCTACTGGATGAGCTGGAGATCAATTGCCTGAAGAGTGGTGTGACGTCTTTGCTTGCTGTGGTGCTGCGGGAGGAGGAAGAGGACGATGCCATTGTGGTGTGAGGGCGAGTGGTGGTGTTGGTATGAGTGGTGTGAGGAGTGGTGTTGCTGCTGCTGCTGCTCCTCGTCTCTCTGCCTCCACTGCCGTTTGAATCTCCGCGTCCAGTCTCCCTTTCCGCATGGCAAGTGCACGAGGACATCTTCCTTCTTCTGCCTTTCTAGACTGCCATCCTCACCTCGAGATGACCATGACACTCTTCAGTCCGTGTAGATGAGCTTGGTCAATACAACTCGGCTCACCGCAGCCAGCAGCAGTGATGACGCCCCCTTCTGGATCCTGCGCCATCACTCGCCTGCGTCCATCACCGCACTCGCCTTCCTCAAAGGAATATGCAGCCCACCTTCTCAGAGAGGCACATCGGCATCAGACGCAAGCACTGACGGTAGTGATGAAGAGTCCCAATCTTCCTCCTCCTCCTCAGCCTCCTCGTCCGCTCCTCCGCAGTCCGTCCTGCCTCAGCAAAGTCGCTACCTCCTCATAGGCGACGCAGACGGCAACGTATCACTGGTCGACCTCACCTCCTATAGAGCAGTAGCCCACTGGCAAGCGCACAAAGCAGGGACTTCGATACTGGGTGTGGATGATTGGCCATACGAGGGATTAGATGAGAGGTACAGGCGCAGAGGACGTAGGAGCAGCAAGAAGCTGCGGGTGGTGACGTGAGTGCAGGAGGTATTGGGTAGTCCTTGCCGTTGGCGCTCATTCACATGGCCGCTTTTCGTGCTCCTCTCCTCGACAGGCACGGCAGAGACAATACACTCAAGATCTGGTCTCTGATCGTACCTTCGACCTCTGCTCTTGGTAAAACTCGAGAAGCGCCTCTCGCAGAGCCCAATTTGCTGCACACACTGCAAGTCAATGCTCTCAACTTTTGCCGCTTCTCCCTCTTGCCCGTAGAAGCAGGCAAGGGCAAGAGCAGAGGTCAGGGAGGCGCAGATGCGGTTGGCGAGGAGTCAACATGCGAAGGGAGTGAAGAAGAGGCAATGCTGGCGGTGCCCCATACATTAGACTCCGGATACGTAAGTCTACTGCTCTTTCTTCACCTCAAAAGCCTGGCTGTTGATCCATCCTCGTCGTCTTGCCGTACAGATCGACATCTACCACCTCCCCTCATATACCAGGCTGCACACCTCCATCGGTTCGACCTCTTCAGCCACTGCACAAAGGAGAGTAGGCGGTGTGACTCGCGCCCCCATTGTGATGGCTATGCATCTCTTCCGACTTTGTGCGCAACGAGCAGCAAGCGTGGGCGACGAAGAGGGCAAGGCTGGCACGACGGGAAAAGAGGAGGAGGACAGCGGAAAGGATAAGGGGACACTTGCATTACTGGCGGGTCATGAAGACGGATCTCTCGTCTTATGGACACATCCCGATGGTAGGAATGAGGGCAAAGAGCCGCAAACGCAGTGGAAGGAAAGCTGGAGAGCAAAGCCTCACAGGGAGAGTGGTAAGTGTCTCCTTGACTTAACGCCATGCCAAAGACGTAGAATTGTGCAATTGATTGATCCATCCATTGCATCCCGCACGCAGTCCTCACTCTCTCCATCCTGAACATCCCCTCAAGCTCAAGCATCTACTTTCTCTCCGCAGGCGTCGACGATCGAGTTGTCCTCGGCAGCGTGGATCTCCCCTCTCCTTCCTCTCCAATCTCTGTCCAAATCCTACACATCTACACAATCCCCAATGCTCGCGGAGGCAAGGCGGCCTCTGCCTTTCTGCCTCTTGCGGCTGGCGTGAGAATACCAAGTAAGGAGAGCACACAACAGACCCAAGAGGGACAAGAATCGCGATGGGAGGGGCAGGGGGAGGGGGAGAGGGAAGAGCTTCGCTTCCTCCTCGGAGCCTGGGACGGGCGGGGTAAAGTGTACTCGTACGAACCGCTCGTCCCGTCCACATCGACCTCAACCTCGACATCGACGCCTTCTTCCGCATCGACGAGGGAGGGTGGGAGCATTGCGTGCATCCGTACGCTGCGCTACCACAAGGAGGGGGTGCAGGCTGTGGCTTGTGCTGCGCTTGCTGGAGCAGGATACGGAGCAGGCGAAAGGGACAAGAACAGGGAGAGGGAGAGGGAAGCGCTGATTGCTCTAGGGGGAAAGGAGGGAAGAGTGACCCTCTGGCGTGGCTGAGGGTGAGGATACGTGAGGATACGTAGGGTGAGAGATGGAGGGAGAGAATTGCTTTTTCTAGAGGGGAATAGTATTTACTTTCAATGGCAATGGCAATGGCGATGGCTTTGTGAAGCGTTGTGAAGCTGTATCGTGCCCTTCTAATCGCAATATCTGATACTCCTCTGATGCCTTTGTCTTGCCACTCCTTCTCTACCTCCCTCTCTCCTCCCATTCGATTCAACCCAACAATGCTCCCACTCCCACTCCCATTCCCCCACCCGCCGCACCCTTTCCCCGTCCTCTCAAGGAGTTATAATGTTCTCCCAATCCATACATCTTTCTATGATAACTAATCATCAATGGTCTCCCCTCTAGAGGGAATTCATCTTGTCCAACTTTTACAATGGGAGAACCGGCTTGGACTACCCAAATGGGAGTACGGTAGGCACGGGACATTGCCAGGATTTCGGGTTGGCCACCCCAGACGGCGGTGCGCTCCACGGCGTCGCAGTAGGCTTGGTAGGGGTCTGGGAGGGGATGTGGAGAGGGATGAGGAGGAAAGTGCGATATGAGATGAGGAGGAGACTCAGCGTCAGCATTGAGCGAGAAACCTCTTGTCACACACTACGGCGTCAGCTCCTCAGCGCCTACTCACCTCCCCCCTTGACCACATCTGCACCTCCTGGACTTGCCACACCCGCCATCCTCTCATCGTTATCGCTGATAAAGGGCTTGAAGTCATCCTCGTGACCCCTCATCCACCGAGCCGTCATCGCCCTCGTCGTCTTGTAATTCTCATGAGCCGCTCCACCACCTCCTCCACCAGCAGCAGCTCCTCTACCGAGGAGGTTGAGCTGATCTGCAATAGCCGAGTAGAGGCAGTGTCCATCGGGGGTGATCTCGTACATGTCGACATTGAGCGACTCGCATGCATCGGTTAGACCCTGCCGCTCCAGAGCGGCTTCATCTACTTTACCACCATTGGCCTTGAGCTCCTCCTCTATCCGTGCGCGCTCCGCGGCTGCGACGGCTTCTTTGCGTTGCTGTTGTGGTGCAAGGGAGGAAGGGAGGCAAGGGTCAGGAAGAGCGGGGGAGGAGGAGGTGCGAAGGGGATGGGGTCGGCGAGAGTGGAGGCGGGATCGCACATGCGGCGAGAGAGACAGGAATGTGGGAGCAGTTGTTGGGGGTGGACGTGAGGTGGATGGGGGAAGAGGGATAGGTGAGCGAATGTCGAGATCCGCATCAGAAACCAAGTATAGATAGTCATCCCAGGCGTCGTACGAAGTCGGTGCAGGAGCCGTCGAGGGCCGCGGTCCGGGCGTGAAAGAGGATGGTCGAGGAGGGACAGCAATGGCAGTGTCATCGACACGAGCGTGACGAGTCGTTCGAAGGCCAAGCAGGGCGTCCAGATTGAAAAGACCAGATGGCGATTGAGCGCATCGCAAATCATTGGCGGACCGTCGAGGTTGCAGTGGTTTCCGACCGGTTCGTGAGCGGCGAGAGGATACCGGGCGCGAGTCGGATTTACGTGATCGTGGACCAGGTGATTGGGAAAGAGTGGCCGCAACAGGTTCGTTCGGAACCACCAGAGGCAGGAAGCGGGGAGAAGAAGGCAAAGGTGCAGTACCCATGCGATGAGCAGAACATGCCGAGATAGATGTCGAGGATCGGGCCGAGGTTGTATTGCGGGCGCGGTCACAATCAGAGAGTTTGCGAGCAGGCAGCAACGCAGGACCAGCGAGCCAAAAATCACGTTCGCCGACGTGGGACACATCAGGTAGGTGTGGTGGCAGTAAGTGTTTGCGAGGACCGGGTGTTGGCGCATCGGGTTCGTGGCCAATTCGTTTCGGCGTGTTTGGGACAGAGCGCGATCGTATCGCAGAAGATAAAGGCGTTGTCGGACGAGCAGGTGGTTGCAAGTCGATTGCGAACGAGTCGCGATCAATCATAACAGCATTTGTCCCAGAGGGGTCACCGAGGGCGAGCGAGTGGCGTTTGGCAGCATGATCCCGGTTGCGGTTACGAAAGGGAGCCAATACGCGTGACCAAAGAGTTGAGGTCGAGGTCGGTATGGATTTGCGAAGGGACGGATGGTGGAGCGTCATGTCAGGCGGTGTGCGGGAGGTCATGGCGGTACGATGATCGTAGCAGTGGTCATTGATGATCGAAGCAACATGGCGAATATGTCGCAGTCATGTAGAAGGCAATAGGGGTATAGCCAGGGAGGGGTAGAATGAGAAGGGAAGGAGGGTGGAGGGGGTAGCACGGTCAGATATTGATGTACCTGGAGCCACGACGGGCCGCAAAGTCCGGAACTCTTGTGCCCCTAGCCCAAAGCAAATCGAATGGACAGCTCTTGGCGGGAGCAACCACAAAGGCAGCATCTAAATGCGCTCAATTCAGAACGACCACTCACCTTTCGTGCCTTTTGCCTCCCCACCTTGCGCTGGCCATCATCATGGCTCGCAGGCGTCCCCGATTGACTCTCATCGTCATCTTCCGCTGCATCTGCACCTTTCTTGTCTCCATGAGAGCCAAACAGGCTACTCATGATACCATGTCCATGGCCGTGGCCTTGCCCTGACCGTGAGGGTGGGCTGGCAGGGCCACCGTCTTTTGAAGAGGTAGTAGAGATGGGTGGGCTGTTGTTGGGAGGACTGTTAGGGGGTGAACGGGAAGAGTGAGGATGAAGAATCTTGTCTATCAAGCCTGAGGCACCCCCACTAGAAGATGGGGATCCACTGGAAGTGATGCTATCACTGTGACTCTTGTCCTTGCGTAGAGAACTCTTACGGCCGAGGGGAGAGTTTGAGAAGAGGGAGTGGTGGGAGGACGATGTTTCTTCCACCTTTGCCTCGGCGCTGTCTCTGGCGTCGAGAGAGGCTAGCAATTGAGCAGCAATGTCCTCTCCATCGTCGTCGTATCCATCTGCCCCGCCTTGACTGGCCTGAAGGGTGAGATAGGATCAGGAGATAGAGGTGAGCATGTGTTCGCTTTCTTCTGGCTAGCGTCGTGTGTGCCGGGCTACTCACTGCGATATCTGCTCTGAGCGAGTCTGTGTGACCCCCAAGAGGTGGTCTTGCGCCTTTCTTCTTTTTGCTAGGCATGGCTGGAGGAGCAGTTGTACAATGTCAGGATGAATGGGGCGTGTGGAGTAGAGGAGGCCAGGGCGGGAGAAGGTTGTGTGAGGGCCGAGTCTTAATCTGGCCGGCAGGGGTGGCTGTGGGTGGTGCAATCGGATCGGAAGCGGCATCCGGCCGAGAGGGGTGGGGGGGCGTGTGTGTGTGTGTGTGTGTCTCCACCCCGGCTGGGATCTCCCCTGCGAGGGTCCAGCACTTGGCATGGCTCCGCTGCACGCGACTTGTCCCTCCGCGCTACGCTACCGACGCCTCACCTCCCCGCTTCCCGGCCCCTTTCTCTGCGGTCGACGGAGCCCCTCATCGTCATTGCCATCGACGACGATCCTCTACAGGGTCCTAACACTCCACACCTCTCTGCTTGCGCACCACGCTTTAGGCCCTGACTTTGTGCCTTGCATCCGCTTCATCTCTCCTTATCGCTCGCGCCGGCCTGTCACTTTCGCTTCACCCACGCGCATGACTGTATCAAGAGGTCTCTAGTCTCTGACCACAAACGGCACTCAAGGCGATGCCGCCAGCCTCGGCGGCTTTTGTCTCAAGCAGTACCGCTACATCGTCCACATGGCGCCACCCATCCACTGCCCAGCTCTTCCAGCTCACTCTGCTCATTGCTAATACCGCCGTGAGCTGGAATCGAAGGAGGATCAGCAACATCGCCGGTACAGCTAGCTTCACCGTATGGCTCTTCGCACAGAGTCCACAGCTGTACGAGAACTACCGGCGCAAGTCCGTTTCTGGCTTGTCCCTCGTCTTTCTCACCCAATGGATTGTGGCAGATGTCCTCAATCTTGTGGGGGCCTTCCTCACACAGCAGCTGCCCTTTCAGATCGCAGTAGCCTTCTACTTTTGCTGCGTAGACTGCGTCATCGTCTTTCAGTGGATACGTGAGTAGGCGATAGGACATCACAGTACGCAGGCTGATCCCGATCACCCGAGTCGTGCTCACATGCACGCCCTCCTCCTTCCGCTCTTCCCTTCTCAGGCTATTCTCAGATCAACCCCCCACCCAAGCTCTCAAGACCAAAGTACGAAAGACATAGAACACGCCATGCCAGTCACATTCATCACCGCACGCATACCCAAATGTCATCAGCCTCTTCTCACAAGTATCGTCCGACGATGACACAGTCCCTCACCCTGACCAGGCCTTCGCAATCTCCAGTGATCAGTAGTGGACCAGCTGGTCCCCCAGGCTATGCTTCGATGGAGAGCACTCGACCAGTGGACCAGCAGAGTAGGAGAGCTCAGTCTTACCCTGGAAGACCAATGGAGAGAGCCTCATCGGACGCTGGAAAGAATATCATAGCCAGGCTGGCAGGTACACATGGGGAGCAGAGCGAGAGGCAAGGCCGGGCCGGGCAGCGGGAGCACAAACGGCCAGAGTCACAGGCAGAGGCCGAGCGGAGAGACGAGGCAATTCTCTCTGCTCGAGCTCGCTCTCGTTCGAAGGCATCCTTGGCAATGACGGCAGGCACGGCCAGCACGGCATCGAGTCGAGCTGCCAGCCCCAACCCTTCCTCACGTGGTGGACCTAGCGCTGGTCCCTCCCGTTCGGTCTCTCCTGCTCGTGGCAGGTCTCAAAGAACGAATGATCCACAAGAGTGGCAGACATCTCAACATCAGCATCCTCATCACCATCAAGCGCTGAGTCTCAGACCCTCTGCCTCTCGTTCTCCGAGCTCCTCTTCTTCGTACAAGTTGATGACACAGGAGGCTCTGAGAGTCGCCTTGCTCGCCGAAAGGCTGGAGGAGCGGCGAAGCAGGCGAGGTCGGAGTCGTAGCAGCACTGCCAACACAGATACGGATGGCTACTTTGTTGGCAAGTACGACAATTTTGGTCTGCGGATGGCTGGCAGCCGGGAAGGAAGCAGAGGCAGCAGTAGGCGAAGTAGCATCGATGGGCAATCAGATGGGCTTCGCAGCAACAAGGGCAAGGCTAGACAGCACTTCCTCACTGTGCCGACGACGGACGAAGATGATTCGGAAGAAGGCGGAACGAGCGGGCTCACCATAATGATGGAAGGAGAAGCGACGGCGCGACCCAGCCCAGAAGGCTCCACATCCCCTCCGAGGCGCCACAAACTCAAGCGTCATGCCTCTGCACTGGGGAAGGAGCTGGATCCTCTGCTCCCCTTGGCAGACAAAAGGCGGAGCTCTCGTCGGGCAGGCCGATCGAGAGTGCACTCTGCGACGCAAGAGCAATCGACTGGCAGCGGAAGAAGCAAGAGCCGTAAAAGGAAAGCCACCTCTGCCGTTGCTGGCGTCTTCTCCCTGCTGGGCATCGGCAGTCTGGTGGGCTTGGGGGAAGTAGGAGACAGTGTGGGCTTTTGGGCCATGCCAGGAACAGCTAATGCAAGCGTGGTGCGGCCCATGCGAGAGCAGCAGGAGGTGAGGTGGAGACATCCGGTCATGCTCTACCCTCAGTCTACCGGTCAGAGAACGGGTCTAGGCGCCGAACGACCGGACGTGGTCGCATTGCACTTTGTCTCTGGCAATCGCGACGATGACGACCATCGGCATCATCGACACAATCCGCCTCCTACAACTCCTCTTCCCCCTCCTGACCCGTCTCCACCACCGCACGACGAGCGTCCTCCGGGAGGAGGCCCACCTCCACGAGCCCCCATCGACGTCCCCCTCCTCATCGGCCGCATTGCCTCCTGGCTCTGCACGATCCTCTACACCACCTCCCGTCTACCCCAGCTTTACCTCAATGCGCGACGTCGCTCCGTGGAAGGGTTGAGCATCTTGCTGTTCATGAGCGCATTCATGGGAAACAGCCTCTACTCTCTGTCTATCTTGAGCAGTCCAGAGGCAGTTGGGGAGGGAAAGAGGGAGTATCTGAGGGAAAGTATGCCCTTTTTGCTCGGTAGCGGGGGGACACTGGTGTTTGATGCGGTCATTGTGCTGCAGTGGTGGATGTGGGGGAAGAAGGGACAGGGGCAGCGCCGTCAGGAGAGTGATGGTGTTGTAGAGCGAGTCCCGGCGTGAACAAGCGAGCGAGCGAGGGTTGGGGTCGGGCCGTGCTCCGTATAGACCAAAGCGAACTGTAGATTGTCACACACAGCATACCTCGTCCATGTCCAGACATGCAATTACTATCTCTGTCACAATCCTTACCTCTATCGCAATCACTATCAGTGTCACTATCTCCCTGAGCATCCCTCTCGCGGATCGGACTAATGTTGCAAGACAGCGTGCATCGTGTGACCCAAGACACCCAGAAGTGCGGGGCTTGAACCCCTGGTCCCATCCTGTCGTGTCCTGTCGTGTCCTATCTGTCACAAGACGCCGAGTTGGGGAGAGACACCAAGTGCGGTTGCGGAAGTGGGTGTTGGTCGTCGGAGCTGATTGGCGTCCCCCCTCTGCCTGTGCCTGTGTCTGTGTCTGTGTCTGTGCCTGTCCCTGAGTCCGAGATAAGCGATGCAGCCGTGGGTTGCTTTTGCTGCTTCGACGTGGAAGTGAGTGTCCCAGTGCCCGGCGAATTAACCGAGGAAGCGCTGAGCCCCACTCACTCTCCCACTCCCCTCGGGTCCCGCTTCGGTGAACTACCCACCCTCACCAAGGCTGGATGCTGGAGATACCAGGCAGGGCAAGGACAGAGCGAGGGAGGGCTACTTCCTTCTTTCTTCTCCTCTTTGAACATACCATCCCAGGATATCGTAGTGGTACTTGCGCGCCTCCTCCTCATCTGCATCGTCGTCTCCCCTGACCTCTTACTCCTCCCCTCCATCCTCCTCATTCACCTCACAGCATCCTCATCTCACTTCTCTGGCTCCTCTCTTTCCTCCGAAACAATGTCAGACCTGCGCTATACACCCTCACCGGAAGAGGTCGAGGGCGAAAAGGGGATCAATGTCGAGGCACACCGTCATGCCGTGTCGTATGAAGACCTCAAGCCTTCTCGATTGGAGAGAATCATGGGCAAGAGGGTAGCGAGGGTGTATGCTGTGAGTATCCCCCAGCTGGCTCATTGTTCCACTCACACTTGCAGCTGATGCTGACCTGCGCTACCTTTATGCTCACCTTCCGTCCCCCACTCCTTCCAGAGTCCATACGCTCAGGTCGGCCTGGTGGGCATGGTCGCCTTCCTGTGCCCGGGCATGTTCAACTGCCTCTCTGGAATCGGCGGTGGAGGTCAAGTCAATGCAGACGCCTCCAACAAGGCCAGCATCGCCCTCTACTCGACGTTTGCCAGTGTATCCTTCGTAGCTGGTTCAATTCACAACAAGCTAGGCACCAGATGGACACTATGGCTCGGCAGTTTGGGCTACGTCATCTACGTCGCTGCCTTCCTCTCTTACAACTTTAATGCCAATGAAGGCTTCGTCATCTTTGCTGGAGCGCTGCTGGGTGTATGCGCCAGTCTCTTTTGGTCAGCACAAGGAGCACTGATGCTCTGCTACCCTTCAGAAGGCAACAAAGCTAGGGCCATCAGCGAATTCTGGGTCATCTTCAACCTGGGCGCCGTCATTGGCTCAGCCATCGCCATGGGCCTCTCTTGGAATTCAGCCACCGGAGCAGCACTGTCTAACGGGACCTATGCGGCGTTCGTTGTGCTCACTTTCCTCGGGGGAGGAGTGGCAGCGCTGCTCAAGGATCCAGCGACGATGATCAGGACTGATGGCTCGAGAGTCGTCGTACCCGTCAATACCACTTGGGCGCAGGAACTCAAGGGACTGTACGTCGTCCTGAGGAGCGACCCCTACATTATCCTCCTCTTTCCGTTGTTCTTTGCGTCCAACTTCTTCTACACTTGGCAGTTCAACGACTTCAATGGTAAGAACATAGAGCAGACGGTCACCACTTTCTAGTCCGCCTTGCTGACCCTTTTCCACTGTCCTGTCCCTTCCCAACAGGCGCCCTCTTTACACTGCGTACCCGCTCGCTAAACTCTCTCCTCTACTGGCTAGCCCAGATCTTTGGTGCCCTCTTCCTCTCCCTAATCGCCGACTCCTCCCATCTACCCCGTCGTACCCGCGCCTGGTGCTCCTGGGCCATCGTCACCCTCGTCGTCTTTGCCGTTTGGGGTGGAAGTTACTCCCTCCAGTCCCACTACACCAGAGCAAGTCTTAAAGCGGGAGTGCCAGAAGAGTACCCAATGGATCTTACTGCAGGGAGGCCTTATGCTGCGAGAGCCTTCTTGTACATCTTTTCAGGATTCATGGACGCGGTTTGGCAGGTCAACGTCTACTGGCTCATGGGTGCCATCTCCAACGACTTGGGCAAATTGGCAATGCTTGCTGGGTAAGTCGACACGCGGCGAGCACGAACTCACAGATCCCACCAAAATCAACCTCTCACCTTTCACCATCCCCTACCCCTCTCTTCACTTTACAGGTTCTACAAGTGTCTTCAAAGCGCCGGAGCAGCCGTGGCTTTTGGATTGGACTTGAATCTTCAACCTTACATGACCATCCTAGCCGTCACTTGGTCCCTCTGTGCTGCTGGACTCCTCTTTGCTGCTCCCCTCATTGCACTTAGGGTCAAAGAGAGGACAGAGGAGACGCGATTGGACCGTGGGCGCAGCGAGAGGGAGGCAGAGGCAGAGGTAGAGGGAGAGATGGAGGCGGAGAAGGAGAAGGAGAGGGATCTTAAGTGATTGAAGTGGGGCTGATCAGAACCAGTACCACCCGGACGCTTTCGACCTCTTCTCACTGGAACGCATGAGCATCAGCACCAGCATCAGCATCGGCATCCGGATCCCACTCCATTCCTCTAGTAGGCTCCTGTACCTTCCAGTCGTCTACCCTTTTGTGTCTCATGTCCCGCACACGGCCTCCATTGAACAATTCCTTGTCACCTTTCGCCTCGTTCCGCCGCTGTCCGACCTGTAGCTGGAGCTGGAGCTGTAGCTGGAGCTATAGCGCACCAAGTAAAGTAAGCTGTAATTCAACATCAACCCTTTTATTCCTCTTCTCTGCAAAAGGTCCAGGTCCGCTAAGCTTCGATGTTGCACGTTGTACGTATATGGAAATGGTCTGTATCATCTGGCTGAATTGAGCGAGGTTGAGCGAACAGGGACAGGATTTATTCTGCTTTGACGAGACCTGACCCCTTCCTTCCTTTCCTCTCTTCCCTCCCTGCAGTCTACCACCAGCCAGCCTCTCCCCTGCCCCCCCCCCCCCCCCCTCTACTCTCGTGCATCCTCGTCTACCTCCCCCTCTGCCCCCCTCTCAATTGCCTCCAAGCAAAACACTAATCGCCCCCTCTACACTTCCTCCAGAGATAAGCAGCGCCCTCAAATTAGCAGGACCATCGACAAAGCCCATATCCCTCAGACTCTGCAACTGAGAGGCAAAGCGCTCCTCCGGTGGGGGCAAATTGCTGGCTTGGGATGCTCCTCCTCCTCCTCCAGCAGCACCCCCTGCTGCTGCTCCTCCAGCTCCACCAGCGCCGGCACCGGGACCAAAGAGGTTTCCTAGAGCCGCAAAAGGGTTGCTGCCGTTGCCTCCTGCGGGATTGCCGAATCCTCCTGCGCCCGGTTGCATGAGTTGACGCATACTGTAGGTGAGCCAATGGTTGGTAAAGGCAAGAAGAGGGGTCAGTGCCAGTGTCAATCGCAATCGACAGATACGTCATCTCTTCTCCTCTACTCACAAGGGATCGTTGAGCATCTCCATTGCCCTCTCGCGATTTGGGGCTTGTCCACCAAATCCGCCCATACCACCCAGACCGGCGAGGGCAGCAAAGGGGTCCTGTCCTGCTGCGCCGCCCGCACCACCAGTCCCCGCTGTGGCTCCTTCGGCTCCTCTCTGTCCCTGTCCACCTGGTCCACCAGGAGTACCAAAGGCGCCCGGTGGTGGCCATTGTTGTTGCTGTTGCTGCTGACCACCTCCCATGCCGCCCAGACCTCCTAGTCCGCCCAATCCGCCCAACCCACCAGCGCCGCCGCCAGAACCGCCCATGGCTTCCTGGATCTGCATCATTCTCCTCATCGTTTCTGGATTTGTCATCATGTCTACGAATTCGTCCGACTGCATCATCTGGCGCAGCTGAGGGCCCATGCCTGCCATTTGGGGGTTCATGGCAATCATCTGTGCGACGGTAAGAGGCAAAGGGCATTCAAGTATTTTAGCATTCTGCATCGCTTCCCTCGTTCTGTAGATCCCATCTTTCTCGCTAGCTAAGCACGCCTTCTCTGGCACTCACCTGATCAATGACCTCTGGTCTCCTCAGCATACTCCTCATATGATTCTGGAAATCGGGGCTGTCCAATGCATTCATCATCATATTAGGGTCTGCAGGATTCATTCCATTCTGCTGAAAGAGATTTCTTCCGATATTGGCCATGTGTGGTCCAGCAAGATCGGCCCGATTGAGAGCAGCCATGGGATTATTGGCAAATTGCTGGCCAGCACCAAAATTGGAGGGGACACCTTGAGCTGCAGAGGCCGAGGCGGCCGCTGGGGCTGCTCCTGAACCAGTGGAAGGAGTGCTGCCCCCTCCCGCTGCTCCTGCACCTGACCGAGCTGCTCCCCCTGATACCCCTGCTGGGGAGGAAGTGGTGGTAGGGTTGCCAGTGGTGGGAGCAGAGCGAGAGGCGGACTTGACGAGGTGAACGGTATGATTGTTCTGCAGCTTGTAGTCGCTCAGCGGCTGTTCATCTTTGAGCACCTTTCCTGCATAGATCAGACGTTGACTGCAGGACGCAAAGTTCCGGGAGAGGAGATAGAGAGGAAGGCATGTGGAAGGGAGGCGCAAGAGATATACAGAGGTCAGCTCATCTCCACGTCCCTTGCCACTTCCACCCTTCTCCTCCTCTACTTGAAGCTCATGCCCTTCATGTACGCACCTCTCAACAGGCACATCAGCCTTCTGCTTTGCAATCTCCTCCTTGAGCTGCTTGACTGTCGCATCGCTTTCTACAGTAATGGAGAGCTTGATCTCGGAGGGGCCCTTGATATTGACCGTGATGGTCGAGTCTGCCATGGCTCTTAATCCTGATCGATTGGGTGTAGTGACTGGAGATGGAGAGGTGGTTATGGAGTGGGTAGAGGGGGGTTGACGGCTATTCTCCAAATGTAGAATGTCAGATTCTGAAGCTGGTATGGTTGGTGATGTAAGTGGTGCCTTGGTGAGGAGTATGACCGGGGCAAGGATGAGTGTAGACTATGGCCGAGATTGGCTCATGGCCGCACGACCAGCCAAGTGGAGTCGCACGCGCACCGACGCCCAGCCAAGGCCGCCCTCTGAGCCAAGCAGCACAGATCATACATACACAAACAGGCCTCACCGCCATTGTCCCATTCAACGACGATGCTCATTCGAGAGACAAGAGATTGGACAAGGACACGACATGGTCTCAAGGACTTTAGGAAACCTTCCGGCTACTCAGTACTGCTACGACTGCTCCACCACCGCGATACCTGATCCCTCCAACCCTTTCCGTGGTCCCATAGCGTAGCACCTGCCTTGCCTCATCCCAGCATGGCGAACGAGCTGCCAAGAAGAACGACTGCAATCATGGCGGACGCTCCATAGATCTGCATGTCGTGTCCATGAGCAGCGTTGACGCTATCTCCGCTGGTCAGGGTCCCATTCTTGGCCGTGCCACTCGCAGCGGTAGCGGTTGGGTGATCAACAACGGGAGCTGGGGCAGTGGCCTTCGTGGCGTTCCCATCGCTATCCTTTGGTACACTGCTCGTAGAATTCTGGCCTGCGGTGTTAGGGGCGTCTGCCGAGGTGGAGTTGCTGGAGCCGCCTCCGGGGTTCGCGCCAGGCGAAGAGCTACCATCCTGCTGACTGGTAGAGCCTCCATCGCCAGTTGGAGGAGCGTCACCGAGAGGCGTGCCATGGGGCTGGCGAGTCGTCACGGCAGGCACCCTTCACTTGTCAGCACAGGGTGTCCACCTGCATCAATCTCTCGCGTATTGCTCAAAGACCCGGCTGGCTCACCTTGACAGTGAAGACGTCAGAGGTGAAGTACACCTGTGCTTTATCCTTTTCGTAGTTGCTGAAAGGGCCAGAGGTGAGGCAAAGGGCAATAATGAGACAATGTGCAACAGCTCTCCACGAGTCTTGCTAGCCAGAGCCATCTATCAGACTCACGAGCTGTTGGTGAAGAGCATCTTGTACTGGCCAGAAGGGATGTTGATGATCTGGAGCTCAGCTGTGCCCGCCTTGGTCTTGAGAGCATTGCCTACTTGAAAGTTGCCATTGAGAGACTTCTGGTCCTCGTCCAACAGATGTACGTCGAACACCTCTGGATCTCCGGCGTCGGCCTTCCAGTTGAGGGTGTTGGTTTCTCCAGCCTAGTGATGAAAGGTGTGGAGAGCGGTGGGATCAGGAGCAGCTGAGTGGGAAAGGGGTGAAGGATGACTCACTACCCAGTAAAAGGACGATGACGGAGAGGTAAGCGTGAAGGCTTCGACATTCGTGGTCAGTGGTGAAACGAAGATAGCCAAGGCCAGGATGACGGCGAGGACAGAGTGTGTCAAGGCGCTCATGGCGATAGCGTGGCAGTAGCCTTTGGGTAAGAGAAGGTGAGTGTCGAAAGGCGCTTTTGCTAGACTCGGGAGGTCTTTCAAGTGATGTAGGCCGTAGGGAAGATGGGAGGGCGAGAAGGGGAGCGGGAACGACGTCTGAGGTACGATGTTCGACGTACGACATTCTGGGCGCGGTCCCTGGTGCGTCGGCGCAAAGGGCTGAAGCGATCGAATGTGTTGCCGCGGTCGGCGTCCTTCAAAGCACGCACGCCGGGATAATCTACTCAGCCGGCTGCAGCAGGTGGCAGTGCTACGCCTTTGGTATCGTAGCTGTGTGACGAGGCTCAAGTCAAGAATAGAGGTGGGATACTGGTCCTTATACCTCGACAGGCAGAGATCCTTGTCCAGCCAGCCTAGCCTAGCCAGCCTGGCCGTCGCTGACGAATAGAGGACTCAATACACCTGCTGAGAGGAGGGTGCACCTGATCGGAGGAATGCTATCCGTCGTGCCACGCCGGCGTCCAACAGTATGCAGCTCCCCGCAGTCGGGCCCTGGCAGCCACCTCGCATCGCATCGCTTCTACCACGGAGACGTCGGCATGTCAGCTGGGGGTCAATGTGTCTCACCTCCAGGCTCACCTCCGATATCAGCCGAGGCTTCCATCCGCTCCCATTCCCCTTCCTTGCCATCATACGCTTCCCTGCTCCCACCACCTCCGCAACAAGTCCATGCTCAGCACTACTTGCCCATCATGCTCTCAACATCATATGGCTTCATGCAGACTGCTAGCCCCTCGACGCCAGCCGGCAGTCCAGTCGCCTCACTTACCACCCCCAGAGCCAATCCAAATGGCTCCAGAAGTCCTACCCCTACCCCTTCGCCTACGTCCTTCTTAATCCCTCACTCCTCCAAAAGCGGCAAGACGAGCGGGAGTAGCAGCAAGCACTTTAATGCGAGCTTGCACATTCACGAGTCCACCTCAAAACAGATTCTCAAAAAGATGAGCTCCGTATCTCGCCTCAGAAGCCGTCAAGCAGCAACCGTCTCCACCGAGGGCAGTGTAGGCACCAACAGTACCTTCTCCACATCCACGGCACCTTCTATGCCATCCTCACCTACCACAGCTGCCCATGTGCAATCCCTGCCCCGTCATCAGGACCCCTCACCACCTAGCCGTCGACATAGCGGCAGTTCCGATTTATGGGGCAGTCCACTAGATGCCGAGGCCGTCGCGCTCGGCTTAGTAGCACCTCACCTACCTGACAGTCTGCCCACAACACCGAGGACGCCCCTGGCAATGGGATCCGTCTCACACGCTGCTAAGACGCATTCGCCAAAGATGCCCTTTCGACGGTTGCTCAAGGCGCCATCAGGCTTCAAGCTCCATCATCCCTTCCAGCACAGGCATACGCAGAGCATCGAAGAGCACATGGACGACAGCTTCGACCAGAGGCGTCGTCCATTTGATCTCAATACCTACCCAGCGCTCTGGAGCCAAGCTGACGAGGCAAACGTCCTCAACACCCGATCTTCTAACGCTTCTAAGCGTCCCCTGCCTCATCGAGGCACTTCGGAAGATCAAGGAAGAGACCGCCCCTCTTCAAGCCCTTCGGTCTCAAGCAGCCTCCTGGTACATGGCAAGGATCACCTCCTACAACCACCGCTTATGCTCAGGAGCCAGTCCCACTCTGTCTTCAGAGAGGAGCAGCGGCAGTCTCCGCGAGACCGGCGCGTAACGAGGCCCCACTGGGCTACTAACGAGATTCACAGCCCACCTCGGGCCACGACTAAGACTGATCAAGGCGCTCGAGTCCCCCAAACCCTTGCGCCTTCTATGCTGCCTTTCAGTACATCACTCGATGGCGATGTAGTCGAAGATTGCCGCCCGCAGTCTGAGCACGAGACCTTAGATCACTTGTTCACCTCTCCCGCATCAAGTCACACATGGCTAGCCGCTCAGGGCTTGATGTTCTCCTCTCCCAACACAATTTGCCCAAGGAAGTCTACTGAAGGCAGAAAAGGATTCAAAGCGGTCAAGCAAAAGAGAGGCAGGGGGAGGTCGATTGCTCTGCCTCCTCCTCTGGCCCCGCCAACAGGGCCTTTGCCTCCTCTACCTTCGGCAAATCAGGCAACTCCCCCATCGTTTTCATTGATCCATGCACCTTCCCGCTCAGATATTCAAGGTCGTGAGATGCCAGACTCGGACCTGATGACCGCATCACTTCCCTCTTCGCCTGTGAAACGCCACACACGTAGACAAGCACACGAAGAGCGCACAGTGCCTTGGATCAGTCAGGCACCTTCAGCTTGGATGGCCAGAGGCAATGGTCGACGTAGTCACAGGGTTGCTTTCACTGGCAGCAAGGCATCTCCGAGTAGGGAAAGCAACCTCGCGAGTGACCTGCCAAGGACTCCCGCTCCACCGTCCATGTCCTTAAAGAGCGCTGATATGAGGCAGACTCGCAGCGCAATGACTAGCTTCGCCAGTCAGATCATGCAGAGGTCTGCTTCTCTACCTGAACCTCGGCTTTGCTTCGTTGAGACGGTCAATGACGTCTTCTTCGATGGTAGTCATATAGACGACGACGATGCTGAGCAATGTCAGACGCCTACTTCTGGCTCCTACGCTACCGTGCCGCACTCGCTGCAATCATCTAGGCACTCACCCCTGAAATCAGCTGCCGATGTTGCGAGCGGTGTCACCGATGGTCGATCAACCCCAGCTATACCTAGGCGATCAGGCTCGCTCGTTGCCTTGTCTGACGCGTATGAGGCTCAAGCTCTGGACGACGAGGGAAATGCTACACAAGAGACGGTGGGTCTTTCCTCGCTTTCGTCGAGCCCTAGCTCCAAAGGATTGAACACCACTGTCTCTACGCTGGAACCCTCTTCGGAAGACTCTGAGTTGTCCTACCTGCCGCCGCCAACCTCGCCCTTTATGCCACGCTCGCTCACCACTGACACACCTTCTCTGTCAATGCTTGGAAGCGACACGTTCAGGGACAAGGAGAGGAGCAAGCCGAAGATCGAGGTCACCTTTGGAGACACACTTGTTGAGAGCAAAGAGACGATAGCGGGGAGCTCTAGCCCTGGTGAAGCGAACGATTCCATTTCCTCTCGAGACAGCAGCATGTGGGAAAGGGAGAAGATCAAGCCTGTGGAGCTGGACGAAAGCTTTGTAGGCAGGGGCAGGTCGGTCAGTCATACCTGGGATCCTGAGACAGAGGTGAGTAGTTGGGGTGCTCAACTATCAGGTAAGCCGTCCTCTGATTCCTGGTCTTTCTTCTCCCCTCGCGTCCGTTGCATTCATGTAGCAAATCGTCATGAATTATCTGAACCTAAGCAGTCGCAAGAGATCCGGCTCATCTGTCGCTGGTAGCACGCCTTGACGGCAGGAAGATTGAGAGCTACGCTCTTCTCAAGGAATCCTCACGTCTAGAAGGGAGGATGTGCATCTTAACTGTACAGTAACATTCGTCACCATAGTGTTGAGCACTAGAACATCGTGTCATTGTCTTTCCCGAATGGTCCCGGCAGCCCAGTAGGCAGGGCTCACGATGGCATGACGTCTGACTGAGGGCGCAGCCCACCTGATCAGATTAGTAGCTCTGATGGCAGATATCAAGCAGACACGCTGACCGTGAGCATTGTCGATGGTCGTACAATGTAAAGGTGAACGCAAGGGCTGCCTTTGCTTTTGCTTAGATTAGACTACTGGCGCATGATGCTTGGGTGGCCCCTGCATTTTGCCCCACTCGGCTGATGTGCTGCCCGCGTCTTTTGGCTGTGCGGAGGCGACGTCTGCTTCTGTTCTCCTGATCCTCTTCTGTATCACATCCTCATCATCTTATTCCGGTTGGCAGCATATAGCATCATCCCGTCATCGCCGTCATCACCACCCCACCCCACCTCACCTCACCCCCTCGCCATGACTTCGTCCCTCGTGGCTGCTCGGCCTGCGGGTCGATGCAACATGAGAGGCGACTGTGGCAAGGCTTCCCTCTTCTCCCCAAGCCTGCCCTGCGCCCTCGACGAAGCACAAGCAGAACAGCCAGACGATGAGCTACGAGCTTCTCTCACATCCCTCTGTGGATCAGCTTACGCACAAGGACCCGTATGCTGCACAGCCCCTCAGGTCGAAGCACTCGCTGCCAATTTGCAGAGAGCCGAAGCACTCATCTCCTCCTGCCCAGCCTGTCGTAACAATTTTCGAGGTTTCTTCTGCACATTCACCTGCTCACCAAACCAATCTCAATTCCTCGACATCTCTTCTTCTCAAAAGACTGGTGGTGGAGAGGATGGAGATACAGCAGTCAAGAGTGTGGAGTACTGGGTGACGGAAGACTTCAAGAGGGGCTTCTTTGACAGCTGCAAGAATGTCAAATTTGGCGCATCCAATGGTTTCGCAATGGACCTCATCGGTGGGGGAGCAAAGGAGGCAGATGAATTCCTCAAGTACATGGGTGATGAAAAGCCCCTTCTTGGCTCCCCTTTTCAGATCAATTTCCCTCATGCTGATGCAGCAGCTACAGGCAAGAGCAGCGGCAGCGATCAGACCCCTAGCAATGTCTCCTTCTCGTCTTCTCTTCCTGCTTTACCCTTCGAGGGCCCAGCAAGGGGCTGCGCAGATCCTGATCTCTCCTCAAGATGTGCTTGCACCGACTGTCCCGAAGTCTGTACGGTGTTGCCTCACCTCGATCCACCGCAACGAGGTGTGACGTGCAGAGTGGGAGCCATCTCGTGCTACTCTTTCGCCTTGGTCATCATCTACGCTCTCGGCCTTGTCGCTGCTATCGTTGGATACGGAGCTGGCAAGAGGATCAAATCTCGGCGGCACAAGAGGATAGGCATCAGGCATCGGACCAGCGGGATCAGCGTAGCCAGCGAGGGCAGCGGATACGAGCGTGTGAGGCTCAGCACAGAAGATGAGGCGGAAGGGTCCTTAGATCACAGTCCCCAGAGCTCAAATGGCGGCAGAGGAGAGAACGTCGGTCTCCTGGGAGCTCGAGGTCTTGGTGGATTCGATGGAGAAGAAGAGTCCAACTCAAGCGCCGGCGCCGGACCTCATCGTGGTCGCGGTCTGGGAAGCTTCGGCTCAGGCTCGATAGACGCCCTTGGTACAACACAACCTCGGACGTACGCCCTGCAAAACGTCCTCACCTCCTTCTTCTACAAGCTAGGGCTCCTCGTCACGCGGGCTCCTCTGCTCACCTTCGCAATCTCGCTCATCTTTCTGGCCTTGTGCAACCTCGGCTGGTCCAGCTTCCGAGTGGAAACCGATCCGGTGCGGCTGTGGGTTGCTCCGAACTCCGAGTCGAAGCTGCAGAAGGAATACTTTGACGAGCACTTTGGACCCTTTTACCGGACACAGCAGATCTTCTTGATGGACAAGGAGGGCAAGGACTTTGTACGCACGCCTGATCATTTGCAGAGACTTGGCGAAATCGATCAGCTTCCCGCTGCTCTCAACTTTGAACGGTTGCAATGGATGCAGGATCTCGAGGCGGAGATTAGCTCGCTGCAGTCCAAGCCGAGTGGATACAGACTGCGAGACGTTTGCTTCGCGCCCACTGGGGCAGGCAAGTGCGTCGTACAGTCTGTGCTCGGCTACTTTCAGAATGACCTCGATGGCGCTGGCGTCGATGGCTCGAATTGGAAGGATGCTGTCAACTCGTGCGCTGGAGCCCCGGCTGAATGTCTACCCATCTTTGGTGCCCCGATGAAGAGTAACGTCATCCTTGGAGCGATCCCAGAGAGCATCTCTGAGCCAGTCCAAGGTGGCAATGCAGTCCACACCCGCCCTGGAGAACCTTCCGATGCCCGTTCGGCTGTCATCACGTACGTCGTGAACAACTCCCTTAACAAGACAGAGGTCGCCATCGCTGAAGAGTGGGAGAGGGCGCTGGAGGACCTACTCTTCAGCATTGCTGGTATCAACAATGCACCTGTGCATCCTTTGGGAGTCAGGAGACAAGATCTGGGACTGGAACTCGCCATTAGTACCGAAAGCAGTCTACAACAAGAGCTGGGGAGCTCTTCCAATACGGATGGCCCGACCATCGTTGCTTCGTACCTCCTGATGTTCTTGTATGCGGCCATGACACTCGGTGGCGGCACAGCGAGCGGCATTATCGCAGATCGCATCGGCTCCAATCGTGCAGCCACCTCCCGAGCTAACCAAGCAGCTCCTCATGGGGCTGCTCTGCGGACCGGACTCGCCGGAAGAATCATGGGCTTCATGCCCAGTCGTGCCTCCTCTGGCCAGCGCAGAGCTGCGTCTCAATCAATGTCCTCCTCTAGCTTCAACACTCGGATCATGCGACGCTTCTTTGTCAACTCCAAGTTCACACTAGGCCTCTTCGGCATCGTCATTGTTCTGGCCTCTGTATCCTCGGCAATCGGTCTCCTGTCAGCAATGGGTGTCAGCACGACGTTGATCATTGCGGAAGTGCTGCCTTTCCTCGTACTCGCAGTCGGAGTTGACAACATCTTCCTCCTCTCCAATGAAATGGACAGGCAGTCCACACTCTCAAGTACTGCTAATCCATACTCATCTGCGAGCCTGGCCAGGAGCGGAATGCCACCGGCTGGGCTTCAAGGGCGGGAATCTCTCGACATCGATTCTACGGAGGAGGGAGACGATGACGACATCTTCGGAGGGCCAATCGATGCGACTCCTCAGTTCCACCTCTCCTCCTCGGAGCGAGCAGCAAGAGCACTATCGCGGATGGGTCCTTCCATTCTCCTCTCGGCAACGACGCAGATCACTGCTTTCCTTTTAGGAGCAATCGTGCCCATGCCTGCTGTGCGCAACTTTGCTCTCTATGCGGCCTTTTCCATGTTCATCGTCTTTGTGCTGCAGTGCACTTGCTTCGTGGCAGCTATGAAGCTCGATGCTGATCGTACGGAGAGCAGTAGAGTGGACTGTTTACCCTGCTTCAGGCTGTCAGGCGCAATTGCCCTAGGCAACGGTGCAGGATCGATGGTCCTCCCGCATGCCAGTGAGGGCGTCCTTGGCCGCTTCATCCGGAGGTACTACGCCGCTACGCTCGTCAAGCCTTTTGTGAAGAGGATCGTACTGGTTCTTTTCTCGGGGCTGTTCGTCCTGAGTCTCATTGGCGCTCGCAAGGTGGAGATGGGACTGGATCAGCGATTGGCCCTGCCTACCACTTCGTACCTGCGTGACTACTTCAACTCGCTCGACGCATTCCTCGATGTCGGACCTCCCGTCTACTTTGTAGCTCGTCAAGTCGACCCAAGCCATCGCAAAGATCAGCAAGCCCTCTGTGGTCGCTTCACCACCTGCCACGACCTCTCGCTAGCCAACGTACTAGAGGGCGAGCGCAAGCGTCCTGCCGTCTCTTTCCTCGCGGAGCCTGCAAGCTCCTGGGTCGATGACTTCTTCACCTATCTCAACCCGGTCCTGGAGAGCTGCTGCAGAGTCAAGAAGGCAGATCCTATGCAGTTTTGTCTACCTAGAGATCCAGAGAGCCGCTGTCAGCCCTGCTTCCAGGATCGGGCTGTGCCGTGGAACATCACACTCGAAGGTATGCCTCAAGATGAAGAGTTCATGCGGTACCTGGAGCATTGGCTGCAGGCGCCTACGAATGAGGATTGTCCCTTGGGTGGTCAGGCTTCCTACTCTGCTGCTTTGAGCATCGTCAATCGTGCATCGAAAGAGTCGAGGCCGACTGAGAGCCTCCTGCGACAATCTTCGGACTCTCTCTTCGACATGCCTGAGGTGCGCGCCGCAGAGGCGGACAAGAACGTCGTTGCGAGCCACTTCAGGACATATCACACTCCCCTCCGCTCCCAAGCAGACTTCATCGACGCTCTCAAATCCGCACACCGCATCTCTGCCGATATCACCTCTGCCAATTCAGTCGGTGACGGTGCAGGCGAGGTGGAGCTGGAAGTCTTTCCCTACTCGATCTTCTACGTCTTCTTTGACCAGTACCTACACTTGATCAAGATTGCCACTGTGGTTCTCGGCGGGTCTCTCCTGTCCATCTTTGCCATCACCACTCTCCTCCTCGGCTCCTGGCGCACAGGACTAGTAGTGACCATCAGCGTCATCAGTGCCCTGACTGGCGTGGTGGGCTTCATGGGCATAGCCGGTATCGGGTTCAATGCCCTCACCCTGGTGAATCTCAGCGTATGCGCTGCCATCTGCGTGGAATTCCAAGCGCACGTAGCAAAGAGTTTCATGAAGAGTCCTAGCTATCTACCCCGTGGACACCCAATGGCCCAGAAAGCCCGCGATGAGAGAGCTTGGAGCGCTCTGAGCGATGTAGGCGGTTCGGTCCTGAGTGGAATTACCGGCACCAAGCTCGTAGGAATTTCCGTCTTGGCTTTCACCCGCTCGGAGTTGCTCAGACTGTACTATGCTCGTATGTGGCTAGCCTTGATCCTCCTTGGTGCCACGCATGGGTTGATCCTACTACCTGTTCTGCTGAGTTACTTTGGTGGTGCGGGTTATGCTTCGCATGAGGATGAGGGAGAGGTGAGACATCGTTTGCTTAGGGCGCAGGATACGGCAGAATATCGACCATTTGCTGGGGATGAAGAGGAGGAGGAAGAAGATGAGGATGAGGAGGCGGGGAGTGTGGATAGTAGAGAGGGGAGGTACTGAGGGAGGAATCAGAAGCGAGGCAGGGGTTCTCTACATCATGTCGTTAGTCTGACGTGCTACAAGTAAATAGGATACAAAACAGATTGAACACTAATTCACAGCTTCTCAAAGGCAGACGTTACTCCTCACCTTGCCCCTTCATCATCGTCACCTGTCTCTCCCACTCTCTCCTAACAACATCAGGCCACCACTCCTCCATCAACCCCTCATCTTCACTCCTCACATCCGGCCTCTGTCTCTCCGCCCTCTGTCCACCCTCTCTCGCTCTACCCCTCACCAACAACGTCTTCCTCACTCCTGCACTAATCTTCCCCTCCCACCCGTCCCTCGGTGCGAACCCCTCTCGCTCCCTCTCGTCCAGCGGTACCTCATCCACCGGCCGCGTACAAGCTCGGAGCAACATCTCCCCTCCTTCTTCAGGCGTGGCGATAAAGCTCACAAGGGGCGCGAGGAAGGGGAGAATCCAGAGTGTTGCGATGCGGGCGAGAGGGGAGGTTTCTCGACTGAGCCCAGTGGAGGGGATGAAACCTGGTTGGACGGCGATGACTTCGATGCGTGGGCTAGAGCTCGAGCTGGAGCTGGAGGAGTCGATTTGAGCGGAGGTAAATCCGCGGGGAAGAGGAAGGGATTGGAGCTCTTTGAGGAGGCGCTGTACACCTAGCATCTGTAGGAATTTCGAGGCGCCATACGAGCCCATGAGGGACCATGCAGGTGGAGGTGCGCTTGAGTCTGAGGAAGGGTCCGAGGAAGAGGCAGTGGTAGGGCCAGGATTGAAGAATGCGTCTAGATGCTTGACGTCCTTGATCTGTCGGTGCAGTGCCGAGGAGGTAAAGACGATGCGTGGGACGGGGGAAACGGATTCACCTTGCGTCTGCTGTGCATCTGCACTGCTGCTACGTGACCCTAGCAGAGCAGGTGCGAGTAGAGCTACGAGAAGCTGCTGGGCTGAGCAGTGCGACAAGGGGGAGGGGAAGATACAGTGAGCAAGCGCCTCTCCTTGTCCTTCAGCATAGCCCCCATATGGTCATCAGTGACCACTCACAGACGTGATTCACACAAGCACTCTCCTCGTACCTTCCCTCTGCATCGCTCAATTTGTCCCCCTTCTGCCGTTCCCCAGCAGTAGCGGTTATAGCATCCTCATCAACTACGAATTCCCTCTTGGCCTTTGCGACGGCCGCGTTGAGCAGCAGGACATCGATTCTCCCTGGAGCGATCCGCTCGAAAGCTCTTGCACTCGCACCCGCACCCGCACTCGCGCTAGCAGTCGTCGAAGTTGAAGAGCCAGAGCCAGAGCCAGAGCCAGAGCTAGAGCTAGAGCTGAGGTCAGCCTTCCTGTGCGATAGGTCGCTCAGTAGGCTCTTGGCCCCCCTCCGTACACTCCGCAACAAAGCCAAGTCCATCTCCCTCACTTCAACAAACGTCTCCCCCGTCCCTCCTTTCCCTCCGTCACCAGACGAGGCACTCATCGCCTCTAATTCCTGTCTCGCTCTGACGATATGTGGAGCATTTGGCTTTCGAGCTAGGAGGAGGATATGGTACGGTGGGGGTAAGTGAGGGTTGGGAGGGGAGAGGAGTAGTTGACGGATGAAGTGAAGACCCTTTGAGCGCAGCGCAGCGCAGCGCAGCGGAGCGGAGGAACGCAGGCCAGAAGTAAAGGACAAGGGGAGGGAGGCAGGTAGGGAGGGAGGGAGGGAGGGACTGTCAGTCTGTCTCACTCCAGCGCTATTTGCCTGCCTGTCTTCTTGCCAAGGGATACCTACAATTCCACCCGTGCATCCCGTAGCAACAATTCTGCTCCCTACTGTCCTCCGTACAGCCGTCGCGGTACTACTACTGCTACTGCCGCTACTGGCGCCAACGATGGCGGCGGCAGACATCCTTTTTTGAGTCCTCTTAGCGCTGGAAGCTTAGAGCTTGAAGCTTGGAGCTGGATTGCCGCGAGCCTGGCCAAGGTCTTGTGCTTTGTTCCACCCTCTCGAAGGGTTCGACCCAGGTAGAGCGAATGTTCGGTCGACTAGATAACGGTAAGCTTCTCTACTCGAGGTCCGTCCTCTCTTCTCTCGGCCGATTGCCGACTGCCGGACTGCCCGCCGTCCTGCCTCCACTTCCTCTCTCATCTCATCTCATCTCATCTCATCTCATCTCATCTCATCTCATCTCATCTCACCTCCGCAATACATTCCAAGCGTATTCGCTATGGAGAACACACATGAACGTTCACACCAGAAAGGGGGCAGAGCAAGGCATCGTCCATTGGATAGAGAGAGAGAGAGACTGAGAGAGAGAAAGAAAACAGGGAGAGAAAAACGCCCCTCATCGATCCAGTGGACCGGAAGAAAGGCTCCTCGGTCCATCTGATCCTGTACAAAGGGCGTAGGCGTGGGGGGAGAGTGGAATTGAGAGAGAGAGAGCCAAAACAAGTATATTTACGACTGGAAGAACAGGGGCGGTGTGGGGAGGGGGCAAACGGAACAAAGGAAAAGGGGAGAGAGAGAGAAGGAGGAAGAGAGATGTTTGCTGTATTGGATGGCCATGGGCGATGATGGGCTTTGAGGTGTTCGTGAAATGCGTAAAGGGGGTCTCGAGATGGAGGAGAAGGAGGAGGAGCAGCAGGACAGATACGCCGAGAGAGGAAGGAGGGAGGAAACAAGAGGAAGGATCAAAGGTGGTCACTGCCCTCGCTCGTCCATCCATCAATCTAATCCATCCCTCTTTGCGCAAGTGTAGGTCCAATACCATCCAATCCAGTCCATTCCATGCTTCTTGTCTAGATGCTGTCGCAGAGGGAGCAATGCAGGTCGATCACGTCCGAGAAGACGATCGGCACTGCAATCAGGGCGGCGAAGACGGCAAAGGAGAAGATGAACAGCAGTCCATACCGTGCGACGATGCTCCTCCTCTGTTTTCTCGCTCGCAGCGAAAAGATGGGCGCGTGGATCTGGCGCGATGGGCGCAACCAGAAGAGGGCTGTAGAGTGCAGCTTGTCAAAGTATGGGATGAGAAGCGGCAGCGACAGTCCAAAGAGGAGGATGTGGCAGCACACAAAGTCGGCTGCAAACAGCGACATCTCAATGACCTTGACCAAGTACTCTCGTGCGGGTTGCGAGAAGGCGTGTCCACCTGTACCCATGCGCCACACCTTTCCAGTCCAGAAGGCCTTGTTGGCCTCGTCGTGCTTGTACTCTCGCGACAGCACAAGAGCGATGAGGATCTTGAAGATGGCACGCTGGATAGCTACTGTAGCAATGACACCCAAGACGGCGTGCGAGGTGTTCCACAGCTCCAGGAACCAGAGGAACTCAAAGGAGACGATCATGCCCACGACCGAAAGCAAGTGGGCAATGGCAGCCATTACCGATCCAAACTTGGAGCAGCACCTGTTCAGTGCGGGACCCAGGAAAATCGAGATCATGAAGACGGTCAACAGAACAGCCATGTTCCAGACAATGGGTCCAAGTGCGATGATGGCAATGCGCACAATGGCTCCCTGAGCAGGAGTGGAAGTCGTCGAGACACTCTTGACGAAGGCGTAGGCGATGACGAAGACAACGGCCAAGGTAATGGGTCCGATGACCTCGGCGAAGAGGATGGTCCTCCAACCAGCTCGGGGCACGTCACCAGCCAGCTTCTCAGAAGGGTGACCCAATCGCTTCTTCTTGTATCCAGTGACCTTGGTCCTTGACAGCCTGCAGTAACCGATCCACGAGTTGGCGTGCGACCTCGAGTTACCCCTAGACATCCATCGCAAGAACTCTCGGTAGTCAATGACAAAGTCCGAGATGGCGAATTGATGAGGGTTGAACAGGAAGGGTGCAATGCACAAGGCCAGAATCGAGACCCAGAAGTAGATCAGATGCGGGATCCAGAGCGTCAAGGTGACGTAAAGGAGCATCAGCAGCAACCTCATACCGGTGTAGATCGAAGGGCCAGCGAATCGAGAGTAGAGCAAGGCGAAGCTCTGTCGCGTAGTGGCGAAACCACGTCCAGTGGCAATGTAACGAGCACCACCAAAGGTCAAGTTCGAGATGATAGAGTGCGAGTAGATCATCGTCGAGAAGACCTCAAAGACGGGCGAGAGCGACAGGAAGTGCTTCGACAGTCGAATGATGGCCGACAGTGCACCACGCTCGGTGAGCTCCTGCAGGAACAAGGGCAAGAAGGCAATCATGAAGACCAGGAAGATGGAGATGATGGTACGCTTGATCCACAGGAAGACGGGGTTCAGGTAGTAGCATCCACCAGTTCCAACGATGTAGTCGCTAGTCGTGGTTGGGCACACCGACAGCTCCGAGTTGAGGGTACCCAAGAACAGCATGGACAGCATGAACATTTGCACCGAGAGAATGACCATGATGTTGTTGATGTGGAATCCAGGGTGACCGTAGTAGAAGGTCAGGAATCGATCAACAGGCAACTGTGTACCAAGGTAGTAGTACTCTCGAGACAGCATCTGTTCACCCATACCATTACCGAGCTTGGTGGTGAAGTTGAGAATGGTTCCGAAACCCAAGTCACGACCCTTACCGCACTGGTAGTACTCGCAATGCTTGATTCGTCCACCACGGCCAAAGGCAGTCATACCGGCGTAGATGTCTTCGTTCAAGTGCAGTCCCTTTTGAGCCTTGGACACACCACCACGAGTAGTCATGAAGAGAGCATTGAGGAAATCCGGGTGACCGTAGTGCAGCTTACCGCCGATCTGAGCAAGTCCACGACCAGCCATGGTACCGAACGTCTGTTCCTTTCCAGCGGCATTGTCTCCCAGAATACCAATGTTCTCGGAGAAAATGTACTCACGGGCACCGACAATGGCAACGGGCGCCTTGGTAAATTCGGTGTGACCGCCACCGTAGGGGTTCTGGTTGGAGACGTTGAAGGTCTCAAACTCTCCGAGGATGGATCGGATCTTGAGGCATTCCTCGAGGTAATTGTCCTGGTTGGCATCGATGAGCTGGAGGTACTCTCCACGGTGGAAGATGATAGCGTGGTTCTGGTTGTCTGACTTTCCATCTCCCAGGATGGGGTTACCTGGCAGCTCGACGCGGAATTTCGGCCTCCTCCTTCCGTTGGGCAGGATTTCGGAGTGACCATCGACGAGGGAAGAGAACCAGCGAGACTCGCCACCCTCCTTGCGTGGTGCTTCTTCGTCCAAGTAGGCAATCTGCAGATCAGGGTAGGCTCGTAGCAGGAATTCGGTGTTCTCGTGCTCCTCCTTGTTAAACTTGGAGTATCGCTGCATCGAAATGACAAACTTGAACTTGCGCCTGCTCATCCTCTCGAGCTCACGCTCGAGCTTCTCAGTGTTGCCACCAAAGAGCTGCACGACCTCGGGGTTCTCAACTCGGTACAGGAGCTTGATAGCCTTGGCGTAGTTCATGAATCCAGACACGGTTCGGTACAGAGTCTGAGCACGGAGCGAGGACCAGATACGAGTTCGGAGAGTGTACTCGGGTGCGGCAGACTTGAAACCAATGCAGTAGAATGGCAGATCGTCCGTCTTGGCGCTGCTCTTCCCAGAGCCAGCCTTCTCATCCGATCCATTCTCAGCGCTGAAGGGTGAGCTGCCCAGGCCGGCGGACTCCTCGGCAAGAATCTTAGTGTCCTTGACGAAGTTGTCCCACTCGATGGGGTGCAGCTGCTTGAGGTACTCGAGCAGGGTGACACGGGTGTTCTGGTCCTCTTCCCTGATAATCTCACGAAGAGACAACAAGATCTTCTCGGAGTAGTGGGGAGTCAGGACGGTGAACGTAGGCATAGCATCGATGGGCAGAGGCTCGGGCAGAGTCGTGGTGAGCGACTGAGCGAAGAAGGAGATACGTCGCTCGGCCTCGGATCCCTTGGGGAAGAACTCGGGCTTGGGTCCCTTCTCGCTCTGGCTGATGAAGAAGGTGGGTGCTCGCAGAGTACGCTTGCCTCCATCGGGTGCTGGTACCTGGTGGTAAAGCAGCTTCTGGACGTGGTCAATAGACAGCAGGTGCTCTCGGTACATTGAGATGATGACGGCATTCCAGACTTGTGAGACCAACACCTTTGGCTTGTACTTCACCTCCATGTCGGCCGTAGCGAGCAGCTTGGCGTAGATACGCTTAGGCAGGCGCTGGAAGATGTCCGACCAAGGCGTCCAGATGGAGAGACCCATAGAGAAGGCCCATCCGATGGAGAAGACGGTGTTCCAGATGACGTACCACAGGAACGTGTCGAGGAAGAACAGACACAGGTCCATGATGAACATCGTGGTCAGAGCGAACTGAGCCTGGTACGTGCAAAGTGCAGATCCGAAGTACTTGTCGTTGCATCCTTGGATCCTCATGGTCAGCATGACGGCGAGAGGGTCACGGAACGACAAGGACAGGAAGAAGTACGATTCGGTCAACTTGGCACCAAAGATCAGGCACCAGAGGAGAATCGAGACGGCTCGGTGGCTTCGTTGAAGAGGCGCGTACGAGGCGGTAAACGTCTGGTTGGCCATGTACTTCCTAGCCTTGCCCGCAACACGGTCACCAAACATCCGGCCAGATGGCACAATGGAGAAGAGGGCAGTGATGCAGCCAGAGGCTCCAATGTGGCAGTAAGCGACAATGTTCGCCACAGTGCCCGACTTGTTGAACGCCTGTACGTAGATGGCAGGGGCGACGGTGATGGCAAGGCAGAGCAAAAGGAAGACCATTCTTCGCAAGAGGTGACTCGAGTTGTTCCAGGTCCTCGGGATGTAAGACCATTCGGCCATTGTGGCGCAGATCATGATGAACGTCGAAACAGCACCTCCAAGAGCAGAACCAGTCAGCAGCTGTGCTGTTGACGGTGTCGTCGTTGGCTCGTAGATCTTGGGGGCGTTGAAGGCAGTGTAGTACCAGAAGACTGAGATGTGCAGGATCCAGATTCGGTTGAAGTTGACAAGCAAGTGGAAGAACGATCGCTTCTCCTTGTACGTCTTGAAGAAGACGCGGTTCCAGTCAATCTTGTCGAGCTTCATGAAACGCTGGTTGGCCGGCACATCTACGAGTCGCGTCTTGTCGTTGAGGACGATGCGAGCAATTCCCTCTGGGTACCAGAACAGCTGGTTGACGTCGTCGTATCCGATGATGCTGTCGTGGTCGCGCTCCTTCTTGACGAACTTGCCGTCGACGATCTCGAAGACCTGATCACGGAGGAACCTGTACAGTGGCTTGACGACGGCTCGGAGGTACAGACCTTCGGGCACTGGCTCGATGCGATTTTGGCACTCCGGAGAGCGGTAGTAGTCGTCGGCACACTTGAAGATGAAGCAGAGACATTCTGGGACGAAACGGATTTGACCTCCTTCACCCCAGCACAGGAGGTATAGAGCAATCTGCCTGAGCCGGTCGTAGTCGTTCATGCGGTTCATTGCCTCACGCCACCTCGATGCGGCGGACTCGAGGGACTTTTGAGAAGCGCCCGTGAGCTTGCTTGCTGCCGAGCCACCCTTGCCACCCTTTCGGTTGGCCATAGATGCTGCCCTGCCGAGACCGGGGTTCTGGGCTTTGCCGATGGCATCGTCGAGATCTAGCTGAGCTGCAAAGTACCACTTTCGGTAGTTGGCGTGCTCACCACCAATGTAATCTGCATGTAGAGTGACCAGTGCTTGAGCAGGGCTCATCCTACTCGAGCGCGAGTCGAGGAGAATCATCAGGTGGTCGTACATGTTGCGCATGTTGTCACGCTGGAAACCGAATTTGTTGGCCAGATCGATGAAGATGTCCTCAATCTCCTCCTTGGAGAGAGGGATCTGGTGTTCTGCTGTCCAGGCCGGGTAAGGTTCGCGTTGACGGTAGCCACCACCTGCTCCGCCACCAGCGGTGCCAGGGTAGTCGGTGTAAGGAGACGACACGCCAGAGGGGGCGTAGCTGCCAGGTCCCTGTCCGAAGCCACGAGGCTGCTGACCAGCAGACTCTTGAGAATATGCGTACTTGTTGTCGGCGTAGTTGCCCTCGTACGAGTCACCCTCGTACTGCTGAACAGGGATGAGGTCGGCCACGCTTCCCTCGGATTGGTACGTGTGCCTACGGTCTCCCTGGGCAAAGGAAGCATCACTGCCACTCTCCTCGTAGGTGTGTTGCTGAGTGGAAGGGTGTGTTGCTCCTCCAAAGGGGTTTCCACCCGCTTGCGGTCCCCCACCGTAGCCGCCGTTGTGTTGATGCGACGACATGGTAGGTATTGTGGATTGTGAAGTGTAGGGACGGGATCGACTAGCTAACACAAGTAGCTGGGATGGATGCGAGACGTGAGACTTGTTTGATGAGCTGTGATGATCTTTGCTGTATCAACAAAAGGTGTCGCGTCGCTGTTGCTGAGTCGTGTTGCGTGTTGTTACTGGGGTGTTGATGTGGGGGGTGCCGTCGTAGCTCGTATCGAAGTGTGTGAGAAGGCGGGAATTTGTCTAAAGAAGGAGCCTGAAGGAGAAGGTAGGACTAGCCGAGCAATCTACGAAAGCGTGTGTGTGTGGGTAGAAAAGATTGTGAAGAGGGAAACAGGGCCGTGTTCGAGATACGAGGGGGGAAGCGGGAAGATGAAGGAGGAAGGGAGGTACAAGTGTCCCGTTTGGCGCGATGTTGGTTTCACCGCTGTTTTGCCAGCGCTGCTACTACTGCTGCTGCTGCTACCTTTGTCTCTCTCGCTCGCTCGGCGGGATGGCAAAGGTGGGACGGTTTGAAGACTACTGCTTGAGTAGGGGGGGGATGGTGAGGAGGACAGGTGGGTGAGGGAGGGTGAAGTATTTGCAAACGTCCTCCGTGTGCTTGGGATGGGTGGGTGGGTCAGAAGGGGAAGGAGCGGCGGTGGCTGGCTGCCTTACTGGAGGCAACAGGGGGGCGGCGGCAGGGCGGACGGGCGGGGCGGGCGTGGCGCGGAGGGGTCTGACGGCAGGCGGGCAGACAGGCAGGCAGACAGGCGCAGGGGCAGGCAGGCAGGCAGCCAGGCGGACGGGCGATGCAAGCAACTCAAGCAACCAACGCACACGCAGGCCAACATTGGCAAAACTACTTGGCCCTCCTTGGCAGACACGCACACGCACACACACACACACAGCAGACGGGCAAAGCAGACCTCGCCACGCAAAAATACAAGCAGTCAGGGGCTCAATGCACCAATGGCATGGCTTATCGTCCGGATGATATCGCATTCCATCTGCCGTGGCCGAGTAAGACCAAGGCTGGCGGCACACCAGCCGGCGTCTGTCAAGCGGGCAACTTGCTCAATCGATCAGTTCCGGTGTGCGGGATGGATTGGAAAAGCGCCAGGGTCGCAGTGGTTGTGTATGCGTGTGGGTGTGTGTGTGTGTTTGGCGCTGAAAAAATATGCATGACGCGGAATACCATGGTCGAGATCAAGCCTCGGCACAGGGGCAGTACCATCAGTCACCCATCCACTCGGCTTCCATCAGATTCAGGTCAAAGCCCGGCAGGCCACGCAGGGTACTGTAGGGTGCTACGAGGGCACAACAGCAGAGGGGGGAGCGGATACGCCACTGTCCGATCTCTTTTCGCTGAGCGGCACGCGGCACTGCGTTGACACGCGCATCAACAGCAGACCACACCTCCTCTGACCAAGGACACCGAGCCGAGGTTCATGTGCCTTCAGAATGCAACTTGCGTGTGACAGCTGAGATGCACACATGCAACCCAAGCAAGCAAGCAAGCAAGAAAAGAAGCTAGCAAATAGCCCCTGACTGCCGGATTTTCTCCTCAACAGACAACAAAAAAGGCCCGCAAAACGCGTTTTGCCACACTAGCGCGACTAACAAACCCCCTTGCAGGTGTCACTACTGATCGAGCAACACTCGCTCCTCTTCCTTCGGCAACAGCCACACAGCAGAGGCTCAACCGGCCAAGTGGTGTACCTATGACGGCTGCACGGACATCACACAGAGGGCAGTCGACTCACAGTGACAGGTCCTTCTATTTGTCCTGTCCCTGGAAGTTCACTCAGTCACAGTCTTGACACCGCTGCACCGCTCGACAGTCTGTGCGCAGTATCACCATGATGGGCCGTATACAAGCCCGTGCTCGGTCCCTGCGTCTGTCCCCCAACCGTTGGCAGCAAGTCGAGGCGACCAAACCCAGCCCAAGCGTGCCCACTTCACTGGGGACATGGAGATGAGCCCGCGGCGCTCCCCCACAGGTCATAATCACTGCTACGGTGGCCCTGGCTAGAATTACTCCCAACTTGCTCCTGTGTGATGCCTGTTTCCTTGCTCTTTGCTGTGGCTGCTGACCCTTGCGCGCTCGTCCCGGAGGCCTGTCGTGAGCTCTGAGAAGATGGAGAGCTTTGCGACAGAGGCAGCTCCCACCATGTATCAGCATCAGGCCCTTCTCTGCGGGCTCCATCGTCTGAAGGTTGGAGTGGCGTGGCCGTCATCTCTCGTAGTACTTCCGCTCTTCGCCTCCTGCGTAGCCTCTTCTGAGAAGACGACGACCGTTTCGCAGGTCCTGCCGTAGCTGAAGAGCAGGAAGCGCCAGTGCCTTGCTTTTGTCGCGCTTCTTTGCGCGTACTCTCCTCCTCATGGCGACGTTTCTTGCTCGCAAAAGGGTCTTGGTTGCTTGCATCGGTTGCAGCAGTCTGTTTGTTCAGCTGTTCCTTCACAGACGCGTTCGAGGCGGCAGCTTCTGAGACGCTCTTCAGGGTGGGTCCCGGCGCACCAGTACTGGCGCCAGTGTGTGCTGTATTTCCGCGTACGGGGTGTACAGGCACCTTGTTGGACTTGGCCTCTTGTCCTGATCCAGACGCAGAGGGTAGCTTGGGCGGCAGCACCTTGATTTTCCTCTGTCCGTTATTCGTCGACCCAGGTACGCTGGCTGGCTGAGCTTCGTGAGCTCCAGAGTGGGACAGGAGTTGACTAGGTCTGCTGGACAAGAGCCAGGATGGAGAGGTGGAAGAAGCGCTTGCAGATGGTCTGACTTGCAGCTTAGCCCCATTCTTGAGAACGCCGACAATCTTCCTCGTAGAGTCTGAAGGACCAGCAATCTGGCGCTCGTCTGCAGCTGTCCTCAGCTCGAAGGACACCTTTCGCTGAGGCTTGGTCGGCTGACTAGGGACGGGAACGGGCGATGGGCACATGTACGTGGCCGCGAGACCTTCAGAGTTGTTTGATCGTCCTGCGCTCTCTACGCGATGAAGTCCCTCCCGATCTGAAGCAAGTGCACAAGGTGCTTTCGACTGGCAGGCATCATCACCTGCAAGTGTGATAGCTGAGTCGTCCTTTGCAGAACCGACTTCGGAAGTGGCGACAGTACGCATACCTTCGCTTGCTTCGGTGGTAAGCGGGGTGGATGGGACCTGTGAGGGCTGCTCATGTACCAGTGTGGGCTCGGCATTGACGTCGTTGTGCGATGACCCGTCGCCTATCAAGCTGGCATTCTTGAGAGGGGGTGTATATATGCTACTAGGATCGCTGAGATCAGACGACGAAGGCTGTGACGAGGGAGGATCCACGGCAGTGCTGTCCAGGACTATGTCGGGCAGCGTCTTGAGCTCGTTCGCAGGTGCTTTTGGCTCCACATTAGCTTCATCAGCTTGCAGAGGGGCTACATCCTTCTCTCTGAACGGTGCGTCAGGCCAAAAGACTGGACTCCTGGGCAGCGGCTCCCTCGGTGAGGCGTGCTGCAGCGTGAGGTGAAATTTTGACTTTTTAACTTGACCAAGGCGAAGCTCGTACTGGCCGTTTTGTTTAGACCATTCCTCTTCTTTGTTCTTGCTTCGTGTCTCATGTCGTTGAATCTGAGCTCGTAGTGCCCCCAGTGCCTGTTGAAGCGCAAGCATCGTGGTGGTGGGCTCCACGTCCGCTAGCTTGGACGAAGCTAGATTACTGGCGAGCTGTTGGGCAAGAAAGGTGTTGATGGATACAGCTTGGCCGAGGCGGTCTAGTTGTACTTCATGCGAAGCGTATGCAGTGGCACTTGCGTCCAGCGCTGCCTCGGCTTCATCAAGTCGAGCTGTGAGGCTGCTGATGGTACTGAAAAGTGCGCCTGTGAGGCGAGACTTGTCTCTGACCTCTGTCAGGTGGTTACGCTGCTTGCGACTGGCACCGTTAGATCCGTCAAAGCTGTCATCAGTAGTCTCTATGCCCAAACAGGTCTCTATCGCTTTGAGTCTCTCAGCTAGACTTGGGACGAAGTTGGTGCGAGCGTTCAGGCGATCATACACGAGATCTACGAACTTATCTAGACGTTGCTGAGCGAGGACGTCGTCGTCTTGAGCGACGCGAGGTATGTGGGAGGAGGATCCGTCAGGACGTGAGTCAGCCTGAAAAGATGTATCCCTGGAAGTGGACGCAGAGGAGGACACAGAGGAAGGGGTCACAGGGACCATGGTGAGGGGTGCCTGCCCAGCCCCTTGGCTGCAGGCCCGAAGGAAGCTGGTCGAAACAGAATCAGGAAGGAGGGGTCAGATAGTTTGATGATAGGAGGATAGAGTCTAGCAGAGGATGCATTGGATTCATCTGAGGTGCAGCCCTTCATTGGCCAAGCACGGCGGCACGGCAGGCAGGCGCCAGGCACAAGGAAGGATCATCTGCTGCCGCCCAATTCCTTCGAGACCATCGAACTTGTGCGTCGTACCTCACGCGTCTTCTCAGCCGACAGAGCCTGTCTGTTGCACATGAACAGCGCTCCTGAACGTCCATATAGATTGCTATACAGCAATCGAATACCTCGTCTCGAGCGACCGGCCTATGATACGACCTTTCAGGCGAGTCCCACTGTGAGTGCCGATAGTGGGGGACGCGCGCTTGGGGCGTGTGCGTGCAGGCGAGCCCGGGGTCTTGGGGCAGCTGCTTCCCTGCTTCCCCTCACACAGACGCCCCGCCGATCAGAACTCCGCCGCCTGGGCCACCATGCCTGGTGGATCTAGAAGGTCGATTGCAATCCTTATCGTGTCCACCACTTCTTCCGACTGTCAGACCCTTCACCACCTCCCGTCATCCTCGTCATGGCTTCACTCTCCACTACAGTCATCGGTCGCAGAAGTGGTGCTGCCCTCAGTGGTCCCCTCATGCGGGGGTCTACCCCAGTGCTAGCGGCCCGTTTCCTCGCACCAGCACTCGCCGCCTCATCTTCCGGTTCTGTTCGAGGCATCTCTTCCTCATCGTCTAGCAAGAGGGCCCTCGCCTTTGACCCCAATGATCTCGATACACCAGGCGCACGATCAGTGGCTCCTGCTCCTTCCCCCGATGGTACCACTCGTCACAACTGGACCCGGGAGGAAGTTGCTGAGATCTACAACTCCCCACTGCTCGAGCTCGTCTTCAGATCCGCTACTGTCCACCGCACACTCCACCCAAAGAACTCTATCCAGCTCTGTACACTGATGAATATCAAAGAGGGAGGATGCTCCGAAGACTGTGGCTACTGCTCTCAGTCCAGCAAGTACACCACCCCCTCCACTGCCTCGAAGCTGAGCGATGTCGAAGAGGTGCTCGTCGAGGCCCGCAAAGCCAAAGCCAATGGCTCGACTCGTTTCTGCATGGGAGCTGCTTGGAGAGAGGTGGGTGGTAGGAAGCGAGGCTTCGACAGGATCCTCACAATGGTGTCCGAGATCCGTGGCATGGGCATGGAAGTCTGCACAACCTTGGGTATGCTCACTCCAGAGCAGGCCATTCAGCTTAAGCACGCCGGTCTGACCGCATACAACCACAATCTGGATACTAGCCGAGAGTACTACGGCAAGGTCGTCACTTCGAGGTCGTACGATGACCGCATCTCTACCATTGGAAATGTGCGAGATGCCGGCATCTCCGTCTGCTCGGGCGGTATCCTTGGTCTGGGCGAACAGGCAGACGACCGAGTCGGGCTCATTTGGGAAATGTCACGCCTTCCTGAGCACCCAGAGTCATTCCCTGTCAACGCTCTCGTGGCTATCCCGGGAACGCCCATGGAGAACAACAAGCCCGTCGGCTTCCCTACGATGCTGAGGACCGTTGCAACTGCTCGAATCGTTCTCTGCAAATCGATCATCCGGCTTGCAGCAGGCAGGCACATCTTCTCGGAGGGCGAGCAGGCCATGGCTTTTCTCGCTGGAGCCAACGCCATCTTCACTGGTGAGAGGATGTTGACCACTCCAACGAGCAGCTGGGACCAGGACAAGGGCATGCTGGAGAGGTGGGGACTGAGGCCGATGGCATCATTCGAGGAGGACACAATGCAGGCGCATGGGGCAGCTGGTGAAGCCGGCAGTGCAGGGAAAGACAAGAGCAGTGATTTGACAGCAGCAGTAGCTCAGGCTTGAGCAAGGGTCACGTTCTCTACAGCTGTCACACGAACATTGTGTAACCTTGTCGCGGATAGCAGATAGAACCATTTCATTCCCTCTTTCCGTCCTGGCCTCATCCCTCCTTCAGTCAAGAGCGCTGTCTGTATGTGCGTGTCGGGGCAATTGGACGTGTGACTCCACTCTCCAGACAGCGTCCATGCTCTGTGACTTGTTTGCCATGCCAGGAAGCTCATCTGAATCGCTTCATGAGACACCTGCCGTTCACAAGCTCGACTCTGTGCCAGAGCGGAGGCACGGAACGGAAGATTGACCTGCGCGTTCTCGCATGCCTTGATTGCCCTCTGCTCCTGTGCCAAGTCCGCCCGGCCCAGCGCCCGAGGCTGCCCCGTCCGTCCCCCCCTGTCGAAACATCCTCCTCCCTCACGGCTTCCTTGTTCTTTTTTGCTTTCACCATTCCCATCGTCCATCTCGCTGAGCCATCCTCTCCTCTGTAGTTCCACATCTTCTTCCGAAGCCTTAGCGCCAATTCGTCTCAAGGCGTTGCATTGTAGCGTTTCCCCCAACCCAGGCGCGTTCCGTGCTCTGCCCTCACGCCCCCTCACTCTCGGGTGCAATCAATCTACGACGGACGGACGCGGCGCGAAGGAAGCCGCCGACGCACTCCCGACAGGAAGGAAGGAAAGGACGCATAGAGGCCGTCGAGATCTCCTTGTAACAATACGAAGCGCCCTGTACATCGCAACGCAAGGCAGAAAGGTCCGTGACAGGGACCTAACATTGGTCTCTCGAACATCGACGCCGAGAGCGATCATCGCATAGGCTCGACTTTAGTCTGAGCCAGCGTCAGAGATGGCTGCACCTCGCCGATCGACGCGGTCTAGGCAAGTAGAGGCGGAAGAGCCTGCCATCTCACCTCCAGCAGCCGGTCCCACACACTCGCCTCCACGCAAGCGGAAACGTAGCTTCCAGGCCGAGACGGCGCCAGTCAAGTCCGAGGCTCCGGAGGCTGCCACAGAAGGAGATCATCTTCAAGCGGCTGCTGAGACTACCGAGGCTGCTGCTGCTGCTCCTGCCGCCTCACCTACACCTCCTTCCCGGAAGAATGCCAAGGTCGTGAAGCTGAAGAGACCGACGAGGGGTACGGCAGCGACGACGGCAACAGCAGTGGATGCTAAGGCTTCTCAAGGAGCCGAAGGACAAGGCGATGATGAAGCTGAGGAGGAGGGCGAGTCATCTGGATCCCGAACTTCCCCCAGCGCTACAATGACAGCCGCACAACGTTCAGGATTTCAGCCACTCAAGACCTCGGAAGACTACATCCTCCCTCGGGAACAAGAGCTCTGGCTTCAGGCCGCGGATTCAGAGAAGCTACGGACAGTCGCAAAGCATCTCATGCCAGAGCTGCTGGAAGCGCCTCTGCCGCCGGAGAGCAACTTTGCAAAGCAGAGCACGGGAGTGAAAGGAAAGTCGAAGGAGAAGATCCTACCTTCATCGACATTGTTGCAAGCGCTGGATGGGCGCCGGGTATCTTTGCGCCAGCTGAGAGTGAGTATATGCGAGCGCAGATATCCGTATCCTCCTACTTACCTACCTGATATCGTATCTCCTTCACTCAGGCTTTTGCGCTGGCACTCCGCGAGCCTTTGCTAGCTACTGCTCTTGCGGGGAACGACGCCTCAGCAGCAGCCGGAAGCGAGGAGGGGCTGGCAGCGAAGAAGCTCAAAGGCTTGAGCCTTTTCCTCGGATTCGTTGATGAGATCGCATCAAGGACAAGGGCACAAGATAGGACTCTAATCGGATCTGTAGCTGGCGACCTCGCAAAGCATTCGCACCCAACAAAGGTGGCCAAGATCAAGAGCGAGAGCGATGCTCTGGATGAGGATCTAGAAGCTCTTCTGCAAGGCGACTTCAGCGAAGCAGGAGCAGCAACAGACAAGCGCTACGCTCTGCACATGCGCCTTGCGACAGGCGATTACTTCACTAAAGCAGTCGAGCTGACACCACAACAAGTGGCGAACCTCAAGACTGGCCTCGCAGACCTAGTAGCGATCGAGTCGCTGCCGGAAGGCTCCACCCCTTCGGGCAGCATCAAGCCACCAACACTTGGGGAGAGGGTTCACCGAGACGTGTCTCTACGAGTTCCCACAGATAGCATCGAAGAGCTCAGGGAGAAGAGATTGCCGAAGCTCAAAGGAGTCCAGCACTTGTACTACGGACCACACGCCTCGTTCGCTCCTACGTACGACTCCTCGGCATCTTCGCTCAGCAGGTCGGCCTCAAGCTTGGTGTGGAGAAATAAGCTTTCGCCAAGGGCACGAGCAGCGCGGGCTGCATGGCACAACGTCTCTGAGGACGATGAAGGCATTTTAGAGGGCGAAGAGGACGAGGACGAGGAGAATATCATTCCGCCTCCACCTCCGGCGCCCGTCTCATCTAAACCACAGTCTTTGCCGAAAGGGCTCGATTCTACCCTTGATACTGAGCTTATTCGTGCTGGACTAGAGCAGCTGGATCGAGATGCCGCAGTGCAGAAGCGGCTCGAATCGAACGCTGCTCTGCTGGCAGAGCTGCAGGATTGCCAGTGGGACCGCCTTCGCAAAGGATACGCAAGAAGCAAGGGGCTTGAGGCCACCGCGGCAACAGGATCGAGAGTCTCAATCGGTCAGCTTCCAGAGGATGAGCCCTCGCGGGAGGAGCAGGACCTAGCGGCAGATTTGTACAAGGGCCTCGGCGAGCTTATTGCTCTACGTCCTCGCTCTACACTACCTCTTCTCCCTACACAGGAGCAACTTCGCGCCCTTGGCCGGTCTTCCGCAATCGATCCCGTCTTCAACGCTCCAGCGTCGAGCGCCAAGACCTCTGTGGGCTACTGGGGTACTCTGGACCCTTCCCTATACAGTCCCGATGCCCCTGTGCGTCTGGCAGGCAAAGTGTCGACTATTGTCCCAACCTTCACCTCAAGCGAGACGGTCCGACTGAACGATTCGGGCGAGTCGCTGGCCTTCTCTAACGCAATGAGCAAGCGAGGCATACCTCTAGGTGTGGCGAGAGACAGCGGCAAGGGCATGCTAGACCGGCTGGCTACCATCGCCGACGTGCACAGGGGCTTTGTACCAGACGGGTATGGTATCTCTGCGCCCGGAACGGGGCCAGCGCCGCCAGGTGTGGGAGGACCTCCGATGATGGGCGGAATGGCAATGGGAACGCCGATGGGCATGTCACCTCCTCCTGCGCAACAGCACCAGCAGCTACCTCCCCAAGCAAGGCAAGGGATGCCAATCTCGCAGCAGCCACGCTATCCACCTGCCCCAGGAGCAGGAGCTGGCTCTCCTCCTCTTCTCGCACACCCGCATCAAGGACCAGGGTCTAGTCCAATTAATGGGCATGTAAATTTACAAAGGGGACCGGGTCAGGGGTACCTCCCACCTCAGCATGGCGCTGGCAGCCCAGTCGCAGCTGGCGTTGGCGGTGCTTCCTCCCCTCCGCACCTTGGCCCTGCCGGCGGTGGCGGTGGTGGGTACTCTGTGATGGGCGTGCCTCCTGGTCAAGCGATGAATGGGTCTCGCGGTAGATGAACATATAGTGCGACACCAAGGGATGCAGGACGTGGTGGCGAGAGCGGTGCAATGGTAGGCTGCTTGGGCGGATGCGTGGGCGGATGGAAAAGAGGTTTCCCTCTTACAGTAGTTTTCGGCAATGCGTCGTGTTCCCGTGTCTGCTACCCTCACACTTTCAGGTTGACCATGCACAAACCCATACGATTACGCTACCACTTTGTCACGTCATATCGGGTTACAGAAATACAATAGACGATTAGGAAGAGGAAGAATATTGCACGCTGTGTTTGCTTTTGCTATGGCAATTGGTCTTGACCTGACGAAGAGAGCAGGAGACTGGACCAGCAGCTGGAAGAAGCTTACAGATACACATGTAGAAAGTGAGGTCCTGCAATGCATTACTATCTTCAACCTTTTTTCTCTCCTTGCCTTTTGTTCTTTCTTACATCTCCTCGTCACTATCAATCAAATCCAGATCCGCCACTTTTGGTGCCCTCTTCCTCCCTACACCAGCAGCGCTACTCTTCCTCTGCTTCTTCCTCTGAGGCTGCTCTTCCTCCTCCTCCTCCTCCTCATCGCTATTTCCAGCACCTCCACCTCGACGATCATCATCATCACCATCATCATCATCATCGTCATCGGAAGTGATCTGCCCATCGCCCCGAGCAACTCGAGCATCCTCATCGTCATCTTCATCCTCTTCATCACTGGAGACGATACGTTTCTTCTTCATCTTTTTCTTCTTGGACTTCTGACTGCTGTTGCCCTTGGAAGAGGAACTCTTTGACTTTTTGCCAGACTTGCCACCACCACCAGTGCCGTCTTCCAGACTTTCAGCCTTCTTTCGACGTTTTGCACTTTCCTTTCGAGCGGCTTTAAGCTCTTCCATCTTGTTGCGCTTGCGTTGCAACTTCTTCTCTTCGCGACGTTGTGCCTTTGCTGCTGCATCTTCCTCGTCGTCGCTCCCTCCACGACCAGCCTTACCAGGGATGTCATCATCGTCATCGGTGAGAGGTGCATCGTCCTCATCGCTGCCGACGGCTTCGTTGAGTCTCCTCTCCTCCTCGTCCGTCTCAATCTCACCCGATTCAGCCCTCTTCCTCCTCTTCTTTCCACCAGCAGCACCACCACCGCCACCACCTTCGCCGCGCTTCTTTTTGACTGGCTCCGGTGAAGGCAGACGGTACTGGAACTCTCTCGCCTCCTCCATCGCTTTACGTCTACTCTCCTTGACCATCTCCAACCTCTGTGCTTCCTCTTCAGCAGCAGCGCGTTCTGCCTCTTCTCGTGCCCGAGCCTTCTCGTTGCGGAGAGCCTTGACTGCTTCGCTCTTAGCCGCGACTTCAGCCTCAAAGGTCTGCTGCTCCTCGATGTGCTGCGGGGCTTGACGCTCAGCGAGCGACTCGCCGTACTGGATACGCTGCTCAATGACGTCTTCCGTGATGAAGTTAAGCTGTCCAGCGCGGGCAGAGGGGACAAGGTCAGCAAAGATGGTAAGACCTTCTTTGATGCCTTCGGCGGCGGACTTGAGCTCCTCGAGGGAACGCTCCTCCTTGCGTACTTCGAGCATCATCTGAAGCGCCTTTTGCTTGATGACAGCTTCATTGTAGCGGTTGTATTTGATTTCGGCTTCGAGGGACAGGATGCGAGGATTGGACGAGTCGATGGGAGCTGCGGTACCATTTGCGCCAGCTCCCTCTGCGTCTCCAACGAGCTCGTTCCTTTGCGCCTGGTAAACACCTCTAGCGCTCTGCAGTCGACCAACACTCTTGAGCAGGTGCGAGTACGACTTCAATTGCAGGCCGAGATGGTAGTCCGAAAAGGCCAGGTATGTCAGCACGTGAGGATTCGAGTCATCGTAGTACTGCTTTGAAGCAATCTCATACGCCTTGCTTGCGCGTTCCCACTCTTCACGCTTGCTGAGAGCGTGCCCAAGACAAACGTGAATGCTACCGTCATCGCGGAGCTCTCGCAGCTTGGTAAAGACGGCCAGTGCTTCTCCCACGGCAGCCCTCCTAGCCTCACGCTCAGCTTCGATAAGCTCACTGCCACTGCCAGGCTTTGCGGCGGAAACTAGCCCGTCGTCGCAGAGGATGATGCCTAGACCCTGGGCTGCCACGACACACTTGGAGTCATGAGCCAGAGCCTGACTGAAGAATTCGGCAGCTCGAATCATGCAGCGATCGCGCTCCTTCTTGTCCTTTGCCTCTCGACCGAGATTGTAGTACGCTGAGCCCATGCAGGACATGATGAACGGATCGCTGGAAGTGGACTCTGCAACAGCGCGAGCAGCACTCGCTCCTCCAAATGTCCTGACGGCCTTGGGATCATTGGCGCCCAGAAAGAGCTCGGCGAGAGTATCCTTGATCATCGCCCACTGAGCCGGGTAGGGAGATGAGCCAAGCGCGCCTCCGAGGAAGCAGACGTATGCTGCTCTCGTATCCAAGTTGGCAGGATCCGAAGAGAGCGCTTCTTTGAAGTAAGCATTGGCCATCTGAGTCGCTTTGCCCTTGACATTGGCAGAAGCAGGCAGTGAGGCGATCATGATCGCCAGGCGCACACGAGCGTCAATGTACTCTGGGTGGATCTGCAGAATTGTCTCGTAGGCCTGGCGAGCATCTTCCAGGGCGCTCGTGTGGGAGGAAGACTCTTGCAGACGAGCCGCATTGAACATCACAGTGGTCTTCTCGAACTCCAACTGGTCGTCGCCGCTGGCTGCGCCGGACGAAGTCTTCATCAGGTCCAGAGAAGCTCGTAGATGCTCGAGAGCCCGTTCGACAAGAGGGTGGGTGATAGCATTTCCTTTGTCGATGCTTTCGCGCATCGCACCACCATAGCCTGCTCCAACGGCGCTTTCCAAGGCTCTCACACCCAGAACTGCACCCAAGTTCGCCCGAAGCCGGATCTCCAGGACGGAATTAGTGACGTCCCCACTCTCTCTTTGCTTGACGAGAATGTTCAGAGCGGTTGTGTAGCGTCTGGCTGCCCTCGGGAGGTCAGCAGCCGAAGAACCATTTTGCAAGATCTGAGCGAGCTCGACATTGGCGAGAGCATCCTGACCGACGGCGCCGGCTTTGATCAGAGCGGATTGGCCAGCAGCTTCCGTGAGTAGTGAATTCTTGGTCAGGGCTGCCAGGCCGGTGGAAGTAGTAGTTGTGAGCCCCCCTTCGACAATGGAAGTCGCAGCTTCGACAAGAGTCATTGCCCTTTCGAGCAGGATGCGAGCTTTCTGTCGATCCCTCTGAGCTTCTTCCTTGCTTGCTCCAGGATGGGATGTGGCTCGTAGGCTGCCCTCCAGGAGGGCCGGCTCAAGTAGATGGAGAGGCAAGTATGGCAGATTGGCGAGTTGAAGACCTTCGAGTGCGTGCATAGCTGCCACGACTTCGCTTTGGCTCAAAAGGAGCTGAGCAAGGCTCAGAGAGGCAAGAGCCTGTAGCGGTCCTACAGTGCCCGGAACGCTACCAGGCGCGGGCGCTCGTGCCAGATCTTCCGTCACTCGAGTCCAGTGTCGCATAGCCACTGAGCGCATCTCCACCTCGTCAAGGGTGATGGAACGGTTGCGAGCAGCGAGCACCGCGACGTGAGCAGTGCGAGCAATTCCTGTCCACGCGGCTAGAAGATCGCTACGTGCGTCAGCATACTGGATGGCATGCTCACCCAGCTTGAGGGCTTGTTGGAATTGCGCGTCTGCCTTGGCAGTGTTGCCCTCTTGAGCAGCAATATATGCTCGCTTGGTGAAATGCTCGGCCATTGCGACGGCTGCCATTGCGCTCCGATTGTTGAGCTTCCAGGCCATCTGCATGCTGGTCAGGCCGTCTTCCTGTGCAGCCTCTCGCGCCATCTCCTCCGTGGTGGTCTGGCCCACACCAAAGAGACCAAGAGGCAGAGCAGCCGCTTGCTTGGCAGCATTGAAGGACGAGAGACCCAGGAGCAGTCTCGGAGCTGCATTGTTGGGATACAACTCGGCAGAGCGAGTCCATGCACGCCTAGCGTCGATGGTTCTGCCCATACCGGCAAGACAGAGTCCGATACCAATGCGAGGGTCGGGACGGGTGAAATCTCCCTTTGCCTCGTAAGGTAGCACGAGGGAAAGAACTTGCTGGTAGATGAGTAGAGCTCGCTGGAAGTCCCTCTTTCGCAAAAGACAGCAAGCCTTGCCCAGAAGTGCGAGCGAATTGCGAGGCTGTCGCTCTGCAATGTCATTGAAGATGCGCTGGGCGTCCGGGGTTGCTCCTTTGAGTGCCATGTCGATGGCTCTGGAGAGCTGAGAGTGGACAGCCTTGGGATCTGACGCAGCTGAAGAGTTCGTGAATTGAGTAGCCTGACCATAGTGAGCTTGCTTGGGATGGATACCTCTGCCCTGCAGAGGCTGGTACCGGGCGTCGGGGATGAGCTGCTTTGGCGAAGATCGAGCACGGTTGGCGTACACGGCAGCTGTCATTGCGTCGAGGAGTGCAGTGCCTTGAGCTCGCCTGAGAGGAGCAGAGCGGAGGATGTGACTGCCTCGTGTGAGGAACTCGAGTGCAACATCCTCGTGCTTGATTGCGAGGTACTCGTAGGCGAGTGTGGCCCAGTAGTGAGCTGGCTGTGCGTCGGCGGCGAGGAGTCCTACGATGTCGGCGATGCCCTCTGCGTCGATGGGTAGGTCTGCCAAGTCGATGGGGACATCACCCTGCTCGGTGGGGATGGACAGGATGCGCTCGCCACTGCCATCATCGCCGTAGTCCATGGTGGGCGGGTGGGCGTGTCTAGGAGATGAGTGTTGGTGGTGTTGGTGGTGATTGATGGTGAGGAAGAAGATGGCTGTTCCGCTCTGCTTCCCGCGAGCGTCCCTCTGCGCCTGTCTGTGCCACGCGGGCGCCAATCGTCGGAAGGAAGCAGCCACTCACTCCACACTTGGTCAGATTTTGCACAAAGGCAAGCTCAAGGGCAGACAGAGCTTCCTCGAGGCGGTAGGCTAGCAAGCTTCTACCTTCCCTTCTCTACCCTTGATCATCTCCTGCCCACCATACCAGCATGTCCAAGCGGCTCAACAAGCGCCAACAAAGGGAGCAGCAGGAATTGCAAGAGCTCCAAGACCTTGCCATATCCGACGCTGCACCCAACGCAACCTCCTCCACAGCTGGTGACGCAGAAGAGCCACGAGAAGGAGTGAATCAGGACGAGTCTATTGCAGCGCCAGCACAATCGACGCAGCCGGCTCAAAGCGTCTTTGCCGCGGTAAGTTCACGGTGACAGTCTCCTCGCCTGTAAAAGCTGAGGTGGGCTTTTGGCTGACCTCCTCCACCTATACGTACGCCCCATAGCTCGGCGGAGACGAAGATGAAGGAGCCGAGAGTGACGAGGACGCAGACGACGGCCTAGAAGACGCATCAACAGCGACGGCAGCAACAACAGCCAAGCCCAAGAAGAAGAACAAAAAGAAGAAGAAGAAGACTCCTGCCGCTACAGCGGCTGCCGGCGTGGAAGACGGGGACGGGGAACAGGCCGGGAGTGGCGCCGTATCCCCTGCTCCAACACCTGCAGTCAAGACTAGCAAGAAGAAGGGTGGAAAAGGAGGAGGCGGAGCCCAGGCTTCCAAAGGTCTATCGGACATGTCCCTTGACGACTTTGATTCGATCTTAGCCTCCCAGCCTCACGTCGTTGCAGGGGGCGGTATAGCCAAGACTGTTCAAGCAGCTGCTGGCGCCTCCTCAGCAAGCTCGCTTCGAGCCTGTCTCTCCCTGCAGCAGAACCATCTCGATCCGGATGTGGAGCTGAGGAGACAATTCGGCTCAGCGGCTATTAAGGCCTACGAAGCCGAGAATGGAGGAGCAGGCGGTAGCGGGGCTAGCGGAGGAGCGCGGGCTCGGATGCTGGCTCGCAATCCCAACCTGAAGCTACGCAGCGTCCTGGTGCAAGCCAAGGACACCTGGCCGCCGGTGAATCGGACCTTCACGGGCATGGTGGGGGAAATTGAGGAAGATGCAAGTACGGGTGCAAAGGTCGCCACGTGGGAGCATTCCAAAGCCTACAGGGCTGCTCAGTACGAGTTTCAACAAGCCGTTGCTACACACAACCCTGAAGCCATCTACGCTTTGCTCAGACCATACTCTTGGCACGTGCATGTCCTCTCGTCAATGTCAGACATCAGCAAGCATCAAGGAGACTTGGGTCAGGCATCCGATTGGAACGCACGCATCCTCTTCGTCTACGAGCGGACCGCCTCGCCCACCTTCATCTCCTCACTAACCAATCCTGCCGGCCCTCTGCCTGTAGACTTCAAGAAGGTCGAGAATAGAGGTTTGTACCTCGCAGCTCACCGCATGATTGCCTTTCTCGGTCGGAGAGGCACCTGGCGTACCGCTCTAGAGTGGTCCAAATTCCTCTTCTCCCTCGACGAGCACGATCCTCACGCCTGTCTGCTATGGGTGGACTTCCTCGCCATTAAGAGCAAGCAACATCGCTGGCTTGTAGAGGACTTCCTTCCTCGGCTGAGGAAGACACGGGATCTGAGTTGGGCTGGAGGTTTGGACTTTGCAGAGGCGCTGGGTGTGCGGGCATTGGAGAGGGAGAAGGGCGACAAATCCGGCGAGAGCAGTATCCCCCTGCTCAAGAAGGCCATCGTGCGGCATCCCTATCTCCTCCCCGCTCTCTACGCCAAAGTTGGGCTGGACCTACCAAGAGGCATGGAGTCGCACCCCTGCGTTCAAGCCGCATCTTCGCAAGGAGACGAAGAGGATGCTCTGAGAGAGATTGTCTCGCAAATCTACAGCGCGCGCAACGACTCGCTCTGGAAGGACCCGGAGCTCAAGTCTTGGCTACGCACATCCGTAGAGTCCGTCTGGACCGAGTGTTCCAGCGGAGCGGGATCGGGATCACAATGGAAGAAGAGCTCCCTCCCTAGCGCCGCAGGAGACGAAGCGACGACGTCCAGTCTCTACCGACACATCCTCGTGGCAGACATGCCCGACGCACTACGTCAGTCACTCACATCGCTTATTCCCCACTCCATCACTCGTGAGACGAGCAACTTAGACGCTTTTGATCCACTGCCTCCACGAGGAGCAGGCTCGACGCGGATTGACGACGAGTACTTTGCTCCTCTCATACGACGCACCGGACCTCTCAGAGGTAGCAGCGCGGCGACGGGAGGTGGAGCAGGGGCGGCGGCGGGAGTGAATGCGGGTATGCTAGAGCGGTTGCAGGAGCTGCTTGGACAATTCCAAGGACGACTGCCCTTCTTTGGCGGCGGCGGTGGTGGTGGTGAGGCCCCAGGTGCAGCTGGTGCTGTAGGTGAGGAACAGGAAGCGGAGGCGAGGGCGTTGATGCAGCAACTGTTGCGGGATATGCCGCTGGAAGAGGGACAGATGGGTGCGGGTGGGATGCCGGGTCGCTTCGATGAGGAGGGCGAGGGCGAGGACGAGGACCAGGAGGAGATGTTGGATTCGGATTCGGAGTAGAGATGAATGGCATCCATTGTAGACACACACTCACACCTCATGAGCCTCGGGCTCTTTCTGCAAGTATGCGCTGCCCTTCCCTCCCCTCTCCCCTGCTCCCTTCTACACCTCTTAATATGCCCACACCGGATCAACCACTCCCTCAAACCTCCCCTCTCCACCTCTCAGCGCCCTCACATTTGCCACAAAGCGCTGCACCAGCAACGGCCTTACCATTGCAGGCGTATCCGCTGTATGCGGTGTAATGATCAAGTTTCCCCTCTTATCAGGTTGCAACTCTTCCTCAAAGTCTGCATCATTGTGACGTTGTAAAGACCAGAGGGGATGATCTTCCGGTAGTGGTTCGGGAGAAGTCACATCTAGTCCTGCTCCTGAAATGACTCCCGTTTGAAGTGCATCGACGAGAGCAGGAGTTTGTACGTGTTCACCACGGGCGACATTCACCAATACGGCATGTTTTGGTAAGAGGGACAGTTCGAGAGAGCCGATGATGCTGTGTGTTTCAGGAGTGAGGGCTGCAGCTAGTACGAGTGCGTCGCTCGAGGGGAGAACGGAGTGGAGCTCCTTGAAGGAGCGTACGCTCAATCTACCCGCTCCCGCTGCTGAGCTCCTGTAGTAGGCTGGGAGCACTTCCTCTTCTAAAGACTCTGCCTTTCGCCTCAGAATGGTGATATCCACTTCGAATGGCGCAAGGAGGGCTAAGAGGGCGAGGGTAATCCCACCTGCACCGAGGATGGTGACGTGACGGGAGAAGAGGGAGAGGCCGGATGGAGAACCCCAACTGCTGGCTCTGACTCGGGTGGGGATGTTGCGTAGGAGGGAGAGAAGGAGAGATAGGGCGTGCTCGGCTACTGGCTGGGCGAAGGAGCCCTGTGGGGGTTGTGTGGGAGATAAAGGAGTATTATCAGCTGTGAAGGAGCGTCGGGTTAGACTCAGTTTCTACTGACCTTTGCGCTAGTCCAAACAATGTCCGTTCTGCTCTTGATGAGCTGTTCAAAGGCATTGACTCCAGCAAGACCCAGTTGTACCCATTTGATCTGCGGGTACTCTCGCAGCACCTCGCCCAATTTTTTAGCGGCAGGAGGTCCACCGCTATCGAGCCATATAAGTCCGACCGTCTCTTTCGACAAGGGAGCGAAATTGGTGCTGGTGCTGGCGCTGGTGGCATCGCCGTCGCTGCCGTGGTTGAGTTCTCTGAGGAGAGAAGAGGAGTAGTAGTCATATGTGGAATGGGTGGCGGGACAGATGGAGGTGTTTCCTCTTGTGGGTGGGATCTTGGAAGAGGGTATGGTCGTGGCTGAAGGGGCCAGGACGGAGCGATGTTGTGGGTTGTTCATCCTCGGTGAGACTGCACTGGTAAGGCAAGTCTGCTGTTGGCCCTTGAGGTCTCGAACGACTATCCAGAAGGAGACTACAATCAGCGTATCTTGGTATGGAAGATGTCCAATCTTGCTTCCCCACCTTTTGGTATCTTTATTGGAAGAAGATGACGCCCCGCGCTATTGGCCGTGGAAATGTCCGTTGGCCCAAGCGCAGCCCCGGGGAATTCAGACAGTGTCGGATCGAGTTGCGGGGCGAAGCGGGGCTGCACTGCTCTCCCCTGCTCACACACTCACACAAGCACAAGCACACACCACCTACGTACCTCGGTATTCACACGCAAGCATACAGAAGAGTCATCATCATCCGCAGTAGAGTGGTACCCAGCCACTCATACCCACCCCCACGTCCACGCTCATGCTGCACCGACCAGATCAGCAGGCAGGAACAGCCTCTCCTTCTATGTCCACCGCACCACCCACTACCGCCGCTTCCTTCGCTTTCTACTCCTCATCGCCGCCTTCCACAAGCACATCGACCCTCGACACATCCTCCCTCTTCATTCCACGACGACGTCCCCCTCCTGCTTCGAGTAATCTCCGTGCATCCGCCCACTCGCGTTATGCCACCAGCAAGCCTCCTTATAGCTCGGCACGCAGGGTGTCCGCTCCGGGGGGAAGCCTGAGTAGAGGTACAGGTGACGAACAGCTCGGTGCAGCCAGCAGCGAAGGGCAGAGAGCTACAGATGCAATGCTTGACTTGCAGAGCGAGATGGATGGAGTCTCTCTCCATCCTCATGTTGGTCACGAGCTCGCAGTAGATATCAAGAGGAGATTGTTCAATGATGCACCTCCACCTTCGCCTGGTCAAGGTCAGACGGTACAGCCCTACTGGCAAACTTCGTCCTCTGCTTCTGCCTCTTCCTCGCCAGAGGAGAAGCACGACTTCACCCGCAGCTCTGTACGGCGCTTCAGTCAAAGTCAGGCCCTCGGGCAAGCGCAGGCCCGCGACTCGCCCCCTCGAATGGGCATACTCACCCGCTCCAAAGTCAACAGAGCGGGATCAGTGAGGATCTCAGATGCACCACAGAGGAGGAGTATATCAGGGCCGTACCACGATGGCTTCCTCAATGGGGACGGACATGGACATGGAAGTGAAGCAAGAGGCGGAGCAGCAGCAGCAGCAGCGGCGGCGGCAGGCAATCGTAACAGTCCTCGATGCTCCCCTCTACGCACACACACCAGAGGCAGAGGTAGGGGAAGAGCTGCCACGCCTTACCCTGGGGAGAGCTCTCATGCTCATTCGGAAGCACTCCCAATCGGTTCGTCCTCTTCTACCACTCTGTACCCTCCACACCAAACGGAGGACATCGCCTCTCTACAAGGCGCCAGTCCCTCTTCCGCTCCACACTCCCTCTCCTCCTCTTACCCTTCCACACGCCCCTCAACTTCTACTATCCTCCTCTCCCACGCCGAGTCCTCTTCGCTACAACGCGCCCACTTCCTCTCTGAAAAGGCAAAGGAGGAGGAGAGGGACTTGTTGAGGGGATTGGAGATGTGTACTGGATTGGGAAGGAGATTGGGTGGATGGGAAGGCGGGATGGAGAGGGGGTCTGCAGGAGGGGAAAAGATTCAGGGGGATGAAGAGAGAGTGGTACTTGGGCGGAGGGTGACAGGAAGAGGGAGAAATCGTTGGGTACTTGGCACTGGCACTGGCACTGGCGACGATAATGGTGATGGTGACGAGAGTCTGCAGTACTGGAGTCAGATTCAAGACGAAGATGAAGTGGGAGGTAAAAGTGAAGGTGAAGTTGAAGGCGAAGGCGAAGGTGGTGAGGTTCAAGGAGAGGAGGGAGCAGAGGTGTACTATGCTCCTGAGGATCAAGATGAAGAGGACGACGACCTCTTCGGTGATGGTGATGGTGATGGTCATGGTGACGGTGGTGGTGATAATGATGGTGATGAGCTCTTCGATCTCGACGATGACGACGATTTCGATGAGAAGGGCGGAGAGGGGACTGTCTCCAATAAGCGGCGGACGAGTAACGCACGGGGCAGAGGGATGGACGCTGTTCATGAGTCCTTTGAAGAAGAAGAAGAAGATGAGCAGGATGCAGGAGAAGACGAAGACGAGGACGGAGAGGATTGGGGGCGGTAGCATCTTAGCCTTCTTTCTTTCTCTCTTTGAGCTGCTCAATGCAATTGCACTTCAAGCATGCTCACTGCTCTCCCTCTTCTCCACTAGTCAGGTCTGATCGTCCATCATGTTGCTGTTCATCTCAGTCTTCTCTTACTGGGCAGGGCTCCAGTGTACTCGCGCGCGTGATGAACTCTGCACTTGTATTTCGCCAAAGGTGCTCAAACGAAAGAACAAGGACAAGGTGAAGGGGATGGTACAAATGACAAGCGGGACACGCAAGTGGTCAAGTCAACCCTGTAAACAGCGCTGGCATCCTCTCCTTACTTCCTCAAAGAAGATATAGAAGGAGGACGTACTCGGGGCACTAGCGCTAGCGCTGCACGCTCTAGGCAGATGACTTGAGAGCAGCCCTCGACTCACGGAGAGCCTTCTCGGTTCCGTGCTTGGCGTACCTCTGGTTGCGGACGAACTTGGGGTCGACCTGGGAGGGGCGGAAGTTGAAGGGGTGGTGAGAGGTAAGGTCAGCATCTCTGCACCACCAAATGGAGGGGCTCGCCACGGTGTCGTTGGCGGACTACCACTGTCTAAGGTTCTGCTCGAGTCTCTCTGAGCGACCTGCTCAATCGACATCTGCCCTGCAACTCCATCCGACTAGCAGCCCTTCACCCGATCACCCTCCCCCGCTTTGCCCCGATCCCTCGAAAGATCCAACCCCACCGCAATCTCCAACGTTGTTGCCTCGCATGATGCAGATACTCACTCCCTTCAAGCTGGGGTACTTGTTGGTCTTCGGCTTTTTGATACCGTTTCGGTGGGCCTTGCGGCTTTGGTTCTGTATAGAAGGGGAGTTGGAGTGGAAGGGGGTGTCAGCTCTTGTGCCAAAAGCGGTGTGAGCATGTACCTCTGTCGCTCTTCAGAAAGGCGACAGGCCTGAACAGCAGATCAGCACATCATATGCGTTTGACGTGTGTCCGACGGGAGGAGAGCTATGCAGCACAGCAATACCCTTAGAGGGGCATACTGAAATGCCTTGCTATCCTCGGGCCAGAGCTCCCTCTGTCTCTATCCTGTCAATCTCTGACCTCGACTGCCGCCCATAACATCAAGAAAGGGTTTCTGCATGCTCTCCAACCCTTTTGCGAGATGGTACCAATCTCCAACGAGCACTTCTTCCTGCCTTTGATCCCTTTCTTCCTTGCCCCGAATCTCTCCCCCAATTCGAGCCTCTTGGGACAGCGTCGCCCTCCCTGTTTGCTCCTTTTGTACGATGATGATACTAACGTGGTTCGTGTGGTTCTTCGACTTGGCCATTGTGAACGAGTATGAATATGTAGAATGGGTAAAGGTAAGAGGTGAAAGCGAAAGAGGATCTCCAAGTCTCGAAGCTCTCCTCTCGCAGAGGCGGGCGGGGCGAGCGGGCGGGCGGGCAGGCAGTCAGGCGGAGGAGCTCTGCAGCTGGGCCCAACAGCGCGCACCGCGGACGAACGGGCGGGGCGAAGCAGAGCCAAGGCAAAGGAATTTTTGGCCTTTGCCCGCGAGGGAGCTTCAGACTCCGCACAAGACCCGCAGTTGCAGCCTTGCTTCCTCGTATCGACTTCCATCCTGGAGCAATGGGAGTGATCACACGTGCGCAGAGGAGAGGTGGGACGTTGTATTCGTTACAGCGCCTAGGGATCAGGATAAGCAGCGATCAGACAGATGTAGAAGTACGGTGCTCTGGGCAATCTCTCGCGGGGACCATTGCCGGGTTGGCAGCTATGGTAAGCCCCAGGCACATGATGCATAGCTCGTCACATTCGATCTGTGCGAATGCGTATCGATCAAACAAGTGACGCGATGGATCTGTCTAACAAGGTATTCAAGTAGAGTCACGCAAGGGCTGATGAGCGTCGAATGTCGTATGAGATTGCAATTGTCTAGCCATGCAGAGGCTACCGGGCCCACTCGCTTCAATCTCTATGAGGCGGCTCTCCCACGTCTCCCGCTACGAATTTCCCCTACCTCTTCCCGAATAATTCCAAAGACTTCCAGCATCACTCTTCCAAGCATTAGACCTGGCCAAGACCGGAATGATCCCCATGCTCCTAGCCCTCCTAATCGCCTTTCCCACACTCTTCTGACTCTTCCAAGTCAGGTTCGTCTTGTTCCTCGAAAGGATCTTGCCCATTTCACTAACATAGGGTGAGAGGAAAGCGCCATTCTTGTACGAGTCGTCGTGGAGAGAGGGTTTGCCGGGATTGAGACCTAGCTTGTGGATCTGGTCGAGCGTCTCGGCGATCCGTCGGCGGGGACCTAGACGTGGGGGGACTCGGTAAGTCTGCTCGCGATTGAAGGCTTCGTAGGAGACAGAGTGAGGGACGAGGTGCTGCGAGATCCAGATGAGAGCAGATTCAGTCAGCTTGTGTTGCACAGCAGCAGGGCACAATCGTAGCTAGCTACATCCACGACGGCCAGAAGATCGCTGCAGCTACCGCTACATTGTTCGGCTCTCATGTCTTTCTGTATGGAGCGCAACTCACCTGTCCATGTTCCGGCCTAGGCTCAGGCCTCTCCCTCTGACCAAACGTGGGCTCTGGCTTCAATCCAGCCCCCGGCGTGAACACGTTTCCCGATGCTCCTACAGCCCTACCCGCCCGCTGGAACCCAACACCAGTGCTACCTCCAGGAGAGACATTCCTCCTAATGGTGTCTGCGATCTCTCCCAATTGGGCGTTAGGAGGTCGAGCGGATCGTTGGCCCTCTTCGGCAGACGAGGAGGTGGTCTGGAAGCTGCGAAGCTGCACTCGCGAGGTAGATGCGACTGCGCTGGCTGAGCTCGAAGTGAAGCGACTTGCGATCGAGGTCATTGGCAGCGACGAGGATGATGCTACCAGTCTCATAGTGGCTGCGATGGCGACAAGGGATGGGGTGGTGCGTATCAAGTCTTACAATGAGCAGTCAGTCGGTGGTCAGTGAGACGAACAGACCTTCGAGCCACACGGCACCAGGCACCCAGTCCGCGCGCGGAGTCTCAAACCCACTTTTACGAGAGGCCATCCTCCAGGCGCATCTCCGTAGAGACTGACTGACAAGAGGCTCACTGCCAGACCTATCCCATCGCATCTGCCTCAGTACCAATCTAGCGCCCTCTCGCCCTCCCTCACCCCCCTCTCTGCCCGTCATGGAGGAAGCACTTCACGCAGTGGGCACCACAACCACTGTGCTTCGAAGTCTGCGCCACCTCGAGCGTCCTACCAAGCACGCAAAGTTCTTCCAGGCAGGCAAACCTTCCCAAGCCGGCGGATCCAAGAAGTTCGTTCAGCCAAGGGACCGAGTACCCTTTTGGAACATCGTGCCCGGAGATATCGTCAAGCTGAACACAGGCAATGTTGCACGGCAATTCGGTCTTGACCCCAATGAGAAGGTCAGGGGAGAAGGAAGGGTGATTAGTGTCGATCGCGAGAAGAACACTGTGCTCCTGGCCAACCTCAACGAAGATCACCCACTCGTACCTCACAACACTGCCCACAACACTCCTCGTCTTCTGGATCCCAATAAGCCCGAAAGAGGTTTCGGTCCCACTACCTACACAGTCCCTCGTCCCATTCACTATAGCAATCTCACCCTCAAGATTCCCGATCTAGAGGACACTTACGCCCTCCGCATCATCAAGAAGAATCTGCATTTCCACAAGGCCTCGAAGATGTGGCGCTGGCAGCGCTATGCCGTGATTCGCAATCGAGACGGGATCAACGAGAAGATTGAAGTGCCGTGGCCAAAGACGAGGAAGACGGCTCCTCCCCCCAAGCCGGACGCTTCAGGGCGGAGAGATGTAGAGGAAGAGACGTGGCTGCCGTGGGCTCCTTCGGATCCCGTGCATCTGCTACCAAAGCCTCCTCGCAATTCGGCTCACAGTGTCAGCGACGTCGTAGAGCGTCTAGCTGCCCTCGAGGTAGCTCGTGTGGCCAAGGAGCAGGAGTCGGCCGATCTGTACAAGGGCACAAGTCAAGGTCGCTATCCTGGTTTCCAGACAAAGAAGCTCTTCACCCCTCCTCCTGTTCCACAGGAACCAAATGCGGCCGAGGTCCTCGCTTTGGCAAAGAAGTCGATGTCCATCTGGGCTTCCTCACAACAGGCTCACGCATCTCAGGGTGGTCGTTCCTTTGCCGCCTCTGATTACCTCAGTCTTGCACCTCAAGTTGGTCCAGTGGCAGGTGGAAGCTGGCAGCTACCCATTGCCGATACTCTCGTGGGCACCGAATCCTTCGAGCGTGATCCATCCACGGGTACCCTACTAAGTGTACAAAAGCATCAAGGTCTAACCTCTAAAGTCCATTTGGACTCGATGCCCGTCGAACTCCTCATGAAGGACGAGCTTAGCAATGAGCTTGGAAGGAAGTGGAGACAACAGAGGTGGCAAGCACGCCTAGTTCGCAAGGCAAAATTGGCAAAGAGTATGACTAGGAGAGAACAGAGTAATAAGCGTGCACTGAGGGAGTATCTTGCTGAAAAGGTAAAGGCCAGTGTACCTGCAGGAGTGGTGGGAGGAGGAGGAGCGATGATGGGGTTGGGACAGGCGATTGGAGGACAGGGTATTACGACGACTACTTCGGGCACGGGGAAGACGGCACCCACATCGACGTCGACATAGCCTAGAGGTACCTTTTCTCACGTCGATGTAAATGTCATCCTGCTCTGCAATGCAAATCAATGACAGCTCTTCAAACACTTCTCCCTCGTCGGACAGTTGTACTTAGAGGGCTTGAGAATGGTGTGCGTTCATTATGACAATCGATCCCTCCCTCCTGACGAATCGGAGCGACAGACCACCGAGCGATTGAGCGAGTTCATTGTGTACAAGAGAAATCAACCTCTTTCCCTCTTTCCCCTCCTTTCTCAAGAGGACCTCCCAGTTCCCCCTTTTCCGCGAGCTAGCTAGCTGGTCTTTGCTCGATTGCAACGGCCCTACCCCCCATCTCCACCACTATCTTCTAGACCTCAGACGACTGTGGTCCATCTGTCACCCCCTACCAGCCTTTCCTTCCTCTCCTCCTTCCGTCCGCAAATGTCTTCTTTCCCTATCTACATCGGCACCGAAGGAGGCGCAGGCGGCGCAGCATTCGGGTCCATGGGAATATCACCCGCGCTCTCAATCGACACTCCCACTCCAAACTTGGCCGCATTCTTGAAGTGATCAATCTCTCCCGCGACGGTGAATGCAAAGGTGGGTGCGAGTCTCGTCTCTAGCAGTGAAGAGACTTTACCCGTCGAATCGACTTGGGTTCGGAAAGTGGACATGCGGAAGTCCCACTTTGCACCAATGGTCGCTTGGGCTTCGCGACGCCCACCGGCAGTGATGACCTGCAGGTCGACGGCGGCATCGACCTTGTCTGCCAGTCGCTGCCAGTAGGTTGCCTGGGCTACACCTGTGCCCTGGTACTGCACCGTTGCAATTGCATCTCGGGCATCCGAGGTCCACTTGGCCATGTAGCCCGTGTTGGCCTCTTGACTATCCACGGAGGGACGCATGTACACCGTCTCGAGACCAAGGGCAAAATTGCGGGTGAGGGACTGGAGGAAGTTGACCATGTAGATTCCAGTGCCGTCTGCTGGCGAGGGGTTCATGGCCTTGAGGTTGAGCGAGTGGTCTAGACCTTGGTAGTCGTGCTCCAATTGCACAAAGGATTGGCCACCAGCGCTGGCGAGTTGGGCTTGCACCTTGGCGGTGTGACCTGGGGTCAGCTTGCGATTTGCGCGCATGGTAACGCTGCCGCTATCGCTGATACCACCTTGCAGAAAGGTCTGGCCAGTTGGGAGGGCAGAAGACGTTGGTCCAAGACAAGGATCGGTCAGCAACTGAGTGTGCCAAGCAAGCAAACTCCCTTCCCAGTCTTACTCACCGAGTCATCTCCCATCACTGCGCCAAAGTTGTAGGAAGGAGGCTCGCTCTGCGAACCATGAGAAAAGGCATGTGTAATCTGGAAGATGGGGTTGATGCTAATGGCCTTTGTGAGGTCTGCCCTAGCTCCATCAAAGAAGTAATTGTTGAGATGAGTCGCCTTGACCTCCCTAGTGAGATGCTCTACTGTTCCCGGATTGGGCAGTGCGAGCTTCTGCCTTGTATCTTGCAATTGAGCAAATGTGTTTGCAATGGGACGGAGGAGGGGGTCGGCAAAGGAGAACATGGAAGAGGCGTGTGTCTGGGTTGCGGGGACGGGGAAGCCCTTCTGTTCTTGGAGGAACTCATTCTGAGCCGAGGCAGGGTGGAAGCCGGGGGGTGGGACGGATCCCGAGGGAGCAGCCATGGTGGGAGGCGGGAGGATAAGGGGGCGAAGGAAGGATAGAAGAGAGAGAGAGACGCCGACTAGAAGACTTGAGAGGTCGGGCGACGTAAGAAGGGTAAAGAAGAGGCCACAGGTATGCTAGTGGAAGGTATAAGGTGTGAGTGCCGTCAAGCCAAGAGGTGAGCCGGGCAATATGTGAGGAGGAGTGAAGGGTGAGACTACTGGGATGGCCAGGAAGGTGGTGGTGGTGGTGGTGGTGCCATGTCTGTCTCTCATCTCATCCTGGCTGGGCGGGTGGTGATCAAATCTTCATTGCGCGCCCCGCCCACGTCCTTCCTCCACGCAACCGCCCACACTCGCTCACGCCCTTTCCGCACCCACGCTCCTACAGCTTCCTAGTCTAGCACTCATCCACGCACTCATGGTCTGGCCCACGAGCCCTTCATTCACTATCCTTCCTCTCGTCTAGCATGGTCACCCCGGAGGAGATCGGCGCCGGTCTCCTCTCCCTCTTCCACCTCTTCCTGCTCCCCTTGACCTGGCTTTCCCTCACACCTACCGCCTTCCTCCTCTCGGTCCTAGCCCTAGGCCCGCTACCCAGGCATGTAGCCTTCATCATGGATGGCAACCGACGTTGGGCTCGCTCCCTGAACTCGCGCATCGAAGCAAAACAGCAGCAGCAGGAGCGCCAAGGTTCTGCAGAAGGACAAAAGACACCTTCTGGCCATCAGAGTGGCTTCCAGGCCCTGAAGCGGGTGCTGGACCTCTGCCTACAGCTCAAGGCCATTGAGCACGTGACAGTGTATGCCTTTGCCATTGATAATTTCAAGCGCAAGGCAGAGGAAGTTGATGAACTCATGGCGCTGGCTAGGTCTAGTCTCATTGAGCTGGCGGGTCACGGAGAGCTACTGGCGCGGCATCAAGCTAGGTTGAGGGTGGTGGGGAGGGTGCACCTGTTACCTCCGGACGTGCAGGAGGCGGTCAGAAGGGTGGAGGATCTGACCAGGGACAACAAGGGGTGAGTGAGGGTGGGTATGGTTAGCGTACAAGCAGTGGCAGCTGACAAAGCCTGTCTGCTGGCTCGACCCCGTTACAGTCCCACGCTCAATATCTGCATACCCTACTCATCGAGGGACGAAATGGCAGGCGCAGTCCGCTCGCGTGTGGAGGCCAAGATGCGGGCACAGAGGCCGCAAGCCAACGGCCACTGTCACAGTCCCAATGAGGCGGAGGAGGAGGACGACGATGCGGCAATGGCAACAGAGCTGGAAGCGTTGGACAAGGAGATGCTGCTGGCCCACTCTCCGCCGGTGGACGTCATGGTCCGGACAAGTGGTGTGCACCGGCTATCTGACTTCATGCTGTGGCAGGTGAGTGAAGCAGACGCCTGCTTCAAGTCGCCCGGGAGCTGATGCAAGCTTCTTATCATTACTGCAGATCACTCCCTCTACTACAATGCACTTTGTGCCGACCTATTGGCCCGTCTTTGGGATGAGGGACATGCTGCCGATTTTGCTAGACTGGCAAGCCCACCAATTCCGCAAGTGGCTGTGGGGAATGGACGGAGGGGTTCTGCCGAATACTTCGTCGTGTTGAGTATAGTGTTGCGTTCACATTGTCACCCATTTACATACAATAGACGAGCATCTCTGCGTAGCGCTGCTGTCCTTGTTTCGTCTGCATGGTGAGCTTAAAATTGGCCGTGGTGAGTGTGTGTGGCTGGCGGTGGGTGGCTGTCTGGCTGTCTGCCTGGCTGTCCCCCCGTCGCGTCGTTGGTCGGAGTGGCGGGTGAATCGCAATGCATCACGGCGTGTTGCACTGTGGGCGCCTGCGTCCTGCCTCTCCTTCGCGCCCGGCCTGGGCGTCCTTTGTCCCCCCCGCACCTCCCAACCCCCTCGACCGTACAGCTCTTACTGACCGCACAGCCCCCCTCACATCATCATCTTCTTCGAGCTCACCATCTCCCTTGGCAAGCACTTGGCTCTCCTTTCATAGCCGCACTTCCTCTTGAGCCGCGTAGACTTCAAGCTGCACCGCTGGCTGCGACACTTCGAAGCGGATCCTTTGAATTCCCTCCCCCCCCTGGCGTCCTATCACAAGCTCATTGGCCCGGGCACATGGAGTCAAGGCACCAGCCAGCCCCTGACTTCAATCAACAAGGACAACAACTCTCCCCCCGCAGCCTTTCATAGCTAGCGCTGCAGTAGCAACATCATCACTCCACTCGTCGCCATTCTTCCGTCTCCGCTACCACTCTTTGCTCTCGAGTCCCACTGCAAAGATCTTGCATCTGCGCCGGACATCTGACATTCTCGCAAGATCCATCCCGCAGTCCCATGCGATAGCCACAGTCTCATCATCCCTCGTAGCCTAGTACTCACCAGCGAAAGCGATCTACGCAGCGTAATCTCCATACTCGGCGGGAGGGGGCCTTCGAGATGGACGCCCTCTTCAGAAAGAAGCGATCCAGGCTACCCAATGAGCAAGACAGAACGGGGCTTTCGTCGCCCAGCCCGCAGAATGGCCAGTCTTATGATAGAGAGTCGTACATGTCCCCCACGCCAGGGAGAACGTCCAATGCATTCTCGTCTGCGCCGATGGGATCCCCTCTGAGCATAAGCGGACCGAGTAGCAACCCACACGTTAGCAAGGATGGGAGAGCTCCATCGTATGTGAGTGTACATCGCCGCCAGCGACGTGACTGATGCCAACAACTAGGTTAGGACTTATCCGCCTACCTCTTCTCTCATATTCCCTCAGTTTGGGGCTTCAACTTCGAGCGACTCGCCTAGCAACAGTCGCTACTCCTCTTCTACCGTTGGAGGATCCTCATTCAGGGGCCCAGATCCAGTCAGACCCTCGTATGACTCCGCTTCGTCCTACACCAATGGTGCTGCCTCACGGTCGAACAAGTATGCCTCATCCACACCGAAGGAGGAGCCTCACATGATGCTCAGTGCCCACGACATTCTCAATCGCATGTCCATCAGCGCAGCATCGGCAGCATCCCTAGGGGTGCCATGGGGATCACAAGAGCAGGCTCCCAGTAATTCTGGGACACCGCACTATGTCCCTTCACAGCAGCAATATGGCTCTCCGCCTCCACCCCCAGCGCCATCTGGCCATCGTCAATCATCCTCATCCTATCACAATGCTCCCTCGAACCAGCGCTCCGCTGCTGGAGGCGAATTCGTGCTGCAACGGCCCTCGGACGTCGAGGTAGAGCGAATGTTCGCCGAGCTGATGGACAGGAGAGACTTCATTGGTGGGAACATGGCTGACAAGGACGGCATGAGACGGAATATGCTGATGTTCAACGTGGACAAGAAATGGGCTCTGGTCTACAATGATCGATTGACAGAGTGGATGTCTGCAAAAGAAAAGGAGCGCAATAGGCGACAGCAAGCCAACTCGGGGCATTCGGGAGCATCGAGGCTGATCATCACTCGTAATTCGCCCGAATGGTTCATCAAGAAGTTCATGGATGGGACAGTGACGACCAGGGACATTGAGAGTCTGGCAGTCACTCTGAGGACGTGCGCAATGGGCTGGATTCAGAGCTTTGTAGAAGCAAAGGGTACTCCCGTCCTGGCCAGCTTTCTCAATGGGCTACACGCCAAATCGTTACGGACTGACAATGATGTCGCTCTAGAGTATGAGGTGCTCAAGGCCTTTCGATCTTTGTTCAACTCCAAGCCAGGAGCAAATGATGCTCTTGCCCAACCGAAGTGCATCAGCGGCATCACATACTCGATGATCTCTGCCCACCTTGCGACAAGGAAGCAGGCAGCAGATATTCTGCTCTTCTTGTGCCACTGGGAGAAGCCTACTGGACACCGCCTTGTTCTGCAAGGCTTTGATGACATCAAAACAGCCCAAAATGATCACGGGAGATTCGATGCATGGTTCAGGGTACTGGAGCAGACCATTGACGGGCGAGGAACGATGGGCAGTCGGGTTGGTGCTTCAGAAGAAGTCAAGAAGCTCAGCATTGCCGGGCCCCAAGAGTCCTCTTTGAACGAGTACGCTATCAACAACATGTTCTTGATCAACGCCATCCTCTCAACGGAGATTGTCTCTGACTTTGAGGTGCGAGTTCATCTTCGCAATCAAATGGAAGCAAGCGGGCTGCAGCGCATCTTGGCCAAGATGAGGGGCTTCAAGAGCGCTGATCTTGATGCTCAAGTTGCTGCTTATGAGGCAAGCGCTGCACAGGACCACGAGGACATCGTGGAGACCTTCAACCGGGATGTCCTCACTGACATGAGCGATCCAGCAGATGTTTTCAAGGCCATTGTAGAGAAGGTCTCGGGCACAAGAGCATACGACTTCTTCCTCAGCTCGCTGCAGCATTTCCTCCTCATCCGGCAGGATGGCGAGGATCTTGTGCATTGGTATCAACTCATCGACTCGCTCGTCACTTCGGTCGTCATGGATCGCAATGGCGCAGTGGAGAGGTCAGACATGTCTTCTTTGCTCGGTACGTCGGTCAACAATGTCCTCTCACGCTTTGCAGACCAGGACCACATGCAATCCATTCAGGCTGAGTTGCAGAGGTTCAAGACCGAAGCAAGGACTGCAGAGCAGGAGCGGGCAAAGCTGCAGGCCCAGCTGGAGCAGGAGAGCGAAGGCTTGGTTGGCAGGCTGCAGGCCCAGATTGCTGCTCTCGAAGAGGACCTGCAGCTGGCGAGGGAAAACACTGCAGCTGTGCAAAAGGACCTACTCGATATGGAGAAGGGATACGTAGATCGTATCATGCAGCTCGAAGTGCAGAACAGGGACATCTATGAGATGATGAGGGAGAATGCCGGAAAGGAGGAACTCTTCCCCGAAGGTAAATCCAACCTCAATCGGCAGCAAATGGTCGATACACTCGAAAAGCAGCTGGAGCGCGATCGGACCATTCGCAAACTGGAGGCGAATGCTCGCAAGACTGGTATGCCTCTTCCTGCGAGCAGGACAGAGATGGATCTGGCCATTGCAGAAGAGACGGAGAAGTCTCATCGGGAGCGTATCTCTTCTGCAGTCCGGCGAGAGTCGAGACTGGCCCGCCAGATCGAATCTGGGGATGATGATGAGATCCATACTGGCCAGCATCGTCGTGAAGAATCGACGGAAGAGTCTGACGATGATCTTGATCCCACTAGTGAGGCAGCAAAGTGGAAGATCCAAGCTACATTAGCTGCCAACATGGCTCGTAACGCCAACATCGCCGAACGCATGATCGACGCTCGTACAAACAGGTGGAACAAGAGAGCAAAGGCGACGAGTGCGTCGGAAGAGGTCAGGACTAGCCAAAGCGAGCTGCCAGAAGCGGTCAGCCCGCAAGACCTCGAGATACCACAGGCACCTCCACCGCCTCCGATGATGACCTCTTCCGGACCCTCGCTATTGGACGAGATTCGCAATCGCAAGGCTCTGCGGTCGACTGCAGCCTCTACTGTGCCTCTACCGACAGCCCCGACAGATATGGGGCCTCCGCCACCTCCGCCTCCGCCGCCCAAAGATGTACAGCCATCAGCGCCTTCAGCACCACTCGCTCCGCCGCCTCCTCCTGCACCTCCCGCTCCGCCCCCGCCTCCACCGCCGCCCGTCTCACAGCGATCTGTCTACTCGCCAGTCAGCAGTGTGCCATCGCCGAGACCAGACGCTTTTGCTGGCGATGCTGGACCACCTGCTCCTCCACCCCCTCCACCTCCTCCTGCACCTCCTGCGCCACCGGCACCGCCAGCTCCAGCAGCGGGCGGCGTCCAGACCCGTCCCTCAACTCCTGCGATCAGAGACGGCCATCAGCGAGACTCGATGCTCAATGTCCGAGCCAGCTTCAATGGCGAAGATTTGGGACCTGTTGGCCCCACGAGTGCTCCTCCACCGCCGCCCATGTCTAACTTCTTTGGCAATCAGATGACCACGAGAAAGGAAGTTGCCGAGATGGCAAAGGTGCGGATGAAGCAGCTCCAGTGGGACAAGCTTTCACCACAACATGCTGCCGAGACTGTCTGGGGTCAGAGCATCGTGGGCGAATCGGAGCTAGCGCAAGTTCTGCGGTCCGAAGGCCTCTTTGATGAGATGGAGGAAGATTTCAAGGCGAAGCAGGCCGTCAAACGGACTGCTGCTGCTACGAAGAAGGAGAAAGTCGAATTCAAGACTCACTTGTCCTTCTCCACGAGGCAGGGTATCGAAATGGTCCTGAAGAGGGTCAAGAGCAGTCTTACCGACGCCAAGCATGCTACACCGGAAGAAGTTGCTCATCATATTGTGAATTGCAACAAGGTGGTGCTGGATCAGAGCTTCCTCACCGAGCTACTGCGGCATTATCCAGAGTCGGAGACGAAGGGTCAGCTTGGAGAGTACCGCAATGCCTCTGATGAAGAGCTACGTTTGCTGCATCCAGCCGATCGTCTGGTCGTCCTGTTGATGACCGTGCCCCATCTCAAGGAGAAGGTCAAGGGTCTGTTGTTCATGACCAAGTATCAAGAGGCTTTCGATCTGGTCAAGGAAGGATCGAGCAAGATCCGAGATGGATCAGAGGGCATTGTCACAGCAGTCAACTTTGCCAAGTTGCTCAACATCATCCTGATGATGGGTAACTACCTGAATGCTACAGGAGTGCAAGGTGGGGCCTTTGGATTCAAGATCAGCTCGATCAACAAGCTCGTCGACACAAAGGCCTCTGATGGAACGACTCTGTTGCACTTTGTCGAGAGGACAGTCTCCAAGGCCTTCCCTGAAGTCGAATCTTTCCTCGAGGAGCTCGAGCAGCCCTCGGAGGCATGTCGCGTCCAGCTTCTCGATCTCAAGAGGGAGCTAGCTGAGCTCAAATCGGGCAGCTTGACCCATCGTAAGGAGTTGGATCGCTTCATCGACGAAGACGAAGGCCATCTGGAAGACCCATATACCAAGCTCATGCTGCCCTTCCTCAACGAAGCCATCTCCGATCTCTCTCGTCTGGGCGACCAAGTCCAATTCACCGAACGAACCTACGTAGATGCCCTTCGCTACTTTGGTGAAGGACCCGATTCCAAGCGTCGTGGCTTCCCCGCTGCCCAGCCTATGAAGACGGAAGACTTCTTTGGTGTTTTCCGCGAATTCTCTACTGCTTACAAGAAGGTGAAAGTGGACAATGTACGGATTAGTGAGCAGAGGCAAATCGAAGCTAAGCGACGTGCGGCTGCAGAGGAGAGGGAGAAGGAGCGGTCTGAAGCCCTGGCGCGCAAAGAGGCCGGGGTGGACGATAGTCTTGTCCTCGAAACCCTCCTGGGTAATCTGCGCAGTGGTGGACAGACAACGAAGAATAAACGCAAAGCAAGAGAGAGGGGAGCGGCTAGGAGGGCAAAGGAGAGTCTGGGAGCAACCGAAGGATCTACCTCGCCTGTGCTTGGAGCAGGTAACCCATCGGAATTGGCCCAGGCTATGCTTGCTCAATTGCAAGGCGGTAGTGGAGCAGCTGGTGGAACGACGGGAGCAGCTGCGGGGCTTGGAGGTCTGCCAAGTCCCACCACCCGCGATCGACCCAATCTGGCAAGAAGGAGAGAGCGACGCACAACGAGCGAGCGAGACAGTCTCACAGGGTCCACCTCTGGCTCTGGGTCTACAGGCTCTGCACTGGGTCCAACCTCGGCAAGAGTGTCCATGGGCGGTGCTGGAAGCGTCAGTGCCGACTCGGTCTCTCACCCTGCCTCCTCGGCGGCAATTGGGGAGACGATGTCCGCCTCTGCCTCTGCACCTATGCCCACTCGGTCGAGTAGCGGATCACAGCCTGGTGCTGTACCATCTAGACGCATGGAAGCTTCTTCCTCCTCGCCTCAACGCTTAGACTCGACCAGCGCAGGCGCACCTGCACCTGCCACGGCCAGTCTCAACTCACTCCATTCCAAAGGCAATGGCAGCGGCAATGGCAATGGTATCTCTGAGGCTCCTGAAGAGGAGCAAGAGCAAGATGAGGGCGAGGAAGAAGAAGAAGAAGAGGAAGAAGTCTTTGATTTAGACGCCCCTACCGAGGAGGTTTTCGAGGAAGAGGAGGAAGACCAGCACGACCCACATGCACGCTTACAGCGTCTAGCAGCCGCCTCTACTGCCGGCGGCGGTGGTGGTGGTGGTGGTGGTGGTGGTGTTTTCTCCCCTTCTTCTTCCTCTGGCTCCGGCTCGGGTTTGGGTTTGAGCTCACGCGAGCAAGCCAGAAGGGACATGCAGGCAATTGCAGACGATGATGCTACTGCTGCTGCTACTGCTGCTGCTGCTGCTGCTGCTGCTGCCTCTGCTGCTGCTGCTGCTGCTGCTGCCTCTGCCGCTAGTGGTGGTGGTGGTGGTACTAGGCTCGGTGAAGAGGTTTCAGAAGGAGGACAAGATACCACTCTTGGCTCTCTGGGTGGAATGGGCGATTGGATCGATCCGGATTCTTCAGGCTTTAGGTAGACTACTAGTAGAAATCTGAAAGAGGGTGAACTGTATGTATGTATCATTTCTTTGCGCTTCCCCTCCCCTACCTTTCCCTCCTGTCCTCTTCCTCGCTCCTTTCCGATTCGTCATCTTCGTTCTTCGCAATGCTACCATTCTTTGCGATCCCTCGCTAGCTCGACTGCCTGCCTTGGCTCTCTTGATGACGTTGCGCTTCCTCTCCAACTCCAGCTCCAGCTCCAGCTCCAGCTGGCGCTCCTGTAGCCGTCGTCGTCGTCGTCGTCGCCGGTGGCTGCGACCCTCTGACCCTCCCAGCCTTCCACCTCGCCAACTCCCTCAACGTCTCCTCCTCCTCCCTCTCCTCTTCTTCCACCCTCTTCCTCTCCTCCACCCTCTGTGCCAATTCAGCCTTTGCGGCCACGACTGGATCTCTAGTAGCTGCATGCTGAAGAGGATTTTGCACTTTGATGACACCAGTGCGGTCCAGTCGATCAAAGAGGGTGAAGAGACGCTCCGCTTCCGCTTCTTTCTCTTCTTCAGTCATCTCCCGCTCCGGCTCCGGCTGGGCATGGGTGTCGTTGATCTCGGTCATCTTTGACGGGTTTGCAGCTGAAGCTGGGGTAGAGGAAGTCGCGGCGCCGTGGTGCTTCCGCAATGGTCGAATAGAGGTACTTCGTGCCGGTGCAGATGGGGAGACGCCCACACCTGCAGAGGGAGAGTCGACGTACGTTCCCGTAATTGGGTCGATTGCAGGCCTCTTCTCATCGAGCTCCTCAATCCTTGCTTGACCCTCCTCCACGCCATCTCCTCCGCCTTGATGGCCGCCAGCGCCAGGGAAAGCGTCGCCAAATCCATTCGATACAAGGAATCCTGCGCACGGTCCGTATCCTATCTGTGCTACCAGCTCTCGAGGTTCCTCACGACAGATGGCTAGGAGAAGCTCGCCTGCGACGCGGGAGAGGCGTGGGTAGGAGATGCTGCTCAGTAGACGAACAAGCCGGCCAGTGAGATCGGGTCGCTTGTCCAGACCGATGGTCCGGTCACTTTGCACGGCGAAGGGAAAGAATTGAGTCAGCAGTCGTGCAGCAGCGCGTCCGAGGAGGAAGATGGACCACTCACATGTCATCGGGTAAAATTCTCTTCTTGACTGCTAGCCTGAATTCCTCATCTTCTACACACAGCTTCCTGATCAGCAGGTGGATCGGCTGCCCAATTTCTTCAAGCTGAACATTCCCGTCCTGCTGTGCAAGCATGCGTGTGGAACGGTCGTCCGTGTCTTGCTCATCTGGACCTGATAGAGAATTCGGGGCAAAGTAGCGCGACATAAAGGAGTCGAGAAGATCCAGGAGGTGCTCTACAAGGGGTGACTTGACTTCGTGTCCCGGAACAGAGTAGGGACTTGCGCCATCGGCTCTCTTGTGCTCAGCCTCGCGGACTGGCGTGAACATCGATGTGGAAGTAGTGCTGGTCAGAGTCGATGAAGGACCTCGCGAATGAAATGCATGGCCGGCTGTCCGCTTCGCAGAAGCAGTGCCCGAAGGAGAGGAAGGGCTTTGAGGGCCGACTCTGTTGTGGTTGCTGCCATTTGAAGCAATAGAGGTGGCCGATGCCCGTCTACTTTGAGACACGGTTCCGGCCCAGCTGGCTCGATAAGGCTTGATGGGGTAATTCAACAGGACTCCAATGGCGTTTGTCATTGGCGGAACAAGCGAGTCGGAAGGCAGCGCCAGTACGAGCTGTATGACTGGGTCAAGAAGCCTAAGGGAGCAGGTATATATACATACTTCAGCATATCATCAGCTGTCATCGGTTCTCTACCCTTACTGGCGTACTCACATTGCCAATCGGTCGCTCCAGGCCTCTCCCAGAACAGCAGCATTCTTCTTCTTCGCCGAATTGCTCTTGCCACTGGCACCAGGGTGAGATGCCTCGTCCGTCACGCGTGGATAGTAAAGACCTAGGTTGAAGACAACCTTGAGTGCTTCTGCCAGAGCAGTCTTGATCTGCGTCACGCTTCCTCCGCCAGAGGCAGAGCCGGAGAAGCCAGGCTTGACACCCGCCTCAGTGACTTGCGACGCACACAGACTGCTGGTGAGGGAGCGCAAGCAAGTCTCCAGATACTCGACGAGATTCTCCTCCTCTACTGCGACTTTGTTGAATGAGGCATCGAACAGAGTGGAGAAGAAGAGGAGCCGGCAGCCAAGGAAGATGATATCTGGCGGTGTATGCGTGGGATTCTAGGCAGAAGACAAACCAGGTAGGACGTCAGTGTGATTTGTTACGGCCAAATCTCTATCTAGCTGCTCAACTCACTCTTAGCAGTCCGACCACTTTCCTCCCACCTCCTACTGTGTCCTCAGCAAAAGTCTTCCGGCTCGTCTCGTGCAAGAAGATGGCATTATTCAGACAGCGCAACGCCGTATCCGTCGCGGTCCAGTCAATGCTGTCCATATCCTGCGCTCCCTCATCGTGTGAGACTATACCAGCGGCCTGAGCTCCAAGATGTCCTTCGCCATTAGCAGGCCCACTGCTCCTTCGTTCACTGCCGGAACCACTGTTGCTAGTGCTACCTCGTAGAGCTGTGGTCCCCTTGATCCACATGCGCTGCATAGCCGATGTCAATGCTGCCCCAGCAGAAGAGTGGGACGAGGACGACTTTACACTCGAGGCATCCGAGGCATCAACGGACGCTTGACGAGACCGACCTACTACGGCAGGTTGGGCCGGGAGAGGAGGGAGGGCCACGTGCTGAAGGAGAATGCGAAGATTGGTGGGCTCCGACTGGACATTGCTTCCTCCGGGCAGACGTGAGAGCTCCTTGAGACATTGCAGGCTCAGGAGGTCACTTGCTGAACGCGACGATGACAGGCAGGCGTATGAGCGATATGAGTGGGATTTCACTGAACATTTCCCTTCTCCATGTGACTCACTTCTTTGCTCACCACCGTGCTCACTCTTGGGTAAGCCAGGCCCACTCTTTGCCAGATCATTGAGCAGTGCCTGTGCAAATCCCCTCCTCATCTGCACCTCCATGCCTGCCAGTCTACTCGCCCCGCCTCCACAAGTGACTGCATCGAGGAAATCTTGCAGAAGAGTCTTCTTCCGTGAGATAGATGCCGATGGTGAGGAGGAAGATGCCAGTGAGGATGATGCAGGTGATGAGGAAGGGGAAGAGGAGGAGGAAGCTCCAAAGAGGTCCAGGTAGGCTTGAGCCTGTTGCGCCATGCTTTTCCTTGTAGCGAGCGTGAAGGCAGTGAGCAAGGCTCTTGCCTTCGACAGTGGGCCGAGGCTTCTCTTAAGTGTAGACTTGACCACTATCTCCCAGTAGAGCTGACTACTATCTCCCAGTCAATCTCGCAGCATATATGAACGCCAATGGCAGCCGCGTCCTTCTTGAACAGCCTATTTGCCGGCAGTATTGGCCAGTACCCCAAGTAGCACAGAGTCGCTCGACGTTGAGCGTATCTGAGACGATGAGAAGCGATGCGCGAAAAGAACGAAAGCTATCGATCCAATGTGCGAGCAGTAGTAATACGCAGATGAAGGAGAGAGAGAACAAGGCCAGACTAGCCTAAAGGGGGGGGGGGGGGGGGGGGGCAGCTCCTTTTGTTCCCACCAAGTGATTGGTCCATGCGGGGGGCGTCAGATGCAGACGCACAGGCGCACGCACAGGCGCGGGAAGCGGGAAGGGGAGGCGGGCGCGACAAGTCAAGTCGAAGAAAGGTGCACTCACTCATTGGGGTGGGGCCTCTGAGCCATTTTGGGCCATTGGGACCTCCACCTGCCCCCTTGACCTGGCAGGGGTAGCGTACGCAGTGGATAGGGGCTCAATTGGATTTTCACGATTCAAGAAGGCGACCTTGATAAGGAAGACTAGCTTCAGCTTGAGGATTCTCGATGCTGAGCAGGGTAGGCAATGATGGATAAACTCGACGGGTGCATACGATGTTCGATGTCTACAGCGCTCTTCTATCATACTCGCTCCATCCCTACTGATTTCCACCAGCCGACTTGAGCAATACACATCCACTTCGGCTCACAACTCCTAATGAACCTCCATCTTTACCACTCCAGCCTGCCCTCCTTCTCACTGTGCAGCCAGTAGTTGACCATGGACAGGGCCGCCGCTGGCTGGTCATGTGGCACAAAGTGTCCGCTCTCGTCTGCAATAGCAAAGGTAAAGTTGCCAAAGTGACGGAATTGTCCTGCCCTTCGAGGAGTCGTCGTCGTCTTGCTCTCAGTGGCCCATTGGTCCTCGTACCAGTCCTCGAGGGGGGCCTTGTTGAAGCCCTCCTTTCCAGACCATTCTAGGTCCAAAGTCCAGGCAATGTTACCCTCGAGATTGCAAATCCAGTCGCTTGCGCCAGAGTAGGCTAGCACCCGAGTGCCCTTTTGAAGAATCTCCTTGACCGCCCAAGAAGAATCACGGGCGCCGTCCCCAGTTTTCTCAAAGTGCTTACCGACGGCGTCAGAGCAGCCAATGAAGTTGCCATCGTGCTTGTCACCAGTACGAGCATCGACTCCCAGCGCCTTCTTCGTCGAGTTGGCGTTCAGGAAGGCTCCGACCCACCCCTCCTCCTCATAATCACCCATGTGCCTCCAGTCATAGGCCGATCGACCCGTCTCGTACCAAGGGGTAGAGAGCTTGCCTTCGCAATATTGCAGGGCTAGCTTGCAGGCCAGGACATCGTACTCGGCGCGAGGGTCCGGGGTGGAGTTGCACTTCTCTGTCAAGGCGAGACATGTAGGTAGATCCTCCTTCATCGAAGCGCACTGCTCCTTGGAGAGGAAGGTGCCAAAGCCGTGATTGTTGTCGCAGGCGTAAGAGATGTAGGCGGGGAATTGATGCTTGGGCGAGGTGATGCCATTGCCGATCAGAATCGACTTCAGCGGCAATGGCTGCAGGCCTCGCTCAGGGTGAGCAATGGCCTCCTCGTTGTCCACCAAGACCTGAGCGGCGGTGAGAGGGAGATAACGACCAGCGTACGACTCTCCTGCCATGTGGAATTCCGGCAGACCTTTACCGTCCGGTCCACTGAAGACGTCCTTGGAGTGAAGGGAGAGCAAGTGGAGGAAAGCAGAAGCATCCCTAGCCGATGAAGGTGTATCGAAGATCCTTGCAGGGGCAGGGTCCTCCCGGGACTGGTTGGTCCAGGAGGAGTAGGAGTAGCCGACGCCGATGGGTTGGTCAAGGAAGATCATGGTAGCATTGTTGTTCCAGGACCAGGGGTTCCACTCGGTGTGAGGGCCCTCAGTACCATTGTTGGGACCGGCGTTGCAAGGACCGAGCTCCATGAGCAAGCCAGTAAAGCTGGAGCATCCTGTAAAAGTGTAGACGGGGATAGGCAGCACTTCGTGATCAGCTAGAGCAAATTATCCCGGGGAATGCCTCCACTCAAGTACTCACCAGGACCTCCATTTAGCCAAAGCATAGCCGGATCATTGACTGGATCTCCCCTACTCTCAAATGCCCAAAAGTAAAAGTGTTCCGTCACGCCCTTTGGGTGCTCCTGCATCCTCTTCTCCTCCTGCGCACTCAGTTTCAATCCATGAGTCTGGTGATGCTCCCACAGCTTGTCCAGATCGACATCTAGGTATCCACTCCAAGTGCGAGCCTTGGAGTCTCTCTCACAGAGGGACGCTTTAGGCTGGGTTACGCGGAGGGAGTGAGCGGGAAGGGAGGGGTGCTTGAGAGTGCTTACGGTGGAGTCCTCGTAGGAGGAGGAGCGCAGCTCGTCGAGCACGTGAAAGGGGAGTTGAGCCGCCAGAGAAGAGGTAGCGGAGGCAGCAGCCAGTGACACTGCCGAAAAGAGTGTCGTGTAGCGCATGATGAGCACCTTGAAGGGGGAGATGAGGATGAGGATGGATGGGAGGTTGGGAAAAAGCGTCAATCTAGACACGGGCGGGAAGGCGGGGAGCGGGAAGAAGCGACGCTCGGAGCCATGCGTCTGCAATCGGAGCGGGAGTCGAAGTCGAATGCGGAACCACAACTTTGGCGCTGAGAAGCAGGTGGGGTACTGGTCTAAATATCATGGTAATCTTATTAAAGTACAAGGGATGCATTCTCATTGCAGCTCTTCTCTCCCAAAAGCTTCACTCTCTACACTTTCATGCATCTATGCGTCTTCTCCAGGGCTGGCCCAGCTCCAGCCGCGCTTCCCAACCGAGTCGATCTTTTGCAGCACGATCTCCTCGTTGCGGACCTGTTGTTGATAACGCCTCCTGAGTCTTTCTTGGTCTTTCTTCGCTTGTTGGTCTAGTTCAACAAAGGGCGTGGGAGCTTCTTTGGCGTGGCCGTTCGCAGCGCTGCCGTTCACCCTGCTGCTGTCCTTGAGGACGCTGCCATTGATCGAGTGTCCGTTTCCATTCTGATGCACTGAGAACACTCCGGCAAGAAGCACACGATAGGCATCGACGGCGGAGTGCACCTGCTCGGGCGTACTCATGCCCAACAAAGTCCGCAAGGCTGGCCCTTGCCGGTTCCGAGCCGCAAGCTCAGCGCCGCGAATGCCGTACGTGAGCGCAGTGATAGCCAATGTGCTCTCATCATCGCCGTCCTTCTGAAGGTGAAGCTCTTCTGCTGCGTCTTTGCAAGCTTGCTTCAGCTCAGCCGAGGCGGGATGCCAGCTTGGCGGGCCGGCATCGGTCAGGAGACCCATTGAGAAGGGGGAACCATTCAAGACTAGTGGCGGTGTCCATTCACCATTCATCATGGACTTCTCTGTTTGTCCTTTGCCGTTGCAGACGATGGTAGGCGGCTGATTGAACAGCCGAACATAGGCCGGGAGGAGATCTGAGTGCAGGGTGTGATTCGAGTAGGATAGGATGGCATCCAGTGCTCTGTAAGGGGCTCGACTGGCCACGAGCCTGCTGATTCTCAGCAGTGCGGGGAGAGGGTATCCGCTGATGCCGACGCTCCTGATCTTGCCCTCGTCTTTGAGCGCAAAGAGAGTTGCTACTGCTGCGAGGATCGTCTCGTCCCCTGGACCGTGAATCTTGGACTCGTCTCCTGGCGCGAGGCCCAGTGACCGCCTGGCTTCTTGACCTTCTGGGTCATCCTGAGAGGCCAACTTTGCAGCCATACCTGCCTGCTGCCCCTCGCCCACCTGCTCTGCCACGAATTCTGAATCGTGCAGATAGACGAGATCCAGGTAGTCGGTGTTCAACCTTCTCAGGCTAGCCTCGACGCTGGACCTGATCTTCTGGGGCGAATAGTCGAAGTCGCACAAATTGGGTCCATAACGGCCTGCTTTTGTACAGAGGTAGTAGGTCGAGCGAGGATGTTCTTCGGCAAGAAGCGAGAGACATCGACCTAGGATGAATTCAGAAGGGTAGTAGTAGGGAGATGTGTCGATCGCATTAATGCCGTAACGGAATGCCAGGCGGACGACTAGTAGGGGGAAGACGAAGCCTGATCAGATGGCTGCTCATTGGGACGCGAACAGGGCTGGAGGTACTCACTCCGCGCAGGCATCTCTGTCTTTGTAAACTCGTCGTCATTGTACATGCCCTCTCCAAATACTCCTCCTCCAAAGACCAATGGTGGACATCCTTGCCGCAGAGGTGTATCGGAGACGTCCCTTTGTTCTGCAAAGCCTGTAGACGGGTCTTGTGTCGCCCAAGGAGCGACGCCGCCTTGTATGGAATCGGAAGGGAGGGAAGCCAGGGAAGGGAGCGGACCGAAGGCGGAAGGCGGGGGGTCGACAGAGGGGTGGCGAGGCATCTATGTGAAAGAAGGGGAAGAGAACGGAGGAAGAGGGGGCCGGAGGAATAGGAAGGAATATGAAGAGGAAAGGGAAACAAGAACAAGATGAGTGGAGAAGGAAAGCAACACCACGCCCAACCCGCGAAGCAGAATGCCAAGGCGATAAGGAATAGGCATCTCATCCATCGCAAACCTTGTGAGCCAATGCAGTGGGTTACGCGAGCAATCTGCACAAGCGGAAGCACGAAGAAGTTCCGATGATCGACGGTGGAGGCCGTGACAGCCGCCTCAGCCACACGGCACGCCCACCCTGCAGCCAGACACCCAGGCGCCCATCGGGCCGGAAGAGGGGCTTGGCAAGCGCACAGCACACACATCGGAACGGATCAGCACAGCACCACACCCCATCGCACCCAGTCTCCACTCCAACCCACCACCATCTACTTACCCCACACCAGCATCATCACCCATTCGAGTAGACTGCTAGTCCTCGAATCACCCTCAAACTCAAACTCACCTCCACCCTCACCCCTGCCAACATGGCATCTCAGATCCACCACCTCTCCCTCTCCCCTCTCACCGCCCACGCCTTCAATGCGGACAGATCAAAGGTAGCCGTATCTCCCAATAGCAACGAGGTGCACATCTACTCGTCCTCTGCTGCCGGCTGGGTACTCGAGCACGTCCTCTCCGAGCACGACAAGCTCGTTACCGGTCTCGACTGGGCTCCCGAGTCCAACCGCATCGTATCCTGCTCTCAGGACCGAAATGCCTACGTATGGACCCTCACTGCCGATGAGCACTCTGGCGCTCAAGTCTGGAAACCCACCTTGGTGCTGCTGAGACTCAACAGGGGGGCCACCTTTGTGCGATGGTCCCCCAACGAGGACAAATTTGCCGTTGCTTCGGGTGCCAGGATCATCTCCATTTGCTCCTTTGAGGCAGACAATGACTGGTGGGTGGCCAAGCATATCAAGAAGCCACTAAGATCCACCATCCTCTCCCTCGACTGGCATCCCAACAATGTACTCATTGCCGCTGGAAGCGCAGACATGAGGGCCAGAGTCTTCTCGGCCTTCATCAAGGGCATCGATGCCAGACCTCCACCATCTGTCTGGGGCGAGAGGTTGCCCTTTGGAACACTCTGTGGTGAATGGGCAACCCCTGCCGGAGGTTGGGTTCACGGAATCGGCTTCAGTCCCAGCGGAGACGCTTTGGCTTTCGTAGGTGAGTTTGCCATCCCCAACGGCGTGTGTGGTGGGGAAAACGAGGCTGATGGTCTTTCCTCGTTTCCCTTCCACAGGACATGACTCGTCTTTGTCAGTCATCTACCCCTCCGGCCCAGAGTCGGAGCCACACGCGGTGCACACTATCCGCTCCCCGACCCTCCCCCACGTCACACTACAGTGGATTACCGAAGAATCCCTTGTAGCTGCCGGTCATGACTGCCAGCCTATCCTCTTCACGGGCTCTCTCGACGGAGGCTGGAACCTGACCAAGAGTCTCGACTCAGCCGGTATGGGCGGATCCTCTGCCAGTGGCAAGGCTCCTCCTCCCCCTCCACCCAAGGCTGCTGGACTATCTGCCGCCGGAGGACCAGGCAAGTTGAACAACGAGGCTTTCAACCGCTTCAAATCTGCCGATGTACGGGGAACCACTACCCCCTCTGCCCTCGGAACTCCCCCTTCGCCTTCTCGAGGTGGAGGAGCAGGAGGGGACGGCAGTATTGCCTCTCACCTGGGAGCCGTTGCCGGTTCTTCCGTTGGCGCAGATGGAGAATTGCACACGACGCATCAGAATACCATTTCGTCTGTCAGGGCTTACAGTGGTGAGAGGGGCGCGGTCAGAGAGGTCAGCACTAGCGCTGTTGATGGCAGGCTCTGTGTCTTTGGTGTTGATGGTGGTGGAAGTGGAATCGGGGGGATTCAGAGGGGAGTCGGAGCTATGAGGGTCTGAGCACGCCAAGAGGAACGGAAGAGATGGGTAGAGTGGCTGAACGAGATTGTGACAAGGGGAAAAGCAAGGAGTCACATGAATAATTACAAGAACTTTTGGGTTATACCATGGAAGTGTTACTTTACTTGCACCCCCATCCCGCTGAGCATCTTCAAACACTCAAAAGCCATCTTCGTCACCTCTCCCCTCATTCCCCTCGCTTCCACCTCAGCTCCAGCTTGATTGCTCGTCATCCCTCTCACATTCTGATCGCCCAAAGTCTGCAGCTCTCTAGCCCCCTCGAGTGCAACGACCCTGAAAGCCTCAATTGCTCCGCTAGCTTGGAGGGTATGGAGAGCTATCGTGAATTCCTCTGGGGTAGGAGCAGCGCTACGCCTCGTGTCGGTGTCGGTGAAAGCGGCCTGGTCTTTGCTCCATTGGAGAAAGGAGACGAGACTGTGCAGTACTGATACACCGCGGATGGCTAGAGAGGCGCGGGCGTGAGTGATCCCGAGGGAAGAGGAGACGGCGTCGTTTCTCTCGAGACGAGATTCGAGTTCCTCATCTGTAGATTCTGCCTCTGCGTCTGCCTCCTCCCCGTCATCTCCTCCCTCTGTATTCTCCGATTTGTGCGACTTCGACTCGAACTCGGTCTCGTCTTCATCAATCTCTTCAATCTTGGCACCTGAAGCTGAAGCAGCCAGAGAAAATTGGCTTTTGCTCCTTCTTGTTCCGGGCTTGACCAGACGCACGAGGATATTGAGTGAGCGAGGGCGCAGTGCAAGAAGATGAGAGCAGCACGTCGCGCTTGAGCTGAACATGGCTAGGGCTCCCGAGGCGGCCAAGCGAGTCGATAAAGAGGTCTCTTTCGCGCTGCTGGATGTGGTCTCAGGATCAGAAGCGGAGGCAGGCTCCACGCTTGACTCCGTTGTCGTGGTTGTGCTATCGGCAGGGGAGCATAGAGCGACTAGGAGGTGCAACCTTCGTCCTGCTTTGCCCTTCCCCTTCCCCGATGCCAGAGCAGATCCAGCCGCTATCGACCCTTTTGGCTTCTCCAACGCCTGCTCCTCCTCCTCACCCGTCCAGCGCTTGAACACACTCTCGTCCTGAGCTAGATTACACAGTAGCTCGACGGCTGCTCGACGGATCATGGCATTGTCCTCGAGGAGAATCGAGTCCTCCATTGCGTCTGCTACCGTGCGCTGCGCATCGGTATCGTGAGGCTTCTGGGCTGAGGCAGGCGACGAATTGGTCTTGCTAGACGATGTAGACGATCCTGTAGGCAAGGCCATACGTGCTTTAGCGACTGCGCTGGCCAGCTGAGCGTCCAGACTTGCGAGATTTGTCAAAGCCAGCAGAGCTTCGAAGCGCTGCAGTGGCTCGGACGTAGCGTGGAGATACAGAGTTGCCAAGGCAGGTAACGCAGCCAGCGCATTGGTGGGGGATCCGAACAAAATGGCTGGCGACGTGGTGATACACATTCGAGCCAGCGCCTGTAGTGGAGCAAGACTTGAGCTTTCGGAAGCAGCAGAAGAGGAAGAGGAGCGCTCTAGCGGGTTCGATGTTGATGGTGCATCTGACGAAAGCTTCTTGATGGCGTGTGTACCAAGGACGAGTAGAGCTCGCGCTCCACCTGCTTGTGCTATCTTTCCCCGCTGGACCTTGTCTTGTTTGAACGTCAGGTGGAGGAATGCTTGCCCCAGTGTGTCTCTGACTGCAGGCGAGATGCTAGATCCAGAACTTGAGGAGTCTTCCGTCGTTCGGCCGCCGGCCAATGAAATGCTCACGAGAGCCTGCGTAGCACCGGCAGCAATGGCTTTGCCGACCCTCTTGTCGACCGCAGGTGAGCTCTCACGCTGATCTTCCTCTCCCCCACCCGCCTTTTGTGCCTCAGACTTCTTCGCGTTGGCCATTCCCCTGAGCTTCTTCATCTGCCGCTCCTCGTACGAGAGGATTGGCCGATAGGCGACAAGATTGAGTACGATGGTCCAGAGAGCATACTGCAGGGACGAGTCGGCCTGCCGCAATGGACTAGACAGCGTCGAATCTAGATCATAGGAGGACTGTCCATTCTGAGGATTCTCAGTCCTCCGCGAGGGGAAGACAGACTTTCGCTCCAGACCCTGCTTTGTGGTGGACGGAAGACTACAGAGCTTCTGGAGGAGAGTCGAGTCGTTCGTTATGGCCTCCTTCATGGCAGGAAGTGAGGAAAGGTAGCTGAGAGCCTCGAGGGACGAGAGGATTGTCAGTCTGGACTCTTCTTGATCCAAAGTCTGGGCGTCAGCAGACACGATGTGAGGCCTGGCCAGACTCAGCAGAAGTCGCTCTTGAGCTTCGTGCCTTGTCTGGAGCTCTGCAGCGTCCTCCGAGGTTGAGCTTGGGGCGCCTAGCTCTTCCTGCTCAGAGGATGTAGGACCCCTCTCTAGCTTGTACGATGCCAGTCCAGCGATGAGCGCCACCCTCTGAGCTACCAAAGGCGCTTGGCCCTCCTTTCCTTTGGCTACGGCTGAGGCTAGCCATTGGACAACATCGGCATCGCCCTTCAGCTGCGCCCTACTTGCTGTGTGAGCGGCAGCCGAGGACAAAAGCTCGGCCCGAAAGAGGTTGACTGAATCGTTGCTGACGCTCTCTATCCGTGGCAGAATCAATGTCCACGAGCTCCTCTGGCCTTGAGATCCGCAGAGCGTGTAAGCCCCGGAGGGGTCCAAAGCGTACAAGGTGGAAAGCAGTCTTAGAGCAGCTGTATACCCTTCTACATCCTCATCGAGGGAGCTCAAGGCATGACGGACGGTACTCTTCAGCAGCTCCGTTGATGCAAGTTCCTGGCCCTGCCCTGAAGTGCGGGAGAGAGCAAGAGTAGCGAGGGCTCGGGAACGAGGCGAGGCCTCTGTACGGAAAGCGGAGAGGAGCGTCTGGCCATCGATGGTGCCCTTAGTCGCGGATGAGGCGTCAAGGTCCAGCCCAGAGAGCCTGGCCTCGAGGCTGTGCTCTTCTGCTACTGCCGCCATTACAGCTTCAGCATGCGAGTCGAATGCTGTTCGTCGTTGGGAATACCAAGTGGAAAGGGGACGTTCTTGTGCGGAAGTGTCTTTGCGTTGCACAGATCTTCTTGTGCGGAAAAAGCGAGTGGAGTGACCGATTGCGACAAAAGTCAGCCTTCCTCTCCATCCCATCCATACATTGCCTTCACACATTTCCATTACCTCCCTTCCCCGACGACGACGAGACCAGCAGCAGCTCCTCGTCATGCCCAGGTCACCATCGCCTCCTAGGCGAGAGCGAGATCGCGAGCGTGAGCGTGAGCGTTCCTCCCGGCACGACAGCGATCGGCGCGACCATCACGCTTCCTCCTCCTCGCACAGACGCCATCGGGATGACGACTACGATGAATCAAGGTCAAGGCGTGACAGAGACAGAGGAGAGGAGAGCAGTAGCAGCAGGAGACATAGAGATGACCGTGACCGAGACGGCCATCGATCCAGCACGAGGGACAGGGAGAGGGATGATGATAGAAATCGCCATCGCAGACGGAGGAGTTACGATTCCGAAGAGGATGAGAGGAGACGCAAGAAGAAGGAGAAGAAGTGAGTCACGTTGCGGCAGTGGCGTGGAAGATTGCATGTGTACTGATGATTCTGCTTTCTCTTTCTTACTTCAGATCTCGCCATCGCGATGAGACTTCCCAGGAGCGACGTGAACGCAAAGCAGCCAAGAAGGCGCTTTCTGGCCTAGACGCAGACGATCTGGCAGCTCAAAGAGCCAACGCCGCTGAAGCGCTTATGTACTCAGCTGAAGACAATCCCTTCAACGACGCCAATATCGGACAGCAATTCAAGTGGGGCAAAAAGGAGGAGAAGGAGAAGAAGATGGGCATGACGCCTGCTGAAGCTAGGAAGCGAGATGAGGAGAGGAGAAGAGATGCCCTGGAGGAGATCTCCCGCCTTAATGCCTCGCGGGCTCAACGAGAGAAAGAGCAGGCCGAGCGAGAGGAAGAAGAGTCGAAGATGGCCCGACTGGCCGAGTCGGCGGCCATGTCGGAATGGGTCGCAAAGGAGGACGAGTTCCATCTGGAACAGTCCCGCCGCCGAGCAGCCATCCGTATCAGGGAGAATCGAGCCAAGCCCATCGACCTGCTGGCCATGAACCTTCGCTGGGCTGATGGAGAGCGGATGAGCGCCAAAAGAACTGACGAGGATGAAGATGATGACGAAGCTGGGCTGGAGATCGACCTGGAGGAGCCATACGAAATCTTCGACGCTCTCACCCTGGAAGACACCGAAGAGCTTCATCAAGACATTCAGATGTACCTCACGCTCGAGACGAATGAGCAGAATCTCGACTTTTGGAGGTCGATGATTATCGTGTGCGACGACAAGCTGGCAGATCTGCGTCAAGGTCAGGTTGATCCAGCCGACCCATCTATGCGCTCTAGGCTAGACCCCTCGGTCAAGGGAGAGATGAACAAGATGCTCCAAGACAAGACTTATGCGCAGCTTATGGCCCTGCAAGACCAAGTGAGAGACAAGCTGCAATCGGGTGAGGCCATTGATGTCGAGTACTGGGAACAGCTGCTCAAGACTATTGTCGTCTGGCGAGCAAAGCTGAAGCTGCGCGATTTGCACGAAGTTGTCCTGGAGAATCGTCTAGAGTACCTGCGAAGGAAGCAACGAGACGAAGCCAGCAAGCAACAAGAGGAGCTCGTTGCTCAGCTCGGCGATGAAGGTCTGGTGGTCGATGACGACGAGTACGATAGCCAAGGCAATGCCGCCATGGAGGGCAAGGACGATCAGGCGGCCCTCTTCGAAGACGAAGAGGCCTGGGACGAAGAAGTCATGGATCCCACGCCCGTCGACGAGTCCCGCCTCACCTATGATGAACGTCATTTGCCGGTACAGACCTGGGAGAGCTTTCGTACCGAGCTGGTCACCGCTCGTCGCAAGATTCTCGGTGCTGCCTTTGTCCCACGAAGTCGTGCCGACTCTTCCCAAGTGCCAGACGGTGTCGATGCTGCCGAAGCTCTCTTCGCACAAGAAGCAGCAAAGGGAGTCGACGTTTCAGAAGAAGCCTTCAATGGTCCCGCCAACGAAGCCTCTATTGCTCCTCCCACCGGCGGCAGCTACGATTGGGAAGACAAGTATCGCCCTCGCAAGCCTCGTTACTTCAATCGAGTCCACACGGGCTTCGAGTGGAACAAGTACAACCAGACGCACTATGACTCTGATAACCCTCCACCAAAAGTTGTACAGGGATACAAGTTCAACATCTTCTACCCGGACCTTATTGATAAGTCCAAGGCGCCTACGTACAAGATTGTCAAGGAGCCAGGCAATGATGAGACGGTCGTCATTCGCTTCGAGGCGGGAGCGCCATATGAGGATTTGGCGTTTAGAATTGTGAATAAGCCGTGGCAGTATAGCCACAAGAGAGGCTTCAGGAGCAGCTTCGAAAGGGGAATCTTGCAGCTCTACTGTGAGTATACGCAATCCGTACATGTGCAGCTCACATCGCGGCGAGCCAGATCGAGACAGACAATGATCACTGACCCAAGAATCTTCTGCCTATTCCTCCTGTCCTCTCACAGTCAATTTCCAGCGGAACTTCTACCGGAAGTGAGGAGTATGTCGGCTTTGCTTATCATGAGAATTCTCTGCCTTTGGATCCCTCACACGGCGCCCACATTGTGCTTCCGCCTTGGTTCGATCCTGTATCCTTCATCACCACGTCTGACATGTCCAGGAATTCACAGTGTCCTGATATCAAAGAGATGAATGGGTATAAATCGACCAGCGCACAGCAAAGTAGCAGTAGAGAGTACAAGCAGGGCTTCCTTCCTTCCGGTAATGAGGTCAGAACACCTCCATCTGATCTCTCCCCTGCTCCCCTAGCCCGTCCTCATCCTCCTCAAGTACAGCCCAATTGCCTCCTCCCCCTCCACCGTGCTCCTCGTGCGGTGTCCGCCTACCCGAGTACGCATGTGCCGCATCACTAGAGATGGTCCTGATCCCACCCGCACCAGCGCTAGCCCCGCCTGCATATCCTGCAGCGGAGAGGGATGCAAGAGCTCCTTCGAGGGACATAGATGGTCCGCGTTTCATAATCTTGTTGGCCTTGTTCACACTTTGACCTGCCCCAGCTCCTGCTCCTGCTCCTAGACCTACTCCGCGATTATGAGATGAAGAAGGAATGGCCGAGGCATAGGGGAGACTTATCGACTCGTGACGATTCGAATAGTGAAGAGTCGTCGCTTCGGAGGAAGCGCTCATCCCTGAGGCATTTCGCACTTGACCTTGCTCATCGCCTGGCCAGCGACCACTACTGCCACTTCCACTTCCACTGCTACTAGCTACAGCTTGCTGTTGTTGCGCGAGAATAGCAGAAGGACGAGGACGGAAGTGATGAGCTGCTGCGAATCCTGAGCTCGGATTAGAGGCAGCACTCGCATTGCGGGCTACCTTGCCTGCAAAGAGTCCACCGCCCTGTGAAGGAAGAGGCGCGCGGGCGACTCCGCTTGCAGAGGGGATGCGACTGTTGCTCGAGGCAGAGGCAGAGGTGGGTGGAGCGACACGAGCTCGGAGGTTCCCGCTCATCATCCCGGCTGGAGTTGCTGCTACTCGTGCAGGATTGGCGCTTTGCACTAGACGGGGCTTCTTGTTGCCTGCTGCCCCTGTGCTTGCTGGGACCCCGCGACCACTTGCATTACTCATGACTGAGGGTGTTCGCATGGGTGTGGCGGCAACGCGATTGGTGTGACTCGTGTTGGGATGGAGAATACCTGCTCCATTTGAAGCAGAAGGAGTGGCCGCAACTGAAGCAGTCCTGCCTCTCTTTCTTAGTGCCGGATTGGACTCTTCCACCAGTGCAAGAATCTTGTCGTAATACCGCTCGCCATCAATTGTGAATGCGCGTTCATTCTCTGCTTCCCAGACGGGAATTGCTTTCAGCAGGTCGGCCTCAATCTAATACGGACCAGTGATATTTGTGATGCGTCAGCGATATGATGCTTTGACCGCAACCGATCACTTTCACTCACCTTTGGCTTCTGCACCTTGACCCGCTTCCTCATCTTCTCCTCCCGGAGCAGACGTCCAGGATCACCCCTCACACCCTTCATGAGCCTAGTGCTATCCTTGGAGCTCTCATCCAGCTGCCTCTCCTCGTCAAGCACCTCAAAGTACTTGGCCACCAGCTTAAGGATCGGCCCTTTATCCTGCACCTCGACGTGCAGCTCCTTTACCCTCTCCTCGTGGCGAGCTAGCAGATCGTCTACCTCTGCCGAATCAATTGTCTCGACTGGCCGAAAGAAGTCAGGGAAGCTAATCTCCTTCTCTTCTTGACTTAGACGCAGCTGACCCCAAAGGTCCTCGACTTGGCTCCTGACATTGCCGAGGAAGATGGCCAGATGCTTGATCTTCAGCTCTTTCATCTTGAGCAGCTCGCACTCATACGACTCGATGACTGCCAGTGTACTGCCCGAATTCTGCTGCACGAACGCCTCCATCTCTTCTGCATCCACGTTGAACTTCACCCACAGCTCCACCAGCTCATCGTACAGCTCCTGGATACGCCCTTCCCTCCTACTCTTCTCCTGCCTGAGCCATTCCTCCTTGTCGTGAGCGCGGGTGATGTTCTCGGGCGTAGGAAGAAGCACGTGGGCTGGGAAGTGAGTTTCGGCCGAGCGAACGGACTGCAGCGTAGTGGATGCTGAGCCGCGGGTAGAGCGAGTCGGCGTGTCTGGATCTTGAGGCCCATCATCAGACGACGCCTCAATGGGCAGAAATTCTCCTTGGAACTCAGTGATGGTACCTTGGCCTGCCTCATCATCCATCTGAACCTCATGGAAGACGGGCCTGAGCTGTAGATGACGCAATACGAGCGAGTCAAAGGTTAGCTCGCTACTGGATGCTTGAGACGCGATAGTTTGCGGTGGCAGGCAGAGTTCTGACCAGAGACCGAGGATATCAAAGAGGTGTTGCTGTAGCTCTTCAGACCTTCGCGTCAGCTCGAATCCGCACTTGTCAATCGTCGTCGATAGACGCGTGAGGTGAGCTGCTGGTATGATGGCCATTGCTTCTGAGCTCTCATCTTGGGTGAACTGCGTTTTGATCTCTGGCACAAAGTCACCCAAAATTGGCCTAAAGGAGTTGAGCTGGGTAGTGAGCTTCTCCGCTTGTGAAACGCGCGAGCTGTATAGATTCTGCAGTCGAGTGACTTCGGAAGTCATTGACTCGAGTCGCGGTAGGAGAGGCTGTGGAAGAGTGTAGAGTAAAGGATCGACCTGATCGGGCTGAGCCTTGCTGAACGCGTGCTGCTGGGGTCTCACCACTTCACTCACCTCGTCCGCTGCCGCCTCGTCATTGTCCTTCTTTGTTCCTCTCGGCCTGAGACCTGACGATCTCCTTCCCTGTGTAGCATGTTCATCCTCGCCCAGCGCCGTCAAGAGGCGCTCGACCTTCTTTTGTCCCTGTTGCAGCTGAGTCTTGGCTTGCTCCACCTCCTTCTCCACAATGTCCATCTGACCCTCTACTGCTGCATATAGGGTCTTGTGTAGGGCGAAGACGGCATCTTGCAACCTATCGGGTGGATGACCGAGCTCTGTGTATAGGGAGGAGAGGCGTTGTGTCGAGTCGGAAAGGAGTTTGATGAGGGATTGAGGGTCCATCGCGGCAGGATGGCCGGGAGCGGCGTGCGATGAGGATGTGGGTGGGGATTTGAGCTGGTCAGCGAGGGACCGCAGCTTGAGTGGATGTGGGGCCTATCAGTACCGGCGTGAGACGTAGCAGGGGGAGTGGTGTGATCGTGGAGGGAGGAATAGGAACGGAGTGGTACGAATGTGCGATGCGCTCCTGGTCTGTCTTTGCAGTGGAAATCAACAAGGTGTTGGTTCCTTGGCTTCCGCGGCGCGTCGGCTGGATTTGGATCTCCGCGGGGCGTGGCGTGCGTGGGTGTGTGCCTGTGTTCGTCTCGTGCGTGCAGGGTGCAGCGTGTGTGTTTCCCGCTCGCGACCTTGGAGGCACAGAAGTGGTTGCTTTGACCTTGACAGGAACAATCGCCGGCCAGGACCATCATCATCCTTCGGATCCATCTATCCATCCTTCCCGCTTCAAATACGGGACCTCCATACTACTTCGTCCTCTCCATCGCCATATCGTACATATCCGCCTTACTGCTCCATCTTGATCCTGCGGCGTTTCCAGGGCGCGTCTCTCGAGGGGTCATCCCTCCTGTCTTCTCCTCCTCACACCCTCATTCGCCTCACCTCCTCAAATGTCGGTCGTGGAGGCTTCACCAGCTCTGCCGCTTCAGAGAATCGTTCCCGGCGATGATGCGGCTTCAAGTGATCGAGCATGGGAGCCGCGGTCTTCGACGCCTAATGGACCTCACCCTTCCTCACTCACAAAACCCCAGCCCAGCCCTCTGTCTTTTGCAGAAGATGACGAGAGCGTCTTCGAAGCTCCATCGTTCTTCGACGACCTACCGACAGGCAGGAACGGCTATACCACAGGCAGAGACTTGCTAGCTGAAAATTCTCTGCCAGTAGCCGCCCCTGATGCCACGCCTTTTCTCCCGTCACGACAGGAGCCGCCTGAGCCACCTCGCTCTGCTTGGAAGAATATGCCCGGTTTTGAGGCCTTGGACGAAAGCTGGGGCGGAACAAGTAGAGGTAGTGAGGCAAACGAAGAAGTGCGGGAGCTCAAGACTGCCTCACCACGGCAAGCAAACCCTATTAAGGCTGTCCTTCAGGACTCTACCCATCGCATCGTATCCAATGGAACCGAGGCTTTCTTCGATGCCAAAGCGTCATTGCTCGCTTCGTCGCAACGCCTCGCTACTGGAGCCACGAATGCAGAGAACGATGGCCCGAGGCGTACTTGGATCGAGAGCAAAGGGGGAAAGAAGGCAGCAACCGCGCACCTTAGGCCAATCGCTCGACCCAACATCCCCTCCCTAACCTCCCTTACTGACTCAGAAGCAGTTCTGCAGCCAGGACCAAGTAGCTCTGGCATGAGGAAGAGGAGTCAGGATGTGAAAACACAACGCAGAGATTTGGATGAGGGGTCCTCCTCGGCTCCCGAGTCAGGAGCTGGAACAGCCTTGGGGGCTAGCGCTCGCTTCGATGACGCTCTAGAGTCATTGAGAGACGATGGTCAGACGCGACGGAGGAGGACGCGCTCTCGGTCATCGAGTTCGTCCTCCAGCTCGTCTGGCTCGGGACGCAAGCAAGGCGGCCGTGAGAATGAGAGGCTGCAGCAAGCAGCTGATCGGATCGATGCGGCCGATGCAACAGATTCAATCAGCGAGGTGGCTGGGGTGACAGCATCCGAAGGAGCCGAGGCTACCTTCATTCATCACTCAGATGTCTCTGACCTACCGCCTGTCCTACGTCCGGCCTGGCAGAAGGGCGTGGCTGGAGCCGTTGATCCTCGGACGCCAGGGAAGAAGGGAAAAGGGCTGACCAGCATCGGTGGAGACATGTTCACACCGATGAAGCTACAGACCATGTTCAAGACCCCGACGCCGCCCAGCTCAAAGCCAACCACCCAGCTCGACGTCCCTACGGCCGCACCACCGAGTCAGGCAGCCTCGGCCTCCGCGTCGAAAGTCGCTTTCACACCGGTCCATAGTCCGCCAGCGTCTCAGAGCAGACCATCGACTCAAACACTGAAGGAGCCTCAAACAGAGCGTTCCGCAGCGTTCACATTTCGGTCTCCAGCTGTATCGGCTCAAAATAGCCCTTTTGCACATCTGGCCACACCCAAGAGTACTGCGAGGAAGAGGGGCCTCTCTGCTGAGGCCTACGCTCATATCGGACGCACTCCTTCTGGCTCAGTAGCTTCACCTGTATACCAACAGAGGTCCTTGCCCCTACGACTGTTCCGCTTTGGAGAGTCTCCGAAAACAGCGTTGCCACCGCTCAGTCCGAGCGGACGTATCGCCCAGGAGCTAGAGGCAGAGGCAGAGGAGGAGGCAATGAGCGAGGAAGAGGCTATTCAAAGGTTCAGAGAGAGGGTAGAGGAGCTGAACACTCTCAAGAGAGCTGAGATACAGGCAGCAGCACAGAAGATTCTGGGCCCCGCGACAACTGGCTCACCAGAGAAGAAGCGCATCCGGCTGGGGAGCACGACTGGAGCTCAAGAGGTCGCCGGGATTCCCGATGTAATGGCCTCGCAGGAGCCTCGGATACGTTTGACAGAAGAGCAAGAGGTCGAGTCGCCGCGAAAGCTGTTCCGCAAGTATTCTGCGGCCGAACAAGTGGACAAGGAGATCGAAGCTGAGCGGAGAGCTGATCGTCGTCTGAGAGCCTCGCATTACTCTGATGATGAGCGTCGCAGAGATGAGGAAGTTGCGGCCTTAGAAGCTAGGATACAAGCCCGTCGGGAGCGTCGAGCAGAGATCATCTCACCGAGAAAGGCCACGGTTGCTCTTTCGACCACGGCCGCTGCCACTGCAAGAGCTCCGCCCAAGATAGCTCTGGTGGACGAATTCGGGAACAATGAAACAATACCTCAAGGCATGTCTAGAACGTACTCTGCGACCCTCATTCAGTCCTCCCGTCCGGGCTTTGGGCGGACACAGAGTGCCGAAAGCGCCAGCGACAGCGTACGAATCGAGCAACCAATTAGACGGTATGCGTCTGCCGGGGTCAGGCTACGCCGGGGAAATACCACCGCAGAGGCCATACAGACAACGACGAGCGAGGTCATGCTGCAGGAAGAGGTCGTCTCCCCTGTGCCGGCTACTGTTGTGGTCCGCGGGCTGCCACGGCGTGCTGTCGAGCCGATCCAGGAGGTATCCAACGAGACTCTGCCTTCGCCACCGGCTCCACAGATCAATACGCTAACCAACGCGCCTCACTTGAGGGTACAAAGAGGTCATAGTGCAGACAACAGCGGGACCAGCGACTCAAGTGATCCCTTCAAGAACATCGAAAGCTTTGGCTCTAGCAGTCCGAAAGAGTCACCAGCCTCATTATCGCGGCCTGCAGAGCCCATTCGCCCTGCAGCAGAGCAAAAGTTGTCCCAAGCCACTCCGGTACCGCCTCGCACTTCGCACGCCAGGAGCGCTGGTGGTACGCCTCCTATCTTGCGACCAACGTACGCGATGTCCCAGTCGCCAAACGTTGTCCCGAGCAGAGGATCTGGGCTCAGGCATGAAGTAGTACCTTCTGAAGACGGCGATACCACCAAGAGTGATGCTACTGGGCTTTCGCAGCTTTCCCGCGTGGAGGGTGACGAAGAGGACGGAACACAGGACCAGCTCCCCGAGTTTACCACGCGTCACATCGACGACCGGACTTCGGTAGCCATGCCAAAGGAGCGGGCATCACTGATGTCCACTCCACTAAGGGCAGGAGGCTCTTCCTCCGCTTTCAACACACCGCAACCACCACGATCGATCCTCAAGGGGGTCGCAAGTCTGGAGGCAACGCCGGTGTCAAACCGGCTGCTGCAGCCGCCTCGGTCCATCAGCTTCGCAGACGGAAAGACCACGGGCAAAATGTTCTCTTCGAGCCCGCTCAAGGATATTGATGACTCGTGGGAGGACAAGGATGCTACTCCAAAGGCCAAGTCGCTTCGCGGATCTCAGAAGGCTGTCCTACCCAGAGCAGATGCATCGCAGAGCTCTAGAGCTGCGCAGATCCAGGAGCTGCTCAGGCAAGTCGCGGCATTGACGATGCAGGAAGAGCAGGCCGGTGAAGAAAGAGGGCGCACTGCTGGGAGTGAGGATGACGAGGACACAGAGGACTCATGGCAAGCTCCATCGCCTACATCTCGCTTCAGCCAACAGCAGTCACGGATGCAGAGCTCCTTCAATGCCTCCAGAAAATCTCTCGCATCGAGTCGCGGCGACGGAGCTGCAGCTGGACGCTCCGTATGGAACTTTGACGACTCGGCTGTGGACAAGACCTTCCTCACCCAGGCCAGCTTCGAGCTCGCTCACGACAGGATGGTAGAAGTCATCACAGATGTGGCGCCTTGGGTACCAGACTGGGACGAGCTAAAGACGATTGACCTCAGAGGGCGGAAGTTGGAGAGCGTTGTTCGGCTGAAAGAGTTCCTGCCGAAACTCGAAGAAGTTGCGCTGGACGACAACGAGATTAGCTACTTTACAGGTTTGCCATCTACCTTGAAGAGTCTTACTGTGTCGTTCAACCAGGTGCCTTCGATTGCCTCTTTCGGTCATCTCTTGCATCTCGAGACGCTGGATATTAGCCACAACGAGGTCGATGATCTCTCCTCTCTGGAATGTCTTCAGCATCTGCGATATCTCAAAGCGGATAACAATGGGATCAAGACGCTGAACGGTATTCTGGCGCTTGAGCATCTTCACACCTTGTCGCTACGGGATAACAAGCTAACCGTCTTGAATCTGCAGACGAGCTCATGGAGGAAGCTCTCAACACTAGATGTCTCACACAATCGAATTGTCACAATCCGGGGTCTCATGACTTGCCGGCATCTGAAGTCCCTCAACGTCAGCTCAAATGATCTCAGCCGACTGGACCTCGAGCCGAGCATGCCAAAGTTGAGAGTCCTGCGTGTGAGCTCGAATGCTCGTTTGAGCGAGCTCGACGTGCTGCCTGCCAAGGATCTCCGCACCTTGTACGCAGACTTCTGCGCTCTGGAGCGGATAGAACACTTAGGCTCACTCAGCAAGCTGGAGAACATAAGTGTGAGACAGCAACTGAACGATCGCGGCGGCTTCGTCTGGCCGGGCAGCCAGGTGAAGGATGCCAAGAGGCTCTTTCTCTCAGCGAACGCCTTCTCGCGCGACCTGTCCCTCTACGCCTCTGCTCCCCGTGCCCCACCGGCCTTTACGCAACTGGTGTATCTGGAATTGTCGGCCTGTCAACTCGAGACGCTCCCCTCGAACTTCTCTTCCCTCTTCCCAACTCTGCACCACCTCAACCTCGACCACAATCTCTTTTCGAAGCTCCCCAAGCGCTGTCTCTCTGGTCTGAGGGACCTGAAGAGGTTGAGCATGGTCGGTTCGCGTATGGGCAAGACGCGCAACTTGCTCGAGGCACTAGAAGGGTGCCAAGCTTTGAGCGTGCTGGATACAAGGATGAATCCCCTCACGCTGGGCTTGTACCCGCCTATGCTGCTCACCTCGCCTGCGGCGGCTGACAATCAGCATGCCTCTGCAAGTCACCTTAGCCACAGTCAAGCAACACCACACGCCGTCTCCCCTGCGAACCTAGCGCCAATTCCGAATTTCCAGATCGTGCGGCCGGATACAGCTCTGCAGCAGGCGAAGCAGGTGGCGGAGAAGGGTCAAGAGGAGGAGGTGGAAGGCTGGGAGAAGTCCTTCTTCCACAAGCGACATCCTGCGCCGGCCTCTGCTCCCACAAGTGGCCATGGTAATGGTAATGGGATCGATGCAGATGCCACGCTCCTCCCTACTCCCTCTGTCACCTCTCTAGCAGCAGCAGCTTCCAGCACGAGCACCTATGCCCTCTCCGATGCGCGCTTTGCCCGTACCCTACCAGAGAGTTTTGCACTGAAGCGACTACTGCACAGAGGCACGCTGGGCATGGTATGTCCGCGCTTGGAGTGGCTTGACGGGCTTGTGCTTGCGGACGAGGAAGTGCGAGCGGCAGAGCAGTGGTTGAATGGGTCTTGAGATTTGCAGAGAGGGAGGAGATGGGGAGTGGAAAGGGAGAGTGAGAGAGAGGAGGAGGAGGAGGATCGATACCCTAGCTAGAGAGAGAGATGGGAAAAAACTGTTGTACTACTAGTCATCGTGGCTACCCTTTGCGACCGACCTTACCCGATCAATTGGACTTCAACCTGAACCTTTCTTTTGCCATGGTACGAGCCGAAACGAAGTCTGCAATGCGATTGATAGTGAATTGAATGGAAAATGTGACTAGACGAGACGGATTGTTGGCTTTTGCACAGGTTTGTCAACCAGTCTACTCCTCTTCACTGCTCTCCTCTTCCTCATCCTCAGAGGCCTCCTCGGCTTCATCGTCAATCAGTCCGCCCTCTCCATCCTCGTCATCCTCATCGTCGTCTTCATCTTCCTCGTCATCATCGTCATCCAGCAGGTCCGACTCGTCGTCCTCATCCTCATCGTCTTCCTCTTCCTCGTCCTCCGACCCCTCCATCAGCTCATCATCATCGTCATCGTCCCCTTCAGACTCGTCCGAAGAAGCTGCTTTGCTCTTCTTGCCCTTGCCTTCTGCTGCCTTGACCTTGCGGGCAAGTCGAGAAGGAGGACGAACAATATCACTGTCCTCCTCCTCATCGTCGTCTGATGAGGCGGGACCCATTCCAGCTTTCGAGACGGAGGAGCCATTGACGCGCGAGTCGAGACCGACATCCTCCACGTCGCCTTCTTCGTCCTCTGCTTCGATGGGCACGTCGCTATCGTCCTCATCGTCTTCAGAATCCGAGTCGGAGTCGACATCCTCCTCTTCTTCGTCAGCTTCGTCTTCATCGACGTCCATTCCCTCGCCTACTTCCTCTACATCCTCCTCGTCCTCATCGGAATCATCCTCGTCCTCCTTCCAGACCTTGCCCTCCTTCTCAATCCTGGGAGCACCAGCACCAGATCGAGCCGAAGCGCCCTGCACCTTGGCCTTGACGACATCGTAGTCTGCTCGCAACTCGATTTGTCCCAGCACAAGCTCCAGCCTGCCCTGCAAGGCGAGCATGCGATCGTGTCCATTCAGCCGTGCACTTAGACTCGAGTGCAAGCTGGCAAGTCGACTAGTCAGACCGGGTAGACTCATCAGGTATCCGGCGTGCAGACGCAGAGTCCACTTGATCCACTCGACCATTCCGCGTGCCTTTTGTGGGCCGCGCTTTGAGGCGTTCAGGCGGGTCACGCAGGCCTCGAGGAGGAGGACGGCGTTGGGTCCGGAGAGACGCAGGACAGTGCCCTTGATTAGGTCTGGGTTTGCGGAGGTGAGGAGGGAGGAAATGAGCGAGGAGTCCGAGGAGTGCAGGGCTTGGGAGAGAGAGGTGGCGAGGGAGAGAGATGTGCTAGGGGCGCCCACTCGCGATGCAGCAGCATCTTCGTCTTCGTCCGACTCTGAAGAGGAGGCGTCCCCTTGAGCCTTCTTTGACCTGGTGGCTTTCCTGATGACACGCAGCCCGCGGAGCCTGTCTTCAAGACTGCGCTCGTCGTCTACACCTCCGCTTTCTCTGTTCAGGGCATCGTCCTGATCCTCTGATAGACGGCTGTTGCCTTCGATGAGCATGCCGTCCGGGCCAACCGGGGCAGACGAGGAGTTGGCCCCGCTCTGCTTACCAGCCGTAGCCATAGCGTCGCTATACCGTTGCAGGGAGCTGTTGCCTGTAGTCACTGTGCTGTCGTCTCCAGATGCTAGAAAATTAGCGTTGGCACTGGTCTTGGGTATGCTCAGAACTGAAAGAAGCGAGGAAGTGGCCGGGTCTTTGATCTGAGTAGAGGCGAGGTCGAGCTTGACGCCTTTGACCAGACGGGCAAGGTCTAGCCTGCCTCCAGCTTCATCCAGTCTCACATCCACCAGACTACTTGAAGCAGCTGTAGAGGTAGCCTTGACGAGCTTGGTCCCTTTTGCGGCATCCTCAGCCACCAGAGCCGCTGTGTCATAGACCCCCACGAAACCCTCCGAGCCTACTACCACCACGACTCCCGCCCTTGACTCGACCCTGATAACATCTTCGCCCTGCTCGAGCTCAATTGTTCCAATGGGAGCCTTGGACCTGGAGCTCTTCCAGATGTATAGCACCGGATCATTCTTTGCGGCCGACACGAAGTGCTCGTCATCGATCCAGGTGAGGTGGGTCATTGGGCTTGCGTGAGAAGTGTAAGATGACTTCGTAGCCGATGTCGCTTCGTCTAAGCGGGTGATGGTATGATTGGCAACCAGAAGATGAGCTGTCGAGGGCGAGACAGAGACGAGGGTATTTGGGGCTGAAGATTGAGACTGCATGGTCACCCTGCCTGTGGGTTGCAGACCACTCGTGGACGCTGATGCCGACGAGTCCAGGGCTGCTGCAGCTGCTTGCAAGGACCAGACTCTCACGATGCCATCCTTTGCCGTTGCGTAGAGCTTTGAGGCTGATGCATCACTAGCATAGCTCATCGAGGTGATGGCATTGCTTGCGGCCGCACTGCTCGTTCCTGCTGCTGTGTCTGTCAGTACCCGAACCACCTTTCCTTGGCTAAGATCGAAGAGGTGAATCTGACCGGACTGCAGTCCAAGAGCGAGGACAGGCTTGGAAGAGGTTGTGACGCCCTCCTCGGCAGCATTGATGGAAGCTCTGCCTCCCTTCTTCTGCCTCTTGGCTTGAGGACTCTCATTTGTGGACGACGAGGCCGTAGAAGGCAGCTTTGCCCAGCACAGGGCAGAGCATTGAGCACTCTGGGTGGAATCATTGCTACCAGACGGTAAGACGTAGTCTACGAGGAGTCTGCTGGTACCACTTGAGGAGGTGGAATAGATGGTCAAGCGATGGCGGTCGATTGCTTGGGTGAGAATGGCAAAGTGAGGCGAGAAGGGGGAAAAGGCAGTGATGGGAGCGAGAGTGGCCGAGCTCGATGTTGGCTGTGATGTTGAAGCAGGGCGAGACTTGGAGGCGGCCTTGGCCTGCGACCGAGACTGTGTCTTCTTGGCCATGACTGCGAAGGGCGCTAGCGAGGGACCAGTGGGACGTCTACCGGGCTCGTCGAGGTCTGTACAGTGGAAGAAGAGGAGTAGGATTGCCGTGTGCGCCTGTCTTTGAGCGTGGTAGGATCTTCCTGCCTCGACCTTCGTGTGCCTCGGATCAAATTTTATTGGGCGGAGCCTGCGATTGCGCGCTTCCGTTCCGTCCTTCACATTTGTGCGGTACGGGAGGAAGATCCTTCGAGGCACGCTGCCGGGAAAGTAACACATAACAAATATCGCTTCTCGCACTCCTCAAGTAGTCCCCCTTGATCATCCCCCACCATGCCTCGCAAAGGAAAGTTCAAACACAGGCTACACCGCAATCCCTTCAGCATGTACGAGCAGCTCCCCGCCATCGACCAGCAGGCCATGTTCGGACGTGAAGCTCCTCTTGCCCTTGACGTAGGCTGTGGCCCAGGCCTCTTCACTGCCGACCTGGCAAAGAAGCACCCAGAGTGGAATTGCATCGGCAATGAGATCCGCGATCATTACGTAGAGCAGGTCGAAGCTAAGAGGGAGGCGGGCAAGCTCACCAATCTAAGAGGAATCTGCGCCAATGCGAATTTGCAGCTCATCAATATGCTCCCAGACGACTCGATTGTCTTCTTCACTCACAACTTTCCCGATCCTTGGTTCAAGAAGAGGCATGAGAAGAGGCGTGTGTTGAACACAAAGTTCCTGTATGATCTCAGGCCGAAGCTCAAGGACGGCTGTGAGCTGCACATTATGACAGATTACCAGCCCATTGGCGAGGCAATGCGCAAGGGCCTCATGGCTACCTCGTTCCTCAGGCCTCTCAAGGGCAATCACGACTTCATCGCCGAGTCAACAACGGGCATCTTCAGCGAGAGGGAGCTAGTACACCACGGAAAGAGGGGAGAGACGATCTGGAGGATGGCGTACGTCTACGATGCCAGCCTGCCTGTCATTGAGCCGCCCCCGGAGGTCAAGGACAAGGCAGAGCAAGCCGCAGAGGCAGCAGCAGAGAAGAATGGGGAGGTAGACTCCGAGTCTTCAGGCTCCGAGGACGAGGAGATGGAGGGTGCAGAGGGAGACGCCCCTCAGAATGGCAAGGCCGCTCCGAGCAGCGATGGCCTGCCAGCTGGTGCGGACGGCTCCTCGAAGAGGAAAAGGGAGGGTACGAATGGCGACCAACAGGGTCAGCCTAGCAAGAAGCAGCAAGCCGAAGCTGTTGCTTCGACGTCGGCGCTCTCTGCTACCTCAGTTGAAGAGCTTGAGATCAACTCTCCGGCCGACTTCCATGTCCACCTTCGACAAGGCCCTATGTCTGAGCTGATCGCACCTCACGTAGCTCAGGGAGGAGTCTCTTTGGCATACGTAATGCCCAACTTGGTCCCGCCGATCACGACGACGCAGATGGCAGTCGAATATCACAAGTCTCTGAAGGCCCTCGCCCCTCAGACGGACTTCTGGATGACTCTGTATCTTTCCCCTAGCTTGACGGCAGAGGAGATCAAGACGGCAAAGGAAAGTGGAGTGGTCAAGGGTGTGAAGAGCTACCCGAGGGGAGTGACGACGAACAGTGATGGAGGTATCGAAAACTACGAGACGTACTATCCAGTGTTCGAGGCTATGCAGGAGCACGATCTTGTGTTGAATCTGCACGGCGAGGTTCCCAGCGACGCAGACAAGGTGAGTGGGCGGCGTGGCAAGGCAGCTAGCCTAGAATGACCATCTGACAATCCGTTGCTCTCTTTGCATAGGACATCACTATTCTTAATGCCGAAGCCACCTTCCTCTCTCACTTGCACAAGATCCACGCCCGCTTCCCTAATCTGCGGATCGTCTTGGAGCATGCCACTACTCGAGCCGCCGTCGAAGCAGTGAAAGCCTGTGGATCCACTGTTGCCTGCTCCATCACTCCTCACCACCTTGATCTGATCATCGACGACTGGGCTGGCAAGCCCCTCAACTTCTGCAAGCCCGTCGCCAAGACTCCCGACGACCGGAGAGCTCTACGCGAGGTGATTGCCTCGGGCCATGAGCGCTTCTTCCTGGGATCGGATAGTGCGCCTCACCCTCTAGCGAACAAGTATCCATCTGCCGCTACTCACGGCGGAGCAGAAGCTCTGATTGGATGCGGGTGTGCGGCTGGAGTATACACGTCGATCATTCTTATCCCACTCTGCGCTCACCTCCTCGAGTCCTTTGGCGCACTAGACAAGCTCGAGGGCTTCGTCTCGTCGCACGGCAGGCGCTTTTACAAGGCGCCGTTGAGCTCTACGAGTCAGAAGTTGAAGCTGAAGAGGAGTGCGGTGGAGGGAGAGGAGGGAAAGGTGCCGGTGGTGTGTGTTCACCCTGATTATCGGGAGGTGGGAGATGAGAGGAAGGACAAGGTGCAGGTGGTGCCCTTTTGGGCGGGCAAGAAGCTGGGTTGGACCATCGCAGAGTGAGAGTCGTGAATCGATGTCATGTTCCCTTAGCATATTGTTGTCACTTCATCTAGGTTCGTACCGTACCATGAGAAATGCGTGAATCTTGCCATTCACTGTGGTGTGCTGGGCCATTTACAAGTAGCCAGTCCATCAGCCAGTCATCTTTCTGCTTCTCCCTTCACACTCTCTGCCTCTCTCATCCCTACTAGAGACGGATCTGTTCCCCCGGTAGACCAACCCCCCAGCCACAAGTGGGCCAAGAAGTCAAGTATACGATCCTCCAAAGGGCCCCATCCACAAAGAAGCAGACGGGGCGGGAGGTAGAAAACCTTCCCGTATTTGGTCTGGCAAGCAGGATAGAGTGACGCCTGTAGGAGGAGCTCGAGGGGGTCACTACAATACGTAAGCTTGCGAATTGAGTGAGGAAAAAAGGAGGAAGAAGAGGAGGAAGATCCGTGCTGCCGATGTGATGTTGTCTGCCTCCTGCCCGCGCGCGGCTGAGGTGGCTGGGCCCAAGCCGGGGAGACGGAAAGGGAGACGAGGTGATCACTTGTGCGGACCAGAGGACGCAAGGTGATGATGCTTCTAGACCAGACGTCGCTTCCTCCTTGCTACATCAGTCCTAGCCGGTCAGCCTCACACGCCTGTCTGATCCTCCCTCCCCTCTTCTTGGCAGTCATGTCTGCCTCTCCTGCCCCTCCTCAAACAAATGGCATCTCCAATGCTCACGGAGCCGATGTAGAGATGAGCAACGCGGCGCCTCTGGACCCTTCCGCCTCCTCCTCCTCCTCTGCTCCTTCCCCACATCCGCATCCCCATCCCCAAACAGCAGGCGCTCCACCTCCTGCTGCTACTGCTACCGCTGCTGCTGCTGCTGTCGAGGGTACGGCTGTCGCTTCTGCATCAGGTTCGGGCTCAGGCTCGGGGAGGACAAGAGGTGCATCAGCAGGTGCGGGAGTGGGGACCGCGGGAGGAGCTGCTAGGAAACAGGAGCCATTGATGAAGCGCGAGGAAGAAGAGGCTAAGAAAGATCGGTCCCTGGCGGAACTGCTGGGCATGCTGGATGGGTATAGGCCGGTGGTGAGTGAAATGAGTGCTATACACTGGGAACACTGGTGGAATTCAGAGAACAAGAAGGCTAAAGTAGTGCTCTCTCTCTCTCTCCAATGTCGCTCCCCTCAGATTCCGGAAGAAGTGACAGATTACTACCTCCAACGGTCCGGCTTCGAGAGCCATGACCCCAGACTGTGAGTAAAGTCCGATGGCTTGAAGTCTAATTTCTCTCCTGACATTCTCCTCCCCCTCTCCCGCCCACCTACGCCGATAGTAATCGCCTCCTCTCCATCTCGGCCGAAAAATTCATATCAGACATCGTTTCAGACGCCTATCAATACTCTCGCATCCGTTCAAACGCCACATCCGGTCGTCCGCCCGCAGCTGCAGCCAGTGGTCCTGGAGGAGGAGGGGCAGGGGGTACAGCGTCAGGTGGTGCTGGAGGAGGAGGAGGGCCAGGCGGGGTGGATCGGTCTAAGACGGTCCTCACGATGGATGATCTGACGGCTGCGCTTGGAGAGTATGGTGTGAATGCAAAGAGGGCGGATAGCTATCGGTGAGGTTAGGGGACGGAAGGAAGGCAAAGTCGATGACACATGTCGTTGGTTGATGAAGGGAAGAGGAAGCAAGCAAAATGTATCATTACAGACCAGCGAAGTCCCTCTAGTGCTCTTGACCTGCTTCGTTGCCCAGCAGCCTACGGGCAGTTTCACGGGAAGCGCACAGCAGGCGCCCTCTCGACATTCTCAATTGAGATCTTGTGTCCAACGAGATCCCTGATGTTGTTGATCCCATACCGGATCATCGTCGGCCTCTCTAGACTGAGTCCCCAACCCAAAACATTCACTCCTTCCGGCAGACCCATCGGTCGCAACATCTCCGGCCTAAACATGCCACTGTTTCCAATCTCCACCCACTTGCCTAGTCCCTTGTGGTAGGAGAAGATCTCCAGAGAGGGCTCAGTGTAAGGGTTATAGGCCGGCTTGAAGCGCAGGTCCGTCACGCCCATCTTTGCAAAGAAGATTTGCATGAATCCAATCAAGTCTCCGAGGGTGATGTTGTAGTCGGCCACGACGCCCTCGACTTGGTGGAATTCGGCGAGATGCGTTGCGTCGACGGCTTCATTTCGGAAGACCCGGTCGATGGAGAACATCTTGGCGGGTTTGAAGCCACCCTTTTGATTGGCTAGCTCGTACAGCATGGCAGAGGAGACGGCAGTGGTATGCGTCCGCAGGACCAGCTTTTCTGTCACCTCGCGGCTGAACTTGTATTGGTAGCCAGTCGAGCCGTAGCCTCCTACTTCATGCACGTCTGTCACGCGCTTGAGGTAGTCTTCTGGAATGTGCTTGGCGGCGGGAGGATCCTTGATGAAGAAAGTATCTTGCACGTCTCGAGCAGCATGCTGCTGAGGCACATACAGAGAGTCGAAGCACCAGAAGCTCGACTCGACAAATCGGTTCGTGGGCATCTCAGTGAATCCCATTTCGAAGAAGATGTTGCGAAACTCTTCCCGAACCTTGAGTAGGGGATGCAGAGCTCCTGTAGCCGGCAGAGCTGCCTCGGCATCGAAGTTGTACTTCTTGAAAGGAGCTGTCTTCCAAGCTCCCGAGTGTAGCAGATCTGATGACAGATCGGTGATCAGCTTCTCAATCGTGAGGCTGAAATTGGGGCCCTTCGAGATTGTGAACCAAAGCAGCTTCCTGGAGGTGGAGAAGAAGGACGTCAGCGACGGTTCGACCAATCATCAACGAAGATTTGCATTTTGGACGCCCACTCACTTCTGGTTGACCAGCTTGCGCTTCTTTAGGTCTGCGACCTTCTTCTCGTCTAGTGAACCTGTCGCTCTGACCTGACGCAGATCATCGGCAGTCTCATCTGTGACGTTGTCTACTCCTGCCATCCTAGCCAGAGATCCTGGTGACGTCGGGTCTTTCCTTGCCCACTTCTTTGCAAAGGCCTTTCCTTGACCAATCTTGAGAACATCAGCGCCTAGCTCTTGCTGTGAGGTCGCCAGAGGGGAAGCAAAGAGGTCTTGAGCATTCGACTTCACAGTCCCCTCGCGGAGCTTCTCCACTCACCTTGAGCTGATCCATAGTCTTCCCCTGCTCTCCGCCGGCAGGGAGAGCAGCCCACACCCTGTACTCTTGCGACCCCTCTCTGGCAATCTGTCCACCTTCCTTCGTCAATGTGTACAGGAGCTCATCCTGGCTGGTGAAGGTGACCATCTCCTTTGCCTCTAGAGACTTGAGATGACCCAAAAGAGCGAGCTGCCAGTCTGCTCTCCTCTTGTGGTACTCGTCTACCTGCTGTTCATCATCTGCATTGGTGGGCGCTGGAGGTGGGTGGACCAGAGCCCGCGAATCCTTGATTCCTGAAGAGCCTGCTGCGTCGACCTGTCGCAAGAGCCACTCTGCCGGTGGGTTGATGTCCCATGCTGACGGGGCCGACACTGTCATGGTACGGGATGATGTCAAGGGAGAGGGCGTGGATATATGCTGGTCCAGTCGATGTGATGGTGACCGGTACGACTTCTTCTGGCTCTGGTCGGAGGCTTTGCGCGGCGGAGTCCAAGTGCGCCTTTTGCCGTGCGCCTGTGGGCGGCGGCTGAGCCTTTGAGATGCTTCCGTCTTTGCCTTTGTGTCCTATTGTCGTCTGCCTTTGCCTCCTCTCCACCACCTCTCGTTCTGCCAATCCCTCCTTTCCCTCGCTGTCCTCGGTACAATAGAGATCATCAACAGCACCTTCGCTCTTTCGGTAGATCGAAGTCTGGATCTTGGAACACCGTCCGTTCGACGCGCTCAGAGCTCCCACGTCCATTGTACAATCCCTTCCCAACGCGACAATGTTCGGCAGGATCAGCAACGCCGCCGCCACTGCTCACGTCAATGGCTCTAGCAGCGGGGCAAGAAACGGCGGTGGGGGAGGGAACGAGAAGAATCTCGCCAATTCGGCTCTGCGGCGGGCAGGCTTGATGGATGACGATACGGGCATGAGGAGCGCAGGTGCATCCGGGCCTAGTAGGCGTGGTAGTCTGCGGGGCAGGGGTGCATCCAGGGGGGGCGCCAGAGATTCTGGAAGAGCTTCTGCAGGATCAGTGAGTATTCAAAAATTGCCGGTTGGTTGGAATTGACATTAGGCTGGGCAAGCTCGTAGTAGCCTCTCCTCAAGCTGCCGTGCCTTATGGCCGTACTGGCGTATACTGACTCGCCTCTCAATGCCTGTTGTCAATCCCTGTTTCAGTCCAGAGTCGAAGCAGACACCGACAGCAGTGGCAGTGTAGCGTCCAAGAATTCTGCCAGGAAAGCACGAGACCGCGCCAACCCTCTGGCTGCTAGGCTGGCTAGGAAGCCAAATACTGCTTCTTCGGCAGACCCTACTGTCAAAGGACAGGCGTTCAACATCAGAGGCGCTGCAGCGCCAGTGCGAAGGCCCACTGGTCCGCCAGAAGGCAAGAAGACGGGCAGGGTACCAGGAGGTGGAGATGAATCCGCTCCTGCCTTCAATACTCAGAGCACAGTCGCACTTCTCAAACGCTTCCTCGCAAGCCGGTGGAACGGCGGAGCCAAATTCCTCAACCTCGAAAACCTGGCCGAGGATCCCATCCTCAAAGACGCCAAAGTAGCCGCACCAGGTCAACCCAATGCTCACAAGGATATAGGAACAGTGATCTTCAAGCTCGCATCGGAGATCTACCCTGATCTCATCACAGTCTCACTTGCACAGAACAATCTCAAATCATTGGCTCCTGTCATGCAATTGCCGCAATATCTACCAGACCTGCAAAATTTGTCCTTGGAGGGCAACGATCTCAAGTGGACAAAGGATCTCAATACGTTTGCCTCGACTAGTAAAGCCAAGTTGAAAAGCTTGCGAGAAATCATCTTGATCGGCAATCCGATGCAGACTAACGCTGTCTCTGCAATGAATGAAGAGGGGTACAGGGCAGAGGTGATAGCGAAGTTCCCAACTTTGAACCTCTTGGATCGAGTGCAGGTGACGCAGAAAGAAACTGCAATTGCGCAATTGCCCTCTGGGAAGGGCAAGTCAGACCAGATTTTGGGAGTAGATACGCCTACACGTCAGTTCCCTTTGCAGAGCAAGGCAGGCTTTAGAGACGAAGCTGCGAACGGAATCGTGCCAGGCTTCCTCCACAAGTACGTAATTCGGCAAAGACGCTCTCGACGGCAAGGATCTTCCATTGACACCACTTCCAACGCCATATCCTCATTTTCTCTCCAGATTCTTCACACTCTTCGATACCGCTCGCGAGTCACAGGAGCTGCAAGCAGTCTATGCTTCTAACGCTACCTGGAGCATCGTCTTGAACCGCGCACCGACTCCTCGAGCGAAGTCAGCTGGCTATCTGCACTCTTCCGACATGCCTCGACAGCGCGATCTCAATTGGCAGATCTACAAATCGCTCGTTGACCACAACATCATGGGCATTGGAGCGCGATCCGGCTCCAAAGGAGTACCTGTAGGCGCAGCTTCAATCATGGCTACCATCAAGAAGATTCCGGCTACAACTCACCCCGTTACCGACCCTGCAAAATTCGTAGTCGACTCCTGGATCTTGCCCAACGCAGCGGTCGGGGCACTTGCTGGCACCAAGGACGGAACACAGACTCAGAGGCTAGAGAAGCCAGAGGCAGTCCTCTTCATCAGCGTCAAGGGCGAGTTCGCAGAAGGGCCTTCGTATGGGGTCCGCTCGTTTGACCGCACCTTCATCGTCGCACCCTCGAGTCCCGAATCGGCTGCTGCCAAAGCCGGCTGGCCTTGCACGATCTTGGCAGAGCAATTGACCGTTCGGCAGTACTCTGGCATCGATGGCTGGAAAGTGGGCTCTCTGCCAGTCGACGATGCCGCTCAACAGGCTGGGCAGGCTGCCCCTGCTCCGCCGGCTGCAGCGAATGGCACTCCAGCTGGCGCTCCGTCCGCACAGCCCAGCAATACGCAAGAAGCGCAACAGCATTCCCTGGCCCTGCAATTCGCCAACGAAACAGGCCTAACATACCCTTTCGCGGTACAGTGTCTGCAGGAGAACGGATGGCAAGCACAGCCAGCCATGCAAGTCTTCCAGTCCCTCAAGGCCGCTCGCACTATCCCAGCCGAGGCTTTCAGCGCTGGAATCGTGCCGCCTTGATCCATCCTGCTGTGGCCGTATCCTACCACTGGCCAGGCCTTCGTACACATTGCGGAGGCCGGTATGGTCCCTTTCCCCCACTTTTGTCTCCTCTTTTGTATTTTGTTCATCCTTTCTTCGCTACCTACACCATCTCGACACCGCATCTTCCCATCGACTCTCACTACCCAATTGCCCCCTATGAGGTCAACTTGGCGCTTTTCGCTCCCCCCACCCCTGTTCTCGCTCACAGAAGCGATGATTTAAGGGACATCAATATGATTTGTTTGTACAGTACAGTATGTCAGTCTATGAATAGTTGCTGTTTTTGGCGGATAAAGAGCTTGAAATGGAGCAGCTGATCCGCCGTGTGAGGTGAGGTGATCACCACCGCAGAATTCCAGGCTGCTCCCCAGCAGCCGCCTTTATCTCGCCAGTAGACCCAGACACCCTCTCCTGCTCTGTGACCACCTCGGTAGGATCCTCCTCCCTCCCCCCATTTCCACCTCGCCAAAGGTTCATCCCCAGCCTAAGAAACTCTGGGATGACCCTCCCCTGCAGGATCGTCTGCTCCCACACCTGGCCCGCTCCACCACCCAAGGGGTCCACACGTCCGTACCACACGCCAGCCCGGTTGGGTAGGTAGACCATGACGTTCCCAGCATACTTGTGCTTGCCGATGTGGGAGGTATGAAAGATGCCTAGTGTGGGGGCAGGCGGAGAGGGAAGATTGCTGCCTGAGGCGATGGGAGAGGAGGGAGAAGAGACGTGCAGGGTCTTGCGCCAGAGACGGGATTGCTCGTCCGGAGTGAGCCCTGTTGGGGAGGGCGAGTCGTGAACGTACCCCCACCCGCGGTTTGTCACTATCCCTTCTTCGCTCCACTGAAGGCTGCTCTCCTCATCGTCTTCTCTGGAGGCAGAGGAAGAGGGATGATGACCTACATCGTCTCCCCTCTCGTCCACTTCCCACCCAGCAGCTTCTGCATGTCGCCTAAAGACGTCTGCAAGGAGCGGTGCGCTGATCCCGCAGCGGGCATCGCGCTTCTTGTGAGAGCAGAGGACAACGATGGCTTTGTAGGGCAGGACGTAGCGTCTCACCCCATCTTTGCGGGCTGCACGAAGGGCAGTCGGGGAATTGGAGGTGGCGGAAGAAGAGGAAGAGTTTGAAGAAGCAGAAGGGGAGACGTACGCTTCGTACGCGTTCCGGGCTGCAGTCTCGGCAGCAGAGGAGGAGGAGGCGGTACTGCCCGTTGCGTCCTGGACATCGCAGAGGACCTCGTAGTCCGGTAGAAGCATGACGGACTGGCCATGAGAATGGTGCGAGGTGCTCACTTGGGAGCTGTTCCCAATGAGCAGTCTGCTAGGCCTGTCAGGCGCACCAGGACTGGTCCTCCAGCACCCCGCAGGCAACGTTGGACCTGCTTCTGCCTCTGCCTCACTCCCATTCCCATTCCCATTCCCATTCATGGCGCTATTTCTTGCCAAGGTCTTCGGCTCTTCCTCCGCCCACTTGCTATACAGCTCAGCCAGAGTCCCCTTCACCGAGGCAATATCATGCGGCCAGTCCCGCTTGCCTGTGCTGACCAGGACATGCCGCAAAAAGGGTCCATTGGAGGGGAACATGGGTGAGTCAAAGTCGATTTCTTGTTTAGACCAGGCAGAGAGGAGTTTTGCGTCGAAGATTTCAGAAGGGTCTGCTTCTGGGTGGGAAGGATCACAAGGTGCGGGGCTGGAGGCGACATATCCAGTGAGGTGGGACGTGGGAGAGGGTTCAGCTTAGATTCTCTACCACTGTATCGCCCCTGCGCTTGTCATGATCAAAAGGTTCACTCACCAAGCTTGACAGCTAATCAGCGGTACTCCCGCTTTCCTCAACGCCTCCTCCACCTTGGCATCTAGAGCGGGTAGCTTCCCAGCCTCGTCATTCTTCGCATCAGAAGATCCCCCGCTCACAGAGAGTCCGCTGATCTTGCTCTGCAGCTTGGAGAACATTGCCCGTCTTGATCAGCTGTCGCGATATGAGAAAGCAATTGATGGTCTATGTCCGGTCGAGGAAAGAAGGAGAAGATGTAAAGATGTCTACTGGGAACGATTGTAAATGCAGCATGAGCTTAAGCTGAGCCAAGAGTTGGGAAGAGGTGAATGGATTTCGGGGGCAAGGCGCTGCGCCCGATGATCTGATAGGCGCAGATGTCGGAATCGGAAAAAGAGGCATCAATCGGCAGGCACAGCCGAGACCAACTGAGCCCCACGCGGCAAGCCCTCGACACAGAAGACTGTAGCTCAGCAGATCAGATCATGGTCATATTGGATCCCAGTGAGGGCTCAAGTGTCAAGACAAGAGAAGGATGCTATTGGATTGCTACGAGTCCGCCACCGCTCAGCCTAGACCTCTGCACTTGAAGTCCTACTTCTTCCCAAAGCTGAATGTGAAACCACCACCACTGCTCGCTCCTCCCGCTTGTCCTGCAGCTCCACTTCCTCCAGCGCCTCCTCCTCCAAATGTGAACGCCGGCTTAGGTGCTTGCGCAGAGTCTGGCGCAGATGCTGGAGCTCCGCTGGGGGGAGCGCCAAAAGAGAAGGGGGTAGATGATTTGGACGCACCCGAGGCGGTGCTCGAAGGGGCGCCGAAGGAGAAGGAAGGCACAGATGGGGCAGGCGCTGCTGCTGGTGCGTTTGCTCCTCCCCCGCTAGAGGGCGTCCCGAATGAGAAGCCACCGCTTGGTTTAGCGACAGTGTTGCTGCCACCGTCTTCCTTCTTGGGCGCTCCAAATGAGAAGGGCGTCGATGCTGATTGCGAAGATGGTACGTTGGTGGGAGGAGCACCAAAGCTGAATGGAGCAGGAGACGACTTGCTGGCCTCTGCACTAGATGCAGGCGGCGCAGGTGCTTGAGTGGAAGGAGCTCCAAAACTGACTGGGGCTGCTCCATTAGCACCAGTCCCTGATGTTCCGGAGGCAGGCGGCGGCGCTGCAGTCTTTGGGGCTCCAAAGGAGAACGGTGCAGGAGAAGACTTACTCTCGCTCGCCTTGGGAGCCGGCGGTCCAAAAGAGAAGGGCGAGCTTGCTGGCGCGCCTTGAGCCGAAGGCTGGGTGTGCGTCTCTTTTCCATCGTCCGACACTCCCGTCGGTAGCGCGAAGGTGACAGCAGGCTGGGCTTTGTCTGCGGCGGGCTGCCCAAAGCCTGATGTCGGGCCAGCCGAGGTTGGAGGCGCAGATCTTGGGGGAGCTTGCACTTGGTTGCTTTCCCTCAGCTTCCTCAGTAGCTCTTCCTCCCTTCTCCTTTTGCCGGCCGTGTCAAGCACTCGGCTTCGCAATGGCGAGTCGGTCGAAGCGCTTGATGCACCGGCCAGAGAGATGCGACCGCCTGGTTTCTTCGAGAGACTGCCACTCAGAGAAGAGCTTGAGGCAGAGGCTCGTAGCATCGGGGCAGGGGATGAACGCGCAGGACTGCTTAGGCGGGATCCGAAGAGAGGACGAGGGTTCGGCGCTTGATGGAAGAGGAGGTCAACATTCCTGGGCGACCTTGCTGGAGACGCCCTCGATCCCCCAGATGCTTGACTAGGGCTGACAGGCGTAGCCTCGCCCACTTGAAAGCCGAGTTCACCTCTCCGTTTGGCATCCTCGAATTCGGCTTCGGAGAGCCAAGCAGGGACGTAGTGTGGTACCAGCTCTTCCCTGTCAGGATGAGTAGAGTCTGAGGGCATGTCCCACTTTTTTCTCATCTCTCGCTTGACAGTCAGCCTCCTCTTGACCCTTCGCCTCACTTTGACCCTCCTCTTACGGCCTGTTGCGGACCCTTCTTCCTCCGTCAAGACTTCGTCCTCATCCATTCTCCATTGGAGACCGTTCACTGGGTCGACCCACTCATCGCCAACCTCGCGCTCATCGTCTGGTACCTCCTTGACAGAGCCGGGGCCGCCCCTTTTCGAGGCCAGGCCTGTGACTCGAGCCTTTTGGGATCGAAGAGAGTCCTCTGCATCGACATCGTCCTCGTCCAGCATCATCATCTCGTCTCGAAGCGTCCTCTCTGATGGAGCCTTTTTGGCAGCGATCTTTCGAGACTTGCTACTCTTCGGAGCCAGCTTGGCACCTCTACGCCGAGGTACATCGTCTTCCTCTTCATCTTGTGACTCAGCGCCAGTCCCAACACTGACCTCGTCCTGCTTTCGCTTGCCTGCGGACCGCCCGTAAGGAGATGGTACGTTCTCGTCCTCATCCTCGCTTGCTTCTTCAGCTGTTCGATCATCGTCGTCGTCTTCGTCCATCGAATCATCTCCGTCGTACTGACGTCCCTTCTTCCCGTTCCCGCGCCCGGCAAAGACGCTGTCTTCTTCTCCTCGGTCACGGACGTCCTCAGCACCCCTCTTCTTTCCGCGGCCCGCATCGCGATGGCCAGAAGAGCCATTGCTAGCCTCCCAAGCCATTTCCGATCCTTCAATACTGTCTCTTGTGCTAGAGTCGCGTATTTCTTCGCGAACATGCTTTGCAGACCGCCTCTCCGGCCTCAGCGTACTTGCTTCGCTGCCTGCATCGCTTAGCGCTCTGCCTGCTGGTCGCTTAGATCCGGCAACCGGTCGAAGCGACGTGTCTTGAGCTTTGGGTGAGAAGCGACTTGCCGGAATGTAGGTAGCGGGATCGTATCTTGAGCTCTGGCCTGGAGCTAGCATAGCGGCGCGCTGAGCAGTGGATGGTGAGAGGGCAGGAGAGGAGCGCCTCAGGTGCAGGCCGGAATGGTTGGCAGATTGGGAGCTTGTAGCGCCAAAGCTTGTAGACTCTGTGGGCAGTAGGCTGGTCGAGCGAAAGGGCGACGATGGCGCTTTGCGAAATGACTGTGCATTCTGCCTACCACTGCTTTGCCCTTGGCCACGGGCATTGGGCTGAGTCTTGGTGACTTCCTGCCGGCGGCGGCTCTGAGCTGCTTCTGCGGCTGCAATGGAGAAAGGCCGATTGTCCGAGTCAGGGATTCCAGCTTTCCGTCGTTGGTCACTGGTAGGGGTACAAGTGGGGCGTGAGCAGAATGCTTGGAAAGCGCGGCGACAGGTGAGACACGGAATCGACGAGCACGAATACTGACCGACGGAAGGCGGCGTGCCTGCCCTTTGCGACGAGCGTCTTCCATCCCTGGTGAGCCCAGTAGATGGCGAGTAGCAGCACGAGGCCGTAGGTGTAGGCCTTGAGGGAGGCCATGCTGAGCTCTGGCAGCTCTCGAGTGGAGATGTGAGCTGAGCGGGCAAAAGAGGAATCGGAAGGAACGATGCCAGGAAAGTAGGCCAGGGTGCAGATGAGTGGAGTGCCCAGTGCGCACAGGCGCGAAGAAAAGCCACCTTCTTCCGTACAGAACTCGGCCACGTCCATATGCACTCGCTGGATCGTAGAGGACCATCTTCAAGGCCTGGCGCCGTCCCCCTCTTCTGCAGCTGTGAGCTGCCGTTCCTATAATTGAGAGAGTCAGTCGGGACAACCACAAATCGGTCACTACCAAGTGCCGAGCCAGGAGTGTCCTGCGCCTACGTTCAATTCGCAAAACGGAGAATGGATAAGCAACAAGAATTGGTGCGGTCGGGGGAGCGGCCCATCTTACTCTTTCCCGCTCTCGCAAGTACCTGCTCGTGTCACACACTCTTGCCTTAAAAGGCGTGTACCGCCCCACATCCGCTGATCTCGCAGGTGCCTGCACTACACCCGTTGCTGCCCTCCGTGACTTCGCGTGTCGTCCTGGCGCTAAGTCATTCGGCGGGATACTACAGTGCAGTGGCAGATCAGCTGGGAGAGACTCTGCTGGACCAATGAAACCGGGACCAGTCTGGTGTGCGGGGTGCGTAGATTGGTCTTGGCGCTTGCTGAAGGCCGGCAATGACGGTAGGACAGAATCGATGCGGAGAAGCTTACCCGGAGGCCTCGCGCCGGCAGCGAGGTCACGCCCTTTCGCGAAGAGGCTGAAGCAGAGAGTGGTCACAGATTCTGCCAAGTTGCTTTCAACATGCCGTGCTCAGACGCCTGTAGCGTCAGACTGCAGCGGCGCCCCATGAGTGACCTTCTCACACGTCGTAGCCCCTATCTCTTTCTCTGTATTTCACCCGAAATAGCCGGCTGATGAATGCAATGACACATGGCCCCTGCGACGCGACGCCGAGATTTAAAGGCCCGATCTTGCGGTCCGGGGTATCCCCCAAGTGTGCTTTCACCGTGATTCCCTTGTTACAAAGCGCCCACTTGCCAAGGCGATATAAGAAGATATCCCCACTTCCCGTCAAGTTCTGATCTGGCACACCATAGCTCCAACTTGAGCATCTTCCCCCGCTCTCACTCACCATGGCTACCTCGCGAGATACGGGTGTTACCCCGCAAGACTTTGAGAGCTTCGACTTTGTCGTGGTAGGAGGCGGTACAGCCGGACTGGCCCTCGCAGCTCGCATTGCCAAGTCTTCCTCTCTGTCGGTTGGTGTGCTCGAAGCTGGTCTTTGGTACGTAGTTGCGGAGGCGAGAAAATAGTCTCCGATGTCCTCGAAGCTGATCAGAGCGTGCTTGATGATTCCCAGGCGCCCGGAAGATCCCAAGATCAATACCCCTGCTCTGATAGGGCAGAGCTTGATGGACGCCGACTATGACTGGCAACTGATGACTGTCCCACAAAGCGAGTCTAACAATCGCGAGTACGCTTGGCCCAGAGGCAAAATCCTCGGCGGCTCGAGTGCGCTCAACTTTCTTGTGTGGCAAAGAGGTAGCAAGCACGAATTCGATGCCTGGGCAAAATTCGGCAACAAGGGCTGGGACTGGGAAGGTCTGCTGCCCTACTTTAGACATTCAGCAACCGTCGTCCCGCCCAGCTCACAGCTGCAGAAGGACAACTTCGCCGGCCTGGAAGAGGATGCTCATGGCACTGATGGACCTGTCTCAGTCGCCTTCTCTGCCTGGTTCACAAAGCCACAACAGAGCTGGGCTTCTGCTCTCAAGGAGATGGGTCTGAACAACAACGTTGATGGCTTGCGAGGAGACAATTCAGGAGTTTGGACAAGTCCAGCTACTCTTGACCCAAAGACCGGCCGACGCAGCTATTCAGCTTCCGCTCACTACGAGCCAAATCGTGGCAGAGAAAATCTCAAGGTCCTTTGCGGAGCAGAAGCTACCCAGGTCATTCTCGAGAACGGCAAGGCTGTCGGTGTCAAGTACATGCACGGAGGCAAAGAGTATTTTGTCAATGCTGCAAAGGAAGTCGTCCTGTCTGGTGGTTCCATCAACTCGCCCGCCCTGCTCGAGCTATCTGGCATTGGCTCGACTGAAGCCCTCAAGAGCGCCGGAGTTGTTCTTAAGGTCGAGCTCCCTGGTGTAGGCGCAAATCTTCAGGAACACCTTTACTGTAGCTCTAGCTACGAGCTCGTGGAAGGATTTGAGACATGGTGCAATCTGCGCCAGCCTGACTTTGCGAGCAAAGCCATGGAGTCTTACAACTCGCAGGATGTTGATCGCGGTATCCTCGCATCCGCCTTCTCTGGATTCGCTTTCCTGCCTCTTCAGAAGTACATGTCGCCCCAGGAAATCGAAGAGGTGAGGAAAGAAGTTGATGGCCACCTCAAGAGCGGGTATTACGCAAATGAGCTGGAGAAGCAGTCTGTTCGAGAGGTCTTGGCCCAGCTTGACAATCAGTCGATCCCTCGAATGGAGTACATTTTTGCTCCAGGCTTCTTTGCGCATGCCTCGGCTCCCAAGGAGAACAAGAATTACTTTTCTATCTTGTCAGCCCTTCAGTCGCCCTTCTCCCGAGGAAGCATTCACATCACGTCTGCTGACCACAGCAAGAAGCCAGCTATTGACCCGAGGTACTTCAGCGTCAAAGCTGATCTGAAGATCATGAGCAAGGCCATGAAGAACTGCGACGCCGTGGTTGAGTCGGGGCACCTCAAGGATCTGATTGTCCGGAGGCAAGACCCTGACCCGGCCAAGTACAACTCCGAGGAGGACTTCGACGAGTTTGTGAAGGATTACGCCCAGACGGAGTATCATCATATCGTGAGCAGGCCGTAAAGACCGCCTGCTGAGTTTATTGCGTCACTTGCTGATCTCTGCCACCTCTAATCGTTGATCTCCATTCATAGGGCACTTGCAGCATGGCTCCCAAGTCTGCAGGAGGGGTCGTCGACGATCGCCTACGAGTCTACGGTGTTGATGGTCTGCGCGTAGTCGATGCATCCATCATGCCTCTGATGCCCTCATCGCACATCGTTGCCGTTGTGTATGCTATCGCTGAGAAGGCAGCGGCTATGATCTTGGAAGACCACCAGCTCGCGGCAAAGTACTGAAGAAGGATAGCGCGGCGAGCACCTTGTTGTATCAGTATTAGGCTGTGCGAAATCGCCAATGCGACGGTGTCGAGCGAATCTATTTGAAGACGATGTGACGAAGTGTGTGCGAAGATAGGCGGTGCTCATCGTCTGTAGGCTGTTGACTCTTCCTGTTGACTGTTCCTCCGCTTCCATCCGTCTGAGCGCTTCGATCACTTAGGGGCCGTTCCGCCTCATTAGGTACACCACAACAGCACCACAAAGTACCCAGTCAGCTTCCGTCGGCCAATGGTACCTGTGAAGGTGATATATGATGTCAGAGTGTACCTCTTTGATCTGATCTGCCCTTCGCCACTACAGTCGTGACACTCTTGCCATCTACTTGCTCCGTCGCCCGTCTCCTCGCATCCTCCGCGACGTTCGCTCCAACCTCGACAGAGCTCCAGGCTCTTGGTCAAGAGCGCTCCGTCCCAGTACCAAGCACCCAGATCGAGCTACGCTAGTCATGGCCTATGCACAACTAGACGACAGCTACGACCATGATGACTTTGAGGACTTTGAGGACGCTTTGAGGGCAGGTCATCCTCACATTCCGATGCAGAAGCGGGCGCCAGGCATAGGAGAGTCTCCTGAACGGCACAGGAAAGGGGTCGATGACGTCGCGAAGGTTCAAAGCGCAGCCCCTGTGCTGACGTCCGAGGGGGCCTACGATCTCAAGGACCTCTCCGATGCCATCCATCCCCTTCCTTCTGACTCACCTTCTCACTCGGCTACCTTGATCGAGCGCCGCAAGACTAGCTACCACAAGAAGGAGTCTTCCATGTCTGCATCTGCTGAGAAGCCTCAATTCGAAGTAGGCGAGATCCGGATTGCACGTAGGGTCACACAGAAGCTCTCTTCGCCTTCGATTCGACGGCCGAAGACGTCCCCTGCGAGACAGCCAGATACACCGAGGACTCCGCTTAGCCCTGGTGATGGACTCAAATCAGCTGCCAAGTCAGAAGAGTGGCAGACACGCAGTAGTACGATGAACGACCCTAACGGAGGAGTTCTGGGTCCTTCCGATCGTCATAGTCCCGCAAAGACCTCTGTACAGACAGCGAGTGTGGCCCTGAATACTCTGACAGCAGCTAGTGTGCGGCGAGACTTGGAAAATGGCTCCGCTGGTCGGGCCAGGGTGGTAACCCACCATGAACAGCCAGCAGGATTCGGTGCATTGACGCCGACTGACTGCCTCACCCCACGGGGGACAAGCCCGCAAGGCCTCTCTGCGTTGCTCTCATCGCCTAGCAGTGAACAAGACCTCTTCGTATATGGCGCGCCCAGACGGTCGCCTCCAATTCTTGAGCCAGCACCCATCCGGCTAATCCGCTCCAATAGCGCACGCAGCGAGAAGAGAAAGGCGTCTAACGAAGCAGCTGAGCTGACTGATATGCATGGCGGGCATGACACGGATGCAATGCCACATCTGGGTGTTCCTCAGTCAGCTACTGCCTGGCACACCTCCCAATCCCACTTGCAAGCTTCGCCACGTTCACACCACTCTGCATTTGCTAAGAGCCCCTGCGTCCCTGTTGATCCGTATGTCACAATGCCGCTGGCTGCAGGTAGCGCCGGATCGACCCAGACAGCAAGCAGTGAGGACTGTAGATCGCAAGCCGCACATTTCAGAGGAAGACAACTCGCAGAAGTTCACACGGCGGCAGGGCACAGTCTGTCGCCTTATCCTACTACCGACGGCTTATCACCATCATCTCTAAATGTCGACAGTAAGGTTCACCAGGTCGAGGCGTATTCTCCAACTGCTCACGCGACGCAAGCTTTCAATCAGCAGGCTGCACCGCCCTTCGACCGGGACAGACAGAGCCAGACTTCGCACCACCAGGCCACCAGACAGATACTGCTGCGGCCAGGGGATATTCAGATTGAAGAGGCAATTCTCATGGAGACGCATTCTACCCTCTTCGGTATCAGGCGACGCCTTGTATCTGCCGTGCCTGATCTTGGCCTGGTCGGCAAGCCAGCAGGCACCTTTTCCAGATCGGACTATGGCAAATCTCTGCGCGAGTCTGAAGCTCAGCTAGCTGCTCGAGAAGCAGACTTGACCATTGAAGCTCTCGCCCGCACCGAAACGGCGAGTGTCGAGGTCAGCATCTACACGGAGCAGCGAGAGGGTCAGTGGATGGTGCGGGGGCCTGCATCTGCCGATGTCAAGAGAGTCGAAGTGCTTCCGAGTGTCCTGGATGTCTGGAAGGTGCCTCTTGACACCAAATCGATCGTTGAGAGAGGCAAGCTCAAGTCCACTCTCGAGCTGGCTAAGACGCGTAGAGCTATCCCGTGCTCCGAGTGCACTTCCAGGGCGAGATCAGACGGACAGTGTCCACGCTGTGCTGATTGTGAATACATCGAGATGATCTTCGTCATCACAGTTACTCTTCGAGTCTCCTCCTTTGGCTCTCTCAAACTCCCTTCTTGCCACCTAGCGGGAGCTGTTCTACCGGGCGTCAAGTACATGCAGTCATCAAATGAAGCCGTCCGATCTGCGCTACTTCGAGAGCATGCAAGCAACACTGTGCTCAGAGCTGCCAGACGTGTGGGGCAAGAACACTACGAGGCTCACGGAGCGCGTTTGCTGATGGCCAAGGCCAAGGTAGAGAGGAGAGGAAGAATGACGGTGCGTGTCACGTCTGCGCGAACAGGCGTACGGAGATGCTTTGATGTGTGCGACGAGGGCGGCGAAATTGTCGAAGTCTCCGAGACGGGAGTGCCAATCGCTCTTGTTGAACCAGCACCCTTGGCCACGCCGAGTAGCGGGCCCATACTATCCTTTTCGAGTACACAGACGCAATCCAGTCGCCCGACGACTGGACATGCCTCGTCTCACTCGGCACCTCGAGCGGTAGCTGCAAGTGCATCTGGCCGCCGGCCCGCAACGAGCAGCGGCGATGTTCGATTCCGCGAATCATCGCGCAAGAGTCGCTACAGCACCCAAATCGAACGACCAGCACCCGGTCCCGCTCCCACCTCCCTTGCCCACCACGGTCCTCGCCCAAGCACGGCAAGCAGCGTCAACGGCTCTCTCTCCTTCTCCCTCTCTCCGCCACCTTCGAGATCGGAGGTGAGACCTGCGAGATTCTTTACCAGCTCGAGGCATGGCAGTCTTGCTAGTCTTAGGAGTGAGGGTTCGGGAAGACTATCCCCTGTGGGCGAGCATGGGGCGTACGCGAGAGGTACGGGGGGTGAGAGTAGTGCTGGTGATGGTAATTCGCGCGCTAGGAGGAGGTCGGATGAGACTGTGAGGGAGAGTCAGTCTCAGGGGAGGGCGAGGAAGCCAGTTAGTGGGGTCAAGGCAGGGAAGGGTATCAGGAGATTGTTCAGCCGTGGTTGAGGACGGCGACGAGTCGAGCCGAAGCAGCGAGTCAAGTCACTTGTGCACATCGAGCTCGATTGCTTTCGTCTATGTGTAATGCTCATTGCAAATTTTGGGTGGTGACATCAGCCACCATGCGACTACATGCTCTTCAGATGTCTCAGCGAGCTCCGCGTCCCGACTCTTACTCTGGCCTCATCCTCTTACCGCCCTTCATGCTGATCGGCAGCTCCTCAACCACCTCCTTGGGCACCAGGCTCTTCACGCCGACCCTTCCAGCCTGAGCGAGAACCATGTCCATGCACACGAGAGCGGCCATTCCTTCAACGATTGGCACAGCACGTGCAACGACACAAGGGTCGTGTCGACCCCTCGTCGATAGAGTCCCGGACGAACCGCCGTAGGTACTCGTAGCTTGAGGCTGTGAAATAGTAGCAGGCGACTTGAAGCCTAGCCTGAAGTAGACGTCCTCACCATTTGTGATACCACCCTGCACTCCACCGGACCAGTTCGTCTTTGTGCCCAACCTGCCGTTCTCCTTGATCTCAAAGGCGTCATTGTGCCTCGAGCCAGGCACTTCTGTTCCTCTGAATCCAGAGCCGATCTCGAATGCCTTTGTAGCAGGAATGGAAAGCATGGCGTGACCTAGCTTGGCTTCGAACTTGTCAAAGCAGGGTTCGCCGAGACCGCTTGGCAGGCCGCGGATAACGCAGGTCACTGTACCTCCGATGGAGTCATTCTTTGACTTGGCTAGCAGAATACGTTGCCGCATGCGCTCCATGGCTACTGGGTGAGGACACCTCATCTCGTTCTTGTCGACCTCTGCACGAGTCACTGTGCTCAATAGCTTGCGGAACTCTTCTGACAGAGGCTCCTCTGCCTCGTCCTCTTCCATGCCGCGGGTATCGATGTGGTTGTCAATGCTGCTAGACGAGGGAGCCTCTTCGGTCTTTGCGGTACCATTTGCAAAGGAAGTCTCGGCGGCATCGACCGTCTTGCTTGCTTGGGCCTCTCCTGCGAGCTTCTCTCCGGGGAAGCGAGGAATGTGGACCTTGCCTACCGAGCTGACGAAGGCTACAATCTCAACTCCGTAAGCCTCCTTGAGGTACTTTTCTGCCAGAGCTCCAGCTGCTACCCTTCCGATGGTCTCTCTAGCTGATGACCTTCCTCCACCACTGCTAGCCTTTACGCCGTACTTCTCCAGGTAGGTGAAATCGGCATGGGATGGTCTGGGGTACTCGTCCAGTGTCTGGTCAGTGTAGTCCTTTGGTCTCTGGTCCTGGTTCTTTACCAGCATGGCGATGGGTGTACCGAGTGTGACTCCGTTCTCCACCCCAGATTGGATCTCTACGCGGTCCTTCTCGTCTCTGGGAGTAGTGAGGGCGGATTGTCCTGGACGACGCCTGGTGAGCTGCACCTGGATGTCTTCTGGCTTGAGGGCCATGCCAGGAGGGACACCATCGACGATGCAGCCTACAGAGGCGCAGTGGGACTCTCCATAGGTTGTGACTCGGAAGTTCGAGCCAAAGGAGGACATGTTGTGTGGCGAGTGGGGAGTTAGGTGATGGTGAGGACGATACCTTCTTCTCCTCGGGTGAGTGAGTATATGCTGCCAAGAAGGAGTCCCTCCCTGCCTGGCTGTCTGGGCCAAATAAATTCCATGCGAGGCGGCGTGCGTCTGGCTGTGAGTCGATGCGCCTCTGCTGCTCCGCTCTGGCACCGCGCGCTTTGGTGCCTGGCTGCTCGTCTCATCCGCCAGGCGGGGTGAGTACGATTCCTTCGCGGCTCAAAGGTGGCGGCATCGCTCTCTCGCCTCTTGACCATCACCCACTCCCCTCATACCCACTCCCTCTTCTCTCTTTGCGAGACATCGTCGCAGTCCATTGAGGCAGACAGAGCCCAACGCCAAACTCGTAGGCTGGATCCCCGGCTGGACAGGGATCCCAAAGCCCACGACTACTGGCAGGCCAGCTCGGCGTCTCCTTCCACCATGTCTGCACCTCCTCCGCCTCCGGGCTTCAAAGGTCCACCTCCCAGTGGGCCAGCCGCAATGAGGGGTAAAGCTTCAGCCGCTCCTCTCAGCAACGGCAATGCGGATGCTGGACCCTCGAGCTCCAGACTCACCCCTCAGCAGCTCGAGTCCAAGAGCAAGAAGTGGGTGCAGAGACAGAGCAGGAGGTTCGGCGATCGTACTGGCAAGTCCGGCATCGTCGACACGGGCAAGCAGGAAATGCCGCCCGAGCATGTCAGGAAGATCATCAAGGATCACGGTGATATGAGCAATCGCAAATACCGCAACGACAAGAGAGTCCACCTCGGTGCGCTCAAGTATATCCCCCACGCAATGATGAAGCTCATGGAGAACATCCCAATGCCTTGGGAGCAAGTTCGTGAAGTACCCGTGCTGTACCACGTCACTGGAGCTATCAGCTTCGTCGACGAGATTCCCCGAGTCATTGAGCCCATCTACCATGCTCAATGGGCGGCAATGTGGTTGGCAATGAGGCGAGAGAAGCGTGATCGTAGGCATTTCAAGCGGATGCGCTTCCCTCCCTTTGACGACGAAGAGCCGCCTATGGACTACGGCGACAATCTACTCGATGTGGAGCCACTGGAAGCCATTCAGCTGGAGCTCGACGAGGAGGAAGACGACGCCATCATTGACTGGTTCTACGATCACAAGCCACTGTTAGATGATTCAAAACACGTCAATGGACCATCATACAAGACTTGGTCGCTCGATCTGCCGAAGATGACCGCTCTGCATCGACTCGGCAAGACGCTGCTATCAGACTTTGATAGTGGCGACAAGAACTATTTCTACCTCTTCGACAAGAAGGCCTTCTTCACATCAAAAGCGCTGAACATGGCCATCCCTGGCGGTCCGAAATTCGAGCCACTGTTCAAGGACGCCGAGAGCTACGATGATGACTGGAACGAGTTCAACGACATCCGCAAGGTCATCATCCGTCAGCAGATCCGGACAGAGTACAAGGTGGCTTTCCCCCACCTATACAATAGCCGGCCTCGATCCGTCCACATTGGCCAGTACCACGAGCCAAAGAACGTCTTCATGCGCACGGACGATCCAGACCTGCCAGCCTTCTTCTTCGACCCCGCTCTCAATCCCATTTCAAGTCGGGGGCTGGCCAACGCCGATGCGTTCCGACCAACCTTTGATGATGGAGAGAAGGTGCTTAGTCATGAGGACGCTGTCTTCGGCGAGGGCGTAGAAGGTGACGATGAGCTCGATGACGAAGAGGCATTCACCATGCCGGACCATGTTACTGCTTTCCTGCAGGACGAGCCCATCGAGAACGACCTAACAGCGGATGCTATTGCTCTGTGGTGGGCCCCTGCGCCCTACAATCGCAGCAGCGGGAGGACGCGTCGAGTATTGGACATCCCATTGATCAAGGACTGGTACATGGAGCACTGCCCACCCAATCAGCCAGTGAAGACTCGTGTCTCTTACCAGAAGCTGCTCAAGCGCTATGTGCTCAATTGCCTGACCAGCCGGCAGCCCAAGTCCGGCAAGAAGCGATACTTGCTCAAGCAGCTCAAAGCGACCAAGTTTTTCCAGACTACGACACTCGATTGGGTCGAAGCTGGTTTGCAGGTTGTGAGACAAACGTGGAATGCCCTCAATCTCCTCATTCATCGAAGGGGTCTACACTACCTGCATCTCGACTACAACATGAATCTGAAGCCTGTCAAGACCTTGACAACAAAGGAGCGGAAGAAGTCGCGCATGGGAAATTCGTTCCATCTCATCCGAGAACTCGGCCGTTTGGTCAAGCTCATCGTAGATTCACACATCATGTTCAGACTGGGCAACGTTGATGCTTTCCAGCTTGCGGACGGTCTCCAGTACGCTTTGAATCACGTTGGACAGCTTACGGGTATGTACAGGTACAAGTACAAGCTCATGCACCAGGTTCGAGCCTGCAAGGATCTCAAGCACGTCATATACCACCGCTTTAACTCTGGGCCGGTTGGAAAGGGACCCGGTGTGGGTTTCTGGGCTCCTTCCTGGCGTGTATGGATGTTCTTCCTGCGTGGTATCGTGCCTCTTCTCGAGCGATGGCTCGGCAACATGCTGGCTCGTCAATACGAGGGTCGAAACAGCAAGGGCAAGGCTAGCACTGTCACCAAGCAGCGTGTGGAGTCACACTTTGACCTGGAGCTCAGAGCTGCAGTCTTGCACGACATCCTAGACCAGATGCCCGAGGGTATCAGGCAGAACAAGAGCAAGACGATCATGGCTCACTTGCAGGAAGCTTGGCGATGCTGGAAGAGCAATACGCCCTGGCGAGTGCCGGGCATGCCGGCGCCGATCGAGAACATTATCTTGCGGTACGTCAAGCAGAAGGCCGACTACTGGACGTCAGTAGCTCACACCAACCGAGAGCGTATTCGTCGCGGAGCTACCGTCGACAAGACTGTTGCGCGAAAGAATCTTGGCCGATTGACTCGTCTCTACCTCAAAGCTGAGCAAGAGCGTCAGAACGGGTACCTGAAGGATGGTCCCTACATCACCAGTGAGGCGGCTGTTGCCGTCTACACTTCGACCGTTCACTGGCTCGAGTCGCGGCGCTTCGCTCCCATTCCCTTCCCCTCGCTGAACAACAAGAATGACACTAAGCTGCTCGTTCTGTCGCTTGAGAATCTCAAGCAACAGTACAGTGTTCAAGGACGTCTCAACCAGAGTCAACGAGAGGAGTTGGCCTTGATCGAGCAGGCGTTTGACAACCCTCACGAGACTCTAGCGAGGATCAAGAGACTTCTCTTGACCCAGCGTGCATTCAAGGAAGCCGGCATTGAGTTCTTCGACACTTATGAGAAGCTCATTCCAACTTATGCCATTGAGCCCATCGAGAAGCTCACCGACGCCTACCTCGACCAGTACCTCAGCTACGAGGCTGACAAGCGCCAGCTGTTCCCGCCCTGGATCAAGCCCTCTGACCAGGAGCCTCCGCCTCTGCTGGTCTACAAGTGGTGTCAAGCGATCAACAACCTCGAGAACGTCTATGACACCTCGAACGGCGAATGCAACGTTCTCATGGAGACTTCGCTCGACCGTGTGTACGAGAAGATCGATCTCACCCTTCTGAACCGTCTGCTCCGCCTGGTGCTCGACGCCAACATTGCTGATTATATGACGAGCAAGAATAACATCTCTGTTGTCTTCAAAGACATGGCGCACGTCAACACCTACGGCCTGATTCGAGGATTGGCATTCAGTCACTTCATCTTCTCATACTACGGATTGGTGCTTGACCTGCTCATCCTGGGTCTCCAGCGAGCTAACGACATGGCAGGTCCTCCGCAGACTCCCAACGGCTTTTTGCAATACGCAAATACGGCAACGGAGACAAGGCATCCCATCAGACTGTATCAGAGATACGTTGACAGGATCCACATCTTCTTCCGCTTCGATTCGGATGAGAGTCGTGACCTTATTCAGCGCTATCTAAGTGCTGAGCCGGACCCGAACAATCAGAATCTGCTAGGCTATAACAACAAGCGATGCTGGCCCAGAGACTGTCGTATGAGACTGATCAAGCATGACGTTAACCTCGGTCGAGCGGTCTTCTGGGAGATCAAGAACCGACTGCCACGAGCTCTGACTACTATCGAGTGGGACTCGACCTTTGCAAGTGTGTATTCCAAGGACAACCCAAACACTCTCTTCTCGATGCAGAACTTTGAGATTCGCATTCTGCCCAAGATTCGTCTGGGCGATGTGCACGAGCACAAGGATGGAGTCTGGTCTTTGGTAAACAGCTCGACCGGTGAGAGGTCTGCTCAGGCTTTTATTCGAGTTAGTGACGAAGGTGTGAATGCTTTCAACAACCGAGTCCGACAAGTCTTGATGTCTGCTGGTGCAACAACCTTCAGCAAGATCATCAACAAGTGGAACACTACCTTGATTGGCTTGATGACATACTATCGGGAAGCCGTCGTCAACACCGAGACTCTTCTCGATGTCCTGGTCAAGGCAGAGAACAAGGTGCAGACCAGGATCAAGGTGTCGCTCAACAGTAAGATGCCCAGTCGTTTCCCGCCCGTGCTCTTCTACTGCCCGAAGGAACTCGGAGGTCTCGGAATGCTGAGTATGGGTCATGTTCTCATCCCTCAGAGTGACTTGCGATGGAGCAAGCAGACCGACACAGGCATCACTCATTTCCGTGCCGGAATGTCACACGAGGAAGAGCAAGTCATTCCGGCCCTGTACCGCTACTTGGTGCCATGGGAGTCTGAGTTCACTGATAGTGCTCGCGTGTGGACGGAGTACGCTCAGAAGCGTAAGGAAGCCAACGCCCAGAACCGTCGACTGACTTTGGAGGATCTCGAGGACTCATGGGACCGTGGTCTGCCGAGGATCAACACTCTTTTCCAGCGTGACCGTACGGTTTTGGCGTTCGATAAGATGTGGCGAATGAGGCAGTTCTTCAAGCAGTACCAGATCCTGAAGCATGACCCTTTCATCTGGACCAACCAACGTCACGACGGAAAGCTGTGGAATTTGAATGCCTACCGTGTCGATGTCATTGCGGCATGCGGTGGTATCGAAGGTATCTTGGCTCATACTCTGTTCGCAGGTACCGCCCACACGACCTGGGAGGGTCTGTTCTGGGAGAAAGCCTCCGGATTCGAAGAACAGATGAAGGACAAGAAGCTGACCAATGCTCAGCGCAGTGGTCTGTCCCAAGTACCCAATCGTCGTTTCACCCTCTGGTGGTCTCCGACGCTGAACAGAGCAAATGTCTACGTCGGTTTCCAGGTGCAACTCGATCTCACTGGTATCTTTATGCACGGTAAGCTGCCTACGCTGAAGATCTCGTACATTCAACTCTTCCGAGCCCATCTGTGGCAGAAGATCCACGAGTCAGTAGTCATGGACTTGTGTCAAGTCTTCGACCAAGAGCTGGAGGCTCTTCAGATTGAGACTGTGCAAAAGGAGACCATTCACCCTCGAAAGTCATACAAGATGAACTCGAGCTGTGCCGATGTGCTTCTCTTTGCCAGCCACAAGTGGCCCATCTCTCGGCCCTCATTGTTGACTGACGGCAGGGACGTGATGGATGGTTCGAGCACCAGCAAGTGGTGGCTGGACGTACAACTTAGATGGGGTGACTTTGACTCCCACGACGTCGAGCGATATGCTCGTGCCAAGTTCCTCGACTACACAAGCGACTCGACTTCAATCTACCCATCGCCTACTGGTGTCTTGATTGCCCTCGATCTTGCTTACAATCAGTACTCGGCTTACGGTAATTGGTTCCCTGGATCCAAGGCTCTTATTCAGCAGGCAATGGCGAAGATTCACAAGGCCAACCCAGCCTTGTACGTCCTCAGGGAGCGAATCAGGAAGTCTCTGCAACTGTACAGCTCAGAGCCTACCGAGCCATACCTGACATCGGGCAACTACGCCGAGCTCTTCTCGAACCAGGTCATCTGGATGGTTGACGACACTAACGTCTATCGTGTCACTATCCACCGAACGTTCGAGGGTAATTTGGTCACAAAGCCGATCAATGGTGCTATCTTCATCCTGAACCCTCGTACTGGTCAGCTGTTCCTCAAAGTCATTCACACTTCGGTATGGGCCGGTCAGAAGCGTCTCGGTCAGCTGGCAAAGTGGAAGACGGCAGAAGAAGTTGCTGCTCTGGTCCGATCTTTGCCCGTGGAGGAGCAGCCTAAGCAAGTCATCGTCACGCGAAAAGGTATGCTTGACCCTCTCGAAGTGCACTTGCTCGACTTCCCGAACATCGTCATCAAGGGCTCTGAGCTGCAATTGCCTTTCCAGGCCTGTCTCAAGCTTGAGAAGTTCGGAGATCTCATCTTGCGAGCCACTCAGCCACAGATGGTTCTCTACAGCCTGTACGATGACTGGTTGTCGTCTATCTCGAGCTACACTGCCTTCTCGCGTTGCATCTTGCTTCTTCGAGCACTACATGTCAACCAAGAAAAGGCCAAGATCATCTTGCGACCCGATGTCTCGACGATCACTGAGCCGCATCACATTTGGCCCACACTGTCAGACGATGAGTGGGTGAAGGTCGAAGTTGCTTTACGAGACCTGATCCTGCAAGACTACGGCAAGCGAAATTCGGTCAATGTAGCTTCGCTGACGGGCAGCGAGATCCGAGATATTATCTTGGGTCAGGAGATTCAGGCACCATCGATGCAGCGACAGCAGATGGCCGAGATTGAGAAGAGTGCCGAAGCGGCTCAGCAGGTGACTGCGACACAGACAAAGTCGTCCAACATCCACGGTGATGAAATTACGACGGTCACAACTACGCAGTACGAGACGCAGCACTTCAGCTCCAAGTCGGACTGGCGGGTGCGATGCCTTTCGTCCACCAATTTGCCTCTTCGTTGCCAGCATCTCTATGTCAGCAACGATGATGTCAAGGACGATATTGGTTCACTCACGTACGTCTTGCCAAAGAACATCCTCAAGACGTTCATTGTCAACTCCGATTTGAGGACGACTGTGGCTGGATACCTCTATGGTGTTTCGCCTCCGGACGCGCCCAGTGTCAAGGAGGTGAAGCTTATTGTGTGGGTACCTCAGCGCGGCAGCAATACAACCATCGAGCTGCCGCAGGATCTGCCTCAGCACGACTTCATGCTGAAGGATCTCGAGCCGCTGGGTTGGATCAAGACGCAGGCGCAGGACATGCCTCACCTCTCCTCCCTCGACACGGCTACCCATGCCAAGACGATGGCATCGCACCAGGAGTGGGGAGCGTCGAGCATCTGCATCACCGCCGCCTTCACACCCGGATCCGTCTCCCTGTCAGCTTACAACCTGACCGTTGCCGGCTTTGAGTGGGGACGCAAAGCGAACCAATCCGATGCTGCTTCGGGCGGAGGTGGCTTTAACCCATCCTCAATGGCCGAAAAGGTCCAGCTCCTCCTCTCGGACCGCATCCTAGGAACCACCCTTGTGCCGCAGGACAAGACGTGGAATTATGGTCTGAGCCTCAGTGCGCAGTGGACTCCGACGATGAAGGTCAACTATGTCCTGGATACACCCATTGGATTCTGGAACGAGGCACATCGCCCGCAGTCCTTCCTGACTTTTGCGCAGGATACGGGAGAGGAGACGGGAGCTGATGTGCATGACCCGCTGCAGTGAAATGGTGCGTTGAGTCAGGGGCGGAACAGGAGTAGCGACGTGTGGGGTGTGGATGCTGTAAACGATGTCCCTTCGTGTGTTTCTGTGTCTGCATCATGTCAACAATTGTACTCCCATTTGCAACTCTTTCGACACTGATGCTGATGTGTTGCCGTCGGGCTGTGCTCCTATCTCGCTCTCAAGTGCGCAGAAACCCCTACCGTGCCCCTGTGTCGCCCTAGACTTCCTCTCCTTGGCGAGCAGCCCCTCTACCATTGCTGATTGTCCTGCCCCTCTACCACCATGCTACCTATTCCGCACAGTCCTCTCCGTCCCTTCAGGGGAGGAGAAGAGGGGGGGCTGATAGGCTTGGAGTAAGGTATATCATTTGACTCGAAGGTCTGTCGCCAATCCTTCCGACCAACAAAAGTATATCTCAAGACTCCTCCGCCCTCTCGGGTCTCCTTTACCCAGTGCTGAGCAGCGGCGTGAGACATCACTCGGCACCACTTCATCCTTCCAGCAGTCAGCCAGTCTACTCTCGCCATGAACAGCATGAACCCCCGTCAACCTCTCACAGGCAGAGCACTTGCTCTAGCCTCTCCAGGGGCAGCAGCAGCAGCAGCAGCCCCGGTCCCCGTCTGGCTACCAATCCTCTGCGCCGCCCTGTATGTATTCCTCGCCCTCTCGCACGCCTACCAGAGTGGAGCGACAAAGCACAGATGCATGCTCGTGGTAGTGCTTGGATGTCTTATGGGAGCGGCAGACAATTGCTTGCAAGTATGGGCACACTACCTGCCCGTATCTATGGTAGAGGCAGGGGCAGAGGCAGAGGTGAGAGCCATCGCAGTCGCTCAACAGCTCCTGTTGCTTCTTCCGCCGCAGCTTTTTGCTGCTGTGCAGTACTTCACTTTCAGCAGGACGCTGGAGCTCTTCGGACCGGAGGTGGCCTTGCTTCGCGCTAGGCCCAAGGCCATACTGGCTGTGTTGCTCGTACTAGAGGGGCTTGCATTGGTGCTTCAGGCCGTCGCAGTGGGGCTAAGTGCTGATGGTCTGACGGCGACGGGAGAGGTTGGAACAGGACGTGGCGTGACCGGAGCCATTCTACTTATCGCTGGGCTGGGCATGCGACTCCTAGCCTGTCTGCTCTTCCTCTGCACAATCGTCGTCTTCCTGACTAGGACAGCACAACTCAGGGACCCGGCCGTCGAGTACTACTCCCACTACACGCCTCGCCTGCGCCTCTTCACAGCAGTTCTCGCAGTGGGCAACCTCCTCGTCACATCCAGCTGCATCTTTCGCCTCGTCCAAACCACCATGGGGAGCAGCGCAAAGCTCACACGAGTGGAGTGGTACTCCTACGCATTCTACGAACTACCTCTCCTCCTCTGCGTCCTGCTCCTCGGAATTTTCCACCCAGGGCACGTCTTACCTCTCGAGCACGATGGAGCCGTCACCGAAGCTGGCGAGCTGCGTGAAGCCCTGGTAGAGGGCATGACACCGCTCCCTCCCAGGGGCATCTCTCGAGCCGCTAGCAGCTTCCATTGTCGAGCAGGTGGGCGCGTCCCACAATCACCCCTGTCGCCAACGATGATGTGGCGAGAGCGGGCGGCGAACACAGGTCGTGGAGTGGTGCACTCCAGGAATGTATCGATGCCAGATTCGAATACGACAATTGTGGACGTGGACCGCGAGGGGCAGGAGATGACGTATGTAGAGTTCTTGTCTAGCGAGGGTGCTAGCAAAGTTTAGGGAGAGCCCTAATGGAGTGACCCTGGCATCAGAGATTTGTCGTGTAGCTTACTTGACAGCTCGAGAGGCATTCCTTTCGCGACACCGTTGATTGTATCGTCTGATCTAGCTCGTCGAGAACTTTATTATTATGCTATCTCATTGCCAATTGTATCCTGGCTCGATACATCACACAGTCCGTCTGCGATGAGTCTTTGCCTCGGCTTAGCCTATCTCAAGCCCATCCTCTCCTTCACCTCACCTAGCGTCTCCTTTGCCCGTACGCTAGCCTTCTCTCTCCCCAAAGCAGCGACCTGCTCCAAATAGCCGCTCTGGGCCTCTCGCTCCTTGAGCTGCTGAAAGCGTTCTCGTATTGGGCCCAATACCTCGATCAGGGCAGAAGTAACTGTCTCTTTCAGAAGAGCATGGCCACCCCCGCTAGAGTCGAGCTGCTGTGCTACTTCTTTGGGAGTGACCCCGGCAGATGCGGCTGCGAAAGGATCGAGAGTGCTCTGCGTCTGTTGTGCCTGGTAAGAACGAAGCGCGGCGATGATACTGAGCAGACTGCTCACACCTGGTCTTCCCTCTGGGTCAAAGCTGATGGATCGCTCTGTGTCAGTGACTGCTCGCTTCACCTTTGCGCGAATGGCAGTGTCGTCGTCGGTGAGAAGGATGCGCGAGGCTGGGTCCGGCGCTGACTTGGACATCTTCGCCGTAGGGTCTCGTAGGGAGAGGATCTTGGGCGTCGAGGTGATTAGGGGTTGAGGCAGGGGGAAGAAAGGCGGTTCCCTTCTGCTCTTGCTGCTCTTTGGTGTTGTGTGAGAGGAAGGGAAACGCTTATTGAAGGTAGCGGCAATATCCCTTGCGAGCTCGAGGTGTTGCACTTGATCCTGACCGATGGGCACATGCGTAGCCTTGTAGAGGAGAATATCAGCTGCCTGTAACACTGGATAGGAGAAGAGACCCAGAGATAGATCGCGATGCTCCTCGTCCACGTCCGCAATCCCCTCATCTGCCTCCCCTGCTGTGGGACCGCCTTGCTCCGGCTCTACCGGCGTCGCTGTCCCTCTGGCCGTCGCGATCTTTCCCTTCCAAGTAGTCATGCGCCTCAGCCTACCCATCGACACCAGGCAGCTCAATAGCCAATGCAGCTGCGCATGCTCGCCTACTTCGTCTTGATGGTAGATGGTGCTTTGCTCTGGGTCGAGGCCGATCGCTAGTAGGGAGGCAAGCATGTCTTTCCGCTCTTGGGCTAGCGTGGCCGGATTCTGTGGTATTGTCAGGGCATGCAGGCCGACAATGGAGAAGTAGAGTTCCGGCGGAGGTGTACTTGAAGAGGAAGCCCTGGAGGCCTGAAGGCTATTCTGTATCGAGACCCAGTTGAAAAGGGCGCCGAGTAGGTTGCCGATCTGGAGAAGATGCGCACGAGATGCAGATCACGTACTGTTTAGTATCATTGGACAGACTTTTGCTTTGCTATACTATCGTTCCTACTCACATGGGGCACTCCCGTGGGCTGTATACCTGAGAATATGCACATCGGCCTCTGTACCGGAGCTGAGGAGGACAAAGATGCGTAGCCTCTCGAAGGAGGCATGAGTCTCCTCTGCACCCTTCGCCTTCCCACCTGCGTACACGACGCCATAGCAGTTCCGTCTAGTCGGTACCTCATGACCGTCCTGGCAGCTCCAAAATTCACCAAGTGTGCGTCAGAGAGTAGCATTGCGAGGAGGTGAGTGCTGAGAGTGAGGATGCGAGCATACTTTAGCCTAGATTGCGTTCACTTCTTCCTGCTTCACGGAAAGGGACTCGAGAAAATCCGCCTCGCCCCTGGCCATGTGTGGAGCAAAGCCGAGCACCGCCGATGTGTGGGGCGAAGGCGAATGAATGAGCGCATGGTAGGGGGGAATGATGACGAGCGATACGGGTCCTTCACTTGAGTCAGTCAATGGCAGTATCGTCTATACAGTCAGCAGCGGCATCAGGCGTATAATGGCGAGGCGAGATCCATCGCAGTGAGGGCCCGCATCGTGGGCGCACGGCGGGACCTAACCCCTCTCAAGGACAACCGACAGCCTCTTATTCCACATCTGGCTCACGCTGCTCCAAGCAGAGGAGATTTAATGACACTGAATCTTGTTGACAAAGTCCATCATTCGTTTGTGAAGATGACGCTGGCTCCCAAGCCTGCCAACATGAGATACTTGAGCTTTGGGTAGTCATTCAGCACAATGGTCGCATATCCCACATGAGGAACGTAGCTACGGAGCCGAGCATTTGTGCAGGGAGGCAAGGATGAGATCAACAATCGCATCGGATTTCAGGGAAATGTATGTTGAGCGTACTCACGCAGTCACCTTGCCTACAATCTGTTTGCGTGTGAGCCATCTGGGACCACCATACAGCCCTATGTCATCCTGGTCATTGTTGTCCCCCTTTGTGAGGATCTGCTGATCTGGGCCCGCGAAGCTGTGAAAAAGAGAGAAGGAGAAAGTTGAAGCATTTAATTCCCTCACTCCTTCCCCACCCTGGTTCCACGTTGCATTGCTGCTGCCATCTACTCACCCGTCATGCGTCTCAAGTATGCGATGCACGATCGGCGTGCCTCCGTAGATTGGATTGTACACAACAATATCTCCCACATTCAGCGGTCCCTTCGGCATGCTCAAGAAGAGCAAGTCGCCTCTGTAGAATGCAGGTTCCATGGAGCCTGATAGAACGACTACGACGGGCGACTCGGAGTCTACTAGGAGGGAGAGGCCCTTCCATAGCGCGAGGGAGGTTGAGAGGACAGTGAGGACGTTGAGAGCCTGGTTCAGGAGAGAGCGCAGCGAGTGGCGCCGTAGATACTCCAGCTCGGCGGAGAACATCCTAGGCGACGGAGTGAGGTGGTCGTAATGGAATGGTAGGATGCTCTGGTATGTGTGTGTGTGGACCTTTGCTGCCTTGTCCTCGTCGGCTGCATCGCTTCGATTCTCGCGTGGCGGAGGTGTTGGACTTTTCCGGAGCGGAAGGCGGCAGCACCCCTCGCTTATACCATGCGGATCTACCCTTGACCTCATCCCAAAGAGTAGCAACCTGCATCCTCAAGGAGTCACACCCGGCACAAACATGGCGGCTCTTTCGGCTTCGGCAGCAGCAGCAGATGGAAAGCCGCTGCGGCCCATCATTCTTGTCACCGGTGCAAACTCGTAAGCCTCACTCCCAGACATCCGGAGCTTTCACGTCGTACCTCAGCTGACCGCTTCTACTTGACCCCTCCTCCGCACCCGTACTTCTCCACATCTCGCAGTGGTGTAGGCTTTGCAACCTGCCAACGTCTGCTCCTCCAGCTTTCCTCTCCGCTCCCATCAGATACCCTCCCTGTCCACCCAGCCAAGAGAACAATCGACGATGCCCTCCTTCCCACCCCCTTCCAAGCCTCGGCCGGATGCACACTCCTCCTCGCCTGTCGTAATCCGCACCGAGCTCAAGATGCTCGCGATGCGCTCCTCGCCATCCTAGACAGGTTGAGCAGGCTGCCTGATGAGAAAGGTACACCTACCTCTGTTATGGAGCTGGAGAAGTGGGGCGTCAGTCAGCCTGGTGCGCTGGGCACATTGAGGGGTAAGGAGACGGAGGAGGTCATGGACGCCCAGCCAGACGGGGACAAGACTAGCTCCTCTACCGGCCTCAGGACTGAGCCGCAAGACCTCAGACGGAGAGAACAGGCGAACGAGGGCGCGGAATTCGAGCCTCGACTGCTGGATGACGTGGAGAAGCGAGATGCTAGAGCCAGAGGAGAGTACAGGCGGCGCTTCTGTGAAGGCACAAAGGTCGAGATTGTACAGCTCGACTTGGGCAGCTTGGACAGTGTACACGGCTGTGCTCGACGACTGAAAGCGCAGTGAGTGTTCAAAGCAGGCGGGCCCATCAAGTGCTGGACCTCTGACTCCCCGTTCCCTCCCATCTTCCTGCAGACAACCCTACCTCACCCACCTCATCCTCAATGCAGGTGGAGGAGCCTTCGATGGCATCAATTGGATCATGGCGACGTGGATGATGCTCACACAGCTGAGAGCAGCACTGACCAGACCTCGATACAAGATGCAACACAATGGCGATATCTCAGAGGATGGTCTGGGCTGGGTGTGGCAGATCAACATTGGAGGTAGCTGGGCACTGGTGCGTGTGCTGAAGGTAGCGGTCGCCCCTCCCCGCGCAGTAGCTGACCACGTCCGTCACCCCGACCTGCGATAGACACAAGATCTCCTCCCTCTCATGCGAAAGTCGCCCTACTCCGTGCCCTCGAGGGTCATCTTCACCTCATCTGTAGAGGCAGTGCAGGAGTACTACGACCCAGCAGACTTCCAATGTCTGCGCACAGACGTTCCTTCGCATTCCTACGAGTCGACAAAGTACCAGTGCGATCTAGCTGCCATTGCACTTGAGGAGCAGCTGGCGAATGAGAAGGAGGCAGGAACGGATGCGACAAAGCGATGGACCCAGCCAGACGTCTTTGCTACGCATCCTGGCGTAGTCGCGACGAGCATCATGGCGGATTTCCTGAACATTGTCACTGCGACGGCCATGCTCTGGTCTTTTTACCTCGTAAGTCAAGCGCTTGAGTATGGTATACTTCACACGCCTTGACCGCAACCTAGAGCTGACTTCTTTGCTTGTCCTTCTTCGAAATCTACCAGGCCCGCTGGCTCGGCTCACCACACCACTGTGTCGCCCCTTACAAGGGCTCTCTAGCCCACACCTACACCGCCCTCGCTCCTCGAACCCAGTTTCTCCAACCCAAAAAAGGCTCCCCTTCCTCTTCATCCACAGAAAAAGCAGAAAATACGCTGAGCGCGACAAGCACAGCAACAATTCGCTATGCGGCACAGTGTGACATTTGGGGAAGAGAGTACGTAGGACGTGACCGGATGGATGGGTGGGGTCCCGAAGGCCGTGGATCAACTGGAGGACAAGAGGTGAAGAGACTTGCACGGGAGTGGAGGTCAATGGCTGAAAAGGCACTGGCTGCTGTTGGTCAGAGGAATGGTAGTGGTGCGACGGAGGAGGTCAAGGTTGCGACTGGGAGCGAAATTGGCAATGGCAATGGCAACGGCAATGGCAATGGTGAGGCGCAGAGTAGTTCCGAGGGCGAGGAGTGGCACAAGGTAGAGCGGGCTCTATAATCCAGGCACGCTTTCCTGCCTTTGTCTCTTAAACTATTCACCCAAAAGACCCTGTATACCAGACCGGCCTTTAATGCCTCTAATCATTGATCTGAGTCGCTCTTGAAAATGCAATGTGCACTTTTGCCATAATCATGCAAGCTGATACTGACTGCTGACTGCTGACTGCTGACTGCTGACTGACGTCTACGAATTGACACAATTGGACGATACAGTGTATGACTATCTATATATACAGTACAAATAGGCAGGGTTGGACTATGCCCCGCGCACGTCTCTCTCTTCTTTTCCCTTCAAAGTTTCCACTTTCCACTTTTCCATGCCGCTGTAGCCTTTTTGTAAGCCCTGCCTGCCTGCTTGCCTGACCTACTTGATCTACTTGCTAGCAAGTGTATTACTCCAAGTCAGATACTTGTGTTCCGGCAACGTCTCTGCCGAACCTGTCGTCCCGCTTCCCGTCTTTCTCGAACTCCTCCTGGTCTCATACTGAGCATTACCAGCGCCTGCACCACCATGGCCGTGAGAACCATCGTGTTTCCAGGCGCCGGCAAGGTCGTCGAGACGCCTTTGCATTCCTGGTTGGAGATAGTTGCGAAAGGTTCCCAAGGAGCGCTTCAAGGCGTATTCACGGTTGCCCTTGTTGCGCAGCCAGGCGATGAGTTGGTCGATCTGTGACGTGAACGAGGGAGAGAGGGACAGAGCTCAGAGGTCAGCGGACTGGGAGGTTTCCTCTCTGTCAGGGTTCAGGTGGAGCATAATTACTCACCTGGTCTGGCTGATCATACACGGCCCATTGCTCCTTCTCGAGCACCACGTCACCATGTTCAATCTCCCTCCTCTTGATGACGTTCTTCTCCTTCCTTCCCTCACACATGGCTCTCCAATCTTCATCGCTGCATCCCTGCACGAACAGCCTTCCAGCGCCGTAATGGACCCGACCGGGCATACCGAGATCTTGAGCGCCAATGCCGTCGAACCACCAGTACTTGTCGTGGAAGCGATCTTTGCCGAGGGGCCGCAGGCGAGGGGCAAGGAAGCAGCGTCTGAATTCGAGATCGATGGCCTCCTCTCGAGCGCTTATCCGCTCCTCTTCGCTCTCCATGCGAATCCGCTCGGCTAGCAACCGCTTGCTCTCGGCATTCTTGGCCTTTTGCTCTTGGAGCATCCGAGCGCGCTCTGCCTGCCTGGCAGCTTCCTCAGCCTTGCGTTGAAGCGTCTTCTCCCGCAGAGCCTCTTGGCGAGATGGAAGAGCGCGGCGCGAGTTGCTTGCTGATGCTGCAACGGACTCAGCATCCGAAGCTGCGTTGTCCTCAGGTTCGGGAGAGGTCTGCAACTCATCTTCTTCCTCCTCATCTTCGTCTCCATCCTCCCCATCCTCAGGAGGGGGCGTCATGTCGCTCGTTGACGACGTCTTCGAGCCAGCACCACCCGCTTCGCCAGCCTGCTCCCCTGTGCCATTCTCGCCATTTGCTTCCGCCTCCTGGCGCTTCTCTTCCGCATTGCGTTCCTCGATGAGCTTCTTTCTCTGTCGACTAAGCTCAACTCTCTCCTTTCTCAACTCGGTGAGCGTAGCCTCACATTCGTCAAAGAAGTTCTTGATCGCCTTTGTCATGACTGCCAGATCGCAGAGGAAGTGGATGACGGCCAGCTTGTCCGTCACGGGCATGACAGGCAGGCGCTCCTTGGCTGTGAAGTAGGTCTCACCAACAAAGACTCCGTCGATTAGGCCGTCTGGATGTTCCTTGCCTGTCAGGTGTGACAGAATGCCCATCATCCTTGGCATCAGATCAGGCTGGGCCCGCTTCGCTAGCAGACCCAACAGAGAGTTCTCCCAGCCAGCTCTGCCGTCTTCCAGCTTCAGCGTCTTCTTATCCCAGCCTCGTCCTGCACTGATGGCGGTCTTGATGACTTCTGACTCTGACTCTTGCACATCCGAGTCATCGGCATTCTGCTCGTCCTCCTCTTCCTCGTCCGACTCGGCAGAGCCCTCTCTGGAGTCTTCCAGCTCATCGCCGCTCTCTTCGTCCTCATCTTCCTCTTCTGGAGACAGGCTTCTGTCTTTGCTAGCTCGTCCATTGGTCTGTCCGCCCTTGGAAGTCGTAGCCGCTGTAGACCCGTCCTTTGCGATTCCAGGGCCGTCTCGAACGATGATGTTGATTAGTGAAGCATGGATCTCTGTGACGAGCGGGCATGGATCAGATGTGTTGTGCTGTAGTGCGGCTTCGTAGTCGTCTAGTGTGAAAGGGGCGAGCATCAGAGGTTTGCCAAAGGCATGCAGGAAGTGATAGGTCACCATGAGAGGCTCAAAGATGGTGAGAGAGATGCCGAGCTCCTTGGAAGGAGCCGGCCGATCGCGTCTCCTCGGCTCCTCGCCGGCGATCTTTGCCTTGAGCTCGCGCTCCGAGGCGGGATCGACCTCGAGATCTTCAATTGGGAACTTGATGGGCTTCTTCTTTTCCTTGGGTTGCTCTTCTTCTGCCTCGCTTTCTTCCTTTTTGGTATCTGCTTCCTTCTCCGCCTTGGTCTTGCGCTTTTTCAGTACGGGTGCGGAAGGCGTGACATCTTCGTCTACTTTCTTGCGCTTGGCCAGTTCTTCGTTGAATGCTGCCCTCCGCTTGGAGAGCTTCTGGTCCTTGATGACGCTATTTTTCTGTAGAGTCGCTTGATTAGGCGCAGTAGGAATGCCGTATCGCTTTGCAAGAGCGGGCTTGACAATCCACGGGCTGGCTACTGTACTATCGCGAACCACGGCTTCGCGCAAGTACTTCTTGAGAATCGTCTTGGAGAAAGTCAGACGGTCGCGGCTGAGCTGTTTGCTACGCGCCTCCATGAGACTGCCGGTAAATTGACCTCCTTCATCGATGAGTTGGACGCTGTAGATGTAGTCTCCTGGATCATCTATTGTGGCTGCGCTTTCAGCATCCGTGTACAAGTCAATGCCTACTTTGTGTACAATATTTTGGGCAAGGGGTGGTGCTTGTACGATGCCAATCTTAGCGCTTGTCTTCTCTGCCAGCTGGACGTGGTGTCGCATGAGAGATCGAGGTGGGAATATATCCATTACGCGTGCATAGTATCTGGTGAGATTGACAGCCAGCGAGCGCGAGAGTCAGTGATCACATTGGCCTGCCCATCTTGCATTCCAACGAAAGGACTTCTGCTTACTCACTTGTCTCCTTGCAAGTCAACAAAGACTGCCTCGTCGGTGAAGTACCTCTCCTTGAAGCGGTCGAATACGACATCGATGAGCTCATCCAGTCTACCGGTGATATGGAACTGCACGGCGCTAAGCACGGGCCCCTTGAGCGACTCTGGGAATCTCTGGTGGAGCTTCATTGCCTCTTCCCTCTCGGAGTGGATGGCCTGAAAGAAGGTGAGGTTGAGCTTGCCTGTCAGCTCATCCTGGAAAACTTGCTGATTGTAGAACGAGAGGCGCTGGGCATATGTTCTGGATCAGAGTGGAGGGACGAGGAGTTTAGTGCATTGTGAGGGAAGAAGAGTCAGAGAGCGTGGATGGAAGGCCAAGCTACTCACTCGTAGTCGAGGAAGATCTCGCCAGTGGATGCCATGTACCAAACTTCTGGATCCTCTCCCGGCTCGAACTCGGATGGATCGGGGGGCGGGACCATCTCCACCTCTTTCCGCCGGAGGAGAACCATGGCGGTGAGATGTGATTTGTGTGCAAGTCTCTTTGCGGGTAGCCTGGATGTGTGGTAGGCGTGAGGAAGTGCCTAGGCAGGCGTGCAATGCGTGAAGAAAGCGCCGTCGTGTAAAGGATTTTGCAGGGTAGGGCAGTGTATGCGCGATGGTGATGTGGGTGATGCGGAAAGGATGGAGGGACGAGGGCGGTGGTGGTGAGGGTGGAGGTTGTGAGGACGACGTTGGTGATGATGGTGGTAGGATGCTGAGTAGGATGAGATGATAGGAGATCAAGGTGGATTGCAGAGGAAGTGCGAGATGAATGGACCGAGGGTTTGCCTGCCACCCATTCTCCTCCGAAGTCGGTGATTGGGGGGAGCACGGAGGGAAGGGCGGGGAGAGGGGAGAGCGAAGAAACGCAGGGCGACACCCACGCACGCGCCCGCACCACTGACACGGAAAGAGAGACACCAGAGGGAAAAAGGCGCAAAGGGCACCAGCCACCGCCCGCCCGCACGCCTGTCCGCCCTATTGGAACTCCGCCGCCGCCTGTGCTTTGCGCCCGCATGCCCCGAAGCCTCCCCTTTTTCCCCCCCTTCCTCCCTCGAGAAAAATAATCAAAGCATCCTCGCCACTTGCAATGCCAAGGCAAGGACCGCAATCCTCTCGAAGATGGTCATGTTTGGGCTCGCTGGAATCACAATGATCACAGCTATACCTTGGGCTGTGGCTCAAATGCCCTTGGCCTCGTCCATGGTCGTCACCACAAGAGAGACACGCGCCTTGCTCTTGCACACCCCTCCCTCGAGAAGGGAATGCCCGGCCACTAAACGGAGCTATCGTATGAAGCGCTATTCCGGGTCTGCCACGCGCAATGCTGGATCTTGCCCTCTCTCTCACACATCTGTACCCTGATGTGCTCCTTCGCGATCCTCTGCCTCGGCTCCGTGGATTTTCGCCCCTGGTCTCGACTACAAAGAGACGACAGGTCAACCGTGCGCTAGGCACGGCAGCAAATAGAGGGTCCGGGATCAAAGGGGCAGCAGAGCCGGGCTGGGCAGGCAGACGAGGCAGGCAGAGGGGCGGTAGGGACCTGAATGGCAATAGGGGCAAGAAAATGAGGCTGCTGCATGGTCTCACCTTCTTTTGTCACTCGTCACACCCGACGCAAACCCCTGAGCGTCTTCACCCTTGGCACACGCCCACCCCCTCTTCCCCTTAAGTATTCCACCTCCTTTGCCCCCTCGACATTTACCCTCTACCCCTCCTTCTCCCTCTTTCTGAATCATCCATCCACCTACGCCGTCCACCACAGCCACTTTCCCCTCCTATGGCCACCACTGAGACTCCCGTTGCCATCACAGCCACAGCCACCGAGGCTGTGGCTCAGCCAGACACCACCCCTATCGTCCCTGCGGACAAGGCCGTCGAGACGCCCCTTGCAGTCACAGGTGAGTACAGCACTGAGCATGAGCACGTCGAATGTTCATCAAATGACTTCCTTAGACATCGTCACCTTTCTCAATTCCTCTAACGCTCTCGACCTCCCAGTCGAAGCACCTGCCGATTCTGCCGTCGCCACCGAAAAGCCCGCAGACGAGACTGCCATTGCTGAGCCAGCCACGACTACCGAAGAAGACGTCAAGCCTACGGAGGAAGCAGCAGCAGCAACAGCAGCAGCACCGTCGACCGAAAAGGATGCAGCAGTGCGAGAGGAGAAGAAGACTGGCTTTTTGACCTCGCTGCGAAAGGGGCTCAACGTCGCCCTCGTCCCAAAGCCAAGCCTCGACAGTGCCACCGACGCAAAGAACAAGAAGGAAGAGGCTCAGCAAGCCGAGACCATCCCCGAGACTACAGGTGAAGACGCCGTCGAAGGCGCAGAGGGTATCCCCTCCGAGCCTGCTCCAGCTGCCACTGCCACCGACTCTACCGCTCCACCTCCTGTGCGAAGGACATCCTTTGCGGCCTTCAAGCACCGAGTCTCGCACGGCTTTGGCACTCCCAGTGCCAGCCCTTCTGCCACGCCCACCAAGAAGGGGGCTACCAACACCACCGTCGCCCTCACCGCTTCTCCGCCAGCATCACCTCGCAAGTCCACCTCGGCCAAGTTGCACGAGCTGGCAGAGTCGGCCGCCGACAAGGCCGAGGAGACTGCTGCCCACATCAAGCACAACATCGAGGCAGTCGCGGCCAAGATCACAGAGGACAGCGCAAAGCCTGAGGAAGGTACTACCAAAGCTCCTGGAACTGCTCACAAGAAGGTCGAGCCTTTCAAGGGCTTGGGCAAGAAGCTCGAAGAAGCCTTCCACAAGAAGCCGTCAGCCAGCAAGCCTGCAGCCACCGAAGCCGAAGCCGTGGCAACTCAGGAGTCGGCCGATGCTGCACCTGTCGTAGCTGAAGCTGCTGACACCGAAGCCACCACCGACAAGGCCCCTGAGGCCGCTGCAGACGAGGACGCCGAGGCTCTCAACGCTGCTGCATCCAAGACCGAAGGCGAAGCATCTCAACCTGCAAAGTCTGAGAAAAGGTTCCTGGGCCTCAAGAAGCGATTCTCCATCTCCGTCCAGTCCAAGGGCGGTGACAAGAGTGCTGCCACTTCTGGAGACGAAGGAAAGGACGCCGCCGTTATCACCAAGGAAGCCAGCTCTGCTGAGCCAGTCGTCGAGACCGCAGCCAACGATGCCGCACCGTCGGGCAGCGAGCCCGCCATACAGGATGCTCCCAAGGAGACGCCACCCGTTGCTCAGCGCAGGACATCGATCTTCTCCGCCCTTGTGAACGGCAAGAGCAAGACGGCTACAAGCCCAGCAGCCGTCGCCAAGGCCGACCCCCTCGAGACCGCCGTTGAGGCCGCTGCGACCGAAGAGGCCACAACCGAGGCAGTTCCAGCTGAAGCTGCTGCACCCACTACTCCCGAGCCTGCCGTCAAGGAGCTCGAAAGCGCCCCCGCCAGCCCTGCCAAGGGCTCCAAGAAGGCTAGCGGTCCCTCTTCCTTTGGCTTGGACAAGCTCAACAAGATGGCCAACAAGATCCTTGACAAGGGAAAGGACAAGGCCAACAAGAACCGCCTGAGCGTCGACTCCCACCAGGCCAAGAAGGACAAGGAGGCAGAGGCTACCCCTGTCACCCCCACTGAGCAGGCAGAGGAGAAGATCGAGGCATCCGTCGCCGCCACTGAGGCTCCTGTCGCTGCGCCTGCGCTCCCTGTCGAGGCTGTCGCCGTTCCCTCCATCGCCATCGAAGGCGAGGATGAGGCAGCCAAGCCAGCTGAGGTCAAGGTCGAGGAGAAGGCTGAGGAGAAGGTCGAGGCTGAGCCCGTCGCTGCCGCTGCCGCTGCCGAGGTCGCTCCCGTCGTCGAGGAGAAGAAGGAGTAGACAACCAGCCGTGCCATCATCATCACCACAAAGCCAGCGACATCAAGAGGCCATTCTGGGTACCCTCCGACGGGTACCCACTTATACCCACATTTCTTTATACCTCTCGCTTCCACCTTTGTCCTCGGTCATGTCATCACTCTGCTTCACTTCTCCCTCCCACCCTCTTCCTCCCCCGATGCGCCCCGAGACGAGCATCAGAGACTGCGATCGATTGTAGACCCTCTACTGCGCTTCGACATGTTCCTCATCACGTGCCCGTCTAATTTTCTCCTCTGATGCCCGACCGTGTCCTCATCTCCCCCTCCGCCACTACCAACCGAAATCGGCGCGCCTATACCCCTTGGTTTCACACCCTTTGTCTCCCTCTTCACCCTCCCCGCCTCCCCCCCTGTCTACCTTTCCGTTCTTTCTGCGAAACATGATTCGAAGTCATATGCCTCTTCACTCCTTGTCTGCTTTGCCTGTGCGCGTGCGTGTTTGTGTCTGCAGATGGACACTTGACGACCTACTGGTCACCAACTCGGAGCACCGAGGAGGCGGAGGCAGGCCAATTCGGGACTGGACTGGACTCTGGACTGATAGAGGCTGCTGAGCGTCACTCACCTTCCCTTTCCTCCCCATGTCTCTCCCACGCTCTCGGCCCGACGCCGTGACTCTTGCCGATACCGATGCCGAGAAAGCAATGATGAGCACCGTGCACCTACCCGCGGGAGTATCGAGTATCATGAAAATGCCAAGCACCACTTTTTCCGGATGGTTTTGAACCTGGAGGGAATTGAATTGAATTGATTGCAGCCCCCTGCCCTTTCCTGGATCCTGGATCCCCCCCTTATCGCTTATCTTCCTGGTCTGCTGCGTCTGGCACTTCCCCCTCGCGCTGGCGCTGGCGCTGTGTTCGGATCCGACGGCTCCCGCCTCCAACCCTCTATCGTCCTCGTGTACTATACTTTGCCTCTTCTTTCCCTATCCAATCTAACCACTATTCCTGACGCTGATTCGCACGTGAACAGATTAAGAGTCAAGCCAGGAAGCACGAAGACACCCACGATTCCCAAGATTCCCACCGTCACCGCCCGATACCGTCTCACCACCATTGCTACAAGCCTACCCGACCCACCCTACTCCACTTCGTCCTATCCTACCCCGCCCCGTACACACTCAACCAAGACAGGACGATGTCAGCCGAGGCGCAAGCCCCGTCGGGCATTGGCCAAACCACGCAAGCTAGTGGATCTGGTAGCACCAGTACCGCCGCCGATCGACCCATCCAAGTCCCGGTAGAGAAGATGACCGACATTACCACGATCTGTGCCTACATTCGAAGTTGCTCCGAACCGGGCATCACCTACGACGACGTCATGAGGCTTGCCCAGGTTCAATTCGAGTTCAACAGCAGGCTCTTGCCCCGGGCAGACCCCAAGGACAACATACGACTCGGAGACGACATCCTCGAGCTACTCAGAGGCATGGTCAAATTGAACAATGCCAACTGGCACACATGGCTACTCGACTTCAAGTCGACCTTCCGTACCATACCACTTGTAATGGACATCATGACCGGTACAATCAAGGACGATCACCCATCTTACGACGCCCAACTAGACGCCAAGTTCGTAGGAATCATCCGAAACTCTTGCGACAAGGAAAGCTCCAAGAACATCAGACACATCGTCAACGTCAAGGAATGGAACACCGGGAGCGAGCTATTCCAACAGCTACAGAGCGAGCTCTGCAGAGACGACGACATCACCTCGGGCAGCCTCCTGATGGAGCTCGGACGAGTGCGAATGTTCAACAACGACGTCGAAAAGACTATCAGCGAGATCAATGACATCGCCACTAAAGGCTCACTCATCGGACTGGTCATCGAAGACCAGCAGAAGGTTACCCAACTCGCCTCCTGCACCCAGTTCTCTCAGGGCTACGGCGAGGTCTGGAGTACACTCGAGACCGTCGGGAAAGCACACAAGTGGCAATCACTGTGCGCCGCCATGCGCCGAAGACACAACCGCATCAAGAACGACCCTGGAAGGATGAGTTCTTCCCGTCCAGCAGCGCTGACAGCTACCGACAAGCCCAACAAGCCAACGGGAGGAAGATCCAGTGCCCCGGCCGCCATGCCTAGCAGCAGTGACTCACAGGGCGTCTCACAAGCGTACCTCCTCGGGAAGAGGGACCCTAGGAAGCCAGATGAGCCCGCAAAGTGCTACGACTGTGGTGACCCCGGTCACATCGCCAAGAACTGCCCCAATCCCAAGAAGAAGCGCACCAAGTCGAACGACAAGGAGATGGCCTCACTCGCCGCGGATGCCGCTGACGACTCCGACTCTGACGCCAATTAGGGACTCAGGCGACCTGAGAAGGTTGCCACCCATCGAAAGACCGTACGCTTAAAGTGGATACTAGACTCAGGAGCCAGCAAGCATATTGTCAAAGACCGGACAGTATTGTACAACGCCAAGAAGCGCTCCGGCACCATAGGCACACTCGGCGACCAAGAATTGAAGTACGAGCTAAGAGGCAACGTCAAGATCCTTGTAGGAGACAACACCATTACCCTCACCAAAGTCTTGTATGTCCCAGACGCCACCGAGAACCTCGTTGCGGAGGGAAGATTGGCACGCGAGGGCACCCAAGTACATTGGCTCAGAGGCGGACGAGTCATACTAGAACCCGCGTCAGGGCCGAGCATCATCTACGATCTTCCCGAAGGAATAGACAGACTCAAGTTCTTTGCACGATCCCCACTACACTGTACCGCTGACGAGCAGGCGGCGACAGTGACCGAATTAGACCAACACGAGGCCTTGGGCCACCCAGGAAGAGGGCAATTGCAGCGCACCCTCAAAGCGATCTTACCGAGCTGTCCTCATCAGTCAGATGATCCAGCGAATTGCGAAGCCTGTGCAGTAGGAAAGATGACCAAAGCCAGGCTGCCACGACACTCTTCGCAAGCGAAGACCACGAAACCGCTTCAGAGACTCCACATCGACATACTGACACAACTCGCGGGACACTCGTCTGTTCAATTTGCCTTGACGATCGTTGACGACTTCTCCGGTTACACCTACGTCGAGCCGCTGAGAAACAAAGGACAGGCGGCCCAAGCCCTTATGGACTTCGTCGCCCTAGCGGAGAAGCAACTACAGCTAGACGTGCAGATCATCCGATCAGACAACGACTCAGTATTCCTTAGCAACACGGTGATCGAATGGAAAGCAGCGAAAGGTCTCTTGTGGGAGTACACGACGCCTCACGACTCGAGAGGCAATGGCAAGGTCGAACGAATGATTAGAACCCTGCGCGAACGAATGCAAGCAAACCTGGCCGGCCGCAACGCACCGTACAGTCTATGGCCTGAAGCTATTGAGTACGCGGCTGCCACAACGAATCTGATGGTCTCTGAAAAGGGAACAACGTACAGAGATACTCCCCACTTCAAGTTCTGGGGAGAGGATCCCAGCAGAATGGCGAAGCTTGCTCATCCATTCGGCTGTCTAGCATGGACTTTTGTGCCCGAAGACAAACGCATCGGAGGAAAGGGCGGTCCCCGTGGGATCCCGGCAATCTTTCTGGGCATTGACATGGGGAGAAGGGGGTGGAAGTTCTACTCCCCCCACGCAAGCCCATCAACGTTCTGGTCCAACAGTGCTCGATTCCACGACGATAAGGAATGGCGACATCGTCGAGCCATGGCTGACTGGAGAGAACTGCTCGACAACGAAACCCTCTTTGCAGACCGAGGCGAAGACGTGGTTGACCTCACCTTCTCTCATCTAGACGTCATAGCCGAAGAAGACAAAGAAGTTCTCGATCATTACCAGCCCATGTTCAACGCGGACATCGAAGCCGAGGGAGACATTGCCACCGACGGTTGCCTCATTGCGACACATGACTACGATTGCTACGAAGCATCCAAAGAGATACACAAGGAGTGGGTATGCCTATCCACCACAGTGACCCCAGACTCGCCTACCGTGCAGCAAGCCCTCAATGGATCGAACGCGCCACTCTGGCGAGAAGCAATCCGAAAGGAGATCGCCGGCTTGGAAGACATGGGCACGTGGGAACTTGTGGACCCACCACCAGGGGTGCGACTCGTCGACTCGAAGCTAGTCTTGAAGATCAAAACGTCGCCTGATGGGATTCCTCTCAAGTACAAAGCAAGGTTGGTAGCGAGAGGATTCACCCAGCGCGAAGGCATAGACTATGAGCAAACCTTTGCACCAGTCGCTCCGTACGCGGCGCTCCGAGTTGTGCTCGCTGTGGCAGCTTCCCAGCGTTGGCACATTCACTCCACCGACTTCACGCAGGCCTATCTCAACGGCCATCTTTCCCACGAGATCTACATGAGGCCCCCAGTCGGAGCAAAGACCGGAGGAAAAGTGTACAAGATCAAGAAGGGACTCTACGGTCTCAAGCAGAGCGGTCGAGTTTGGAATCAAGAGTTGGACGCTGCCCTTCGCCTGGAAGGCTTCATACCCCTGTCGTCGGCACCGTGTATCTACACCAAGGGTCGAAAAGGAAGCCAAGTAGTTGTTGCGGCGTACGTTGATGATTGTCTCTGGGCATCACCAGACCCAGAAGCTCTGAATGGAGCGAAGGCAGCCTTGAAGGCCAAGTTCAAGCTAGAAGACAAGGGGCCGGTTACCTCTTTCTGTGGCATCCAGATCGACTACAACAGAGATACGGGACGACTCAAGATGCACCAGCGAGGTTACCTTGATTCGATCATCACCGAGTTCTTGCCCGATGGCGGACACGCGAAGACTCCAATGCAGGAGACACCCCCGCCTACAGCACTTGACGAGAACGTTCAGAAGCGTTATCGCCGTCTAGTCGGCCGGCTGACGTGGTTGGCAAACCACTCTCGACCTGACATAGCTTTCCCAACAGGCATCCTCCAGCGCCATATGTCATCGCCCTCGGCCATCCACATGGATGCAGCGAGTAGAGTATTGAAGTTCCTGTCGTCGACCAAACTCTATTGTCTTGAGTACAATCCCGACACGAGCGCCGAGCTTACCACGTACGCAGATGCTAATTGGGCAAGCGACCCTCACACGAATCGGAAGAGCACATCGGGCTGTGCCTCGTACGTCTTCGACTGCCTAGTACACTGGAAAACACAAGTTCAACACTGCGTATCGTTGTCGGCCGTGGAGGCCGAGCTAGTCTCCTGTTCGGAAGCGGCAAGGGAGGCTCTCTTCGTCTCTCACCTGTTGCGAGAGTTAGGATTCGAATTCGTACCGAAGATCCGTACTGATAGCTTGGGCTGCGTACAGGTTGCGCAGGACCCCGCGCAGCACTGGCGCCTGAAGCACATTGACACTCGTTACTACTTCCTACGTGACAACGTTCAGACCAACCAGCTGCAAATTAGTCACGTCCCCACCAGCGAAAACCCTGCTGACCTGTTCACAAAGCCCTGCGGCCATCACGTGCTAGGGAAACTGTCCCCTCGATTGGGATTACGATAGAGTGTTTTGTCGTCGAGGGGGGGTGTTCGGATCCGACGGCTCCCGCCTCCAACCCTCTATCGTCCTCGTGTACTATACTTTGCCTCTTCTTTCCCTATCCAATCTAACCACTATTCCTGACGCTGATTCGCACGTGAACACGCTGGCGCTGCTGATGAAGAGGCCGTGAAATTCTCCGGATAAGAAGCCCGCCTGGGTGCGGGTGCGGGTGCGGGTGCGGGTCGCGGCTGGCGGCTGACAGAGGCGGGAGCGCAGGCGCGGGCGCCGCGCAAGGGAGCCAGACCTCACGCGAGGCTCCCGAGGTTGGAAGAAAGGACATCGGAGAAACCTCCGATGGCCAGTCATGGCTCCCTGGGTGCGGGAGAGAGGGGCCGGGTCTTCCGATTTGAGTGGGTGAAAGAAGGGGCAAATTCTGGAGCCCGAGCTCGGGAAGTAGAGGTGAAAGTGGAGAGGCGGGCGGAGGGAGGAAGATAAGTAATCATCGTTTAGGGGGGACGTGCATAGGCTGAGGTGGGGGTGAGTGCATCTTGGCAGTCTAGACAGATAGGGCAGGACAGGACAGGACAGGATGGGGAAGGAGCTACGTTGACACAATCAGACTTGCAGCTGGAGGGAGGGATGCAGGAGATAGAGCGCAGGACGGAGAATGAGGAGAGGGGTGGAGCATTTCGGAGCAGTGCCGAGGTGTCTGTTCATCCGAGATAGCAGGAAGAATTGAAATAGGCAGGGGGTAGAGAAAGTGGTCGTGCGACTTCGCCACTCTTTCGTCGTAGCTTTACTCCCTTCCCGTACCCTTTGAGCTTTTCACTCTCCGGCCATGGCTCCAGCCTCGTCAAATACCGATGCGGTACCAGCCGTCCTGCCCTCTCCAGCTCCAACCCGCTCCGACTCAAAGCGCAGCCTTAAGTCCCCCTCGCAGGAAGAATACAATGAGAAGCCCTCTGTCACCCTCGAAGATGTCGGGGCAGGCTCAGCAACCACCGGTGCAAGCAAGGGCCGCTCTATTGATATGCACAAGCTCGATGAAGGTGCGCAACTAATGATGGAGTTCGAGGGGCAGCTAGACGACGTCACAGAAGAGGAGTATCGCAAGCTCGTGAGAAAGATCGACTGGCATATTTTGCCCTTGATGCTTCTCACCTATGCCATCCAATTCGCCGACAAGACTTCGCTAGGTTCATCTGCCATTCTGGGAATCAAGACCGATCTCAATTTGACCACGGCGCGATACAACAACTGCTCTAGCTTCTTTTACATTACGTATCTTGCCTGTGCATGGCCCAACTCCCTTCTGCTGCAGCGCTTCAATACTGGATGGGTATTGACGGCAGCTACGGCTAGCTGGGCCACCTTGCTGCTGTGCACAATGGCCTGCAGCTCTTACGGAGGTTTCTTGACGACGAGGCTCCTATTGGGAGCTACGGAAGGACTTGTCACACCTGGCTTCCTGCTGCTCACCAGTGCATTCTATCGCCATGAGGAGCAGGCGACGCGGGTCGGTCTTTGGTTCCTCATGAATGGTGCAGCAACCGTGTTCAGCGCAATGGTAGCTTACGGCGCTCAGTACATCACAATCGGCGATTGGTCTCCATGGAGGCCGTTCTTCCTAATCTTGGGCCTGATTGGCTGCCTCAACACTGTGAGTCTAAAGGAGCAAAGCTCAGCTGCTGAATGACGTTGACCCAAACTCCTCCCACTTCTCTTGCAGGCGCTCTGGCTCTGGGTCATGCCTTCCACTCCAGCTACAGCTAGGTGGCTCACGAGGAGGGAGAAGGCTATGGCTCTCAAGCGAGTAGCGTGCAATCAAGATGGCTCGAAGAATGTACACTTCAAGTGGGAGCACGTCAGGGAAGCTGCTCTAGACCCGAGGATCTGGCTCATGTTCGTGTTCTCCATTCTACAGAACATTCCGAACAGCTTGACCCAGCAGCGTAGCATCATCATCGAGCAATTCGGCTTCACACGGCTGCAGACTTCGCTTCTGAACATCCCGACTGGAGTGCTGGAGATGATTACTATCCCTACCGCCACCTGGGCTGCTCGACGGTGGAAGACAATTCACGTCATGACCTTCTGGACTATCCCAGCAATAGTCGGCGCCTCGATGTTGCTCGGTCTTAGTCAGGAACACAAGGTGGCTAGACTCGTTGCCATCTACTTCTTCCTCAGCACAGCCTCCTTCGTGCTTGGCATGAGCTGGAACTCGTCCTGCTCGGCTGGGTCCACCAAGAAGATGTTCAGCAACGCCTTGTTCTTGATCGGTTACTGCGTAGGCAACATTGCTGGTGAGTCGCAGTGTGCCGAAAAGGGGATGCGCCGCATGGTGAGGGAGCGCGCGCTGACCGTATGTCTGCATTCTGTGAATATCAGGCCCTCTCATGTGGAAGGCCGAGTACTCGCCCGTCAATACAGTTCCCTGGAGCATCATCCTAGCCACCCTCATCCTCGCTATCCCCACATCGTATGCAGCGTGGTACATAGCAGTCTACCGCAACAAGCGCAAGGAAGAGGCTCAAGCCGGTCACAGGAGCGCCCACGAGGTAGAGGTCAAGGTGCAGGAGGGCGGCAAGGGCAGCGAGAAGGGCGTCGAGAGGCACCACTTGGATTCGGCCTTCTTGGACCTGACCGACAAGCAGAATCCCAACTTCAGATACCCCGTTTGAGATGTGTTTGCCTCTTTAGGCTGAGCTCATGTTGTCTCCTAGAAGTTGCAACGTAGACTCGTCTTGCTGGTAGCGCTCTCGGAATGCTTCCTCGTGGAATGTACAAGCTCTTTGTTGCCTTTGCTCGCGTCACCCCGTCAATATCTTGCCGCCCGCCAATCGGTGCGATCGCCTCGAGATGCAGTCCTCTTTCCGCTGCTGCTTTGACACATGCGTTGACCCACTCATGACCCACTCATGACCCGCTCATGACCCACTCACACCTGTAACACGCCGATGGCTCCCCAATATTAAGTTCAAAACACAGAGTACGGTACAACGCTAGGCTTTGTTCTGACCGAGCGGGTGCACTTCCTCTCTGGCTGCTTCGGCTGCACGTCGGGTCTGCCCCGCGTCCGCCTGACGCCTCCTTGCATTGTTTCCAGCCGAGGCGGGAGCGGCACAAGAACCTTTTGCCTCCCCCCAGCGGTCTATGAGCCATGAGCCAGGATCTCATACGTCAGAGAGCACATCCCCCTTTGCCATCTGCTTCATCCTCTACCTCCTCACCACCTCCTTCCTCTTCTTCCTCTTCTCCTCTCCGTCACTCGAGGCGTGACACCTCATCGCGTGAGCTCTCATCAGCTTTCGATCGCGTCGCGGATCGCCACCCAGGTCGACTACCACCAGGTGGACTTGCCCAGCCGGATCCTATCATCATCGGTTCCACTGACCCCCTTTCTGTCGCAGTCATGGCCACCAACACTGGTGGCAGCAACTCTTCTTCCACCTCGCCTGTGAGGTCCACACTCGCTCCACCGCGGTCAGCCGAGCGCAGCGGCGGCAGTGGGGACGAGGCAGGGTCGCGGGCGGAGGAGGCGGCGGATACGTCTCATAGCCCCTCTCGGCATGGTAGGATTGGCACTACCTCCACTCTGGCTCCCCCTCGCCCCTCTCACCCGACAAGAAAGAGCTCAGGCGGCTCAGCTGCCGGCGGCAGCATCAAGCCTCGCTCTATCTCCTTCAAGCGCCGTGCAGCCCCAGGAGATAGCGGTTTCAGCTCTGCCTTTGGCGGACCTGGTCAGCGGAGGAATCTGAGTGGCTACCCTCGCAACTCTTTCGCTGCCGCTTCTCAGGCCGGATCTGAAGCTCTGGCTCGATGGAGGAACAGAAGGAGAACACAGACGCTTTCTGTCCGAGGTCCAGAGGGAGACCCGGATGATCCAAGCAGCTGGACATACCCCGAACCCAAGATTCCATCTATCCTGCCCAACTCGAGCGCTCCCGATGCCACCCCCATACCCTTGGTGCCCTTCACCGTGCTATGTCTATGCTGCTTTTCGGAGTTCTGCTCGGCCGGAGGTGAGTCAGAGACCAAATCGCTGTGGCATGCAAAGCAGGCGCAACTGACGCAGCATATACTTGCATTGCCCTTCTGCTCTACTAGTTGCCGGTCCCTTCCTCTTCTTTCTTATCGAGTCTTTCAACGTCGGAGGAGAGAGTGATGTGGGGTTCTATGCCGGAATCCTCTCCTCTTGTTTCTTCTTCGCTCAATTCCTCACCGCACTTCTCTGGGCCAGCATCGCAGACAGGTACGGCAGGCGGTTGGTCCTCTTTGCCAGTCTGACCGGTACAACCATCGCTCTCACCACCTTCGGTACAAGCAGTAACCTCAAAATGGCAATTGCCGTGAGACTGTGTCAGGGTCTCTTTGCGGGAAGCGTAGGAGTGGCAAAGGGAGCCGTACGTGATCTGACGGACCCCACGAATGAAGGAAAGGCCTACGCTATCCTCGGAGCTGCTTGGGGATTTGGCGGTATCCTCGGCCCCATCCTTGGTGGTGTCCTCGAGCACCCTGCTGACAAGTTCCCCGCCATCTTCGGTGGGGTACAGCTCTTCAAGACCTACCCTTACCTTCTACCCTGCATGTCGGGCGCCGCTTTCACCGGACTAGGCGCCTTCCTATGTCTCTTCATTGGGCCAGACGGTGGTCCTCGCCAAGGCAAAATCAGGCTGGCGGGAGCAGAGGGTGATCTCAACCCCGTTGCAGCTACAGTCGAAGACATTGGCAACGGTATCGAAAGTCTGTCACGTACTGCTACGAAGCGCATTAGCGGCTACTTCTCCCATACCGGCAGTGCCGAGGAAGCCGAAGGAGAAGCCTCGGACGCCAATATTGGCCTGGAGCAGACACAGCACGCCAGCAGCTCCGGACGCAATCCTCTTCCTCGGACATTCACACAGGAGGTAGACGAAGAGACTGGCGGTCCACCCTCACCATTCGAAAACAGTGATGATGAGGGTACAGTCGGGCGCCGATCGTCTCGCCAGAATCCACCATACGCCAGTAGCTTCGCCGACCCCAGTTGGCGCTTCTCTCGAACCGAAGAGAGAAAGAGGGGGATCTTCGGTGGTGGCAGTGCATATGGCTACGAGCCTTCTGTGCTGGGCGGGCCACCTGCCCGGAGACCGTCGCATGCAAGCAACATGACCGGTCCTCAAGCATTCGGGAGGTCTCAGCAGACAGGCAGGCAAGTTGTGAGCGGACCTGTTGGAGCGCGCTACTCGATGGCACCCTCGGGAATGGGGTCCGCCTTCAATTACGCTCCAGACTTTGAAGCAGTGGGTGAGGATGCAGCATTGGCACCGGCTCCTCGGCTCAACTTTGCACAGCGCTTCCTGCTCGCCAACGATGATGCTGTCACTTCCATCACCGACTTGTGGGTAGCGGCTGCAATCAATGCGGATGATACGTACGATGTCATCGAGGATGACATCGACTACGAAGAGGCCGAAGAGGACGGCAATGAGAGTCAGGCACTAGAGCGGGACTCGAGCTACAGCGAGGATGACGAAGACGAGTCGATCGGAGAAGGAGACTATGCTGACGAGGCGGCGTCCTCCGCCCGAAGGTCGAGCCAAAGAGGCAGGAGCGCGAGTGGCCAACGGGAGAGCAGCGAAGCCGGTGCAGGCCGTGCTCCCTACCTGCCCCCACTCAACTTTGCTCAGCGCCGTATCTCAAGAGCGCCCGACGGAAGTATGCTATACCCTGGACGGCCGAGATCAATGAGGCTGGGCAGTATCCAGCAAGGGCGTGTACCATCTGTGTACGGCAACACTGGAATTGAGTTGCCAGCATCCTCACATCTAGACGTCTTTCTTCCCTCGCCAGCTGGAGAGGGTATGAGAAGTCCAGGAGGTGGTCAACAAGGTCAGAATGTCCCATGGCCGGGCAACACCAATCGAGGAGGCAACTTTGACCCCACGCTTCTAGGCATTCCAGAGTCAAACAGCAACCGAGGCACCATCACACCCGAGGAGCGACAGCGACTTGCCAGCAGTGCACAGAATGCCGCGGCGACGGGCGAGAAGTCTGCTGCTCCGAGTTTATTTGCTCTGCTGCCGTTGACGATCATTGCGCACTATGGTCTGCTGGCCTTCCACTCTGCCACCTTTGACCAGGTGTTCATGGCCTTCCTCGTGACTCCCTTCCAGTCTGGCGGTCTGGGCCTGACGGCAACGCACTTTGCGGAGCTGATTGCAGCCATGGCCTTCTGCCAAATTGGCTTCCAATTCGGTGTCTACCCTTACTTGGGACCACCGCGAGGCCCCTTTTCACATCTGGCAATGATGCGTCTGGGTACGATGCTGTACCTGCCCGCCTATACGCTCTTTCCGCTGCTGCGCAACTTCCTCAAGCCCGATGGCGATGCATTGGTAATGGCCTTCATGATCTTGTTTGCATCTATGCGTTGGTTGGCCAACATCTGCGCGTTCACTGCCGTCAGCATCCTGATGAATGCCCTCACCCCGCCCAACCTCGTACCTTTGGCCAATGGACTTGCACAGACCACTTCGAGTGCGGCGAGGTTTGTAGGACCCCTCGTGGGAGGTGTGGTCTGGGCAAAGGGAATCGACGGCGGGTGGGAGACGCACAATTGGCCCTTCAATTACCACGAGGGCTTCTGGTTCGTGGGAACGGTGGCCTTCCTTGGGTTCCTGCATTGCACGCTCGTGCTCAAGTCAGCTCCTTCGAGTTAGCAGCGTCGGCTAGAAAGACGTGTGTCTGTTTCCTCCCTCTTTTTCTCTCGCTCGCTGTGCCCTGCTTTGTGCCCTTGTGCTTGTACGATGTGTACCTACTGTGACGAATCGAGCCATGAATGCAATGATCTTTGTATGTCCGTGATTGTTGTCGACGAGCTTTGATTCGACTGGTCCTGATTGGCTCCTTCGTTGGCGCCTGTCCCGACGCGTGTAGAGCGGAAAGGGGCTTTGGCATCGGCATTGGGCTTCCGCACCGTGACTATTTTCATCGACTCTGCAAGGCGAGAAAAAGTTGGCCGTGGCTCCGTCTGCGCTTAGCCCGCCCCGCCCCGCTGTTTGTGTGTGTGCGTGTGTGCGGGACGCCAAGATGGACTCAGGCACACGCACCCACGCACCCGGGCAGCCGCGCCCCCCGCCCGCCTGCCTGTCACTTATGGCCCCCCGGCAGACGTGCCTAGACCAGAATTGCCTCCGTGGTCCTCTGCAGCCTAAATCCCACCGGCACTCACTCACCACCATCGCCGTCCACCAACACGAGCCCCTCGCCGCCGCCCCCTTCTCTTAAGCCACTCGTATCTCCTACCTAGCAAGACGGCTGGTCTCATCGTCTCGCACCCCTTCTTCATCACCACCTTCACTCGACAAGGCTATCACCCTCATCACCCCCTTGCAATCTCGTCAAGCCTGGCCCAAACGATAACCTTGCGCCTCGCTTAGTCACACCTTCCTAGCTGGTTCCCGTCCCCGCCGACGAACCCCTTCCCTCAGCCCGACCCGTTGCACCGCCTCCTCGTACCGTGAGGAGCTTCCCTCTGGTCAAGACCAGTAGTAGCATCTCGACCTCTCCTCCCACTTCTCAACGCCTCCCTCCACAGCCTTGATCACAGGACATGGCATAACCACCTCCTCTCTCCTTAGCCCCCTACCCATCGTCCCCAACACTCACCCTTGGACGTCTGCCTCTCGCCCGACTTGGGACGATCACTTCAAGCTACGACCCGTTACGAATACCCACATAGGAGGAAACTCTCTTCACTATCGCCCCTGTTGTAGACGACTCACGGACTCTCGCCCTGCGCTTTGCTCCAGCTAGAGCTCCCTGCACTCTCTCCTCGTATCTGGTGGCACCTCGAAGTCACAATCTAGAGTCATCTCAATGGCGGGAAACCTCCTCAGCAGGCGCTCTCGCCTCACCAATATCCTACTCATCCTCCTCTCACTGTTCCTCCTAGGCACAGTAGCCGTCCTCACGACAGCCAAGGCATACTTCTCCATCGATAGATCAGCGTACATATTGCCAGAGGAGCTGGGGACATGGGAGGAGATTCGGTGGGGCGCCAATAGCGATTCGCCGATAGGATGGGCCAACAAGTACCCATGGGTATGGAAGATACTCCATCCTCAGGCAGCGACAGCGACCAATAGCGCCGAAGTAGCCGCGGCCGTCTCGTCTGCCGTCGCGGTGTCGAAGATGGGCAAGGATGAGGCAGAGGCAGCAGCTCTTGCTGCAGCCGTCGCGGCTGGCGAGATTCCACCTCTGCGTGATAACTCACCAAAGCCGGCAGACCCGAATTCACCGCCGGAGAAGATCCCTAGGATCATTCATCAGACGTGGAAAGACGGTACGCTGCCGCCGAAGTGGCAGGCGATTAGAGATGAGTGCAAGGAGATTCACCCTGATTAGTGAGTACGAGCGCAAACAGAGGGAGAGGCGCGTGGAAAGGATAGCCTACTAACAAGATCTGCCCCCGTCAATTGTCACTCCTCTAGCGAGTACATGCTTTGGACCGACGCTTCTTCTCGTTCATTCATCGCCGAGAACTACCCTTGGTTCCTCTCCGTCTTCGATGCGTATCCCTATGCGATCCAGAGAGCAGATGCTATCCGCTACTTTGTCCTCCACAAATTCGGCGGTGTCTACATGGATCTCGACATTGGCTGCACACGGCGGATGGACCCTCTGCTTCGCTTCGAAGTTGTCCTGCCTGAGACGAGGCCAGTGGGCGTCAGCAACGACCTGATGTTCGCTGCCAAAGGTCATCCTTTCCTGGATCAAATGATCCACAATCTCGTCACCTTCAACCACCTCTACTTGACCCACTACGCCACGGTCATGTTCTCGACTGGACCCATGTTCGTCTCTGCCTCCTATGGCATCTATGTAGACGCTCATGGTGCAGCCTACCCATCTGGCCCTGCCAAGCCAGATGTGGGTTTCAAAGGTGTAAGAATTCTGCCCAAGCCTCTCTACGGCAAGAATGCTCTGCCGGCAGAAGTGCCAGACGCCTTCTTCAAGCACTTCTATGGATCAAGCTGGCACGCTGGAGACGCTGGCTTCCTCATCTTCTTGAGAGATCATGGCCGATTCCTCATGTTCCTTGGAGCCTGCCTCGTCGTCTATGGATGCTGCAGAAGCCTGTTGCCGAGACTGTCCTTCACCATGAGGAAGAGCAATCTCTCGTCGTCCTCGTCCGGCAGGCGGAGAAGCCGTCGTAGAGGGAGTCGAGGTGGTGTTGGAGGAAGCGCAAGTGGTTCAGGCGACGGCAGTGGTCATTGGGTAGGTTTGCCCATACAGACCGCTCCCCGCCAGAGACGACAGGGCATCTCTCGAGCCTACTCTCATACACCAGACACGACGCTGCATACGCCAGTCGATGACGGTATGGAACAAGCGGAGATGACAGTCCTCGGTCTGTCTGCCAAGCCCAAATTGGTTTCCTCACAGAGCTCCGGCGCAGCAATGCTCCCCATGGCAAGCTCGGCCAAGTCAGTTGCGGCACCTCGGCCACAACGCCTCTCGGTCCCCTCTTTTGTCGACATGGACGACGAATCTGGCGAAGAGGAGGACTTTGACACGGAGATGGATCAAGAGCCTCGCGGCATCTTGGCGTGGACCGGTCTCGGCTCGAATGGACCAGGCAGCTCAAGTTCAGGAGGTATGCGGGCCGTCACACCGTCAGAATATGCAACGAGTCTGGCGGCAAGATGGGGAGAGAGGGCAGCCAATGGCGTTCTGCTGCTGCCCGCATATGCGCTGAGCAGAATAGGTAGCCCAGGAAACGGAGGCAAAGGCAGCAAAGAAGGAGAGACTGGCAGTCTCACCGGCAGTAGCGCTCTGCATTCTCCTACTGGTAGCTGGTCCTCTTCTGCTTCGGGATCAGGCTCAGGATCAGGTCAGAGGAATGGCTCTTCGGGTTCGACCAATGTACTGGGCTGGGCCACTCAGCTCTTGCCCGCGGGTTGGAAAGGCCCTATTTCAAGACGCAAGACGCCCATCGGAGACCTCGAAGGCGGAGAGGACGAAGATGCTGTAGGAGAGGAAACTCCTCTAGCTGGTGTGCCAGCAGGTCGAGATTCTGTCTCAAGTCGTGAATCTGGCTTGCCCTCCTGGGTGTCCGATCGGAGAGGCTCTGCGTGGCTGAACCAGGCCGACTACATTGCCCCTGTGCCTATGTCTGGCAGCGAGGATGCAGGTAGGAACAGCTTTGCAACAGCAGAAGGGTCAGCGGGATCTCCACCAGCTTCTGGACCTGCATCGAGAACCAGTGGAAGCTTTTTGGTGCCTGGAGATGCAGCAAGTGGGGCGGCGCATGCCCTGGGTCACGATCGCGGTGCAAGTAGCAGCGGATACTTTGCAACGCCCCCGCCACCGTACGAGCGGTCATGAGATGAACGAGAGGGGCAGATCGTCACCAGTCTGCGCTTCTTGCTTGCCATGGTGAGCGATCGCTACTGCCAGCTACTGTCGAGTCTGGCTCGTGCTCCTCTACTGCTTTTATTATCGATTATTTTCTCGTTATTGTCAACTCTTCTCTCATTATCATCATCCTCAACATCTCTTCTCTCATCATCATCACCATCATCATCATCATCATCATCATCATCATCATCATCATCATTCGTGTCTTCTTTTTCAGCAGTTCATATCAAATCTTCTCCAACCACCCCTTTCACAAACAATGTCCCCCCTCACCCCCTCTTCCCCTCTTGCTACCTTGCTTCGCGACTTTTTGTACTCTACCTTCTCTTTTCGAATCTGCTCTGGCCCGTGATACGAAGACACTTCTTGCCCCATTTCTGATGCACGCATGTGGGTTTCTGATGGCCCGTGTCTCCAGTCTTGCCTTTTCCGTCTCTCTTCTGCCGTTCTCGCCCCGATGCTGAAGGTAAAGAAGGAGATGAGAGAATCTCGTCTCTCGACGACGTTGTCATGTATCGGTTTGGAGGTAGAGTGGATGAGCCTTGTCATGCGCGGGGATCTCGACTCGGCTCGGCTCGGCTGTCCTCTCACATGCGCGAGGGCCAAGTTGCCGGACAGACCGGACAGAGGCGGGGGCGGGGGCGGGGGCGGCTCTCCACCAAGCTGCGTAGAGTAGAGTGAACAAAAGAAAGGAGGAAGATGGACGAATCTACTTTCTTCTTCCTCTTCTTCTTCTACCTCTACATCCTCCTCCCTCAATCGATCCAACTCCCTAGTTTCCTCTCGCCTGCCCTCGTCATGCTCGCAACACCCTCTCTCCGTCAAGCGGCTTACATCGTCGCCGCCAAGCGCACACCCTTTGGTGCCTTTGGCGGCAAGCTTTCCACTCTCACTGCCGCTCAACTCGGAGGGTACGCCTCTCGGGGAGCTCTCGACACTCTTCCTTCTGGAATCGAAAAGGAGGTGAAGCAGACCATCTTTGGAAATGTTCACGGATCAGACAACTCTGCTGCCTATCTTGCCAGACATGTGGGACACCATGCTGGCTTGCCAGTGACGGTTCCTGCTCTTACGGTGAACAGGCTGTGTGGAAGTGGATTTCAGAGTATCATTAATGCTGTACAGGACATCGCTACAGGGGATGGAGATCTCCTCTTGACCGGAGGGACAGAAAGCATGTCTCTTGCTCCCTACACACTACACGGTGTTCGCTTTGGAGGAGGAAAGTATGGAGTGGACCTCAAACTTGTAGACTCTCTTGCTGCTGCTCTCACTGATATGGTGCCTACACCTACACCTATGGGGATTACTGCGGAGAATTTGGCCCAAAAGTATGGAGTTTCAAGACAACAGTGTGATGAATTTGCACTGCAGAGTCAACAGAGGTGGCAAAAGGCAAATGAGGAGGGAGCATTCAAGGATGAGATTGTACCAGTGGAGGTAAAGGTCAAGAAGGTGAGTTTAGAGGATGAGCCAAAGGGAGGAAGTCTACTCGAACCTCAATGTTGACATTTTACAAATGATCCTCCACACGCCTGCCTCTAGGCAACCGAGTCCTTCTCTGTCGATGAGCACCCCCGAGGCAAGACGACCATTGAGTCCCTCGCCAAGCTCCCCTCTGTCTTCAAGAAAGAGGGCGCCGTGACTGCCGGTAATGCTTCTGGTATCTGCGATGGTGCCGCCGCGAACATCGTCGCCTCCGAGGAGGCTCTGAAGCGGTATGGTCTCAAGCCCCTCGCCCGTGTGGTGAGCTACGCCTACACTGCCTGCGAGCCGAGCATCATGGGTATTGGACCTGTCGAGGCGGTCAAGAAGGCGTTGGAGAGGGCAGGGATGACACTGGACCAGATGGACCTGGTGGAGGTGAACGAGGCATTTGCAGCTCAGGTTCTCAGCGTGCAGAAGGAGCTGGAGATTCCCAATGAGAAGCTCAACATTCACGGAGGTGTGAGTAGCCCGTGGCAGACGCGCGCCTAGAGCGCTACGCATCGCATGTCGGCGACCATTGACACCTCCTCCTCCTCTCTCCTCACTCTCTCTCCCCCTTCCCACCTCGCCAGGCAATCGCTCTGGGTCACCCGCTCGCCGCGTCAGGCGCCAGAATCACTGCGAATGCTGTTCACAACCTCATCCGACTGGACAAGAAGCACGCCGTAGTCAGCGCGTGCATCGGTGGTGGACAGGGAATCGCACTGGTTCTCGAGCGCGTTTGAGCTGCAGCACTTGCTTGACACGAGAGAGATCGATGTGTGTGTTGGAGCCGAGGGAGCAGTGCTCTTGCAAGTAATGACATATCCATTAGATACTGCATTGTTGGGCGCAATGGCCCGTCTAGACTGCTCTGCGTGTTAGTATGCTTCGCGTGACGAGCGAGACGGGCGGCTGGGCATCTAGGCAATGCTGCCGGTAGGTGCGATGCTGCCTCCTTGCTCTAAGCCCCAGGTCTCTCTACTTTTCCCACTGTCCCTTCTTCAAAGACTTCCTGCTCACCAGCCGCTCCCTCTCCCGTCTCCTGCTGATGAAGAACCACTCCTTCCACACGCTTCCCGGCACCAACCCCTCCAGGTCCGGGGAAAGCCTGCATGGTCCTAAGCACCAGCGCCACATCCTCCAAGAGCGAATTCCCCGCTAGTCTCAGAAGCCTCACTGTGCTAGTCTTGAGCTCCACGCTCAGACTTGCCGCGCGTGGCTCGTACTTGATGGAAGTATCATTTGGCCGCAGAGGCTTGTCCACGGAGAGGATCGAGGCGAGATGCTGTGCATGTCGCGGCGTGGGAGTGGGGAAAGTGAGAGTGAGGGTGTGCTTGAGGTGGGGAGGTGAGGAGAGGGCTTGGTTGATCACGGCTGTGGCGTCTTGATCTAGGATCCCGGACGGGAGCTGGGGAGCAGCAGCGGCTGCCGACTTGCGAGGAGAGGTCACAGGGGAGCGATATTTTGACGGCGAAGAGGCGTGGGTAGTAGGGCTGAAGGAGGGGGGAGGTGGGGAAAAGGGGGTAATGTCAGTCACCTTTGAGCCCGAGCATCACCAATCTTTCTGCTACTCACGTTAGCTCTTCCCTTAGCAGCTTCTCCTGCTGCCTGCAGAGGTCCGTCAGTGGCCTGAATAGCACGGCCCCTTGCGCCAGATCATCTGCGAGGGCATACGCAACGTACTCCTCGTCTTCCAGCGGCCCAAAGCGATCCCCGTCAGCTTTCCCAGCGAATGTAGCGCCTCGCATCGCCGAAGTACCATCTGTTCCTGCTGCTTGGCCATCCCGCATTCGTTCTCCCAGTCGCTGGGCCAAGAGGAGCTTCTCCATAGAGGCACCTAGGCTGATTCCTTGCTGCTGTGCGGATGCCTCCATACGCTCCAGGGAGGCTTGGGCCTCTGCGTTGGAAAAGAGATACTTGAGAGGTACCCAGACCCACCCGGAGCATTTCTCCGGCTCCATCAGCTGCACGCAAGAAGGCAAGAGGGAGAACTTGCGATTAGCTATACCTCCAATCAAGCCTCTCAAGAAGACAACCCTGTTAGCTCACCTTGACCGGCACTTCCTGCTCCCCCGGCTTACGGTGTACCCTTGCTCTCATGAAGATGGTGACGTAGTGTAGTCCATCCGGCGATGTGGTTTGCCCGCCAGTGATGCCCGTACAATTGAGGGCAGTGAGGAACTTGACTCCCTGTCCCTCCAACGGTCCCCCTCCTGCTGCTGTCCCCACCTCGTCATCGCCCAAATGAGATCCTATCTCCACCCCCGTCTCTTCAAGTACCTCTCTAGCGGCGCACTCCTCAAAGGATTCATTCCATTCTAGATGTCCACCGGGTAGGGCGAGGGTACCGCTGCCATGGGCGCCCTTGCGCTTGCCGATGAGGACGTATCCGCGGTCATCTACGAGGAAGACTGCGAGGCCGACGCGAGGATGGCGATTGGGCGATATCGTCGAGGACGAAGCAGAGGTAGAGGCCATGTATGAAGGAGGGGTGATGATGAGATAGAGTAGTGATGAGTAGCGTGTGTATATGCGTCTTCTACCCTTGTCGTATCGATTCTTCCTTGGTGGTGCCGTTGACTCCACTCTGTGCCGGCGCTTGAAATTGGGCGTGGGTGTTGGACTTGCGTGGCTCCAGCGTCTCTGCGTCTCTGCCTCCCTCGTCTGCCTGGCTGTCGGTCCGGCGGCGTAGCGCGGGGGGGCGTGTGCGTGTGCGTGAGGGTCCGTCTTCTGCTTGTTCCTTCCTGTCTCGCCCTCCCTTCTGACCACCCCTCATCGCAAGCAACGACGACGAGCTCGTATCCACTGCTCGCAGCACTATCCCTGGCTGGCTCCGTGAGGAACTCGAGAGCGCATCAGACGATACAGAGCGCAGCGCAAGCCTCTTTGCTTGCGGCTACGATTCACGACGCGGACAATTGCCCCCGCCCTGCAACGTCTTCCTCCACGACCGCCTCACACGACATGCGTCTCTCAGCATCATCAGCGTCATCGCGGAGAGCGTCGCCGCTCAGGGCGATGCGCTCGATACCTTCCATTGGCTCAATGACGATCCTCTCGCTCTGCCTTCTACTCCTCTCCTCCATCCTCGCCCAAGCACACATGATCGAGCTTCCCCCTTCCTCAAAGGAATGCTTCTTCGAGGACCTGAACCCCTCGGACCAAATGACTCTAACCTACCAAGTAGGCGGTGGAGGTCACCTAGACGTAGACGTCTACCTGGAAGACCCTCAAAATGTACGCCTCTTTGAGCACAAGCGTCGCGATACAGGTACCTACTCCTTTACCGCCCAGCATACCGGAAGGTACACGTATTGCTTCAGCAACGAGTTCAGTCACATCTCCGATAAGACGCTGTCGTTCAATGTGCATGGGATCATCTATGTGCCTGATGAAGGGGATATGCTGCCCATTGAGAGGCAGATTAGGGACTTGGCGGCCGGGTTGCAGGCGGTCAAGGACGAACAGGAGTACTTGGTGATCAGGGAGAGGGTGCACAGGAATAGTGAGTGCGAGGAGCTATCAGCTGATGCTGTTCGCCAGGGTATCTGCATCTGAAGTGAGCCGCTGATCGACTCTTTTTGCCGTTTCAGCTGCCGAGTCGACCAACTCCCGTGTAAAGTATTGGTCAATCATCCAGGCCTTCATGCTCCTAGGCGTATGCGCAGTTCAAGTCGTCTTTGTCAAGAGGTAAGCAGAGATTCAGTATACGCAAGAGAATCACATTGCATCTGGTTTAACGAGACGCTCTTCTCTTCTTTATTCGCAGGCATTTCGAGGTGCGGAGAGCAATCTAGACGGCGAGCAATCTAGACGGCAAGCCCGATAGAGGCAGAGACGATATGCAGTCCAGGGGCTCATGCTCAAGCTCTGAATGGCAATGAGGCATCACTCAAGCAGTCGATGATCTCATATTGTTGAGGGAGTGAGAAAGAGCAATACAAGACTTTATCACCCTGCCTTCGTGGAGCCAGTGGGATCGCTCTTAAGCGCGGCGTGGACTTTCGGTCATCTTCATCTCCTACCCCTGCTTCTTGGCGATCTTGAAATCATCAACCCACTTTCCATCTCCCCAGGCATTAGCTTTGTCGAGGCTCTTGAGCATGGAACGGAACTTGTGACTCCTGTCAGTCATTCCACACCGTAGTTTGTAAGGTGTGAGAAGAGCAAGAGATGACAGAGAGAGGGGAAAGCGCAAGTGACGATGAGCATTGGAGAGGAAATTTCCATCGTGGTCGAAGAAGTAAGCTCACTTACAATTGAGAGAGATTACGTGCCTCGAGGCCTGGAGCTTTAATAATGAGCTATTTTGAGGCAGCAGGGCACAGAGTGTGCAGTTGATATGAGTGTAGTCACAAGGACGTGTGATCCCTTCGACACCACCGCTACACTGTACGTACCGGTAAGTTTGCAAGGGCGAGCTCCGCGGCAGCGCGGAAAGCAGCTCCTTCTTCCTCTATCGCCAGTGAAAACAGGCGTAGAAAGATGCATTGAATTAGCTCACAAGCTCCCACCCTTGCTCAGCATATCGATGTCTTACCTTTAGACCAAGCATTCGCAGCTGCTCGGCCAGGAGATGCACCCCCACTCTCAGCCTTGACCTTCTTCTTCGGAGAGGGAGTCTTGCTTCTACTACACTTTTTGACGTCCGTCTTCTGATCCTCGTTGCTGCTCTGCTCTCCGTCGTCTTCGTCAAAGATGTCTGGTCGCTTGGGAGGCTGACATGAACAGAGGAGCCGGGGAATGTGAGTGTCAGTGTGTTCCTTGCCTTATCGATGCACGTTATACTGACCATGTTTGACCTTCTAATGGGTGGTATGACTTCCCTTTGCAGTGGTTCACGAGCGGTAAATGTTGAGCATCAAATTGAAGGAAGCGTGCAAGGGTGTGTGAGGGGGAAAAGCTTTGTAAGTGTAGAGAGGGAGAGAACAACGTTGATTGCTCCATAGCGACTCTTGTGTCGGAAATTTTCTCTACGCCGGAGCTATTCCCTTGTTCCTGAACGAGGTCGGAGTACGTGCTCACACGTCCGACCGATGACGTACGAGGGGAAACAGCGATATGAATTGGGTACTGGTTAGCGGAGGAAGTTGCAGGAGACAGAATACAAACGAGGCTGATGAGACTCAGCACGACTGATGAAGGTCATGACTGTTCCATCTTAGATCAAGGTTCGGCCTTCCCTGCTCGCTCCACCTTGTACGTATCAACCCACTTGCCATCCCCTCCCAAAAGCGTCTTGTCTATGTTCTACAATCAAGTCCAGCCCAGAGTAGCGTCAGCCACACCCCTCAGCTAGGAAATTGTGTTACAGTCATCCAGGGAGATGACTCACCTTCATCATACTTCGCACTTTCATGTTCATTGCTGAAGTGCTCTTCTCACCTGTCCCAGGGGATTCTGCGATGCGCTGATAGTGAGGGCAGAGAATCGATGGGTTCCATCAGTCGCCTTGATCAGACACTTGCCGTGAAGGGCTAAATCCGTACAACGGGATCGCACTTACCCTACAGTTCTCAAGGGCCAGCTTCGTCAGAGCCATCAGTATGGCCCGCTCATTCTCTAGAAGAGGCCTCAGGAGTATCGTCAACGTCAGGTGCAGAGCCTCTTGCACCATGTCGAGCACAAAGAAGCTGCTCACCCGTCGTATAGCCCCCCGTTGACTCTTTGACCTTCTTGTCGCAGCTACCGGTGCTTTCGCGCTCGGCCTTTCGCTTTACAGGCTGATTCGTTGGGCATATCACGTCAAGTTGAATCGATCCCAAAGCGTCTAGGAACCCTTACTTACCATATCACCGCCCTCCTGTGTGACAAGGTGGGGACGCGGGAATGGGTCCGTTGATTGATAATCGGAAATCACAATGTGTAGGGAGAGGCACAGCGATGGCCAATACGGTGTTGATACTTCACGGTCTCGATGCTTACGATGTTAGAAGAAATACAGTATATCAATTGTCAGCCGAGATTCCCACAGGCTGTGAAGATCGAATGAGGGCTTGCACAAGAGCAAAAGGCAATCGTGCAAGTGATGTGCCGCGCTTACAGCCGATGCGCCAGCGACGATTGCCGCTGCGCTCGCTCTCATTCCCCCACGCCCCTCAGGAGTCATCAGACATCTTCTGATGCAGAACAGCATGATTGTGACGAACCGTCCATCTGCGATGCGTAGTAAGGTGGCCCAACGAAGTCGAGTTCAATGTCAAGATGTACCGCCAACTTCCGAAGAGCGACGAGGCCATGGGCGAAGGTACTGAGCCCGGGTGCTATCTCAAGCTGATGATGGTTTGCGCATTCGAAGACGAGCTCTCGACACTCTGCTCGCAGCGTACGCTCTAGGACCACACAAGTTGGCCCACTGCAGCGTAAGCATTGTCCACTTTACATGACATGTCACTAGCAGATCTGTGCGCCTCTTCTCTCCATGCAGCGGGTCAATCTCTGTGCAGCAGCAGCAGCTCGGATCGTCGAGGGTGTCACATTGTCCGGCTTGCTCAGTCCGGCACTTTGCCAGTGTGAGAGGCGCCAAGATGCACGACTGCCACGTGTGCCGCCCGCTGCCTGCCGCTTTCAACCCTCGGGGCCCCCCTTCAGCCACGCGCCCGACGCCCCCCGCGCCCGCCGGCATTCCACGGTACGCGGAGGGGGGGACACAGTGGGACACGCCCCTCCCTCCCGGCGTCGTCAAAAGGGTCCCTTTATTCTTTCCTCTCCTTCCCAACCACACCACACAACGCACATTCGCCAGTCAAACGCACAACGCCGTCGTACCCGCGACTGTACACATTCTTACACCTGCTCACACCAAAGTACTCGTTCGCCAGGTTCAATCTCGGTTGAACCTACTAAGTGTTGCCCAACATTTTCGCCAACGGCCTCGTCTCCAACCGTGAGTATTCCCGTACAGAGATAGTCTCCGTCTCAGACACAAGTCCGGTCTTGGGCTCCTTCCAGCTGCCACTGCGGTTGAAATGGGGTCTTATAACCTGAGACTCTTTGCTGAATGCAACCAAGACATGGCTGTGAATCCCACCGTCTCTGCAATCGCTGACCCTATCGCCCCTTCTCATCTCGCCAGACAACTGTTTCCGGGGCAAGCACGTTTGCGCTGGACTCGACCCTAAGTGTCTCTAAACGCCTCACCTCCACCAACTCTTTGATCACTTTTACTCCCATCAATCTCCAAGCATGGCTCCTATCGCTACCGGCAACGGCCACTCTAACGGCCATACCGCCCACGCCAACGGTGCTGAGCAGCGCGTTGCAGCCCCAGTCAATCCGACCGCCGCTCGACACGAAGACCTGATCTCTATCAAGGTCGACTCTCCTCACGTCAAGTACGAGGATGACGCTATCATCAGCCAGTACTCATACCGAGACACTCACGTCAACGTAGTCAACAAGGCCGATGGCACGACCGAGTACCAGGCCAAGCCTGTCACCAGCCAGTACCAGTTCAAGACTGGACGAAAGGTACCCAAGACTGGTCTCATGATGGTTGGATGGGGAGGCAACAATGGAACCACCCTCACCGCCTCTGTCTTGTCCAACCGAGAGAACCTCACCTGGAACAACAAGGAAGGTCTGCAGAAGCCAAACTTCTACGGCTCCCTCGTCCGAGCTTCGACCATCCGACTGGGCTCCGACCCTGTCACTGGCAAGGACATCTACGTGCCCTTTGGTAGCGTCTTGCCCATGGTTCACCCCAACGACCTTGTCCTCGGTGGTTGGGACATCAGCGGTATGACCATTGACGCTGCCACCACTCGTGCCAAGGTCCTCGACTACGACCTCCAGCGCCAGCTTGTCCCTTTGACCAAGAACATGAAGCCTCTTCGCTCCATCTACTACCCGGACTTCATTGCTGCCAACCAGGAAGACCGAGTTGACAACATCCTGCCCGGATCCGACAAGCAAGCTCACCTTGACCAGCTTCGAACTGACATTCGCGAGTTCAAGCAGAACAATGGAGTTGAACAAGTCATCGTCGTTTGGACTGCCAACACGGAGCGATACTCTGAAATCATTCCCGGGGTCAACGACACCGCCGACAACTTGCTCAACGCCATCAAGACGTCTCACTCTGAGGTCTCTCCCTCGACGCTCTTTGCAGTCGCCTGTATCCTTGAGCGAGTCCCTTACATCAACGGAGCTCCTCAGAACACCTTTGTTCCCGGTGCCATCGAGCTGGCTGAGCGCCACAAGGCATTCATCGGCGGTGACGACCTCAAGACCGGTCAGACGCGCTTCAAGACTGCATTGGCAGAGATGCTGGTCAACGCTGGTATCAAGCCATTGAGCATTGCCTCGTACAACCACCTGGGCAACAATGACGGACACAACTTGTCCGTCCCTTCGACCTTCCAGAGCAAAGAGATTAGCAAGCGAGGAGTCGTCGATGATCTCGTCGAGTCCAACGCTCTCCTCTACCCCCGAGCCAGCAAGAACTCCCTTCCCAGCAAGGAGATTGATCACTGCATTGTCATCAAGTATCTCCCTGCCGTTGGAGACGGAAAGGTTGCCATGGACGACTACTACTCTGAGCTCACCCTCGGTGGACGCAACCGCATCATGGTCTCGAACATCTGTGAGGATTCACTGCTGGCCACTCCCATCTTGATGGACTTGGTCCTTCTGGCCGAGCTCATGACTCGAATCACGTACACCGATGGCGACTCTGCCAATGCAGAGGAGAGCTACAAGACGATGTACACGATCATGAGTCTGCTGTCCTTCTCTCTCAAGGCTCCCCTGGCCAAGAAGGGACGAGAGGCGGTCAATGCCATTTCTCGCCAGAGGAACGGACTGGCCAATTTCATGAAGGGTCTCATTGGTCTCCCACCCAACGACGATGTACTCCTGGAGTCTCGTCTGTGGTAGATGTCGCTCTATCGCCATCTCCGCCCTGCCCCTGCGCACCCTGTTAGACAGATCCAAGCTCAATGTAGTGATCTAGAGTAAGACGAGGCAGACGTCTTGTAGCACCATGGGTATCTGCAGCTCACTCTAGAGTTGCTACAGCTTTCGCCTTGTCTTACTCGCTTCCCCAAATTTTCTAGACCAATGAATATCAATCGTTCTTCTTCCGCACTTTCGCTTGCTTGCCTCCGTGATGACGATGACGACATGACGCGGGACTTTATGGATGGAACAGGCACCGAAGAAGGACGCTCAAGGGGTCAGTGCGACCCGACAGTGATCTAGGTACACAGCGGACCCGACGACGAATGGGCCTGCCTTGTCATGCTCTCGGTCATGGATTGCCTGGCGGCCTCGGCGCTTTCAAAGAATTGTTACCCCTGTCTGGAGAGTGAAGCTGAGCTGACCACCTCGTCTGACCAGCATCTCCCTCGTCCGTCGTCTATTCTCCGGAATATGCGTGCCTGATCGTCTCTTTGGCGCCCTTGCCCTGGGGCATTGCACTCTTGATCCGGTGCCTGGGCGAACATGGCCTCACAGATCTGTCGTGTCCCCAATTGCTAGCCGTTGCAAGTATCTGCCCGTCTCCTCTTGTCCTCTGGACAAGTCGTGGGAGAGGTTATCATACCCACCCCTTGTCCCATCTCCGTTGACGTCCCTTCGCTTTCCCCAATCTACCCTGTGGGCAGTCACACACTACTGACCTTACCCTCTCTCAACCACTTGTCCCGGTCCTCCCCCTTTCTCCGGTAGCTCCTTGCCGCGTCCGTCCGTCACGACACGCGCGTCTCTCGCTACTGCTCCTACCCCTGTTGACACTTCTCTCCCCGGCCCTCTTGTGAGCCTTCCATTGGGAGCTCAAGCACAAAACACCTCAACATATACCCCACAACGCCATGCTGCGTCTACACTCCACAGCCTTCCTGGCTCTCCTTCCTTTCGTCTTCTGTGCTCTGTGCCTTCTCTCTACAGCTTCGGTTCTGGCAGAGGGGAAGGCTCAGGGCTTCGAGCTGCGACGCATCCCTTCCACTTTGGACCAAGAGGGCGTTGCCCAGCGCTCCGAAGTAAACGAAAAGCGTCTGGTACCAGGAGCTGCCACTCAAAACATCTCCAGTGTCTCAGAAAATGGGCTCAGTAAGCCAACGACCAACCTCCTGTCCGGCTTCGGCCCCGGCTCTCCCTCTACCGATCTCTTCTCCCCAGCTCAGCTAGCCACCATTGCAGCTCAATCCCTCAAGGTCCAACAGCGCTATGGTAACACGTCTGACCCAGCTGCTCAGGCCAAGATTGAGCATTTGACAAAGGCGTGGCAGTATGCTGTTGATCTGATTCAGGACGATGTCATGAATGTCGTCAAGCAGATGGGAAGCAAATCGCCTTTGCCTGCTACCACTAGTGAGAAGAGGGCAGAAGACGATCAAGGGACGAAGAAAGTCACAGAGGACAAGAGCGGCAAAGAAAGTAAGAAGAAGGCGGCCCCTACCCATGCTAGTGCGGGACATCAACATGGTCATGCCAACAAGACGGGATCTGCTCATCATCTCCACAAAGGTCATCACTCTGCCAAGAAGTCTCATCACAAGAAGACTGCGCCCAAGACTGGACTGCACAAGCAGCACAAGTCAACCCCCGGAAAATTGAGTTCCAGTCTCGCTGCAACGACCAAGGGCGTCGTCAGTGTTCCCCTCGATGTAGAGCTCAACGCCGATGGCTATCAGCTCGAGCCCAATGCCTGGTTCACCATTGGTGGTGATCGCTACCTAATGACCATCGACAGTGGTTCGACCACTCCTTGGCTCGAGGGCGCTAAATTCCCCGGCAAGATGGGCACGTCGAACATCCATCCAACCAAAGGCAAGGGAGGCAAGCCCAAGGGTTTCTCCCTCCAGTACGGCATCGGCAATGTCCAAGGTCACTTCCACAGTGTAGGTGAACTCGGATTGGGTGATCTCAAGATTAAAGACCTGCAGGTGGGCGCAGCAGATACGATCAGTAAGAATTTCCAAGAGGACAAGGCGGATGGAGTCATGGGTCTGGCATTCAAGGAGCTCAACCACCATCTAGACTCTGGCGCCTCTTTCCTCGAACGTCTCTACGCTAGCAATTCAGGTCTGGACGCCAAAATCGTCTGTCTGGCTGTACAGAACGATGCGAACAAGTCCTCGATGCAGTTTGGTGGACCGGAGCGATCCTTGTACAAGGGAGATCTGGCTTGGGCACCTATCAACAAGCTCGGCTTTTGGCAGCTGAACATCGACTCATTCGCCGCTTCTCCTTCTTCTGCAAGCAATGCTGCTGCCGCTAAGCGCGACTCTACTCCTGCCTCTCACAACGACTCAAAGAAGAACAAGCAGAAGGGCACTCAGGGTAAAAAAGGAGGCCATGCAGGCAAGAGTGGTATCACCAATATGGATCTCATCCTCGATTCTGGCACATCTCTCATCGTTGCTGGTCCCGAAGGCGCAAAAGCTTTCTGGGCCGACGTACCTGATTCGACTTTTCACCACGAGTACGACCTGTACACTTTCCCTTGCAATGCTAATCTGAAAGCAGAGCTCAAGATGGGTGGAAAAATTTGGAAATTGGAGCAGCAACATTTGAGCTTGGGACCTATGAAGGCGGGAAGCGATCGATGTATTGGATCTGTGGGAGGGATGGATACACAGGGGGTTATTGTGTGGGGATTGGCGGGATTGAGGAGTATGTATGCTTGCATGGATCATGATAAGAAGAGCATCGGGATTGGACAGCCTACCTGGTGAGGTAGGAATCGTCGATGCCATCAGAAGGACCTTGAAGGCGAGCTCTGGTCCAGCTCTGGCGCCACCCATATCTACTCACTCACTCACACACACACTCGCACACACACGCACACACACGCTCATTCTCAGAACCAGACTTTGTCTTCCTTTCAGCCCCGCCTCAGGCTGCCCATTTGTACATAGCTCGTCTTTTTTAATGCCCATCTCATCTTGTCTTCCCGTCTCGAAAATCGTGTGTATCAATTGCACGAGGGCTGCATGTGCGAAACGCAAGCACAGGCTCGATCAAGAGGCCTACTTGCCAGCTCGGCACCAGGACGGGAGGTCAGCAACAGATCTGCTAGCTAGGTAGTGTCAGACTGATCCCCTAGCAGAGGACAGTATGGCGAATGGTGGACAATAATGGATGACATTGATTGAAGACAAGAAGCATAAGTGATACGAGAGTGAAATGGCGCCGACCCTAATAGAGGGCGTCGGACGTGCTAGTGATGAGATGATTATTGTTGCTGCTGCTGGTGGTATTGATGCGGAGACATGTACGAAGCTTGCGAAGGGTGACGTGGCTGGTATGGATGTTGCTGTACTTGATGTTGATGGTGCTGCTGCTGCTGCTGCTGATGGTCATACTGAGCAAAGGACTGCTCCTGCGGCAGCATATGTTGCGGGAAGGCCTGCTGTGAGGAAGAGGCCGAAAGAGGTGTGCTGTACCCAGGTTGCTCCATCGTCATTGCGGGATTGGTGGCGTACCCTGGGTAGTAGCCCGGCGGAGGGGCCATCCCGTAGGCGCCACCGTGCATTGTGACTGGCAGTGAACCGTCAAAATAGGCCATGGTGGGACTCTGAGTGTAGTGATGGGTCGCGGAAGCAGGAATGCCATCTGTGGTCATCGAGTACTGCATGACACTGGGCGAGAAGACGTCGTCCTGAATACTGCCGCGTGGCGCGTGACGAGGGGCTGCAGCGAAGAGGGCGTGCAAGTGCTGCTGTTCGGGTGACTGAGACTGGGCATACTGCGAGGCTGAGATACTGATAGATCCGCTAGGTCGGAAGGCGGCCGCTCGCGCGGCAGAGCGAGGAATGTGACTTGGAGCATGCGTTGCCGAGCGAGGCATGTCGGCCGCTACTGGCTGCAAAGACGTGGAATGCTGGGCGTCGTTCGTGACGGGAGCAGCAGAGGGTTCTGCCTGAGAAGCATTTGACGATCGCAGGATCTGTTGCACGGCAGGTGAAGAAAAGTGGGACACCTGGTTCGCGAAGCCCTCACGAAGGTCCCACACCTGGCCTTCAGCATCGATGGCGAGACCAAGCGGCAAGCCACTAGGGAGCGGCAAAGTGATGACATCGGAGTCCTGATCGTCCTGAGTCTCAGCAACTTTGGCAGCAGTGGCCCCAGCATCTTCTCCCTTCTGTTCCTCTGCATCATTCTGCTGCTTTGCCCGGTGAACCACTGGTGAAGGTAGCTTGACAACGACTCGATGCGGCTGGCTCTCACTATCTGCCGTACCATGCTCTGCTACCAGAGCACTGGCTTCCGCCCGACGCTCGTCTGTCATACCTGTTCCCGTCCGAGCCATGTCAACTACAGCCGAGCTGTCCTGCGCTTCCCTTGACACATCTTGACTCTCTGCAGCTGCAGACTGGTGCAGCTGCGTCTCTATCTCCAGGCTACGCTTGCTCTGTAGGAGCGGAGAGGACACGACGGTCGTAGCAGGTGTGGAATGGCCACTATGACTAGCGTCCGAATTGCTACCCGCTCTGGTCTTGGGCGCTAAAGCCTTCTGTTGCTGCTGGCGAGCCTGCCGCTCCATTGCCTCTCTCTGTGCCCGAGGCATGATGGGAGGAGCTGCGCCATTGCCCCACTGAGATGGCGAAGGAGACATACTAGGCGCCTTGGGCTCTCTCCACTGAGAGATACCATCCCATGAAGAATTTGAACCGAAGCGAGAGCCGCCTCTACCTCGAAGCGAGCTATGCATGCCACGCATAGGAACGCTTTGGAACCCGCCTCGTCCTCCTTGGAAGATACTGTGAAAGTCGTATGATCGATCGGAGCGCGCAGACGAGCTGCCATCGTTACTTGGCCTTGGCACAAGCGGGACGGCTTGAGGGACGGAAGACGAAGGCTGAGGCTGTGACTTCGCGGGGGCCTCCTTATGCTCTGAGATGCCCAGCTCAGTACTTTCGGCTTGGGGGACGATATTAGCCGCATGTTGCTGGACCGGCGCCGGAGTCACATGAGACTCTGGTTGTGAAGGGGTCTCTCCCTTCAGCAACTTTCTCGCCTCCTGCTTCTCCTTTTGCTTAGCCTTCTGTCGAGCCTTCTTTGCCAGCTGGGCATCAGAAGGTGGCGGCCGCAAGGGGAAGGAGGACATGACTGCTGGATCTCCGAACTCTTCTTCTGCCATCTCTGCCCAACCTGTAGTCTTAAGGACGGGATCCGGAATGGGAGCGCCAGTATCGCCGGGAGCAGGGGTAGCTGCCTTTGAATTCGAGGTAGACGGGGTGCGGTTGGGAGTCTTCTTGGCGCTCGATGGCAGGGGCTGTCTGGTAGCAGCAGTTTTATTGGGTGATGCGACACTCACAGAGGTATCCGCGCTGATATGAGCAGCTCCAGAGACTGCTGGACGAGAGGGCTTGACCTGTGGCGAGCTCGAGTCCTTCACCTCGGCCGTCTTTCCTCTTTGCTGCTTCTGCTCTCCTGCTCCTGGCTGCTGAGGCTGCTGTTGATGGGAAGCGGACTTCTGCTTAGGCAAACTGGGCCTTGCATTGCGTGGGGATGCCCGCGGCGAGTGAGCTACCGCATCTGAAGCAGCTGCTTTTGGGATTGTGTTTGCACTGTTGACTTTAGAGGACGAGGGCTTGCGTTGCTGATTCCTCGGCTGGGGCGCAGGAGATCTGACAATCGGAGAAGCGACTTGAAGTTGCGAGGATGCAGACATGGCGACGGTGTGGTATAGGAGCAGCCCTTTTGACGTGCTGCGTGTAGTATCAGTAGTACGGGGAGCAGAGAGCGTGGAGGAGGGGAATCTTGTGCGGAAAGGGAGCGTGGGGGAGAATGCTGAGCGTGTCTACTATCGGGCTTTGCTTGTTGCTACGAACGTCGTGAGAGATTATAGAGAAGGCTTTGCTACCGTTGTGAGATGGCGGCGTGGATATATGCTGGTGATGGTGGTGACGAGGGCGGGATCACGTCGCTTCCACGTTGGTACGATTGTGGGGAAGAGGTGTTGGATGGAGATGAGCAGAGGAGAGCAGAGTATTATTATTAGCTGACAGGCCTCGACCCATCCTCGCTCCGCCCGCCACACTCTGCCTTTGCCAAAAACCGGAGCCGGAAGCAAGACGTCGAGGACGCCCCTCCGCCTGTCGCTCCGCCCGTCCCCTCGTCATTAGCAACCCGAGAGCATATCGGACCATTCCCTTTCCCTCCTTCACCGCCTCTCCCTCTCAAACTCACCACCCATCATGCTGCAACTCGCACAATCATCCTCTTCACGAGCAGTCGCAAGGCTCGCTACTGCTCCCCTGCGCACGGCAGGTCAGCGTAGGCTAGCCTCTGGCGGTGGAAGCAACTATAACCAGCCTTCTGGATTCCTGTTTGGAGAGAAGGTGAGCGAGCAGCCAGGAAAGCAATGTGGTGCTACTTTCATCGTCGAAGCTCACTGACGCTCGAGATCCCTTTTTCTATGGTGATCGTCTTCGTCCAGCCCCTCCCCAAGGGTCAGAAGCGCGAAAAGGAGGACTGGGAGAACATCTGGTACTGGGGAATGGGTGGTGGATTGGTATTCATGACAATCGGCTACCTCTACAAGCCTGACACCAGGTGAGTCCTCACATCCCCAATGTCACCTCTATTGAGACACTTCCAGCAGTCTACTCAGTCGCTAAGCCCTCCTCCTCCATTCCCCCTTTCCCTCCTAGCATCCAATCATGGGCCATGCCCGAGGCAAAGAAGAACCTAGAGGCATCGGGCAAGACGTGGAAGTACGTGCCTTCGAAGAACTCTGATTACTACGGAAAGGAGACATAGAGCGAAGGCATACTGAAGAGAGGAAAGGCAGGGAAGATGTGTACAATGCGACGCAGGCAGGCTCAGAGTCGTTCGTAGCAAGGAGAGAATGCAATGCCAGATCAAGATACACCGAAGAACTCATCGCACAGTTCTGGAGACAGATCATGATTGATGGCGATAAGTGATGGTATTACTCTGCGTCTCTCGTTCCCCTCAGGCTGTTCTGCCCTTGGCCTTAAACCTCTCCAGACCAGCCAGCATCGAGGCTGCTCGATTTCTAGCCTCGCGCAGTCCTTCCTGCTCAGCCAAGCGGTAAGCTCTCTGTAGGTAGTTGCGAGCTGCACAGTCGTCCTTTGCCAGCTATGGAAGCGAAGGAGGGTGAGGGCGCTTGTGGTCAGATAACAAGCATCGAAAGTGAAGTCTCTTCGGGCGGTTTAAGCCGGCCTACTCACCTGCGATAGGGACCCCAGATTGACCAACAGAGTCACTTCGGCCCTGATGCACTCTCTCCTCACTTCCTCGGTCCGTGCCTCCTGCTCTGTGCCCACAATCTCCTTCGCCTTGCCCACTGTAGGCGCTACTGTCCCTTCATCAGCCCCACTCTGACCCTGACTTTGACCCAAACCCCATCCGACTTTAGCATTCGTCGACTGTACTAGAGCCAGTCCCTTCTTGGCCCACTGCAATGCCTGCTTCTCCTTGCCTCCAGCAGCCGCCGTGGCTTTAGCAGACTCCTCATCGTCTGGCTTCTCGCCTTCGAGGAAGAGCTGGCTGAGGTTGTTCATCACCACTGCCGCGCGACAGCGATCCGAGACGGTGATCTTCTCCTGGGGTTTCCGGGCCTTGGCAGAGGAGGTGGGGATGAGGATCTCCAGGGCCTGCAGGTAGAGGGGTACGGCGTACTCTGTGCGACCTTCGCGGGCGTAGAAACTGCCAAGGGATTCAACGGAGCCGAGGAGATCCGTCTGGCTCACCCAAGGTGGCAGATCTAGCTCGGCGAGAGAGACCGAGTCGGTCTGACTGACGTCTTTGCTTAGGGGCTCAGCGCCTGGGCGAGAAGCGGCAGATGTGGCAGCAGCGGCCTGCTGAACCTCTTGTGGGACGGAGAGGCGCAGCAGCTCTTCGACACTCCAGACGAGGTGAGTCTCTGCTGCCTCTCGGGCGGCTCGCTTGTTGGGCAGAGGGGGAGGAGGGCCAATTTCTTCTGCATCAGCGTCGCCTAGAGGCAGTGCATGTAGAGCCCTCTCGGCGGCTGTTCCTATTAGATCGCTCCCGCTGCTCCTCTCGGGGCCAACGACGGCGATCTGCAAGGCCACCTCTCCTAGTTTCTGAGAGATGGCTACGGCTCGTGCTCGCTCCACGCCTGGTCTGCCCTCCACGCTTCCTTGCGAGGTCCAGCATGACTCGAAGGCTTCCTTGTAGGCAATGTATGCCTTATCGAGCTGACCGGCCTCTTCCAGCATAGAGGCGAGTGCAATGCTGATTCCGGTCACCTTGAGAAGAGGAGAGGGCGCTAGGAGCTCGGGCGACAGTATCTGAGCGGTTGCCAGAGCGCTGCAAGAACAAAAGATTGCAAAGGTAAGCAGGCCACAAGAGCACTCGTTCTACCTGTAGATGACTTACGTTCTGAACCTCTTTTCAGCCTTTTTCACATCTCCGGAGTTTCTGAGCTTGACAGCTGCTCTAAGGTCATCGCGCAATTGTGGCGGCCATGTCTCAAATGCGGTAAAGTAGCGATAGAGGCCATAGGAGGTGGCTGCGATCCCCGCTACTGTAAGGAGTAGGAAAGTGGTGCCTACACGAGGTGTGTTGCCGCCCTTGTGTCCTTTGGGTGGTGCAGGTGGGACGAATTTGCTGGACGAGGCGGAGGAAGAAGAAGCAGCTGTGGATGTAGAATTGAAGCGCTGGGAGACCGGCGGAAGGGTCCGTTGCACAGTGCTGACTCTTGCTGAAGCCAGCAGCGTCGTCGAACGTAGCAGTCCTCTTGTCGGTATTGACATTGCGATATAGATGATGCTGGCAATGGTATCGATGGGAGGCACACATTTGCGGAAAGGATCCATTGGATGCTTCTCCCTTCTCTTGTCAGATTCTGTGCGTGGCTTGGCCTTGACTTCTCCACATGGCTTCTGCCCAGCATCGATCACCAAACACGACGCAGAGACAGCGGAAAGCACACAAACACATTCACAGCACAGCTTCATCCGCAAAATACTCACCATCTTCCTCCATCTTCTGAGCCTCACACAGTCCATCCTCCAACCATGACAGCTGCACTTCAGAGCGTCACTCACAACCTCCCCGGGTTCATCCGGGATCCAGCCATTGCCCTCATCGGCCAAGAGTGCTACACCACCCTAGTCTACAATGTCGACCTCTCCTCGCAGCGTTGTATCCGTCTCTTCATCTCAAAGGGACTCGGATTAGGCATCGTCGTCTTTGGAAGTATCATGAAGTTACCACAGATGATCAAGATTATCAATGCTCAGTCGGCAAAGGGAATCTCGCTTACCATGTATGCTCTAGAGGTGTGGGCGTACACCGTCAGCCTCATCTACGCCTATAGGTCAAAGCTGCCCTTTAGTACCTATGGAGAAAATGCTAGCTTGACGCTGCAGAGTAAGTGTAGCGCGATCATGTCATAGGCATCAAGGTCACGTTGTGCTCGGCAGCTGAAACCAAGCTATCCACCATCTCACCCTTCCCATCACTACCACCCACAGACATGCTCATCACCCTCCTTATCATCTACTACTCTCCCTCCGCCTCCCGCCCAATCACAGGCGGAGGGGCCATCCGTACTTCTTCCTCCTCCACTTCCTCTCGAGTGGTACCCCTCACTCTCGCAACCCTAAGCATGATCTCCCTAACCCTCTTCCTCCTCACTCCGTCCTTTTGCTCTTCATCCCTCCTGACCCTCCTGCAGGGGACAACCATTCCCGTCTCCCTCCTGAGCAAGATTCCTCAGATTCTGGAGTTGAACAGGGAAAAGGCAACGGGAAATCTCAGCGCAATCGTGGTGTTCGCACAGCTGCTTGGGACGGTAGCTAGAGTCTTTACCACGGCGACGGAGACGGATGATCTACTCCTCCTGGCCGGGTTTGCAGGAGCGACCGTTTTTAATGGGTGAGCAGAGTGAGACAGAAGGGCGCCTAGCGGAAAAGGGAGGCTGACAGTCCTCTTCCCTGCATCCTGTCCCTCACCTACTTCTGTCCACTTAGCATCATCGCAGCGCAGTACATCATGTACTGGAATGGGGACAAGGCGGCCTACAAGTCGCCTGGTGGGAAGAGGCTGGATTGAGCAGCAGGATTGAGCAGCATAGAGGCAAAGGGAGGGACCGGGAAGAATTGTCGCCGCAACCGTGAAATAGAGAAGCTTTGCAAGGAGCTTTACGCGAGAGGGAATGAATGGAGGGAAAAGGGCAGGGCAGGGCAGGGCAGGGTCAGGCTGAACTACTTTCGTTGAGCTGGGGATGGAGAAGATGTTCGTCTAACGGAGTCTTTGTTGAATTATGGTATGGATAACGCATGGTCAATGAAGACAATCGTCATTGTATGCCTTTCACCGACGTATGTGAGGATCGCTCAAGATCACTTTTTCCTCGCTGCACCACGCTGCCGCTTCGCAGCTCGAGTGGCAGCAGCAGCCTCCGCATCTGCTCGGGCAACGACCGCAGCCACTGTAGTCTCCTCACCGTCCTCCTGTCCAGCCTGCTGTATAGCCCTGCTTCCACCTGCAGAAGGCTCTCCTTCTGCTTCTCCTTCTGTTCCTGTCTCTGCTCCCGCATTGGCGGAGATGGCAGGGTCTTCCAGTGTCGTTGTGGCACCGCTCCTGCCCCCTCTCCTTCCCTTGGCGCCTGCTGCTGCCCCGACTCTTCGGCCGCCCCGTCTGGCAGGAGTGGGTGGGCTGCCTCTGCCAGAGGAAGCAGGAGACATACGACGTTGACCCTCTGGCGACCCCGAGGTACGTCCTATAGCCGCAGAGGAAGGAGAGACCTCCCCTCCCCTCACAGGGCTGAGCTCACGCTCCTCGCTCCCTTCTTGTTGAAGGCCTCTCTGCTCCTCTTCCCTATCCAAATCCAGCAAAGCCCTCTCCCTCATCCTTGCCCTCTCCTTCATCTTTACCCTCTTCTCATCATTGCGTCGCACCTCATCCCTCGTCTCGCCTTCGTCCTTTGGGACGCCAAATTCCACAAGGTGGTGGAAGCGCTGACCCACGGCCGACTTGATCCTCTCTAGAGCATCACTGCTGTACCAACCCGTCTCTGGATGTGGCGAGTCCAGAAGGTCGGCAGGACCAGAAGCATTGATAAAGGGTAAGGCGACAGGATCGGAGATGTCAATGAGCTGGAAGGAACTTTGCAGACGATGGAATTCTTGGCCGTTGAATCTGTGCGTGCGAAGAGGTCCCGACTCTTCTTGCTTGATATTCGCTGTACTTTGGTCGGCGGCAGCAGCAGCGGCGCCTCCTGACCCAGATGCGTCGTCGTCCATGCGATCATCTTCCCTGTCAGCAGAGGCAGGCACAACCGCAGCGTTATCGTCGCCTTCTTGCTCGTCTCGAGCTTGAGCCCTGCGCACCGCCTTTGCTCCTGCTCCACTCAAGTGGGCCCCGCCATACGCAGCGCTGAATTGCCCACGGCCTCGGTCAGATCGATTGAGGTTGGCCTGAAAGGTGAGTTTTTGATAGCTGTAGGCGGGGAACGGGTGATAGCGACGAAGTTGTCAGTGATACTGTCCACCGATGTGACCTTTTGCATTCTTCCCTCCTTGCCGACTCACATTCTTGACTCGGAGCTGTCCCGCACATCATATCCGAATCTAACCAGAGTATCTTTCCAAGCGCCATCCGTAATTGTGTAGGCCACAAGGGATAGATACTCCTTCGAGTAGTTGACAAATGTCCTCTCCTCATCGCTGGCCAATTGGTTCAGCAGAGCCACTCGCGTCCAGACGGGTCTCTCTTCCATGAGGTTTCGGAGCCTCAGCAGCATTTGCTGATTGCAAGTGGCCTCTTTGCTCAATGCAGGTTTGGGTGGAGCTTTCGGAATCGGCGCTCTAGAGTAGACTGACCAGGGTATGGGAGCAATACCTTGCCATCTGTTGGCATTGGACCATCGCTCAGCCGTCATCACACTACCATCTGGCAGGCGCCTCTCGTAAGGCTGCTTGCTGGAAGAAGCTGGCTGGCGATAGCTGAGGAGGCGGTGCATACGTAGGGGAAAAGGGTCAGCCGCTGTAAGTCTCCGAACTGACCTAGCAGGCTACTCACGTGTAGTGAACGGGGATCTCGATGCTGGAGAATCGAGGGGGAGGCGGCAGCCTTAGGTTGCTACGCATAAACTTCTCTCCCGTACTCTCGTCGACTACACCAATCTGATAGTCTTCCTTCTCTTCAGGCATGATGAACGATCGGAGCGAGGATACATCCATACGAGCCATAGCGTCGTGCACTGCCAGTAGTCCCCCTCGCTCTACCTCGCGCTTGGCCACACTGTGTGTTGTTTCGAATGACTCTGGAGCAGCAGTATCCTCTGGACCATCCCCGTTTGCCATGACCTCGTCTTGCCCAGCCTCGGACAGGGGGGCAGGAGAGGGAGTTGCACTCTTTTTGCGTAGTGCAGCAGGTACATCGATCAAAGGCTCCTCTTGCTCTCGACCAGGCCCAGCAAGATCTGGCTCATAAGCAAAATCTGCCATCTTCCTCCACCTCGCCGTGAGCTTAGCCAGCCCGAGCGCTTCGATGCTGTACTCTTTGACTTCCTCTTGAGCCGGTCCTCTACTGGTCTCTGTGCTTGTGCCATCAGGGGCCGCGCTACCTGCTTTCCTCTTCTTGCGCCAGACTCTTCTCCTGACTACAGCAACTATATCGTGCGTGTTCACCAATACTCCCACAAGTGGATGCCGATAGACCTCTGTAGTGGTCCTCTCTGCGCCGGTTCCTCCTCCGGCGCCAGTGCCCAACCTACACTCTATGACCTGACCATTATGGCTCACCAGCCGTCCCAGGTGAGCCAGCGTTGAGCCCACATTGGCATACGGAGGCTGATTTGGGGAGAGAGTTTCGAGCGCAGTGTGGAGTGCGGGGACAGTTGAGTCGACGATGCCTGGGTATTCGAGGTGGAGAAAGGTGGTGCGGGGTAGCTCTTGGATGGGAGCCAGGGCCGGGCCGGGGTTGGTAGGGCTGGCGCGTCGTGCGTCAGCTGGGGGCGAAGGAGACAGAGGTGGCATCCAACTGGTAGTCGAGGGCCGCGAAGAAGGACCCGCCTCGCTGTCTACCTCCATTAGTGGAGTCTCGACTGGCCACAATGCTGAATGATGGTACAGTACGCAACCACGTCAACTCTGGTCTCTCGCCTTCTCCACCACTTCCGACGCGCCTCTGTGGCTCTTTCCGCTTCCTGCCGTGCACGTCCGTCTGATCCTCGTAATTAGAGAAAGTGTTCATCAAATTCGAAACGTCTCAGAATGGTGCTACGGACAAGAAAATAAATGTAGGGGGACACACGCCCCCCCCTTGGCGGTGTCGCCGTCGCATACTACTGTGCTACAATTGGGGTGTCGCATCCCTGTCAACGGGAGCCTGTACCGCATCTTCGTCCCTTGACCCTGTCCTACCACGCCCTCCCTCCGCTGCCAAGGTAATGGTACTGAGCTTGCTCGCCAGCGCATCTGCATCCTTTCCAAGCTCATCCTGCTCGTCCTCTTCGCCCTCGGTATCCGTCATAAGAGCAGACTGCTTGTCGTCGAAGTAGCCGCCCAGCGGAACCCCGTCCGATCCTGAGCCTGGAGTGGAAGTGTTGGTCCGACCAGAGGCACTTCGCACCTTCTGCCACATCCGTGGTCGACCCAGACCGCCCTGACTCGTTCGAGCTCGCTGCCTGGCACCACTGAAGCTGCCAGCGCTGGGCAAGATCTCTGTGCCGCTGCCTCCTGCACCACCCAGAGCTCCGCTGAGCAAGAGAGCATGATGGGTAAGAATCGCAGGCATCAACCCTCTCACCTCTGCCGTGTCGATGGGCTTGGTCATACAGCCATCGAAGACGCTTCCTGTGACATCCAGAGGCTCCTCCTTGTCGTAGGGCGTCAAGGCCAGGATCGGCGTCTGCGAATTGGCATTGCGTGTAGACTTGATCATCCGGGCTACATCCGAGCCATTGACAATGGGCAATGTCAAATCAATGAACAGGACAGCGTAGATGGTATCCGCCATGGCCAACCGGACCGCGTCTGCGCCGTTTCTGACAGTTGTACACTTGCAGCCCATCTTGTTGAGCACCTGGCACAACATCCTCTGCGAGATGGGATTGTCTTCGGCCACCAGACATTCCGGCACGGCAGGCACAATCTCCTTTGCGAGCACGCTGCCATCGGCTGCTGTCGGCGCAGAAGCAGGTTGACTTTCGCCCAGCAAGAGTTGCTCCGCGTTCTCGTCGACCAGTGAGTGTCGCGGCTTCCACGATCCAGAGCCACCAAGGTGAGACGAGTAAGCGGAAGATCGATGCTCCGTAGTGCTCAGAGAGGCTGTCCTCAGCCGTGAGGGTAATGAGGTCTTTCTCATCGTGTTCTGAGCATCGTCCTCGGCAAGCTGAGATCGCTTTCGCTCCATGACAGTGGTGACGAAGGTGCCAGTGCCGGCAGGTGAGCCACTGCCGGACCCACTACCACTACCGCTGCTCATGTCTGAGGCTCGAGGCTTATGCCGTAGTGAAGAAGAGGCACTGAGAGAGACAGGAGCGGGCGAGGTGGGCTGACGTGTCCGCAATTGGCCCGAACTCTGAGTCGACACAGACAAGGCTGGTGATGGCGGTCTTGCAGCTTGCGCCTGGGAGAAACCAGCACGAGCTGCATTCGCAGCAGCAAGCTTGGCTGACAGACTGCGATTGCGGCTCTGCAGCGCAGCAGCAGACGATGACTGTCCGTGCTGCCATTGCTGGATGGGCTGATGTTGCTGCTGGGCATGCTGCTCCTCCCTCTGCTGAGCAGCTAATTGTTGACTGAGAAGCTGCTCATCACGCATCTTGCGAATGACCTCGTCGTTGGCCTGCTTGAGTACCGACAAATTCTTGTAGCTAAAAGATCCGAAGTCATCGGCTATCGATTGCTCAACACGTTCGGTGCGGGTGCGATCCAGACGATTGCGGATCGTCAATCGACTTGGCGTGCGATTGGGTTCCAGAAGCCGCTTGTTCTCAATTGCCTGGGCGAAGGCGGTCACGCTTGGAGCTGTAGCCGCGAATTCGTGGACGAAGTCTTGTTGCATCGCTCCTCGCAAGTCAAAGTAGTCGGTCGACTCAGGATCAGAGATCTGCGGAACAAAGGGTCCCTCTTTGCTGACAATGTCCTGCCAGTCGATTCCTTCGAAGAATGGATGAGCCTTGATCTCTTCCATACCGCGGGAGCCCAATCTCTCCTTCGGATCGGTACACATCAGGCGCTCCATGAGGTCGCGAGCTGCTGGCGAGATGTCCATGGAGTCTTCTTCCCAATCGATGTTGCGGGACAGGATGTTGTCGAACACCAAGTTGGGCGTCTCTGCATGGAAGGGAGGGTAGCCGTAGAGGAACTCGTAGAGAATGACGCCGAGCGCCCACCAGTCTACTGCCTTGTCATCCATACCGATACCGAGAATGCTCTCAGGGGCGAGGTAATCGGGCGTGCCAACGATCTTCTTGACCTGCTGATGCTGGTTGCCCGATCCGCCGGAATTGGCAGAGTGTGGGCCCGAGGGACTCAGTTGGTCGAGGAGCATGTGCTGACCAAAAGGTGTCCCGGGACTCTCGGCATGAGACGTGGCCATAGCAATCGGCTGAGGCTTGCCCATCACTCCAGGTGCTCCTGTGGCGAGGTCCGATCCACTCGACTCGCTGCTGACAATGCGGCCCAATGCCCCGTGGGTCGGAGCGACAAAGAAAGCTTGGTTCTGTCCTAGCCCTCCGGATCCCGGCGTCATCGGCGAAGACCCGAGAGACGAGTCCGTCCAGGCATTCGTGTTGCTACGCGTGGATGCCGATCGCATCAGACCTGGTCCAGACGTGCCAACGGATGAGCCAAAAGAGTCAGATTTGTTGTGACCCGTCCCGGAGGTGGAGAAAGGGGGTTTGCCTGCCGTAGTCGATGTGACCGCCGTAGCCGGTCTCGTCTGACGTCCCAGCAGACCAATCTTCGACAGACCAAAGTCCGTGACTTTCAGATGGCCTTTCTGGTCGATTAAGAGATTGTCAGGTTTCAAATCTCGATGGACGACGTTCTGGGCGTGTAATTGCTCCAGACCATTCACGACTTCGGCGAGATACTGCTTCGCCCATTGCTCGTCGAGACCTCCGAGCATCTTGACAAGCGAAGCGCAGTCTCCGCCAGGCAGATACTCCATGACCAAGTAAAGATACTCCTTGCTCTGGAAAGTGAAGTAGAGCTTGACCACGAAGGGCGATTGCGTCTGAGTCATCAAGATCATTCGCTCAGCTTTAACATTCGTGATTTGGTTCTTCGCGATCATATCGGACTTCTTCAAGACTTTGATGGCATAGTAGTCCCCGGTTGTCCTCTTCTTGGCCAAGAAGACGGAGCCGAATGCGCCTTTACTGATCGGCTTGAGGATGTCGAAGTCCTTTATAGACGAGGCTGTAGGACGTGATGATGGAGCAGCCGGAGGCAAGCGAGGTGACATGGCAGCGTGACTACCGCCCATCGAAGGGCGATGAGTCGAGACACGTCGCATCGAAGACCCATAGCTCATGCCGTGAGATTGGCCACCAAAGCCATCAGAGGGCGATTGTCTTGGTGACAGCGGTGGAGTATAGAGCATGTTGCCGGCACGGCTAGGGTCGATGCTAGACTGCCGGCGTGAGCGAGACCGCGATCTAGTCCTTCTCATGTTGGAGAGCACAGCCTGTTGCGCTACAACAGACGGTGGGCCTTTGATCACTGACTCCTCACCCAGAGTCGATATCGTCAGATCTCCTCGAGGGCGCGACGGCGGATGCAAGGCTGCTATGCCGCCACTTCTAGGAATGGGAATGCCGGTTGTATCATGACTGCCCGTCGGTGGGTCTGGAGAAGTGACTGACCCGCCCATATGGCCTTCGACGCCAGGGATCTCGTCAAAGTCGTCAACATCAGCTCCAAAGTTCCGAGCCGAGAGGGGCCCTGAAGGTGGCACGGCGACCGTCTCGGCGTCGTCTCGGTCGTCTCTCTCCAACAAGATTGCAGACGTCTCGGCAGCATCCTCTTCGTCTTGCTCGGCTTCGGTCTTTTCCTTGATTGACGTCTCGCCAGTTTCTGACACTACGGAAAGCTCTGCTGGAATAGGCGCGTCTGGGAGCTGATGGGATACTCCAGCATCCGAGGTGTTCGAGGCTTCACTTCCCGACAAGCCTTCGTCGTCTTGGCTCGTGGATCCGATAGATTCATCATTGTCCTGTGCTACAGCGGCCAGAGCAGCGTCGACTCTCTCTTCCCACTCTAGCCTGACAGTCTCGACGTACACAATCGTGTTCAGAGTCCGGTTGACAACGCTGAGCTTGTTGCGCGTTGCACTCATCACATCAGCCATGAGAACTTCTAGGGCAGGGTCTTCAATCGAAGGCGGCAACCAATTGCGTACCTGGACAATTCTGTTCTCCGAAGTAGGAGAAAGCAAGCGCTGCTTGTCTACAGTCTGTGCTAAATCGTCTTCCTTGATCGTTGGCGTCGAGATCTCCCTGGCAGTCTGTAGGATCTCGAGAGCTGCTTCGAGAGCTCGAAGGTGGGATTTGCGGACGGCACTCGGGGGCGGCGGACGAGGCGAAAGAAGTTTGAGATGCTCAATCGCAGAGGGTGGCTCATTGGAAGGCGCTGGGGTGGTCAAGAGAGCCCCGCGATACTCCGCAGGCGGCTCCGTTCCAGTCGTGTCGTCAAGGCGAGCGAGGATGGCTCGGATCGTCCGACGTAATTCAGATAGGCCTTCGTTGCATTCACCGACTTCCATCTCCAGACGATGGATCTCGTTGCAGATCTCGGAGTGCTTCTCGAAGAACCAAGTCGGCACATCACGCTCGCAGATACGACACAGTAGTGGGTCTGTGCTGATGTTAGCGGCAATGATTGCTGCAGCGGGGTCGATCTCGGCGGCTTTGTGAGGGCTAGAGGAGAGGTCGGCTTCGGGCTCGGGGCTGCCGACGGGCTTGAAAACCCACATGGTATGGGTGGGTTGGCCGTCACCTCGATCTCGCATCAGCATACCTTTGCCCTCCATTTCTTGGTACAGATTGAGAGGCTCTACAGACTCGTTGCTTTCATCGGCTGAACCTGTCATGACCAAAAGTCGGAAAGCAATCTCCACAGTATGCGATTCGTTTTGTTGCAACTGTCTCGTAGCCTCGGCGAAGGTTTCGACGTCATTTGTGGCTAGCAAATCGATGATGGGCGTGTCCAATAGCATGGCTGGGTCGGTACCGACCACTTGACGCCACGCGGGGCTGACGTAGATGACTCGTTCTTGATCCAGACTGAGCTCCATGAGAATATTGGGCGACTCTTGCTGGGCAGGTTGCTGTGTAACAGTGCTCGCTGGAATGGCGCCCTCGTCACCAGTAAGGCCAGACAGACCCAGACTGGCTGCGCCATCTGTCAGAGATCCGCGTCTGAATGCCTCGTCGTTTGCAGGAGCATGCACAGATCCGACTTGTGAGAATCGCGAACGATCGCCCTCGGAAAAGATTCGACGATCTCGAGGCTCGAGCGCTGGAGAGCTTGCAGCGCTGCTTGTGTGAGTGGACAAAGGCAACGCGATGGTACCGGCAAGGGACTGTCTAGCCCTCAACGGGCTTCCGGCCGGAGGAGCCTCTCCCTCGAGGTTTTGGTTGTAAATACCAGACTGACCGAAGCCGAAGCTGATGGGCTGGGCATCCTGCGGCTCGTCCTCATCGTCGAAGTTCCAGAAGCCCTTTTCTGCCTCCCACCACTCGACTACTCGGCTGAGCCCTGCGACAGCAAGGAGCAGCTGGACGTACCATCCACGTCCTGGCCAGTCTGGATGTTCGTCCCACGCTTGCCCAACAGTCTGCACCTGCGCAATGATCTCGGAGCAAGCTCCAGGTCTGGCCGTGAGTGCCGTGATCGGGGTGTCTGATACATCAAGAGCAAGACCCACGATGTCTTGCAAGGCCGGGATGTAAGGGTCGAGTGGCGCGTCCTCAGCAGGGAGTCGACGTGTCTTACGAGGCGGCGAGAACTGGGTCAGATCATGCCGAGTAGCTCCAAGCATGGGCGAATGAGAACGCGATGTTGGACGAGAGCTGGACACTGATCTCGAAGTGCGGTTGCGGGTCGCAAGGCTGAACGATGTCCCAGGCATCGAAGCCGAAAGAGCCAATGCCGCAGAAGACCGAGCTGGGGGAGGCGGCAGAGTGTAGCCAGAGGAAGCTGATTGGGGTCCCGATCTCCTTGGCGTTGGTGCCGCGTCGGTCGAGGGGTCCATGCCCAAGCCAGCTCGTGGCGTTTCGTCAGGATCTGCAGCTTCAGGCGGCGAAAGCAGGTCAGACTTGGGCAGCTGAGCTTCAAAGATACTCTTCTGCGACCGTTGACTAGCTGTCCTCTGCAAGCTCGCCGAGCGTCCCGTCACTCCGGACCTGTCGTCCGGTGCTCCTCGACTTTCGGTGTCGAGCTGAAGATCTTGCATTCCTGCATCGAGCATCCTCAACTCATCATCTCCCACATCTGAAGCAGTCTCGAGGGTAAAGTCCTGGCGCGCTTTCTCCTCCATGCTCGCCTCGACGAATAAATTGACGGCATTGACAATCTTTCGTAGTTCTTTGTCGCAGCTGTCCTTTGAGGCAGCGAGGCGATGACGAATGTGACGCCGCACAGACTGTATAGTGATGTCCTTTGAAGAGACGCCAGGTTGGCCTTGTAGCTGACCTTGACGACCGCTACCTGCGCTACCCGAGGCTGAGTCCGAAGTACCGCTACGTGGAAGAAGAGGTCGCCTGGGCTTCGCTTGCTGTTGCTGATCCTCAGCGAGGCTCCCAGTCCCCGAGGCCAAGGGCGAGCTCTTGCTCAAAGGAGGGCTCAACGCCCTAAATAGGGGCGAGCGAGAGCCTTCTCCCCGACTGCCGTTGGAAGAAACGCCACAAGAAGGAGAGAATCTTCTGATATCGGAAGCAGCACCGACCGTTGGCGAGGTACTGGTTGGCGCGCCAGAGTGATCCAAAGAGAGTGGTGCAGGTGGCTCTCTCGTTCGCCTAGCTATCGATGTGCGTGAGCTTCCTCGAGAAGATGCCGCAGTGGAGCTCTCCCTACCTCTCTCCTCTGAGGTCGCAGTATCTGTAGATTCACGCGCCATCGACGGGATCTGACTCGCACTCTCCGCTCGCGGATTTGGAAACCTGGGCTCAGGCTTCATGAGCAACGGTGACGATGAGGCTCCTCGAAGCACAGGCCTCTGGGACTTGCTAGCAGGGGTATGAGCGGTCGCTGAGGCTCCCGGTCTGGAAGGCAGGCGCATCTTGATGTCATCCGGAATCTGAGTCTCCTGGCTGGCATGTCTATGATACCCCTCCGCACGAGTCCTGATGGCTTGCCGCTCAAAAGGCCGCACTGCACCCAAGTGTCCTCCGCTGGCACTTCGGTGGTGCCCCGGCGAAGTGGGACCAGGCTGTGCAAAGTTGCTCTTGACGGCGCCCCACCATGCTTCGATCTTGCTGCCAAGGTGGCGGCGTTTCCTTGACGGACCGCCACTGCTGCCAGAAGGAATCTGGTGACCGGCATAGCTTGTCAAGCCACCGCTTGTACTGGTACTCGTCGTTCTACTCGTGACAGGGGAGAGAGACGCGTTGCGCGTACCCTGACGATTGTCCGCCTTCGAAGATGACCCTCTCCTCTCAGACATGGAAGTGACTGGTGAAAGATTGGAAGGCACGAGGCCAGAGGAGGGCCGATTGCGGTTGGCGTAAGAGGCGCTTGCGCTGCTTTCCTTAGCGCCGGCGGGTTCGGACGGCCTGCGTGGCGGACCACCAAGTCCTCGACGCAAAGCATCCGCAGAGAGAGGCGTAGCTGGGGTGGCCGAGCGGATCTCCTTGTCTTCTTCGGTTGAAGGAGGCCAAGGGGTCCGGAAAGAACGTTGATTTTGGTCACTGCCACTGTTGGACCAACTCGAGACAGAGAGGCCGCTCTCATTCGAATCATCTCTAGTAGGCACGCTTTTCCTTGTCTCCGCAATCGGGGAAGAAGTTTGAGGCGCTTTCAGATCTGAGCCCGACGCTTCTGGCGCCTTTGTTGAGGACATGCCTGGGTCGCCTTGCTCCTCTTGCTCGGTCCTTAACTTTGCCTCCTTCATCTTCCGATACTCGTCGAGCCAGTCAACCCACTCGATCTCCCGAGTGCTGTCGGCATCAATGACAGCGGCGTTGATAAAGTCAGCAGCTGAGGCGTTGCTACCTCTCGGCCCTGTCAAAGAGCCTGGAAGACCAACGACAGTCCCTCTTCTGCCCAAAGCCAGACTGCCTGAGTAAGAATGATCCTGCTCCTCTGACGAATTGGAGTCCGCATCATCATCTCCAGTACCGCCTTTGCCTCCTTTAAGTGCATTGGACGACCGCCACTTCTGCATCTTTGCTGTACGGCTCTGCACAATAAAGCGGGCGTAATCGTCTGTGCCAGTCACCTTGGGGAAGTCCGGATCGCCTGGTGTCAGCAGGGCCGACTGACCTGGCAGAGCACCAGAGGCGAAGGACATACGTCCGTGCGACCTGGGGCCCTGCTGTCGAGATGCCTCGTCACTGGGCAGAGCTGGGTCTGTAGCTTCAGATGTAGTATTGGCAGCAGAGCCCGACCCGGAAGGCAACATCGAGGTGTCATGGCTGAAGTTTCCGATCCCGCCTTCCAACCTCCGTTGAAGCTCTCCCGGCCCAAAAGACCGGCGGTCTGCAGCATTGCGTATAGGGAGCAACCTGTTTGACTGACTGGGCGACACAGAGAGCAACGGAGCGTATGCGCTGCCCGATGATGCGCTCGCTCTGGCCTTCCTAGTATTGGTAGACCGAATGGCCATAGCAGTAGCGAAGGCCGAACCGCCACCAAGGGACATCGATAAGCCAGCGGCAGGTGATTCAGAAGACAGGTCTCGATCGCTAACGTCTCGTGACATGTGTCGAGCTGAGGTCAGGGGAGCAAGGATACCACGGCTCGCCTCAGAGCTTGCGGATGGCAGTGCAGGAACCATGCTGTCAGAGTAAGGTATCACAGGCGAGACGCTTGCAGATGACGCTGCCGAGGCTCCGCGACCGGACCCGCGGCCACCGAAAGAATGTCTTGGAGATGGCCGGGGACTTGCAGAGGGCGTAGCGGGTAGCAGCGGGCTGGCTTCTCTAAGTGGCTGCCCGTGAACTCCTATGCCTAATCCATGACTTAGGGCTTCATGCTGTGCAAGGGGCGATTGCGGTTGTGAGGATGCGGAAGCTGATGACATCGCAGAGATAGACTGGCTCAAGCGATGGCTGCCGCTGCCCATCGCGTGTTGTGACTGGTATTGTGTCCCAGAATGTTGATGAGCCGTGAAGAGATCTCCGGCGAGCCGTACAGACGCTGGCACTCTCTGAAGCCGTATTGCGTCACCAAGTCCTTGTGACATACGCGCAGAAGAACCTCCAGCCAAACTCGGGAGACTGGAACGTGGGCTATGAGAAGGAGAGCTAGCGACCGTTTGACTTCTTGTTCTCGAGCGCGTGTAGTCTCCCGAGGTGTCTATGGGAGGCAAGCGCTGATCGGTCGCGGAAGACGGAGACAGCGATGACACCGGCGAGCCAACCTCGTCTGCATCAACAGCCGTTCCTTGACGACTCCCAGAGTCTTCCGCATCTTCACGCCCTGCACTGCCCGAAGTAGTCACTGCTCGCTTCCGCGAGGACGTCGAAGGCACCACCATTGACGGATAGGTATTGGCAAGGGCTCGAGTATCCGGCTGAACATTGAGCAGACCGTAGGGCTTCCTTGACGCTTTGGCAAATCCTGCAGGCGTGGCAGGGAGCGAGGAGGTAGCGGAAGAACTTGACAATGGTAGCGTGCTAGAAGATGCGGTGGATGGATTGCCTTTGCCTCCCGCAGAGGTGCTGATGGCGTCGTAGTAGTTGGATGACGACGCGGATTCACCCATAGGAGTGCCAGGAATGCTCGCATCTCCGGCTCGAATAGCTGCTACGAGATTAGGATCTACTCCGTCCGGACCTCCAATGGGCGACGAGCCTGCGCCATCTGCACCCAGAAGAGCTCCGCCCAGAGACCTTGCCCGCCGATGTCCGGCTCCTGCGATAGCTGCTGCGCTTGACTTGCGCCGGCGAGCTGTCGTGGCACTGACGGCTCGATTTTCTACGGCAACCATAGCTGGTCCGGCCGCTCTTAGCTCATCAGCATCCCAAGCAAGAGATGAGGATCTACTCAGGTGAGGCTGTATCTCCGGAGCTGACAACCGTGGGCTCTCGACTGAAGATGCACCGCTCGCAGATCGCGCCCACCCCGGCGAGCCACTTCCCTCGCTGCCTTCAAAGTCTCCCCTTCCTCTGATCGGGAGAGCTCGCATCGAGGCGTAGAACGTGCCCTCATCTGGACTCGTTGAGGCAGAGGCCAGAGTCGCAGAGTTGGTAGATGAGACAGAGGAGCCATGTCGTCGAGGTATGCTCAGAGGTGGCCCCATGGACGATGTTGAGCCTCGACCCGAGCTGATGACTCTTGAGACCTGGCCTGTCTTTGGCTGAGCCTCTATGCTACCGTGCCTCCTTTGGAAAGAGACATCATTGCGCGTACGTCTGATTGAAGCATTTGAAGAGCCGCTGCTAGCTCTACGATCATCAGGAAGGGACCCTCGATGCCGTTGCTGAACAAAATGTAGCTGTTGGTCGCCCCTTGATCCTGCTGAGGTTGCCTCTGGGCTGGATGGGTCCTGCTGCTTCCAGGGAGACATGGAAGTACGGCTTGAGGGCGAGGACTGCTGCTGCTGTTGCTGGAGAGCAGTGCCTAAGCTCGATAGCGAGGCTTCCACCTGCTTGGGAGAGTCTCCGGCTGATTCCCTTCGGCCGACGGGATCCGACGCCATAGGCGACGAATCTGGGGCAGATGCCTGCTGATCGAGGTCGAGATCCTCTGCCGCGTCTCCAGTAACAGTCAAAGCATGAGCTAGCGGGCTGGAGAAGGACGGTGTGGTATCGAATGGACTTCTGGCGAGCTTGGAAGCGGATGAGGCTGCAGCAGATCCAGTATATTGAGCTGGCCTGCCCAGGCCCGGAACCCCAAGCGATGTGGTAGTAGAGTCTGTAGGTAGGAGAGTAGTCGCTGATGACGTAGACGAAGAGGAGGAGGTAGCAGTAGAAGCTGAAGGTGATGGGCTGACAAAACTTGGCGAATGTTGCGAAGACCGCCGGGGCACAGGCTGCTCGTAGGCTGTCGAAGCTCCTGTGGGAGAGGAGTAAACCGATCGAGAGGCCCTGGCGCTGGCGAAAGGATCGATGAAGGATGAGGGCGGTGGCCGAGACGGCGCGACAGCAGCGTCTATGCTTTGCTGGGATGGCGACTCTTGCTCTTCGTGGACGTCCTCGAGTCGTCCTGAGCCAGGAACACTCAGCGGGGTCAATTGAGAGGCAGGAGCTACCTCGCCCTTCAAATCGTATACCCCGGCGGCAGACGATCCAAGACGTGTGGATCGAGAGACTGCAGTGCACAGACGGACGAAGTGAGGGGGATGTCAGATGGTCGCGACAGCAGGGGAGACGCGATGGAGAGCGGGTAGGAGATGTGAGTGTGGGATCGACACCAGATGGGAACGAGCGGCTAAGATGGCGACGAGGGGGTGAGCTGAGGCGAGGCGAGGCGAGGCGGTGGGTCATGGCCCACAGGCAGGGGGTGCGTGAGCAGCCTGGCCTCGCCCACGGCCCGCCTGGATTTCCCCCTCCGCGTCTCCGCCTGAACCACCGGCCGCCCCGGGACCCTTACGACGGAGCTGGCCATCGGCCGGACAGCTGAGCTACGCCCACGACAGCCTCAAGATAGAAATTTGACCGGGACACCCTTCATTGAGAGACTCACCTTCCTGCTTCTGACTTCCATCGTGTGTCATCGCCGATTCCTCTCCCGGCCGCGACGCCTCTAATGGATCCACCAGGCTAATCCCACTCCCCGACGGCTTATATGCGGCCGCCAGCGCTGTCGACGATGACGATGACGGCGACGAGGAAGATGAGACTCGCTGGAAGCTGAACTCATTGGACAGAGGACTCAGCGCTTCGATCCGAGATGTACGCTGCTGCTGCTTGGCCTGACTCTCTATGTTCGCCGAAGACGATGAGCGGGCGGATGAGGAAGGCGGGGAGGAGAACGAGGCAGCAGCGATAGACGAAGGATGAGGTCTGCTGCTGCTGCTGCTGCTGCCGCCGCTATCGCTGCGAGGTTCCGTCGTGATTGGCGGTGAGGCTGAGCTCCTGGCTATTCGTGGGCTGGGAGTTTCGGCATTCCCATCGCTCGAGACTTGGTCTGACTGAGCTTGAAGAGAGCCCCGCTGGAGAGGACCCTGAGCAGTAGACGAGGGAGAGGAAGGCCCAGCGATTGCCAGGGGTGCATCTTCATCGACTCCGGCTGTAATGATGGCGTCGCCGCCCGGACCAGGAGCGGGTGACATTGGCCGTCAGGCCTCTGCACCCTCGGTTGTGTGCCAGCACAAGAGGAGTACGATGGTGGCTCAGGTGGGAGTTGGGGAGACGCAGCTGGGTGAGTCGTCTGACCCGAAGAGATGCGGGCGCAGATGCGAGTGCGATAGGCGATGATCTAGGAGAAGGAGATGTGTGATGAGTGTGAGGGGAGGGACGAGTGATGGCTGCGTACCAGCAAGCAGTCGGTCGTTGGCATCAGCGGCTGGGTATTGCTCGCCCTTGCTGCTGCTGCTGCTGCTGCTGCCAGTGGTGTGCGGGTGTGCGGCTGCCGCTCGCAGTCCTCGGCAAGGCGAATGTCTCAGGAATTATCCCGGCCGTGGATGTGCGTCTGTCGCTCTCCGCCTGCTGGCCCCCCCCGCGTGCGACCTTGGTGCCGTTCCCCCTTTTGGTAAACTGCACCTTGACCTCGCTTAAAGCGCTAAAGTGCCAATAAATAAGCATGTCTAGCTTCACACTCCTAACCACCATGACGCTTCCCACTGTCTGACCCAGCCGAACTCCAGGCATCGACACAGGCAGGCCTGTGATTGTCTGAGTGATTCCTAGAGCACCTGCTCCTGCCCTTTGCCTGCTTCTATCTCCTTGGAAGCCGTTGTTCGCTGCATCTGATTCAGTCCAGCTCGTCAGTCTCCGTGGCGCACTCCACTCGGGGCTCAGTCCAAGTGTGGCACGGCGTTGCTTGGAATAGAATTCGCGACGACAAAGAGCCCGCTTTTCCGCCCGCGTGGTATGTACATTGTAGCAACAGAATTCTAGTACCAACACCTGCTTCATTGTGCTTGCTTGACAAAGATCTTTGGTGTAAATGGACTGCCGCGGCTTCCACTTCTGTACTCGATCACTGTATCGTCATCTCTAGCCCGGCTCAGCCCCCCTCCGATACGAAGCACCTCCCAGTAGGTGTCTTGACAGCGATTCGAGAGACCTCTCGTTTGTCTTGCGTCTGAGCACGGACAGGTTGAGGAGTGAGCTCAGTACCATGGCGGGGAATGGCGCTAGGCTGGTGATCTTCGATGTCCGTGCGTGGCGCGTGGCGCGTGCCCAGTTCCGTTGTCAGTCTTCGGCATCGAAGTGAGTGTTGGACCTGCCATGCCTACCTACGATGCTGCCCTGAATCCACGATCTCAGTCACCGCCAGAGCCACGTCACTCATTCTCCTGCTCGCTCGTGCAGAATGTCGTATTCTCGAGGAAGATCGCCATCCCTAGTCGACCTCAATCTAGCGCTGCTGGTGCCCACGTCCGCACTGCTGCATGTCTACCTCTCTCCCTACACAAAGGTCGAGGAGAGCTTCAACATTCAAGCTCTCCACGACTGGCTCTTCTTGGGGCCTAGTCGGATAGGCGAGGTAGGTGTCAGAAGTTGGAGTCAAGAGCGTGAAGGTGATCCCGTCGCTGACCCTAGGTTGACCCGGTGCAGTTTGATCACATCACCTTCCCCGGCCCGGTACCCCGTTCCTTCATCCCCTCTATCATCCTATCCGCCCTATCATATCCCTTTCTGCTCATCCTCAGGGTCTCTGGGCAACTTCAGACCTCTGCCGATGTCCAATTCTACCTTCGGTGCAGTCTAGCTCTCCTCTGGTCATTCGCGCTCCTCTTCTTCATCCACCGCATCGTTCCCCGAATCAAGATTCCCCTTCTGAGGGAGGAGGCTCAAGCAACACATGTGAGATTATGGGCTCAGCGGACTCTAGTGGTCATGTCCGCCTGCCAGTTCCATCTAGCCTTTTGGGCTGGAAGGACGATACCCAATGGACTGGCCATGCCGGGAGTCATCGTAGCTCTCGCGCTGCTCTTGCCGAGAGGACTAGCGTATGAGCGCGCTCAGCTCTCAGGGTTGGCCCTGCTCATCTTCCATGCCGGCATCTATCGTCTCGAGTTGGCATGCTTGCTTGGAGGGTGCGGTCTCTACCTGCTGCATTCCCGAGTGCATGTATGGAGGGAAGATACAGATCCACATCCTGTAGAAAGCTTCGGCAAGATCGCTGCTGTCACTCAAGCTATCGTCACGATCAGCGCAGTGCTCACTACTGGGCTGGATACTGTCATCTGGAGGTCGCCCAAGTGGATGGTACCTGAGTTTGTCGCTGCGCAATTCAACGTGGTGGAGGGCAAGAGTGCAGAGTGGGGAGTGAGTCTTGTGCAGGCTTTGCGATTTTGAATGTTTCGTTTGTTGATCACTTCTCCCCTGATCTTCTCCAGACGTCACCATGGCATGCCTACTTTACGTCTTCTCTCCCGAAACTACTCTCCTTTGCCTTGCCCATGACGGCGGTAGGATCCTTCATGATCCTGCTGGCTGTTTTCAAGCCGGATAAGCAACTCAAGCCGAAGCGTCCACCCCGCGGTGTATTCTCAAGGATTGATCAAGTGAAGTTCAGGGAACTGTCAGGCTCCATCCCTCTAGCGGTCTTTCTCGTGCTTCCTGCCCTTCACGTGGCTCTCCTCTCGGGTCTCGGTCACAAGGAGTGGAGATTCGTGGCATACATCGTACCGCTGTTGAATGTGTTGGCCGCTGTGGGCGCCTCAGCCTTGTGAGTCGCGGTCTGGACCTACGAATCTCCATTTGCAAAAACCCAACTGATCCCAATTACCATTCGCAGCCTCTCTCCATCGAGCTTTCGGGGACTCAACAGACTTCCAAAGCTGATCAAGAAAGTACTGCCGCTCGTACCCCTGGTCCTCCTTGCCTTGACCGTCGGCACCACCACGGTCTCGACTCTGGCCAGTCGAGTCAACTACCCAGGTGGGGTAGCCTTGGCGAGACTTCACGCTTATGAGAGCAATGCTGTCGATCGAGTCCGTGAGTAACTTCGTGAGGGCTGATGTCAGAGGATAAGCACGCGTTACCTGATTTCCTTTTCTCGCCACTCTTTCCCCGTCATCTGGCAGACAATGTTCACGTCGACGTGCTTCCAGCGATGACAGGCGTCACACTCTTCCAGTCCATCCACCTCGCAAGGCCAGCGAGCCCTCCCCTCAACCTGCCCTCTCTCCTCCCCAAAGAAGCTTCATCCGGAGCCTGGATCTACGACAAGACAGAAGACTTACCCCTCACTCGCGGAGCCTGGGCCGGCTACACGCACCTGCTATCTATCTATCCCGAGTGCCAACTCCCCCTCAGGGACGAGAATGACTCACCGATCGAAGACCTTTTCGAGCCGATCTCTACTCTAGACACGAGCGCCGTAGAGTTCGCAGGGATCTACTTGGGTCGAACACCTCAATCGCCCACGGCAGGCAAGGCGCCAGGCCTGGAGTGGCTCGATGTCACTCTACCACTGGGACTGGGATCTGTGCGCTCCTTTGAGACACAAGGCAGTGAGGACTGGGTACGGATCAAGGGCGTGAGCTTTCGCTTGGGTCGTAGCGGCAGTAGAGGCGTCAGTGTAGGACTTAAGCTGAGAGAAGGGGTATGGATTTGTCAGAGGAAGACAGGCGTGGTGTAAAGAGGGGCACACTCAAGAAAATCAATGGCAGACAGATGCTTGCACATGATGCGATTCTATGCCTAGAGCGAAACATACATTTGGGCTTGTACTACGGTTCGGGACAGAACAGTGAAGAGACGCAGCTCAGAGCTACAAGCTCAACAGATCCACCCTGCATCTCTCCCAAAGCGCACTTTCCCTGGGCTGATCTCCCTCTTCGACGAGCTCCTCCAGCGTCCTCTTCTCAACGGGCCTCACCGTCAACTTAGCAACGTTGATCGCTCCAGCTCCAGCTCCAGCTCCAGCTCCAGCTCCAGCTCCAGCTCCAGCTCCAGGTCCAACAGTGCTACTCGCCACTGCCCCCGGATTCACCACGACTGTCCCATCGACGATCTTTGCAAAGGGTGCTACGGACGAGGAGGCAGTGGTGCTGCTGGTCGAAGGTAGAAGGAGTACTTCGGGGGTGACAGTTGTGAAGGTAGCTAGGTGGAAGTGTGGTAGAGAGAGGGGGAGGGGCGCTTCGGCCTCAAGCGCCGTGCTTGCGCTGGGCAATTTGGGTTGAGGTGGAGGGAAGAGAGGGTAGAAGCTGTGCAAGAGTTTCACGAGGGGGAAGAGTCGAGGTCAGGACCAATGCAAATGCAGCGCGAGCCAGTGCACTTTCTCGGTACTCACTTCCTCTGAGAGATGACGTGCCTTACCGCCCTAGCCACGACATCCTCCGTCTGACCCTGACTTTGACTCGCAGCCTGACTGCCCCCGGCTGCCCTCTTGACTCTCCTGGCCAGCTCCTCACTCCTGATATCCCTTAGCACATCCGCAGTCGAGGCGCCAAAGACGATGCCGGCAATGGAGAAGAGAGCTGGGTTGGGCAGAGCGCGAGCCGCCTTTGTCAAACCTAGCTCGGCACGATCGTAGCCTGGCTGGGGCCAGGCGGCGTGGCTCGTGAGGGAGTCGAGAACCGAGGGGACGAGTACGAAGGAGGTCCTGGACGAGGTTGTGGGTGAGAGACGGTTCATGCGAGACGCAAAGTGGCGCTTGAACAGATCCGATGGGAGATGGGTGGAGGTGAGAAGGAGGGGATGAGTGAGGGGCAGGAACGGACCCATCTGAAGGACAAGAAGAGGAAATGGGCATGAGCAGGGCTGTGAGACCACCATGGCGGGACTGCCTTTGTATGTGCGGCCACTGCTACTCACGAGGATGACTGCATCGACTGGCTCCCTCTCCAGGTTGTCCATCAGGGTATGCCACTTTGTAAATTCCAGATCCTCATCAGACGTGTACGGTCCAGACGCAACGACCACCTCCATCGGAGCGCCATTCAGCAGCTCCGGAGCGTACTGCGCCAGCAGCATGTCCGAGGGTGCAGCAGCAGAAAGCGGCAATGCGGGCAGCAGCAGGACTTCCTCTACTCCAAAGCCAGAGCCTCCTCCATTTCTTCCCTTGAGACCCACGATCATGCCTGGGAACATGCCAAGCACGTCTACGGGACCGAGATCGCTGTCGTCTGAATCTTCCATACCCGGCGGCCGCCGGACCACACAGCCTTCTGTCAGCCAGATCGGAACTCTTTGTCCAGCTCCTTGCAATTTGGACGACTCGATGAGGATGCCGTGAGGGGTTGGTTGCAGGCGCGGAAGTCCAGAGGAGGTACTTGAGGCGTCCTTCTTGCTGGCATTTGAAGGAGGTGCCAGGTTGGGAGCGATCCTACCTACGACGTACACAGACTCTTGATGAATCAGAGAAGGGTCCGAGATGTCTTCTTCCTTGATAGCGTATGACTCAACCAGGATCGAAGACATCGTCTCTAAATGATCGTCCAAAGCCTCGCCCTTCTCGGCTCCTCGTTCGAACATGTACCGCGTAGGGAAGGAGGAGGGTGATCTTCCTGCCATCATCTTGACACGACTGCTGGTAGCGTCCTGTCTATCTTGCCGAGTAGCTGCAGCGATCTGCGAATTCAGAGTCTGCTGGACAGTCCAGGGATTGCGACTGCCGCCTGCGCTGCCCCTGCCACCTCTGCTGGGCGAGTCGTCGATCTCCATTGAGTCATCCCCCGTGGCGAGCCCATTGCTGCCACCGCCTCGACTCAGTGCTGTTGGCCGCGAAGGCGTCTGCTGAGCTCCACCTGAGCCGAAAGTGGTGCCGCCTCTACCACTGCCGTTGCTCTGTGCGGAACCAGGCGTGCCAAAGAGCTTGCCCATGCCCATTCCCGTCAGCCCGCCCTTCTTCCTCGCGGTGGCTCCACTGCCCCATGCAGTAGACATGTCTCTGCGAGGAGTTCGAGTGGCAGCGTGATTATTCGCTGCCTCTAGCGAGGACTGCAGGTGCTGGCGCAGCGCTCGAAAGTCTGTCAGGGTCGGGTTGGAGCGAGACTCTGTAGGAAGATTGGAGAGGGCAAAGGCTTCGAACTTGTAGAAGAAGTCTTGCGGCGAGAGACTGTACAGACGGCATAGAGAGAGACCTAAAAGGAGAGCAGGATACGAAAATGTCAGTCAAGTATGCTCTGCTCGCCCTCGTATGCCGACTGGTGTAGTCAGGGCTGCTCACATTCTACCAGGCAGTCCTCGTGGTCCTGAACGGATCTGCCAAAGAGTTCCACCAGTGCGTCTTGCGATGCCATGTCGGCAGCCATGGCAACTGAAGCGCTGCACTGAGGTGATTGGGTGACGAAGCTATCTATAGTGAAGCTTTTGGGACGAGAACGATATAGCTGTGGTGTTGGACGTCTCAAGCGAAGACTCAAAGGCGCACGCAACAATCCTCCTCGCGGGCGGAGTCAGGCGCATTCAATTTAGAGACGCGCCACGCGACGTGCCGGACCGCACCTGGCACGCTTACAGGTATACGCCGAGAGACACACTGCTCGCCACGCAGGTCTCCAGCTCCAGCTTGGCAGATACCAATTCAATGACCATCGTCGCTCTGAGTCTTTCGAAATCTGGACCGGGACCGAGAGGAAGACCGAGCCCATTTGTCACACAGCGGCATCGACCACAAAGCTGGTCTCAGATGGTCTTTGCCGTTTAATAGAGGTCAGACCAAGATGAGCCCTCATGTCTTAGACGCGTATCCAAACGCTGTAGCTGTGGAGAAGCAGGCTCGAGACTCTCATCGTCACATACTTCGTGTGTCATGTACACTCGCAAAGGTTTGTGGTACCTCGGCCATCTCCACTGCTTCTGTTTGACTGACAGGTACTGCATGCGTGGTACGAGATGCCGGTCTGCTTCGGTAAGACGTGGCAACCATTACTGTGGTGATCTGGATCATCTGCATACTTTGTCGACATCTCGCTTAAGGACTAGTCTGGGTCATCATCGTCTGCAGCGCCCCTCCGCTTGTCCTTTGGGTGGCAGCCGTTGGCGTGCAATGTTATTGACTCGGCCCTCTTCCTGATGGGAGCTCCGGGAGAACATGTCCGTCTGGCCGTCCAACTTGCCCCAACACCTCGGGAGCCAGAGGGAGAGCGATTCGGCACAGGAGCGAGGAGCTGTCTCCCGCACGAGTCCTTGGCTTGGGTATGGTCAAGATGCCGTGTTTGGTGGCCGGTGCGGGTGCGGGTGAGCTCGGCAGCGGGTGCGGGCCGGGGCGGCGGGTGTGCGTGTGTGTGGAGCCCCGCATTGTGAATTTGGGCGTCCTGTGACCAGAGGTGGCCCTGCAGGGTCACAAGGATAGGGCGGACTGCCAACCCATCCCCCCCGCTGCACACGCCTTGGTATGGCAGGTTGGCAGAGGGCACAGACCCAACGGCAAGTGCATTATCTGTGCTCATGGTCCGCCCGGACGCCCAAATCCCTTGGCTGGAGCGGTACTGCAAAGTCCAACGGCGCTGCAGCCTGGGCGGCACTCGCGGCGGGTGAAGGTGTCAGAGGTGCAAGGAGGGAGTGTGTCACCCAGCGCCTGGCGCGACTTGCTTCTCCCCACAATGCCTCTCTCCACTAGGTCACCCTCGATCAACACTTCAGGGCTTGGCTGTTGTACCCAGGCGTGAGGCGAGCCGAGGTGAAGAGCCAACCTCGGAAACATACTTCAGCGGGGTTTGACCCGGACTGGGGGGTCCTCCCTTACCGAAGGACCATCACATCATAAGATCACACGGTCATGAGACCCTCTGGGCACCTCAAGGCAACCAGAGGCAAGCGGTGTATGCGTCTCGCCTCGAGCTCACCCCGGGCCGAGACGTAGATGCAAAGACGTGACACAATGGTGCGGGGGGCTTGACCCGGCGGCGTGTGCTTTTTAAGCTTGATGGCCCCCCCTTCGAAGAATCATACAAGAGGCTGCTCAGCTGATCTTTTGCATCCCAATTGTCCCCCTCTTGAACCCCCCCTTCCCACCTCGTGCGTTAAATCCTCCTTCCATCTTTGAATTTCCCGCTTGCTGCTGACTTGGTCCTACAACATCGATACCCTCACCTTCACCTCCCGAGTCACGCAACAATGACCACCAAGCAAGAGCTCGACCGCCACTCTGAGCATGATCTGGGCAACAAGGCCGGACCACAGTACCACAGTCCCAATGGACAGAATGGAGCTGATCTCAGCCGACAAATCTCGGTGCAGCTGACTTCGCAGCAGTTTGAAGGTGAGGAACAGAAGAGGGAAGCGCGTCAGCCAATAGCGCCTTACTGAAATTTTGAATGCCGGCTGCCCCCCGGGATACGTTATGGACCGTCTATAGAGCTCTACCTGCAACCCTCACAGAAATCCCGTCAGCAGGGACAGCTCATCAAGGCTCTGGGTAATCCGACCGTACTGGGTATCATCTGCTTCATTTTGAACCTCATGCCCACATCCATGGTCCTCATGGGATTCAGGGGGACCACGTCTGCTGGTACATTGGGAATGATTGGTGTCTACTACTTCGTCGGAGGCTTGGGTATGTGAGTATCGCTTGCGATGATGCCATGTCTCTGCGTCATGTAAAGTTGATCGAGGGAGTCATGGGCTGCTCGAAGGAAGGAACAGGGGACAGGTTCACTGGTGATGAATATCCGCACACGGTGCTGACCCCGCCCCCTCACTCTCTACAGGGTCATTGCTGGCTTGCTCGAATTCCTGATCGGCAACACATTCCCTTTCGGTGAGTACACTACAGCGAGTAGTGCATAGGGACCAAGCTCACCTCGGAAATGTCACGCCTTTCCGCACGTTACCAGTCGTATTCTTCACCTTCGGAGTGAGTAATTGAGCTGCCCCTTTCCTCCGTCGGTGAACGCTTCCTGACACCTGTATCGCCCCCCTCTTTGGCGACGTAGGTATTCTGGCTGTCTCTCGGAACCTACACGGACCCAACTAAGCAGATTAGTACACTCCTGGCCACGGACCTGCCGGACCTCTACTGTCCTTTCGGTTTTTACCTCCTGATCTGGTGTAAGTGGATGCGAGGCTGAAGGTCGAAGCCTGTCGACATAGCGATAATGACTCTGATCGCTGCCCCACTCTGCTCCCCTCTTCCACCACCACTCCCAGCCATTTACACCTTCATGCTCACATTCGCCGCCATCCGCACCAACATGGTCCTCGTCTGGATCCTCTTCCACGTCGCCATGACTTTCCTCATGCTAGCCGCCGCTTACATCAACATCGGAAACCTCGCCACAGCCGTAGGTGGAAAGTGTCTCATTGCAGGCGGAGCCTTTGGATTCCTTGCCTCTCTTGGAGGGCTCTACATCCTCTTCCATCTGCTATTGGCAGCGAATGACTTCCCATTCAACATCCCACTGGGTGACCTTTCGGGACTGCTGAAGAAGAAGACGCCCCCTGCGAACGACGCGGGCCCGACACAGTAATTTGTTCGGTTCGCCGTTGGTCCTTGGCGGGTCGGAGGCAGGAAAGTAGCATTGGGAAAGGAAGAAGCGTTGCGTAACAGAGTGTGAGGGGAGGAGGCGGATCTAGTCCCTTTTCTGAACCCTTGTATTCCCCATTTCTGTATCTTTGCTTGGATTTTGGCATAACTCATTATTTCATACCGTTTCATCAGCTCCTTTTGACATCGAATCCCTGATCGAGAAGGACGACGATGATTATGCGATCACATAGTGACAGCACATCAGTCCTCCACCTTGACCTCGATCTTTCCCACGCCATCAGGACCCTCAATAGCAACCTCAATAGCCGGAGCCACTCCTTCTGCTCCCTTCTCCGTCTTCCCCTCTTCACCCTCCTCATCACTCTCCGGCAGCAGAATAACTTGCTTCCGGGTAGCAGCGCTCTTGGGGTCTACCTTGCGATAAGAAGGACAGAGGCGGGCTTTGCCCAAGTCGCAGAGATCGCAACGGGGTCCGACGGGGACGCAGACTACTTGGCCGAAGCCTACGAGGGTCTTGTTGATGCTGTGGTGGAGCTGTGAGGGCAGTCAGAAAAAGGGGAAATATGTCAGCGTTGGAGCGAAGCTGCAGGTCGTGCTGCTGGCTTACTCACGTCTTTGGGTAGGAAGCTCTGCAGTACCAATCTCGTCCCCTCTGGGTCATTCGTCTTGCACCAGCCAAGTCGATTTGCCAAACGATGCACATGCACATCGACGCCGATACCAAGATTGAGCTTCCACGCCGACTGCAGTGTCAGGAAAGCCATCTTCGGCCCTACACCAGGCAGACTGCAGAGCTCATCAATATCCTTGGGCACATCACCTCCAAAGGTGCTCTGCAGAATACTTGCAGCGCTCTTGATGTATCCCGTCTTGCGTCTCCAGAAGCCCACTTTGGCGATGCAAGAGGAGATTTGCTCGTCTGTCGAGGCAAGGATGCTGGCCAGGGAGATACCGTCTACGAGGTTCGTCTGCAGATTCTTGACGGCCTGAGCAGTCACTTCGTCTTTGGTCTGACTGCTGAGCATGAGTGAGATCAAGACCGTCAGACGATCCCGCTTTGCACGATCCTCTTCGTCCTCTGCAGTCACTCTCCAAGCGTCGGCGCGACGATCTTCTCGTCCGTTCTCCTCGCAGCCCATCTCGTCTACTGGCGCTACGATGCGTTTCCGCTGCTTTTGAAGAACATCGAGTTGCGCCCTCCACCGCTTTGGAGCGGGCTTGACCTCCGAGGGATCCAGCTCGAGCTTGATAGGCTTTGCGGTCTTCTTCTGAGGAGAGACGTCGAATGGTGACGGCTTCTCCTTTTTTATGGCAGGCTTCTTTTCATCGTCTTCGTCCTCTTGCTTTGGCACTCCACTACTTCTGCTCTTTCGAGACGTCGCAGTGGATCTGGTACCACTGGTGCTGGCCGTTAAAGCCTCGACTTCCTCCGCCACTGCATCCTCACTTTCCTCTGACTTGACCTGCACAGCATCTTGCGTTCGACGGCGCAAAGAGTAGCTCCTCGTAGCACCGACTCCGTTCGCGTTGCTTGCCTGCTCCTGACTGAGTTGTAGAGCAAGAGCGGCATCGCCGTCTGTCACCGCTGGCTTCGGCGCGAAAAGCCTTCTCTTGCGGGGTGGAGTCATCAAGGGCGAGGCACCTCTCTTGCTTGACCCCTCTCCCAAATCTGTTCGAGAGAATCACGCAGAATTACAGCAGGTAAGACGAGGACCGATCAAGCAGCGAATCTCTATTAGGATACATCCGACATGCGACTCATCTTACGCACTTTGTTGCGTCCGTTGCAGGTACGCCTCCCATCCAGCCTTGCGATACCTTGCTGCCTGCTCCTGGACGTTCCGGAACGCCTCACTCTTGTCTCCATCCTTGAGCAGAGCGCCGTAGATACCCCTGCCTACAATGATGACATCGCAGCCGCTCTGACGGATCACCTCGTCCGGTGTACGGTATTGTTGACCCTTCCCATCTCCCTTGGCATCGAGTCCTACACCCGGCGTGAGGACGAGGAAGTCTTTGTGCTCCTGACCAGGCTGTAGAGCGACCTTCTCATCGATACGGTCCATGGCAATAAATCCGCATGTGAAGCCAGTAGTATCATTGCGAGCTGCTTGCACACACTTCTGTCCATACTCTCCTCCAGCCAGATTGCCCTTGCTGCTCATCTCGGCCAGCAGCAGCAGACCGCGGCCGAGTGGTTGTCCCACCTCGGCGAGGCCTGTAATGATGCCCGGCCCAGGGACTAGGTGGGCATTTGTGATGTGTGACCATGAAGCAATCTTGTGTACGCCTGAGGAGTATTGCAAAGAGACGGTGTTGCCTGTGCGAGAATAAAAGAGCAATGGAGCCGCTCAGCTGGTGAAGAACGATTGGGAATCAGACTCGAGTGTTCCACTGACCGATGTCGGCAAATTTGCGGTCCTCAAAGATCATGAAGTCATGCTGTGTGCTGAGAGCCGAAAGCTTCTCTGTGAGGTCCAGGTCAAAATCTTCGACGATGTCGATGTGAGTCTGAATACGGAGATTGAGCTCGTCAGTCAGTCAGCGATTTGTCATCGAGGCAGAGTGGGCCAGGCGAGAGGTTGCTCCTTCCTGACCTGTACACCAGTCTGCTCACCTTGACCATGCATACATCTGCTCCCACTGACTCGACGACCTGGAGCAGGTCTGCCTTCTTTGTCACGTCTACGCTGACGCAGAGGTTCGTCTTTTTCCTCTCCATCGTTTCGAGGAGCAGCTTCGCGGCGGGATTCGCAAAGGAGGCGACCCGCGATGCGTACGTCTTGGATGCGACGCTGCTCTGCGCCATCTTGGTCAAGACAGAGGCGAGGCGTGGAAAGGTGGGAAAGATCAGAATGAAATGCTGCGAGGACTCTGACGATGGAGTTCCTGCGTGGTTGGTATGGGGTGGTGGAGTGAAACCGAAGAAGTGCCTCTCTGCCGGTTTCTCGCGTCCCCGCGTCTGTGCACGAAATGCCCGCCAAAGCGGAAGGGGGGAAATACAACTTGAGAAGCATTGGCAGCATACATTCACTCCTTCGCAGCGCAAAGCTCCTCAGCTTATCGCATCGTACTGCCCCCTCCGTACCCTCCCTCACTCCCAAACAGCGCGGATGGCGTTTGCAAATGACGACGACGACGGCGACATGGACCCTGATCAGGACGAAGAGGGCTCCGACTACGACGATCCCTACCTCACCGGTGATGGGGAAGGGGACGGCGAAGGCGAAGGAGATGCAGAGGGCGACAGTCAGGGAGAGGGCGAAGACGGAGAGGACGATGAAGACGAGGACGACGATGCAGACGGAGACGAGGACGAAGACGAAGATGAGGATGAGGATGAGGACGACGAAGATGAGGACGAAGACGACGAGGCAATGGACGTGGACGACGCCGAAGACCAACACGAAGGCTCTTACCAACGATCGCTCTCGCCCACCTCCTACCTAGCAAGAGCCGAGGCTCGTCGAGGTGCTATGAAGCCTTCCTCCAGCCTCATCAACGCCAAGGCATACTCTATAGAGCCCGTAGCGGCTCTACCTCACGCATCGCACGCACACGCAATGTGCCTTTCGGGGGATGGCACCGTGCTCCTCACCGGAGGTTCGGACGGCCATGTCAGACGGTATGACGTCTATGCAACAATGAACGGCAAAAGTATGCTGACTGTAGGCGCCAGGCATGGCTTCGTCGAAGGCATCACAAGAGGCGGTGTATTAGCTGCTTGGTGGGCCAATGAGGAACATCCGGCAGTCAAGGCCGAAGACGATGCGTTCGACGAAAGGCTGGTCAGTGCGGTCCACAGTCTTGCGATACAAAAGGACGCCCTTTGGTCGTTGAGCGGAACAGAGTCAGGTAACATCAACTTGACCACCGTGAGACACGACCCTGGCACGACTCATCACGTCCTGCGAAAACATAAAGGGCCTGTCTCTGCACTGGCTTTGACCAATGGAGATGCGGAGCTAGTGAGCGGAGGCTGGGACACTGGTGTTCACGTGAGTAAGCAGGCTAGTTGTTGAGCTGAGGAGAGAAAGGAGCCATCTGAACAGGTCACTGCCCACTTCCCTTTCGTCATAGCAATGGGATCTTAATACTGGCCAAGTAGTCCGATCGTACCCCGGACACGCTGGTCAAATTTCGTCCCTGTCATTCAGACCATTGAACAGGGGAGAGTCGTCGAGTCGGCATACCTCTCCAGTCGTATCAATATCGATGTCACGAGAAAATGGAGGCAGTCCCCAACGGGAAGCAGATAGTCCTGTCAATGGTGCTCGCAGAGGTTCGCCGCGAGGCAGACCAAGCAAGAGCCGTAGTGGTTCTGCACATCAGGAGAGCCCAACCAGAGGTCTGACTCCGCCGAAGCAGGAGGTGAAAATATCGCCTTCTCCGAAAGCTCCAGGCAAAGAGTCTCTCGAAGACATCGAGATGAGCGAGGAACGCCAATCTGATGCGGCTCTGTTGGGTCTGAGAGAGGAGCCCACAGCAACAGGGACACCATCTGCTGGACTCAAGACGGACCTCGATGAGCTAGGTGGTGGCAACTTTACTCCTTCAGCAGACGACCTCGCATTCGAGCAAGAGCTGCAGAAGAGCTTAGCCCTGGACGGCTTGTCAGAGTCGAATCCGATTGCTTCAGAAAGCAAAGTTGCCGATTCTGGCGGACGATCCACCTCGGCGGCTGCGAAGCCTCCGAAAGGAGCAGATGGGGATGGAGATAATGACAACGACAGTCTTTTCGGTGGTGGCAGCGAGGAAGACGGGGACGTCGATGCGGACGGGGAAGAAGACGACGAAGAGGAGGGAGGAGACGACGCAGACGCGGAAGGAGAACAAGACGATGACGATGACGACCAGCCCCTCTCTCGGCTAGCCAAAGGTCTAGAAGGCGAGGCAAGCGGCAACAATGCAATCTCTGGCAATGCGACCGCTGGCATTAATCTACCTGGTCTCGGTGGTAATGACTTCAGCTCGACGTCTGCTTTGCCTCTCCCTCAAGCAGGCAGCAGCACAGCTGCATCAACGACCAGCAAAGCTGGCAAGAATGGCGCGGACACCGCATCGAAGAAGACGCTCAAGACGCCCGCGTGGGGTGGACTGACGACTACGGAGGGGTACGATGCAGACACGACGCACTTCTCCAACGACCTCCTTCTGACCACCACTCTCGGTGGGCAGGCTATTCTATGGGACCGCAGAGTACCTGCCTCTGAAGCAGGTGGGAGCGGAGCGGGAAGCAGTGGTGGGATTCGCGCTCTGCCCCTGCCGGCCAACACCCCACCCTGGTGCGCCTCGGCCGCCTGGGCGCCGGATGGGGAGCGTATCTACCTAGGTCGGCGCAACGAGAGCGTGGAAGAGTGGGACATGCGCATGTTGAGCAGTCGCTCTGGCAGTGGTAGCGATAGCTCTGCGGATGCTCTGGGCTCTACATGGAGGGGCAAGAGGGGCAATATGGGCCTCGTCAGGACGTTCAAATTCCCCAGCGGCAGCGGGCCGGTGACGAGCTTGGAGGTCATGCCCAATGGGCGACATTTAGTCTGGTGAGTCCCCGAACAACCTTTGCTTGGGACACGCGCACTCTTCACTGACACCTGCAACTTTCTCTGCCCTGCCTTCGTCCTTCCTTCAGTGCATCCTTCGACAATATCCGTCTCTGGAATCTCTCCCTCTCCACTTCCACCTCTTCCTCTTCCACATCATCATCTTCACACATCCCCTTCCGGATAGTCCCCGGCCATCAAGGCGGGACCGTCTCGGCTTTGCTCCTGGATTCTACTGGTCGCTTCCTGTTTTCAGCTAGTGGTGATCGGGCGTGGAGGTCGAGAGGGACGGAGATGGTGCTGGGACATGAGGTGAGGGCTTCTGGGTGATTAGAGGGCGGGGGCCAAAGTGGATGGACACTTAACAGAGTGCACTGTAGTCTTTGCTGCCCTTTGGTCAAATGTTGCACTACATTTTCCATGATATGAGTTCCTTCTATGGATGTGAAAGACGAAAGCAATGTACACATTTGTACTTCCCCTCCCTTCACCCTTCTACTTCCTTTACCTTCTCCTCAAAACTCCCGCGTCTGATCGACGGCCCTCACCAAGTCCGCATAAAACCTGACCGCCCTCTCCAGTCCCTCCACCCTGAAGAACTCATCAACATTATGTACACCTGCAAATTGAGATCGGCCTTTTGGATCAGGCAGAGCCGATGCAGGTCCGAAGCGGAAGACGTGTCGCGAGAGAGGGTGCAGAGGGGAGAGCATGTGACGCGTGTCGGTATTGCCGCGCATTTGAGAGGGAGAGACGATAATGGGTACTTCTCCCTTGGTGAGGACAGTGCTGTCATCTCCTCGCGGTGTGTAGGAGTCTGCAGGGACAGACCATACGGATCGGATGACAGAGGAGAAGAGACGCCAGGGTGCTGCTTCTGGTCCCGACAGGGGGGATCGGGGCACAGGTGCCGACGAGGAGACAACTTCTATGTGTACTGTACCTACCTTGGGCATTGTCTCTTTCGCACTCGCCAACCACATCTCTGGCAAGACTACTTGCCGTCCAAAGGCGTACAGAACCAAGTCGTGCTTCTGGGCAAAGTGCGTCAGGTGCGTCTTGTACCACTGCATCACCCCCTCGGGCGTCTGGTGCAGTGCGATGCGGTGGTCGATCTCTACTTGGGCCGACGTGGGAATGGCGTTGAGCTTAATTCCGCCATGGAAGACGGTAGGCGTCTGTGTAGTGGACCAGGGAAGCTTGAGGTCCTCGGGAAGGACAGAGAGAAGAGCAGCTTCGGCTTTGGCGATGCGACGCTGCTTGCTGCTGGGAGTGAGGGCTCCGCTGAGTTGGAGCAGACGGAGGGTGAGGTACTTGCCTGAGAAAAGTTCACTCATGGCTCGGAGGTCCTCAAAGGAGGAGCGAGCAGCTGCGTCGAGATCCTTCAATGCCTTGTCCACCACAGCTGGCAGCCGAGCACAGTGAAGCATCTTCAAATGTGCGCTCTCCAGGTCAGGAATGACGGGCGGTCGGAGGTTTTCCCCCGTCTCAAGGCTGCTGACAAACTCGGAGAGCAAGCCAATCGTTGTCCTATCAGGGGGAGAGGAGGAGTGTCCTCCTCTTCCCTCAATCTTGACACGAATGTGGATATTGCCCTTCTCTTCCACTGCGGGGAGGGCAATCGGGAAGCCGAGCGAATTGGGCTCAGTAGCCGGTACAACAGGGTTGCCCTCATCGACAATCATTGCCAATGAGTCGTTGCCGTAGCGCTCCGCAATGCGGTCTGCAATGTACTTGGCGCCGTACCTCCCCTGTGCTTCCTCGTCGTACCCAAATGAGATGAGCACTGTCCTCCGCGGTTTGAAACCAGAGTCAATGAGTGCCTCGATGGAAGAAAGGATACTGAACAGCCAGGCTTTTGCGTCTGTTGAGCCTCGACCCCAGACTGTGCCGTTGACGATTGCTCCAGAGAAGGGCGGGTAAGTCCAATCGTCCACGGTCTGTGGGTCGACGGGCACAACGTCCTGGTGCGCCATGAGGAGCAGGGGCTTCAGAGAGTCATCCGAGCCCTGGAGCGTGTACAGGAGTCCATGCTCATTGACTAGCTCCAGCTTGACGGGACCCTCATCAGCATGAATGCCTGGATAAGTGGTACGGAGATAGTCTCGGAAAGGCGAGAAGCGGGCTTTCCAGCTCTCGGGATCTTCCTGAGGAGATGGCTCATCGTCGTGTACACTCGTGTCGATCTGTACACCCCCGCTGAGTCGCTCTGCCAGGACTTGCGTCTCTGGAAACGTCACTTCGATTCCATCCTCTGCACTCTTCCAGGGGTCCTGCTGAGGGCAGCGTCCGCCAGCAGCCTCCTCAGCTGCCCAAGAGGTGCCGGCCAATCGTGTAGAGGTGGGTTCCTGCTGAAACCAAGCAACAAGCGAGTCGGACAAATCCTCCCAAGTAGAGCCCTCGATCTCGTTCTCTCGAGCCTTCCTTTGCGAGCGGGAAGTGTCAAAGGCGATGTATGCGAGGACAAAGGTTGCAATCCATTTCGCGACCAACAGGATGCGCTGTGTCCTGGGAGTGAGAGTATAGCGTGCGGGACCGGTGTAAGAAGGTGAGGGTGTCTTCTCGCCCTTGCCGGAGGCGCCGGTGAAAGGATGTGACATCTTGCCAGACTACCAAAGAGGTTAGATGGAGCAGGTGGTACCGAAACGATGAAAGATCATGGAAGGAAGGAGATAAAGTGGAGTCAGCAGAGCTATAAACGGTCGTAGAGCAAGGAGCAGCAGCAGCAGCAGCACGCTCCCCCCACCCTCCCCTCTTGCGGCTTTCTCACACTCCTCGGCAGCCCGTCAGTCACCCCGCCAGTCAGCCGACGTAATTCATCCGCAATCAGCCGATTGTCTCCCATCCGCACTGCACAAGCCATCCCATCCACCTTCGGATTTTCGGCTTCCATCGGACTCTTGATCCGAACTTCCCGTCATCACCTCACCAGATATCACTCATGGCTATCAGCTATCAGCTATCAGCAGTCAGCAGTCAGCAGTCAATCAGTCAGCAGAACTCGGCCGAATTCGACCGGTGAAGTAGATGATAGGCATGATTCCATTAAGCAAGGGAGCGAGCGAGAGCGAGGCACATTGGTATACACAATCCGCACGAGTCGAGGCTAAACGAGTCAACGAAGCGTCCTGCTCAGATCATTCTATCCACATTCCACAGCCCCATTGTCTTTACTTCGCCCGAGCTTCCCTACTCCATCACCTGGTTCAGCTGACCTATACAGCCCTGTGCACCCTTCAGCGATCCCCCGAATCCTGCTTTCGCATATGGAAAGGATTGTGGAACTTGCTCTTCTTAGACGCTTTCGGAGACGCTCCTGCGGTGGATTCGTTGGCAATGGACGCCGAATCCGCTCCACCTGCACCGCGGAAGCTCATCGATCTGCGCATGGCTCCGTCCCCATTCTGATGAGCCTGGGACTGACCGTACCCATCCACCGCAGCCGCTTGTTGCGGCACGGCAGGGATCATCTCGTCTTCACCTCGCGACTCGAGAATGGCAGCTTGTGCCTGTTTGTCCCCTACGGAGGCCTTCCTGCCACGCACCGTACCAAAGACGCTTTTGCCTACTGCACCTACCCCGTGCCCCACCCCACCCGCAACGCCATAGGCTCCCTTGCCCACACCTGCTCCCACGGCGCCCACCCCCCGCACACCAGCGGAGCCTACCGTGCCTACCCCCTTGGCGCCGGCGAGGCCTACGGTACCTACGCCTCGCACGCCTGCGACTCCAAGACGGCCAACGCCGGTGACACCGCCTGTGAAGGTCTTGCCTAGGTTGAGACTGGTGCCTCTTCGTCCCCTGATAGAGGCGACAAATTCGGGTCGGAAGACGAGGCGGAATGTAAGCTGACCGCCCTCTCCGGCTCCTTTACCCGTGATGGGCAAAGTCTTGGTCATTGACTCGAATGGCTCGAGCTCATTGAGGTCCAAGACCACTTCGCCGAGGCGATCAGGCGTGCCCACTTGATCCCAGTCAAAGATTTCCAAAACGGCCTTTGCGTGTACTCTCGAAGGAATTTCGGCTTCTCCTAGACTCTCGTCCCACGTGGGGTTGAGAGTCTTCTTGATCGTCTTTGATTTTAGTATACGCTCGCCATTCAGCTGGAAGCAGACGTAGGGATCAGAGGACTTGCCGCCGATGATACCGCTGTCGGCTGCTCGAAGATTGGTGGCATTGACCAAGTCGATCCTGAGGAATCCCTGATTGTTGATGGACTCGACTGCCTCTAGGTGGACGTCGCAGGGAATGTAACGACATTCCAGCCTGACTGTAGACTTGTGTGTTCCAGCGTCGGACGCTAGTGTCAGCTCACCGACCTTGTTCAGCGTACGCTCAAGCACGTCCTTGGTGTTACCTTGGAACTCGGCAAAGACGTCTTCGTCCCTTGGACCTGTCCTCAGCTTGAGCATCATGCGCGACCAGTCGAGCTCCTTGATTACGTGTTCACCCACTTCATCGAAGGTAGTCTGGCCATGAGTTCGAGAGGGCTGCGTCTCGAATGCCGGCCAGTACCCATCGTCGAAAGAGACTTCCAGTCGGGCATTCCTCTTGGCAATGTTGCCATCGAGGAGATTGAAAGCAATGATACCGCTTTGGCACTTGAGCAGCTGCTCCTCCGTCATCGTAGCTCCAGCAGCACGTGCCTTCTCCGTCATCGCCTCAACAGCAGCAGTGTCAGAGGTCTTGGCAGTTGCCACACTCCGGATGGAAGCGTTATCAGGCGAGCTGCTCGCCTTGCCATTTGTCGCTCTGGTGATCGTGCCCTTTCGCTCCAAGCTGCCTTCTGTGTCCAGACTCATGTTTGCTTCGGTCATGGTGCCGTCGACTGCCTTGGCTTCGTCACCATCGGCATCGGTAACATCGGCTGCCTTAGCCTGTGCCTCGTTGCCAGCACCGCTAAAGTCGCTGATCTTGACATTTTCAGCTGGCAAGAATTCGGCCACAAATTCAATCTCGCCCTTGTAGACATTACGACCCAGATGGAGCTTGTCTTTCCGTCTTTGCTTTCCACTGCTGTGATAAGGACGCTTAAGATTGCCGGTCTCAGAAGCAAACTCGCGTGGCTGAATCTCGACGATACCGAGCGACCGTGGAGGACCGTTGTTCTCGTAGTCCATGACCTCGACTCCGATACGGTCTTGCAGAGATTGCACTGTGCAGTAGAGATACTCGTCCCACTCGGGGTCCAGCGTGTTGTTTCGCACGACACTCGCATCTTGTTGAAGACCGCGGCTGATAAGACGAACAAAGGGATCGCTCTTGCCGCCCAACTCGACATTCTTGACTCCCTTGGCTTCTTTTGCCCAGATCTTGACGGCACCAATAGGAGGAGACCAAGCGGATCCACCATTGAGGGATCCAGCCATCTGCACAGGTTTCCATTCTGCGCTCATTCTCAGTCGACCGTCCTTCGTGAGAGGGAACCAGTCCTGAGACCGCTCCTTTGCCTTGAGCAGGTCGTCGAGCTTGACACTGAGGTAAGAGATGACCGGGTCACCGGTAAGACCGTGATCGTCCACAATCTGCACTCCGATGACTGCCCTCTTCCTCTCCGTCACAAGGAATTCGGTCGCCATCTCCCAAATCGGAGTGAGAGTCCTCTTCAACGCGTCACTGTCCTTGATCTTGACACCATTCAAAAGCACTCGTGCCCTGGGATTGACGTCGCCGCCGATCACACCTGACCGCTTGGGCAGGTCCTTTGCCTGGTGCACGGTCAGGCGGACAACACCGGATCGGGTCTGAGGTAGTGGCTCGGCTTTACCATTGGCATCGACCTTTGGCTTGATGACAGGGTAGTAACTAAGTGAGTACTGTACTTCACCGCGCTCCTTACCGTTGAGAATGACGGGTGTCGAGAGGTTCTCCTGCTCAGGTTGAGTCTCGAGCGTATGCAGCTGGAAGGAAGCAGCGCCCAACCGAGAATCAGGACGACGGTCGTTGTAGTCCATGAGAGCCATGACCAAGAAGCTGTTGCCAATGTCCTGCTCCTTGAGAAGAATGAACTTCGTCTCCTTGAATTGGGGACTCGTGGTGCTGTCCTTGTGACGAGTCTTGGCGAGAACCTCCTTGTCGTCTACAGTAATGGCCACGTAAGGATCAGGAGTGCCGCCGCCCAGCTTGACTCCCTTGAGATTACGAGCAGACCAGATTGTGATCTGCAAGACACCAGCCGCTGTGTCGAGGGGAGTGCCAGACAATAGCTCCTCGAGGTTCACAGTGAACATGTTCGGGTAATACATCATCGGTCCGAGATTGGCATGGACCTGCTCGCGGATAAAGCTGCTGAGACCTGGGATGTTGCCAATGTCGAAGCCCATCGTGGAGCCTCCAATGGGCTTGAGAACGTAGTCGAATTCTGGAGGAGTCATCATTGAGATGTCTACCAACTGCACGTGTGGGAAATTGGACATCAATTGCATCCTCAGACGTACGTGGCCGACGAAGCTGATGTCCTCGACCAGGATAGGCAAGCCTGCTCCGACTATACCGCGGCCCAGGCGAACGGTCAGCACGATTTTTGGATTGATCTTAGCTGCTGCTTGCCTGACTGTCAGGTCAAGCGTGTCATTGGGTGTGAAGCTGAATTTCCAGTCCATGCAGATCTCCTCTTCGGTCTTGGTCGCGATTGTGCGCACAAAGTCTATCTTCGGTGCTTTTGTTCCCAATGTGAATGTGGTGAGACGAATAGAGTCAAGGAAGCTGGGGCAGTTCTGGACGAGAATGGCATCCACAGTGGAGATGATGGTAGCGGAGAGGACGGGCTCGTAGATTGCCCAGAAGCGAGTGAGGGCGGAATTCATCCACATGACCGTCTCGTTCTCATCGAGCATCTTGTGCCTTGCCATCTCGCGGGCAATGTCATCCCTGACCCTTTGTCTTGTGCGCCGGGAGGAAGCATTGTAATACGTTGTGAAGAAGGCTCCAATGATGAGCATTGAGAAGATGCCGCCTCCGAAGCGAGTGAAGAAGTATGTGGTGAGGACAGCAAGGATGACCGATGCTCCATCGAACCAGAATTTGCCCAACTTGTCTTCAGGGACGTATTTGCCGACGAGGGCAGACTCCCACGCAGTTTTAGCCTCCTCCTCTTCTCCTGGTGCGAGGGGCTTCTGTCCTGCGAGGAGCGCCTTTGCAGCGCCTGTATGACCTACAATGGCGTCATCGGAGACGTTGAGAGAAGGCCCACCTGCTTTGGGGCCTGTACCATCTCCTTTTTGCCCTTCTGACTTGCTGACCCGGTCAATGTCTGACATCCGGATCGTGGAATGTACATGCTGAGTTTTGCCGATATCAGATGCAATGCCTGGTGAGCCAGAAGAGGGAGGTATCATCGTAAATTCTGAGTATGATGTTTCAAGCGAGCGTCATCACCACTGTCTGCTCGAGCGACTCACCAGCTCCTGTATCATCCTTCTTTGCCTTTGCATTGACCGGCTTTACCTTTTCCTGTGCAAGTGCCCTAGCTTGAGCTCCCTTCTGCTCTGGACTAGCCTCCTCATCAAAATTCATGACATTGGCTCCAGCATCTTGATTGCTCTGTAGCTTTGCCTGTAGTGCCTCTGTCTCTGCTGCATCTCTGGCAGTGGCATTGGCGATGCTGTCTGGGCGGGGAGCTTCATCGGCTACCTGACCTTGGGCGGCATGATCGATGGCTGTGACCTTGGGCGCCATCCGGGCAAGTGGGTCTAGGTGTTGATGATCGTCAGAACGCAGATGGAAGGGAAGATGAAGAGGTGAGTTTGGAGATAGTGACGATAAGTGCCACGACTACCTCGCCGAGACTGAGAAGAGGTGTCACGAGGTGGAGAGGGAATGGTAGCGAGGTAGCTGGTGGGGTTGAGCTCAGAAAGGCAGGAAGCACAGGATGCTATGGCTGGCGGCCGGGCGCACCGCACCAGGGCGCACGGGGTCCCTCCTCACTCCGACAAGTCTCCGAAGGGCGGCAGCGGAGGCAAAGGACAGAAATCAGCTGCACAGCACCAACCGTGGGAGGAAAGAGGCGGGAGGGTCAAGGTCTGAGATTGGTCGTGGAAGGAGGCAGTAGTATCCGCTACGAGGTGGAGGAGTGGGTGTGAGTAGTGATTATGCTGTCAGTCCTGACCATTGTGCCGCTGTACCTGCCTCGGGTCATGCCATGGGAGGCGTACCTGTACTGCCTGTGCGTCTGCCTGATCTTCCGGAACGGAAGTAGCGGCGGCGCGACACACGGACCACGCATGATTTCAAGGCGGCCCTGATCGAGAAGTTGGTGGTGATGGTGCCTGATCGCCAGTCCTTCTACCTCGTATCCGTCAAGAGCGGCAGTATACAGGTTACCCAGCGACCAGCACATCTTCACTCCTCTCCAGATGATTGAATCGGCTGCTCTCCGGACGTAGCTCCTCCTCTTCTACCAAGCTGGCAGGTCACGATGTCCGCCGTGGCAGTCAGCCATCCTCAGAACACCATGGCCAGCAGCGCAGGGCAGAAATTGTTGACGGATCTGCCTGATACCTCGGTACCAGCGCAAATATTTTCACGCCCAAAGGCACCAGTCGAACTCCTCAATGCACTAGCAAAGATAGGTGCTCGTCCCTTGGAGGACTATCTCCGCGATCTCGAGGTCAAGGCAACAAGGAACCAAGGCGAAAAGGATGCCCTCAACAGACTCAAGCAGGCAGAGGAGGTAGCTTTGCTCAAGGCTGCTCAGGGCGCGGAGGTCCACGCCAGCAAGACTAGCCACGGCCCGAGCAGTCTAACACCTCCTTCCATATCCCCTTCACCCTCACCATCATCATCGCCATCCCCAACCCCGTCCTCCTCACCAGACGAGCTGAAGCGCTCGCGCTCCCACTCCTCCCTGGATGGGCTGCCCCTTCTAGCTGTCTCGCCTTCTTCAAGGCTAGGTAAGAAGCTCTGCTTTACAAAAACTGGCCACATCAGCGAATTGCTCCAGATGGAAGCATCACGCACTGCAGCACTTGCCGCTGCCTCTGTAGGAGGAAGTGGAGGATCTTCCGCCATGAGAACTATCGGAGGGGTGTACACGACGGGACATCCTGTTAGTCGTCTTACTGAATTTGCTCAACAGGCTGGGTTGAACCCGCCTGTGTTTACTAGTGTGGCAAGAGCCGGGTGAGTACAAGTAGAGTAGAGTGCTATGGCTGCAATGCATACTAAGACCCACCACCCTGCTTCCCTCCCTCCCGCCTGCAGCATCCACTGCTCACCAGACCACTACGTCACCCTCGTCTTCGAAGGCCACACATTCGTCGACCACAAGGGAAAGAGGAATGTCAGATCTGGAAGGGAGTGTGTTGCTCAACAGGCTCTGGACTTCTTCCTCGGCACTCGTGACGAAGACGACGATGATGCTACCAAGAGCAAGACTGAAGAGGAAGAGCGAGCAAGCCCCACGCAGCTGCCCGCCGCAACGGCTGGGCTCAAATCTCTGTCAATCGACGAGGCAAAAGCGTCATCTCCGCCTACAGCTGCTGTTGCCGCTGCCACAATGCCTCCTCCGCAGCTAGAGTGCCCCAACCCAATCGGTTTCCTCTACGAGACGGCCTCGCGATACAATCACGCACCGCCCGTCTTTACGTACGAGACGAAGAAAGGGTGAGTAGAGTCTGTCAAGACGATCTTGGGCACTTTTCCCACCTCTTCTAACGTTTCTCTGTTTCCACACCCTCTTGATAGGCTGCACTGCTCCCCCGACTACTACGTCCAGCTCACCTTCGGCAACCACACCTTTACCGACGAGCAAGGTCAGCGTAGTCTCAAGGCAGGTAAAGAGCTCGTTGCTCTACGTGCATGGGAATACCTTTGCGAAGCTCGGAAGTTGCGAAAGAGCGGGGTTAAACCCAGCCTCGCTGCGGTTGGGGTGATGGGGGTTGGACGAACGGCGCATGTTCGGATGCGAGCACGACCGGTGGACGACTGATAGGAAGATGGTATATGGGTGTGCTCGTTAGATAAGTGTTCGATAGATGGGTAACAGATCCATAGACAGATAGATAGTAGATGTATATAGTCACGCCTCGATGTCGATGCTGGTGCGAATAAAGACGATGCGATTTTCCTCTCATCTCATCTCATCTCATCCCATCTCATCTCATCTCATCTCATCTCATCATGTTTGATCGTGAGCATAAGCAGTGCCAAGTTACTCGTGCCCCGCTAGCATGGATCCTCGTCCCTCCTCCTCCTCCTAGCTCCTTTCCAAGCCAGCCTAGACCAGCAGCCCACCACCTACCTACCTACCTACCTATCTCCAAGCGACTCAAGAGTGATGTACAACTTCAACTCCTGCACCTTTAGCCCCACGGCGAGAACTATCTTCTGCAAGTCTTTCCGCCTCTCGTAGCTCCTCCTCCTCGTCTTCCCCTTCCTCTTCTTCGTTGTTTGCATTTGACACTGTATCGCTAGGGACACCATCGGGCGCATCGTGGAACTCGTCCTTTTCGGGATTGTGCATCGGGGTGACGAGATTGCCCGTGTGGTGGGGGTGTCGCTCAGAAGAAGCGTAGCCATTTGGATCTGCAGAGCCCATAGAGTCCTGATGGTGATGCTGATGCTCATGCTCATACTCATACTGCTCCCTCTCCCTCTCCTGCGCCTGTGCCTCCTCGGCCTCTCGATCCTCTTCTTCATGTCCTCCAAATTCTCTCCGTCGATCCTGCTGCATATGTCTCAGACTGAGTCCACCTAAGAAGGCTCCCGTGGAGAGACGACGTTGCATTGCTGCTCGGGGAGTTTGAGCTCCTTCGCCTTCAGCTCCATCGGCGTGTTGAGCGTGACCTTCGGGATGAAGATGATGCTGGGCGACACCCGGGAAGTGGTCCTGATGGGAGCCTTGTGCGAGGTGCGAATAGGGGTGAGGAGCAGAGGACGAATTGGCATCGTCGGCAGAGGACGGAGAGGAAATGTCGTCCTGGGAGAGGGAAGAGCGCGCTTGCAATGGCGAGGCAGGCCGACGTGGCGTCTGATCGCCTGTACCGCTACTGCCGGCCGGCTGATTTGAGTCGCTGGCCACCCCCGGAGTCGCAACGGGCGTGCTGCCTTCCGAAGCAGCCGCCTTGTCGCCTGTAGGCTTTGCCTGCTGCTGATTTGACGTCGACGTCTTTCTTGCGGACGTCGCAGACGTCTTGCGTGGTGGAGCAGTGGGTGCTGCTGCAGAAGCGCTCGAAGGCTTGTCGTATCCTCCCGAGCCCAGCATCTTCTTCCACGCGCTTTTGGCCTTCTTCGAGATCTCCTCGCCCAGATCAATCACATCATTCGCCTGTTGAGAACCGCCGCCATAGTATCCTCCATTGCCGGTTCCAGAAGAGGCGGCATTGCCACCGTGGAATTGCTGGCGACCCATCTGCTGAGAAGCAGCAGCGGCGGCCGCTGCACTCCTATTTGGTCCGCCGGGCCCGTTGAACCCACCGCCCCTGCCCGAGCCCTGCGACTGGAGCATCTGACTCCGCGCTGCCACACCAATCGTGATGGAGGTGGACCTCTTCAGTCTCCCACTGACCGGCAAAGGAGCAAATCGGATTGCGCATGAGTGTGAGGAACTCGTTGTGGAGACGGAAGAGTTCCTTGTGGACTCTGTATCTGTTCGAGTCCTGCCGCGACCACGGGAGGATTGGTCGCCAGCAGAAGAAGATTGACCGAGGGAGATCCCATCGTCATCATCATCATCGTCTGCAATGGCAGAGGAGTCGATGGACCCCTGGCGTGATCTGTCCGAGGCAGAGCTGGGGAAGTCAAGCGCCTCGCTACTTTGCGTTCCCGATGAAGATCTGCTGCTGCCGCTGCTAAAGGGGCTCACGCCAGGCAACACCACTCCGTCCCCCGTAGAAGCCTCTGTGCCTCTAGGATCCACCTCGAGGACCTCTCCTCCTTCATGCTTCACACCCCCAGGCAGCGGCACGGTCCTCTGGAAACTCTTCCCTAGTGCCACTCCCGACTTTTTCTTGAGAAGTCGACCAGGTTGAGCAGGGATAAAAGCAGCCTTGAGGGCAGAAGCTTTCTTACTGCTAGCAGGAGGGGGAGCTTCGTGTGGATTGGCGAGGATGCTAGCTGCTGGTTTCAGAGTGGGGTCGTGCGTAGGAAGAGACTTTTCCGATGTAGGGGCAGCGAGGTCTGAAGGGGGTTGAGGAGAGCTGGTAGAGGAGGAGGAGGAGCGAGAGGAGGAGGAAGGCGCAGCAGAGGCTGGAGGGGCTGCGACTTTAGTATCGGCTGCTGCCATGCTGAGTTTGCTTGCTTGTCAATCCGGAAGAGGAGGAGAGAGGCTTAGGGATTCCAAGGACTTATTCGCTCGGACGTTGCTGTTGTCTTGCTCTCCGCTCTGCTACGTCGTCGTCGTCGTCGTCACCAGACGATCAATGGCGAGAGGGGGGGTTGCTTGTCTGGTACATCGAGTAGACTACTTACTAGTCTAGGGCAAAGGGCAGGGCCACCGCTCACCTGGGTCACCGTTCCCCGGCCTTGCCTGCTTTCCCACTCGGCAGTGCGTTGCCGGCGCTTGGGGCACAGGGCCGGGCGCGCCTTCCCCCGCCAGAAGTGTGGAGCCCCGTCGCGCAGCGCCAGACGCCTCGCCTTGCGCCCACCCGCCTGCTGCTGAGCCCACGCACTCACTCCTTGCCGTCTTGGCCGGAGGTGGGGCGCACCCTTCTCTGGATGTTACCGAGTTGCAAAGAGTAGACACTGTCCATGACGGCCGCCGTCAAAGTCTCTCACCTCGACCTCGAGGCCCAAAACAGACTTCACACTTGTCCTTGGTCGGCCAGAGAGCGCAGCAAAATGAGATGTAAAATGCGGAACGAAGGAGCACAAAGACATACAAGAAGGTAGAGAAGACGCACGACGAAACCAGAGCCACCTGCTTCACTCCTTTGACTTCTTTGACTTCTTCGACTTCTTCTCTGCCCCATCCTCTTCATCTGCACTCCTCTTCTTCTCCTTCTTCTCCTTCTTGCCACTCGTATCCACACCTGCTGCCTCCATTTGTGCCTCGGCAGCCTTCTTCTCCTTCTTCCTCTTCTTCCTCTCCTCTTTGCTCAGACCCTCCTCGTCCACTGCCTCTTCCTTGGCAGCCTTCTTCAGAGCCTTCTTCTCGTCCTTTGTCAGCTTCTTGCCAGAAGCAGTAGTAGCAGTCGTCTCATCAGCATCCATGGTGGTGTCGGCCACTGTAGTGTCAGCCACTGTGGGAGCAACGACGGGTGCGTCGGCACCTGCATTGTATGACCTTCCACCTCCATTCATCTCAAACTTCTTCTGTTGGTAGCCGGCGTTAGGGCCCTTGGCAGCGCGCAGACCTCCAATATCGCTTCGGTGCTCCAAACCCCTCAGTCGGCTCTCCAGCTTGGCCCGCGCCTCCAGACCAATCGATGGGGCAGCAGCGTCAGACTTGGAATCGGCATCAGCCAGTGCGTCCAGACGGATCGACAGGGCAGCCTTGGTAGCCACCATCCTGGCCATCTTTCCCTTGAGCTTCTGAGGTGCCTGGCCCACCAGCGAAGAGTGGAAGATCAGACCGTACTTTGGTGTGTCGTGCTTGGTCTTGAGCGCTCGGAAGAGGGCCTTCTCGGCACCCAGGATCTGCACTGTCGAGGCAGGCTGCTTGGCTAGCGACATGAGCGATCCAGCGTGCGAAATGAGACGGGCGCCGACCAGCTCGCCCACGAGAGCTGTGAGGTTGGGAGCAATGGCAGCCATTCTGTTCTGCAGGTAAGAGAAGAGCTGCGATCGGTATGCGGTGATGCTGATGACCTGGTCACACAGGCTGTAGATGTGGTCAATGTCGGTCTGCGAGATTTCGGTACCCATGGAGATCTCAGCAGCGGCCTTGAGTGTCTCCTCGATCTCCTCTGGCAGAATCTCGGCAAAGTCCGTAGTGGCAGCGTTTGTGCGGAAGCCCATTGCCTTGATGCACTTTGAGTAGGCGAGGTTGTCGGTGATGAGCTTGCCCATCTCGGGGAAGTGCCATCCGTACCACTCCTTGACTCTCATGGCGTAAATGTTAATCTCCTTGTCCAGGTCGTCAAGTAGACCAATGGCTTGCACCACCATGGTGTCCACCTTGTCGGGGCTGAACTTGAGCTTGTACCTGCTGAGCGAGTGACTGAGACCCAAGCTCATGGTGTTCAGGTCTCGGGGATCGAGGCTGGAGTTGTCGGAGGCAGTAGAAGAGAGGAGAGCTGCGAGGTGGGATCGGATGCCTCGGTACAAGTCGTTAACGGACGAGTCTGAGATGACGTTGATGCCCAGCTTCTTGGAGATGGAGCCACCTGTATGGGTCGAGATGAGTGGGTAGCAGGGTAGAACAGTCAGCGTCACGCTGCGATGGTGGGAGTGACATGCTGTATGGCTGCTCGAGAAAACTCACCTAGCTTTGGGTCAACGACGACGAGCTGCTCATTCTTTCCCTTTCCCTTTTTGCTACCCTCCTGATCAACAATTTCTTCCGTGAGGAGCTTCTTCAAGCTCTTGCTCATCTTTCCCTCTGCAATGGCGCTGGCCTCCTCGACTGCCTCTGCAGTGGATGTGAATCGAGAAATGGCAGAGAGCTTGAGCATGTTGGAGGCCTTTGCTGGGTCGGCAAAGTCGTCGACGAGGGAGGGGGAGGAGATCTTTGCCGAGTCCGAGAGGCGGAAGAGGGCGAGGCCCACGGCCGTCTCGAAGAGGACGAGGACCATGGTGGGCGTGTGTGTGGAACGAGGTGTGTGATGAGGTGTATGTGCTGTGTGGAGCACCTAGCACTGCTGCCTCTGTGTGTGGATGATGTAGGTGCTGGTGGTGGTGATGGTGGTGGTGATGATGATGATGAGCGATTGTAGGCTGGCTGAGATCCTCGAGGAAGAAGCCGCGGCGTGTGCGAAGAAGGAAATTTCATCTCGGGCCACGGAGCGGCAACGCAGCCAAGGCGGGACCCACGGCCAGGCGCACATCCGCCCACCCACACGCGGGCAAGCAAAGAATTTCCAACGTGACTGCTGATTACGTAAACTCCCCCCCCCCTGCAGCTCCACTCCCGCACCCACCCTCGGCCACTTTGGGTACTTGACAGGGACGCCCTGGGCCTCGAGCTACGAGGTGCATCCTGTATTCGCAGCTGTGGACGATCAGCTTTGTCCTACCCCAGGTCTTCCAGCATGAAGATCGTATCCAAACACATCGAGCGGGATGGCTCGGGTAGAGTGGTCCTCATTCCTCAGGAAGAGTAAGTCATGGCCGATGCTGTCTCCTCCGTACCGTATCGCTGCTGAATACTCAACGACTCTCTTCATCCCTGGCCTGCTTTCAGCGAGGATATGTACCATCTCCTCCACCTCATCCAAGAAGGCGACCTTGTCAAAGCTCCCGCCGTGCGCAGAGTCCAGTCCGAGTCCTCCACTGGCTCCATGGAGTCGCACCGCGTCAAGCTCAACCTCACCCTGCAGGTGACAAAGACCAGCTTCGACGCCACGGGCTCCTCTGCCCCACCCGATCCCACTGCCGCCAATGCAGAGAACACGAGTGCGGCACAGGAAGCTACCTCTGCAACGGGGGGAGCGCTAGGAGGTGGTGGAGGTGAAGGGGCTACGTTGCAGGTGTCGGGCAGGGTGGTTGCGGAGAATCCTTACGTCAAGATGGGCGCCTTCCATACGCTCGATCTCGAGACGAACCGACAGCTGACCATCACAAAGGACTCTTGGGACTCGATTCATCTCGAGCGGCTATCAGATTCCAGCGACGTCGGTCAAAGGGCAGAAGTTGGCGCAGTAGTCCTGGGCGAAGGGACGGCGGTGGTCTGTCTGCTGACAGAGCACATGACAGTAGTGCGGCAACGCATCGACGTGCCTCTGCCCCGGAAGCGCAAAGGCCTCCCTTCCTCTGCAGGGGACAAGTCTCTCGGTCGCTTCCATTTTCAGGTCTACAATGCCGTACTCAAGCTCATCTCCCTCCCTGCTCTACGACTCATCATCCTCGCCTCCCCTGGCTTTACGCGCGATTCAGTGTACGACTTCCTCTTCGAAGAAGCAGTGAAGCGTGGGGACAAGGCCCTCATCGGTTCGGAAGCTCGACGAAAATTTCTCAAGATCCACTGCTCCTCCCCACACGTCCACTCGCTCATGGAGGTATTGCGCTCACCAGAAGTGTCTACCCAGCTCAAGGATACCAAATTCGCGCGAGAGGGACAACTCCTGGAGAAGTTCATGCGCATGCTCTCCTCGGACGAGTTGCGCGCCTGGTACTCGGAGAAGCACGTCCTCCTCGCTGCCGATCGAGGGGCGATCCAAACCCTCCTCATTTCCGATGGACTCTTCCGCTCTGCTGATCCAGTCCGGAGAAAGAAGTTTGTGAAGCTGGTAGAGGAGGTGAGGGCGCAAGGGGGAGAAGTGGCCATCTTTAGCTCGATGCATGAAAGTGGTAGACAGCTCAATGGCCTTACAGGCATTGCGGCGATTCTCACTTGGCCGATGGATGTGGAAGAAGTGGAGGAGGAGGAAGAGGAAGAGAGGAGGCGTAAAGGTCTCTCGGAAAAGGGAGAAGCGGCGCCAGAGGAGCCGGGGCTGCCTGAGCCGAATAGGAATCTAGAAGTTCAAGGAGAATGAGAGAGGAAGAAAGGTGACCATGATCATTGTACCAATACCCATCACATCATCAGGCACAACGTAGGAGACGCATACACAAGTATGTCTATAATAATTCTCTAAGCCGTGTGAAGAGCCAAAGCCAGGGTATACAACGGGCGCTTCTACTCTATCCTCACGGTCGCTCCTAATCTGTGGCCTCACACGCTGACCTTGACCGTCCCACCTGCAGCCTTACCCACACGATTCATCACTGCCAGTCCGATCCCCTCGTCCTGTACCGCCTCAACGATGATCAGATCCACCCCACCTCTCTCTTCTTCCCCATCCAATGTCACCTTGCAAGCCTGACGATGCAGCGGCCCTTCATCTAGTGTACGCAGGCCGGAGAAGAGTCGTCGCGCTGGGAGGTGTGGAGAGGAGAGGTTACCGAGGGAGAAGGGATGTACCTCGACCTCTACACCAGTTTTTGCTGATGAGTCGCTTGAGGAGGAGGTGGAGCTTAGAGAGAGCAGGAAGCTCGGACCGAGGGATTGGGTCATCTCGTGCGCCTCGGAGAGTCGATCGTGAGCCGAAGGCGACGACACTGAGGCGATCGGAAAATCACTGGCGCTGATGCCGTTCGTTCTTGAGGTGACAGATCTTTGAGCTTGCAGCCAGGACTGGACGGCCTTGTCTGAGTAGGCGTCCGGTGTTGAGAAGATGGCTTGCGAAAGTGCCGAATCGGCCAACAGCATCAGGCCCACTTTCAGAGATTCGCTCAGGGTATGCCCATTGCCGTTCGTTTGGCGAGCATCCAAGAGCGCATGTATCTCCTTGGAGATGGCTTCTTGCCAGTCGATCGCTGTTTCCTGCCCCTGCTCCGTAGGGACAAACAGGACGACCGGCGCATTAGGGCTATAATGACGGTACTTCATGCCCGGCGTAGTGGGATTCGCCTCGAAAGAGGACTGACGGGCCATGTCCTTTCCATAGACCTTCAGCTTCACTTTGCCTCCTTCGGACCCATTACTGTTGACCAAGACCTCCGGCTGCTCTTCCGGTCCGGCTAAGAGACCAGCGCTCCGCAGACAAGCCTCGATTTCCTCTGGTCCTACCGCTCCCGGCCGCAGGATCCTCAGCTCGTCGGGCGACGTGACGCCGTCGATGACTGTACTCTCGACCCCTTGCCTACTGGCACCTCCATCGAGAATGTACGGTATGCGTCCCTTGTGATCCGCTGAGCCAATCGTCCCGCCGGCTCGAAGCGCATCCAGTGCCCCGCCTAGGTCGTACATGACATGCTGCGCCGTAGTGGGCGATGGTCTGCCGCTCGCATTGGCCGAGGGAGCTGCGAGCGGAAGATTGGACTGAGCGATGAGCGCTCTCGCGAGCGGGTGGGAGGGCATCCGTATCCCCACAAGGGGGTGATGAGCAGTGACTACCATTGGGAGAGGAGAGGTGCCTTGGCCTGTGAGGAGGGACCGCCGTGTGTCGGTTGAGCTCGAGGATGTTGAGCCACTCAGAGCCTCTCCCTTTGCCTTCCCGTCTCTAGCAGCAGGCATCAAGAAAGTGATCCCTCCTGGCCAGAACTCCCTCATCAAAACCTCATAAGCCTTCGGCTCCCTCCACCCCTCCTTGATGATCCGTTCCGCCATGTCCAGGTCCGAAACATGCACGATGAGCGGGTTGTCCTGCGGTCTGCCCTTGGCAGCAAAGATGGCCTCGCAGGCTTGCGGGCAGAGAGAATTTGCTGCGAGGCCATAGACGGTCTCGGTGGGAAAGGCTACAGGGAGGGAAGAGGCGAGGGCTGATGATGCTAGGGTGAGAGAACGGGAGGTGAGCGGGCCAGACGAGGTGATTCTCGCTCTCCGAAAGGGCTCTTGGATTGGAGCTGAGATAGATGCTGTTGAAGAGGAGGAAGAGGATGAGTCTGCGAAGGAGATGGGTTGATCATCCGTATCGAGGTAGGTGGTGGTGAAGGTGGCATGAGGATATGCAGGGCGCACCGAGGAGGAGTAAGATGCGACGGCGGTGGCCGATGTTGAGGCCAAAGGGGACGCCATCGTGTATGGTACGACAAGATGAGAGCGTAGATTCGACAGCACTCTCCTGGCCAGCATGCAGCTCAAAGGCGAGATGATGAGGTTTGGTAGGAAGTGAGAATGGTGACTGTACAATGCTCCTCCTTCCGAGGATCAAATTTCTTGCCGCGGCTCATCCTCCACCTCTGTTCCCCTTTCCGAAGGAGTGAGTGAATGAGGTGCCTTCTGACCTTCTCTTGTAATCCTCGTACCCAATCATCCTGGCCATACCTCCAATCTCACACTCTCAATGGGCAGACAGACATAGCTGTTCACATCTCGACCCCATCTGCTACAGACCTCGACGACTTGTACGCCGTTGCGATGCCACCAAAGCTCACGCCGGCTCAGAAGCAAGTCTTCACTCTTTACCGGAGAGGGCTACGGGCCATCCGAGCCAAACCCGAGGTGAGCTTGAGAGGACAGCAGGAAGAGGTCGCTCAGTATGAGAGCACATGAGCTCAACGATTGTCCGCCCTTCTTCTGTTGTCAGGCCTCTCAACCGTCCTTCCTCCTGTACCTGCGGCACGCCTTTCGCTCCCCCTCTGGCGGCGGAGGACTTCGCAAAAGAGACTTTGGGGCTATAGAGTACATGCTCCGGCGAGGAGACAAGATGATTGGAGATGTACTGGAAGAAAAGGGTACAAAGAGTATCAGTCTGCCTCGGGGGGCGAGTGAGTGGTGGGAGGAGGAAGTGAGAAAGGCGAGGGGTGGAGGAGGGGAGTGAAGATGGAAGGAGGAAGCTGAGGGGGGCTCAGACAGACTTGCAACGCAATACCAGCAGCACTTCGAACAAGCGTTTCGTTGGACAATGTATGCATTGCGGACCATATTGAGGTCCCCTTCACTCGTCCTCGTCCGAGCTGTTGATATCGATCTCCGGCATCTCCTCGTCATCCGACTCGATCCTCAGCTCCACCTCTGCCGGCTTCCTAACAGTAGTGACCTCAGTCGTCGTCGTCACTCTACCGCCAGCATCACCTGCCGGCCCAGAAACGAGGGTAGGGGTTGGCTGGAGAACGCTTGCGCTATCTGCGGATGACGATGGCAGCTCAGCTTTGCGAAGCGAAGGACTGCTGACCACTCTTCTCGACGGGCTGCCCGCGCCCCCTAAACCTCCGCTACCAAAGACCTCCCTTGCTCCTGGACTGCCGCCCACACCACCTGCAATGTGGCTGCCGGTAGATACGACCCGTGTCGGGCTACCGATGCGAGGAGTCGAGGGGCGATGCCGAGGCTTCACTGGATCTGTATCCTCGGTTGCCCTCGAGGGAGAGGAGTGTCTTGGCCCATTGTAGGCTTGAGGTGAGCCGTGCATATGCGGCGGAGGTCTCATCTCTTCGTCTTCGTCAGCGTCCTCCTCATCCCCTTCATCGACAGAACTTTGCCTCTTGCGACTGCTCGCATCGAGATTGAGGCCGACGACGTCCTTCACTGCCTCCTTCATCTTTCTGACTTCACCTCCCACGTCTTGCACGAATTGACCGGTCTTGGAAAGCATGTCCTTCCCGGTGTGAGGATCAGTGCCCCACTCCTTGCTGACCTGAGCCAGTTCTTCCTCTGCATCGTCTCCCTCTTCTTGCACTTTTGCAGCGAGCACAGGTGGCAGGCTAGGAAGCGACACTTCCCGCAACGCAGCAAGCGCCTCGTGAGCGGCCCGAGTCACCAAAGGTTGGGTAGGTCCGACCACACCGAGGGCGAAGGTAGCCAAGTCTGTCAGTCGGGGCGAGAGCAGTCCCAGGATGGGACCAGAGGCCACACGGATCATCTTGGCCAGGCTGGAAAGACTGCCGGAAGCGAGATCCTCCCAACGCCTGGAAGACTCAATTCCTCCATCCGTAGGTGCTGGTTGGCGTAGAGTCACTTCTGCCAGAGCAGCAACCACCTGCGCCGTAGTGTGAGCTATATCGTAGTGCATGGGAGTGAGAGAAGTGCACATGTGAGGGAAGAAGAAGGGAAGGGCTTCGAGGCATGCGAGAGCAGATGCTTGCTCGTCGAGCTGCTTCAGGCCCAGCACCTTGGGCGAGGAGCCAGAGAAGAGGGCGTCCGACTCGTACATGCGCGAGCGCTTCTTCTTGCGAGAGGAACCTCCGCTTTGTGCAGATTGTGAGGGCTCCATAGAGAGTGCCTCTTCGTCCGGTGAGAGGAGTCGGGCGATCTCTGAGAGACAGGCTTTGGCTCCTCGCAGCGTGATACGAGCTACAGGGTCGAGCGGCAGGGCACAACCGGCTCTGAAGGACGGAAGACCGCGGGAGCTAGATTGCACAGCAACCGTAGCGTCTGAGACGAGCAGGACTAGAAGCCGACTGGCCGCCGCTCGCACCGGCGGAGGACTACGTACTCCGCGCTCTAGTGGTCTGATAGCCATTTCCAACCAGTGAGGACCAAGTCTTGCTGTCGCTGCTGTACCTGCACCTTGTGCAAGGCGCACAGTGACAAGGAGCAACCGGAAGGCCTGGAGATGAAGCTGTGGGAGAGCAGCGAGCTGTGTGGCGTGCAGTGTCGCATCGATAGCAGATCTCGCAGGAGAATCGGCCGTGGCAGACAGCATTGAGCGAGCTAGAGACGTTAGAGCACTCAGAGGCATTGCTACAGCTCGGGATGTAGGAATTTGCAGTAGGTGAAGTAGAACACCTGCATCCTTGCCTTGCCCTGTGCCGAGGAGACGGTTGAGGTGCTGGAGGGCCTCGGATTGAGCCTGATAAGGCTCATCTGGGAGGGCAGCAAACGGCAATCCCGCACCTTGCGAAGCACTCTCTTCCCCAAGCTCTAGGGTAGAAACGGACGCTTCCCATGCACTCTTTGTGCTTCCAATCGCAGCTTTGATCGTGGCAAGCCAGAGCTGAGCCTGAGTCGCTTTGCCTCCCGAAGCGCTCGCATTGAGTTCCTTTGCCCTTGTAGAAGTATTTGACTGAGCTCCAGTGAGGTAGAGATGCCCTACCAAATTGGTTGCAGCCTGAACAAGGGCGGAAGGCGCACTTGGGGCGACCAAAAGGGGTGTACTAGCGGCATGTAGACGAGACACAAATGGGCGAAGAATGCTTGGGTGCACTTGCAGCTGGCGAGCAAGTACGGCCAGTAAGCAAATCTGTAGAGAGTCAAGGGATGTTCAGCATGCGACTTCACTGGAAATCTTCACTGATCTGCAGCTCACCAAGCTCGCTTCGTCTTCTGCATTCATGAATCCATTCGATCTCTTGACGATCGCTTCGACCGAAGCGACAAGCACGCCAGCTACCTTTGGCAAATTTGGCGTGACGACTGCCCTTGCAAATTCTGGTCGTGAGGCAGCAGCAGGGGAGAGGATATACTCGGTGACCAGAGCGAGGAGCGGCCTCAGAACAGCCGCGTCCGCCTTGACCTGCTGTCCAGCCGTGGATGCAGAGGGCGGTGCCTGTCCACTGGTGACGGTGAGGTATGTGATACCCGCGCTTAGCCAGTCCTGTCCGTACCTGAGCAGCCCATCCTCAGCGGCCCACCCGCTCTGCTCTGCAATTTCCAGCGCCAAGGAGAATCCAGCTGTGAGGTGAGCAGCACGAGTAGGGTGGGCCGTCACTAGCGATCCAGTTTTCAGAGCGGTCTTGCGCAGAGCCTGTGTAGCACTCTCTGAGCCTGCATCGGTATATCTTGTGAGAAGGTTCAGGAGCTGGGTAGAGCGGAGGGCGAGAATGGTCGACGAGATGCGTTCGAGTGCAGGTGGGGAGGCAGTAGCTGCCTGGTCCAGAGAGGAGACGAGGACATTGAGCTGCCGAGCGTAGACTTCTGCCCCATCTACGGCGGCACCCCCCGGACCCCCTAGACCGATGTATTGAAAGGCCATGACGGAGTGGGAGTGAATGGGAGATTGGTAGCAATGGTGACAGGGCGAGTCTGGCAGCGAAGTCTCCCACACTGCCGGCACCTTCTTCTCGACTCAAATTTTGCCGACGCACTTCCGCACACAGTGTGTCTCTTTCCGAAAAAGTGGAGACAGTGGTGCTGCCAGGCAGTTAGTCAGTCCCACACAACAGACCTCGATCGTACGGCTAGACCATTGCAGACTATCACACAGCGTCAGGAGAAACACAAATCTGAGCCACCACGGCACTTTGTTTGAACATCACTTGCACATGCCCAAGTAGGAGTCGCCCACACCGCGCAGCGTGGATTTGTACAGCCTGTAGAGCCCTGATCTCAGAAGAACCACCACCTCTTCTTCGTCTGATGTCTTCTCCTCTCTTCCTCACTGATCTGCTTGAAACCCAGATCGCCCAGCCTCTGTCCCACCTTGACCTTCTGCCCTGGCTCGATCTCAAACGCGAAGTCGGGCGACTCCCACACCAAGACAATGGTAGAACCCAGCAGGAAACCACCCATCTCTTCACCCTTGCTCAACGGCTGGCCACCTAGAAGCCGCGAGGCCTTGCCGTAAGAGGCCTCCGAGAATGTGCCAGCCAGGGGACGCTGCTCTCTCACATTGGTACGCAGATCAGCGTCGAAGTTGACCTTGATCGATCCAACATTGGTGGCGCCAACAGGAATCATCGAGAAGAATCCGTATCTCCATCGCCCCAGCAGAGCCACTCGCTCGTTTAGGATGAACAGGTTCGAGAGTCTATTGGCAATGTAGGGAGACACAGAGTAGAGTTCTCCCCTGAAGTGCCGTCGTCGCTCCACGACCCAGTTCGTGGGAGAGTGGAAACGATGGTAGTCTCCCGGAGCTAGGTAGACGACTGCAAAGTGGAGCTTATTACCGTCTGCCACACCTTCTTGGCCGGGCGAGTGACGCTGAAGAATGGGGGGTAGGGCACCAGATCCCATCTCGTATGCTACGGACGCATACCGTGAGAGAATTTCCGGGGTATCGGGTGTTTCCACTCCGGCTTCGGCTGGCTCGTCGTCGCCGTCATCAGGATCTGGCTTTGCAGCAGTCTTGCCGGCCTGGTCTGGCTGGGAAGCAGCCGGGATACCCGTCTTGTTTGCTTTCTTTGGCGAGACCACCCAGCTCTTCCACCACTTCCAGCTGACAAACCTCTTGCCCATCTTCTTGAGCTTCTCGTCGCCCAATAACCGGTCGAGAGAGTAGTCAATGCCGTTGATAGCTGCAAATTCCTTGTCGTCGAGATCGGACCCAGGTCCTCGAACCTCCTCAATCCCTTCTGGGGAGGAAGAGAGGCCCAGCAGAGCGTCGAGAGAGTACGTGATACCCTTCACCTGTTCGACTTGCCTACCCTTGATGGTACCAAAGTGCAGAATGGTTCCGTCGGCAGGGGAGACGATGGGGGCTTCCTCATCGACGATTCTCATTCCGGGAGCGAGCTCTCTGTAAAAGAATTCTCCGAGACTTCGATAATGTGTCAAATCGGGGTCGTTCATCTCATCGAGATTGCAGCCAAAGATGCGAGCATAGAGTCGGAATCCGAATGGTCTGAACCAGACTGGCAGGGTCAGATCGTTTGCCCATCCCCAAAGGCGAGAGATGGCATTCAGCGGCAGGGCAGCAAGGACATAAACCTTTCATATACGATCGAAGGGAATCAGTGTCAGTCCAGTGACCTGTATCATCGGAGCCTGCACCCACTGCTTACTCACAGCCCAAGGTCCAGACATCGTCACTACCTTGCCTTCCCCATCTACGATCTTGCCCTTGCCACTCTGATCAGCGTTGTACAAACGTCGTGCTTGCACACCGATGAGAACGATGGCTCCAAGAAGTATGGGAATAGGGTACCACTTGATCGGCGTTTCTTTCCAAGCTCGCTTCAGTCTTGCTGACAAAGGTGAAGGCGAAGCAGGAGGGTCATCAGGGCATGATCATCAGCAGCAGCTCGAGCGCATGAAATACCATCACTCACAGCCATACACCTCCTTGTCTCCGTCCGGTCCTTTGCCGCTACTAGCGCCGCCTTGCGAGCCATCTGCACCTAAGGACTCAGTCCGAGCTCTAGCAGCTCTGTTCCCAGCTACGGTAGCCGCCTCTCTCTCTGCCTGTAGCGGATCTCTGGGCGCAGGACCTGCGAAGCTGGCGGAAGAAGTGAAGTTTCTGACAGAAGCGACACGGAGTCCAAGAAGGGGCAACGAGAACACGGGGGACGATCGCATATGCGATAAGGCTTGCTTTGCTGCGTTGCTAGATGGATGAGCAGATGTCCATGACCGGGTATCACTGGACCAAGAGCGCAGAGGCGACGAAGAGACTCTCAGAGTGTGTAGCTGCTGCTGAGAAGTGAGATTCCTGTGCGCAACCTGCAGGGGTATCCTGGTGCGAGTCGCCAGGAAGGCCATCTTGCTCACGCGGTCCGAAGGATATGGATCTTCCTGGCGCACAGGCCTATCAGGTCCGGGGAGAGATTAATGGACAGCCTCTGAACTGGCAAGGGAGAAGGATGCCTTGCCGTGATTGTGAAGAGACTGTCAGACTCTAGACCAACGAAAGGGGAGCTACTGTAGAAGATGATGAGGGAGATGATGAGCGGCTGGGAAGCTTCAGCAATCAGAGGCATGCTCTTGTCTCAATCGCCCCGCCTGGGCTGAGGCCATGGCCCAGGCGGCGTGTGCGTGCGTGCGTGCGTGCGTGCGTGCGTCTTGTTCTGTCTGGAGCGGGCAGAGGCTGGCGCAAGGCGAAGGACGGCGTGGCGCGCACAAGGAAGGAGCATCGTAGCAGCAACTCAGGCAGACAGGCGCGGGCGAGACCAACAGGACGCAAAGCTTCTCATCCCTCGTCACATCCCGCCATCTCTGTCCCTAGAACCTCACACATACACACAGGACATCACTCATCACAACAATGGCAGACACCGAGAACAAGGAGGATGTCCTCTCTGGAACTGGAGTGAGTCGGCGTGGCAGCTGGGATAGGGCTGCAGCTGTACTTCCAAGCCCCCCATGTGCATGTACTCACCCTCCCCTTATGACCTTTCCTTACTACCCCGTAGGAGGAGGAGACCACTGCCAACTTCGAGCCAGTAGTACAGCTGTCTGATGCTGACAAGATCGCCACCAAGACTCACGAGGAGGACGAGGACGTCCTCTTCAAGATGTGCGTACAAGGATCCGAAAAACCAACTTCTCGCCTAGCCAGCTTAGTCCTGACGTCTTATCCTTGTCCCTGATCCACGTTTTCTCTACAGGCGAGCTAAGCTGTTCCGTTTCGAGAAGGAGGCCAAGGAGTGGAAGGAGCGAGGAACTGGAGACGTGCGTCTCCTGAAGCACAAGCAGACGACAAAGGTCAGGCTGGTGATGAGGAGAGACAAGACACTCAAGGTGTGCGCAAACCACTACGGTGAGTACTAGCTCTGTGGTACAGAGGCCGCTCTGAATACGTTCTGCAGGGCGAGATTATGTATGCGGTCCAAGAGGCGATTGTCGAGCGGACGAAATGCAATTGCAAGGACTCATCCACTGACGCCCTGTTGCGCCTGTTACCTCCGCCCACTCAGTCCTGCCCTCCATGGCTCTGTCTCCCAACGTCGGTTCTGACCGTTCCTGGGTGTGGAGCGTAGCTGCTGATGTGTCCGATGGCGGTGAGCCCACCGCTGAGACGCTTGCCATTCGATTTGCCAACTCGGATAGTGAGTAGCAAGGGTAGAGATGCTGCGTGGGTACAAGGCGAGCCTGACTAACCAACAATTGCTCTTCTCTGCTCTGCTACCAGACGCCAACCAATTCAAGGCTGCTTTCGAGTCTGCTCAACAGTCGAACTCGGGTGAATCCGTCTCGACATCGGCTGCTGCCTCGGGTACGGAGGGTGCTGAGATTGGCGAGACCGAGGCCCCCCCTGCTGATGGTGGTAAGGTGGGCGATGCTGAGGACAAGACCGAGAAGGAGGTGGAGAAGAGTGCTGCGAGCGAGGAGCAGAAGGTGGATGCGCCAGCAGCAGAAGACAAGAAGGAGGCTGCCGAGGAGAAGAAGGAGTAAGCTCATCGTAGACAGTATGGATTAGACGGGGACAGTCCCCCTCCTACGCAACGTAACATGGGCCTCTCAATCTTCAGTGCAGCTAGACGTCTGCTTTCCATCCTTTGCACAGTCGGTCTGGAGTGATTGAGCGGATCAGGAGGGAGCTGTGTGCGGAGGAGGGCATCGCTTTTCACATATGCAGGTAGGCGTAATTCCCTCCCCCTTTTTTCAGCCCCACCATGGTCGGCGTACCTCGAGCTCCCTGAACAGGCGTGCGTGCTTCGAAGGCATGCGACGAGTCGTGACGACGACGTCGTCTACATTATGCGGTGCTTGCGCTGCCCTGCCCCTCTGCCCTGCCTTGCCTGCCTTGATCGAGTATATTGCCGCTTCAGTCCCGTATGCGCCTAGGTCCTTCCTATAATCCCATTTTGGAAGCGGGGCGGACTCGAGGTGCCTGGCAGGCGCAGGAGGGGAATTGATTGCTCACGCGATCAGGCGCGGCACCACGCCTCGGCAAACAAACACACACACACACACGCGGACAATGACTTTCCCCCTCGGGCCCAACCAACCCCTGGACATTGAAAGCCCGCCTCCGTGCGGACGGCGCCTGCGTTGGCCTGCCTGCCTGCCTGGCCTGCTTCCCTGAGCCCTTTTGTTCCTGATCACCCAGGTCCAGCCTACTTCGATCCTCATCTTCCATTCAACTTCTCGCCATCACCAGCATCACAATCCTCACCTTGCCCTGACCCTCCTCCTTCTTCACACCAAAAGCGCATATCACACGCCCACCCCGGCACTTCACCCTGCACGACTTTCCCTCTTCGCGCCTTGCATCCCCCTTCGGAAAGCGGACAGCCTCACTACACCATCTCGACGCGTCGAGTCAGGGGCAAGTCTACCAGTCTAAAGTCTGTGGCCCGGTTGTCAGCAGACGTCGCGCTGAGCTCTGCCAAATCTGTTTGCTTCGCCTCGTTACGATCTTCACGAATCTTCCAGTCCTGCCACCGGCGCGGGACTTGCAACGACCTACATCTCTCACACCCTGTCACCCGCTGATCTTACCATCGCTATCCTTGCGACGCCTGGTGCGCCTTCAAGTCTAGCAGACTCTTTCCGCATCCCCACACAACATCAGCACCGCCACCGCCACGTCTCTCACCTTGTGTGATAGGCATCACATCGCCTCGGATCAGGCGCGTCCTGTAGGCTCAGCTGGCCATGGACGCAACGCAAATGGCATCCGCCGAGGAGAAGAATAGGGAGCAGCAGATCCTGGCAGCTAAGAAGAAAGTGAGTTGTTTCGCGGTTTCGCAGAGCATCTGAGAAAGTGCTGGAGATTCGACTCCAGCTCATACTGACGCGTTTCCATGGCTCGCCTTCCTGTCCTAGCTGAAGTCTTTCCGCGCCAAACAGGCCCAACAGACCCGAACGAAGCCAGCATCGCAACAGCTCACACCAGTGAAAGCCAAGCGTATCTCAACTAACATCGCAATCGCCGTCGAATCCGAGATCGTCAGGGCCGCCGAAGAGTCACATGCTCATGCACGGCAACCCTCAGGATCAGCCGCGTCTGTCTTCAGCATGCCGCCAGCGACCCCTGAACAGCCCGAGGGTAGTCAAAGTCGTAGAGCGTCACGCATGGGACATGGTAGGGGCCACTCAAGAGCAGGTTCGATCTCGATCACTGCGGACAGCATGGCGGCCACTGCAGCCGCTGCCCTTCATCAGAGCTTGCAGGCCTCGCACCCCCCGTCGAGCAGCAATCGACTATCGTCCCAGGGCCTAACATTCTCACGGCCCAGCTCGATCATCGCCCACAAGCCTGCTGGTCCGACGGCAAGTAGCAGGCCGCACACCAGAAGTCATTCGAGATCGGGTTCAAAGGCCAATATCCGCCCGCCGAGCGTGCTCATGTCGGGCCAGACTCCGATGCTGCTGGCGGCCGAGTATGGGCCAGATGCATTTGGGGGACCTGGAAAGCAAGCAGACTGGGCCGACATCGAGGAGAATAGGCCATCGCTCAAAGCCGAAAGCAGGGATCGGCGTTCGATAGCGACTGCACTCACACCTACCATGCCTCTCGGCAGCTTCCCCACATCGGACTCGCTGTTCTCAATGGCAAGCAACGATTCTGCCTCAGCTTCACCGGCCAAGCAGGCTCGCCGCCAGTCCCGCCATGCTCGCAATCCGTCTCTGTCGACCAAGCGGGAGAGCATGGAGATGATGGGAGGTCTGGGATTCCCCGCGGCAAGCTCTCGGGACTCTCTCTTTGGTAATAACCGCGCCAGCCGACAGCTCAATTTCCAGAATCGTCAATCTGGGATACAGGCTGCCAGCGTTTTGTTCGGTGGAGCCTCAGATCCGCGAAGGAGCGTTGCAGCAGATCTTGATTGGCGACGAGCCTTTCAGTACCCCGACAATGACATCGTCGCCAGCTCGGACGATCGTCTCACTGCGCTTGAAAAGCTCGAAGGGAAGACCATCGAGCCGCTACCAGCAAGTATTTTCGGTCGATCTACAAGCGACCAGCACCTTAATCAATCAGCTGCGCGGAGGATCAGTCAAACGCAACCTCGGCCGAGTAGTGTCCAATTGCCCTCCTTCGATGACATCCACGGCTCTGAAGGCATCGACAAGCCTTCTAGCACACACCTACTCGCTGCAAACGAGCGCACAACTTTGGAAGAGAGAGGACCGTCTAGCCCAATGCCTGCCTGGCTTGCTCCCCCTGCTTCCCCTGGCGGACGTTCAACACCTGATATGGCCGCTTCGAAAAGTCCTAAGATCCGCCCACCATCAGTGTATGGCAGTATAGAGCCTGCTCAGCCAGAAGGTTTGGGCACCCTTGTTGAGGAGGAAGAGGAGGACGACAGCTCTGTGGTGTCGCCCACGGTGGGCATCATGCGCGAAGATGCCTTCGATACTGGCAAGAGCGCCGTTGAAGACGAAGAGGCGCAAAGGCGTCGCAAAGAGGTTGAAGAAGAAACGATCAAGAGGACTCGTCGCAGCAGTCTGCAACCGCGACCATTGAAGCTCAAGAGCAGACCAGCCAGTCTCTTCGTTCCTCCCTCAGTGCAACAGAAGCTGGCTTTCTCTACGAGCCCGAGTCTCCAAAGCATGTCTGAGCTCGCAGAGACCAACGACAGTGACGCAGATGGGCCTCTGACAGAAAGTGCAACAGTGACACCCAAGTCAGCACAAGTGGCGACAATGGCGTCTGAAGAGCAACCAGGTCAGCTTGCTAGAGAGTGGTCCATGACGGCAGCGCAAGCACGTAACGCATCACCCACGAGCAGCAAGCCCGGCATGCGAGCCTTGCGTTTGGGCAGTCAAGCAGCAGCCATTCCCTCCTCGGCCGTGGAGGAGCCATTTTCCAGCGGGTCCGACCAGATGTCTATCTTGGCCCGGAAGCGGGCCAGCCTGCTCTACAACCATTCTGTCTCGGGATCGAACTCTTCTCATGATGACACGATGTCGTCTCCTGCGACACCTCTTTCTTCGACCAACTCTCGCAGGCGAAGTGCAATGATGTACAAGCCGACAACAGCGGACCCTTTTGCGCTTCCTAGCTCCTCCTCCGGTCTAGAGACTGCGAAGCTGTCTGCTGAGATCGAAGAGCTGAAGACAAAGAGCCTCAGAGATTCGCAAGCGACGGAAGCTCTGCGCTCTCAAATTGAGTCACTGACTTCTCAGATGAGCGCTCAAAGTGAGCGCGCATCCACGGAGTACTCTCGTCTGGAGCAGTGGAGTGCGCAGGAGAAGCAGACGCTTGAAGACCAGACGGCCTCTCTGGAGGCAGCAGTAGCCGAAAAGGCGGCTGCTCTTCAGCAAGCGACGGACGCACTGGCTGAAGCTCAGCGTACCTTGCAGAAGGCTCAAGAGGAGGCTCAAGAACGGATGGAGGACCTCGAGGCCGAGAGGGACATGCTCGTAGAGGATGTCGAAGGATGGAGAACGCGATGCGGTGACCTTGAGAAGTCACTGAAGACCGATCGAGCAACCCTCGAGGGCGAGAGAGCCTCGAACGCCGCTCTTCAGATTAGGGTGCAGGTACTGACGAACAAGCTCCGCGAGGCTGGCATCGATGCTACTGGCGACACCCTCTCGCCCGAAGAGCAGCTCGGTCTCTCGGCAGATCTGATGACTGCACTGAAGACTCCCGCATCTTTCGATGCTGGCAACACAAGCTCGAGCAGCTACTTCTCACCGCGCATCGCAGCCTCTGACCCGCCTCCTCAGGCTGTCAAATTACTCAAGGACATGCGTCAGCAGATCTTCAATCTGGCTGGAAGCCTCGAGCACGAGAGAAAAGAGCACGTCGAAGCTCAGAAACTTGCTGACGATCTCAAGGCAGAGAACGAGAGGCTGAAGGCGGCACTGGAGCAGACAACCACTATGGCTGCCGAGAATGAGCAGCCTCGCCAAGGCCCTTCGGTCAAAGCAGTTGAGGAGGAACAAGAGGACCAGGAGGTCCTGTCCACAATGCCGTCCCCGATCGAGGTATTGCCGAATTCTTTCTCCATGGAGCGTCGGCCGAGCGGTCCTGGCAGCAAGAACATGCGACACGTCTTCGCCTATGACTCAAGCATGGGCTCAGCAGACCAGAGCAATTCAAGCATGGGCAGTGGTGCTACAAGCATGACCAGTGTGATGGACTCTTTTGCGCCCGAAGACAAGGACGCAGACGAGTGTGGAGAGCTGAGCGACAAGATTCTGCCATTGGGTGGCCTGCAACCTCTCCTTGAGGAGGAAGAAGTCGTTCCTGCAGCGATCACAGAAGATGAAAAGAGTGAGGTCGTAGCGGATGAGGAGGTCACTCACCTGACTGCAGAGCGATTGTCGCTGAACGCAAGCAGTATCAGCAACTTCGATCTCGAGGCTGGTGGTGAGGCAGGTGACTGGGCCGACGTAGACGAAGAGGAGGAGCAGAAGGTCGTCGAGGTCGAGACAGCGCCTCGCTACTCTTCTGACGCTGAGGAAGGTCCTTGGCAAAACGAAAGCACTCCTGAGGCATTCCAGACGCCCGCTATGGAACCCTCTGCGACATTCGGCGACGTTGATCTTCAGAAGACTCCTACTGTTGCTGTGAATGGCAGACTTTCTTCCCTGGAAGACCTCTCGAGCACCTCCGACGCCGGTCTGCACCGCTCGAGCGTGGTGGCTTCTTCAACCAAGAGTCGCAGTGTAGGGTCATCGCTTTCAAATGTTGACATAGAAGCCGCTGCCGCCGCACAAGACGAGAACAGCGACGAGTCGGACGAAGCAATCGACGAGGAAGACTACGACGAAGAGGAGGCTGTGCGACTGGACGCCAATAGGCCCGAGTTCATCCGAGACTGGTCCTTCCAGGAGGCTCTTCACGCAGTCAAAGCTCGTCACAGTGGCAAGTTCAAAAGAGCTGCGAACGTTCAGGGCAGCAAGCTGGGCTTCCAAGACGTCAGTGGACTTCGACGTCGCAAACCTCGTCAGCCAAGCATCGATGATTTTTTTGGCCTGCTTATGTGCGAGAAGCTCGACCCGCTTCCTCCTCTGCCGACGACGTACGCATCCCTTGACATGCCACCCGTCTACGTCGAGCACTACTATGAGGAGCCACAGGCACCAACATATGGCGAAGCCATGAGTGGGTCAGTCTTCGGTCGCCGGAGCCCAAGTGGAGCAAGCACCAGCTCCAGTGGGAGCGGCAGCGCCGTGTCCAGTGCTCGTCAGCCTTCCATCTTCGGCTTTGGTAGCGCATCAAAGAGTCGTCCACCTGTCGCCCGAAGTGCCTACATCCGCGATTCAGTCTCCTCTTCAGACTCTGGACCCAAGTCTTCCAACAACAGTGGGCGTGGCAGCTTGGTAGACTACAGCAGCTCAGTCGCATTAGGTTCCACTGCCATTGCTCGGATGAGTCTTCAGAGCCTCTCTTCGGCCTTCAGTGGACTGGGAGGCTACCTCGCTGGTCAATCGGGCGCTGCTGTGCACGCTGCTGCTGCTGCGACTACGATGTGCAGTAAGAGCGATTATGTCTCGGACAGTCGCAATCCTAGCGTGAGTTGGACCGTCCAGCCTAGCCGCCAGATCGAAGGCCTATATGGCGAAGACAGCAATGGGAATGCTGTCCGTGGTGAGCCTCGTCTTCCATCGGTCCTCAAGCCGGTGGCAGGTATGAATGGAGGCGCTAAGAGGTACAGCTCCACCCCGATGAGCTCCACCCCTCTGAAGAGCCGCCTCTCGGGCCCGCCGACGCCACGACAGCAAAAGGGTCTCTCTCAGCAGCAACAGGAGCAAATCCGCAATGCTACAGGTCAGCGACAGTCTCAGCTGCCAGCAAAGGTAGCCCCTCGTCGTTTTATCAGCAAGGAGACGGTTTCGCAGCCCTATGCCAGCCCCATCTGGTCCCTGGACTTTATCAAGAGTACGGAATCGACGGGCGCTGCGGAGATCTTCAGCATCTAATGCGAGCGTGGGCACTGGTATGTCCTGCCGCCTGTCTGATCCCATTTGCTCTTCGCCTGCTCGCGCGTCCTCCTGGTCAAAGTCTTCTATCATTGTACTGGTCTCTCTTCTCATCCTCCATTCCGGTTGCGTTGCGATTTTTCTTGGCATGTCTCGGTACCATTCTTGACTTTCCTTCATTTGTATCTCATTCTTGCTTGTAGGTCCTCTTCTTTCCCTCACTATCGTTCTCCACTCCATCTCATCAACACAAGAGCACAACCATCATCATCATCATCATCATCATCATCCGTCGGCGACGACGAATTTTCATCAGACAGACAAACAACAACCACAGTAGCAGCAGCAATACAAATAGTAGCAATTGTGATTTGGGATCTGAACGCTTGATGAATCTCCGCGCTTTGCTGTTGTGTCTTGAGACGTCGCTGCGGAAACGCGATCCGAGCGTTCTGCGAGGCAGGTGGAACAAAGGGTGAATGGTAGCGAGTGGGCTGATGGCGCAAAGTCCAACACTGTGATTGGAGGTCCGACGGCGTGGTGGTGGTGGTGGCGCCACGCCACGTCTTCAGCCACGCCATGCGACGCCCTCGGCCTTGACCCCCACGCGAGGGCAGGGCGTAGAGGGACAGAGGGCGAGGGAGTGACGGATCATTTGTTCATCCATGCACTCGTCCTCTGCAGCCGAATCCCCCACCATCCATCCCTCGTCGCGACAGGTGTGTGTGTGTGTGTGTGCTGATTAGAAGACAAGGCCACTCCACTGGAATCCTCGGTTGAAGGAAATCTAAGGTGCAACAAGGACCGTCACCCATCCTCCTCTCCCTCCTCTTCCACCACAGTCGTACTCAGCCAGCCCGCGACTAGCAATCACAATACGCAGCGACAAGGACATCTGCAGGGAGAACCTCTCTGCCCACGCCTATCCCCTGCTTCCGTCCCGAGACAAGAACCAGAGCAACGGCAAGAGGTGCTAGATTGCATCTCTCCCACCGACGGACCAAACCGCTTCACATCTGCTGCTGGGACTTGCAAAAGAACGCTAACGACCGTCGCACTCGCCCTCCATCTCATCACTGGTAGAGGCAACCCAGAACATTACCACTGAGTACAGCGCAGACCTCGAGGGGACTCTATTGTCCAAGTCTTCCCTTCGCCCACCTCCTCCGCCCCTCCCTCCTCCTCTCCTTCTCCACGTCAACCCCCCTCCTGCCTCATCCTAGGCTAGGCCTGCCTACGCAAGCGCCATGGCCAACCGACCTGCGCCCGTAGCCGCTGTCCTGCCCAACCGCAGGACCAGCTCCGGCCCTAGGGAGAGTCCCCGACCCGAAGGAGCCGCTTCCCCTGCCAGCCAACAGCACTCGCAACTACATCCTCAGCATGCGCAACAATCACAACAGCAGCAACAGCAGCAGCAACCTCGCTCCTCGACGGGGGCCGAGGGTTACGATTCTCCGTCTTCTTCGCAGCAGAGGACAAAGCAGCAGACTAGCAGTCGGATGATGAAGACGACGAGGAGGGGCAGGCCTTATGCCAAGGTGAGTCTGCTCTGGCATATGCGCTGAAAGGGTCCGCTTTCTCACGCCATCCCCATTGCCTTCTTCAGGACACCCATGACCTCTTTGCAACACTCATCGTGTCGCTACAGCTGACATCACATCGCATGATGTTCAAGACCTACCCCAATTCCTTTACCACTGACGAGGCAGCCGAGAACCTCTCTGCGCTCAAATTCTCGCAGTCTAATCGTGCCCCTGATCCACGGGAGCCGAGCAGGGTGGTGACTACAACCACTACGACTACGTTCAGCATGAACAGGGACATGGCAAAGGGAATTTGCCAGCACTTCATGGATGCAAGGCTGATTGAGAATGCTGCTGACCCCAGCCATGGCATCTTCAAGGAGAAGGGCGTCTACCAATTGACGCCCAAGGGACTGCATATCCTCGAGCGCTTTATCACCAAGAACGGCATCAATGGAGAGCATCTGCTGACCGTCTTTTCGTCGCAACCGATTTGCATGAAGCTCTTGCACCTGGAAAGGAGAGCACATGATGATGAGCTGCTCATCAACCGTCCCATCATCGAAGTCGTATTCCGAAGATTTGCAGGCAGGCAAGCCAACTATCTTCCAGGGACAGGGGGTGACAGCGGGGGTAAAGATGTGGACCCTGCGTCTTTTGACAGGACTCTGGGCATTGGCATGTCGGACATTGTGGACAAGTCCGCGAAAGGTCCGACAAAGGGACCGGTCAAGATCAAGCACACCTTCCCGGCCGTGTCAGCTCTGGATTGGCTGTGCGACTTCTCCACCATTTGTGGAAGAGACGAAGCTGCCGAGGTCGCAGCGCACTTCCAGCGTCTGGGTCTGATTGAGCTGGTGAGGGAATCGTCAAAGAAGGACATGGACGAGGACTCCACGATCATTGTCAGCGGTGAGGATGGAATTGGAAGGGTGAGCCGCGGCGAATTCAAGTGTCACTACAAGGCCATCTACGGTATGACCGATCGAGGCAGAGGAGTCGCTCGTTGGCCAGGCTACACCTCTCTGCCAGAGAAGACTACTGCAACAGGAGTGGGCTTTGGAGCCCCTCTAGGAAGAGAAACGCCCACTTCGGAAGGTCAGGCTCAGCTTCAGCAGCAATCCCGTCCCTACGTACAGGACCCTCAGCAGGACGAAACGGAGAGCATCGATTCTGGCAATGGGGAAAGCAACCGCGGGGGAAGCCGCACGCGGTACAGCTCTCGAGCGTCCAGCGCTCAAGACGTTCCCGGGATCCCTGATCGCAGGGGCGGCGTTCATCACTCCAGCCGGCGCTCCACCGAGAGTGGCAGTGTGGGATCATTAGCCAGTGGAGGAGGAGTACCGGAGCTGGAAGGGAGGATGTCAGCGGCGGAGAGGCTGCGCAACGAGTATCTCACGCGCGACTCTTCGAGCGGATCTGGTGCGCATCACGAGGGTGATGGAGGCGCAATGTCCGCCCATTATGCTCGGGATAGCAACAGCAATCGGCTGAGACAGGTGCTGGAAGAACCCGCACTGAGGAGTCTTTTCAGGGACTTCCTCAAGCAGAACTTCTGCGAGGAAAATCTGAGCTTCTGGCTTGATGTGCAAGACTTCAAGAGGAGGTTCCACACCACGTCCAGCGCTGTAGCTGTTCGGCCTGGAGGTTCGAGTGGAGGTGGTGGATCAAGCAGCGGGGACAAGTCTTCTGGCGGCAAGCGCGGCTTGTTTGGACGATCAGGTGGCAGTGACAAGAGCAAAGAGCAGCAAGGTCAGGGCTTCACTGCCATGGAGAAGCACCAGCAAGACCTCATCGCCATGGCCTTTGTCATCTACAATACCTACCTGGCTCCGGCTTCCCCTTGCGAGCTCAACATCGAGCACAGCCTGCGGACGGAACTGGTGACCTACATGAACAAGGTGTTGTACGATGCAAAGACGTCCAGTGGAGGAGATGGAGTGACGACTGTGCGCGCTCAAGACATCAATTCACCAAATGCAAATGGCATCAGCGGAAGCGCAAGTCATGTAGCTGGGCTCAGCTCGTCAAGAGGTGCTACCAGTGGTTCGGCCTCGGGAGATACAACGAACCCAGGCGCGGTGGCCGTTCCCTTTGCAATGTCATCCCCGGGTGAAGGTCTACCTCAGAGCACTTCTACCTCGGTGGACGAGCGCAAATCGACTGTTTCTGCCACGCTGCCTCGAGCTCCCCTGCACGCTTCTCAGCTGCAGACAATTGTACGCCTCTACGAGCGTATCCAGGATCACACTTTCCGTCTCATGGCGACGGACAGTGTTCCCCGCTTCATCCGCGATGCTCGCTTCCTCGGCTTGGTCAGGAGTGTAGAGGAGTACACCGAGGCATTGGAGAGTGGGCGACTGGACCCTAATGATGTTAGTGGGCCGGTGATTTCGCGAGCGGTAGTCGATGCAATGGACTTGCCTGGGTCGGGGGGAGCGTATGGCAGTGCTGGAGGGCAACCAATGGCCATCTGAAGACCCGCTGAGCTCGGCATTGGTGCCGGCCTGCCTCTCTTCTCCCTTTCCTCTTCTTGCTCCTCTACCTGCTACACGCCCTGCGCAACGCTTCGCCCTATCCTGTGTGGGATACGGGACGAAGTGAGCTTCATCTCCATTCTCCAGGTCCAATTCCTCTCCCCTCCTCACTCCTCACTCATGCTCTCATGCTCACGCCCCCTCACTAGCCGCACGATAATTGCTTGTACCTACCTTACCCTGCCTGCCTGCCTGCCTGCCTGACTGACTGCCTACCCGTCTAATATTCCGTAGCTCGCTCCATCAATCAATCGAAAATGTTCAAGACATTGTCCCTCTCTGTATCTGAAATTATTCTGTGAATCTACAATGCCACAGGATCACCTCCTTGACCTTTTGACCTCTTTTCCCTTGCACTCCTGCACGTCTGCCAACCCACGCCCCCGTGGTTTCCAGATCCGCGCTTTGGCCAGCCCCCCGCTCCTCTGAGTCAAAGTGGACTTGGCTGGTCTTGCTTGGGTCGACCGACACTCGACGACTCGACTCCTTTCCGCTCCGACTGAACTGGACTGGACACAGACTCCTTCCCGCACCACGCACTCACGCAACATCCCCAAGCTAGACTAGCAGCTCGCGATACACACACACTTGCATAGTGGATAAGCCTCTCGTCTACCACTCCACCTCAATCAGCTCCAAGTGAAGTGTAGCCTGCTACTCCCCCCCGCCCGCCCGCTCGCTCGCTCGCTCCCTCGCCATGCCTGCCATCCGCAACCGACCTCGCGTAGACGTGGTGTTACGCGTGCCTAAAGCCCGGCCTTGGTCAGAGAGTGATGATGCTTGGTCCTCTGGGGAGATGGGCAAGGGGACGGCGACGGCGGTGGGAGCAGTGGGAGAGACGGGGCTATCGGTGGTGGGAAAGGGGAAAGAGAGGGAGGAGGATGGAGCAGCAGGTGTGGGTGCTAGTGGGAGTGCTCTGGGCGGGGCAACTGCAGTGACAATACCGGAGAGCTCTCTTGGCTCAATTCCAGCAACAACTACCACAACAGATCCACCTATAGACGGGACAATACCGGGTCCCTCTGCTGGCCCCTCCTCCTCCTCCTCCTCCTCGGCGGCGGCGATTCTCCCTCCCCCGCCAAAGACGCGACCGGCAGAGACGTCTTGTGCGGAATGGAACAGTCTACTGATCTGGGCCCGTCGGATGAGGGGACCGCAGTGGGACTCTTCGGTGGGGATGTGGATGGTGGATCAGGGGAGTGAGGAATACTATAGGTGAGTGGAGTGGAGTGGAGTGGGTGATCGGCTGGCTATGGCGAGGCGAGGGAGGCAAAGGGTAAGGGGTGAATCGCTAACGCTCTGCTCTGGCTCTGTTCACCTGTCTGCCATGGTCGCGAACTCAGCTTCTCATCTGATCCAACTCAATCCATCCACTCCGGAGGACCTTCCAACACCATTCCCCCCCTCCCGCCGCACGTCCAAGACCATGAATCCTCTCGCGTCTCCTCCGGTTCTTCGACCCGGCCAACAACAGCTACCGCTAATGCTACTGCCGGGGCTGCCGCTGCCTCCCTCTCCCAACCACACCCCCAGCAGCAGCAGCAAGATCAACCAGGTCATCTCCTCGCTCCGCCTCTCCGTGCCGGTCTGCAGCACAATGAGCACTCCTCGTACACCTCTAGCTCCCACTCGGGATCGGCGTCTACCTCGTTAGACTCAAAGGCTGTGCCCCTGCTGCCTGGCTCACAGCACCAGCACCAGCAATCACAGCAGACTCAACAGGCGCAGTATCCGCTTGGGCAGGCATTTGGAGGTCAGCAGCGCAGAGCGAGTCCGAGATGGTAGCTGGCTAGTGAGGGTAGGAGGGTCGAGCTTGGGAAGGTGGATGTGGTCACTGCGTACAATGGACAAGTCCCTGATCATCGTGTATAACATTCCCTGAGCAAAAGCATAGCATTTCCTCGTGTCATACGTCATGAATGCAGCGTGTCGTCTCATGCCTCTGATCTGAAGCTCTAGGGCACCACCCTCCTCTCCGACCACTCGCAGTTGGGACCATCGCCCTTGCGCTCAAAGATGCTCCTTTGATCGCGGCCCAGATCTACCAAGTCCACTTGATAGGGCTCGAATACCAGCAGGGCGAAGCTAGAAGTCCAGGTTGTAAAGGGCAGAATATGCTCTGGTCAGGCATCGTACTACTCACAGACTTGCATGACAGAGTCGTCTCTCTCCCTCGTACTACTCACTTCTTTTCGCTCTCGGCCAATAGCCTCTTCTGCTCCTCATTCTCCTCCTTTCCAGGCTGAGGCAATTCCAATGGCCAAGGACTGTTCTTTTCATCTTTTCCCTCTGTCCCTTCTCCCGGTCCACCCTCTAGCTTTGAAGCATTTGGATGTTCAGATCCAGGGACCGGTCGAGCAAAGGAGGCTAGTAGACCAGGAGAGAGCTTCTCGTAGACGCGAGTACGCTCTTGTGCCCAGTCGAAGGGCTTGCTACTGCTGGAAGAGGAAGAGGAGGAAGGAGGGGCGAGACGTTCCTTTGGGAAGTCTTTGAAGAGGGGGTGAGAAGGAGTGGGGAGCAGGTGGAAGAGGCCGGAGATGCGGAACTGATCGGAAAGTGTAAAGGGGCGCAATGATGTCAGTACGGGAAAGCGAAGAAGCTAGTATGTATTATGCCCAAGTTGCGCTGCATTGCTTTCCTCACCTGTAGCTGACTGCTCTCCATCCACCAAGAGATCTCTCCATTGGCTCCACCCTGCTTGGCCGTCTCCACCATCTGTTGGGCCTTGGGTGCCCTAACATCCGTAGTGGTCAGCAGGCAGACGCTAGATCCAAAGTCCTTGTCATAGGGTTCCACTCCCGATGGGCTATCCTTTGACCTCTGCTCATTGACGAAACCACGGTGGACTACATATCGGACATGAGGCTGAGGTGGAGTACCAGGAGTGACGGTAGCCAGCGGGTAGTAGAGGACACTTGTCTTCTCGCCCTCCTTGAATCCCTTTGCAATTCCATCTGCAATGAGCTCCTTCCAGCGTGGGTTGGGAGAGGTGTTGGTAGCCATGGTGCGAGTGCTTTGTGAAGAGGTGGGAGTGAGATGCTGAGCTATAGCGGACAGTCGGCGAGGGAGCATGAAGAGGGGGGGAATGCAAAGAGGTTCGGGCAGCTATGACTGGGCGATACGATGATGCTTAGGAAGATATGCGGAGGCGCACTGTACCTCCACTTGGCTCATGGCTGCTTGCTGACCACCTGCCTGCCTGCCTGCGCTTACGGCATCACGCCTTTCCTGCACTGTCCGTCTTCCTGCGTCAAGGGCTCAGAGGATCGACTAGCGTGTGCGAACTGTGTTACATTTGCTGCGTTGGTATTCATTCGCAAGCCAAGTCGTAAGGCTCACTCACTGTCCTTGGCCTCGGTATGTGCGGGAAGGAGCGTCGCCCGACTCGCATGCCTGTCAACGCGTGAGAGGAGAGCGACGCGTCTCCTAAGCAGCATGTCTCGCACACCTCTCTCGGCAATGCTCGTCCGAACAGAATTGGTAGAGAGGAGCAGTAATCTCAGACTCCACCTCCTCGCTTCTCCTGCAAGGTACGTCGAGTATCCCCGCAATCATGGAATCTCTCCAGCCGTGGTTCCTTTGTCTTGATAGAACGCTGTGCCTACAGCCCCCTGTCCATGCTTGTGCATTGTTCGCCTCATGTGACTCGCTTTACGACGCTGCAAGGCTGCAGACATGGTGCTGCAGTAGCAAGAGATTGCCGTCCCTGGCCGTGGGAAGTCAGCGTGGGGTCACGCTCCTGGCCCAGAGTACCTTTTTCTGGGTTGCTCAACGCAGGCCTTATCTCCGCCGTCTAGCCCCGCGGCATCCCTTCGACAAGGTTGCCAAGACGTAGGTAGACATGGCGGCGCTCCCTCCGTAGCACGAGGCAATTGCGGGGAGAAGGCAGGCAGGCTGTCCGCTGAGCACCGCTTATGCCTATCGCTATCTTTCAAAAGCATCTCGCCCGACAATATCCTCGACTCAGCCAGCCACCTGTGCCTGGACATTGCTCTTACCTGCCTGCTTACCTTGTCTGTCCACCCCTTCTTGGGCTTAGGTCGGTTGTTCCGGTGGCTGCTTCTCCGGCCCGAGATAGCGCGGCGCTCCTGGACTCGAGAACGCGTCGAAGTGCCAAGACGGGAGGAGACAGGCGGCGAGGGCAGGCGGCTCCAGAAGAGGCGCAAGCAAGCGCACCAGGTCTTCCGTGGCAATTTGCCCGCCCTTCCGCCACCGCCACTGCTTCCCGTCCTGCGGTCGTGGGCCAAGGAAGTCAGAGATTGAGGCTCAGACCGACAAGCGAGGCAAACGCGCCAATAGAGATGTCCGGCTCCCGGCCCGTGACCCGGAGGGAGAGCAGCAGCAGCTCCGTGGCGGCAGCAGCAGCAGCAGAAACCGGCAGCACTCCTTGCCTTTTTTCGCAGAGCGGGGACGCCCACCCGATCTTCCCGCACCTGGCCGGCAGCCTTTACCAAGTCGGGCGATAAGGGACAGAAACCTAAAGATGCACACCAGTCTGTCTGGAGAGTGATACAGTACATAGATCCCGTCCAAAGCCCTCTTTCCTTTCCATCCGTGTCACGTACCAGTCCCTCCTCTCTCTCTCTCCCCCTTCTGATCCGAAACGCTCCCTGTTCCATCATGGATTTTAGAGACCCAACGCACAAGACTCCGGACGGAGGTGTGAGTGACAGCTATGGCAATGTAGAGATTAGCATGCCCAGGTCCAGCTCGTCTGACACGCCCTTGCCACCCACCATTGCTCTCAGATCGAGGTCCCCACTGTGGCTGCCGCTGCCGATCGACAGGCCGCACCACCCATCACCCACAGCGAGCTCGCTCACAGCCAGCCCAGCTCTGCCGAGGAAAAGTCGGGTAGCTACGGAATCGACCTAGAGCCCGGCACTGGACGTCTGGCAGGTTCACCCCACTCCAATGCCTCTGCCGAGAAGCATGGCGACGTAGACAGTGCCAATGGGCACATGGCTCCCGCCTCTCTTCGCAGGGTTCGCATCGAGGACGAGGAGGAAGATGGCCACCGCAACTCGGTCTTTGCCAAGATTGCTGATATGTCGCACAGCAGGTATGCTGTTTGGGCGCGCGACTTTCTCTTGATCGCCGTCATCTTGGCCTGGTTGATCGTCTCCCAGATCAACGATAGGCCCGTGGTGCACCACCGCCGTATCCCTGCTGCCCTCATCTCCGTCTTCTTCATCTGCTTTATCCTCTTCCACAAGTCCCGCTACCTCCCCCAGCGACCCATCATCCGTGTCGTATCCATGGTCTGGGGTACGGCTGTAGAGAAGCCCTTTAACATGCTGCCCTACTATGGAAAGCTCGCCCTCGGCTGGATCTGCCTCGCTGCGCTCATCTTCGGAAGTGCTTACGGCTTGCCAGAGAACCCAGCGTCCAACTACAAGCAGAGGACCATCAGTATCGCTGGTCTGGCGCTCATCTACATTTTCCTCTTCTGCCTCAGCAAGAACCCCAAGGCTGTCAAGGCCCGAACGACCATTGTGGGCATTGGACTTCAGTTCATCATTGCTCTCTTTGTGTTCCGAACGGGCGCTGGTCTGGCCATCTTTACGTGGTTCGCGACTGCCGCGGCCGATTTGCTCACCCAGGCTCAGGCTCCCGAGGGCAAGTACGCCGCAGACGTCGGAGGTGGTGCCGAATTCTTCTGGCGAGACTTTACTTCAAACGGCTACTTCTTCATCAACACCCTCTCCTCCATCATCTTCTTTGTTGCCCTCGCCACTGCGCTCTTCTGGCTCGGTGTCCTGTCTTGGGCCATTCAAAAGGTGGCTTGGCTGGCCAGGAGCCTCCTGTCCGTATCCGGAGCTGAGGCCATCGTCGCCGTCGCTTCGCCCTTTATCGGTCAGGGAGAGAATGCAGTGCTCGTTCGTCCCTACATCAAGACGATGACCAGGAGTGAGATTCACCAGGTGCTCACCTCTGGAATGTCCACCATCTCCGGTAGTACCTTTATCGGGTACGTCGCCTTGGGAGTTTCCGGAAAGGACCTGATCACCTCCAGTGTCATGTCAATCCCTGCCGCCATTGCTGCTTCCAAGGTCCTCTACCCCGAGACCGAGGAGCCCGAGACCATGGGTGGCATTCAGATCAACCGAGAGGAAGACGACGAAGACAGGCCCGTCAACTTCTGGCAAGCCCTGTCCAACGGAGCCAGCTTCGGAGTCACCGTCGCCTGGTTGATCTTTGGTAACGTCCTCGTCCTGGTATCGTTCATCTCGACCGTAAACGGGATATTGGCGTGGATTGGAAACGCAATTTACATCGACGACAACAACGGACCTCTCACTCTCCAGCTGATTCTGGGTTATCTGCTTTACCCCTTCACTTTCATGCTGGGTGTGCCCGGAGAGGACACTCTAGCAGTCAGCAAGCTCATCGCCGTAAAGACAATTGCCAACGAGTACGTTGCCTACACCGACCTCGAGAGCACCGTGAGGGCAACTTTGACCCCCAGAGGATACCTCATCTCCAAGTATCTGCTTTGTTCCTTTGCCAATTTGGCCAGCCAGGCCATCAATATCGGTATCTTGTCTGCCATGGCTCCTGGCAGGAAGAAGGACATCGTCAGGTTGACACCCTCGGCTCTCATGACCGCCATCCTGGTCACTAGCTCCTCGGCCGCCATTGCAGGTATCGTGTCCGATGGATCCGACAACTAAGGGAGAGCTTGATGGATTCTAAAAGTCAGGACGGCCCCATGATTGCGATGTAGCATCGAATCAGGGGTCTGGCGACCAAATCCGCTCGTCTCGTCGCGATCCCACTTTCCCTACGCTTTGCCGCACGATCACGCACCCCTCTCATGTCTCTCGCCCTCTCTCCCATTGTTCCCGCATGTATGTTAGCCCTTTGTGTCACTTCGCTTCCTTCCCTTCTGGTGTCTCGGCGCTGGGCACCTCGCTCCGATCACTTCAGTAATGTCACCTTTTTTGCCTCTACCATGTCCCACACGCAGTGCGTGGTGCTTCTTTGCTGCACTCGGCCCGATTCCAATTGACGTCTCCTATTGCAGGCTCACAAGAAGCGGTCAGACTCGAGCAGAAGAAGACTGTATAATGAAGCAATGACTTTATTGGCATTGTATAACTGGGAAGCAAGGCGGCGGCTGCAGAAAACGGCAAGAGACATGGTTACAGGTCGATTCGTAGAGGAGAATTCCCTCGATATACCATCGCCAGAGTCGTCAAGAAAGCGAAAGCGTATAATGGTGACCAAACAATATCGAAAGCAGCTCTACCAAACAGCTCGGGGGGTGTCTGCAAACACGACGTAGCCTTCGCAGAGCTGCACAGTGGTAGCTTCATGGCCCTGGAGGCGGATCTGCTTGCGCATGACTGGGGCGTCTCCCCCGACTCGCTCGATCCTCAACGTGTGCATTTCCGTGTTTAGCCACCGGCTTCATGCGGTGGTGGTGCGGCTGACTGCAATCCCGAGCCCGACAGCCATTCTTCGCGCATGTTCAAGTATGAACCGGTAGGCCAGTGACTGAGTGAGTCTGTACGCGGTCCGATGGTTGCGCGTTGTCTCATCTGAGTCCACCAGAGCAGCGAGCAGCGCAGCTTGGTCCTCCTGGCTTACTTGCCGGAAGACGAGAGGAATGCCATACCGTTTGTCAATGTCGATCATATCCAATTTTCGCATCGTCGCGGTGACACGATTCCAGTGGTCTCGAGCTTGACCGCGGACAGTGCTCACGATGCTCAGATGCCAGACTGACCCGTGTACATTGAGGTGAGATCTTTGCCGACGGTCTTCGTAAGCCCCTACCTTCAGCAGTGCAGCCCATGCCGTCGAATTGCGTTGTAATCATCGATGATCTGCTCGAGCTTTCCTCGAATTGCCGCAAGATCGCGGTTACAGGTAGCGATGACGGTGTGTGTACCGTCTCCGTACCACGCACCAACCCACCAAGCTGGGAGAGGCACCTCCGCGGCGTTGATGCCGTCGACAAGCAGCACTTCCACTGGGAAGCGAGCTTTCCTGACGACAGCCTTGAGATTCATGAACCCTGTTTGAGGAACATTGACCATGTGTCGGGCGGTATGGTACTGCAGGACAGACATGATGTGAGATCCCCCGGGAAGAATCGCCTCATGGTCGACGTGTGGAGTCAGATGAGGTTGCTCGAGGCCCTGATGCACATTTTGAGCTGCTGCCAGGTTTGCAAAGGAGAGAGAGCTCTGTCGAATGCCTGCGCATCGACAGGCTCTAAAACTTGCAAGTCTGTGCCTCAACTTCAGCAACGTCTACGGCGAATGCCCTTCTTGGCTCCGCTAGGCGTCGGAAGAGAGAATGTCTTGCTCGTTATCGCTATTGGTCTTGGGTGAGAGTGATGTGCGAGGGCCGAGCATCATCGCCTGCCCTGCGCCCGTCACTTGGATTATAGGCGTTGCAAAGTACTGGTGATGTTTGTAAGGTGGTAGTATTGAGTGCAGCGTAGTCGTGGAGTCGCAGAGGAGTTGCAGCAGGTCTCAGGTAGCAGCAATCGTTGCAGAGTAGTAGTCGAAATGACAGGCTGATAGTGTAGGCAGAAGTGGTATCGAAAAGGTGTTGATTAGATGTCGATAGCAGGATGAGCGATGAGAGTGTTAATAGTGGGGATAAATGTAGGATGGAAAAGTAGGGCAATTAAAGAGTAGATAGAGATATGGTATGAAGGAAAGGTCGTCGCATGTGATGTGCTGAGTGATGACTCGCTTTTCTTCACCTCGTCAGGGGCCTTTGCTCTTGCAACCTGCGGTGCGCAGTGGTTCCTGGTAGCAAAGTCCATGCGTCCGTCGCGCAGGGCGGTTCCGTGCTCAGTCCTGGTCTGAATAGCTTCTTCTTCCGTCTTTGGCCAAGCTTCATCCTTGGAAAGTCCATTGCGAGGGGAGGCATGAAGCATGCAGAAGGGCGCTATTGACAGGTAGCGAGGCGAGAAACTAACAACGAGACCACATCCATACGTTCTACTGTGACGAGGGCGAGAGATGGCTCACTACTGTACTTCAGCCTCTTCGCATGCCAAGAGTCCATACGCCTAGCGCACGTTGGTGTCTCCACAATGTACTCTCTTCCCTTTCGCCTGCTGCACTCTCTCCCATCCTGTAAACATATGCTCGCTCTGTCCACACCGCTGAGAACTCTTTGAGGCCCCCTGAACTCCGGGCTTCTCACTTTGTTCAGATCAACTCACCTCGGCAGAGTTGTGTCTCTCTCATCTCTTTCTGACATCTGTGTTGCCCGAGACCGTCAGCAGGCTAGGTCAGACGAATACAAGTGGCTGATGAATTCGATGAGCACTCAGATGAAGCACGGCTCTGGGCCAAGTGCATGAGATTCTACTAAGATAATGATACAAGAGGTTCGCGCTTCTCCTCTATTGTCCCTCCTCCATCTCAGCAGCAACCTCCGTGCCCACTCCAGCCTCAGTGACCGGAGCAGCGACAGGCGCTGGCCTTCCCTCTCCCTCGGCAGCCTCGTCCGCTTTCCTTTTGGCAGCAGCAGCCGCGCTCTCACCCTCTCCATCGCTCTTGTATTCCTCAACATTGATGTCGTTGAGTCCCAGATCCTCATTCTGCTCCCATGTCCTGTCGTAGTCCTCAATCGTCAGCTGCTCGTCCACATCCGGAGCATATGGGTTCTGCAGATACGAAGAGGCGAGAGGGTCGTCGAGGATGACTGTGAAGGGGCAGGCTTCGCCGGACATGACTGCTTTGAGCTTGCCGAGGAAGCCCTCAAAGGCAGTGCTGTTCGACGAAGAGTCTCCGCGCATGAGCACTCGCTCCGAGAGCTCGTCGTACACTTGCTGCAAAAGACCTTCCAGCGTAGTGAATCTGCCTCCGAGCGTACCGGGAGAGAGATTGAGGTCGATCTCGGGAATGGAGAAGCCAGCAGATTCGGACTTCAGGATGTCCCTAGTGAGGTCCTCTGCATCTTCAACCTTGAGAGTAAGCTTTCGACCCCTCTCAGAGATGGCTGTGCCTGACTTGACCTCGTTGTCTCGGTACCCGCAGAAGTCGCAGTTGGTGGACATGATGATCACGTCCTTGAAGTAAGGAATGTTGACCTTCTTCATGAGCGTGTCAAGCGGAGCGTTACAGCTTGAGCAAGCGCCAGGGAAAGTGTAAATCTCTTCATTCTCAAAGTCAGTCTCGCCTTCGCTCTTGCTGAAGCCTCCTCCGGACGAGGAAGCAGCGGCTGCAGCCTCTTCCAGCGAAGCGACCTTCCTGCTGCTGATAGGCTTGGCATTGGGATCGGCGGGACCCGCGAGACCGAGCATCTCGTTCTGTGCCCGTGTACGTGGGTAGTCTCGCTTGGTCCACTTGGCATCAGACACACCCCGTCCCTGGATGGTTCCCAGGAACTCGACAAACGAATTTCCAGAAGGGTCGTCTAGCCTGATGCTAAAGGGTGGGAAAGTCCGGCCCTCCTGTCTAGCATTGGAACCCCCGACCGGGCCATGGCTCTTGATACCGGCGGCCTCGGCAGCTTGAGCCTGGGCAGAGCTGCCAGCGGCATCCTCCTGTGCCTCTGCCTCTCCACCTGCTGGCTTGATGGCGTCGGACCTGTCCTCGCCGAGGATATCTCTAAGCTTGTTGCAAAGGACTTCGATCTTCTCGTATGCCTCGGGCTGCATGTGTTTCCGGAGAGGTTGATCAAGCTCGAGGTCTCGCAGCGTATCAGATACCAAGCCTTCGATGGTCGTAAGCTGACCTCGCTTGGGTGGAATCTCGATGGCTAGCTCGGGGATGTTGACGGTACATGAGCCAGACTTGACTACCTGTCGGTTGAGGTCGCTTGCGTTGTTGATGTGTACGGTATAGATGCAGCCCTTCTCCTGGATCTCTCCAGCGCTTTGAATCTCATTGTTCCTCTCGCCACAGTGCTCACAGAGGAAAGAAGCCACGAGGACCTCCTTGAAATACGGAATGTAAGTCATGAGGAGCCTGGTCACTCCGTTCTGCTCGCACCTCATGCAGAGAGACTCAATCTCCTCTACCATCTTGGGTGGCTGTCCGTCCTCTCCTGTGGTCTGTTGCTCGTCATCCTCGACGTGCTGTCCGATGGGTCGGAAGAAGGGGTCGTTGCCTTGTGTGGGATTGGTGGACATGATGGTGGTTGTGTGGTTGTGATGGTGGTTCGTGGTAAGATCGGAAGAAGTGCCATCGTCGCCACAGCCTTCAGCGGCGGAGCATTGTCGTGCGTCCAAAAAATCCGAGCCGACGTTGCTCCACCTGCTCTGGCTCGACCGCCTTCCATCGATCATTGTCGGAACCGGAAGCGCGGGGCCCAGGCAGCAGCCAGACTCGCGAGGAGCCAGAAGGAATCAAGGCAAGCTTCGAGGTGTTGCTCACCTTGACGCCCTTGAAGGATACCATCACCCGTCGCGCCCTTCTCCTCCTCCTCCTCGGCCTCGTCGCACACCATGGACGAAGCTGGACCCTCGTCTCGACCGGCGCCTTCCTCCTTCAGAGACTTCGCCGACTCGCTCAAGGAGGCACGCGACCTCACCCTCGCAGACCGCCTCTCCTCTGGCATCGACTCCTCTCAACCAGGCACGGCTGTCCGCTTTGCACAAGTATGTCTCCAACGAGCTGCAGCTGCAGAGGGAGCTGAGCTCGATCAAGGCAAGGGAGCGCTACTCAGGAGGAACGTCTTCGATGATGACCAGGGAGAGGAAGACCGCATGGACTGGATCCTGGAAGCGCGGACGTGGGAGCTGGTCCATCTCCTCTGCGCTGACCGGTATCTGCCTCGCGTTGGAGCCGATGGAGAGGCAGACTTCGAAGATGACTTTGCACGCGAGCCCGACTTCTATCAGACACCACGCTCTGCAATCTCAGATCTACTGGAGAAGAGTAGAGATCTCAGGGAGCTCAAGGTGGGTAAAGCCCGCCAAAGGTGACCTCCCCGTCCTCTTCGAGCTTGCAGTGAGACTGACATCTTCCCGCCGTTCCCTCTCTTCTTCTACGATGCTCTACTACACAGATTGTACGAGAATGGCTCTCCTCTCAACTCCCACCCATTCACATCGCAGAGGTGCGCAAAGGCTACGCGCCCTTCAGCAAGAGTCGGCTGAAGGCAGAGAGAAGGACACAGGTGGGCGGCATCCGAACAAGCACGAACAAGGCCATTCGGAGCCTGGACCCCGACGCAGAGAGTCGTGGCGAAGGCAAGTGGGATCCAGAAGACTCAAGCTATGCAAAGGCTCTGCACCGGACTCTGTTCGAGTACGCAAGGGCTGGCGAGCTAGACGCTGCCTTTGACTTAGCAAGGCAAGCGGATCAACCTTGGAAGGCTGCTAGCCTGAGGGGAGCCATCCTGTATCATCAAGCCCTCGACTCGGCAGACGATGTGATGGACGGCGACGATTTCCAGGAGGACGTCGGCGGCAACCGAAATCGACTCCTCTGGAAGGCAGTGTGCCGGAAGCTTGCTGCTAGTCCTACTCTTGACGTGTACGAAAAGGCCCTGTACGGATCATTGGCCGGCCAACTTCAAGGGCCGCTCGCCGTATCAGACACCTGGGAGGAACATCTCTGGGCTCACATGAATGCCGCGTTCGAGGCGAGGATCGACGAAGCATTTGAATCAGAAGATGCAAGGACTTGGTGGAGCCAAGAGGGCGGAGGTAGCATAAAGGTCATGGAGCTCAAGTCTTCAAGTGGAGATTCGCACGCAAAGGAGACTGTTCGCGCCGAGCTCAAAAGCATCTTCGAAAGAGTCAAGGGAACTGAGAAGGGATCTGTGAACCTGCAAGCCAACAATCTGTACCACGTTGTTCAAGAAGCAATTATCCTAGATGGCGTCGACGACCTTCTCATTCACGTCGAGAGCCGCTTGCCAGAGATGAGGGCGACCTTGGAGCCGAAGCGATACGTGCACGTCGCACGCTTCTTCTCACATCTCATCATCTACTTCCGCCTGTTGCACCGGCCTCTGCCTGCATCGACGTGCAATTCGATGTTGCGACACTACGTTGAGGCGCTGGAACATGCAGGAGAGGACGAGCTCGTTGCGATGTACGCCAGCTCTCTCGAGCGCGAATCGGCCGAGGAGACATACGCTCGCTTCCTGGCATCACTCAACATTGACATGCCTCTGGCAGAGCGCAAGACGGCCTTGCTCAGGGCAAAGGAACACTCACTGGACACGGCTTCGGTGGCCCGCTTGGTCGTGCAAATCATCTTCGGCGAAGCATATCCTGCCATTGCTAGACAGACCCTCATAGCCGCACATGGCTTCGATCCGCTAGCAGCTCTGAACACGGACCTGACAGAGGTCGAGGCAAGACTCATCTCGGCCATTGACTGGCTCACCTTTGACGAGTCGACCAGAGCGGACGCCGTCTTCCAGAGCAATGCCCTCATGCGGCTCTTCCTCTCTTCTGGCAAGCTCCATGCAGCCAGGACCACGCTCTTCAGTCTGCCAGAGAGCGTCGTGGCAGACCTGAATGACATGCTCGATCTGACCTTCGGGGACAAGAGCGAACATCTGCACTATCGGCAATTCTTCTCGGCCCTCTCTGCAAGCCTGTCTTTCCGCGAGGTGCTCAGCAAGCAGCCTAGTCGTGCATCGAAGCTGGAAGCCCATACCTGGAGGGAAGCCCTGTCCAATGTGCTCCTGACTGCCAAAGAAGCTTCATTGGAAGTCCTCACTGGCGACTGGCTCAAGCTGGCTCAAGCAGATGACGATGAAGTCGATGCGGCTGCCAATCGCGAAGAAGCTGAGCGCCGTCTCGTTGAGCTAGCTCGCATCCGCCAGATCTATATTCCCGAACTAATCCTGCGGCTGCACTTTATGTTCTTCGATACCCGAGAGGCCTTAGGGATGGACTCACTGCGCTTCATCATCGTTGATCTGCCGATCCTGGTGGCGGATGAGAGATACAGGCTCTACCTTGAGTTTGTGACCCGCGAGGGGGGCAATCGGCTGAAGGAGTATCTGGAACACGTCAGGAGGGCCAACATCGAGGGTCTTGCGTAGTGATGCATCCCTTGAGGTGGGGGTTGTACAAGTAATGGCAGTAGAAATTGACCCCATTCAGCTCAGGACTGATAAGATCTGTACCGCCTGTAGCTTTCGATGCATCCTTGGCCGCTCCCTTTCCGTGCTTCGCTCCACTTGACTCGCTTCTGGCTTCCGCCGGCGCCCCCGCGTCTTTGACCTTGCCCAACCTTTGCTCTCTACCACTCGTACGTCCGTATTGCCTCGTTCCCTCACTCTTCTCGCCATGCTCATCGTCGGTCTCACAGGCGGAATCGCCTCTGGGAAGAGCACCGTCTCTTCCCTCCTGCAGGATAAGCACCATCTTCCTCTAATCGACCTAGACCTCCTAGCGCGCGAAGTGGTACGTCCGACAGACTCCTCGCGCACCCTCTCCAAGCTCGTAGCCCACTTTGGTTCTGGTATCCTCCAGGAAGACGGTACGCTAGATCGGCCTGTACTTGGGAGATTAGTCTTTGGGAATGAACAAGAGAGAAAGGTGCTGAATGCTATTACGCATAGGGCGATTAGGAAAAGGATGGCATGGACGCTGCTTTGGAATTGGGTGAAGGGGGTAAAGGTCACAGTTGTGGATACACCGCTGTTGATCGAGGCGGGGTTGTGGAGGTGGTGTGGTGAGCTGGTTGTCGTGTGGTGGTGAGTAGAGATAATTGGCGAAAGCTGAGGAGCGCTGGCGGCTGTGGTGAGGACAACTGAGCTTACATGTACGTCTCATTTGGGCCCCTTTATCGTCTCTCGCAGCTCACCGGAGGACCAGCTGTCTCGGATGCTGAGTCGCGATGGACCCAAAGGCCTCACCGAAGACGAAGCCCAGTCTCGACTGTCCTCTCAGTGGCCTCTTCGTTCCAAGCTCCCCTACGCAGATGTAGTCTTGGACAACTCCTCGGCTCTCACTTCCTCCTCTTCCACCTCCCCATCGGAAGGCGGCGGAGCATCGGAGATCCTCACTGCTCAAGTGGGGGACCTGGTCAGGAGCTGGAGAGGATACTATGGAGGGGTCTTCGGCACTTTGTACTGGCTGGCTGAATGGCTGGTGCCGCCCTTTGGACTGCTCATGGCTGCTCTGACACTCGTAAGCAGGTGGGGAAAGGTCAAGACGCGATTGAGAGAGAGCGAGGAGAGCGATCAGCAGGCAGTGGAGCGGAGGAGCATCGGTAGTGGATGAGATACGGACAGGCAGGCATCTCTTATGAAGCATGGTCATTGTGGTTGGATGATCACCTTGCCCGAAGACCGTCTAGCATGCGGACGAGCAACGCCCTACAAATGCGTTCCGCACAAGACGATCAAGCCGAAGCAGGCTATGTAGCAGCTGTTCTCCTCTCCTCGATCTTCCTGCGCTCGCCCTCCAGGACCCTCCGCACACGCTCCCAGCTGCGAGCCTTGCCCTTGGCAGTGGTCACGCTTTCCTTGTCCGGCAGCTCTCCTGGTGTCACCTGACTAGAGGAGTCGAGGAGCTTGTCCAGCAGGGTAGGAGAATACTTAGGGATTCGGAGGGCAGACGGATCGTACGGCTCGGACTGTGCGGGCGCGCAAGAGGAGGCAGGATCAGCATCTGAAAGACAAGAGAGTCCACCTGTCATGTCCGGATCTCTCGAACTTACCAATACCACTTCGTCCATGACGATGATATGCTTGTCATGCCACCTGCAGGGGAGAGTCTTGCTTAATGCCTCGAAGACTTCCTGTGCCATCTCGCTAACTCCCACTCCAATCTTGGCTGCTCTCAGCGCCGCATCTTTGCTTGCCGCCATCTCCCTCTTCTCCACTATGGCTACGTTCACCGGCTGAATCTCGCTAATCTTCTTGGGCAGAGCCGGGGGCAAGCCCTTGATGGCCCCATTGCCTGACTGTTGCTGATCGTTGAGGTTGAGCACATTGACCTCCTTGATCGTCCTCTCCTTGATCAGGCGGAAGCCCGTCGGGTCCCTACGTGAGAAGCCTCCGATGGCAGATACCACTGCCTGGTGTCGCCTGGTGGAGGGCGCGGCAGCTGCCTTGGAGGGATAGTTGGGATAGGGATAAGCTCCAGTCTCGAGGATGACCAGGCCGGAGGAAGGATCGTGGGCGAATAGGAGGCCGATGGCTGGTGTGTCTTCTTCACCTATGAGTGTCAAGCGCAGAGGCATGCCCAGGTAAGGTGTGAGATCCTGAGAGGAGCCCTGCTGGGCGTTTGACGTCGAGGGCCCGGCACGAGGCGAAGGGGTGACATTAGGAGAAGGACTGACGCCCGTTGCGGACCCGCCGCGAGCTGCCTTGCCTGACATGGCGGTGGGTATGGCGGCCCGGAGGAGCTACTCTGGCTGTATGCTACCAGAAGGGCTCCGAGATCAATCCCTCAGCCAGACTCGGGGGAGGAAACGTAACAGCCAAGAACAAAGACGAGGTGGAGAGGAACAACTGCTCACACTCTACAAGCCCCGCACGATTGCCTCGCGGATAGGCGAGGCTGGGCGGAGGAGGGCAGGGCCGTCCGTGGGAAAGGGCGCGCCCTCGGCTCCGAAGGTTGGCCTGGAGGTTGAGTCCCGCCCGTGCTCCATCTGTCGTCTGATTGGCGAGCAGGTCCATCACTCAAGCAGCCGCCGCCAACGACGCCTCGCACCTCACCTTCTGGCCAAGTCATACATCATCGCTTCACAATGTCCTTCCTTCGTCCCTTCGTACCGCGCCTGAGCGCTGCAAGCACCTCGCTCACCCCAGCCTCCATCTCTACGGCCCGCTTCGTGTCCACTACAAAGTCACCACCTACCGAGGTGACCTCTGCTGGACACTATGGTGCTTCTGGTGACGAGAGCTCCGGCAGGGATCTACCTGCCGAGCAGAAGAAGAGGGAGAACATGGCGCTGCAGGCAGATGTGATCAGTGATGCTCCTCGTGAGTTAGCAGTTGTGGAATTGGCTCGAGAACTAGCAGGGCGGAGGGACTGGTACAGCCGGTGTCCCTCACGACGACCTGATCGCGGCGATCAGAGTCAGGACATAGAAGCCGGGTTCTGACAAGGACGTCAGGAAGAGCTCCGGTATATCCAATGAGATGTACCATTCTTTTATGAATAGGGGCTACACTTGCGAAGATGCCTGCCGACCTTGCGACGAGGTCGCCTTGCTGCAATTGCCCATGCTGGTCATACTCTTCCCTTCACCGTTCCCTTCTGACACAACTTTATGCCTTACTTCCTTTCCCCTTGCGTCCCTCAGCTGAGCTGCACCAGCGCTCAGTGCGAATCTTCAAGCCAGCCAAGACACCAAACTCTTCTGGAAAGGCAGGCACGAACCACTGGCGAGTGGACTGGGATATCCTACAAGGTTCTGCTCGTTGGGAGAACCCCCTCATCGGCTGGGCCTCTTCGGCCGATTATATGCAAGGTACTTCGCTCAAGTTCCGTACACGAGAAGATGCGATTCATTTCTGTGAGAAGCAAGGGTGGGACTACCTCGTCACAGAGCCTCATTATGCTCGCATTGGCGTCAAATCGTATGCGGCCAACTACCAGCACTCCCCTGGGAAGCTGCGCATCCAGTGAGTTGGTCCGCCAAAATGCTGGGATCAGAATTGTGTCACTGACTCACTTCTCCTCTTCGCCTTTCGTTCTTGCGCCTAGTCATACCAAGTAGGTGGCCTCCTTCCTCTACTGCCCTTTGTCTCCCTTCCTCGACCCCGCGCATATCACATACAGATGAATGAGAATTCTCTAGCATTTCGATTGACACCGAGCTCGAGACTCGCCGAGGTGTGAAGCCGCGCCCCGGATCCACGAAGCCTGCTTCGACTTTGCAACGAGATGCTACTGCTGCTGATATCATAATTGCATTTTTCGAGGAGGCCACAGCATCATTCGGTCCATGCGTGGCGGTCGAAACGCCAGGTATGCCAGTGAGCCTTACGGGAGGTCTTAAAAGGGCCATTTCTCATTCTGAGGCTCCGCATCGTCCGTCCTTGGTGTATCGCCTCTACTCTGCCCCTCCCTGTCATTCCCAGAATCTGGCTCGCGATCGTATTCACTGTCCCACTCTATGCCACTGCCGTACTCTCGCTCTCGTTCCTTGTACAAGTTGCGAAACTCCCAGCGGGTAAGGTGCATCCGCGCTCTGTGTTGAGCGCTCTCCAGCCTGTCAACTTGGGCCACTTCACCATCCTTCTCTGCGCCTCGTTGCTTCTTGACCTTCTTTGTGCTGTTGACCATGATTCGCTCTTCCGCTTGCTCGGGCGTCTCGGGATCTCCAAAGCGCATGGTGCCCGAAGGATCTCGACGGGGCAATTGATTCTTCCACCACGTGTCCAGAGGCCATTTGGGTCTCGAATCTGTCTGAATTCTGGCAACTTGAACTGCTGGAAGAGGACCGCCATGGAGCTTCTTCAGCTCGCGGTAGGGCAACTTTTCAGACCCAGGGATCCACGGTGGAAGCCTCATGCCGACTTCCGGTACATACTGATCCTTGTCAGGACTCGATGAAGTCCTCTTTGCGAGTTCCCTCTCTTCATCTGAAAGTGCGTCGCAGATCAAGACCGGCGTGTCATGGGTCCGGTGTGCATACCAAGCTCTCCCTGGTTTCGGACGACCATTTGACCACAATCGTCTGGCTGTTGCGCCAAAGTGTCGCATGTCTGGTGTAACGAGGCTGATGTCGCTCAGTAGGACCTTGGCCGGTGGTAGCAGAATTTGCCTCGATGATGTATTGATTGGAGTATGCATGTAAGTTTGGAGTGGACCCTGTGGCGGCGACAGCAGAGACAGTTGCGAGTGAAGCAAAGTGCATGATGTGAGCAGAAGTCAACGGAGTCGCAGTCTCTCAGCTGTACCTACGAGGTGCTTGAAGGCCCGCCATCTCGCTTCGATAGCACCTGCGCTGTGCTTGTGCCAATCGATCAAGAAGTGGTCCTTCCGGATTTTGTTGGCGAAGGTGGCCTGCGTGTCGTCCTGCTTCCACCGATTCTGATGTCAGGTGAAGAACAGTACGTTGAGGAATGGTACGTTGAGGAACGCAGTGCCCCTGACTGTAGCCGGCGCTTCTCTGTCGACTCACTGTGTGACACTTGATCAGATCTGTCAAAGTGTCTAAAAGCAGTTGTGCGCTGAGGTATGCCATGGTAGGCAATAAGGAATCATAAGTGGCATTGGGAGGCACACCCTGTGGCGCAACCAAGTTCAGTGGCTTTGTCGTCACTCGACGGCATACTCCTCTCACGTTGATTACTCACGATCTTTCTCTGTGCAAGGATAGCGCCGCAATCGAATTTTCCGCTCGACAATTGCTGAACGGTCGCACCCGTTTCGGACATGCGATTGGCGATGGTCCACTGTATCGGTGCAGCTCCTCGAAGCTTCGGAAGCAGACTGGGGTGCACGTTCAATGCCATCGATGATGATCTCTCAGTGAAGAGCTTCAGGGTCTCATCATCGATCATTGACCCAAAAGAAGCAGTCACCAGCAGTGCGCGCTCAGGTTTACGAAGGAATCTTGAGAACGCAGGATGCTGGCAAAAGTAGAAGGGCATTGTTCAGGTGCGCCTCACATTGACTTCTGCCACCATCTTTCATCGCCCCTCTGCCCCCTTTCTCACCTGTTCCTCATGTATGAGTGGGAGCTCGGAAGTGTGGCAGTGCGGCAAATGCTGCTCATATGCCCAGCTTTTGACGGGAGCTTGAAGAGGGCAAGTCACAGGGGTGAGCGAGCGTCATCAACATGGTCAATGGATCATTGTTCCACTCACAGACTTTCATCTGCGCAGCACCCCAGCCTTGATTTGTGTCCGGAGGCGTAATGATGGCTAGCGATCTCCACAGGTCTGAGCGAAGGTGGAAGTAGATGACGCCAGTCAAAGTAAGTACCGTGGACAGTGTCTCTCTACAGACAATGGCCCTTCTCACCTTTTCTGTCGTGCAAAGCGCGAAGTATCTCAAGGGCAAAGAAGTCTGTGCCACAGAAGAGTATGTCGTAGGGGGGAGGCGGCGGCACGGCCGAGGATGCAGTCCGGCCAAATTGGTTCTTACCTCGGCGAGTGTGACTGCGACCGCTCGCCTTGCCCGGATGTGGATCTAACGCCTTTGTGGATGGTTTTGATCGGGGCATAGTGCTGATGTACTCCCTTTGTGGACCATTTTGCGGCTCTGATGTCACCCTTCGAGGACCAGACTGATTCTCTGATGGTCTCCTCCGATGGCCAGATTGACTGTTTGATGATGTCCCATGAGCATTAGCCTGATCCTCTGCCTGCTGCGAGCTCCTGTCCAAATCTGTCCTGCTCATGGACGTCCCATCGGAACAAAAGTGCGTCTGGTCGTTCGATTGCTGATCTTTGGCGTCGCTGGGCTCCTCATGAGCACCTGAGGGCTTTGGGGTTGAGGTGGATGACCGTCGAATGCCATCAAGAAGACGTGCCTTGCCATGACGACTTTGACGAGATACGTCGTTCACAGTTGGCTGACCTTGCAAATCTCGAGAATGTGTCTTGCTACTGCTTGCTATGTGATAGCATCTCGCCCGGAGTGAAGATGTCGATGAGCCGCACGCAGATCCTGACGGCCACTTTAGACACGCCAGAGGAGAGTGCGACGCGCTCGCGGCTGACGCTTCAGGCAGACACAAGCTCGTGACAGCTGCATACGTCCCTCCAATGCTTCTCGAAGAGCGAGAGAGGATCGCTGCCATGTGTCGCAGAGCGTATATGCCGTCTCCGTGGAGTGAGCGATGACTGGTACCCTTGCTGGAAGAAACCTCTATGACCCGACTTTTTCCAGTCCGCACGGCCTTGTCTCCGTCTGTGGAGCAACACCCGGATGGAGCCCTTTCCGTCTCCCAGGCCAGAGTCAAAGCACGCCGCCTCTGCACCCTCACCTTCACTATCCCCCTCACACTACGATCCTCCTCTTCCTTTCATGTATCTCCCTGTAACGACCACTGGATTGGCTATGGGGTGCTAATATCGGGATTTTTTCCCGTTCTGAATCGCTACGTTCGGCCACGCGGCAACCTCCAAGTGGACCCCCTACTCGAATAATGTCCAGAGGCACACGCAATCGGGGCCAATCAGGCTCCCCTTCGGATGGATCAGATGGATCATACGAGGAAGGCGGCGGCGCATGGCAGGCCGGACTCGCTTATGGCTCCGACAGTGACTATGAAGGAGGACCTCACCTTGGACCGTTGGATGGTTTCAGCGAGATGGACTCAGGGGACGAGTGGAGACCATCTGACGCAAGCGACACCGATGATGAAGCACAGGGGGGGGCTGGTCCTTCGCGTCCTCGTCAAGACAGACAGGTTCTTGATCGGCAGCAACAGAAAGGCTATGGATCAGGAGTTCCCACTAGCGCTGTCGGAAGGGGACAGGCGCGTGGTCTCTCGGCAGCGCAGAGGAGGCGTCTAGCTCTGGATGCTTTAGGAAGTGATGCCTGGAAAGACTCGTCGCAAAGGAAACGGCAACAAGCTCCAGCAGCGGGACCAGCTGACGACGAACATGAAGTGGAAGAAGCTGAGCTTGGACGCTTGGTCGCTGGTTTAGGCATACCATCTGCACCTCGCGTCGAGGACGAGCACGCTGAAGTAGCGGACGGCGCTGCTCTACAATCTGAAATGCTAGCTGCTAGCGGGTTCAAGTCACAGAGGAAGAAGGTACGCAATTGAAGAAGAAAGGAACCATGAGAAGTGAAGAGAGTGCTGTAATATTGACGCATCTATCCCCAATACACTCGCCAGACTCGCCGGACAACTGCGCAAGCTGCCGTATCTCCGGAAGTTGCGCGCTTGTTATCAGAGGCCAATCTTGCCTATGTCAACATGGAGCTCGAAGAAGCCATAGAGAAGCTGCAAGAGGTGATACGTATTGATCCTACCGTCAAGTCGGCCTGGTCTACGCTTGCCAATTGCTTTCGGGAGCAAGGAGACTTCGAGAGGGAGACACAGGCCAAGAGCATTGAAGCTATCCTCACGCCCAGAGCGACCGATCTGTGGATTAGCCTGGCCCACAGACACGATGAACTTGGTCAAGTGCACGAGGCCATCAAATGTTTCGAGCGGGCGATCCGTACATCACGTGAGAAAGACCGTAGCGATGTCCTCGATGCCATGTGGGACAGAGCTTGCCTACTACGAGATCTCGAAGATGACAAAGCAGCACTGACCGCCTTCAAGGCCCTCTTGCGAGTACGTCCCCACAATGCCGAGGTACTAGCTCAGCTGGTGCCGCTCTGTCTCAAGGCCAATCGGCGCATGGAAGCCATCAGACTCCTTGAAAGCAGCTGGGAATTCAATCGGACTCACTTCCCGGATCCCACAAGCGGTGAGGGACTCCGCTTTGCGAGCTTCACAGGCTCCGAGATTGTGACTCTGTGCGATCTACTGCTCTTGAATAACGAGCCGCTGGCTGCCCTCAATATCGTCCGCCAAGGGTCCCGTTGGCTCCAAGGTCGCAGCACAGAAATCTTTTGGGATGACGTGCTCGACGATGATCGAGAATTCGACGAGTCTCGTGAAGGTGCCAATCGCGGTGGGGTCGCGGAGTATGGTAGGAGGGTCGAAATGGCCCCTGTCTACCCGCCATTGGATACACAATTGCGTCTACGGCTAGGGTACGCGCGTGCAAAGATGGAAGACTTACCAGAAGCGGAGAGACACTTTGAGCTCTACCTAGCCAAGACTGACCCTGCGGACTATACCGAACAGTATATCGATCTTGTTGAACTCGACATGGAGCTGGGTCAGTTTGAACAGGCTAATGCTATTCTGCTCAGAATGATGGAGCTAGATTTCCTCCTAATCCCCGACATCATCTACAAACACGGACTCTGCCTTCAGGCATTAGGCCAGAACGAAGCCGCTGCTGGTGCTTTCGAAGCGGTCATCGCAAATGATCCTGCAAACCTTGAGGTCAAGCTTCGCCTCGCTGAGACCTACGAGGCCTTGGGCAGAGTTGAAGATGCAATGAACACCGTCAACGAATTCCTTGCAGCTCGAGCAGAGCAGAGAGCGGCGCAAGGTGCGCCCAACGACGGCGATCACGACAGCCAGGTGCCTCCTGCCCCCGCAGCTTCGGACATCCTTGACGGAGCAAGTCGGTCGGGCGCGGCCAAGACTCGAAAGAAGAAGCTCTTGAGAGCCGACGAACGTGAACGCTTGGCAAAAGCCCGCGAAGAAGAGGCGAACCTGTTCCTCAATCGACTTCAAAAGCGAGAAGCCGAGATCTTCGTCGAAGGCTGGTGGCGTAACGACGTCGTTATTGGGATCAGCGGACTAGATCCAGCCAGTGAGCTTCAAGAGCGATATGGCATCGATATCGGAGAGGACGAGCAAGCTCGTATTCAGCGATTCGCAGCAACGAGGGACTGGCTCGATCTATCTGGTCGACTTATTGACAGTTTCAGGAGCATGCCCCACATGTTTCCTCGTTCGAGGTCGGGCTCCAGTAAGACGGGCCCGAGCTCAACAGTGGAAGCGAGACTTCGCAGCAGTGGCCAGCGGACGCCTCGCCGACCCTATCGGAAGCGTGACGTCGATCTGGGCGCAAGAGACCTGATCTCTAGACTTCAAGATCGGGTGATGCATGACTCGGCAATGCACGAAGATGACGCCGGAGAAGATGCGCTGGATTCTACCGGTGCTGGTGCGCAGGCGACTGCCGCCATGGCTGGGCGTCACTTTCGTGGAATGGATTATGACATGTGGACTGACATGTTCGTCAAGGTAAGTCCGGCCCGCCGAGGCTGGAGCGGGGCGGGCGATGGCTTTTAACAGCTGCTAAACGATCTGTGTCCCTTGTCGATCGCAGCACGCATTTGTTCTGACCAAAATTGGAGATCACGGCGCTGCTTCGGACCTGCTAGAACACGTCCTGTCTTCCCACGTTGCCACATCAAGCGAGTCGCGTAGAATGACATTGACTCTGGCTCAGGCGGCTTGTGGCTTCTATGCTCGTGACTTCTCGCCGCCTTTCGAAGTGCTACGTCAATTGACATCCCACTGGCAATTTCACAATATGCCCATTCGGCTGCTTGCGTCCCTGTCGCACATCAGCGGCTTCTACGGCCTTGACGCCTACACCAGCCACAAGATACAAAAACTCCTTGTTCGACGCAGTCGTGTCCACGAAGTCATTGTCAATAATGGCAAGTGGGAGTATGCTCCCTTGGCGGGTCGATACGTAGCACGCGAACGATTACAAGCTCCCCAACGATCTCTGGGTTACTGCAAGAATCGTGAGCCGTTTGTCAGACAGGACGAAGGTGGGGACAAGAAGAAGAAGAAGCGCAAGAAAGTCAAGTCGGCAGGGACCAAGAGGAGCGCGGCCGATGAAGATGCTGATGATGCCGCAAGCGATGACTCTGATGATGCGAATGACGGAGATGATGCTAGCGCAGACGAAGAGGGCTTAGAAGACGATCTGGACGCCAACGGTGAAGCACATGCCAGCACGAGCTATGAGGGCACCAGCGCACCGCGAGAGAAACCACCAACCAAGGAGGGCATCATAGGCGAGATAGCCTATGGCTACTTCCTGCTGGTCACTAGCTCATGGCAATCGGCTTTGGGTGAGTACTGCGAGAGTAGTCGTCAGTCGAAGACTACGATATCTGACAGATGGAAATATTCTGTGTGTCTCATACCTACAGGCATATCGCTACGAGCCTACGCTCGAGCCCCGAATGAACCTGTCGTCTGTCTCATGGCTGCCGTTGCGTGTTTTGGCAGAATGACCAATCGTCAGACGGACAATCGTCATCACCTACTCCTTCAGGGCATCAGCTTCCTCTCACTCTATCGCAAGTACCGCATCGCCGAGGTCAAGCGTGGCGCCACAGAAGTCTCATCGGTGCTCAAGCCTACCGCTTGGATTGAGGCTGAGTACAACATTGGCAGAGGTCTTCACCAAGCCGGACTGATCACTGAGGCTGTGCAGGCCTACGAACGCGTCCTGCAAGCACACGATGAGAGAGTATCTTCCAAGGTGGTAGCTCGGGAGGCGCATGAAGTCGGCTTCGACTGCTATCGCGAAGCTGCCTGGAACCTGAGCCTGATCTACTCAATCAATGGCAACGGTCGCGCTGCAAGGGTGCTGATGAACAAGTACCTGCGCGTCTGTTAAGCGAAGGTGGGCTCACGCACTGAGATAGCACTGATTGCGGGGTCGATAACGCAGAGTGAAGACTCAGAGGCTGTGTCCTGTTTCACACAATCGTATGAAGATCTCACGAGTCACTCCCTTATCTGTGTGCGATCCTCCATCATCTCATTGAAGCATGTGTGCAAGCGAGTGCTGAGTGCTGAGTGCTGAGCATTGAGCGCTGAGCGCTGAGTAGATTAGTCCGACTCCGACGAGCAAGTTGCGCCTTCCTGCTCAGCAGCCCGGGCAGTTCCGGCGGAACCCTGACGCGCCAGGCGTAGCTTCTTCTTCGACTCGAGGCAAAAAAAAATTCAGAGGCGTGAAGAAAGAACATCTTCCAAAGACAAAGGGGAAGCTTAGTTCCGCGATCCTTGGCGGCGGCGGCATGTGCGTCGCCTTACCGCGTCATTCTGCAAAGGGGGGTGGCTCTAAATGCTGTACCTGTACCGTAAGGACAAATGCTAAGTGATGGACAGTGACGAGGACGTCGATTTGGCTCGCTGTCACAAATTTATAGAGTCGGTTGAAGTGATGGACAAGTGCTGTAGTCTCTGACCGCCTGTCTGCTCACATTCGCCGGTCTACTGCCCCGAGTATTCTGACTCGGTTGGGATCAGAGTAAGGTCAGCTGCGAGCAATTCAGTGGTACAGGCGAGACATTCCAAATCGTACGAGTGCAGTACAGTGCAGCCGCGCTGTAGCTCAACAGGGGAGTGACTATCGACTCGACTTGCTTGGAGTTGATCTGCTGAGCTTTCGCGCGCCCTCGGGTATCTGGTCTCGCCAATCGGGTGGGAAGCCGAAGTGCGACCCAGGACACACTCAAGGACTTGTTCTCAGCTGTTCCTCACGACACTTGAGCGCACAGCCATACTGTACCCATTATCGCGTCTGCTGAGCTGCCGAGAGAGCTGTACCCGAGGAGCTAAACGCCTGCCGTTTCATCATGACACTTGAGAATACGCGTTGGGCCACTGTGGCAGGTGTAAATCCATAAGACATCACACCAGATGCAGAGTGATGAGCAAGCGGGGCGCAATGCCACCGAGCACGCACTACCAGGTCTTCGCTGTTGAGAAGCCAAGCAATTGCTTCTTACAAGGCTGTGGTCGTCGCAGTCGTCATCCGGTTGCGGATGGGCAGGCGCCGAAGGCCAGGTACGCAATCTTGCCAGATGTGACTCTTTTTTTGGGAACGGCCCCCCCGCGCCGAAGAGGCCCGGTGGGGAAAGGAGCCGGGCGATGCGCCCTACGTGCCCAGGACCACGTGGTACATTCCTCGGGCCATGACTGGCGGATGACTGGCGTGGCGCGGACAACTCTACCCGTAGTTCCGCACGCGCCCCTCTTTTTCAACGGCTGAGCCCCAAATCTCCCTCTCGCACAGGACTCCCGCGTCAGACGTCGGCAAAACGCTTCCGAGCAATCCGGGCCGTGTTTGTCAGAGAGGGCTGAGCAGCCACCCCTCGCACCCACGTCCTCGCAAGACGAGGCATAAGAGATCAGCTTATTATTTCTCCCTCCCTCCGTCAGCTTACCTCTCTTGACAACATATACTTATCCTACCACCCTTGTCCCTTGCTGTCCACACGTCAGGGCATCTCCTGCTTCATCTAGAAGTCGTGACTGCTGCCGCGCCGCCGCTCCTTGCTGCCGCCGTCGCTGTCGCACACGTAGTGTCACTTAGATAGTCCCCCTCTCCCATAACTCAATCTCACCCTTTAGAGCAACTACCCAGCCATGGCCGGCCTTACCCCAGGCGCAGCGGCTCCTTTGCACATGGATGTCGACTCGGCATCGCTCACCCGACAGCAGGCCCAGATTCAGCCAGAGATCTCCTCAACCCACGAAGATGAGACCAGGGCTCAGTCAGAGTCCTCAGAGGTCAATGTTGCCGAGGCCAAGAGCACTCTGGCCAGCGTAGACAAGCAATTGCAGGATGAACAGTGAGTGTCTCCCGAGCTGCTAGATGCAAAGCTCGCGCGCATCTGCTGCATGTGTTTTGACACGCCCCCCCCTCCCCCGCTTCGGATGCACCTCCTCAGACGCCAGGCTGCATCCTCAGATGTCGAAAAGGGCGACGACTTTATCCCTTTCAATCTGCAGGATTGGCTGCGCAATTTTGCACAGGATGCGCAGATGGATGACAGCCAGGCAAGCCGAAAGCGTTTGGGTGTCAGCTGGGAGAACCTCGACGTCATTGGAACGGCTTCGATGGACCTGAAGGTACCCACCATTCCCGGTATGGCCGTGTATGAGATCGTTGGCCCTATCTTCAAGCTGTTGAAGATGTTCGGCATCAACCCCGTGAAGCAGGGTCAGAGGAAGCTCCTCCAGGGCTTTACTGGTGTCGCAAAGCCAGGAGAGATGGTCCTCGTTCTTGGTCGACCTGGCTCAGGATGCTCGACCTTCCTCAAGACCATCGCTGACAAGCGCAGCGGTTTCATCCGAGTCGACGGAGACGTCAACTACGGTGGCATCGGAGCCAAGGAGATGGACAAGCGCTTCCGAGGTCAGGTCGTTTACTCGGAAGAAGATGATGTGCACAATGCCACCCTTACGGTTTCTCGTACCATCGACTTTGCCCTTCGACTGAAGGCTTCCGGTGCCACGCTCCCCGATCACACTCAGCGTACCTTCCGTAAGCTCATCCGAGACACTATGCTCAAGGCTTTTAACATTGAGCACACCAAGCACACACTCGTCGGTAGTGCCACCGTACGAGGTGTTTCGGGTGGAGAGAGGAAGCGAGTGTCCATCATCGAGGCCCTGTGCTCTAACGCCACCATTCTCAGTTGGGACAACTCATCCCGAGGTCTCGATGCCTCCACCGCCTACGACTACGCCAAGTCGATGCGAGTCCTCACCGACTTCCTGCAGGCGACAATGTTCGTCTCCCTCTACCAAGCCTCGGACGTCATCTACAATGAGTTCGACAAGGTTCTGATCATCGAAGAGGGACGATGCGTCTACTTTGGTCCCCGTGAGCAGGCACGACAGTACTTCATCGACCTGGGATACGAAGACCGACCTCGTCAGACGGCTGCCGACTGGATTACCGGATGTACCGACCAGTACGAGCGCCTCTACCAGGAAGGCCGAGGCCCTCACAACGTGCCCTCGACGCCCGAGGACCTCGAGGCAGCCTACAAGAAGAGCGATGTCTATCAACTCATGCTGCAGGACAAGCTTGCTTACGACACTGCCACAAAGGAGGGTCACGTCGACTTCGAAAAGACCTTCAGGACAGCTGTCAAAGACGAAAAGCACACCGGTGTGGGCAAGCATTCGCAGTACACCGTTTCCTGGCCTGCCCAAGTCTACGCTCTTTTCCTGCGACAGATGCAGATGCTCTTGGGTGACAAATTCGACATTGCCATGTCGTACGTCACTTCAATCGTTCTCGCCCTCGTTGCCGGTGGTATCTTCTTCGACCTTCCTACGACCTCTGCCGGTGTCTTCACCCGAGGAGGATGTCTGTTCATTCTACTCCTCTTCTCGTCCCTGACCGCCTTCGCCGAATTGCCGACAATGATGCTGGGCCGACCGATTCTGGCTCGTCAATCTGGCTTTGCATTCTTCAGGCCGTCGGCTCAGACCGTGGCCTCCCTACTGGCAGATTTCCCCTTCGGTATCCCTCGAAGCACCCTGTTCATCGTGATCCTCTACTTCATGTCAGGACTCTACCGATCAGCAAGTGCATTCTTCACCGCCTGGTTCATCGTCCTCATTGCCTATTACAGTTTCAGAGCACTCTTCACATTCTTTGGCGCGGTTACCCGGGACTTCTATGGTGCCGCTCGACTCGCTGCCGTTGTCATGACGATGCTCGTGCTCTGGGCTGGATATGTCATTCCTCAGGCATCCATGGCACGATGGCTCTTCTGGATCTCATACCTCAATCCCGTTTTCTACGCGTTCGAGGCCCTCATGGTCAATGAATTCAGCCGAGTCACGTTCACTTGCGTCGCCTCAAACATTGTGCCATATGGTCCCGGCTACCCAGCAGATCTTGGACCGAACCAGATCTGCACCGTCGTTGGATCGACTCCAGGCTCGGATCTTATCCCCGGTATGGCTTACCTTACTGGGTCGTTCGATTACCAGTTGTCTCACAAGTGGAGGAACGTCGGTATCCTTTTGGCGTTCCTCTTTGGTCTTGTCGGTCTTTGCTGCCTGGCCATGGAAACCTCTGAGCAGGGCACCTTCAGCTCGGCCATGACCGTCAAGAAGCCCTCGAACAAGGAAGAGACGAAGCTCAACGAGAGGCTCGCTGACAGACGATCTGGCGCGACGGAGAAGACCGAGGCGAAGCTCGAGGTCTACGGCAAGCCATTCACTTGGTCCAACCTGAAGTACACCGTACCTGTCAAGGGCGGCAAGCGCCAATTGCTTGACAGCATCGACGGCTACGTCGTTCCTGGTACCATGACGGCTCTCATGGGTTCTTCCGGTGCCGGAAAGACGACTTTGCTCGACGTACTTGCCGACCGCAAGACCATTGGTGTCATTGAGGGTGACCGTCTTATCGAGGGCAAGCCCATCGACATCTCCTTCCAACGACAGTGTGGTTACGCAGAGCAACAGGACATCCACGAGCCCATGTGCAGTGTTCGAGAGGCTCTGCGATTCAGTGCCTACCTGCGACAGCCTTACGAGACCTCCATCGAGGAGAAGAATCAGTACGTCGAAGACATCATTGAGCTCCTCGAGTTGCACGAGCTCGCCGATGCCATCATTGGTTACCCTGCCTTTGGTCTAGGTGTCGGAGACCGAAAGCGTGTCACAATCGGTGTCGAATTGGCTGCCAAGCCTTCCATGCTTTTGTTCCTCGACGAGCCCACGTCTGGTCTCGACGGTCAGTCCGCCTTCACCATCTGCCGTGTGCTCAAGAAGCTCGCCGACGCTGGACAGACCATCCTGTGCACCATCCACCAGCCATCATCGCTTCTCTTCGAGACCTTTGACCGACTGCTTCTTCTGCAACGAGGTGGACAGGTTGTCTACAACGGTCCCGTTGGTAAGGATGGACAGCACCTCATCAAGTACTTTGCCGACCGTGGTGCCCAATGTCCTCCCGGAATCAACCCCGCCGAGTTCATGCTCGATGCTATTGGAGCAGGAAGTCAGCCTCGTATGGGTAAGAAGGACTGGGCCGAGCACTACCGTGAGAGCTCGATGCATCAGGACAACTTGCGCAAGATTGAGGAGATCAACCGAGAGGGAGCCAGCATCCCGGCTACCAAGGTCAACAAGGGTTCCGAGTACGCAGCCCCATGGTTGTTCCAGTTCAAGGTTGTCCTCAGGCGTACCTTGCTCTCCACATGGCGTCAACCTTCGTACCAGTACACCCGTCTCATCCAGCACATCGTCTTTGCTCTGCTCACCGGTCTCCTCTTCTTGCAGCTGGGCAACAACGTCACCACTCTGCAGTACCGAGTCTTTGCCTTGTTCATGCTTGCCGTCATTCCGGCTATCATCATGGCCCAGATTGAGCCCTTCTGGATTATGGCTAGGTCTACCTGGATCCGAGAAGAGACGTCCAAGACCTTCTCTGGCACAGTCTTTGCTGTCACTCAGTTGATCAGTGAGGTACCCTATGCTATCGTCTGTTCTACGGCCTTCTTCCTGTTGCTCTACTACCTGGTCGGCTTCCAGACTGACTCTAACAGGGCAGGCTTCTTCTGGGTCATGACGTTCCTGACGGAACTCTTCGCGATTACGATTGGAACCATGATCGCATCGTTCTGCGCCAACGCTTACCTTGCATCGCTGTTCACACCGTTCCTCATCGTCATCATGTCCCTGACTTGCGGTGTCCTCACCCCACCGGCGTCTATGCCCAACGGCCTCTACAACCAGTTCCTCTACAACGTCAACCCTATTCGCTTCTCCATCTCTTCCCTCATCGCCAACGAGTTCCAGGATCTGCCAGTCGTTTGCGACGAATCTGAGTTCTACACTTTCTCGCCTCCTGCAGGCCAGACTTGTGGAGCCTACGCAGGACCCTACATTGCCAGCGCAGGAGGCTACCTCAACAACCCCGATGCTACCACTGGCTGCCAATACTGCACTTACTCGACTGGATCGGAATTCTTTGGTGCATTCGACATCACTTTCGGAGAGCGAGGCAGGGATCTGGGCATCATGATTGCCTTTGTTGCCTTTAACGCCATCCTCACCGTCGTCTTCACAAAATACCTCAAGTTCTCTAACAGATAGACGTGGAAATGGAGTAGCAGCGCTTGTGCTGTACCCCTCCCACTATTACTCGACCCCTTGCACTTTAATACCCGCCCTTTCCTCCCCCCGCCCGGACGATCATTTTCAATCTCGCCCTCTCTCCCCTGTGCTACCTATCCCATATACATTGTTCCCTGTTATTCGGCACCCCTCGTGTGCTCCTGCTTGTGTTAGAGTCTCTGCGCTGGCCCTTGTGCTTCATTGCCTCTGCTTTCCTTTTTGCAATACATGCGAGCGTAGCAGCCATCCTCTCCTGTCTTGTGAATTGAGCCCACTCGCCTCTCTCTGTCTTTCCGCCAGCCTCGGTGGCCAGTGCTTTTCCATGCGCCGCTCCGCCCGAGGATGTCTGTCTCGCCCCATCTTCTCCTTCCTTCACCTGCGTACAGATCCTCTCATCTCCTCTACAGTCATCCTCGCCGCCATCACAGCCCCACTGGTGAGCCTGCTGCGCCACAATGGAGAGACAGAGGTCACATTTGTCCCACGAGGTCTCCTTGCCTTCACACTCGCCCTTGTGAAGATGGACAGGTGCAAGGGTGCCGGTACGCTCTTGGCCTCTTGGCAGGGGTCAGCACATGCTGCCTATCCCAAGCCGAGAAGAGCCCCTTATCGGATACAAAGACCTGAGACTTCAGTGTCATACATCGCTCGCAAGAGGAGGCAGATAGTGTCCAGCGCCATCGACCTCCCGGTTGGGTCCCTTCTCCGACAAGAGCACTTGGTGCCTCTGATACCTGTCCTCCCCGTTCGCCATTACGGCTCGCATCGCCTTGGTCGTCGTGCTGGACAAGACACTACACTGGCGAGCTCGAGCTCTTCAGAAGCTCTCAGAGTCCTTCGTCAGATGCGCAAGGTCTTTTCGCGGATCGTCCCTGTTCTCGGAGACAGTCTGACTAGCTTTGCAGACTTCCGCTTCACCTCCGCAGAGTACTGCTTGTCGCCGGACGAATTCGACCTCAAAGAGAATGTGGAGGATACCTCGGTCGCTTGGCCTGAGAAGGTGACTTGCGAGGAGGCCGAAGATCTGATCCTGCTGTTCGAAGACTTTGTAAGATGTGCCCCCGATGAAGCGCAGCTCGAGGAAGCGGCTTTGCTTGTCCTCCTCGTAATCACCGCGACTAAGCCATCTTCAAACCGAGACGACAGCTGCTCAGAGGTGCTATCGGCCGCTGCCCAAGTATCGCCAGCGCAGCAACCACCTCGAGCAGCTTTGCAGCTCGTTGTCAATGGCTTCCGCAACGATCTGGACTATATTGGGGCGTCTCGCCTCCTGGAGACATGGCTAGACTCACTGAACTGGCGTCTGAAGAACGAGGCGATACTCTCGCCTCTTCTCGATCTCTCCGTATTCTTGCTGCAGTCTCCCAGCAGAAATCACCGTCAATTTGCCTTTAGCGTCATCGAAAGAGTGACCGACGAAGGTCATACGCGAGACCTGCCCATCAGGCTTATGGGCGGCTTGGTAGCGAGTATGACTAGGGCTGAAGAGGGGTGGTCCGATTTGCCAACGACATGCCGCCTCGCCAGAAGGCTCTATTACCGGATGCTGGACTCGACCCAACCTTCTCCCGCTCTGAGTAGTGAGCTCCAGTTTTGTTGGGTTGCCTTGGCAATCTGGCAAGTTCTGGCTGATCCGTCAGTAAGGATCACAGGTGCATACGACAGCACAATCGATTTGCCAACGTGGCTCGAGTCTCTCGATTCCAGAGGCTTCCTGCAAGATGGAACAGTACGCACAGCCATCCATTCGGTCGTGCTACGATCCATGCCAAAAGAGCTTGACAGCTGCGAGGACGAAGAACAGGTTCTCGATATGTTCAAGGCTGTGACGCAGAGGTGTGGCAGGACCCGAATGCCCCCGGGTCGCTCGTCTTGGGGTTGGGGTATCAGAGCCCTCTTGGGGCATTCGAGCACCCTCATCAAATATCCTAATGATCTCGAAAGCGCAGAAGTGCCAACCTCACACACAATTGCAGCAAATGAAGGCAACAATGCTGATCTGAATCGCATCCGCGAAGCAGATGTGCTGCTAGATAAGCTTCTGGCACAGCCGAAAGCGCCTACGCCCACGCCCTTCCTTGTCCTGCCGCTCTTGAGGGTCCACCTCGCCCAGTTCCCTCCTCAGATTGACAGAGCAATGTCAATCTACGATAGTATGCGAGCCCGGTCTCAACGCAGTCTCGGCTTCGCTAAGTTTCTACAATTTCTCAACGATACTCGTAATCTTACCGGAAATCCCCTATCCCGACGCGTCGCCAAGCTGGCCGCGCGTGGTCCTGACGGAGCGACGCTGACATTGTTGCTGGACAGTCTCTTCCGTTGCAGCCCGATCGAGCTCACCAACGCTCGGAAGATCATTGACGACATCATCAGCGATGGCAGCGAGTCGAAGTTGAGCGGATCGAAGCGTGCGAAGTACACGTGCCAGCTGCTTTTAGCGCTTGAAGACGGAACAGACGCCGCTTCCGAGGCCTGGGAAACCTTGACTAAGCGGGCGTGGTGGACTTCTGACTGGCAAAGTCGGCATTGGCAAGAGCTAGTAGGTCGACTCGCAGGCGTACATGGCTGGAGAGGCTATTCCAGTGCTCTGAGTCGACCACTGAGAGTCAGCGCAAGCCTCATACTGGAGGTACTCTCGCAGGGGATTCAAAGCGAAGCTTTCCTCAGCCACGATCTGTACACATCTTTGCTGCACAAATTTGGCCACCTCGCAACGGATGGTTCGCAAGATGACAGAAGCGTGCTCCTCGAATTAGTTCAGAATTTGCACGCCATCCTAATCCGTGATTCGCGGATCGCGCCGGACCTGCCCTTGATCAATGCCCTAATGAATGCCTACAATCGATGCCAAGCACCTATACTCGTCCACGAGCTTTGGGAAGGTCTCGCTCTGGCTTCATTGCGGGTAAGTGCACCAGGCGCAGCAGAGCCAGAGACGCCTGCGAACGATTCACAAGCTACCTTTGCCGTTGCAGCCAGGGCCAACCCTGCCTCTTCAGCCGCCATTGATGGAGCTACACTGTCGATCTACCTCGATACCTGTGGTCGCTACAGCGGAGGTGTCAGTCGGGGCCGTCGAGCTTGGGCTTTTACAGGCCGCCTCGACGCCAGGATGAGAGAGAGGGCAGGGGTCCATGCCGACCGGGTAGTAGCTATCCGCAACAAGAACGCCTGGAACTCATGGCTGGAATTCTTGTGCAAGAGAGGTCGCGTGTGGGAGGCAATGGACGAGTTGGAGAAGATGATCTTGGAGCTGAAGTCGAGGCCAGCTACCGATGACGGCAGCGAGAGCGGTCCAGATGTCAAGACGCTCTCGATGATGCTCAAATTCGCTGCTCGTGACAGGGACTGGCATATTAGCCAGGGGAGATATGGTAGGGCAGGATTCTTCAATAGTTCTTCTGCGAAAGAGATCGACGCATGGTCGAAGTTGCGTGAGATGATATGGACGCGAGGGGATCTTCGGCACCTCTGGAGCAGAGTCAGGGACATCGGACATCCCGGATAGTCAGAAGCGGAAGATTCGTGGTGGTCTTGATGCTTAGTATGCTGAGCTTCCAGAATACCATTGTACATTACATAACACAATACAACACAAACACTGGATCGTACGCTGTGAGTCCACCCCTCCTTTTCACTTCTTCGAAGCCGCGGCCTCCTCCATCTGGGCTACTCGACCCTTGGCCTGCTTGAGAAGTGTAGCCTCGTCAAAAGTCTTAGCCCAAGAGGGGCGGGCGATTACTGCACTCCACCACTCGGACAGACGCTTGAGGGAAGGGTCCTCTGAGACGACCTTGGCGACGTCTACGTCGGAGGCAGGCAGTAAGCCTGAGCTGGCGTACAGCAGAAGTCGACCGACGCTGTGGACGAAGAGTGAGCAACAAGCGGAGACGGAGTCAGCAAAAGAATAGACAGATGCTGACACCCCTTTGTTGTCGAGGGAGACTCACAAGGGCGAGATGGCCACTTCGGCCAAGGAATATCTTTTACCAAGGAAGTAGGGTCCTTCGGCAGGGAGCAGCTCTTGGAACTGTTTCAGAGCCTCAACCGTCTTGGGTACCGCTGCTGCGTCTCGCTCGCGGAATGCGGCGCCGAAGGCAGGGCCGAAGAGCTGTGAGAAGCGCTCGATCACGTAGCGGATACGAGCCTTGTCGAGTGGGCTGGGAATGGAGGAAAAGCAGAGTGGATCAGCACTTGAGCTGGTTTGATTTTGCTCTCCCCTCCTTTCACTCACTCTTCAGGCAGCAGAGCCTCTCCACCCTTCTGCGATGCAAATGCCTCTGCAATGTACTCTGCCACTACAAGCGACTCGGGCAGGTAGGCGTCACTGCCCTGCTTCCCGTTGCGGACGACAAGAACAGGCACCTTGGAGGCCTTGTTGACCTTGCTCTCATACCACTCGGGCTTCTTCTGCAGGTCGATCTCGTAGCGCTCAAAGTCCTGGTTGCTCTCTGCCAGTGCGAGCTCGGCGCGATGAGCGTATGGGCAGATCTTGGCAGTGTAGAGGAGGAGGTCTGCGGTGGCCATTGTTGTTGATTTTGATGTTGATGTTGTTGCTGTTGTGCGTTTGATCGTGCGATAGTGAGACAATCAGAGATGTAATGTCTTTGTATCTGGAAAACCTGCTCAGTCTACGAGATTGTGGAGAAGCTTACACCAGGTCAGGTCACAGTGCCTGCCGATTGCGTCTTACGGGCATAAGCATTCGGCCGTGGGGAAGCCACGTGGGATGTCAAGAGCGGCGCACGGCCTGGCGCGTGCTTCCGTCCCAGGCGGAGACGGAAGCTTGACTCAGGCTTGCCAATGAATCAGCCGCGACGTCGCCGGGGTAGGTTGATATCCCAACCACCACAAGAACCATGACTCGAGATAGCAACCGGGCTCAGCGAGATGGCGTCCAGCTTGTCAGTCTCTCCGACATCGAGGCTGCAGCTGAAAGGCTCAAGGGTCGCATCATTAAGACGCCTTTGCTGACCTCGACTGCCATTGATGAGCAACTCTCAAAGCTGATATCGCCGCCGGAAGGACCGGCGATTGATGTCAGGATATGCTTCAAGGCAGAGCATCTGCAGCTTACTGGGTGAGCACTGGAGGACCCTGAGATTCGGAGCCTTCTGACATCTACTCCTGTGCACAAATGATTGACAAGACCTTTCATCTCCTCTGCCCATCCGTCAGTGCGTTCAAGTCCAGAGGAGCCGGTAATGCAACTCAATTGAGCTTAGCACGTTTGCGAGCAGAGAACCCAAACTTCGATCCGACCAAATTGTGCGTCTTGACTCATTCCTCTGGCAACCACGCTGCTGCTCTGGCTCTGCAAGCAAAGCTGGCAGGCGTGCAGGCCGCGGTGGTGATGCCTGAAAGTGAGTCCGGAGTGAGAGCAGCGGTATCGAGTGCGTGAGAGGCGAGGCCCTGACAACGTCCGCTTCCCTCACATCAGCTGCACCGCAGACGAAGAAGGACAACACCGCTTCTCACGGCGCTCGCATTTGGTTCTGCAAGCCTACGCAGCAGGCCAGGGAAGACATGGCGCAAGAGGCTCAAAAGCAGCTGGAAAGCGAAGGACTGGTCGTGGAATTCATTCACCCCTATGATGATCCCGCGATCATCGCAGGTCAAGGTACCATGGGAAGAGAGATGATGATGCAGACACCATACTTGCAGGAGCGAGGAGGCTGCTCCCATGCCGCGCAGCTCAACGGCTCCTCGTCGGCAAGTGACAATGAGCAGCTTGGGGGCTCGTCAGCTTGGACTAGAAGAGGTGCTGCATCACCACCTCTCGACATTGTCATTGCTCCAGTCGGAGGAGGCGGAATGCTCAGTGGAGTGGCTACAGCAGTGAAAGGCATAGACCCGCGGACGATCGTCGTGGGAGCAGAGCCGAAGGGTGAGTCAGAGCCTCTCGCTACACGCCTCGCGGGATCCCACTAATTCTATACCCTGTCTTCTCTGTGCTCGCAGCCGTGGATGATGCGATGCGCTCGTTTGAGAGTGGCGTCCGGCAACCTGCTGTTCTACCCCCGGATACAATCTGCGACGGGCTCTTGACTTCCCTTTCAGATCTCACCCTCGCCCATATCGAGCGCCGGGTGGACTTGATCGCAACGGCTTCTGAGACCAATGTGATCCTCGCCTTGAAGGCCGTCACGAGCTCAATGAAGCAGATCATCGAGCCATCTGCTGCCGTAGGACTGGCTACCTTGCTGGAAGACAATAGTCAGCTGCGGAAGGTTGTACGTGACGTCCACGCTCGCAAGAATGAGGGAGAGGACCAGAGCGTGAGGATTGGCATTGTCTGGTCGGGAGGCAACACCACCGTTCAGACCATTGCCGAATATCTCTCCAAGGTGTGAAAGGGGCAGGAAGACCGTGCGCGAGCTCCAGGCCAGGAACGTGACCCGGCGCGTACGAACATTAATTCAAAGCCGTCATTGTTGATACCTCAGCCAATGCCAATGGACTTGGTATAATCTGAAGCCAGTGATCCCGGACCATCCCATTCAACTCTGTTCCATCATCCAACATGCCTGATTCGCCCCCGTCGCCAAGCCATGTCGTACTCGTCCGCCAGAACCGGACACGCACAGGATCCTCCTTGCCGGCACGACCCTCCTCCAGACTGGGCAAGCGATCATCCCCTCCTCGTGACGACGGCTGCACCCCTGCGAGAACTGAGGCCACAGAGCACAGTACCTTTCTTCCGGTGCCATTCTCATCTGCTATGGGGACGAGTAGGGCCGCTACGGTCGAGCAGCGCATTGCAGCCCGTCCAGCTAGCCGTCTGACAGCCGGCGCAGCTATCGAAGCTGCCCACAAGCGCTACCGCTCCTCATCTCAAATGGCCTTCTCAAGACCTTCACAAGGTGATGCCATGGACCCATCGACACGGCGAGCGGTCTCAGGCATTCCGCCGCCTTCTTCTTATGCCGAGCGGCCACTTCAGCGCGCTCCGGGCCAGGCTTCATCCTTGGGACGGCCGACAGCTTCTGCTGTCTCATCCGCCAGTATCACACGGACGCAGAACGAAGCCTCTGCGGCTCCAGCTAGGATTCAGCAAAAGCACTTGCGACGACCGTCTTTGCAACCATTGACTCACCAGCGGCAAGCGACGGTACGATCTGTATCGTCCAACATCCTGCCACCATCGAAGCCCGATTTCACATTCAGAAGCAGGCTCAGCGTGCAGCCCCTGGAGGGCAATGCTAAGTCAGATACCTTGGCTGGTCCTCGGCCATTATCCTCCGCCCATGCGCATGCACCTCATAACGACGCGAGCATCCGCTCGCACTTCACCCGAGTCGGTGTCGATCAGACTCCAAGCAAGAGAGATGCGTATGTCAGTGGCAAGACAGAGCGTCTATCGGCGGTTGCATCTGCCTCAACGAAGCGCAAAGTCCTCGACACACCGGCTGCACGAGAGCGCGGCTATCGACGACTGGGCCATCTGATGCTCCTGCCTGGTCGGCGCAGTATGAGCAATAGCGGTGCGGACTTCATCGTATATCACAGTGAGGACACACCTGGCCGTTTCCAGAGCGCCAGAGGCGTGGAGTCGAGAGGCACTACACCCACGCAAAGAGACTTTGCCGACAAGGGCCCAGAGCGCTTCCCCACTGTCCCTTGCAGAAGCACAACAGGTCCAGAACATGACTTCATCCCTCCGACAAAAGGGGCTAGCAAAGTACCTCTGCCCGACCAGACATGCATGACCCTGGCTGCCCTGAGCGTCAATGAGGACACACTACTCGTCAGTGATGATGCTATCTTGGCCGATCTAAGGGCGGAGGCTTCGCGTGTAGATATAGTTGATGATGGGAGACACGATGGGGCTAGTGCAAGACCACCGCCAACGACAGGACCATCCCTGCCCTGCTGCTACCAAATCAGACCTTCTGAAGGCAGTGGCCAAGCGCTTGTTGCTGAACCCAGCGGCGGCTCGGATATCAGGTACATCAGGGAGCATGAGAGTGATGCTCATCTCGCAATACTAGAGCTGCGAGAGAGAGTTGATGAACTCACCAGAGCGCTGCAAGAGGAGAGGCTGTCTCATGCCGCGGACGTAGCCCACCTGCAAGCGGCCGAGCGTGAGGTTGTAGAAGAGGTCAGGAAGAAGCAAGAGCAGGTGAATGAGACAGCAAAGGCTAGACGGCGCCAAGAGGCAGAAGCGGAATCACGATTGGAGACACAGGTGAAGAGCTGGGAGAGGACGGCGGGCCGAGCTCTGGTGGCCGGAGCCGTGGCTGGGTACGAAGGTCTAATGAAAGCTGCGGCAGTGGAGCTGGATGTTGTCAAGAGTGAAAGGGAGATGTGCCTCCTGCTGTTACGTAATTTGAAGCTCTGCAGCAGCACGCTAATGTGAAACTCATGTAACGCCATACCTCATTGTACCGATACCAATCCTGCGCGTGTCCGACGTGTGCCAAGGCAATCTGACGCCCCAACCGACGCGCCGCAATTTCCTGAGAGCAACGCCAGATTCAATCTTCCGCCCTGCCTTTGATCTCAGGGCGACTTTTCCTCCGCCCTGCCCTTCGTACCATGACCCGATCCTCTGCCCACGATGTTCTACAATCACGAGTTCCTCAATCGTCGTCGTGGGGGTCTGGGAATAGTATGGCTTGTAGCTACGCTCGGCAGTCGCACAAACTTACGCAAAGTCACGAGGAAAGAGTTGGAAAAGGTGAACATTGTCAAAGCTTGGTGAGCACCGCAAAACGGACAGCCCAGATTGATTGAAGCCAAATTCAGACCTTTCACGGTACTCAGATCTTGCCCTGTCTCACACCCCGATCACAGTGCATCTGTCATCGCTCCACCAGAGCCAGTAGCCCTTCGCTTAAGCGCACAGCTGATGTATGGAGTCATTCGGGTCTACTCTCAGAAGTCCGAACAGCTACTGGCAGATGTCACTGCAATGCACACTACGGTTCGCAAGTCACTGTCAGCCATCAGCGTCGCCATCGTTGTTGGAGGCGGGGACGTCGACATGCCCGCCGTCTCTCACCGACATGCAGAAGCATTGACTCTGCCTGACAATCCTGCACCATACGCTGGAGATTTCGATCAGCCTTTCGCATGGGATTGGGAACTCAACTTGGACAGCCATGGTGAGGGAATCTCGATGAGTGGTATCTCTAGCGGGGCTCGTCTACCTGCCAGCCCTTCTCCCACCCCGGCTCGGGACCGCTTCACCGCTGCGAAAGAAAAGATTACTCTGCCTTCTCACAGGACTGATCAGGGCCTCTTTGGCGACATCGAAGAGGGACGAGGAGGACAGCTCGGCGAGTCTCTCGATATGAACATGATGGATTTTGCCGGAGATGATGGAATGGCTCTCGATCTTGGTCTGGGCGATGGACTTGACATTCCTACGATCGACGAGACGGCGACCCATCACTTTGCCGTTGGCGACCTCTCCTCTAGTGTCAATGGTGCTGAGCCCGTTTGGGGCGACCCTCAACCCGATAGCCACGATGCATTGGATGACCTGCAGTAAGTAGCGCACCACCTGGCCTTACGGGCCCGCTACTTCCTGACAGATGCCGACTCTGCTCTTGCCCTTCCAAACAAGGCTTGGCCTTGATACTGCCACTGGTGTCATTACGGCCCCAGCACCACCACAGGAAGCCCAGGACATCGAGAGTTCATTGGAGAGCTTTCTGCTCGGACCTCCAATGCCAGCTGCACCCGCGACTAGGAGGAAGACTGTTTCGTTCAGCCTTGAAGATCCGCGTATCGAGGTTAGAGTCTAATGCACAGCCTACGCGTGTCACAACACACTTACTCAATCCTTTTCGTGTCCCTCATGCCGCCAGCTCACGGGAGACGAGGTTCGAGCCCTGCCTCAGCTTTACATTCAGCGCATGGAGCAAGAGCAAGCAGAGCGAGGTGCGCGGGAATACGCTAAGCAAGCAGAAAATCTCGTTAGACAGCAATTGTTGTTCGGTCCGCCTGATGATAGTGAGTAGGAGATGACGAGGCTACTGCCTTGAGACTAGCACCGTTTGACATACCTCCTTTTGCCGACTCAAGTCACTGGAGAATCAGGCCTCCTCGAGTTCTGGAACGTGACTGTGGGATCCGAAGTACAGAGACTAGGTGAGGCAGTGTGGGAACGGCCTGTGGACCAGCTTTCACTCAAGTGCTGATGGTGCCTCTAACTTGCATGCGCCAGAGGACAACTTGCAGGAGTACAAGAGGATACTGGCAGCGGGCGGAAATTTGCCACTCGATCCTACGAGACCTACTCAAAGCGGACAAAGGCCTCTGCAAGAGGGTGGTGTCGAAGATGCTTTTGGCCAAGTGACGGGCGGGGAAGCGATGGACTTGGACCAATCAGACATGCCCAATATGGACGACTTCGGGCTACGTGAGTAGACACTCTTCGCAGCACGAAGATGTCAGTTGACAGACTGTCTTTTTGCCCTCAGCGTTCGATGCCGGAGGACCTGGCGTCAGTGACAGTGTAAGTCTGAACAGAGCGATAGTACCGATTGGGGATTGATGCTCATTGCGCAATTCTTTGGTCTTCCGTACAGAGTCTGGACTCGGTGGGACGAGCTAGGGCCGAAAGCATCGGCAGCGCTATCTTCCCCTGGAATATGCCAGTAGTTTCGCGAGATGCTGAGATTAGCGGTGAGTCGCTTGAATGTTGAAAGGAAGTTCCGAGAGGGAAGCTGACGTCGGGCATCTCACTCTAGGCTCCATTCGTGGCGATCGCACGCCTCGAAGTCATAGGTCCCTCTCTGTGGGAAGCATCAGCGCTCCCGTGTGAGTGGAAAGGGTCCAAGTGGAAGTGAATGTCATCGTGTCTGGGCTGTATATCTGATTCACTAATATGTGTCTTCCGAACAATGTCCAGGCTCGGCCGCCACGGATCTGTAGCTCTGCCATCGCCCGCTCGTGAGACCGAGTACGCGCATGAGGCCGAGGACCTTGCTCAAGGCGATGGTGAGCTGCGTTGTAGAGCGTTGATGCTGTCTACGGACCTGGTACTGAAGAAGGCTCCGTCCGCTTGCGGGGACTACAGAGGGCGACCAAATGATCGAGATCTACGATAGCCAAGCTGCTCAGAGCGAGTTCCACAAGGAGACGCAGAACTTCTTCAAGTAAGTCTTCTTGACTGTCAGAGCCCGCAGAGTAGGTGACAAAGGCTTACTCCCTTCGCCTTCGTGGAGAACGTCACTTCAGCTTCGCCAAGCGTATTGCGGTCGAGGTTCAACCTGAGCCTCTGTTTTTCTCGGATCTTGCGCCTGTAGCTGACTCGATGCCCACGGTTGCTGCTCAAGCTTGTGAGTGTAGGAAGGCGCCGAGACTAGACATATCTGGGTGGATATAGCTAATGATCATGCTGCTCGAGTTATCAGTCTACCATCTTCTACAGCTTGCCACTAATCAGGAGGTGCAAGTCCAACAGGATGAGGCTTATGGTGAGGTTCGCGTTGTCATTCCTGGAACCCAGGATCTCTCGACCTGATCGATTCTCCGCCGCTCCCGGCCCGTGCGAAGATCTTGTCACGGAGACTTTCCTCTGCTGAAGCTTCGACGCCATCGTGTTCCCATTACTACGCTACAACCGCCCCTTCTTCCATGTCCTCTCAAAATCAAGATGTTACCTCGCCTTCAGGGAGTGATTTGTTGCAGACTCCAGTGATGCGAGCGTGGCAGGAAGAGGATCGGTTACCATCCTTGTCTTTGCGCGAGTCGCGGCGATCCGGCCGGGGAGGGGCCGCCGATCTCACAACATCCGCAAAGAATGTCATTCTCACCGAGGCAGGACGCAGCCCATGGTATTCCAAGGAAGGAGTGCCACAGAGCGCATACGTCATAGGAGTAGCTGGAGGTCAGTTGCGACGATATCATTTACTCTGGCGGTAGTTGCTCATGCCCGTACTTTCATCTTGACCTTTCCCTCTGTAGGTAGCGCCAGCGGCAAGACCAGCGTGTCTCGTCGCGTTCTGGCAAGCTTGCCAAATGTACCTTGGGTAGCCATCGTCAGCCAAGACTCCTTCTACCTGCCCTTGACTCCCGAGCAGGTGAGTGGACTGCCGAGGAAAAAGCCAACGGTAGATCAGACATGGTCTTGGAGGATCGCTGCGCAGCTCTGACTTACGTTCTGACATTACGTTTATCGTTCAACAGAGCAAACTGGCTTTCAAGAACGAGTGGAACTTTGATTCGCCAAGATCATTCGACGAGAACCTGTTCAGACAATGCATTGCAGATCTGAAAGCCTCAAAGGCCGTCGAGATCCCCGTCTATTCCTTCGTGCATCATCAGAGGCTGGACGAGACAACGTACCTCTATGGCCCCTCGGTGATCATTGTGGAAGGGCTCTTCGTCCTCAATGATCCTGAATTGAGGGATTTGCTGGACCTCAAGGTGTATGTTCAGGCCGACTCTGATCTCATGCTGGCTAGGCGGATTATGAGAGACACAAAAGAGAGGGGAAGGGACATCGATGGAGTGATACAGCACTACCTGAAGTGGGTCAAGGTCAGTGATTAGAGCTGGGGTACAGCTACGACATGGCAGAGATTCACTGCCACGCTCTGACAAATGACACGATGCCATCCCTCTCCAGCCTGCTATGGATTCCTACATCGCGCCCACTTCCAAATGGGCGGATCTCATTGTTCCAGGTCAGAACAACGAAGTCGCAGTGGACATCGTGTCTCAACATGTCAAGCGGCAACTGGAGGCGAGAACGTATCGCTTCAGATCCGAGCTCGGTCGCACCCCCTTGCCGCCTGACGGGGCTGATATGAGCACTAGCGCATCTATGGACGGCGCATACGGACGTCCCCAGATCTCGCGGTCCTCCTCTTACCTTGTCTTCCAGAACATGTCGAGCGCGTCGTCCACCTCGTCCGAGACCGGGCTCACATCTTTCACCAACAACCACTCTCCCATAGCGCTGCCGAGCTCTGTGCACCTCTTAGCTGCAACGCCCCAGCTGGTTGGTCTCTTGACCATCATCCATGACTCGACAACTTCGCCGGAAGACTTCATCTTCTACACCGATCGTCTATGCTCCCTCGTGGTCGAAGAGGCCCTCAGCTTGCTGCCTTATAAGAATCGAGAGGTCATCTGCAATGGGACAGGAAGGAGCTGGCAAGGCAAGGAGCTCGACGTCGAGAACATATGCTCAGTGTCAATTCTTCGCTCAGGAAGTGTCTTTGAAAAGGCCACACGGCGAGCCATTCCCGATCTAGCTCAAGGATCTTTGCTCATCCAGTCGTGCGAGAATGATGGCGAGCCGCAATTGTATTCCCTCAACTTGCCGCTCTCGATCAGGAGACGGTCTAGAGCAGTCAATTGCCATGCTCTCTTGCTGGATGCTCAGGTGTCTACGGGTGCGGCTGCATTCATGGCGATCCGCGTGCTGCTAGATCATGGTGTACCTCAACAGAACATCATCTTCCTCAGCGTCATTGCCTCGGCTCGAGGAGGTCTGTGGGCTTTGACCAAAGCTGTGAGTATGCGCTGGTGACCACTGTGTCTTTACCCGAAGCTGACCTTCGCGCCCCCTGTACCTCGTGTACAGTTCCCTCAGGTACGTATCATCCTAGCGGGTGTGGATCCAGGTCTCAAGAAGCTGCGCATAGAGTATCCTGGACCTCGCGAGAAGCAGCCGCACCAACATCGCCGCGCCTCTACGCGAAGGCTGACAGGGAGCGTGTCTGCGGACAAGGGCACGACGACTGTGAAGAGCCACGACAACTCCTCACTCTCCTCTTCAGAAAGCGAGCACTTAGGACTACCGTCGTCTGCACCTGATGACGATGACGAAGAGCCGTCGAAGCCCAAGGTCAAGACGATCTGGGCCATCACACCCGGCACTGGCTCTATAGGAGATCGCTACTTTAGGACCGACTAGATGTTGATTTTGAGTGGGCAGCGTCGCAAGTCTCATGGTGGATACTATGCGGAATTCGTACAAAAGCAATGAATGTATAAAGTGTTTACAAGTACACGGAGAATCGTCTTCTCTTGCTCATCTCTTCCTCTTCCCTCCGAAGTCGTTGTTGCCCGCTGAACTTCTTCGCATCGGAGGTCCCCCACCAGAACCACCTCCTTCCGCACCGCCTCGTCTGCCAGCCTCGAGGAATGGCATCGTCTTTCGTTCCTTTGCAGCATTCTTGCGCCTGCGCTTGTCCAGTGCTTTGCGAAGCGCTTTGGAGGAAGACGTTGCACCTTCCACAACGGGTGCTGCCTCCGCCCCATCCCTCTTCTTGCCAGCCAGGCGCGAAAACTTGTCTTGTAGCAGCAGCTCTCGCTTGGCCGAGTCCTTTAGGTAGAATCTCTTGCCACCCTGGCTGACCCGCTCCTCGTTGTCCTTCTTGAACGTCTTCATCACCTCCCTCTCCCTGTCACGTCTTTGTCTCTCCGCCTCTTTGGCCTCTGCCCGCTTCAGCGCTCGCTCCACCCTCTCGCGCTCTTCCCTGATCTTGAGAGCTGCCTCGGAAGTTGCCTTTGGCCCTGCCTGGTGAGTTTCTGCCTTGCGCAGCTTGCTGAGAGCCTGCTTCAGACTGGAAATCTCCTGATGTTGCATGTCTGGGAGAAAGGAATAGGAGCGGCGGAAGAGATCTGAATCGACCTCGTTTCCTGAAAGGGTGGAGAAGCGAGGATCTCGCACTTCCTTGGCTTGGGTCTCGATGACGGAGCGCTTGCGAGATACGGGTCTCCTGGACGACATTTCCGCCGGTGCATGCTTGCTGCTCCTCTTCTGCAGCTCGCGATGCTCTCGTCTTTGCCGTTCGCCGTCTGCGTCATCACCACGAGCTGAGCCAGCTGCATCGCCTCTGCTGGAAGAAGCTGTCCTCATTGCGGCTAGTCTCTCTTTTACTTGCCGCCGCTTCTCCTCGTGCGACTCGGCGACGGACTCGTTGGTCTTGACTCGCTTGCTGCTCTGCCTCTGTGCTGCCTTTGCTCTATCTGTGGCCCATTCATCCTCTTCGATGTCGGAAATGTCTTCGTCAGATGCAGTGGCCACAGAGCGCTGTGCTTTGACTAGAGCTCCAAATGGTACTGATGCCATCTCTTCATGACGGAAGATGGTGTTGGGAAGTGATAAGTAGATGCCTGCACCATCTCTAGACCTCACTTTGGCACACTCACTCTTGCGTAGGGCATCTTCCCTCTTTTGGTCTTCCTCGAGATCGGAGCTTTCCTCTTCGCTGCCCTCGTCGTCGTCTCCGCTGTCACTCAAGTCCTCGTCATCGCTATCATCATCGTCTGCTTCCTCGTCGCTCTCGCCCTGGAATTGTGCGTACCCCACCGGCGCAGAGGTGCGAGTGGGTGATGATGACGAGGATGCAAGGCTGATGTCGTCGTCGTCGTCGGAGGCGTCTTGCTGCCACTGAGTACGGCTTTCAGCAGCCATACCGAAGAGAGTGGTTGTCCCACGTTTTTCGCCCTTGGCGTGTGTGATTGCCGAGGTGAGGGCGAGGTGGGGGGGAGGACCGGAACTGGAGGCGTGAGAAGAAGTCGGCGGGACGACGTCAGGAAGAGAAGTTCCGGCGGGGCGGCTGCGCCGAGAGCAGGAGCGGAAGCGATGCACAGCTTCAGCCGGATCAAGTGGCGCTCCACGATTGCAGGCGCAGGGCGGGGCGGGAACTCTAGAAACTCGCGGCTCTAAGGCTCGCTCCCAGGCAACACACACCCGCTCCTCCAGCCTGCCCTGCCCCCTTTGGCCCACCACCTCCCCGCCCTGGACATCGTTCCCTTCATCTCCACTCCTTGTAGCATCGTCACGCTCATTTCAGCCTCACAGACTCAGAAGCATCTGGCCAACCTTGACGTCCCTCCACGCCTTCATCCCGCCCTCATGGGTCGTCCCGTACGAATTCGCCGCAAGGGCGGCGCGCCCGATCGCCCAAACCGATCAACAATACTCGCAAACAGCCAGGGCCTGGAACTGGACGTGATCCAGAGGGCTGTAGACGATGAGCGTAGGGAGAAGCAAGCGGCAGAGAGAAATACTCAGGGAACCACACAAGAAGAGGTGTCCCCGCAGAGGAACAGTCCGCCCGCCAGGCGCCCACAGCCTACCCGCAAAACATCCAGCGTTGTGGAGCAGCTCTTGGCCACCGACCGCTCAGATGACAACAGGGTCGCAGCACAGCGGCCAGTATCTCCCACTCAGGCCCGCAAGGGACGCAAAGATCCACAAGCAGGGATACCAGTCTATCCTGAACGAGAAGGCAGTCTTCTGCCTACCACCAGTGCACGCAGCGACTTGCAGACTGTGCAAGAGGGGACCACCATGGCTCCGGTGACCAGCAGTCTGCACGGAGGCATCGCACCCGTCCGAACATCATCCAGAAAGGACCCTCAAGCCTCTTCACAGCCTCTGCAGACAGCAGATGTCAAAGGCACAGAGGCTTCCAGTGGCGGACTGCTCAGCTCCATGTGGGGTAGGAATTTGTCTCCTACCAGGTCCAAGACTCATTCCGTTCGTCCCCTTTCGACAAGAGGCGATGCTGAGTCGAGTTCATCAAGTTCAATTCACTCAGAGGACTACGAAGACGGCGTAGCAGACTATCTCGATGCCATTGATCCAGAAGTTCAAGTGATCAACAACTTGACCAATATTCAAAACTCAATCTTTGTTCCTCATATACCCTCTCTCTGGAATCGTCGAGTCAATCACGACCTTCCCACTGTACCCGCGAGAAAAGCCAGCATGATCCCGAGCAAACGCTCGGATAATGCCTCCATGGCGGAGGAAGGAATGTCAGGAGCCAAGAAGAATACGACTGGTGTACAACGGCCAGGTCGGATGAGCAGGATGGCCAGCGCAATGTCCATCAAGGGCAGAAAGCCCGTCGATGGTGCCGAAGACCATATCCCTGCCTGGATCGAAATGGACGAGGACGAGAGGGACGAGCTAGATTACCATGTTCATCATCTCCTGACGCGACCTCAAAAGCTCAGGCGAGGTCTCCGGGGCTTCGGCGTTTGGGTCAGGACACCGATGGGCTTCATCATGCTCACCTATGGAGTTCTAGTGGCCGGATGGGGTATCGTCATCATGCTCTTCATCTGGAAGTGGATCGACCTACACGACCCCGAAAGACAACGCTGGTGGGAAGAGATTTGTGACAGAATTCTGTGCAGTCTCTTTGCCGCCATTGGTATTGGATTTGCTCCCTTCCGAATCGTCGACACGTACAGAATGATCCACATCGCACACTTTCACCGCCTCAGTTGGAAGCGCAGGAAGCAGCTGGATCTACCCAAGCTGTCGGATCCAAATGATCTTCCCCGTCCCAAGGGCTACAACGAAGCATTTCCTCTGCCTACAAGCGGCAGACTAGGCCAAATCGCAGAGGAGGAGACGGTCACAAGTTCTGTTGAGCGCCCTTCTCGGACTCCGAGTATGCAGCCCTCTTGGACATCTTCTGGGCCACCCTCTTCCCACCTGAGTGCTGTCTCCTCAAGAGACACTCCGGGAGCCATTCCGCAGGCAATCAGCAACTCCGGTAAGGTGAAAACGAGAAGATGGTGGCACCATCGCTCGCACAAGGAAAAGATGGACCAAAGACAGGCAGCCATGGCTGCTCTTCAGAACGTGGAAGAGGTTCCATCTGAGCCTCCCCATGATCTTGGTGATGACATCACTGAAGGTAGCAGCCGTGCCGACAGCAGCGAAAGCGCTAACGGTCTATTACCAGCTCGGGAAGACGCTTCTTTGGGGCCCAACAGAGAGTCGCAGGACATGCCTCGCCCGGCACCCGCACTCACTCGTCAAGTATCCATCTTGTCAGAGATCATCAAGGAGCGCGAGGACGTGGTCGTCCTCACTCCAGACGAGCAAGCAACGCTATCTCACCATCAAAGAAAACTCCACCAAAGTCACTCCTTTTACCGGTATCACGAAACCGCTACGCACCGCGCTTGGCCTCTTGACCTCCTCATCACCATCGTCTGCCTCCTCGATGCTCACAGTATGCTACAAAGTTGCTTGGTGGGCGTCACAGCAGGTATCGACTACCACGTGCGTCCTACTTCCCTCACAGCGGGTCTCATTGCCTGCTCTCTCTCCTGCAATGCCGTTGCCGGGTTCCTCATCTATTGGGGAGGAAGGAAGACGAAAAAGTCCGAAGAGGTGGAAAGGAGACTCAAGATCGCCATTGAGGAAGAGGCATTTGCGAGAATGATGAAGCATCATGGAGCCGCCGAGGCTGGAGGCAACATGCAAGCCCTCAGGAAGGATGGCCAAGGTCGACGCTCGTTCATGGCCTCGCGCGTGATCGAGAACGGACACCAGCATGGGAAGGCGTAGGAGCAGCGCAGGCAGCGTGCACAAGTTCTTTTCCCTTTCTATATTGTATTCAATGTACTGTAATTTTATTTGGACCCGTTCTATCATAACTTTCCTTGGCCTGAGTCTGCTACAAAGCATCGTCCTTGACGAAAGCGAGGGTGGTGAAGCATTCGAAAGCGAGGGTGGTGAAGCATTATGCGCTCTGATTGCAATTGAAAGAAGCTAAAAGTACAAATGTTGAAACGCATCAGAAATCTCGTCTCCAGACGCAGCTGGATGTCCCCTCGCTTTAGTCTATGACGTCCTCACTACCATCCACACAACAAGAGACATGATCAGGCGACTGCGCGTGACGCATCGATGCGATCACTGCGATTGACAATCTCAGGAGTCAGAATTTGATCCTTGACCTTGATGAGATCTCGGTAGCTGCCCTTGATGGTCGCAGGACTGACGCCGGTAGCCTCAGCGATCCTCTTCGTCGAGCGATGGACGCCCCAGATGGTAGTGGTGAGGTAGATGCACGCAGCTGCAATGGTGACTGGTGACCTGCCGTCCAGAAACCCTTTCTCCCTGATCACGCCAGCGATCTCCTCAGTGGACCGAACAACGATGCGCTCAAGGCCAAGGAGATTGCAGAATCGGTTGATCAAATCAACCGCCGAGGTGATGTTCAAACCGGCACCTCCTTCAGGTCTAGCATCGGATTGGCCGAGCTCAAACGTTGCTTGAATCTCCTTGAAGCAATCGACGACTTGTCTCTTTGTCACGCCGCTCACGCTGGACATGATCTCTGGGAAAGTCCGGGGAGTGCCAGATTGTTTGCAAGCGACGAAGAGCACTGCGGCGATGATGGCCTCGGTCTTGCGGCCACGCATGATCTTCTCGTCCTGGACTCGCCTGAACAGCTGCTTGGCTGCTTCAGCTGCCGAGCGAGGAAGCGACATGCGCTCGACTTTGTTTTGAATGGCGTCGAAGCCCTCCAGAATGTGACGATTGGCATTGCTGGTCGCCGTCCTGTTCGTCGCCCGCTGCAGTGCAAAGGACAGACCAGACCCGCCATCGGAGGATGAGATACGAGTCTCCAGCGATTCGGTAAGACCATCCAGAATGGGGTTCGTAGCTTGTCCGACTCGAGAGGGGTCGTCGCCATCCTCATTTGCGAAGGTACGCCCTAGAAAGCAAAACAGGTACATTAGCAGGCGCTCAATCTGTGTGCGAACCTCTTTGCTCCCAAGGACTTACATTCCGACCGTGTGTCTACGATTCTGTCTCCCACTACCATCCCACATGATCCACAGACTAAATCACCACTTGAGTAAGCTTCCACGAGGTCGGGAGGATCTTCTCGACATTCTGGGCAGATCAGCCTGATATCTCTAGCCTCTGTGAAGGTAGGTTTGCGATTCTGAGCCTGGAGCATAGCGCTCGCTCCTGCAGCCTGTGCCGCCCGCTCTGCTCTGGCAGCGGCATACCGGGCAGAGACAGCATAAGGTTGTGTGACCGCACGCTGTGAGGGGTGCTGCTGTTGCTGCTGCTGTCGAGTCAAGGGAAGCCACGGGCAGAGTTCACCGGTCAGTACTGTGCAGCTTCCGCAGAGTTCAGAAGGCAACGGTATACAGCTATGGATCTGAGGTCTTCGAATCTTCCACCCCTCCATTACGTCCACACGGTCGTTACCAGTGACGTACAAAAGTCACATACGACGAACTGCAGAGCACGTCTGCCCGCCCCGCCCCTCCGGTCGTAAGAGACTGTAAGCTAAGCGGACCGCTCGAGGCGGATGCGGATGCTAACCTGAATCTGCGTTGTACCTCCATTATCCGAGGTCAAGGCCATTGTGCTCGCTTTGTTCAAAACAGGCAGACAGTATTTCTTCGATGAAACGTTCGGAGGGTAGGCTCGAAGAGTCGACACAGGATGCGTGAGGTGACGATACCAGGATGACAAGTGTGGTACAAGAGTCAAGCAGAGCGAGAGGACGGCCGCGTCAAATCATCTGCCCCCGTTGGCTGATGCAGGTTCCGTTCCGATTGCGCGGAATGCCGGGAGATGGTGATCCGCGTCCGAGATGCGAGATGGCGGCTTTCCTCTGTGCCCGGTGATCTTCCCAACCACATCCTTATACTGCCCCTGCACTCGTAGCTAGAAGCTCATCAGAGGTATCTCTGCGTCAAGAGTTCGATAGCAATGGGGAAGAGGAAGAGCTCCACCCGCTCCGTTGGAGGCAAGAAGGGACCGCAACCGCTAGACAAGACGTTCAAGTGCCTCTTCTGTTCCACTCCGAACAGCGTGAGCTGTAAAATGTGAGCATCGAATTGACTTCAGGTACGACCACGACTCCGTGTGGACGCAGAGAGGCTGTCTGCGACCTCAAAAGGATTGGCTTCCGGGCAAGGCGCAGGCCAACAGCTCTTGCAGCAGGGAGCAGTCTCGCCATGGGAATGCGGCCATGTACAGGACAGGAAGGTAAATAGCAGCTGACCCATCGCCCTCCCCCAATTTCTTGGTCCCGACCCCTTCAGCGACGAGAAGACTCGCATCGGCTACCTCACCTGCAAGATTTGTGGTCAGAATTTCTCTACACCAACCAATGCTCTTTCGGCACCAATTGACGTTTACACCGACTGGCTGGATGCCTGCGAAAGCTTGAACGCTTAGGAGGGCCAATCACATCTCCCCAAATAACGATTCGTACCATTCTAGCGGCAAGCAGGGCGCTAAGATGCGCATTTGTTGTACATACAATATATTGAGTCCAACGAGTCCGGGTATCATCTATGAAAGGCTACAGAATCCCACCACTTCCAGACCAGGGAAGATCTTCACCCGGCGAAACTCCAGACTTGAATCTTCTCCCCACGGCCGTGATGGTTCGACTTCCGAAGATCCTCACTCTTCTCCACGCTGAATTCTTCAGGCCTCTCAGAAAGATCTGACTGGGCGGCGCCGGTGACACTTAAGATGCGATCGAACGTCGTAGTGACCCGCTTGACTCGCCTCGGTGTCAGCGAAATGGCCTGCTGGGCTGCAGAAGTACCTGATTTAGAAAGGCACAGCGTGCGCTGTAAGTGCGCTGCTCTCGCCCGCCCCAAAAGGCGATAGAGCGTCCCTGGTAGCGCATCATCCGTCTTTGAAGAGGGAGTGGTAGGAAGGGGCGATGGCGTGCGCAATGTTATGGCGTGGGACCTCGAAGAGACCAGATCGGAGCTCTGTTCGAGGGTCCAGACCATGATGTTGCCGTCGGTGCTCCCGCTCACAATTCGATTGCCAGTCAGCGCCACTGAGCTGACAGAGGCGCCGTGACCATGGAGCACTTGGCGATGCTCCAGGGTCAGGTCCTGCTGGGTTGACCCAGGTGTGCCAGTGTAAGAAGTCAGAGCAGCTTGCTTCATAGAACCAGAGATCTTGTAGACATCGAGAACGTTGTCCACTGAGCCAGCTATCAAAGTCCTTTCGTCACTGGTAATGCTTGTGATACGACTCGATCCGTGGGCCGGTCGGTCACCAGAGGGACGGCCGCCTATGCCTGCAGTAGAGTGGAAGATGGACCGCTGTGTGCCTGCCTGACTAGGGCTGCGCTGTGGTCGCTCAGGTCCTGTTAAAGGTACTCTAGCGTCATCTTCTTGGTGCTCTCCGAAGGAAGCGTCGCCGTGGGACACGTCCGGTCGAGGCAGCTGCCCCGTCGAGCGTGGACGAGCTGTAGCGTATCGGCTAGTGATTGAGGCACTGCCTCCCATATCGAGTCCGTCTAAGACGATGACGATTTCTTGTATGGAAATCGACCAATTGTTTGGGTAGCAGGGGCTAGAATAAGCAATGTCCAATCTGATGGCCTGTGTCGGGTTTGACACTTCCACACAGATGTCCGAAGACACTTCACTCTGCAAAGGCATCTGTGCGTCGCACAATCGTCGTCGTTTTCTTGCTTCCTTCAGGCCAGCAAAGGTGCTAGAAGGGTACGCGCCTGGTGTGGAATTTGTGTCAGAACGCGTCGGGGAAGACGTGCGCTTCCTCTTCCTGTCGCCTATCTTCTGACCAGACGTGACTGCTTCACTATGCGCAACCGCGATACTTGCGAGAGACATGCTCGCAGGCCAGTGACAATTAGGCCCCTTCATTCTGCGAAGTAGCGTAACCGATATCTTCTTTTCGGTAGAAGCAGGTGTCTTGTAGTCGCTCAGCTTGAAAATAGATATGTCAAAGTCTTCTGTGCAGGTTGCCAATATCGGGTAGTGGAAGGAGGACATTACGGAGCTTTGTGGAGATGTAGGCGACGACCTTTCGCAGAAGACCTCTTCAGTCGCCGTGATGGCGGTCCACGGCTCTGTACTCAAGCAGAATACGGACCAATCTCCTGAGGAATAGGCCACGAACAAGCGGATCTTCGCCGAGCTGGACGCTGTATCAGCCTGGACGTCTGTGATGGTAGGCATGCCTACTTTCCTCGAACTGATAGCCGCTCTCAGAGCCTTTGATCTCACTTCGAGGGCAGGGGATGTGGGAGCCAGATCTTGAGAAGACGCAGCAGCCGTTGATCGAAGCGTCGCGGACTGCACCGGAGTACGGTACACCTTGACACAGGGCGCCGAGTCCATACCATGTGCAGAATGTTCTGGATCTTCATAGGGGAGCCGTGTAGCCGTGAAGATAAGGTTGCCAGCCGAGGCAATCAGGGTCGTCGCCTCAGCTGGAGCACTCGCTTCTCTATTGGATGCAACGTTGGGTCCACCAGAGCAGCTGCCAGTTGCTGTGCCGGGAGCTGGTACGGCGCAGGATGCAAGCTTCGGGGGCTGCTGTGCTCGCGACGATGGCTCTGCTGCAGCAGGGGGTACATCCTGCTCTGTGGCATCTGAAAGTTCCGAAAAGGCAAATCGACCTTTCCGCCAGTTGGAGCTGACGCGAAAGAGGGCTTGCCAGTCGAAGTTCTCCTCGCGTAGGCCATCTCTGGATGAGGCGCTGTAAACCAAGCCATGCCTGTCGTTTCTCTGCCGGAGACGGCGAGCGTGAATGTCATCGTCGCCAATTCTTTGTGTGTCCCGAATGTAATATTGCTCAGGGAGGCCCCAGTACGCTCTTGAGGAGCCACCTTGCTTACGCAGTGAAAGAAGGAGCCGTTGCGGGTCCGGTTTACCAAACATTCGCGGTAAGGTCGGGTCAAGCTGCCGTTGCAGTCGTATCCAGTCTCCAACGAATGTATCCAGGTATAGGACTTTCCAGATCTGCATTCAACGGAGAACAAAGGGTTTTTCAGTGTTAAGATCGACGGGCTCGCGTTCATACTCGCTATGACTCACCTGCGGGTCTGCAGCCAAGCTGTTGAACCTACGGCAAACGCACTGGAGACGAGCCAGCTCGGCAGCACCTAGATACTGCCATATGCGCAAGATGATCTCGTCTGACAGCAGACGATTCACCGCTGCGCAGGAATCGTGGCTGCTACCGGTGGCAACGGCGTCAGATGGCATGCGTAAGCCTCCCTCCGAAGGCTCTGTGTGCCCTCCGTCAGACATGACATGTGTCTCTGAAGGGGATTTCTTCATCCTCGGGAAGCGGGAAGGGTGCTCATAGTCAAGCAGTAGTGAAGAGCAGGTCGTAGGCGATGAGGTGTGGGTGGGAGAGGATATATGGAGGTGGAGCTGCGAGACCAACTCGGAACACGGAAAGGGAGCCCGCGGATTTCCGACTCAGGCCAGACCTAGGGATCTTGCATTCAGCTGCCTCGCAGCATACTCCAGCGACGTATTGTCGTCACATGGACACAACGACTACAGAGATGGTCACAGCTGCGCCAAGACGAAGCGTCACATATAAACAGTGGCAAGATGCAGAGGCAACATCGCCTCTCGTCAGTCCTGACCGATCCTGCCCTCGTCTTTCGTGTTCAATCTAGCTAAGCGCTGCGTGTATGCGCAAGGACAAAGATCAGCACGTTGCGAGAGACTCGAACAGCTCGATGCATTCCATCGAATGCCTTCGCCACTTGCCAGGGGCCTCTGGATAAGCGAAAGAAAGTCTGTTCGAGACACAGACTTAGCCCGTCTTGACTGCAGAGGCGCATCCTCTTCGCCAAGGATGTGGTCACGGCAGCCTCTCACAGGGTCCTCCATCGCTGTCATAGCCATCAAGATGCTAATACTGTGGGGTGGCTAGGTGGGTCAGGGACGTTGCTAGACATGGATTTGTCTTGAGTCACAGAGCAGTCAGCGGGGCGCCTCGATTGCTGCGCGCAGCGTGCCGGGAGCCCCTATCTCGCCACGTCTTTGGCGATGCACCTCGTCACCCTCACTTGCCCCTGATTTGGAGGAACACAGACGCCAAGGACTATGAAGACGAAGAAGCGGTGCGGGTCGGCCTCCTGAGTAGAAATGGTCCGGAGAACATCGCAGTCTTTCTCCGGACGCGCGAGGCGGTGGTTGTGCTCCCAGCTTCGAGTGGATTGCGTGGTAGCAATCAGTGGCAGTAAAGATACACTTTGCTGCCGCGCGAGCTCGTTGCTGACAGTCCATCAAGGAACGGAGGGATGTGACGGCTTTGCTGTTGACCGTGCCGAAGCACAGGGACAGGCAGAGGGAGAGAGGCCCGCTGCTCCTCGTTGCTCACCCTCTGAGGTGCTCCCCTCCTTGCCTATGCCTCACCAGGAGCGTCTGCTCTGCTGCCTCTTGTGCATCAACTACACCACACCACCCTGCCACCACGGCCCCTTTTCCATCGTCTTCAACGCGGCCGAAAGATAGCTTAAGTACAGCCCCTCGGCCAGCTCTGAAATCGAGGAACACCGTCTTCCCCTGTCTCTTTCACTTCTCAAGCCCCTGGCGCAATAGAGCCCCTCGCGACACCGAACATTCCTGTCACTAGTACCAGAAGATTCTTCGACGCCACTCGACGGCACACTACCGCAAGAAGGAGGCTACATTCAGAACTCCTGAGCTCTTGCGAAGAGTAGCCCCGAGTACACAAGCCTCAGCTCGACTACTTATCAGACGCGTCTTTTGGACAACGCCGTCTGCACTTTCCTCCCTGTCTCCTCATACACTTCACACCCGTCCCTCTCCACAGTCATCTCGCCACCATTACGCCTGCTCACCACAGTCAGGCTGCCCCTTCTCCTCTTCCTTCTCCTTCACTCGTCTCCCCTTCTCCTTCATCATCATCCCCACCTCGCAGATCTCGCAAGCGGTCAACACACCCTTCCTCACCTCCGACTCTGGCGGTTGCTTTGCCTCGATATCCTCGGCCGCGTCACTTTGCGTCGGAGCTAGGTTCTCAGCGACCTACGAAGGAAGAAGACTCCAGCCCCAAACGTATCAACCCGAGCAGCCAGCAGGGTAAGCAGGGAAAGATCGACGCTCTGAAAGCCAAAACTCTCCGACAAGCATTCTCCAAGACCCCTTCCCCGTCTTCGCGCTCAGCTTCTACTCACTTCCCCGCCACGACCAAGCCACAAACCGAGAGCTCTACACCTTCCGGAATGGCCACTCTGAACTCAGCGGGCCATACGCAGCAGTATCGAATGGACCACCTACACATCGGAATCGGCGGCCATCAGAATGAACCCGAACATTATCATGAAGGTCAATTCCAGCCACGTCAGTTTGAGATTCACGATCGACAGTATCAGGCTGGAAGTGATCTTGAACGTCCTGGCAACAGCGGGCGCTCTACACCTATTCCGGCAGTACCATCCAGCGCCGAGCTTCTGAGGTGAGTCAAAGCACCCGTGACAATTCTGATGGCGGTGCAATGCCGACCTGACAAAATCTTGGATGCTCTGCCTTACGCTTCCTTCTCCGTTCGCTCAGCTTATACGGACCCAAACCGATACGCGCTCAGTTTGCCTGTGATTATTGCCGTGTCAGGAAGGCAAAGGTAAGTCCACTGAACAGTGGACATGCTGAAAGGCAAAGTATTGACACACACGCCGCCGCCCTTGTTGTGATAGTGTTCTGGAACAGAACCGTGCGATCGCTGCATTTCCAAGAAGCGAGTATGCACTTTCTCTTCGGTACAAAACCAACGCAAGGTGACTCGCTCTTTGAAAGATCTACGGGCAGAAAGGACTATCGGATCTCCGTGCCGGAGCCCCGTATCGGCTGTTGCGAGAGCCTTTCCGGATGTCGGGCCCCAGAGTCCGTATATCCGGGTAGGTTCCGGTGTTGGTCGTCGAACTTCACCAAATGATCCTCCCAATTCTGCTACTTTTCGCCGAAACGACCTTGGACCTCTGCCCAATGCGAATGCTAGGTCGGGACTGAGCTTGCAATCATCTGGCACCAACGGCTGGCCATACGACTGGGACGCAACTCCATTGCCTCAAGAATCTGCTTACGGAGGCCCACGCAGGGTCCACCAGCCTCAGGCTATTGGTGTTCAGAATCAGCTGCACTATCTTCAGCCTCACCAGCAGCACTACCTGAATTCGCCAGGTCTTGACATGACGCAGAGCCCTCTCAGTGCTGGAGGCCACTTCTACAGCGCGCAAAGCTCACCAACGTTCTTCCAGCATGCCGGACAAAGTGCCACACCGGCTATGAACGCCTTCAGTCCCTCCGTCCAGGGTGGAGCTGGTCTTGGCCCCACATACAGCAACGCTCACTATTACGCTGGGATCGGTCAAGGGGATCTGACCACTCACGGCTTGTCCTCGCTGCATCTTCAGCAACAGCACTTCCAGCCGCGCATGAATACGCAGTCACAGGTGGGCGAGAGTAGTGGAAGCGGAAGCGATGATGTCAACCGCCAACAAGGCTGGCGCGAAGGTCCAGGCACCCTGACTGTCGGTAATGGCGATTGTCCGCCGGCCGGAGGTCAGAACATGTTCAGTGCAAGCAACGAGGCGCTTTCGCAGCAGTCGCAGATGTCTACGTCGCACACTGATGTGGGACAAGACGCTTCTAGCAAAGAGGAGCAGCAAACATGCGACGCTGAGCAGTCTTCACAATTGCAGAGTGGACCATTGTCAGCAGATGACGGTAACTGTGGCAACAGCTCAGTGACGACCTTGAAGGATGTCTCGAACAATGCGAGCTGCTCGAAATCCTTAAGCAGCTCGCAGGGAAGTAGCCACAGTCAGCCCGACTTGAAGGCGGAGCCGAAGGTGGACAGTCCATCTGGTCACGACTTCACTCCCGAAAGCCTGTCCGTCTATCAGGGTCAGTCTGCCACGCAATACTAAGATGCCAATGGTGCATCGAGCCGCTCAGCTTGTATCCGTGCCTTGTCATATGACACTGGCAGCTGACAAGATGCGCGATTGTTAGGTACAATAGCATTTCGTCGCTGTGAGCCTGCTTTGCCGCCGCGGCCTGAGGCCCGTGCAGCCACTCCCCACTTTTCTTCAACATTCATTGTGCATGTCCATTTCTCCCCCTACCAGTCCATGTTTCCCTGCGCGGCCACAACCTTGCTACCGTTACCAGGCGCTTCTCTCCCATCCTCTAATTCAATAGCATGTACGACCTCTTCCTCTGCTGCGAGGATAATCTTTGTGGAGGCTCGTCGCCGCGGATCCGGGTGCAGCAGTGGGCTCGTGCGGCGCGTCGTGCGAGGGAGATGCGCCGCCAAGGCCGCTTGCCAAGTCCTGAGTCTTGGCAGGCAGGGCAGCAGCAGCCTCATGCACCGCCCCCCCTTTGCGCACAGAAGCATCAGATGCCAACGAAGAGGAGTCCTTCTCAACCGAGCTACCATTTCCACATCATAGAATGCCCCTCATGCTTCGTACTCATCGCTCCGCCTACTCGGCATGGCTTCTCGTCGCCTTCTGCGCCATACTCGGCCTCGCCCTCCTCCCACGAGCTGCAGCTTTTGGAGCGGGCAATATCCCCAGCTATTCACACCAGGAGGGAAAAGCTTTCCGCCATGGAGATCTCGCAGACACTCTCTCTGCTCTCCTCAAAAAATCGGGAGGAGGTCTGTTCAGCGGTAAGAGCAAATGGGGAGGGCTCGACATCAAGAGGGTCTACTTCGGCAACTGGCTGAGAGATTACAGGTGAGCAGCTCGGGGCGGCGCAGCCCGTCGAAGATGCGGCAAGATCAGCTCATCAGCTGCTGTGTTGCTACTCTCCTGCAGTCAAGCGATGGACGTGGCTGGCTTAGAGAAGCTTTCCAAACAAACCATTCTCTCGATCGTGATGGTGCTCAGCTTCTTGGCACACGGCTATGCAACGGGCGAATTTGAAGTGACGGAGGAACGTCTTGGAGGTGAGGAGCTGGGGCTAGAGCGCAGTCGAATGATACGCTCAGCCGACCCGGTCTGACCCGCTTTCTAATTTCATCATCGTTTCCAGTCTATCTTCCCACCGAACATCTAGACAACCCCAAAGGCTACCCTTCGAATGCCAAGCAGTTCGATCATCGTTTGAGGGGCCCCGTCGACCCTCAGGAGCTTGAGATCGATCCCAGAAGCGGCATGAAGAACTATCTCGCCAATGAGAGCGGAGGTTGGGCGACAAGCTCGAGGCTTATCCGTGAGACGGTGTCACAGGTCGTTCAACTCGGGAGAGAAGCTCGAAAGACGGGCAGGAAAGAGACCCTTCACGATGCCTACCGCCATTTGGGGAAGGCCATGCATTGCCTCGAAGATTTCCCTGCTCATTCCAATTTCTGTGAGCTAGCGCTGCTCAAGCTCGGCCATCGTCAAGTCTTTTGTCATGTGGGAGACAATGTCCGGGTACGGAGTCCTTCTGGAGAGATGGTCCCTTGCTTAGTCACGGGCAGTTTCGGAGGAATGGACTTCGTAGCCTCAATGCTGGGTGAGGATAAGAGTCCCCCTTTTGAAGGGAGAAGACCTGCACTATGAACGCTCGCTCAAGCTGTATACTGACCTTCCTTTGCTGTCTGTGGCTCTGTAGGTGAGACCTCCGATCATCTTTCCTCCGCTTCTGTCTCCGACCTTTCCAAGACCATTGACGATGCCAAGCAGAAGCAGAATCAGGGCGGAGCGCTCAACTCATTGATGAGCGTCTTGGGCAAGCTGCCCACCTCAGTAGGCGGCGACGTCACTCGCGATGCTGAGGTGCTCAGCAGGGGCCCTGCCGCAGATCCAGGCACAATGTCTCCTCAAGAGATCTATTCGGGTCTCTTCAAAATTTTCACCTTCCATGACAAGGTCATGATGGGCGTCGAGAGCACCATTGAGAAAATTCCTGGTCTGGAGAACCTTCTAGAGACCATTGGCAACTCTCTTTCGACCTTTACAATGACTTTGATAGAGCCTTTCGTCAAGCCGCTGATCTCATCGGCATTGAATGGTCTACAGGCTACCTCGGGCGCGGTCGTATCCGGTGTGGATCAGTACGAAGTCTTCAATGACCCTTCGGCATCAGATCCTACCCATACACAGCTTGCGAAGGATCACTTCAACCTCATCTTGAACGAAGTAGCCGGTAATGTGGCTATCATCATCGATCGTCATGTTGTGAACACTATCGTAGCAAGCTGGGACGACAATCGCGATCCCCAGCAAGTGGCTGATGAATGTCTGGCACCAATGTTCCACCCCTTCTGGCAACATCCTCGCAGCACGGTCCAAGCCGAGATGCTGGACTACGTAGCTGCCTGGGCTAGGAATCACACATCTGACATTCAGCGTCTGAGCAAGGAGCACTGCAGGGCTCACACTAACACAAGATCTGGGAAAGCAGAGACTCACTCAGGTTGCGGTGGAGGGAGTGTGACCGGTGCAGCGCAGCAGGACGTGGGCTTCGGTCCAGCCATGGCGAGCTGGGTCGGTGGCAAAGTTGGTCTGCCAACAGCGGGCAGCACCAACAGTACACCTTACGGCTCATTGATTGGACGCGATACACAGACTGAAGGCCTCGCAGAGAGTCGCACAGCAGCTCAATCACTTGGCACGCCTGGCACGCCTTACATCGACTCTGGTAGGAGCCACGACACTGCTCCTCTCGAAAGCGAGAGCACGCACCACGGACAGGAGTACGGCGCCCCTCATCAGGCCGTTCCAGGGTATGATCGCGCTCAAGGGCACTCCCGGCCACAACGACAGGATCACGGCCACCCTCAGGAGCATTCTGCGCACCACCAGCAGGGCCATGACTATGACCGAGAGCACTCCAGGCCTCACCAACAACATGGTCGACCTCACCATGATGAGCCACGTCGATATGATGGGGCTGAGACTTCGCAAGGGTGGGGTGCAGCGCCTCAAAGTGAAGGTTATGGCCAAGCACCTCCTTATCATCCAGGCGGACCTTCATATGGAGCAGGTCAGGCAGGACGCTACGATGGGCAACAAGGAGGCACGTACGGGGCGGAACGCCCCTTCGAGCCTTACCCTGGCGGCTCACAGGGGCCATGGGCCGGAGGTTTCCCTGGAGATCGTCCTCCTCCTCCGCCGTTTTTGATGAGCGAGCAAGGCGGGTATGGTGGCCCACCGTCAGGCCAGGGATATAATCCAGGAGATCAACCGTTTCCAGGTCAGCAGCAGCCTTACGGTAGATACTGACAGGGAGAGGAAGAGTACCAAGGCGGAGACAGATTCTTGAAGATTTCCGAGTGTGCGCACGAGGCTTGTATCATTTCAGTCTAGAGGTATCCTACATGTCATTAGCAAGGTGGCAGCTCCGCTCCTGTGTTCAGCTTTCAGACAATAATGACATAAATGATATTGACACGCACAACTGCATAGATGAATCAGTCCGTCCGGCCGCGTGACGAGTGTTTCTGCTTGTGTTGACGGTCTGTGCTGAAAAGCAGGTCTTGTTCACTTACAGAGAGGAGGCGACTATCTCTGTGACCTCCGGCCGCTGTCTGTGATGACGCAGCTGTCTTCAGAAACAGGTCTCTGGTACTGTACAGGCACGGTAGCGGCGGTGCGAAGATTCAAGACATAGGACAACCGTCGTGCATACTGCTACTCGTGAATCTTTGGTAGCTTGCCGCTCCTCCTCCACTGTAAATGTCTGTGCACAGCCGGGAAGCGTGTACAGTACAGTACAGTAGTACAGTCCAGTTGACTTTTGTACGGCAACACTGTCACAAAGCTTGGTGCTGAATTTCTCACCGGCACACTGAGAGTAGCGAGACAAAAGGGAGCACATCTTCCACAGTACTGTGGTGTCGTGTCTTCCCTCTCCATGCAGTGCAGTACAACTGTGTGAAGTTGCATTGCTACTGTAGGGAGTACTACTGTATGTGCAAACAATTGCGGGATTACTACATGACTGCATGAATGCGTCATCCTGGGGCGCAATGCGTCCAGCAGCAGTCCACTTCCCCAATTTGAACAAGTTGTCTAGAATGACAATGATGATGACATGCTACAGTACGTTACAGTAAAGTACTACTGTACTGTATATCACCATTGCACCTTCTCAAGGAGCAAGAGCAGACATATACGTACTGTAGAAGGCAGGTCAGCTGCGACTTTGTGAACAGAGTGGCGTTCTGGCAAGTCGTCTCCAACGGAAGATGTACAGTACAGTCTTGGGTGTGAAAGTCGATGCAATGCACTGTAGCTCTACTGTTTTGCTGTATCGGCTTACTCATTTTCTGCACTTCTGAGGCAAGTGACCGTAAACATCTCTCATTCCAGCTGCGAATTTTCGGACTGTGCGCAAAAGTCATGCAATACTGTAAGGTGCATCGTACAGCGCAGTACAGACTGGACGTATACCCTTTTTCGCGACCTGAAAAGTAGATTCTGCACGGCATCTAGAATTTTGCAGCTGCAGTGAGTGATATTCTCACCCGGCTGAGTAACAAATGCACACTGTGCGTGATTCTGGGCGGCATATGAGTAAAAATTACAGCCCATTGCGTCAAACCCATGCCAGTGACGGGGGCCCCTCCGGAGACGCTGTGGTGTGTCTCTCCTGTGGGTTTTCCAGCTTCTGCGTGTTTCCCAACTCATTCGCCCTGTTCTCACCGGCTTCTTGCTCTCCTTTGCTCAGTACTGTACAATCCTCCATGTCTCTCGTCTCCAATGTATCTGCATCGTGTTGACTGCCTCAATGCTGAAGTACTGTATTTGCACTGCACCTGTCCATTTGCTCGATTTTGCCATGAAACTACAGTATGCCGAATCTCCTCTGTACAGTATCGTTGTGCAGCTAGCTACTGATGTACAGTACTCGCGTTTTATGAGAGTCTCATGCGTGTCTATGCTCTGTTTGCCAACATTTAATACTCCTTTGGTCACTCAAAGCTAGCCAGACAAAAGCTGAAACAGCCGTCTGGCAAAGACTCTGGCATTTTGCCTTGCACTTGAGCATTTTGACGCTGAATGTGAGCCACACTTTTAGCAAGGTCAGGCACTGCAGCAATGTCATATGGCTACTGTACTTTTGAACGTGCATACTGCCCAAATGTCTTTGTGCTGGCAAGATTCTGGTGCACCTGGCTGCGTTTTGCTGCAGCTGCCTAGAATTGTGTGACCAAAGGATCACAGTAGCTCTTGATACTATAACGCCGTACTTCCATGCACAGAAGCTGCAGTCTGGTGTGTAAAGCGGCTGAAAGACGAAAAAACGACTTGCATTACTTATTGCTTGCCTAATGTTGACGTGTTCAAGAAGTGAAGCATTGTCCAATATAATTTGATGCGCATTGTCGGATTCAGTGAGCAGATGACACACAAAGGACTCGAAGACAGCTGAATTTGTTGATCCGACTGGCAATCTGCGACCCACTTTGGCATTAGCAACGAAAATGCGATACAATGCAGATCATTGTCAGCAGAGACTGATCAGTTCTTCAGTGACAGACGCCCAGACCGGTGTAACTTTGCAATGCGACCAACTTCGCTCTGGGTCAAAACCACAACAGCCTGCAGGACATGGTATTTCGGAGTCTTTGTCCTGCGCGATGCTCCCCATTCTCACTGTACTCTACGCTGCCACGATCTCCTGCGTCACAGCCGATGTACTATAATGGTCTCCTACGGCAGTAGAATGCTGTACCTGACATTTGAGCTCTGACGAGACCATGGTGCCTCCAACTGTGCATCTGTTGCACAGGAAGCGCCTTCCTCGGAGCATCAATGGCCTTCCATTGCGCCCATCTCTATACTGTACAGTACTGTACAATGCAGTCTCTACACTACTATACTGTACCATGTCTGACATTTATACTGTACAGTACTGTACAGTGCAGTCTCTACACTACTATACTGTAGTCTGTCTGACAGTATGCCAGACTGTTCACATAGAATTACAACGTTCTTTTTCGAAGTTCTTTCCGATCTTCTGCCAAGGCGAATTGCGCCAGCGTTCGAAAGGTGCTGTACTACAGTACTGTATCGGAGAAGAGTCAGTTGATGGCATTTGTTCATGCAGTGGATGTCAGCGACCGTGTTACTTGTGCCACTTCATTCTACTGTAGCAACATTCGGCCCTCTGCTACTGTACACCGCCTAGCCACGAGAATGATATTTGAGCAACGCGCAAAGTCGATCCTAGTCACATTCGATTTCTTGACTCTGGCTGGATGGTGGCTTCGTCTGAGGCTCAGAACGTCAAAATGCTGAGCATATTGGTTCACCTCCATGTCGGGCTGCCTTCTAGTCTTGGCTAAAGTTCAGTGACACAAAGGATGTACTTCCTAGCGGGCGAATGATGGAGCGGCCATGGGGACAAGATACGCGGCACCTTTACATGACGCAGTCGGAGACAATGCAACACCGTGGACAGTAAGAAACCCACGTATCAATGTTGGCTTGTTCTTCTCACTCTTAGCAAGCTGATGGGTGCTTCTTCTATTGCCTCCCACTGGAGGTTAGGATAGAGAGCTCGCACAGTGTTGCGACAGTACTGTACTGTACAACACCGTGCAGTGTTGGTCAAAGGAACGAGGTTATTGAACAGAGAGCTTGCTGTGCAGTGTCTGGCATCCTGCAACGAGCATCGCCTCGCCCCTGTAGGACACGAAGATGCCAGTACTGAAGAACAGTAACAAGAGGGCGGGTTCCTACTGTATACTGTATCTTCCATCGAAGAGGTGACAGCCCCCGTCCAATGTCTTGCCAATGGTCACTTCTGACAGCCTACGGGAGCAGGTGTGCTTCACTTCCTGTACTTTACAAACCGGATGGCGACTCTGGAGCCACTTTCAACGCAAAGGCTCTGTGAGCCAAACGTCATCAGAGCATTGTTCGATGAGGCAGTCGACCTGTAGCATACTGTACTTGACAGTACACAGGATACTTTGGAAGTGCAGTTGTATCGTGAAGCGAAGCCAAATGACGAAACGACGTCCTTTTTGCCTCGAGCAAGTCGTGACAAGCGAAGTGATCTTATGTACAGCGCCATACTGTACAATCTCGAGGCTCTCATGCGAGAAAGGCCGGCGACTGGCTCTACCAGAAATACGCTAAAGCGACAGTGACCCTCTAGACACGGTTCTGAAGCTTTACAGTGGGAGCTCTGCCAGTTTCGCACTGTCCCAAGCTGCAAGGATGTGCAAGGCTGCTCGGACCGAATGTATAGTACGCTGGTAACGTGGTCTGTGTCACCCTATACACCGCTTGCCTTGCGAGATCAGCGCAGGAGAAGCGGCAGCTGTATCATCGGGAGACATGATCTCATGTTGAAGTCCGGCGTCACGCGGCTCTCTTATGGGATTTCTCATCCGTGACAGCCTGAAACGCAACGACTGGCGTGGAGCGAGCTGCAGCCTGCAAGACAAGGCGTTCAACGCATGTGTTGCCCAGCACGGCGATCTGCTTACATCGCGTCAATTCAACCTTCGACCTTGCTGCCCAGATTGTGAGCTTCTGGGCTACCCGCTGTTCTGCTCGATGTGTATCGCAGCACCCCAGCAGAACTTTTTCCCTCCAGACTGCTGATGATCCGCCAACGATACCCCACGCATTATGTGCGACGTCGTCCTTCTGTCGACCTATCAGGCAGTGCCATGGAACGTAATCACTACTGCGTTCTTGTCCTGGCGGATACGTTACTACTGTGCGACGTCGAAGCTGATTCCATGGTCCTGGCCACAGTGCACTGTCATCTGTCAGAGCTGGACCATTGACAGCAAGGGCGAATCCTTACGCCTGACGCTATGCCGATACCTTGACTTAGCGGATCTGTGCAGTCCCTCGGCCCGTCATCCAATGCAGTGAACGGGGATCTATCATTTGTGCAGTCGCCGAGACCTTAGTCTGATCCACTGGCGTTTCGCCTGTCCTCTGGAGAAAGAGACGACGCAGATACTTTGCACAGTCGTTGGTGATCCCAAGGCTGCGACTCTGTTGTACGCCTGCAGCGGGTCGGCAGTCACACTCCCCTCCAACGTCTTTGTGCCTGCTCCTCCCGTGTCACTTCGGTCTGGTGGCCATCTTAAAATCTTAATGTGCGTCACCAATGCAGTACCTTCGTGACATGGCTCTGAGAAAGCCTCAGAAGACTTCATCCATCTCCCCCGCAGACTGGCACAGTTGGACAGAGTCACACGTCGACTTGTCCCGAGACAGTGGAAGAGCCAAGCCATGACTGCACAGTCAAGCTAGCAAAGCAAAGAAAGCGCCTTTACGTCGCCAGCTTACAGGTCTTGCGACCTGAGACTACCTGTCACTGTATTTCTTCACCTCTGTGCGGTCAGCTCATCACAGACGTTTCTGCACAAGACGCCCTTGCGCTAGGCCCCTTCATCAAGATAGCTAGGCCTTTACTGACGATCCAAGTCATCTATATGCATTCCAGTATTAGACGTATGTGGTGCGAAAGAGGTAATGTAGCGACATGAGAAGAAAGACAAGGATTTTGGTCGCTCTTAGACGTGTGCGAGAGACAAGTAGATGAAGCCAAAGATGGGCAAGATCAGATTATCGTTCTGCTCACTGACCCCCTCGATGAGGCACAGAATGGAGACGACTCCTGTGTAGCGGAGAAGCTGCGAGGGTTGGGACAAAAGCGTCAGAAATGTTACCGCATGAGCGACCTAGGCGTTGAACTCACGCTAAAGTCTTGACACCAGCCAATGACCCTCAGGAACCAGGCGCTGAAGACGACACTCGAAAGGAAAGCAGCAGAGCCTTCGATCGTCTTGGAGCTTGCTGGCCAATGCAGCCTCCCGTAACGCCTTCCTACTATCGAGGCCAGAGCGTCGCCGATGCCAAGGATCAGAACTCCGGTCTGGTGCATTATCTGCTTATGAGCTTCCAGCCACAATCCTCCACAGCAGCCGGTGAGCAGGTAGAAGTGGCTGAGGATTACAGGCCCAGAGTCCTTGTGGTCAGTGAACTCGGACATGAAGATGTGGAAAGATGCACCGAAGGGATACAACGCATAATAGCGAATGTACTCGGCAAAGGTGAAGACCGAAAACGCCAAAGAGAACGCCAAATGGGTAAAAGCCGGCTGCTCGACAGGTTGCGGAGAGACAGTCAGTAGTGAGTCACCAGATGGGCACACGTCCGCCATATACTTACGTCTATCGCTATTGCGGGAACGTACATGATCACGGCCAGGGCGTGAAAGAACTTCCTACGTGCATTCAAACTAAGGTGTGTTGTCTTCTTGCTCTTGATCAGGGCTCCGTCGCGAGCGGCTGAGTGAGTTACTGCCGGCGTAGAATTTGCCGAGTTTGGGGGTACACTGATCTGAGGCTGGGTGGTAAAGGGCTTGCCTATGGCCGAGGAAGCTGCCCTGAACTTCTTGGCGCGGCTTACTACAGCTTGCCATCCAGCGATGCTCCCAGTGATACATGCCAGCCAGTACGCAATCAACAGAGGACGCGTCCACCAGTGCTTGCCCAGGACAATGAATCGTATGGTCCAGAGCCAGGGATCTCGCTGCCCAAGCAGCCATCGCACCCATAGACCGAGCGCACCTGCTACAAAAAGTGCCGCAAAAAAGTAGAAGAAGCCAGCCAAAAGCCGGCGGTGCAAATCGCGCTTGTGTGGCCATCGCAGACGGTGGAGAGGCTTCTGTGCTAAGTGACGAGAAAGGTAGAGCAACGGCGAGAGGAGAAATCCCACAAAGAATGTGCCGACTATCAGAGCCAGCTGAAATATGAGTAGTGGGGTAGCACGCCTGAAGCTTTTGACGTAAGGAGTCGTATGCGGCAAGAGCTGGATAAAGAGACACAGCTTGTTCAGCTGAGACTTCCAGGGCTTCCTGCTATTACTTCGGCTTTTGCTCACCTTAGCGAGGGTAAGATTCATGGCCTCTATCATCAAAGTCACGCCCAGAGCTGCAACGATGCCCAGCTCCCCAAGAGTAAAGCTTCGTCGTCCGAGGCGGGAGATGGCATACATACTTGCTTGGAACAGGATGGACGCGCTGATCATTTCCCACCGAGCGAGACCTGTCGTGAGTGAGGGAACATGGCGGTCAGAGTAATGCACAGGGAGGAATGGAAGCGCCCAGTCTCACCTGTCCAGAGAGGTACACCAAAGTGACCAAAGGCTTCCCTCAGTATCCACAGCAGCCCTATGATGACCACTGACGCCCCTGAATAGCTGCGCAGTCGTTGCCAATTGCTTTGCAAGGTTCGTTGGGGCCACTGACGGGCCCATCGAGTGGCACAAAGATGGGAGAGAAAGATCATGCTGATCATGGTCTGCAAGCTTAGCAAGGTACATCTTGATAGCGAAAGTGCGGACATCGATGCTGCTGCTGAGGACACTGCTTGACCCTGGAGGATTGGTACAGGGCCTTCGACAATCCATGGCGGGTTGGTAAGGGCCGGGCCATTCGGTAGATACGACCCTGATTCGTCAGTGCTGCCGTCCTCTTCCAGAGCCGATATGAGCATGGTTGTAGCCAGGAGGGGCCCCAAGAGAAGACCACACAGAGCACCGTCATCAGCGCTGGCTCGGAAACTGCGAGCATCTGTTGACCATATGAAGCTGTTGCCATGAGCTAGCATCGTGTATGTTGTACTGAGAACAATCACCACGCCCAGCTCTACAAGGTCGTTGAATTCACAGACGTCAGCACAAATGCAAACTTCTCCGGCCACCTACAGGCACGACTCACCTCCTGCTTTGATGCGTGCGATAGATTCTACCCTATGAGCTAATTGCCAACAAGCCCACAATGCTGTCAGTATCATGATCATGGCCTCAGCATGCGCGTTGAAGCCTTTGCCAGAGCGCCCACCCACAGCGGGTGGGGGCATTTTTGGCACCAGCCTGCCATTTGTGTGAGCAGTCGATCGCGAAACTTTGGCATCTTCAGACTCCGGTAAGTTGCTGCCCTGGCGTTTGGGCGATCTGCTCGGACTCATGGCATCTTCTCCTGGTCGGGGCGGCCGAGAAGGGGAGGGGCGGCGATGCCGCGCAAATGATTCCCCTACATCCCCGGTATCACGAGAGGGAGATGCCGTGCTTTTGCGCCCCAGAGGAGAGGGCTCTCTCGATATTGAGGAATGCCACGAACGAGGTGAGGGTACTGCAAGGGATTTCATGACCTGAATAGGGGGAAAACTGCCGTGCCTGACAGCCTTCTTGTCCCATTGAAATGCTTCCGACTCGGAGCTGCTGTCGTCCTCTGAGGATTCTAAAGCACCGCGCTGGCGGGAACCATCTGCGCTCGAAGGCTCTGCCGCATATGCACTAGTATAAGCACTTTGTTCAGTTGACAACGTGGGCGACAAACGAGGTCTCTTGAATGCCGAGGTCGTGTCGTCATTCGGAGACGGAGAAGATGTCAGACTCGAAGAGGCTGGCGCGGCTCCTTTTCCTTTCAGCAAGTGCGGGCGGGCACTACTTCTGATCTTATCAGAGCCCACGGCAGGCTTGTGATTCTCTCGCATCCTGCGCTTGGATCGGACATGCTGGGCAGACGAGGACGAAGGCGCAGCCCCCTCGGCGTGAGATGGAGACGCTCTGCGGTCGGCCACAGACGAAGAGGCTGTTGCGGGATGCCGTCTGTGCTCATTGGCCTCAAAAGTGGCAATATAGGATGGCCGATCGAGTAAGGAAGATGCCAGAGGATCTCCAGTCCAGCTCCTCTCCGTAGTCATGAGCTTGAGTGAGCGGGGCAGGAGGGAGTCGGGTCAGAGGAGACAGCGGCAACTGAGCCGCAACGATCTCGACAGTATTGCTGCAGAAACAGCACTCTGAAGAAATACTGGAGCCTCAACACCGCACGCCGAGGGGTATGAAGGGAAGGGAAGTGCTCGAGGCCAGTGGTCGGCGTCGTTATATCGAAGGGATGCGTAGTGGTGTGTTGTAAGGACGGGATGTGCCCTAGTCAGGAGCCAAAAATCCCGCACAGGCACGTCGTGTTGTGGAGTCGGACGCACGGCCGGCACCGCCGGACACTCACTTCCGAGGGCCATCAGCCGAAGCATCCGGACACACGTCCACGCCCACATTCGAGCTACAAGCACACCTCGTAGCGCAAATCACTCTATGGGTCAATCTCGAGGTCAAATACGCAGAGGAGACACTACGGTGAGACCGTCAGCCCTCACGGCTGCAAGGAAAGGGGAAGAGAGAAGGAGTGTGAGTCGGGCCCGCGGAAGAAGAATCCACTGTTGACCTAGCAGGACATGCTGGGTCGTATTCACTTGTGTCGGTGACGCAGCATCAGCATACCATCAACACATCCTCTGGATCGATCCGCAATTGCGTGCCAAACGAGGAGAGCTGACGGAAGGGGTGACAATGAAAGCATGTGTGACAAAAGGACAAGAGACAATGGCCTCTACGAAACGTTTGGCGCAGTCCTCCGCAACGTCACCTTGATGCCGTTGCCAACTTTCGCTGGTTGACTATTCGCAGTCGACGCCGCTTCGTTCGATTCGTCCACATCCATCTGGGCATCCCCTCTCTCTGTCTCGCCAATGTGCTCGTCCCGCGGCCGTGTAACCTCTTCATGTGCCGAGCTTACTGCGGAGTAAGGCAGCTGCGTTGGCTCCGGTGCACCCTCAAGACGTTCATATAGAATGCTGGAGGGACGATGGAGTCGTACAAAGGACGGCGGTCAGTCAGGTGGTGGAAACCTCAGAATCGATGCATAGACTCACGCTCTCTCTAAGCGCATCCTCTGTATGGTTCTTTTGACATTGAGCGTCTTCAGGTGGATAGCGTCGTTCTCCTGCGGAGCGAGAACAAGAGAGGCATCAGAACAGATCAGGAGGGCTGCCAGGAGCAGCGAGGCAGTTCGTGCAAATCCTTGCAAGACTTCATATCTCGAAGTGATGCAAGGCCGCCAACGTCCTGTTGCTTTTGGATTGAAGAGCAGTTGCAGCGTCCGTGACTCACCATCTCGATCTCCTTCACTTTCGCCTTGAGCTCCTTGTACTTGCCTCTGTACTTGACAACGTCCGACTGGGTCGCAACGGTACTGGCGTAGTTGTTCGTAGCGCTCGACCTTTGTCCGCGACCCCCACCACGGCCCGAGGGTTCCTTCGAGGCCATGTCTGCCAGATGTGCCACCTCAAAGTATCTGTAGCAGCTGCAAGACTCGGTTCTGGGCTCTGTTGTGGGATGTCGCTGGCGTGGTAGTGGCGGTATGGAGGTACTCTGATCAGGCCGAGGATAGGCGGTGAGGATGGTGGTGCGGGGGCATCACGGCTGTTCCTCTTTCCGCGCGTGGAGTTGGAATTCCTGGCCGCCTCGAGATTTCTGCCGCTTCCGTGTGTGCCCAGTGCTGTATCCACACTCACACCATCTTCGTCTCTTGCTGCCAGCGACCGCCATTCGAATGTCTCTTCCCCCTCATCGCCATGGAGCTTGGCCTGCTGTGGGACCATCTTACAACCCAAGCGATGGGCGCACAAGCAGTCGCGGCGGACGTGGCGGCTACCAAGGCAGCCAGCAAGGCCAGTCTCATTGGGGAGGGAGACCAGCTCCAGAAAGGTCTTCTCAGCATGCATCTGATAATGCAATGAGCCACGGTGGTCGACTTGTCTGCGGCTACGTTCCCGACGAAGGATCTTCCTCTCCAACTGTCTGCGCCTTTCAGACGAACTCTGACCTCGCCTTGATGCTGCACAAGGCAGATAGGCATCTCGTATACCCTCCTGGAGGCAAGGAAGAAGTGGATCGAAAAGACCCTATGCTTGTAGAAGAGCGCAAAGAGGCTGCGAGGAGGGCAAAGCGCCAACATCAAGGTGGCAGACTCGAAGAGGAGGAGGCAAAGGCCTTGAACACCATTCCGGGCCTGAATATCGCCCTCTCGACTCCTGAGCTTGTGGATCAATGGATCGCGGAGCGGAAGAAGAGGTGGCCGTCTGACAAGGTGGTGCAGCAGAAAATGCGCGAAGGCTGGTCGGGCCGTCTTAGTACACAGCAGACTATGAAGCGACAAGCTGCAGAGGCAGATGCGAACCAGAAAAGCGACAGCAACCTCGGAGCAACGAATCACGAAAGACCCAGATCAAAGATCGCCAGAGTGGGCGAGCCTCAGCAGGACTCTGGCGAGGTGGAAGATGCAAGTTCCTCCAGTACGAACACTTCTGATGACTCCGATTCGGAGGACGGCTCCAGCTCGGACGCCCCATCTGAAGAGCCCATCGAGAAAGCAGCTCGCACCGCACCCTCCATGGAAGACACTTCAAACCATGCCAGCTCTGCAGCTGGCAGCAACGTCTGTCGCTTCTTTCTTCAGGGTCGCTGTAACTACGGCGATCTCTGTAGACAGTCTCACTCCCAGCTCCCAGGGCTCTCGAAGGCACAAAGCAGCTCTCAGATAACCCCATCTCGGCGTCCGCGTCCTCGCAACCCTGTCCAGAATCCCTTTGAGCCAAAGAACCTCTTGCATGCCCTCTTGAAGCAGGATATCGGACAGCACGTCAACGCAGTGGCTCAGGTGATCCGCTTTATCGTCCGCAACGACTACCTGACGCATGTTGAACTACAACCTGGTCTGGCAGACGCACAGCAAAAGAAACGCAATCTGATTCAGGACGTCAGCTCAAGAGGCTGTGAGACAAACAAGTCCACCTCGCTCCCAGTTCCAGAAGAGGTATCACATCCTCTGGAAGACGGTGGATTATCAATTGTGACCGATGGTAACGACGATTCGACGTCGCCTAAGCCGACGCGGTCCTTATATCAGCCACCTTCACCTCTTCTGCGACCTCTAAAGGAGCTAGCCTGGCCACCGGAGCCAGACCCGATGCTCTTTCTTGATCCTATGAGACGCAACGACCCGAAACCGTTGACGGGCAAGCAGTTCGAGCTCCTCGCGACCGATGAAGAACTTCGCTCTCTCCTCTCTCCTGTCACAGATCAGCACCCGCACGGCGAGCGTCGAGCGGGACTCGAGAGAGCTCTCCGCACGCTAGACGATCTGCCTACGGAGGATCACCGTCGTTCGGCTTTGGAGCTCATTCTAGGCGTATCTGCCCAGACTCCCCAGCACGCGCACCAGCTTGGGCCTACCTTCGTCCATGCTAAGCCTGGAGAAGCTCGATTCATCGGAGAGGTGGAGCTCTTCAAGCTCGGATTGAGGTGCGGCCCAGAAGAGCAGAATCTCATTCAAAGGCTGGCTCAGAGAATCAGCGAGGTAACCGAGGGACCAGAATTCGATGCAGAGCCTCTTGGCTGGGACCATCAGCGCGAAGAAGGGGTCAGCTTCAGGGAGGAGAAGCGCAGACGTTACTACGAGAGGGAGGCTGATAGACGTGATCTTTTGAGAAAGCTGGGCATAGAAGTCGATTGAGAGATCTGATTGTTGAGAGAGTACATAATGGGTATGGAATCAAAGGCAATGAGATAGGAGAGCTGGAGATTGGGTCGACCGTTCCTTCGTCATCTCATCTGTATATCTAAGCAAAGTATGCCTCGTAATCTTCTTGTGAGAGTTCGCACGCCCACTGCCAGATGACCTGTCGCAGAACAGCAGCGACTTCTCCGTCGTCCCAAGCTGCGCCAGCTTTCGCGACCTTGGCTGCGACTGCTCGTTTGAATCTGCCTGCTGGACCGCATGCCCTTTGCCATCGTTGCACCTGGCGAGCATCGTCGGCGGAGCGACGGCCGGAGTAGAAGCGACAGTACCATTGGAACCAGCCGCGAGGATCTTGACTGTAGCAATGGGAAGAAAGATAGTTTGAGGGAAAGAAGTGCCGGTGTGATTGGTCAGCTGACCTAAAGCTGACGAGCGTTCTGAGCGAGTGAGTGTCCTCAAAGGAGCACAACTTACCGAGCAATCCACCCTGCTTGTTCCCAGGCCTGCAGGCTCTGTCCGGCCTTCTTTCCAAACATGTTGATCTCTTCAGCGTACTCTTGTGCTTTAAGGTACACGTCCTGGTCGAGCCCTTCTGTCCACGCCTGCGGCAGCTCTGCAATGTCCTCCTCGGCGATCAGATCTCGCTTGAGGACGCCCGAATAGCAGGTCCTGAAGAAGGTACCACCGAAAGCTCCGCCTCGAATGACCTAGAGTGGGTAAGAGGGAAAGAAGTCCGGATGGTCAGCGGCTGCATGCCAAGTTCTCGGGGTCATCGTGACTAGCTCACCTCTTCGGGTGTCAAGTTCGGTCGGAAGTGACTCCACGCTTTCTCGAAGCTCAGAGGGCCTCTACCTCCCATTCCAGCCTTCAATGGTAGCCTCGTTGGCAGAGGCGCATTCTCTGTAAAGACTGCCGTATCGTCATCCGAGTCGTCGAGAGTAGGAGGCGAGGGGTTGCGAATCTTCTTGAGCTGAAATACGGGCTTTGGCTGTGCAGGCACATAGTCATTCTCGGAGTCGGTATCGGAAGTGTTGGCCTCTGTGTACTTGGACCTGCTGGCAGACAGTCTCTTTGACTTCCTCTCGCCCTCTCTCGCCTTTGCCGCCTTTTGCTGCCGAGTACTGCTGCGCCGCGTCAGCTCTTTCTCATTGTAAGTCTGCCTGGAAGAGGAGGCGATGCGTGATGACCGCTGACGCTCGACAGGAGGAGAGACGGATGCCGGCTGTGTCTTGACTGTGCGAGTGCGCTTGGCTGGACGAGGCGGGGAAGGTGAGCGTAGCCGTACACTTTCAGACTGGCGGGACGGGGGCGGCCAAGGTCAGATTAGCCGTCAGCACTGCAAAGTGTCAGGGAGAAGGGCTCTCTACTCACGTTGAGTCCTAAGCTTTCGAGCAGGGCGCGATTCTCCTTGATCTGCTTCTCTCTTGCTCGCTCGTAGTCGTCCGAGTCCGAGTCCATGTCTGGCAGTTGAACACACACACACACACACGCGGGTAAAGGGTAGCTGCTAGTGCTGGTGCTGCTGCCATCCAACACGCGACGTCTGTCGGAAGGCCATCGGAACCAAGGCCAGTGGCGGCGGCGTCTGCACCTCCACCTCTCCGCCGCCTTTACGTCCGGCACATGGGCCCGGCCCCGGGGGGAAGACACGGAGCAAGCGGGGAGCATCGTGGATCGTTCCCCGCCTTCATTGGCAAGCAAAGCCAAAGACGCCCTTTGCGACCCCCACCTTCTTCCGCACAGACCAAAGTCATCCATCTCGACCACCACCCACATTAAACAGAGGTGAGTGACCTTCCTGACCTCTCGTCCGCAGCCCCCCGCGTCACAGCCAGCAACCTCGCCGCTTCACCACACCTGCGCACCCTTGGCGGAGAAGAGATTCTCACAGAAGCCTATGCCTCTCCTGTTCCCCTACCATACCCTCGCGCAAACGCTGCCTCGGTCTACCATCTCGCCCTTTGCCGCTGCTGCCGCTTCTCTGCGCACCTTCTCAACTTCCCGTCAACGGTCCTCTCATCTCACTCGCCCGCCGATGACATCCGACAAAACCAATCCTGCGCCCTCCAATTCGCCTGCCCGTGAACCAATCTACGGCCCTCGCACAACTCAATCACCTTCGTCGACAACACCGACGCTACCTTCAACATCGGGTCTGCCATCCATCTCTACTCCCGTCCGGCGCCTTGCCAACATTGGCGGTCATCTCAATTTCCACAGCACAGCCAACCTTCCCAGCACCCTTCGTTACGAAATGAGCCAATCAGACTTCAAACAAGCCCCTCACAAGGTGAGTCGTAGTCGCCAGATGCATTCGGAAGCCTTTGCTGTGCTACGACTCACCTCGGCCTACTTTCACTTACTCCTTCCCTGACAGCTTCTGCTCATCCCAGGACCAGTTGAGGTGGCCGACGATGTCCTTCTCGCCAACGCGCATCCCTCCATGTCACACGTCTCTCCAGACTTTGTGCCTGTCTTGGGCGACTGTATCCGAATGTTCCGAGATGTCATTCTGGCTCCGGAGTCTCAGCCCATCATCACTGCCGGTTCCGGAACTCTTGGATGGGACCACGTAGCGTCCAATGTCATCGAGCCGGGAGAGGAGGCTCTCGTCCTCAACTCTGGCTACTTCGGTGATTCCTTTGCTGAGTGTCTCGAGGTGTACGGCTCCAAAGTCACTCAGATCAAGGCACCGATCGGATCGAAGCCCAGCCTGGAGGAAGTTGAGGCCGAGCTCAAGAAGAAGAAGTACAAGGTGCTCACATTCACGCATGTCGATACCTCAACCGGCGTACTGACTGATGCCAAGGCCCTTGGTGATCTCGTCAAGAGAGTCTCACCCGAGACGATCCTGGTCCTGGATGGCGTCTGCTCCGTCGCTTCGGAAGAAATCCGCATGGACGCATGGGGCATCGACGTTGTTCTGACGGCCTCGCAGAAGGGTATCGGATGCCCACCAGGACTGATGCTCCTCGCTGCCAGCAAAAAGGCAATCAAGGCCTACGAGAATCGTAAGACGAAGCCCAACAGCTACTTCTCCAGTTGGAGCAAGTGGCTGCCAGTCATGAAGGCATACGAGTCTGGTACTGGTGCTTACTTCGCGACTCCACCTACGAATTTGATCTACGCCCTGCACGCCTCCTTGACCACAATCACAAAGGGCAAGACGTCCATCGAGGATCGCTGGGCCCAGCACATCGCCGTGTCTGATCAGGTCAAAAACTTCGTCAAGGACCTCGGCCTGAAGCAGCTCGTCGCTGACCCGAGCAAGGACGGCGCTCACGGCATGACTGCTGTTCGGTACCCAGAAGGTTTGAAGGCGCCTGATGTGCTGCCCAAGATGGTAGCACGAAAGATTGTCGTAGCTGCTGGTCTGCACAAGGAGTGCAAGGACGAGGTGAGTAAGACCTAGCAGAGGCCCATAGGCCAGGATGCTAGATGTGTTGGCAGGATTGCCCGTGCTGACCGTATGATTTCCACCTTTCCAATGCGACCGTCTCAACAGTACTTCCGAATTGGCACCATGTCCGAGTCCGTTGTGAACAAGGAGAGGGGCGACATTGACTACTTGCTCAAGAATCTGAAGGAAGCGTTGGAGGAGGCAGGCTACCGCAAGTGAAGGAACGTCAATGACGACATTGTTTCGAAAAGAGGGTAGACCGGGCGATCACATCCGCAAGACGGTGTTAGCCTTGCCACGTTGTCCCTGAAGATAAATCCCATCTGCCACATCTGCATACGTCCCCCACCATATCGTGCTCGGCTATGCTGTTAGCGAAGTGAGTCGCCCCACAATCGATGCTCAAACCTTGCAGCCCATGCTATCTTCGCCATCGCTACTGGTAGCCGAGGAAGATTCCGATGCCATGTGGGCTCGGTATGTCGGTATGTCTCTTGAAGCGATGACGCGAAGTCCTCGATAGAGAGCAATGGTTGGAGGGTACCACCTACCTTGTTGGTCTATCGGCATCGCTTCGGAAGCGAAGCTGCACCCAGACGCCTCCTTTGTGACGACATGGTTTGCCACCCTTCTCCCATTGTAAGATTGCCGAACCTTCCAGGCCTTCCTTGCAGAGAATGGTGTGGAGGAGCTGTCGGGATACGACTTTGGCATGAGCGGAGCGACGTAGTGGTAAGGGGATCTCTCACGGCGACAGCAAGGTGATGTGGAGCGCATTTTACTAAAGGCTCCGCTTCAATTCACGGACTGGTACACTCCGTACTCTCCTTCGCGTCGCTCAAAGTAGAATGAGTCCAAAAAAAGGGTCACGCTCCGACTTGTGTGGTCAAAGTCCGCCCGCCCCGCTCGCCTTTCCCACACGCTGAGGAATGTTTGTACTGTCGCGGTCCTCGAGACGGAGCTTCAGCAGAATCGTCATTCAAGTCGCCTACCGCAACAGGGCGGAGGGGACATAGGTCTTTTCATGGTCATGGCGACTTCAATTTGGCTGAGTTATCTCTGGAAGCGATCGGCCTCCGGACATGCTGAATACGAAGCTGAGTAGCGGGTGTGCAAATGAGAAGATGACTCGAGGCCAGCATTCCCCCGCCCCCTACGTACGTAACTACGTGCGATATGGTGACCTCACATGGCCAAGAGGGCATCAGCAGCGGCGGCGTGGGAAGCTCCGAATTCTTCCTTGGAAACGTCGGAATGCTCCGGTGGTGATCCGGATGGCGCGTGCCGGACGAGACAAGACCATGATCGGGATCCAGCCAGTGCTGTCTACCTGCCTGGCTTGGCTGGCCGTCGTGGGGACAGCATGCCGAGCGGAGTGATTGAGTCTCAGAAGTCATAGAAGGCGAGGGACAACATCAGACATGGAACAGGCGTCTGGGTGCTTCCACGGAACCTTAAACAGGCAGGCGTGGACCCCCGGCGGTACCTATTCGGCTAGTTGATAGAGGGCGGCCCATGTGGTCTATCTTCCTCGGATGTGAGCCACGTTGTCAATGGGGACTCTGAGATGTGGGTAACGTGGCCTATTGGGCGCTCACACAGCCCCACGCAGCGCAGCTATAGTGAGGTACGTCAGATGGCACGTCCCCAACCCTCTTTAGGTATCCTTCATCGCAAGGGACACATCCAAGTCTCAGGCGGGAGTGCGGACTTTGGAAGCGCGCCGCGCTTTGCCCTTCCCCGATTGAGCGCTTGCTGTGTCAGAGCTTTTGTCCTGTCATACCACGCGATCCCAGTGCTCAACAGCGACGCCGAGGTGAATGAAATGAAGAGGTATAGGTGCAGTACAGGAACAGAGGAAGAGGCGCAGGAACAGAGGTCAGCAGGCCTTAGCACCGCTCAAGGGATGGGATCCCTTTGTGGGCGGGTGCGGGACGCTGAGAATAAAAGTAGTGACCGTGTGCCTTGTCAGGCCGGGAAAAAGAAGCAGAGCGTCCCGGGGTTATTCGGCTTGTTCCATGCCAGAGTACCTGGATCGCGTGATTAGCAAGGCGTGGGAGCGCGGGACAAAGGAAGAGTACGCCCACACCCACAATCCTCACCCACACCCACGCCCCACGGCATGATCACCCTTGGCGTGCATGCATTGCCCATGGTGATGGTGGGAGATGGCGGCAGGGACCCCAGCAGCGCCTTGGCTGATTCAAGGGGGTGATCCTGCAGGGTTGGGCACGAGTCCTTGACTAAACCACCCTCGCTTGTGTTGGCTTGTGTCTCTCCTTGACGAGGGTAAGGGCGAATTGCATGTGTTTTCTCCAAATTGCTCCTGTGGGCAAGGGCCGAAGGGTGTAAGCGAGGTGGTACAATGGCAAGGGCCGGATATGACGAGGGAGCACGGGAGCGCGAGTCCTGAGTGTGCCAAGGTTGGGTGGGGGCAGGTACCTGGGTGTGCTTCGCAGCGGAGAGATGGGCGCGGGCGGAGTGGCCGAGGCAGTGTACCGTGAGAGCGAGGGGGACATGACCGGTCTGAGCTCGGCACAGGCATCCCGGCAGAGGGTCGCGGAGCCTGGGCTGAGTTGCAGGCGGAGCTTCGTCGGCGAGCTGATGAGCGTCAGACGTCCGCCCGACAGACTCCGCCTTTCAATCTGCCGTGCCGTCTTCCATTGATAGGATGCCCGGCCGCACTCCGCCTCTTGGCCACCTTGGCCCCCTATCCATGCCGTCCATCGTCTGCCCTTTCCTCTCTGGGTAGTCAGCATCCTTGCAAGCCTCGTGGTCACTCTCTTCGTCACCATTCCAACTCAACAACAACAATCATCATCATCATCATCGTCGACGCCAGCATCAACCATTGCTAGCGGCCCTTCGATTGCTATATAACCGCCCCTCCTCGGAACCAATCCTGCCCCTTTTTTCCATCACACTCTCCACTCCACTCCACTCTACTCTACACTCTCATCGGCTCTTAGCATCACCTCTAGTGATCCCTAAACCTTTCTTCTTCTCATCATGAAGTTCATCACTGCTGCTACTGCCCTGGCCCTCTGCGCCGCTCTCGGTGTTGCCGCCGCCCCCGTCGTGAGTAGCCTGAACCACCGCTAGGCATCCGGACCACATCCGGCTCCCTTCACCTCTTCAACCAACTTTGAAGCCGTCCTTTTACTTACTCTGTCATCTTCTTACTTTCTCACACACCATCAGTCCGAGGCTCCCCTTGCCGAGCGAGCCGTTGTCGAGGAGCGCACCGTTCGCAACAACCCTTGGAAGCGAACCGTCCGCAACAACCCTTGGAAGCGTGACGAGGACCTCGAGGAGCGAACCGTTCGCAACAACCCTTGGAAGCGTGAGGAAGACCTCGAGGAGCGCACCGTCCGCAACAACCCTTGGAAGCGAACTGTCCGCAACAACCCCTGGAAGCGTGACGAGGACGTCGAAGAGCGCACCGTCCGCAACGCTCCCTGGAAGCGCGAGGAACAGTCTCTTGAGGAGCGTACTGTCCGCAACGCTCCCTGGAAGCGTGACGAGGATGTCGAGGAGCGCACTGTCCGCAACGCTCCCTGGAAGCGCGACGAGGACGTCGAAGAGCGCACCGTCCGCAACGCACCCTGGAAGCGCGA